TCAAGCCAAAATACAGTATATGCTGCACACTAACAAATCCTCTAGCGAGGCACGGCAGGCGCTTCGAGACGCGGTTCGTTTGGCGCGCCCTTGCCGAAGGATTCGGGAGATACTCGCGACATCGGTCAGCCTCGTAGAAAAAAGAACGTGTTAAAGACGTTTGCGCTTGGCGAACGATTCAGGGACACACCTAGAAAGCATCAGTAAGCGGTAGGGCTCTCGGGTACGAGTGCTGCCTCGCTAATTGTAGCTGGGTTAGCGTACACTGTCGGTGAATTCGGGGACCTGTGTAACGGCGTCAGACCCTAAAAGGTGATGTTTACGCCTATTGTGGAAGGTGGGCGCCAGGAAAGGGGTGTAGGCGTACGCATAATGGGCCATTGCCGACCATAACTGTAGCTCTGATTGATCGATTGTTTCGAAACGTATTTTGGGGACGAGGCGGCCAGGGTTGTAGCCGGAGTGGGATTCTGCATGCAGCTTGCATGGTGATTGTGGAGGGGTAGCAACACCAGTAATAGGTTGTTATCGAACGAAAGCATGTCAGTCGAGAATCTGCCACGAGGTCTGACATCGCTCGTCCACACCTCTCCATATTGCCGGTGCACTGTGAGGGGTAGGTTAATATCGAGTGGGCTGCGATGCGGCAGAGGCTTGCCACGGCGCTTGCGATACTGCAAGGAGAATCTTGCAATGCCGACGATGGTGTGGCTGCATCGTTCCTTTGTCGATCGTGTGTGAGTAGAGGGGGAAGCTGGTAAAACGTTCTGAAAACGGGCAGCGCTCGAGGCATTGCGTGCTTCTTGGGCATCCTTTGACCCCGCAACCCTGTCCCGGTAGGCTCAGCGGTGGGCGCGCTCGACCGCTGTTTCCTCTTGTGGTCTTTGCGCAAATACCACAACAGAAGCAACTCATCTACAATGCATCCTCGTTTTGAGATTGGCTGTCGAACAAAGTGTCCTGTCCACACACAATCCCCAGCGTTGTAGCGTAGAGCAGAAGCACAAATCGCGCACGAACATTGCGGTGTGCTCATGTCTCTCATGGATGGGGTCATGCGCTCATCGGTGAAACGGGAGGTGAAGTCGTACGCGGGGGCACAAGGGGTTCAGGCGTCCATGTGCTGCTGTGGTGCAAGGGTGGTGAACGGTAGGCCCAGCGTACTGTGTAGGGCTGGCCATAGGGCTGACCTCTGTCGTCAATTCCCGCGCGGTAGTCCGAGAGAAGCCTAGCGGTCCTTGGCCATTGACTAAAAATAGAAACTAGTCCAGTCGCAGCGATACTTTTGCGAACACAACTCTGTATAATTGGCACACCCTACGAAACGGGGCGAGTGCCCGAGAGACTTGGAACCATGAATGGTGGTCTCCTGTGGGGGGGTTTGGTTATTTCGGTGGCTGCACGGTGGGTGTTACGCCCGGCGGTTAGGTAGGCGTTTTTGCAGTACACGGGGCACACCCATACCGAAATACAATACCGCAGGTCCGCAACTTAGGACTCTAATGACGCGGTCGGTCAAGTTCATGCTCGTTGCTCGATCAACATGTGACTTTGCTGTCGCATTGTATGGCTATCCTTTTGCGGCAGTGTACAGATGCGGAGTCGACATATTGCTGCCTTTGGAGGTGTCGGTGAGGGATGCTAGGGCCCGCCGGAGGAGCCGACTTGGACTTCGCTAACAGCTCCCAAAGGGGAAGGAACTTCGTCCATCTACCAATCTCGCGTCGTGCAACCAGTCACCAGTAGCCGGCAGAATGCGCTCCTCCAGCCACAGCCAATGGCTCCTCGCACGCCCAGATATCAGCCTTGCGAACCTCACCGCATCGGCCCGCAACGTCTATACCACAGTACACGGTGTGCTCGTCTGCACGTCGTCCCCACTCACCCATCGCGGATGCGGAGTACCGGCTTAGTGGACACACCGTGAGTTATGTGTTAAGGTAGAATTGGACGGTGGGCATGGTGGAGAGCGGTCACATCCCTGGGCGCGATGGTCTGGATCCTTCCCTTCTGCCTGTTGGAGCAGCGTACAAGCAGAAGGACTCTTCGCGAAGTGGCAAGTACAGCAGGCTGCCATGCAATGGAGTCCGCACGGCACGTTGCTCAGGAGCCCGACGTTGTTCGGTGTCTTGCTGCTGTTGTCTCGGACTCGCTACATCGTGGCGGGTGACACCGGACCTTTAGGCTTCGCCCACCACGAATGGCTTCGGCCACATCTCTAGAAAAGTGGGCCACGATCATGGACTCGACTCTGAAAGTCGATGGAGTGCTTTCGGTAACGTTATGATATGCAGCCGTGTGGCTCGCTTGTATCAGAGAGTTTAACACATGGGGAACCTATTCATCTTTACGTCCGCCGAAGAAGCGTTTCAAGGTCGTTTGCCTGCTGGTGCAACTCGCACACATTGCTTGACCTGCGTCCTTGTGGCTGGAGCTTCCATAACGTTGATCTGATACATCCGGCAAAATCCCACCGCATGCTTTGCATGGACGCCATCCTTATTGGTATGTTTCAGGGGCGCTCAACAGCGCCGCAAATGTTGGATCGCAAGATAAACCGCGTGATGCGGACGAACCGGACGGACATGTGCGCCTGTGGCTGGCTTGCTCAGTGACGATCAGTATCATGTGAATTGCGATCAGGACCTTGTCGAACACTCAGAGAAGTTGCGCATACGAGCTGCTCACTCAACCAACCATTGCCGCGGGCTTCTGAAGTGGACCCTGCTATCCCGCTCTGTGGTTATGGTGCTGACTGAACGATGGAGAAATGTCGACCCGATCGCTGGGGATTCTTACGTTGGCCTGGAAGCATAGCGGTGCGGAAATTGGACCCTTTGCAACCCTACCAATGGATTTCCGCCTCCCAGCTAGCCACGCACCATGGAAGAAGAGTAGAACATGGAGAGACGTGTGGCATTAAGACATACCCAAGGATATGCTGGCCGTTTCAGGCCACCCATGTCCCGCCCATTCAGAGCGATAAATTGTGAAGGATTCACGTGACCAGGGCTATACGAGTCTAGTCGGGGCATGGGTTAATTCTCAGTCCGGACGGAATCGAGGTCAAGAGTCGGTCATGTCATGACCTTGTCCCTGAGTCGCCTTGCGCAGGTCAGTATCCACCCACTTATGACGCGTATGGTCCTCTGAAAGGGGAATCGGAGATGGCAGACTTGTCCATAGCCAGGGTGCCTGACATTGATGTTGGCGGTTTAACTTTGAACGGTCAACAAAGTGGACAAGGCACTTGTTTAGGGCGTTGCTGGTAGACCACATGACCTGCAGGCGCTGATTGGCCAGGCCGTTTGCTGGAGGGCTTTTGGCCCCAGATTCCGAATTGCTTTCCTAGAAGGGCGAAGCCGCAGGCCAAGGCGAGCACGCTCCGGCCGGGGATATGTGCTAGCTAGCCATCGCAACGGACCAGTTGACTTGCATGGTTGATGGGCAAAGGCGGTCGAGCAATTGCTAGGCGGCGCTGCGCATGGCTGCGAAGCAAAAGTCTCCGAGCAATGTCTCTGAGCCAGGATGCCGTTGGGTGCCTGTTCTTGCGTTCCACGGGTGCCAGATGTCGCATGTCGGTCGTGCTGCACACTGGCCAGTACTGCACATGTGTGTCGTTGTGGCAGCCGAACGTCACAGAGAACAAGCTTTACCGTTTGATGGCGCCATGCTGCTTCGAGTAAAATTGCACTCACCGACAGTCGCGAAGGTGCTTACGGGACGGGAGCGAGGAAGCGTGGGCGTTCGCTGCCTCGTAGGGCTGGCGCTGTCAGATGCTTGTGTGCGGCACCCATGCTGGAGGCTCAAGTCGTGTGGCTCGGGCGGCGATTGGAAATAAGGCGCGGAGAGGTGCTATTCGTATAATTAGGACCTTACCAAGCAGACTATGCCGCAACAAGCAAACGCTGTGAGCAGTTCCCAGATTCGCAAGAGCCGCGCCGTCGGAGGATGCAAATCAACCGCCGCTGGGCAGCGTCTTTTGCGGACGGGCGATTTGGAATGGCGGCCGTTTGCGGTGTGCGGGCTGCGCGCTGGAGGTGGTGCAGTGCACTACAGCATGGCGATGATGCGCTTCCGAACAACGCGTCAGCCGTCACGACAGCAGGCGGGAGGAGGGCTGGATCACCAAGGCACGATCAGAGAGGCACGATTAGAAAGGCAGACCCGCGCCCGTCCCCGTCCGTCCCCCCAGTCGCGGTGCGAGAAGCGAGACTCGCTGCTGCTGGGGCCGCGGTGCGCAATGCCGCGTGGTGGCTAGGCCCAGTGCAGTACATGTTGCGCTGGCCCCCAAGCGCGTCGACACAGGACGGCGGGCGGGCGAAACTGCGCGGCGGGGTCGGCGCCGCAGCTCGCGCGAGTGAAGCCGCCCCAGAGAACGAGCGAAGCAGCCCCCGCGCAAGAGGGAGAGAGCGCTTTACGTGGCGGCGTGCGGTGCGGAACGTTGCGGAGGCAAGCAGGCCGCGCTGTGCTTCCTTCAGTCCTTCGTCCTCGTTCCAGCGGGCTGGGCGCTAGGGCCGCGGTGCACGCTGGCTGACCGCTGCCTCCCCCGTACGATACAGCGCCGAAACCCCCTATCCAGACCCGGCAGCGGGTTTCTCAGCTCGCGGTTGGTAAATCTGGGACCCATGCTAGCGTGCGTGTAGGGCTGGAGGCGGTGGGATGCCCGCCAGCCTGCAGCGCACCCTGCAAGACCACCGTGGGCCCAGCACGCATATCCCAAAATGGACGCACAGGGCGGAGCCATAGGGCGTTGTCCAAGAGCGCGAGCCGGCCTTACCACCCACTGCGCAGCGCGAGCTTTGACGTACGCAGGGGTCCTGTCCTCGACGAGCTCGTCCATATTTATGCCACATGCTCCCGCGTCCTGTATACATAACAGGCCGTCCCACCTTCCACACTGCTCCCCGTCTTCCCCAAGCTCATCCTGCACTGCTCTCACATACGCACTCTGATCACTTGGATCGAGCTTCCCTTTCTCTCTTCAACAACTCTTCAACATGCATAGGCACGCTGGCTACCAGTACGCCGCAGCTCCCGCAGCTCCCACTCACAGGTACTCGGGCACCTCGAGTGCCTTCTCCGCCTCAGCAAACCCCAACGAGGACTGGACCAAGATCTCGGATCTTGCGGAGCGCCGAAGGATACAGAACCGCATTGCCCAACGTATGTCCACCACCCCTCCTACTTCCACCCATCCAGTCCCTAACCCACTGCAGGCAACTACCGCAAGAAGCTCAAGAAGAGGCTCGAAGACCTCGAGCGCCGCGCGGCTTCGAGCTCCGCGTCGCCCGAGCAAAAGCCTGCTGAGCTGCAGCCTACGCAGCCCTCCGCGCGCCAGCCTTTCCCTTCACCGGCGTCCTCGGAATCAGACTACAGCCGACGAACGCCGGAGATGCAGGGTTACGAGGAGAGGGGCATGTTCTCCCACCAGTACACCGACCGCCAGCTCTCGACCTCGCCTCCGCCCTTCTCGTACAGCTCGTATCCCACTCCCGAGTCAGCCGCGTATCCGGTGCCCTACACAACCACTGCACCCTACCACTCAATACCAACCACCATCTCGCCTGAGATGACTACATACGCCTACCTGCCTCCGCTCTCGGCTGCCTACCCTACCACGCTTCCTAGCCTGGCGCCACCCATGAAGTCCGAGTACTACCAGGAAGACGACATTGCAAATCCCTTCGCGAGCGGCTACCAGCTCATGAACTCAATGGAGATTCCTCCTCCACACGCTTACCCGCCTAGCGATGCTCATGTAAAGCTCCCTCCTCGCAAATCCTACTCTTACGCACATTGAATTCCAACTCTTCAAATTCATCACACCGCACTTCGACAAGCCACTCGCTGACAGTCCTGTGGCAGACACCACCACTTCTGAGCGACTCTTTTGAGACCTCTCAGGCCAACTCTCCACCGGAGCTGTACCAGCCCACCACGCCAGATTCGATGCCTCGCACGCCGCCGATGTATCCTATCCCTGGCATGTGAGCGTCACACGAAGCGACCTTTCGCGCATTCTTTACCGGACTATTGGCCGAGGCTTGAGCACCTCAGCCCGGTCAATGTTCCTGTCCCTTCTTTTCAGGACCCACTGTCTTGTACATTATTCTTGTTTCTTGTTTGTTGCATAGCATTTCAGCGAGGGTTATCGGTCAGACGAACCTAAGCGACGGAAGGGTCCTTCGCTTGGTCTCATGAATGGGCTGGAGTTTGGGCGTTCTCTTCTCGCCTCTGGAAGCTTTCCCTTGGCTAGGTCCATGGGAAGACTGGGTCGGGTAGACCCAGCTGGCAGGCCTAGACGCCCATAGGTACATTTGCGCGCATTGCAGATAAGCGCGATGAATATTACTATTGCATTGTCATAGCTTTTGCTTGCCTTGAACGTCTCTTGTCGTGTCGCGTGCCATGTTGCGGGAGTTGCGTTTGATGTTGTGCGGACCCTTCACTTGTGACGTGGTTCGACCCATGAACTGCAGGCGCGTCTTGACTCGTGCTTCCCCAGTGCCAAGGAACCGCGACGCGCATTCTAACCTCTAATGTTTTCTACCGTTGTAAGCTGCGCCAGAACGTCAACCCACGAAACCCATGGCACCGGAACGACACCGGTCTAGAGTCGAAAAGGCACGACAAATCCTCGCCAGCGGCGCCGTCTCGCGCGAAGACTCCGACGACGAGCTGGGCTACGAAGACCATCCATGGGAATGGATCTACGAAGACGCATCCGATGCGCAACCCTCACAGAATGCGACGCCACGAAAACGCAAGGCAGCTTCCGCCAGCTCCGGCAGGCGCATTGTCGGAGCTCGCATGGGCACCTTTGTGTGCAAATTGGTGAGGTTGCCAAACAAACAGTCCCCGGCGCACACTCATGGCATTGTAGGGAGACGCCGTGCTCTTGAAAGCAGAGGGCAACCAGGCCTGGGTCGGCCTTCTATGCGGCTTCTTCGAAGATGAGGACGAGGACAACGAAAAGATGGCAAGGTTCATGTGGTTCGCTTCGGAGGGAGAGATCCGCAGCAAGAGCACGAAGCGGACCGACTTTCTACCTGTACGTCTACAATCTTTGCAGTGTAAAGCAGCGAGCTGACTGCGTATAGAACGAATTGTACATATCGCCCGCTTTCGACGACAACGAACTCACAACGATCAACGGTACCGCCAAAATCGTTTCGCACGACGAGTTCAAGCGCCTATACCCAAGCGGCCAGGTCAAGAAGTCATCCAAGGACTACGGCAAGATCTTCGTATGCAGGAGAGGCTGCAACACTAGGACCACAACGTATACTCCAGAGTTCGTTTGGGAAGACGTGTATCAGGGCGCGAAGGATCTCTCATCCTTGAGTGAGTTTGTCGAAAGTCAGACCAAAGCCACTCGCAAGCGCGGGCGCCCACGGAAAGACACTGCGGATCTGGATGACTTCGTGGCCCCAGACTCTGACGACGACGGGGCGCCCAAAACACCCAGGAAGCGCCGCAAATTGGGCGATGCTACGACACCGACGTCGACCAGGAAGAGCCCAGCTGCGCGCAAGTTCCTTACGCCGACACACAAACGCATAGTGATCAAAAAACAACTCGAGTTCACCCCTCTCGGGACCCGAGTTCTCTCCCCCTCAGCCATATCCTCGCCGTTCCAGATTGCTCGGAATCAGCTGCACGTTTCATCTGTACCCGCCGCACTCCCTTGTCGCGAAGAAGAGTTCTCCACAGTCTACAGTCATCTAGAAGCAGCGATCACAGATGGCTCGGGCTCATGCATCTACATCTCCGGTACGCCCGGCACTGGTAAGACTGCTACCGTGCGAGAGGTCGTGGCACAGCTGCAGGCGTCAGTGCTAGCCGAAGAGTTGGACGATTTCATATTCGTCGAAATCAACGGCATGAAGGTCACGGATCCTCATCAGTCCTATTCGCTCCTCTGGCAAGCTTTGCGCAATGATCGCGTCAGCCCGTCGCATGCACTGGAGCTTCTAGAACGGGAGTTTTCGACCCCAAGTCCGCGGCGTGTACCTTGCGTCGTCCTAATGGACGAATTAGACCAGCTGGTTACCAAGAACCAGTCCGTCATGTATAATTTCTTCAACTGGCCCGGGCTGCGGCACAGTAGATTGATTGTTCTCGCCGTTGCCAACACCATGGATTTACCGGAGCGAACGTTGAGCAATAAGATTAGCAGTCGTCTTGGTAAGTACAGGCAACCCAATCCTTGCAAAACGCCCGACATGGCATTTGCTCTGGCGTAGTCTGCCACACTGCCAAAGCCAAATGCTTCAGAGCTCCATTGCAAATCGACCGTTGATCGGGGTTCCAATATGGCGAGGCTAACACGCGCACAGGCCTTACACGTATTACCTTTTCAGGGTATACGCATGATCAATTAACACAAATCATACAGTCCCGACTGGAAGGTGTGCCTGGCAACATAGTCCACCCAGATGCCGTGCAATTTGCGGCACGTAAAGTGGCGGCGGTGAGCGGCGATGCTCGCCGTGCGCTCGATATCTGCAGGCGCGCAGTCGAGATTGCGGAGACAGAGGCAGCAGAACAAGAGGCCGAGGGCGAAGAGGGCCAGCCCCCAACCCCTAGCCGTACGGGGCGTAACAAAGGCAAGGCAGGCACCCGGCCCCCCAAAGACACCGGTGAATCGGGAACTGCACAACAGAAACGTGCAGGCCCCGGCAGCAAGAAAGGTGAGGTAACGTGGGCGACGATCAGACAAGCCATCAACGAGGCCACGAGCAGTCCCCTGCAGGTGGCTCTGCGGGCCTTACCGCTGGCATCTAAGATCTTTCTCGCAGCCCTCTTGACGCGCATCCGGCGTACGGGCATCGGTGAGGCCGTGCTTGGAGACGTCGTCGATGAAGTCAAGAGGTTGGGATTGATGAGCCAGCTGCAGCCGATACAAGACTACCTTCTTTTGGCTGAGAACGGCGAGGAAGGCACAGGCGCCACAACGCAATCCCACTCCACAACACCCATGAAGCTTGACGATGGCATTTCGAAACGGGCCAATGAAAAGGCCGCACGCGCATTAGGCATCGCTTCCGCTGCTGCAGAGCTCACAGAAGCGGGGATCATTGGTACAGAAATCCGACATGGGGAGCGTGTTGGACGGGTGCGTTTGGGGGTCGCCGAGGACGAAGTGCGGCTCGCTCTAGGCGACGATGTCGAGGTCAAGGGCCTCGTCCCGACCTGAACTTGAGCTTGTACCGCGAGTATGGATTCCCTGGCGAGCGCCATGCTGCGGGAGACATCAACCGGTCTATCAGGAGGCATACCGTCGTTGGTGATGAGGCGCATCTGCACCCTATAGCAGAGCTGATATACCCCTCTCGATACATGGCATCCTCACCGGACTCTACGCGAGACTATCTCCTCTCAGCGCGTGCGCGTGTCGACAATCGTATCGCCCGGTTCTATCGCGTTTGCCATCGCATTTCCCCGCCGCGTCGCAAGCTCAAACCGTTGTACTCCCACTCCTCGCTCGCTCGCCCAATCAAGCTCAAAGCATTTTCCATGTCCGGGCGTAGTGTACGCGCCCCCCAGCTTGAACCCCTCGTGACCCCGTGAATACGGTTCGCGGTGGTTGGCACCGCGTGGCCGCCACCCACACGGTGCTGCAACGTCCGTCCTTCCTGTTGCGGTAAGCTCGGCGTGCGTCGCACGGGGGAGTCTACTCGCTCAGGCCTGCGCGATGCGTTCCCAGGTGTTCTGGCTCGGGTCCTGGGCAGGCTCGTGTTTCGTTCCTCGGGTCCTTCTGGAACGCTCGTTGCGAATGGTGGCGCTGGCGCATGAATGCGACGCCGTGGAAGATGCATGGGTTGTGCGAGATAGGGTTGCAGGATGGCGGGTCGGAGGGCCGGAGTTTACCCTGCGTAAACCATGCCTCTTGTTTGCAAACATGTTTGAGGGCGAGCACTGGATGTCTCAAAATGCAGATGGTGGTACGAGTGCCTTGTTTCGCTGGGCTCCGCGAAGGCACTCTTGTTGGCGCGAGAGGTAACGTAGGCTCGCCAAACATCGTGCAGTGCAGTCGGCGAGCTGCTGCCTTTCAGCCCCAAGTGCGTGCATGGAACGTAATGCCCATTCCACCGAGTAGGCAAAAAGTCAATGCGAATAGACAGTCCGTTTCGTTACATCGATCTGTGATATCCACCATGCACACTGTAGCATGGTGGTCCCTCCCGCCCACCGCATCTCCGCTTTCACCTCACCTCAAACTAGACTATCGTGCATCTCAGCTGCCCTGCCCAGCCCTGCCCTGCCTGACTACTACTGCACTGCAGCGTAGCACATTAATGAATTGAGCGATGGAGACCAACCCACCCCCACCGCGTATCCCCCATCCATCCCAACACCCGCCGTCCACATTGTACTCCAACCCCGACCCGTCACGCCGCGCAGCCATGTGCGAGCATCACAGCGCGGGAGTCCCCCACGCCGCACACCCAACACTCTCGCACGTCACCGTGCCTCCTATCCATGGACCCTCTCCTCCGGCTGTCCCTCGCATACGTACGTAGTCAGGTCACCATCCTCATCGCATGTATCTCGATCCCCGAGCCGCCTCGCCTCGCCTCGCGTCGCCCTAGTGCGAACCGCACACCTGCAGCGTCAGCACCCTGTTTGCACTTCACCTCACGCGCGAGGCAGCGGCTAACCTGCTTGTTTGCATGCTTGCACGCGGCATTGCCCGTTCGTTAGCCAGAACTGCGTGGGTGGGTGGGGTCCGTCGAACGAACTACACTCGGTATGCTCCGTTGTGGAGTCGCATCGCACGGGTCTAGTCCCAAGCTGGGAATTTACGAACCCGGGCAGCGACGCGATGTGAAGGGTGTTTCGAACCCCGAGCAAGTGTGTGGCGTGGTTTGGATACCTTGGAGATATGTTGCGAGGATGGATTGCCTGCAAGGTATGTTAGGGAGGTGGGATGGGACGAGGTGACGGGACGTGACGTGACGTGACGTGATGCTACACTACACTATTCTACGCTAAGCTTGAAGTCAAATGGCGAGAGAAGCCCGGTGGAGGATACTATACGGTGCAACTGCGCCGCAGGGGTGAGGACGTACGTGGGCGAGCAACGACTGTGCGGTATACGCCGCAAGGGACCCGTCCGTCTGCTCGTAGTTTGAAACATCGAGCGGGCAAGTGTGGGGACAAGTGTTGGTGTTGGGTGGGAAGTGCTCTGCGAGGGAGGGAGATTGCAGTGGGGTGTCTGTCGCTGGGGCATTCTGCTTGGCCAGCGTACTGAGTGGATGCGTTAGTCGAGGCATACACTGTTGGCTATAGTGGGAAGAGAAGAGGGGATCGCGCTACGGGGGGCACATGTACATTGGTATGGGGTATCAGAGTGCCGTTGCGGCAGGTTTTGTATAATACATGGTCTCTCTCGCATGGGAACCAGGGCTTTGGGTCGGCACGGTGCGTTCCTTCTCGCTAGCTTTCCTCTACGCCAGTGTCTCCTGTTCCTGAATGGCTCCTTGGGCGCTTCAGAGTGTTATCGACCTCCCCTACGATTCGGACCCAACAACGAACCTAGAATTAGTGCTGGAATGTTAAGACTGGTGACGTCCAGACGCTTCCTTCAGTTGATGTCACTAACATGCGCCCGCATACCGCCGATCGCGGCTCTTTCCGCGTCCCGGCAAGCTGCTGTCAGAACCTAAACACGCGTGCGGTGCTCGTCTAACACTAGAAGCGTGGGTCGATCTGTGTAACACCCGATATGTCAATCGTTTGAAGTCCATCGGATAGTTGCTTAAAACTTCTGGCGGCCGAGCGTGGGTTTCCAGTCGAGCGGATGCGAATCCTCGGTTGCGCTGTCATCCTGCTTCCAGAGCTTGATCGACTTGTCTGATTCACCTGTGATCAGACGAAGACCGGTCTTATCGAACGTAGAGCACATAATGCCCGCTTCAGCGTCCAGTGAGCCAGGCTGGGCAATTGAATCGGTTTGCTGGAAGCGGTGTCCCGTCTTCCAGTCCCAGAAAGATACTGTTCCGTCGTCGCCACCTGAAAACATAACATTGTCTTCGTTGACGGAGAGCGTATTGATGATTGAGTTGTGGCCATTGAAGTTCTGCATGAAGGCACCTTCAGGACACTTGAACTGCTTTATTGACTGAGCAGATCCAGATGCGAACGTGAACTCAGAAGGATGGATGGTAAGTGCTCGCACGGCTTTCTTGTGGTGGGTCAAGACAGCCATAGTCTTGTTTGCGGCCAAATCCCATAGTCGGATAGTAGAGTCCATGGAGCCTGTGATAACTTGAGGATCGACTTCCTGGCACTGCAGGTCAGAAATGGTGCCTTTGTGGCCGCCCATGACGTGGATGTTGGTGCGTGTTCGCATATCCCACACTCTGGCGACACCATCGCGTCCTCCGGTGACAAGCACATCGAGCGTGGGATGTAGGCTGAGGCTGTACACTCCGCTCAAGTGGCCGTGGTAATGTCGGATGACCTTGTTCGTCTCGAGATCCCAGCACTTTACCATTTTGTCCTCGCCGCAAGAAAACAGATATGGGTGTCTAGGAGAAACAGCCAGGCCTCGAACGGCACTAATGTGACCGGTCAATGTCAGCTTCAATGTACCAGTGGCCAGATCCCAGATCTTGATAGTCCTGTCGGCGGCTCCACTAGCAAACCACTGGTTGTCCGGCTCGACTGCGAGCGAGCGCACCCATCCCATGTGGCCACTGATCACTCTGAACGGTTTCCATGGCGCATGCCAATCTGGCTTCACCGCTCTAACAGTGTCCTTCCGCACCAAAGCAGTGGACGGGGTATCGCGCATCGGCGTGGGCCCATGTGCGTTCGGTGCGGCGCCTTTACCCGATCGCACTGTCAGCGCCATCGTCTGTGCCTCTTTCGCTTTTTCTGCCTTCTCCGACGATGCTGCGATCATCTTGCGCATCGTTGGATCTGATGACTGTTCCTCTGCGTTTGCGTTCTTTATCTTCCTCCTCTTTTCCGCAGCTGTTGTCGCCGCTGTGGCCATCTTTGCTGCCAGCGCAGCTGGTAATTCCTGCACATGGTGGTATTCTTGGTGTATTCGCGTCGACACACGCGTGCTGTCGAGGCCTGTGGAAGGATATTGGAGCGTATCGGCGGCGAATATCTCGCGCGTTCGTTTCGCGGACGCGCGAACGGCATTATCGGCCGCGGTGCTCGGTAATGTGTCGGCCATTATATGGTAGGTGGGTGATTCGAGTTGGTTGTCGCAAAGGTAAGAGCTGGTTCAACTTTTGGCGATGAGCTCACTAGCGCGCATCGGCTTTCTTCGTGCACGTGACGTCTCTCAGCATCAATCTACTTAGCCCATTCACTATCTGCAACTTGTGCATGTTACAACTAAGATGCATTTTAGATGCCGACGAGAATGTCTCTCACAACGTACTTAGATTGACCATGTGTCCTCTATCTAAACTCTGCCCTTCGTTTCTGCTGGTTCATGATGTACAGTCAAAGTAGGCTGCGTCTCTCAACCATGCCTAATCCACATAACGCGACTTCAATAACCCAACTCGCATCCTTTCTGCTTCGCGACTAAGCCTAAAATTCAGCATCAATGTGCGCTTCGAAGCGCCATACCTGAACCCAAGACGAACAGCTATCAATCCTTGCCCAGATTACTTCCAATGAAGACTACCTCCACAGCAGCGAATCTAGACATCGCGTTAACCAACACGCTTCTCAACATATCAGATTGTACTCACGCTGCAGTTGAAGCCGCAATCTCCAACCTTCGCGCATTAGTGAAGCAGGCAAGTGCCAGAGCAAACACGATTGTAAAGCCTGCCATGGCACCGAGGCGTCCACCTTCAGTCTTTATGAAGTACAATGCGACAACGGCAGCAATAGGCAGCGCCGCAGAAACGACACTGATCAAGATGTTGTTGAATCTCAAAAGACCACTCTCGCTGTAGTGGAGGATCCCACTATGAGGGTCTATAGACTTCTGGAAATTGGAGCCTGAACTCGAAACAAGGATTTGACGTTGTCTCCTTGAGCGGAAGGTTCGCAGCCAGTTCCAGAGGTCTAGTATTGAGGAGGACAAGATTCTCGAAAAGACATCCTGCTCTTCCGTGGCTTTGTAGAGAGTCAATAGGTCTTTCTCTAGGAACTTGTGCTCTCTGGAGGAGCTCGTTGTTGGTAGACCCCACGTGTACATTTCACTACCATGAAGGAAATTCTCTCCTTCACCGATGCCGCCGAGCCAGTCACGTAGGAATTGCACATCTGGCTGTTCCGGTCGAGACATTCTTCCAATCTGCGCTGTTTGTATCAAAGCAGCGTCTACAGACAGTTGTTAATTGTTAGGCATGTTCAAAGATAAGTAACATGGTCAAGCTTACTATAATCCTGTAGTTTCTGGCGGATCTTCAACAGTTTCTCATATTGTAGGCTATGTTCTGAGTTCCGCAACACTCGAAAATACGTAGAAAATTGTTTTTCACCGGAGTCGTTTGAAGCGTCGTCTTCAGCCCATAGATCGCGAAACTGCACTTGCAGATCGACAAGCTCTGCTTGCAAACTTAGCAGGTTGAGCATATTGAGGGCCCCAAACCGTCGAAAGATTGCCGCCTCATGATAATGCCCCATCAAGTCAGCAAGTCGGTGGTAGCCTTGCGGCTCAGCTAGTTGCGGAGCAGCCATATTTCCGTTCACTTTCGCAGTCGTTGAGACAAGGTGGAGAGCGGTTTGGAGTGATTTCGAGCTCGAAGCTCGATTCTGATGGCTTTTAGAAAATGTTAATATAGATATCCTGCTAAGACTAACGAGTTGTTCCTACCACCTAAGGCTGAGTAGCTGAGCGCGTCACGATACTTGGCTCTGCGGAAGATGTGGGGCTGAATGCGCCACCATTATATACAGTCCTTGACCATTGGCTGAAATGTAACGAATACGGGAGGGGCAGAGCTGATTCTGTCGTAGAGCCTCAGTCTTCTTTCTTTTAATGAATCTCGAGTGTCAGACGGATGAAGCCAACGTTACGCACATTCTCTCCATCATCGATCGATCAACCATTGAAAACAACGTCTCTAGTGGTTTGTATCCTTCAAGGGCCAACTTTACACGGCCATGTCTGGATTCGAAATGGCTGCCCTAGTGCTGGGCCTCGTACGCGTAGTAGCATCCTTCAATAGCCTCGCCGGCGCCCCTGCCATTCCAGGGGGAAAAGAACACGCCTCACTCCTCGAAGATTACCAACTATCGATGCAAATACTTGAAGACTGTGCAGCTATCACCAAGACTATTCCAGATGGGGACGTTCCCGGAGTGATGATAGTAGCTACACATCAGTGCATAAGCCTTGCAGAGCAGGTTGTCGTTCGCCAACAGAAATGGTCAGAAAGAAAGGGAGCTTTGAGACAAGTTACTGGACTTGCTTCATGGGAGAAGCTCGAAAAAATGAACAAAGCTTTTAGAGACCGAGTACTTATTCTCCAAGCCAGCTCTCAGAGGTATGTTGTGCTCTAATATAGGATTCACCGGTTCTGTTAACTCTTGTGTATGTTAGCTTCCTTTTGCGAACGCTTATTGAGAGCAAAGATCAACGAAGTGGTTCTGAAACACAGCTTTTGGAATACATCAGCAGACACGAACGGTCTTATCCTGAAGGCAATGCGTGCTCGGGCCGAAGCGTCGACTTAGAGAGAGCTACATTCTTCACGATTGGACAAGAATCCACCGGACGGGAATCGGTCGCAGATGTCGTTACTCTGGCAGAAAGGGTGGTGACCCAAACTATTGCAAAGGGTGTTTCTTTTGATTCCAATCCAAGTCTGACGTTCGGCACAATAGCTTTGACCCACAAGCCCCAGCCACAATGGGTTCCGGTTCGTGCCAAATACGACACTGGCAGCGATGTCAATCTGGTCCCAACTGAGCTTATCGTTTCTAATGACCTCTCCAGCTTCTTAGTCGAAGAAGAAGACACGTTCATCGGTTTGAACAACCAAGAATATCACACACGTCACACTATCACCCTTAAGTGGTGCGCTGCCAACATGCATAAGATGCGCACGACCAAGTTCCACGTTACGGACGACTTGCCCTTCGACATGGTGCTAGGCGATCCATTCATCCAGGAGAATGCTGTCTTCAATCCACAACGAGTATCGTTGCCATTACGGCGAAAGCATCGCGGCTCCGGTAATTTGTTGTCCCCGTACAACTTAACTTGACTTTATTAATATTATAATAGCTGAACGAAAAGAGGAAGAGCAACGAAAGAAAGCGCATGCACAAGCCGCCGCAGAAGAGCTCCAACGTACAAGAAATGAAGATGCCCGTAAACGAGCGCTAGAGAAAGAAGCAAGGCGCATAGCAATGGCGCAAACGTCCGCAGCATATCCGAATGTCTCAGTGACCACGGGGACCGCTGTAAATGCCGCCTCGAGCCCAAGCACCACTCACAGTCCATCATTGATAACCCCAACGACACTTTCATTGAATACGCATGATTCATTGAACGCTTCATCTACGATCACAGCTCCCACCATCCACTCAGCTGCTTCTGCCTCAGGGTCTTCGATGGTATGATGTTGCAGAGTATAGGTTGATCCAGAGGAATAATTGCATCTTGCAGTATAAGGAGCAGTGGGATAGAGGCGAACAATGAGTCTTTTCAGATAATGCTAGATCATATCTATCCTAGGTTGGAAATGTACAGATTAAGTCCTCCGAATCAGTTAAGTCGACGCAAAACGTCGCGATGATCACAGAGTGCTATTATCAGCAGTGAACGCGGTCATGCGTAACTATATTGAGAACTGATGTGTCCTTCTATACCTCCTGTCCATGCCTAGGGAGGTAGAACAAAAGTTGCCCAAGGAGGTGTACAAGGTCCACGCTGGCGTCGAGATCGAAGCTGGAAAGCAGATGACCGAAAGAAAATATAGTAACTGGTGTTGAAGAGCTATAGAAGTAAGCACCACTGTTTGTAGGCTCATATGCGCCAATTCTAGCTCTATTATGTGATTTGCTGCTGACATGGACCTCAGCCCCAGTACTCGTATCAGGTCGCTGGATATAACTGCTCCGGGAAACTTCCAGCTTGGCATCGGACAATGAAGATATCCTTTTCTCTTGAAGATCGACCGGTGCTCTGCATCTCTGCATTGGCCCTCGCCTATAGTCCGAGTGAACGTCGACACGGCATCATGTCGTACCGCCTGAAGATTCGGACGAACGCACCCAACTTATGCGCATCATGCCTTTAAAATTTCCTCATAACATCATTGACAAGGTCAGCACCAAACGTCGCTCCCGCGCCATACACCGCCGCATTGCCAAACTTGTGAGCGAGCTTCGATGCCCATTCATGATGCTATCATTGAATCAGCCACCACGTCACCTCACCATTTCCTCCTCCCTCGGGGAGTACAACTTACCTTAGGGTTCTGTGGATGCGCAGGGTTACTCGGATCCTGCGCCTGCTGCGCGATCAAAGCTGGGTTGAATTGCTGGTTGCCATTGACGTAGCGGGGGTCGATATACTGCGCTGCCTGGCCATCGGGTCGCTAGTTCTCGTTAGCAAGCTATGTATTTGAGATTATGAAGGGAGACGTACAGGCAGCTGAGCTTGGATCGATTGTTGCTGCGGAGGTGCGAGTACCCCTTGTGAAGCAAGGTATTGTAGCTCGTTTTGGATTGCGTTGACGGAGCGAGTAACGCCTGCTTGGTCGTAGCCCATGGTTGCTAAGTTGTTGGTGATTTGAGAGAAGGGGGAAGGATTAAGCTTTGATTAAGCTTCGAGGATACTTGGCGATGAAGTAGAGGAAATTATGGAGTAGACTTGGAAGTGGTTGGAGTGTGGTTACGTCATTGTTGGTTGGAGGCTGCGCTAGTGAACGTGATAGTTGAAAACCCTCCGCTCATGGTTGTAGTTTCGAGCTGCAAAGATAAATGAATGCTCAGACATGCATTCACTTACGGAGTTCTCATAGCACGATCTTGTCAATTATTTCTCGACCGGCATACGAGGTGGTAGAAAGTTCTCTTTCTAACCCTCACAATCCCAAACCAACGTCTCCCTTCCTGCCCATTGCATAACCGTCCACTCCCTTCGACCGCCAAACCCCGCTGCCGACCAAGCCACCCACCTCTCCTCCTTCGACTCCCTGCCATCCCTCACCTCACCGTCCCTGCCCTTCTCTACTTTCAACCGCTCCTTCCGCACCAGCAGAAACAACTCTTGCACAAATTGCGGTGGTATGAAGCCTCTCCACCTCACTCTAACCATATCCCTCGTTGCGAGCTCAACGAGGCCATCGAAGGTCGACACTTCGTAGCGTGAGAGATGCGGATCTATGTTGTCGAATGCAGAGACACGTGGTGAGTTGAGGCACAGCATCGATATGTATTCCTGGAGAGCGAGTGCGTCTTCGGAGTCGTATAGTGACGGTAGCATCGGTACTGTGAGCTTAGGTACTAGTGTATCTGGTAGCTTTGTCGCTGTGGGCTCGATGGTGTGGATCGAGGGATGGTGTAGAGATATTGGTTCATTGCCCGCGCGCAGCGACTCATGGGATGACGGGTTGAAGTTGTAGAAGAGCCAGGCGAGGCTCTGGTCGAGGACGTTCTTGCAGGCCCAATCTAGGCGCGAGAAGCCCTTTTTGCCGTGGGTCATGGACGGTTCGCGCAGGTTGTATTCGATGACTGGAAACATTAGCCAAGTTTTGGGCAGCACGGGAGAGACGTACTCCATCTGTTCTTCTGATGTTTCTTCCCGCCATCTTCGATCGGTTTTCCCTGTAGGCCGCACCTTTCGTACGTCGGCCGATCGAGCTCTAGCCGTAACGTGCCGTCGTACAGCGAGAAGACATTGTCGACGAGCGGTCGACCTTCCGAAAGCATCATTATGTTTCCTATAGGCTGTCAGTGAGCTGTGGCCTAGCCCTATACTCGTCGTGCACCTACCTTTCTTAATATATTCTGTGAAGAAGTCGCCTTGCAGCACCTCTCCCAGCTTCATGTACACACGCGCATACACGCCCGTCGCCGCTCCATCGGCGTCTTCAAGATGCCCTTTGACAAGCTCATATATCTCTTCCGGCAGTATCAAATCCAACTATAGCTGATCAGCCTCTTTCCTCTCAGCCCTGCGATTTCTGATGCGCGCGTACCGTGTGCGAGAAAGGTTGCGCTTTGAACGTTGAGAAAGGCTTTTTCTTGGTAGAAACATTCTGCGGGTCAATGTAGCTTGGAAGCAAGCTGTGCGAATAGTAGACCTTCGTGTCGGGGCCGTCGTCACGGTGGATGTCGAGCATGGCACTGTAATATTGTGATGATGTTACGCGTGCTGGAGCTGCGGAGCGGAGAACCTCGGTGGTGGAGCCTTCCTGGTTAGCGCCTCTAGCCTTGAACCTATACAACAATCGACACTATCAAGCTACATAGAACTTCACACTCAAGGGCCCCCTTCCTCAAAAACGCGAGGACGTGCGAGGCCCTTATCCGGAGAGAGTTAATTCCGAAGATCCCGTTTATGAGGAGTGGGCCCCAGACAATGGAGATAAGAAAGAATACCCAATACGACTCAGAAGGGAACACACGTGTATGGAGACTACATGTACGATATTTGCGGAGAAGTATTGGCCAAATGCGGTGATCTTAATGGAGATCAAGGGCCACCAAGAATGACGATGAGCAGGACGGGAGGGCGCGGACAATTAATGGTGGCAGTTCACCCCACACATTCAAGCAAGTACTCCTGTTTGTTCACCAATAATTCCATCAATCATTGCGCAGGTGGACATCTTGAAATTGCGGAGAGTCCAGTAGTCGTGTGTGGGGCACACTTGAGGTTGTAAATATACCGTATGCAATCTGGATAATGGATGAATAGCCACTGTCAATTCCCATCGATGTCTTGGCTCTTAGAACCTCTCGACTACTACAACACTCTGCGACTGCCACGATGAGCGCTTCAAAAGCACACTTCGAGAGTCTCTACAGTCACACAACTACACAATGGCGCTCCTTACTGCACTGCTCGCAGCCCTGGCGCTCACTGTACAGGCGCGCACCTTCCTCACCTCACGACAAGCCTCAACCATCACCGTCGACCTAACCAAAACCTACCAAACCATGGACGGCTTCGGCATGTCCGAAACCTTCCAACGCGCAAACCAGATGCATGCACTATCCCCCGAGCTCCAACGCTACGCCCTAGACCTCCTCTTCAACCGCACCTCAGGCGCGGGCTTCTCCATCCTACGCAATGGCATCGGTTCTTCCCCAGACTCCTCCTCCGACCACATGGTCTCCATCCAGCCCAAGTCTCCCGGCGGCCCCAGCGCAGCACCAAAATATGTCTGGGACGGAAACGACAACAGCCAAGTTTGGGTCAGCACCGAAGCAGTGAAGACGTATGGCGTGAAGACCGTGTACGCAAACGCATGGAGTGCGCCAGGCTACATGAAGACGAACAACAACGACGCGAACGGCGGGTCGTTATGTGGCGTCAGCGGCGCGACTTGCTCGAGTGGAGACTGGAAGCAGGCGTATGCGAATTACCTCGTGCAGTACATCACATACTACAAAGACCTCGGTGTGGACGTGACACATCTAGGTTTCCTGAACGAGCCAGATCTCACAACCTCGTACGCGAGTATGCGCAGCAGCGGGCAGCAAGCAGCGGACTTCATCAAAGTGCTGAGGCCCACGCTGGACAAGGCGAATTATACGAGCGTGGGAATTACGTGCTGTGATGCCGAGGGCTGGAGCAGCCAGCAGGGCATGATGAGCGGGCTTTCTTCCGTTACTGACTTGCTGGGTACGATTACGGGACAGTACGCCTTCCCCTCCCCTTTTCAACATACTCAAGCTAAAAGGTAGACGTGTAGTTCGTATACCTCCGCCCCCACCTCCCCAATCAACACCAAGCACCCCGTTTGGCAAACCGAAAACGCCGATCTCCAAGGCGCCTGGGCAGCTACTTTCTACAGCAACAACGGCGCAGGCGAAGGCCTCAACTGGGCGCTCAAGATCTACGATGCTATCACGAAAGCAAATGTTTCGGCATATCTCTACTGGGTCGGTGTGCAAGGTGGTGCCACAAATTCAAAGCTTGTCAGGATCTCGGATGATAAGAAGCAGGTAGTCCCGAGCAAGCGGTTGTGGGCGTTTGCCAACTGGAGTAGGCATGTGCGCCCTGGTGCTGTGAGGGTGGGGACGAGTGGTGGACCGTCTGGGGCGAGGGTTAGTGCATTTAAGAATGTGGATGGTACGGTTGCGGTGCAGATTATACAGAGTGGGACAGGGGCGGGAAGTATAAGTGTCAAGGTACAAGGATTTGCGGCGAAGAGCGCGAAGGCGTGGCTCACAGATAACTCGCATGATTGCGATGAGCAGGCTGCGACTGTGGGGAGCGATGGGAGTGTCGGTGCGAATGTGCCTGCAAGGAGTATGGTGACAGTTGTATTGCAGAGTGCTGACGTTTGATCTTGAAAGGTGATTGCATTGTGTTGGGTATCAGAAAAGAGTCGCCCTATTGACTCCGTTGAATCATATAAAAGTAGTGTACTTATGCGTCCACCGAGCTTCTGAAACCCTGCCGGCCGCGAGAGATAGCATCGCCGAGATCTGCCTCAGCGGCCTTGCTTCGGAAACCAGCAATGAAGCGCTTTTGGCCGTCACTGTTGTTCTTATGTTTGTCCTCTGTAGCAGCATCTTCAGCCTCGCGCAACCGCACGCGCTCTTCGCGCTGCTCTTCCAGTGATGATGCCGCGACTTGCATTTCAGCTAGACGCGCAGCCATGTCCGGTTTGGGTGGAGGTGTTGGCTCTTGTGCTCGCTGTTGATGTATGTTCTCCCTCGGCGGAGGTGGTTCGCGCTGACGGTAGCTGTCTCGTTCGCGGTGTCCGTTCTCTTCAGGCTCCTCGCGAGACGGAGGTGCCCGATCTCGCCTCCGGTAACTGTCCCTTTCCCGTTCGCGGTAGTCATCGCGGTGGCTCTTCCGGTAAGGGGACCTTGAACGTGAGCGCTGACGCCTCTCTCGATCATCATCGCGACGGCGTGGCGACCTTGAACGCGACCGTCGGCGGCTGTCGGCCCGGTCGTCTCGTCGATGTCTGCGGTGTCGCCTCTCACGATCATCGCGGTCGTTAGATGCTGAGCGTGAGCGGTCGCGACGGTGGTGCCGCCGCCTTTCCCGATCTTCGTCAGCTGAGCGCGAGCGATCGCGATCACGATGGCCATTTCTGTGTTTGTGCTTCCTCTCGCGCTCCTTCTCCTTCGCTCGCTTCTCATCATACTGTTTCTGCTTTTGCGCATCCTTCATGGCCTTGAGCTGCATCTCCATCTTTTGTTTCTGAATCATGAGCAGGGGGTCCTGCAGCACCTTCTTCTGTGTGTCGCGCGTAGAGTTCGCATTTCCGTTGCCGACCGCATCGATGCCGACAGCAGCACCCTTCTGCAAGGCTTGCGAGTCGTTGCCCTTAAGTAGACCATCGATACGCCTCTTTCCAAGGAGGTAGCCCTCGCGCTCTTCTGTTACTGCTGCACCATCCCCGCTTGGGCCACTGTAAAGCCAGTCTACGCGCTTTACAGCCACTTTGCCTCCATTTGCTTCCGCAAGGCGCTGCAGTTCTTCAATTTGGCGCTCCTCCTCACGCTCCTTGCGTAGCTTTTCAATGAGCTTGCGCTCCTCCAAAGCGTTCTGCTCTTCCTTCCATACTCGTTCTTGGTTCTTACGTAGGTGCGGATGCCAAGACTTCTTCGTGTTGAGGTCCCCGCCGCCCATCTTAGAGACGTGTAGGTATAGGTAGGTGTGTGGTGTAATGGAAGGGTGCTGGAAGTAGTGGGTTGCGAGTAAAGAAAGTTGGTGGTGAAAGTAGGCAATCCGCCACCAAAGACCCAGCCACTCATGCCAAGCCAGCCCCGCTAAAATTTAGACCTCCGCTGCAGCTCCGCACCAAAAGTTTCACAAGCTTGAATGTACCAAGAACATAGGACGAATACGGTCGAAAGGACAGCCAAAACAGGAGCGCATACCTGTGAAACAATCTAGAAGCGAAATCGCCTTGCAAAAATAATACAATGGCAACGCGAAAGCGCAACGAGTGGCTCGACGCCGAGGAGAGTGAAGAGGAAGAGCGCGACTACGAATCAGAAGACGAAAGCAGATCGCGCATGCTCAAGTCGACAAAGCGAAGGAAGCTTGACCACGACTCCGACTCCGAAGACGCAGCAGACGAGCCCGAAAATGACGACGACGCTGCTCTCAACGATCAGGAACATGAAGATGACGAGGAGCCAGAGGATGATTATGATACATTCGACAACCCCGCCGCCGAACTCGCGCACCTCGAGAAACTCGCAGCAAACCTTCCCAAAGACCTAAAGCTACAGTCCGGCAAGCTCAGCGAACCACTACCTCTACCATCCAAACCCAAAAAAGACAAATCCGGCGTCATCTACCTCTCCCGCATACCCCCCTTCATGAAACCCACCGTCCTCCGCTCCCTTCTCACCCCCTACGGTGACGTCGGTCGCGTCTTCCTCACACCCGAACCCTCTACTTCCCGCACGCAGCGCCTACGCACCGGCGGCACCCGCAGGAAACTCTTCCTCGATGGGTGGGTCGAGTTCCTCTCAAAGAAAGACGCCAAGTTCGTCGCAGAGAACCTCAATGCGCAGACCATGGGGGGCAAAAAGAGAGGACGCTGGCATGACGAAGTCTGGAATGTGAAGTACCTGAGCGGCGTCAAGTGGGCGCATCTGGTGGAGCAGATTCAGAACGAGAATGCGGAGAGGGCGGCGAGGCTGAGGGTGGAGATTGCAAAGGGGAAGAGGGAGAATGAGCGGTTCTTGGAGAATGTAGAGAGGGGAAAGATGCTTGGGGGGATGGAGGCTAAGAGGAAGGCGAAAGGGGAAGAGGAACCTATGTATGATGGGGTGGGATCTGGTAAATTGGAAGAGGCGGATGGACAGCAGGAGGGGAAGAGGAAGAAGGAGAGGAGGAGCAAGTTTCAACAGAGAGAAATGCGGACTAAGGCGGATAAGAAGCCTGAGCCTGGACAGGATGTGCAGAGGGTGCTGGGGTCAATCTTTTGATGAGCAGACATCTGACGTCGCTTATGTTCAAACCAATATACCATCTAAATTCTTGATGCATTCTCTCGCATGCTTTTCAAACTCCCCAGTATCAAGTACAATGACCATGCCAAACCCCCAAACGCCCAATAACCAGGGTATAATGCCACATTCCTTTTCCCCCTCAAATCGCCGTTCCTCGCTCGAAGCTCTCCCGTATCTCGGTCGTGTACCGATTATAGAACCTCGACAGTTTCTCGTTGAACTGCTTGTTCTTCTCGTTGATGTACGTGACATCGCCGCTGTCGTCATTAATCCCTCTAGCCGCCCGGGCCTTCAGTCGTGCTCTCTCGCCCTTCTCAAGGTCTTCCACAAGTTTGTCGACAGCCTCCTTGCTCGGCTTGTGGTCGTGCCCATATAGCTCCTCGACCGGCGTATTCACCCTCCCTTCCGAATCTACTGTGAAGACCTCGCCGCCCTCTTCAACTAGTCTTAACAACCCCATCCTCACCTGCCTCTGGAGCCTCTCACCCTTCTCCCTCGCATAATCCTCCAGATCCTTCTCCCCCATCTGCTTCACCTGCCGCTTATACACCTTATTCGCCTCACCCCGATAATCCGCAAAACTGACATTATCCCTGTTCCGCGACTTCTTCGCTTGCCGCTTGTCCCAGGATTCGCTCTCTTCGACGGTGTAGTCCCAGTTGCGCTTGCGCTCGAAGTCAGGGTCGTCGGCTTTGAGCAGCTTGTATGTGGCTTTTTGGTTCGCAGCTTCCAGTTTGCTGAGTTGGGCGAGACGCGCAGGACGGTCTTCGGCGGCGCGGAGCTCGGCTTCGGTCTGTTTGCGGCCGGACTCTTTCTGGGATTGTAGGGCTTTGAAGCGGGCCATGCGCGCGGCGAGGGCGGCTTTGGGATTGGTTGTGGAGGGTGTCTCGGTGGGCGTGGACGTTGTTGCAACGGCTGTGGCGGACGGGGAGACTGTTTCTGACGTATCTGCCGTAGGACCTTCTGTGCTTGTGGGTTCGGTCATCGTGAGCGTGGGTATGTGTGTATAAAGTTGAAGTGATTGTTCGAGAAAGTTGAAGCTCACATGCCAAGATATAAAGCGCTAGTGTATTTTGGGACTAGTTCTACATGATCGTGCTTCCACGACGACCCTGTCGCTCCTATCCGACCAAATTCGTAGCTTTGCTGTCCTAAAGAAGCACCTGCAATGGCATTGCTCGAGTTCCTGCTTCTGGGAGATTGCTGCGTATATTGTTTACGAGCCTGTTGCGCACTCATCTCTTGACAGTACGCGACAAAATTCTATTTTGAAGCCAAGACGAACACTATCGGATTACGCACCTTCGCTGTTTTGAAATTCCTCTTCTTCCACTGAATCACGAAGCACCCCACGTGTAGGGCATCGCGGCATTTGGTTTTGTCAATCCCGCGAAAGAGGCGTTGACGCCAACATGTGCGCACGCATCAACAGTCCTTCCCTTTCTGTCGACTCTTATCGTACGTCCAATGAATACTCCAAGGCCGGTAGCGTTGATGGTACTGCCCCTGCGTACAGTGTCGATGTCCGACGCTATGCGCATCTTCTCCACAACGTTCCTCTGCGGAATCACCTCCTCCAGTTTCCTGACGATGAGTTCGAACAACTGGAAAACGCACGCACCCTCAAATGGGGCATCGCAATCAGTCCCACGGAAGAAATTTCGTTGGCCTCGATGCGATCGGTGTATAATCCCAAAGACCAGAGTTGACAAATCGGATATCCACACTAGTCTATGCGGCTCTACGGGAGCGGATGTTCATCCCATGCCTCATTCGTGGCGTGACTTGCTCTGCGGTCGTTAGCAGCTCTTAAAGCGGCTTTGGGAGCGGGTGTGGAACGTACGTGAAGGCGCCGGAGTCGCTAGCGTGAGCATGTGCATGGACTCGTAGTGAACGCTAACCTGATGTCCCAGTAGGCTCCACATTCTTCGAGGTTTGAACCGAAGCATCGAAGCATCCTTAGCAAACAGCTCCGAGCTCAACTCAAGTATGACGAAATCTACACTGGGCCCTTCTTGGCCATGACCGTGGGTCACTGTTGAGGCGGGCTTGATCGCGCGAGGTATCCGCAGCATGTTCTCCACATGTGCACCTAGGGTTCCCCAGAAGGGCTGCATGCGTCCGTGTATCTGAAGGTCCCATGATTGAAAATGTTCCATCGCAAATGTTCTATACAATGCTTATGAAGCCTAGGAATAGGAGAGTGGTCGCTTTGGAGCCCAAGTCCACCCAGGCTGGGTGAAAACATACTGCACTCACAACTTTGACATAACGTGCCTCCATCAGAAGTAGTGTCTCAGAGTTAATCTTATTCAGAGGCGTCTGTCACAGCTCCCTTCAGCCGAGAGTTCCCTTTGGCTGGTGGAGTCCCAAACTATGGTTCAGGACGGACGAGAGCCAAAGTTGAACAAGGGTGAAAAGTGGGAATCAACTGAGAGGGCTTAAGAGGGGCGTGGCCCTAACGCAATGCCCCAAATCATTTTCTTCCTATCCGAGATCCTTCAAGATCACAGCCTCTCGACGACTAGCATTTCCTTGCTGATCCTCGCGTGTCCTTTCGACTGTATATACGCTACAAACGCAAATTCGCCTTCAACTACCTGTACAATGAACAACCTCATGTACCAATACGGATATACATCCAACAAGCCCTCCACGGACTTTCTCAACTCCTTCAAGGGCAACTTGAAGATCTTGACAAATGGCATTGTTGTCCATAAACAGAAGGGTATGGCAGCAGTTGCGGAACAGCTGCAGCAAACCGTTTCGAAGGATCGCCTTTACGAATTCATGATCCAAGGTATGTTTTCCCTTCGAATACTTTAATTACATAGCTAACTCATATAAGACTTTGCTGGGGCGCTCTACTGCAACCGCCTTCGCAAATTCCAAGGCCTCTCTCTTCATTATGAGGAGATGGCATGCGAAAACTCGTTGAAGGGTACTCCCTTCACTGGGTACAAGGTCAAACTTGCCGGCACAACTGGTCGAGGTGGTCCTGATATCAGAGCCGCTTATTCTTTCTCGGTATATCAAACCCACTTCATTTGCTCTTCCCAGAGATCTCTCTTTCGTATTGAAGGCTAATCGCTTGCACAGGGGACCTCCCTCAAAGACGCCATGCTGAACATGGCGCACTACTACCAGGACGAGCTTGCAAAATACGACGTCCATGCAATGGAGCCAGGGAACCAAGCGTTCCTTGCAATTCAAACACGCCTGCATGAAAGGATCGTTGTAATTGTTCCAAAGGATCATGTCGGGACGATCAATGCTCCCGTGCAAGTTCCTGTTGTCAATAGCGGGACGATCAATGCTCCCGTGGGAGTTCCCGTTGTCAATGGTCATAGTGAGGGCGCGGATGCAATACCAGTCGTCGAGGCTCCAGTCATAGTAAGTCTCACAGTTACCAGCATCGCAGTGAACATGAACCTCGCTGCTCGAATGTTTATCAGCGAAAGCGTCTCCGATCCAAGTTCAGAATCGCTAGATGATAAACGCATGTAAAGGGCAACCATTGATACCGCATATGATGCTAACGCGCCGAAGGGAGATCATCCGCAAGAGGTGAACGACAATATTCTTTCGCAGGCGGTTCATGAAGAGATGTGGGAGATGTTCTTCAATTTGGAAGATGCGTAAACTTTTGTGTATAGCTTTCTGTCTTGGATCACATCAAAATTATGTCCTGAAGGCGTTCGGTGCATTCTGAGCCTAGCTTTTCGCCTATACTGTTCGTTTGAATCTTTCTGATCCTTTTGCTTGCCGCGTCATCTCTCCTTCAGCCTGAGTATAATAAGGTAATGGCAGGAGTTCTTTACATTATTGCAGTTATGTTCTAATCTACTAGCTGGAAGCTTGACTATCTCTCGTCGGAAATTGTGAGTCGAAGCCTCTTGAAGGGTTCACGGCTGCAATCTACGGCAAGGACAATGTCAGGCCCGGAGATTTCTTTTTCACTCTGTTCACGCATCAGATGTCTAGATAATCCTTTATAGACGATAAGGTTTGATTCTTTGTCCTCTCCTCGGACCTCGCGAACGCCACTGAGTTGACTCAACCCCTCATACCACTTGGGGATGTCTCCTGTGAGGGTGCTAGGCAGCTTTGGGCTCCCAGCCTTCCTTCGCCATGTCAAAACTCTCCATGGTGAAGGCCGGTGCAACAGTACATCCGACAAGCGTCCAATCACCCAAGCTTAGAGCATGCTGCCACTCGTTCCGCTCGACCACAATCTGGGGGCGCTGTCCCTAATCCTTGAGATCAGCACTAATTCCATGTTTAGCAATGAAGATGTAGCTTGACTTACCGCCGCAAGATCTGTCCCTAACACGAGGTTTCTTACAGGCTTGCCATCGTCCCAGGACAATGATAGCTGTAACGGAGCACCGGCGTAGTAGTGCCAGACCTCTACGGCATCGGTGACCCGGTGCCAGTGCGAGAGACCGGATTCGCCTTCAAGCAGATAGTAAATTTGAGTACTGTGCGCGCGCCCGTTGACGTCGGTAGCTGGATCCCGAAACGTTTCGATGAAGTAACCCTTCTCGGGATGAGGCTTCAGGTTCAGTTCGGCGATGATGTCCTTCGCCGTTTTGGTGGATATGCCCGATGTGGAAGCCATTCCGATTGATGGCTTAGGTGAGTTTCTTGTTATCGCTGGATTAACACACAGGAATGAAAGATATTCAAGAGTGATGGAAGGAATGTCGGTGACTGAAAGTACCATAGGTACATCATCACGTCAGCAATTATTGCTGCTAACTCGCTAGCTGCAGCTTACACGTGGAGAACGTGGGGGGCAAGAGCCTAGCTTCTTAGGGCGCAACGGCTTTCTTGCGGTCAATATTCTCTCCGAACACAGTCGACTATACCTTTCTTAACATTATCGAGATGCATGCTCTATTAGCCTATGTGTAGCTATACTTACCCTTGTTGTTGATTATTGTCAGCGCAACCCGCTGTGATCCTCTCAACAACATTGATGACTCCGCGCAGGCAGTGGTAAAGAAGCTCAATCTTCCCACAAACGTCAAATAAGGCTCTTAAGCTCAGGCGCTCGAAGATGACCATCGTATTTCGTGCTTAAACCGATCTGCCAGCACTGCCATCTACTAAGTACTCGAGGGCTCCGCAGGCGACTCACCCTGGCATCGCGTGGACGATGTAGAAATCTAGCATTCCTACATTGGAGTGCCGCTGGTGTTGTCGCTTTCGCATGACGAAGGACAGTCCTAGCGCAAAGTTACGCTCGGTCCGGATGTCTTCGCGAACGAGCAGCCGCAATTAGTCGCCGAAAGGGAGGTATGGATGAGTGCTGGGAGTCTGGGAACGGTACAATTGGTCAGTCCGCACTCTAATGGCTCCATGTAGATGGAGCCATGCTGGCTCAAGCGCAGTGGCTCCTGGATTTAAATATGAGGAGCTCTGGATGGGAGGCAGCCTTCTGGAGGTTACTGAATGTCTCCACTGCATATGGCGAAATTTGCATCATCATCACATCCGAGCATCATATGCAAATAATGGTTCTTCTCACCGATGAACCATTGATTGGCACGCAACTTCCAGTGATGACGGACCTGAAGACCGGCTCGCGTCAGCACTCGTATTAATGACAGAAGTAGATGGCACTCTCTGGCGAATTGAGTAACACTATACAGGTTACTTCCCCAAGACATTGCCCTTCATACATGGTCGACATGTTCGGACAGCAGGGCTTAACCAACCATTGTTCATGACCCTGGCTCACCGTGGGGCTCTTTCAGCCTCAGCTCGTATTGCTGCAATGTCTCCGCGTTCCTACCCTGCATCAACCCGCCACAACGGGCTTATTAACCTGCGCGCATTGAAGCTGAGACGCATACGATTGGCTATTGCGGGTTAATGACTCTGTGGTGAGTGGCATACGCAATAGTGAGCCCGTCCGAATAGGTAGCTCCTAGGAGAAATATATTCGCAGAGGAAGGTGGGAGCAGCGTATGATCACTCATCCGCCCCATCTCGGACAAAGTCCAAGCATAAAAGCGGGCAGATTCCTTTCCCATCCTAGACCATCAATTTCTGCTGCAGCTTCATCCCAAGATGTTTGTTCAAGCCATCACCCTGGCCATCGGTCTACTTCCTTTTACTCTCGCAGCCCGAGAGTTCACTAATCACGGCACAAAAAGCGGCTGGACCACCACCTACATCGACAAGAATACCAATGGCTACGTCGAGGACTCTACCAGCGTCTCCTACGGCGGGTCGCAATCCCTCAAATTCGGACAAGAATACCTCGGTAGCAGCTACACTGGCCGCTATCACGCCGAAGCAATCTACTCCAACGGCTACAAGCGCGACGAGGAGAAGTACTACGGCTTTGCATTCCGGCTGCACTCGACCTGGGAGTTCGACCCCCAGAGCTACAACATCGCCCAGTTCGGCGCTGATTTCAGCGACATCAAATGGAACGGCCAGTCTTGCGATGACTTCAGTCCCACCACGATGGTCTGGCTCAACGGAACAAAGCTCTTCACGCGCACAAAACATGGCCAAATGATCCAGGGCCAGAAGTGTCCTCCCCTAGACAACAAGGGGGACTGTAGCCAGGGCCCCAACTGCCAGGTCATCGAGCCCTTCCAACTCCAGTCTGCAACAAGCAACATCGGAGAGATCAAAGCTGGCGTATGGTACCGACTGGTGTTCCACGTGAAGTGGAAGAGCGACAACACGGGCATCTTTCAGGCGTGGTTGAACGGGACACAAGTTGCTGATAGATCAGGCCTGCAGACTACGCTGTTGGATGACCATAGGGAGTATGAGTTTCGCGTGGGGCTGTATGCAAATAGTTGGTACGATGAGAAGAAGATGATCGGGAATCAGGCGCAGAGACAGTTATGGATCGATGAGATTGGGGTGGGAACCACGTTTGCAGATGCGGATCCCGATGAGATCAAGAAGAGTGCTTAGGTGGAATAAGTAGAGTTTGGATTGTTGTATCAAGGGATGAGTGGCTTTCGAAAAGCGTTATAGGCCCTGAGGATGTATGGAGAATACCAAATCCTATTCACACCATCGCAGCTCTCACCGCATCTTTCCCTTCACATCCTGAGAATGGAGGCAACCTAGGTTTTTTCGGGCTCTGAATGAGACGTACAAGTATAGTCGGCACGCGAGGTAGTGGTTGACCCTCTCAGTGTGTAGCAGTCCCATTGGGTTCGAGAAAGTTGATCGTGCAGCGAATCTGACAGACATCCAGATCTGTTTGGCATCTCCTTGCTTCGGCCCAGCCCGATATTCTGCTCATGACACCACAATTATCAGTAGCAGCAGCCCGGCAGTTCAAAGTCGCCAGATGACATTCCTGTTGGCAACGAGCATACTGTCGAACGTCAGGTGGGGGCGTGTTAGGACCGAAGAGGTTGACTATGATTCCTATGAGGGACGCAATGGCTTTGAAGTCCATGGCGTGAACGTAGTCCATGATCTTGAAGTCTTTGTTGAATCCTGCAGAGCTTGCATGCGTTATCTGGATATTTTGGGATCGTCGACCTGGGTGTTGGTGAAAGGCTTCTGGCAAGTGAAGAATGTGATCTGTAGTATCTCTTCTTCTGACACTAGCTCTCGCCGAGTTTCATGGCCACTAAAGTGGTTGGTTGTGTTCGAGGAACATGCAGCTTGCTTCGAAGTTTGCCAAGTCAATCTTCAAGACATTCTCAATTACTGAGAACATTCAATATTTTCGTGTGCATCTTACCAGGTCCAGTATCGCCAGAACGTTTGACTCGCATCACGGGCAAAATTGCTCTATGGGAAAAATTTGTTTCGGCATCGGCTATTATCAGGACATAGGCAGGTTCAGGGTTGGAAACAATGTATTTGGTATCTCCGACAACTCAACCCACATAGCATTATACCTAGCATTTCCTAAACAGCTTTAATTCGATAGCACCTACCAGCAGCTCGCGCCTCCCCCATCCAGCAGCCGTTTGTTTACACCTCACCTCTCACTTTTCCCCTCTCACCTTTCACCCAACCTCACCCCACCACCCACACCAACCACTCTCTCTATACCCAATAATATATCCACCATTCTACTCTACTATATAAACGCCTTAATTCCAGATATTATCACCTTCGACCGACACATAGAGAGTCTGGCGTAGTTAGGTGTAAACCTTCACTCCGCCTTCACTCGTTGACAGTGCACCGGTTCGAGGCCGAATCAAAACACTTTGAGCCGGGGCCTGCGGGTGAAATGGCTTTTTTGCATTTTTCGTATCGTATTTTGGAGAGCGGGCGCCAATGTGGTGGGTGAGTCGCGCACACACAAGTGTTTTGTTGTTAGGCGTGGCCCACACTTTCACAGAACATAGTCCGCTTCGACGCAAGATTAGCTTTTAAAATTTGTTGGGCTGTCGTCGATGCGCTGGGGATACGCGCATGGCTGGCCTTTGGGGCAATCGCGGAGGGCGGTACTGAAGGGTACTGTCTGTTTTGTGAGTGTTGGCACTGTGGCGGTTGGTATGAGTATGTCGGCATGCGGTCAAGCCCATTACTGAGCATATTATATCGATTGCAAACAGGCAATGTTGAATAGATTCCTACACACCTGCCGATGAGCCATGAACCATTGACCAGGTCGTCTAAGAGCAACCGATAGCGCCATAAGATCCGACGTCTTGATACCCATCATGACTTGAACTCCACGCTATGCAATAAAACCAAAACCCGCCACCGTGATGCTCATAGCTTGACCTTCTTCTTTGGCTTCTCTTCGCCATCCGCACGCGCGCGCTTGAAGATGCTCTGGCTCTTCATCTGCCCGAGGCCAACCTTGTTCGGCGGAGGCACCTTTGCCTTCATTCCAAAGCTGAATTTCACCGGCGCGGCTTCTTTCGGCGCTTCCCCGTCTGCTGCCGCATCTTCTTTCTTCTCCCCAGTAGGTGACTCCGACGATGTCTCTGCCGACGCTCCCTCTGCTGCAGAACCAGATGTCTTCTCCTCTGCAAGCGGAGACGCAGAATCCTTCGGCGCCTGTGCAGCTCGTCTGGCCTCCAGTATCCGTGCCTTCTCCTCGGCCTCCTCCTGCGCTCGCTTCGACATCTTCTTCAGCATTCTATCCTCGCCAGCGCCACTCCTCGCCTCTGCCAGTTCTTGTTCCCTGATCTCCTCTTTTCTCTTTATCGCCGCAACACTGGTGTCCCTCCACGCGATCATCAATCCATCTTTTTCATCCTCCTTGACATTCACGATACCTTCGCGACCGAGGTGTTTAACGAACTCCGTCAGGGACGGAAAGCGAGTCGAATTCATGTGGATGTGCTCCTTATCACGGATATATTCGTTGTAGAAGCGATTCGCGCCAATGAATTTCTCGCCATGCGCCGTTCTTAATAGGGAGACGAAATCGCGTTGGAAGTCGTTGCTGTAGTTCTGGATGTATTTCTGCGGGTTCTCGCCGACGACATGCATCTGCCTGACATGACTCTCGCTCTGTACGCTGTCGTGGGAATGGTTAGTTGTATGTTGACAAGAAAGATATCGTAAACTTAACTGGCACTTGAAGCCGTTCGCATCGCGGCATTGTTTCTGGCAGGGTTCACTGGAACAAAGTCAGGACTAATCTCACAAATGAGGGAGATAGGTAATACTTACCACCACCATCGCAGCCGCTGAAGTCCTTTCGACTTCATGCTGTTGGCGAGGTGCTTAGTACTTCCTATTTCGGCTTTCGGCATCGTGGCGGTTGCGCGTGTGCGGCTTTGGGTGAGATTGTGGGTGTTGTGGTTGTGAGGAAGTTGAGTTGAGGACGAAGTGTGGAGTAAAGTTCGTAGGGCTGAAGGCGCCACTTCCGAGGTGACTAATCCACATTCAAGCAAAGCGCTAAGCTGCCGCCACGCACGTAAGACGTCTGGACCCACTGGTGCACCTGGGCACCTGCATGGTTCCTGGCACGTGTCTGCCTACTTTCACCGTGCGGATTCAGAACATAGATGCTTGAGAAGAGATTGATCCTAATCTGCATACAGAGGTTGTACTGTCTCTATCCTACTCGCTACTCATCCTCCGGCAGTCCCACAAACTTATTGCTCATGGTCCAAAGCTTCTTGGCTGCTTCCTCATCGTAAGCCCACTCCGCATACCCAGATGTAAACACATCAGCACCCTCCGGGGCAGGCGGCGCAATCTGGCAGTTATCCAGATACTTCCCACCCTTGCCCTCCCAGCACTTGGCAACGGCCGCCCATACGGTTGTCGCCGCACCCTGCGCCGTGTTCTTCATGTAAGTATTGACCGCGGGGTTCGCCTTCCAAGCGGAGACGTCCATGTGGTCTTGCAAGCCAGTCCAGATGCCGCCGGGATGCAAACTGTTCGCATGCAAACCCTGCGATCCGTAGCGCCGCTCGATCTCGTTGGCGAGGTAGATATTACCGAGCTTGGAGTGCGCGTATGCGCGATTAGGCTCATACGCGCCGTTTTCGAGCATGACGTTGTCGAGATCGATGTTGTTATAGCGGTGGCCTAGCGAGGAAACTGAGACCACCCGGGATTGGAAGTCTGGCGTTGCTGAGGCGAGGAGTGCAGGTTTGAGTAGCTGGAATAGGAGAAAGTGGGCGAGGTGGTTGGTGCCAAACTGTTTCTCGAACCCGTCTTCGGTCTTATCTTCAGGGATGGCCATAATGCCGGCATTGTTGATGAGAATGTTGAGCTGGTTGTTTGTCTTCGCGAGGAACGATTTGGCAAAGTTGCGCACGGAGGTGAGAGAGTTCAGGTCCAGGAGTTCGAGATCGAGCTTTCCGGGCTCGAGGACTTTACGGGTAAGGAGACGTCGTAAATGGATTGCGTTTTTGGGCACACTCACTGTCAGCTAACGCCTTCTTCCCCTTGCCGAGATCACGGACGGTCGCAAACACGTGGGCGCCTGTTGCTTTCATGGCACGAGCAGTCTCAATGCCGATGCCCGATGAGCAGCCAGTAATCAAGACTACATGTGATTACATGTCAGTACGTTCTTGGAAGATGTTTTCCTGGATGAAGCTCACCAACTTTCCCTGAAAGTTTGCCTGGCATAAGTTAGACGCTGTCTGATTGAATCGATGCTGGGCGCATACCTTCAAGATCATTGTCCTTGACAATCTGCAATGCGGTTGGCCGGGCGTCGCCACCTCCTTGAGGGTTCTCGTGAACAGCAGCATAGCGCTTGAACTCAGGGGTGTTGTAGTCAGCCATAGTGTGATGTGAGTAGGAAGAATTGATCGGATTGGATAGTTGGTTCAGGATGTTGTAATTTTAAAGACAAGCAATCTGGTGGAATTTGAAGTGGCTTTATAGCATTGCCTTGGAGAAAGGTATATAGTCCTGATACCATAGAAGTCCATTGTGGTGGTGACTGCTTTGTTTTGGGTCTCTCGGGGTTAAGCCACTGGGCTGGTATGCAAAAAGCCAGGCGGTGGAGTTTAGGTGCGCCGCGAGGTTGCACAGGTGTACGAGACTCAACCCGTACACACTTAGTATAATCTTGTTGTTGCTATCGCAGAGTATCGAGACACTGGTAGCTTGAACAGCATCTAGCATAGGACTTGCGAAATAGTCATGGTTCGAATCCTTTGAGATGCACGTGAGATCACTGACCGTAGACGTAACAGCAGCCGAAGCATGCGACGTCATCGACCATTGTGCACACTGACATGGGGACTCTCTAGGAGCTCTCCGAGTGATGCATCGAAGTGCAAATGCCGAAGGATTTCGTCCTCGGTTCTACCCAGCAACGCTCGACGCAGCGTGGTGGGGAAGTGGCCCGAGCTTTGGCACATGTGGCCCAAGCGCTGTTACTCCAAAATTTCTGGCGATAGTTGCACTTTTCTGCTTAACACCGAACTTTTTTCGTCCGCCACGAACACGATCGCAGATCACGCACGAAGGACGCACGACGCGGCAAGTACTCGCCAAGCAACACCGCATACTGTACCTGTACGATAATTGGACATTGTTGCGCACCGCGCGCCTTCGCCGACGATGCCGTCTACGCACAACACAGACAAGCCATGGGACACGGACGAGATCGATAAGTGGAAGATCGAGCCGTTCAAGCCAGAGGACAACGCGGGAGGAACCTTCACTGAAGAATCTAAGTTCTCGACGTTGTTCCCCAAATATCGGGAACAGTACCTCCGTTCCTCATGGAAGGTGATCACGGCAGCGCTGGCGAAACATGGCATCGCCTGCGAGCTCGATCTGACTGAAGGATCTATGTCAGTGGCTACAACTCTTAAGACGTACGACCCAGCTGCAATCTTGAATGCCAGAGATCTCCTCAAGCTGTTGGCCAGATCCGTCCCAGCACCCCAAGCTCTCAAGATCCTCGAGGACGACGTCGCTTGCGACATCATCAAGATAAGGAATCTCGTGACAAACAAGGACCGCTTTGTAAGTATCTCTCGATGGATATAACTAGTCATAGCTGCTATACCTGCCCCCACTTCTGACTTGCACTGACTTGCACTAGGTCAAACGGCGACAGCGGATCCTTGGACCCAATGGCTCAACAGTGAGTGCTTCACCTCGCTCCTCTCCCAGCAAAGCTAAAACTTCGCAGCTAAAAGCCTTGGAACTTTTGACCGAAACTTTCATACTTGTTCAAGGCAACACTGTCGCGTGCATGGGCGGATACAAAGGACTGAAAACGGTCAGGCGGATAATTGAAGATACAATGGCTAATGTACACCCAATATACTCAATCAAGGAGTTGATGATCAAAAAGGAGGTACGTTACATCATCACCATTTTAAGGGGGAGTTCTTGACTGATCTTCGTAGCTGGAAAAAGATCCGAACCTCCAAGGGGAATCTTGGGACCGCTTCCTGCCCAATTTCAAGAAACGAACTACGGCGAAGCGGAGAGTGCCTCACAAGGTCACCGACAAGGCGAAGAAGGTTTACACGCCGTTCCCACCCGCACAGGAGAAGAGCAAGGTCGACCTGCAGATCGAGAGCGGAGAGTACTTCTTGGGCAAGCAAGCGAAGGAACGCAAAGCGAAGGAAGACCGAGAGGCCAAGATGAAGGAGAAGATGGACGAGAAGCGAAAAGAGCGGCTCAGCGAGTATGTTGCCCCGGCGGAAGATGGCGGCGAGAAGAAGAAAAAGAAGCGGAAGCGGGAAGAAGGCGAGGAGAAAGAAAAGAAAAAGAAGCGCAAGGATGTCGAAGTCAATGGCGATGCAGCTTAGAGCAGCCAGGTTGCGGGCGGCAGTCTATGATGCATTTAAGGGCGTTTACTCTAGGTGCATATTTCCAATATACCCATTTCACGCTTCATATGTTGCTCTTGCATTGACTTTCGTGACTTCAGATCGGCCCTGTATCTACCTGTAGTACAGCCTTGGTGAGTAAGCGATCTAAATATGGCATAGCGAATTTGCCGCTTTCTGACATGTACTGTTTCAGCCGAGCGAACTGCAGCGGCATCAAGGGTATCCTCTCAATCGCGAAAATGCTTTCGGACACATCCACAGGGCATCAATACGTCTATTCCTTGACATGATGTTGCTTCCACTGTCTTTACTTATATTTAATGTTGTCTCCGTACGCGCAAATACTCTCGCCCTCTATCAGCAATGCTGGCGCGAGCATCCACTGTCAGCTGTCGACCTGCAATGTTCAAGCGATGGAGACCTTGAATACGTCCAGTGGCCGGATGTTCCTCTCTCCAGTCACTTCAACAACAAATTTGTTCATACAACTTATGGACCGTGGTCTCTGCCGCCTGTATGCACAGATGTCCTACCAAGCGTTGGCAGCAAACTCTGTGTGTACACGGATACGTCCTTCAGCGACGGACGAGGAATCTCGCTCTTCACCACTCCAGAGCTTGCCGAACATGCCCTTGCCTTACCACCGTTCCAGAACCCAGACGCATTGAAAGGCATCAACAAAGCCAGCGGCACCTGGTACACGCAAGAAATCCCCGGCAAAGGCATGGGCATGCTCGCAAAACGAGACCTTCAATCCAAGGATAGGATAACTGCACACACGCCTGCACTACTCGCATACCTGGAGTCTGATCTATCTACTACGGAAAGAGAGAAGTTCTTCAAGCTCGCAGTGTCACAGCTACCAGAGGAAACGAGGGAGATGTACCTGGGTCTTGCAACCGTGTACGGCCTGCCACAGGTCAAGTATCAAGACGTCGTTAAGGCAAACACGTTCCAGCTAGATATCGATGGACACAACCATCTCGCTGTATTCCCGGAGACTTCGCGAATGAACCATGCGTGTGCGCCGAAGTGAGTGCTCCTGGTAATCATCCCTGAGCGAGAGCTGACTTCTGGAGTGCGCAATACTACCTCGATCCGACGCTATTGACGCACTTTGTGCACGTAACGAGGCCTGTGAAAGAAGGTGAAGAGATCACTATCTCATGTATGCGAACCATTTCCTTTGGGTGTATGCGATTGACCTGCCCTAGACACCTCACCTCTCGACCCCACGCACATTCGCCAACAGCGACTCTCGCAAGGCTTCCACTTCACTTGCACTTGCACCCGTTGTATCGATCATGAGAGAACAGACACCGTGCTCCAACATATCCAAGCGATGCAGAACTCCCTCAACGACTGGTCTCCTTCCTCAACTGGTAGCCCAGACGTAGCCGAAGAACTTCTCGATGCATATCGACAGGAGGGGCTTGAGGGCTTTATGGACATTCCTTATGGGTTTGCTGCGCTCGCGTATAATGCCGCTAACGATGAGGGGATGGCGGCAGAGTATGCGGAGAGGGCGGAGGAGTTGATTTTGCTGAAGGATGGGGCATGGGCACCGAACTTGAGGATTTGGCAAGAGCTGTTGAGGGATCCGAGGGGGCATTGGAGTTATGGTAGGAGAATGGGGTGAGATGGAGAAGGGGGGAGCTTTCAAAAGATCTTTGCTCCCTGTGGCGATGGTTTACGATCGCCGGATGCATATTGCGACAGTGGTTGCTTTGATTGAATGACACTACAGCCACGCTCGTTCATGCCCGAGCACTTTTACATACAGTCCTCCTCTTGGGAAGACCCTTTTGGCTAGGCAGCATGGGCCCGCTCGATCAATCGATCAAAGACACCGCATGGGTGTTTCACTTAACCTCGCTCGTTGCGCGCAAATTGACCGCCGCCCCCTCTACATAAATCCATTCCCGCACGCGCCCGCGCACCAGTCTTCAATCCTCCAGCGTATCATCAAACAACGCTTCAATATCCTGCTTCAGTCCCTGCACCCTTGTCCCGAACCCAAGAAGTAAACTTCCTATTTCTAGCTACGTTCATCCACCAACAATGTCTCAACCCATTCGTCTCACTAAGATCGCCGAGACAAAGTCACAAAAAGGCCGCGCAACCTTCGCTTCGACCACCATACCCGCCGGCAGCCTCATCTTCTCCGAGGAGCCCATCCTCACCATGGATGCCACCTCAGAAACCCCCCACATCGACCTCCTTGCCTCCTTCGCCGACCTCCCCCAAGACCTCCAAGACCTCATGCTCGACCTCACCGCCGTCGACCCCACCCCCTTCCGCCACCTCATCTGGAAAGAATTCGACGTCCGCACCAACGGCGGCTGGTGGGACATCGCCCAGAAATACGGCGAACACACCAAGCGCGTCCTCACTGCCTTCAACACCAACGCCGTTGCGCAGCACCTCGGTGTTCAGACCGCGATGCTGAATCATTCCTGTCTGCCGAACGCGTATGCGGCTTTCGACGAGGCGAGGGGAGAGTTGACTGTGCACGCGATGAAGGAGATCAACGAGGGAGAGGAGATTTGCCTTTCGCACCTTGAGGGCGGGGCACTCTTCGCGCCGATGAAAGAGCGCAGGGGGGTGCTTGTACTTCAGCGGGGGTTCATGTGCTTGTGTGATGCGTGCATGGAGGTTGAGGAGTGTGAGGGTAGAGAGCAGGAGTGTCTCCGGGAGAAATTGCGGGATGATCTGCGTAACTTGATTGACAAGTATCAGCGCAACGAGGCTACGTTGATGATGAACTTCGGGAAGCGCGGTCACGGCGGGCTCGACCCCGACTTTGTGACTTTTTTGGGGGAGGTTGCTGCGGGTGTTGTGGAGTTGATGGAGAAGTTGGGGCTTGCGACAATTGATAACTTGGAGTGGTAAGTCGTCGCGGATCTGAGGCGTGGTTCAATGCTGACTTTGTATCAAGGTATCAATATGTCTTCCACTGGAGCCGGGCGGTTAACGATGACGAGATGGCTAGGGAGTATCAAGACAAGATGCTGAGAGTCGTCTGCATGTGTGCAGGAGAAGATTCCCAGAGGTACCACGATATGCAGCAGGATGCGAGCGGCGCGAAGTCGGCTGCTTGGAACAAGATTGCTGAAGTGCGTCCGGAACACTCTCGTGGTGGTCGACACAGCATCATGAAGACCGCGAAGCTGGGCCTTGCGGAAGAGGACGAGGTGGAATAAGATGGGGAAGATATACAGTCTAGCGACGAAGAGGACAACACCGACGATGGCGATTACGAGGATGAGGATGAGGAGATGTTGTGAAACGCGAATAAGAGATGGGTTGATCCTGGAGGCGAGGAATGGTAGTGACAGGTCCGACATTAGGATCCACACTCTTGATCGGACTCTCTGCATGACGAAACTCTGCATAAAAAAGGATTCCTCGTCTCTCGAACTCCAAGGTGATGGTCTGGTGGTACATGCGAGGTGTATAGCATTCGGTTCTGGGGTATCGTGTGTCGAACGAGTTCTGCTAGGAGACATGCAATTAGATTCTCAAGGTATTGATTGGGGTATTGGCGTCAATAGTTTCATCTGTAAAGATGTATATGTATGATGGTAGTAAAGGGCAATTTGTCGTAACTTGAAACCACTCTAATTTATTTTCGTTGGCGCTGATCCTCTCGATGGTACCAGGCGGTCTATGGCTGAATTCGTTGGACCGTCGAAGAACATTATTTCACGAATAAGTATCTGTCAATCCCGTCGGGAGGTTTTGTTGGTCGTAGAAGGAACGATCACAATCACATCGCCCTGTTCCACAGATGACGGTATGTATTACAGGATGTCCACGAGTGTCATTCCTAGATAGGTGATGCCCCACTTTTCGCCGGCGCTAATCTTGTTGGGAGCACTACAAGGCTGCAACCGCTTCAGTGCGAGGCTGCCTTCATCACTGCCCAGGCACGAAATAGCTTGCAGCCACGTATGTAAGACCTCTCATCAATTGAAAGACCATTTACAACTCGGTCATTAACAACAAAACCATTAAACCTAGAAACATCTGGAGAGTCGACAAGGCCGATACTGCATCGTAACCTCAGGTCACGGTGCTGTGTACTGGAGAGTCCCGATCCCAAAGCTCCGCTCAGAAGGTGGCATTCGCTGTCGGATATGTTCAACTCCCGTAAGCGACGGACTTCGGAGCAGCTCGTGTGAGTTCTTCTTCTTCTTCTTCTTCTTCGAGGCGACTTAAATAAAAGTACGCATGACGTGTTTCTTTAGGCAGAGTATGCATGCATACGCATCACAATTAGCTAATATGTGCGCCAGACACCGCTACATGAAGAAGCATAGGACACAATCAGACATTCATTGTAATCAAGGAACGAACTCTCGGACTACACTACTCAGCATACCTCGTGAACTGCGCGATGAGATAATCACGCTGATCTTAACAAGCCGTCGCCCTAGCTTGCAGACAGCTGCCGAGTTTGAGACGCAGAACAGAATGCCTTTGGGCTCGGACACTTCGGGTTTCAGCGATGACAGCGGCCTTTACCTGGAGGAGCGGAGCGCATACACTTCAAATGCGGGAGGTCTGCTCCTCGCAAGCAAACAACTACGGTCCGAGACGCAGGATGCCCTTGAACGTCTCGATCTCGCCCATGAACTCGAGGTCAAATTGGTCAATGAGCGCTTCCTCGCTCCCACATGGTCTCTCATACCCACACAGACGCGACACTTCAAACGTGTTCGCGCTGTCGTCCAGAGCATAGGAGCCTGGCAAAAACCCGCATCACCCAGTAAGTTCAAAATGCGCGATCCCTGGGCTTCTGGATGTGGCGGACCACTAGCCTACGTTTGGCAATTTTACAGCACCCTTCGACACTTCCTGACGTATGGGGTCGATGTCCCTCGCCCGACTGCCATTCCCGATCTCATCTCCGTCGACAATCTAGAGCTTGACTTCATCGATCCTGAAGACACCGATTTACTTCCTCCAGAAGGAAACCAAAACATACGGCTGGCACGTTGCAGGCCTTCAGGCCCAGGATTCCCTCGGGAGCCACAGCTCCTCCGCCCAGAATGGCTGGCCTGGGATCTCGCAGGCGAGATGGGAACTATGTTTCGCATGAGTTCTGGGCGGGCCCCATATGCACACATGCTCCACGGGCGTATCGGGCATATGGTTTTTAAGGTTAATGGGACTATCATTGCTGAAATTGATGTGGGACAGGTGCTTGCGGATGTGAAGTTCAGTGGCAGCTTTGGCAGTGGGAGCAGTGATGACCTTGCGGAGAAGTGGACGAACTGGAAGGAGGAGGCTCAAGAGCTGAGGAAGAAACGGGGACTGAAGACGGTGGAGTTTGGGGATGGCTGGCAAGCGGAGGCTAGGAAGTGGGCAGCACAGCATTATGCGAGGTATCCATACTCGTGATGAGAAGGTATGATGTATCATTGGAGGCTCGTTGTTATTCCAATTTGTTTTGAGTCCACCGTCGCTACACTACTATTGTACATCATGGTATTATGATTGTATGGTTATGAATCAGCCGTGCCTTTCGCACACTGGCCGTCTCGTTCCTTCCGTTAATCCTCCTCTTCATCTTCCTCTTCATCTTCCTCTTCATCCTTCTCCTTACCATAGAACGGCTTACCGATCTTCAAATTTCCTGCGCCACCAAGAGTCAGTATCTCCCCTCCAAAATCGATACGATATGGGGCCTTGACTTACTCGTCGACTTCGCAAGATCATGACGAACTTTCCGCAAAAGATCGTCCAATGCCTCCCAAGTTGTGCTGTGCACTGCAGTGCTCTCGTCAAGCAGCATCCATGGACTGGGAACAGGATCTGAAAATCCGATACATATAGCTTTGTACATGGTCCTAGTGGTGTCGGATGCGGTGTCACTGCCGTTGACGGGGATGATGACAACATCGCACTCGTAGCGGCGTGTACCATAGAGGGCGCGCGCAGCGTTGATGACACCCACTTCGAGTCCGCGCTCGAGCTGCATCTCAGCTATACGCGATTTGGTTTCGGTAGTGTCGGACATTGTGATGAGGTTAGATGGGCCGTGGTATGATTGAGTGAACTTGTGTGTATGGTAAAGCCAAGAGTTGGAAATATAATGAAGTGGTAATTGAGCGAGGAAGAACATGCAGGAGAAGTCCTTTATATATCCACCTAAACCAGCGCGGTGACTGGTTCACTGACGCGTATGGTGAAGGTGACTCGCTCGCGCGTGTTTGGGCAACATGAGGTCTTGACATGACTTACAGATTTTCGACACAGATAGAGTGGATGAATGTAGAGCTATATTGGATATGTGTAAGGTTACTCAAATACTTTGACGGATCTCGAGCCCTCATATGGCCGCTGCACTGTTCGTTGCAGTCATCATCTACTACATCTTTGCTGAGGAGTCATATTTCGCGACCCAACGATGACGTTGAACATGCTTAACAGTGTATAGGAGTCACCTTGAATGAGTCGCAAGATGCCCTGAGCATTTGCGCAGTCATTAAATAACGGAACTGGTAAAATTTAGGTGATGATGCGCGAGTATACACTATGCTAGAGATGCTAGAAAGCTAGTACGCTTAAGGCATAGCGTCAATCTTGGTAGGAAAAGCGACCCTCACGGAACAATCGCGTACACCACCACCCACAACCGAAACAGCTCGATCGCTAGCCACGAAACCTCGCCTGATCTTGCAGTTCCTGAGGCATCGCGTGGTGTTGTTTCAAAAGTCCAAGGCAGCCGCCTGTCAGCCCAGACAAGCCAAGCTCCTGGCACGAGACGTTTCGCATCCACGTCCCGCGTTTGAGGCTAGCGACGTGAACGTCGCTCTTCAAGATGCCACCGCCTTCGTACCGCAGTCTTCCTTCCCTATCCATTCTTTGCCTTGCGAGGCTCCCTTTTTGATTCCATTTCTATTCCGCTGCACCTGGTGTGCTTTTGTCTGTATTCTTTCATTTATCGCACTTTCATAATGTCGCAAGCGTACCGAGCAGTGCCTGTAGAGGAGCAATCACAGTCGAGTGGCGACGATGCGAGCGTGAACGAGAAATTCGAATGGAGCGCAGAAAAGAAGACGCTTTCGCAACGGATACGGAATGCTTCGACTTCCCATCTAGCATGGATAGTACAGGCTGTTATGCTCTCGGCATCGATAACGTTCTTCGCCCTTGGAGTTTGCATGCGAACCACGAAGCAAGCGGATGCTATACCTACAACATTTTGTAAGAAGCCTTGTCAGGAAGAAAGATTTCAGTCTAATGGCAAGTGCAGCGCCGGTCAACGAGGCCGTCGAATATCGTATACAGCATTTCGACCTGAAACCAATTCCTGATGGTCCATTTGTTGGCAAAGGTCCTCAAGTAGACGCGATGTGGGAATGGGCAACAGACGGCGGTACGGTGCCTCCTCAATACAGCATTCCATAAAGAGATAAGCTGACCAATACCAGTCCCGGACACCATGGTCACTCGTGAAGAAATGATCAAGATGAACATGGACCCTGAAGGCGCGCTCATGGTAACTGACCCCGCGACCGGCAAACGTGGCTATCGTGTCGCTATCGAAGTCTTCCACCAGTTGCACTGCCTCAACCTGCTCCGACAAGCCAATTGGAAGTCCCACTATTCGAAGCTAGGCGGTGATACATCTGCGGAGCCTGAGGACTTGCACGGCCATCTCGACCACTGCATTGATGCGCTGAGACAGTTCGTCATGTGCCAGTCAGATGTTAACGTGTTCCCCTTCCGGTTTCCGTTCAACGACGGCGACCCATGGCCGGACTACAGCTCGCCTAGGATGTGCCGCAACTATGAGAAGGTACGGGAGTGGGCCGTTGAACATGGCGTTGCACAGGGTGTGGATGAGCCGGAGCACTAGAAAAATCAGAATCGTCGATCCTCTCATTGTATATACAAACAAGATCAGACAAAATACTAGAAGTCATGGTGTCTCAGAGCTTGAGCTGCTTAGAGAACTTTGATGTTAGGAAATATTGTTAACACCATGTACCTCGCACCATGTATCAACACTTTTCCCATGCAATCTCATTCACCAAAGGCTGTCATAGAATGCATGATGGCTCTCATCCTGGTTATTTGGGTATACGAAACTAGTTCACGGTAAGTAGCCAGCACGTGAACGCGCGTTTTCTAGTGGACGCGCCGAACATTGAACCCTGCAGATACGAGCAGCTCCGACCTCACGTCAACTCTACATTCGCACCCGCGAGCCATCCCACCATGAGCAAAGCAACGATTGAGCAAGCCCTCACGGGCCTCATTCCCACTCTGTCTGGTACAATTCCTCCAGAGCTCGTTGATCTCGCATTGTCTTTGCTTGCGCGATCTCGCAGCGTCGCACATTCCCTGAAGCCGGACGAAGAGATCGCAAGACCATATGCATGTGCGCAATTAGCGTGTGAAAGGTGCGCATGCTTCCTAAAGGCACTTGAGGGCATGTCCTGACTTTTTACAGGCTGAAGAAGCGCCTCAATCTCCCCGCTATCGCACCCCGACCGCCATGTCCACCGCGCATTTACAAGAAGCTATACAACTACCTCGAGAGCGCTCTCCCCGCGCCAGCAGCGACTATAAGAGAACCTCAGACACCTCGCAAACCCACTTCAAGCGCCCCGCCATCCGCGCGAGGCACCCCGAAAACACCTAAGACACCATTGAGCGCCAAGCCGACCCCGAAGAGCACGCGCAGAGACGGGGGTAAACACGAAGAGCTTCCAGAATGGGTTGCGCCAACTATTCGCGCGCTTCTCAGGGTATTCCAATATCCCAATGCCGCAGGACACATATACACGGGCGTGGAGATCATCCTCCCACTGCTCGCACGAATGTCTGCGGCGGCGGCCGAAACGCCCAGCAAGCGGCCGAGACGAGCTGCAGCAATATCGCAACCATCGATATCTGAAATATCGGAAAGTCGCATACTTGGGCTCATCGCGGTAGTCTCGTTTTACGTTCTCAATCGGATGCTGGACCAAGATATCACACCTGAGCAGTTCACTGAATGGCGCGACAAGGCCGTCGCAACACTCCTCAAACCGCCGCCAGCCAAGGACGTGTCTAAAGCTGACCTAGAAGCCGAAGTCGAAACGCTGATGCCCATGGCGCAGGAAGAAGGCTGGGTGAGGATGGAGTGGTTCCTAAATGTTCTTCCACCTAGTGCCGAAGAAATGGAAGGTGTGGAGGTGACGAATGGAGCACCCCCAGTGATTGCCAATCGAAGTCGCAGCTTGCGCGACGGGGGGAGCAGTTACATAGGGCTGGGAACCATGATGCAGGACGCCACTGATTATCTGGGTGAGCGCCAACGCGAGGATTATGCAAGGTGGAAGGCGGGTATCATGGCGCGTGTGGAGGCTGTCGAGGCATCATCTAGCAACTCGGGTATTCAGCTTGCACATTAACGGCCTTTAGCTTGAATGTAATTCTCACAACTATGAAAGTTTTGCATGCAAGTCGATGCACTTCGTTGGTCAAAAGATGTTAATCACGGTTATCTTTGTCAGTTGACGCAGTATGTCTTGGATTCAATGAATCTGTTTTGGATTACAGATTACAGCAGAGAGTAACTTCTAGCGTTTATTCGATGCACTCTATGCCGAGCGAAATGTCCATGAGTTTCGTCTAAACGATCAAGAGACGATCAGTTCATTCTGCCATAAACGCCAGATCCTCGAGAGATGCCTTGACAGTCACTTCAACTCACCACCGTTCACGACACCGTTGACCTGCGAAGCGGCCGGAGAACCCTGCTGTGCCTCAGCACCGCCAGTGAACTCCTCACGCACGGCCAAGTCATCTGTTCACACATCAGTACATCTCATCCAACTCATATCAAGTAGCCCTCAAGCTGATCGGTGGCAACACCTAGATCAGCCTGGCCCGCTGCTAGCAGATCCTCCAGGGCCAGATACACGCGCGGATGGTTGTCCACGGACTGGACCAGCATCTGCCAGCTGCTGCCCACGTAATCCCTGTAGCCGATGAACTTGGCTTGGTAGGACGTGGTAACGCCATCGGGGGCGAGCTTCGCGCAGGTAATGATAGAGAATTTGACAGCAGCGTCGGGGCGACGGAGGCGCGGATGACCCCAGAGGGCGACTATGTTCTCTGGAGTTCAGTTAGAGGACGAATTGAGGTGGGATGCGGAGGGACGTACTGCCGATGGCGGTCTACAGCACGGTCTTGAGCTCGAGCTCGCGCATTCGGTCGGGGATGTTATCGGCGGGATTGGTGACAAAGCTCATAGCGGTGGCTTGAGCTGTTTTGGTAGGTTATATAATTCGAGGGAGGGTGGAGAGATACTGAATGCGGCGGCAAATGACGGGACGAAGGTCAAGTTCAAGGTTATCTTCATCTATTGGTTGGGTCCAGATTTGCGTTAAGAAATTAACCACTTCTTCTTTCGACGCATAGACGGAAGTGCTGAAGTGGTAAGCGTTAGGGCTACTGCTGCTAGTTAGAAGATAGGAGTGCTCTTCCAGTCTAAGATGGATAGACTAGACATGGGACAAGTACTTCTCTGCATGAGGTCTAGTAAATGTGTCGATAAGTCCTTCCGTAACAAGACTCCGCCTGTCGAAGCTACAAAGTAAATTGGCTTTATAGTCCAGAGACGTGAAGCAGATTCGAACCGTGGCCGGTTTGCGATGTCTTTGCATTGGTACCGTCCACGACTGCCAGAATCTATGTTCCAGCGTGTATTCTACCCGATCTATACCGAGCGCCATTTTCATAATCGTCGTCTAGTTGCTGAAGAGATGATCCATGTCCAGTGTTCTACACGCTCGCCGCTTCGTACGTGTATCAAATGGACCCAAACTCACCACGGTTGACGACGCTATTGGCCTGCGCAGAAGAATAAGGATCGTCCAGCACCGCAGGACGATACTCTTCAGTGACTTCCACACCATCTACTCATGAATCAGTATCCCTTCAACTAAACTTATCAAGTGTCTCACTCACCAGTCGCAGCGGCCAAGTCAGCTTGGCTCGAAGCCAGTAGGTCCTCCAGCGCCTGATCCACACGTTCGTGGTCATCCGCCGAATGGATGAGCGACTGCCAGATGCCGCCGACGCGATCCTTGTACGCGATCGCTTTGGCCTGGTAGACCGTGTTGCCCTCGGGGGAGAGCTTCGAGCAGATGATCACGGCAAAGCTCTCATAGCTCGCCATGACGGGAGAGGCGGAGGTCGTGAGGCAGAGGCGTGGGCCCCAAAGGGCTTCTACGGTCTCTGAAGCTTGGTTAGCGAGGTAGGGTTGAAGCGGGCAGGATGTATGTACCGATGATGTGCGCCTTGAGCGCATTCTCGAGCTCGAGCTCGCGAATACGGGCATTGATGTGGGCAACTTGCTCCACGGTACTCATCTTGTTCGATCGAGAGTTGTTCTAGTAGGGTAGAAAAAGGTATTTAGAGGGATTGTGGAGAAGTCCTGAATGTGGTGGGGGGATCTATATAGTCGGGTATCGTGCAGTTTTTCAACCAGTGGCCGATTCGGAAGGAACACATCGAGTCGAGTTTGGAAACACCCACACTGCCGGATTTTAACACTCACAGCGTGACCATGAGCGTAGTGATGGTGTCTGCAAAAAGTCACAGCGAAAATTTCTCTCGTTCTCCTTGCCGAGAGACGTGGTAGCTATCGAACCAACTCAACCACGGAAAGAGACCGCATCCAGAGAATCACCTTCTGGTGTGTTTGCGCGTTATGGACTGAAAGGAAGGTGTGTATACATCTAGGTAGGTGAAGATAGTTGTTCTGACTCTGAATGCAGAAGATAGAAGCGAGCAAGAACCACTTCTTATCAGTCCGGGAATATAGTTTGCTCAGAATCACGCTCAATATCTTCTTCGATTGGTAGCATCAAACTACTAGTCACATGATTTTCAAGGGGCTTACTATATGATTGTATATCCACGGCATTTCATCAAGTGGATCAATGGCAAATTGACTAGGAGCAGTGGTATTGACTGTACCGAGTACAAGGGTGTTGGCCAATCTACCAAAGGGATGACCATTTGGGTAATTATTTTATGGAGTTTTGTGTAAAGAAACAATGCAAAAGTAGACTGGCTCCATGATGGATGATGAACACGGGTGAGCTGATGAGGTGCGGCTAGGCTTGTCGGTATCAGCTTCGGCAGGAAATCCTGGTACGGTATGAAATGTACACCCGGCACAGTGGAGCATGGAATGGCACGCGGCGGTTCTTACAGTATCTTCGATTGATTCGCTAAGTTATCATAGTAAGGAAAGAAAAACCCTACGCTGCGTCGTGTTTCGGCATTGATTTTTCATCCGCTGCAGCCTACACCGGAAGCACAACCCTCATGCCCATGTACTCCCGGGTATGCATCAACTTCCCATCGATAATTGTCTGGTGCACGCCAACGCGGTTATGCTCAGTATCCGTCGGGTCTGTAGCAGTCGAGATCTGTATCTCACGCCATTGTTTGTTCGTGGGAGCAAGCTCGCCACCTGCAGTTCGCTTCTTGAACTCTTTGTAAATGCCTTGTTCCTCGACACAGCCCTCGCGCTGGATGAGAGGAGAGTCTAGTACACCATTAGGATCTTGCTAAGCCAGTGTCATTAAGAGAGCTTACCGTAGGCAGGGGACATGCGCATTTCTCCCAACGAGCTATTGAACAGAACAAGAGAGAGTCTTTCCTGTTGTAGCTGGTCAACAGGGGGCTTGAACACCCTGTGACGCGTAGCTTTGAAGTGTCCGCCAGATACAATCTCAAGCGTGTCGCCGATGTTGATGACTAGTGCCCCAGGCTTGTACGGGACGTAGTACCACTTCTCATCTTGGCCCCAGATCTGCAAGCAGCTGATGGGTACGCTAAACAATAGCGTCGTCAGACCGAAGTCAGTGTGACCATGCATGCGCAGACCTTTGGACGCTTCCTCGGTAGACTTCTGTACAGGTCGGAACAGAGCATGACGGAAGTAACCTTCGCCTGTTGGGCTGCCGTGTGACTGAACATTCTCCCAAAGGTAGTCGTCAGGTAGTTCGAGTACGCGCGAGAAGAGGGTCAGGAGCCGGCGGTTGACAGATTCAGTGAGATATTCGCAAAAGGCGCGGATTTCGTCCATAAAAGGGTGAACGCAGCTGGGACTGCGATCGAGAGATTCCCAATCGGGTTTGTACCAGTTGAACTGCTCGATCCCATCTGCAGGACCTCGGTGACGCTACTGTTGTGAGCATGTTGCCAAAGCGGCGATGTGTAAGACATACCTTGAAACCGTATGGGTGCTTATATCCGGACCAGACACCTGTCTCAGGGTCGAACAGAAGCCGTTCCTTGTCTTCTTCACTGATATTGTGGTAGAGATACTGTGCAATGGCGAACTGCCGGTGTAGCTGCTCAAGCGAGATGCCGTAATTCTCGAGGAAGAGGAAACCTTCATCGCGAATAGCCCTCTTTACCCGCTGTACAAGGCTGTCGACTACAGCGGGATCTTCTGAGTCAAGCAACGAAAGATCGATAGAGCTCAATTCGGCGAAGTTCTCTTTCTGTTGTGTGACGGGTGGTGGAACCCATTCTGGGACAAAGGGCTTGCCTGGGAGGTCGGCAGCCGGTGGATTGAAAGGGGCCGAAGGTGCCATGTTTATAGCGAATGTCTACTTGGAATATGTAGATGATGTTCAACAGCGGATTGAAACTATATGAGGATGTCGTGGCGTGTCTTTATATCGAACGCCGACGGGTTGCGTGCTCTCATTCGAAATCAAGTACACAGATGCCAGAACCCCAGACGAGCTCCGCTCCGCTCCAGTCCAGCGATCGAACCACCGAAGTGCAAATCGCTCGACCCTAAGTTGCATCTCAAACATCCAAGATAAGCGGCATCTCCACACCGCGCAGCTCCGCGCGTACTTGCTCCTCTCCATATTGGCGGAGCAGTCACTCCTCCCGTATCAAGCTGGCAAAGTGGCTGTTATTGTGGTGGCGTATTTCCGTGCAGATGCGGGTGTCGAGGAGGACGCGTCGGCATTTGGGAGGAGCTCCTCTGGCTCCGCTCAACAAGGGTCCCTGGGTCCGTGCACGCCCATCAATAACTCCACACCTCACATGCAATGCCCACTTCGCTGCAATTGTTTCCCTCCGTTTTCGCAACGACTATCTTTTATGAGACTTAAAGTCGCAATCGAGCCGCCTCTCATGTCTTCTCTACTTTCCAAGCCTGCACATACATTCACATTCGACCCTCCATAACAGTCCTTACCATACTTTCCGAGCGGACCTCTCCCAAACCAACATCACCTCAGCAAAAATGTCTCGCCAGCTCATCTCCAGCGAGAAGTTTCCTACCAAGCCCCACAACTGTAAGATTGAATCTATCCATTGCTCCGTACACAGTCTAAGATGTTTTCATAGGTCCTGCAGTAAAGGTTCCCGGCCTCGTCTTCTGCGCCGGCCAAACAGCCACCGGAGAGATCAAGCAAGCGACCGTATGTTTCCCACGGCCTCAGGAACTCTGCCCCGCTGACCAGATCTCCAGAGGAAAGTCCTTCAGAATCTGAAAGAGGTGCTCGAACTCTCCGGCTCCTCATTAGAACAGGTTGTGAAATACAATGTATACCTGGCGGACATGAAGGACTTCGCGGCAATGAACGAAGCGTACATCGAGTTTCTTCCTCAGCCGATGCCTTCGCGGAGTTGTTTGCAGGCGCTCGCGCCCGGAGAAGGAACGGTCATTGAAATAGAGTGCATCGCGCAAGTTTAGGTCCGTCTTTGTGAGTGTGGTATGGGATGGAGTTGCGAATTAGATATATTATCTTGGTAGAAATGGTATCATGATCTTCGACGTTAAAAATACTTACCTGGTGCGTGGTCTTATGTCATGTGTATTGTTTTACAGCGCGCTTCTTAAGATCGTAGCTGAGGGCAAAAACCTCAAATTCGACGAGACTTTCTTATCAAGGTGCGGTCGAATTAGTTATTGGATACTACTACCAGCTCACGACCATTTCTGTATCTCAATGAAGCAGTGACAGCTCGCAACAATATTGTTTCTGAGCCGCAATCAAGCTGTGATACGCAATCGTCCATCCAACCTACGACGTTTTGTGGATTGGTAAATGTGTTAGGCAAGGTACCTAGAAACCTCACTGAGAAGATGCATCACCGATGTAAGACTCGAGGCCCCAGATCAACCCAGCATCTACTTGATGCAATTATTAATGAACGCAACATTTCGTTCCACTGTCTTTCGGAGAAAGTACCAGCCTGGATGACTTCACGGATATATGGCTTGACACTGGTTTGCTAGCGCATCTCATAATGCTATATCAACTTGGGCACCATATTATAAAGACGTAAGATGATGCGCAAGAACAAATTTGAGTACCAATAACTCGACATATGACGAGTGAATGAAGTATCTATGAAAGCATGCCCTGATCTATCAACTCCGCCCATCTATACCCGCGAGCCTATTTATGCCATGCCTACCATAAACCATCATATGCACATAACACGTCGCGAGCCTCCTACGGCGTCTTCGCAGCACCAGACCGTGCAATCTCAAACTCGGAAATATACCAGTTCTGGATAGCTTTCGTGTCACCCGTAATAGCCACGGTGTCATACTTCTGCCTCGCCTCCTTCGCCGCAGTGCCGTTGTTCACCATGCGCGCAAACCACTTGCCATGTTTCCGAGCAGCAGCCTCAATCTTGTCAATCGCAGAGACGAACTCTGGTTCGTCGCCCCGCGCAGGTACATAGCCGAGGAGCGCTTGTGCAAGGTCATTGGGTCCAATGAAGATGACATCCACGCCTGGGACTGCAGCAATGGCATCGACGTTCTCGACGCCTGCGCGCGTCTCGATTTGGATCATGGTTAGGATGGTCTCGTTTGCGGTCTTCATGTACTGTGGTGTTGTGAGGCCGTGTGCGATGGCGGGGAAGGCGGAGCCCTGGCCGCGTACACCGTGGGGAGGGAATTTGGAGGATGCGACTATTTGTGCGGCTTCTTCGGCGGTGTTAATCTGAGGGACTAGGATGCCGTGTGCGCCGGTGTCGAGCGCGCGCTTGATGATGTCGTGTGCGGGGCCTCGAATACGGATTATGGGGGAGACGTCGAGGGCGGCGATGGCGGCAACTGAGTTGTGCATCGAGTCGTCGCCAATGTGTCCATGTTCACAGTCTAGGATGATGCCGTCAAGACCTGTGAGGGCTACGATCTGAGCTTGCCGTACTGATGGGATGGCGACAAAGGTCATCAGTGGGTATTCATTCGCCTTGATCTTGTTGAGCAATCGAAGGCGCGGGTTGTTGACCTTGGTCTCAATTGGTGTTGTGTAGCTCATGTTGAAGGTAGTCGTCAAATGCGCAGCTGTGTATGATGGAAGGCTTGTTTGAGATGGAATCCGTTCTTGGACGATGCTGGACGTTGAGCGAGCAGTGGATGAAGACAGGTTCAAGATGCCACCAAGATAAGGCGAGCCTCATTGTACAAATAGCATAGGTCTGCCATCTCGCATGCGGAGCACCTACATGATGCTCCTGAATTCGGTGAGGAGCACCATCGAAATCATGGATCTACAGGGTTGATGTATGCAGGGTTCGGATACCTCATGTCGACGACTAGTGGTGGCAGACCCACCGGGAGGAGCTCCTCGCTGACCGACGGCTGGCCTCTGATTCGGCACCGAGGCGATAACCACGCTGACGCATGTTTACCCCAGGTTCCCAGGTTCAGTGGTTAGCTTCGCCGCTAGCCGATTAGTTTCCACCTAGCTGGGACTTGACATCTGGAGGCCATGGGGCGCTCCTCCCTCCTTATCTATCGGGGTTGATAGTATCAATGGCCGTTGCCGATGCGACAAAGGGGGATATAAAACCTCTAGGGGAAGAGACGAGGAAGACACAGTCAAGGCTCGAGCAATTACTTATCGGCCGACCTTTGTTCAAACTTTGACGACTGCAGAATTTGCAAGTTCTTGTGTTATCTCTACCATGGACAATGATGCGAAGAAATCGATTGAGTGCGAGGTCGAGCTCGGCCATGATCTCGAAATAGGACGAAGCGAGACAGTGCGAGACGACCGACGACCAGATTCGCTGCGCGGTATGAGCCAGGAGGAGATTGCGGCTCTCAACAAGAAGCTTGTTCGAAAGATCGACTTGATCATCTTACCCATCATCGGCATCCTTTACATCCTCAACTATATCGATCGTCAAAACCTCGCTGCAGCAAAGTTGCAAGGCATCATGGAGGATCTCAACATGACGACTCAGCAGTTCGCTACGGCGGTTTCGATCCTCTTCGTCGGTTACCTGCCATTCCAGATTCCCAGTAATCTTTTGATCACGAAATTCCCGCGGCCAGGTCTTTATATCTGCGCGGCTGTAGTCATCTGGGGTACGTCTGGCTACTTTTGCTATGTGCACGACGACACTGACTATCATTGCAGGAGGTATCTCGGCAGCCACTTCGGCTGTCCGTACGTATGGACAGTTGCTTGCCGTACGTGCCGTTCTCGGGGTTGCGGAAGCCGTCTTCTTTCCTGGCGCAATCTACTATCTCTCGGCCTGGTACACCAAGACAGAACTCGGGAAGCGCATTGCTGCACTATACATCGCGCAACAATTCGGAAACGCATTCGGTGGGCTTCTGGCCGCAGCTATCCTGCAACTCGACGGGGCACACGGCATTCGGGGCTGGCAGTGGCTGTTCATAATTGAGGGAAGTGCGACGGTCGGTATCGGGTCGATCTGCGCTTTCTTCATGCCCGAGTTTCCACACAACAGCCGCATCCTGTCACAAGAGCAGCGGGACCTGGCAGTGTGGCGAATCGAATCAGAGTCAGGCGCTGCCGAAGGCACCGAGAAGGAGAGCGTACTGAAGGGCTTCGCGAAAGCATTAGCGGATCCAAAGCTCATTCTACTAATCCTCTGCAACATGCTCTCGCAAGCACAAGGTTCAATCGCCAACTTCTTCCCGACACTGGTCGCATCGTTGAATTTCAACCACACTATCAGCCTGCTCCTTACCGCACCGCCGTACATCCTTGCTGGAATCGTCTATTATGGGCTCATGTCGTGGTCGGATCGCCGAAACACAGCGTACCCGATCATCGTGGCCTGCATTGGGATAGCCTGCGCCATGTACATCATTCCCATGGCCACACAAAATGTCGGCGCACGATATTTTGCCATGATGGTACTCCCCTTCGCGTCTGTCGGACCCCAGCTTGTTCTTTACAAGACGATCAATCTGCATCTAGCGCGACCCGTAGCGAAGAGAGCAGCGGCATCTGCGCTGGTGAACGCCATCGGAGGCACATCTAACATCTGGGCATCGTATCTTTACTATGCGCCGCCGCAGTTTTACGCCGCTTTTGGTACGCTCATGGGGTGTGCTTTTCTCTTTGCTGTCACGATTACCGTGTACCGTTGGTTAGTCCTGCGTGAAAACAAGCGTCTGGATTCTGGTAGACCCGAGGAGATTGCAAAGGTTGTCAAAGGAGGAGTGACGGAAGAGATGGTCAGGCTGAACTGGCGCTATGAGATGTATTGAGTTAGTGAACGTTATGTAACAGGGAAGATGGCGGGGGGCTACTAGCGCCTTGTGTGTAGTTTAGTGCCAATCGGATGTCATTTCGGATGCGCAATAACCGGTCACGTGCTGGAACAGCATGGGGGAACTGTTCATCTCCCGCGAAATCGGAGCGTGCAGAATACGAATACCTTTCACATATCCTCGCAACCAATGGTATGACAGTGAGATATAATATACCACACACCAACAGGGCGGGGTTCGGCGTTCGAACGAAGTTAGGCCGAGATAGGCGTCTGCTTAGCGGCAGTGAAATGTGGGGAAGGCGGCATGGTTGATAACGTGGTAAAGGCACGAGATAAGCATGGAAACCGGATCCCGGAGCTCTTTCTCGTCAACAGCACCATGCATCTCGAACCATCATCACATCATGGCCTGTTCCGTTTCCTCCGCCGCCCCTGAACCTCGCACGTTCCAGCCCTTCCAATGCTCAATATGTCAGAGTCGCTTCACACGCCACGAGAACTTGAAGCGCCATGCTGCACTTCACGCACGCTCTCCCGACTCTTCTCTCTCATGCGACCTGTGTAGTGCTACCTTTTCGCGGCCTGATCTTCGTGTCCGTCACATGAAAAGGCAGCATCCCGACGAAGATAACCAACGGCGCAGAAACCTCTCAGTGACCAGCAGTGGGAGTAGTAGGAAGCGAGCAAGAGGCGACTCACCCGCTTTATCACCCTCGGAAACAAGCGATGGATCCTATGCTCTGCCCCCTATCGATCAAGACGGCGGAGACTCAATGCTCGGCTCGGAGCTAGAGTCAACGTCCCTACCATTAGCGTCCACGTTGGAGCCAAGCAGGTCTGAATCAGGCACATCAGAAACGGCCTTCATTCCCTCCTTGGCTGACTTCAACTTCCATCAATGGAGCCCGGATGCCTTGTTCACAAACCAACATCCTTCCAGGCAGGATGACTGGTATCCCTCGGATTCGCAGATATCGCATGGCTGCCAGCTCTTCTTCGACCACGTGGCAGGTTTTCTCCCCTTTTTACATCGACCGACCTTTGAAACCCATGAGACGTCCGGAGCGCTGCTTCTCAGCGTGCTCGCCCTCGCATACCAGTATGGCGAGGACCCTGATAGCGGTGATGAAGCAGGCTCGGGACAACCCTTATCCATCCAGTGTTTCCATCGAGCACGGGCGTTTATTGCCACCGAGGAAGAACGTGTGGATGAATCGTTACATGGTGTCACGCTAGTACAAGCTTATCTTTTGCTCGAAGTCTTCGCATTGATGTATTCCACTGATAACGACGCTTCATACGGTTTCAAGACACATTCAAAAATGATATCCCTGGCACGAGCCGCTGGCTTGATGCAGCCTACTCCAGCCTCACCCACGGAGACTGAGGATCTAGAACAACTTTGGCTCACTTTCGCGCAGGCTGAATCGGCTAAGAGGACTCTGTATGCGATTCACCAAATCGATACGCTGTGGTACCAGATTCTGTCAATACCACGGTCGCTTTCTCATCTGGAAATTAAGCACGACCTTCCATGTCGGGAAGCTTTCTTTACAGCGTCATCGTCCGGTGAGTGGGCAGCTAAGCAGCTTCTTGCGAAAAATCAGGCTTCTCCAGTACCATATTCGGACGCCGTGCGACGCCTGTTGTCCGGTGCACACCTGGACGCTATCCCAGACTTCGACCCATACGGTACCATCAACATCACACACTTTATACTCTCTAGCGCGAGGGAAGTATCTGGCTGGTCTACCATGACCGGCACGTTAAGCATGGACCGCATTGAGCCGTTGCGTGCCTCTCTCCGGGCTCTTGGTCCATACGCGCACCCACAAACGCCGGGCACCTCACAAACACCATCTGTCGCGCTATGGGAGGCAACATGGGAAGCGGCTATGATAGACATGCAGTCGTGGTCTCCATCGCATACGGGCGGCATTATCGCGAACAGTCTCGACGCAGGACTGCACCAAATGACCGCCATGGCACCTTCGTTCGACCTGATGTGCAAATCGAAAATTGTTTCCACAATACAGCCGCATGTTGATTGGTTCCTGCGCTACCTGGATGCAACGCTTATTCCGGATACGGAGGCACCATGGGTAATACTGTATGCTTACAAGGCGTTCATGATCGCGTGGCAGCTCCTCCATGGCGGTGCGAAGGGCTGCATGCAGGTTGTCGGAGTGCAAGATGGGAATAGAGAAGCAGCGCTAGCATGGGCAAAGAAAGCTTTTGGTCGCCGAAGAAACTGGAAACTTGGGAAAGTTGTGGTCAGCTGTTTAGACGAGCTGCGAGCGTAAACGCGATATGTTGGATCGATTAAGAAGACGATACCATGCTTTCCCTAACCCGCATGACATGGCTGGAAGGAAATGGCAGAGGACGAGGTTGGACGTTTCATGAAATCCTTCATTGCTGCGCCATCCTGGCTACTAATGCCGGTTGCAATATCTCCCAGGGCTCTACGCTTCTGGAGAGCCCTTAGCTGTCGCGCGTACCATAGCCGGATAACAGAACCTCGTTGGCCAGACTAAGTCCAAGCCTTGCACTGATAAACATCCTCGGTACCGTAGATACGGCAACAACGGTCCAGCGCAATGGCTAACAAATGCGTCAGTATCGCAAACCAGACCAGCAAAGATGAGACAAACCTTTACGGAAACGGGCTCAGCAACACCGCTGCACAAGCACCCTGGCACGTGCCATACGCCGAATTGCAAGCCACGATAGTGGCAGGAGCCGTCGCGGCCAGGACAGTGCCGAAGGAGAAGCCGGCAGCAGCATAGCAAGCGACGACGACGGCCGAGCAGCCCGCCTGGCATACACCATAGCCGATTGGGCCAGCTGCAGCCATAGCTGCGAGAGCGACCGTGGCAGCGAGGGTGAGAGTGTGCATTCTGTATAGACTTGCTACTGTCAGCGTCACATAAGAGAAGAAGCGCTGGACATACAGTTGACGGACTTTGAGGTTGTGGTATCTGATCCGCGTGGAGGCGAGTGAGACCAAAACACCGGTAAGAGGCCGCACGTATATAGTCTCCATTCCTCTGCAAAATGAACCAACAACAAGATTTATTCCTGGCTCGTCCAGGCGTCATCCCCTGGTCATAGATCACGATCCTTATGTCGCCACCCCTTTCTACGATCTTTCGTTCTGTGAAGACTCCAACGTACGAATCTATCGACCCCGAACCGCGCAACGAATGTATCTCTGAAAACATCACCCTGTATCTGAAGCTCAAACGCGTTTCCTAAACCCCCCAAAACCACCTTCTTCATTTCACTCTTGCCGATATCTCCGTCGCGTATAATCCGCGATATGTGAAATGCCAACGCGCATGTGACACTACCGCAGCAGGTTTCCGTGCTACTTTCCAAAACGATGATATTGCACTTGCTATCTTCCAGATCACGAGAAGGCTTTCCCCTTCTATTTGCACGAACAGCTCACGTTAAATTCCATCCTTAGGAAAGACTGAATGGTTTCTCGCACGGAAATACTCACATGCAATGGCATGACCACATATCCATACATTGCCGCGCCTTTGCTTTCGCTCTGCGCTAGCCGGATGGGGTGGGTTTCTTCACGTCTACAATACATTCCAACTGTCATACGGAGAATCACATGTTCATACTCGTATAGGCCCACGCCCTTAATTTCTTTTGCACTAGCCGAATGGGGTGGGTTTCTTCAATTCTACAATACATTCCAAATCTTATCCGGAGAATTGGAATATGCGTACCATCATAGCGTTGTGGTATAAATGTTCACCCTTCAGAAAGTGGCTTGAAGGATATGATCTATGGGCTTGTAATGCAGGGTTGTCTTAGGGTAGGACATGAAAGGTACATCGAGCGGGTACTATGTTAGGCATCGACAGTTTCAAAAGTGTCCATGTTAAGACGGACGTCGTTGGCAGTGGGTGGACTGAGAGGAGACGGGCTATTGGTATCTCTATTGGTGGCCAATGGCGAGGGTGGTAAGCCTCTGGTTATTGCCTTAGGTAGACTATCACGAATACAGCCAAATAAGTTACCTCTTTAAGACGCCGTGTATTTTGGAAATTGATAAGATCCTGAATGTACAGAAGATGGCGCTGCAAATAACCTGCAAATGTCGCAAAGGCATGCGTCTTACGAGATCTCCTCACAACAGCGATAAACAGTCATATCTGCCTTCCAAATATGAAAAGGAGAAAATTGCACGTGTTTACTTGGCCCTCGGTCGCGGCAATAAGCCCGCGTCAGTTCTGCCAACGCATCGTTGAACGCGATATGCACAGCGTGAAGATGGTGAAAGATAGTATTCGACTGCATTCGAGGTTTTCTATTGATAAGTCGAATCCAGATGCAAACTCCCCCACCACCTGCAGTACCTATGGCATGTGTCCATGACGTTCGTGTTCGCGGACCATCACGAAGTTACCAAACCGTCGCAGCCGGTATCCGCATGATCTTGCCCTCCCTCTCCTGCGCAGATCTTGTCCCCATGCTTGATGCACCCATTAGTGACGTAGTTGACCGTGACCTCCCCATCATTCACATTGTCGGTGAAGAGAGGCGCGCTGCCGCAGTACTTGCAGCCCTTCTCCTTGAGACGCTTAACGGCATCCTTCACCTGCTTTCCAGTAGCTGTCTTGGTGCCCATCTTCTGCAGGAAAACACACGAGCCTTCCATTTTGGTCAAGTGGCAAGACTTGCATGCGACTTGCTGGCCGTCATGGAAGACAGCGCAGTTGGATAGGTTCTTGTCGATGAAGTCGTACATGCCGCCATCGCCGAGGGGCTGTTTGCAGCCTATGCACATGGCGGAGCCCCTACAGTCTGGGTGAAGTCAGTTTATGGCTCAAGAGGAAGTCACGAGAGGCGCTTACTGATCCCGAGCTGGGTGGTAGCGTCGTCAGCGAAAACGAGGCCGGTGAAGGCAGCGAGGATGATGAGGAGCTTCATTGTGGACGTGATGAAGGTTTTGTCCCGGTGGCCGGGTTTCGATATCTCAATGGTGTAATAAGAGCTGCTGAAGAGAATTATGGATTCGAAAAGAGAGGTGAGGAGGTTATGAAGGTGGGGTAGGGCAGCGTTTGTTGTCGTACGACGAGTTCAGGTGAAGGCCAAAAGATCTGATTTGCCCGTGGACAATGCCAAATTTGCGAGCGGCTGTTTAAGAATGCCACTATTGATCGCCTTCCTACCTCGAAACAGCGCTACCAATAGTACGTACTATGACAATAGTGGAAATTCAACTGTGCTACGGTTCGCCATGCACGGTGTATCATGTGGTCTATTTTGACGCAGACAAAGCCGCGTATGAGCCGTGTACGACAAATCGTAGTACAACATGTTCCAGTAGGGCCAAAATACGTACTGTTGGCAGCGCTGCCGTCCAAACACCGTCGTACTTGGGCAATTCCATCACACCCACATTCTCATGCCTTCATGACCAGAGACAAGTTCCCTGTCCCAACCCCCGCATACATGTCGCTTCCCAGTGGAAGCCTCTGGATTCTGCCGTGCAAGCCATCTTCCACAACCTCATAGTCCTCACCAGATATATTTGCAGTGCCGACCTCAACATTCCATTCAGCTGTCCCAGCCCACTCAGGAGGATAGTAAAGGGCCAGCTCTCCGATAACAACCTCATGTCTGCTCTTCGTGAAAAAGAGCGGCGGAATTTTGTAAAAGTAATTAGCGATCGGTGTCAGGACATTCAGAGTCGTGTTGCAACGACTACAGCTAGTGGTGATGTAGTTATGTTGGACTCCTTGCCACTGGTAGAAAGCCCAATGGGGCAGTAACGTGGCGTTGATGGTACCAAATACGGCCGTGATGTTGGTTACTGCTCCGTGCACAAGAGAAGCCTGTACTGAGCCGTATTGTGTGTTGATGTTGGTGATAGAATTCCGTAGAGAGAGCTTGTCTTCCTCGAACGGCATGCGGATACTTATGTTGCCAGTGAATGATTGAGCCCAAAGTGATCCCTTAGTCCGGGGACCTGAGGACCATCGCTTTGGAGGAAGATCCAGATCGATCGTCCCATCGATGGTGGAAAACGCGATAAAGCTTGGCAGTGACCAGTTTCCTGTGATGAGGCCATGATCAGAGGATACGTGTATTGAATGCGCAGTGAAGGAAGATATTTCGTGGCAGATAACATCGCCGTATACCGAGTGCAACGTCATATGGTATGTTTCAAATCCCACTTCTGGCCAGATGACGATCGAGAGGTACCTTGTGCTGACTCTGGTACCGGTACCGCCAAATTGCAGAGATTGAGGGCGCACAGCAATGACTATGTCGATTTGTACCTTGGCATTGTTCGAGGAGCATCTGCTGGTGCCTCCAGTGGAGCTGGTCTGGATCAACAATGACTCCTTGTCAGTCTCGAATTCCAGGCAGTCAAGAAATTCCTTGTCTGAGGACTTGGCCTTGATGAGAACCTCAAAATTATGGGGCTGCCTTGAGTCGCCTGCGACGAATGCGATCATGCCATCAACACTATTGCGCTCGCACCAATCGTCCAGTGCTTCTTTGACAGTGAAGTGGGTGCGATAGCGGTTCGAGATGTTGAAGCCAAATCGAGCCTCGCGCACATGTTGTCGATCGGATACATCACCAAGGTCAAAAGGTGTTGTTATCTGAGGTTTCAATGAAGTTGAAAGCACTTCCTGGGCCGATCCACTTCCACTTGCTGTAGCGTGTCGGAAGAGTACACCTGCCGCGATCCATGCAAACGTACGAACGAAGAGCATCGTGTCTTGGGAACGACGTCAAAGGTGTAAAGACTCAGAGCACGGGTATGGTGAATGAAATCAATGGATGTTGCCTGATGGGGCACATTGGTACAGCCACTGAGGGTTCGGCCCCCATCTTGGCGGTTGTTCTGTGCTTACATGCTGCATGTGTAAACCCACCCTCCCGGGTCGAGGGCTCGCAAGATGTGGGGGATTCGAGAAATCTCGGACCAAGGAGCACGACAACGTTGAAAAGCGGAATCAAATCCCTTCTGCTACTGTCGTGGGTCGCGCAGACTGACTTCCAAGGTTCCAAGGGCACCTGCATACCGATGATCACGTGACTGTAGGTTCATAGGCCTAGAGGCTGCGCCGTAAGGTCTTTGGACTGATTCCTATGTATGATCCTTGATTCGAATTATTTCTTTAGTGAGTGGCTCCTTGTTCGTCGGATGATCTGTTTTCTTCAGCCGACTTACCGCTTTCGTCACCCCGTTTCACTGTTCACGCTAAGAATACGATGTGTATACCTAAATATGCTTGGCGGCAGGTTCACTCCAAAGATGTTTGTACAGCAAAATGCTGAATTATCTTTCGATGGTCTGAAGCGTTCACCCGGAAATCCCGATGGGTGATACTCATTTTATGAGGGTGAAAAGAGCGCGGGCATCTAGCACAGGCCGCGTCATCGACGCGCGCTAGCCTTGTTGCATCTTATTTCACCCAACATTTCACCTGCGACGCTGGACGCAGAAATTGAAGACGCCCCCTTGATCGCAGAAGCTCCGTCTCCCTGAAATTCAAGTTTCAACGTTGCTTCAATCGTGCCTTTCCTACGCATCCGATTGGGCTTATAGGCGGCGCAGTTTCACGGCAGACAACGCATGGGCCGAATCTACCCAACTGCCCTCAATCGCCGACACCAGGGACCTCTCGGTAACAGCAACGACGACTTCAACTCCTCACAAACGGTCTCTCTTTTCCTGCTCTTTCAACGCGACTTCGGAACTTGCGGCTCACAATGCTCTTCCACTTCCTGCTCATCGCTCTCTTCAATGCCATTGTAACCGCAGCACCCGCAGACATCCTCAGTGCGAACCCAATATGCGGCTTCGCGAACCGCGGGGACTCATCATCACACTACACATACTTCGGACTCGATGAATGCCTTCCGCTGGGTAAAGCAGCGCCGGTGAGGAACGTATACCGCGAACTAGATTGTGATTGCACGTTCTACGGGTATGTAATCCATAGGTAGATATGGATGATCTGACCACTGACCATCGACAGAGATGCGCGATGCCAGAAGAAGACGTGGATGCTATCCGTCGATTATGGCGAGCTGCCGGAAGGCGCGGGCGAGGTTTCGGAATACTACAAGTGCAAGGCGCGGACCGGTTGGGGTGATGAGCTAAGGAAAGATTGAGGATGAGTGGAGTATTGGTACGTGCGTATTGGCATGCCTGAGGGGAGGCACAATCAGGCTCTTTCCCGCTGCTAAAGGACAGGCGCCGCCACATCAGTCTTGCCTCGGGGAATGAATCATGACCTTTCAAGGTGTACCGTCTTGTACGAATCATATGTTTCCGTCTCCAGGGTTCTAATCGTTTACGCTCATCCCCAAAGCCATCTTCAAATCCACTCGCGATCTGTTATTTTGCCCATCGTATACCTTCTTCGCCCTTGCAAGTTCCACTGCTAAATCGAACCCTTGGCCTTAGCGGGAGCGAATCGAGCAAGCCACGAAAGGCCATGTTTTGTGGGGGTTGGCTAATGACTGAATAGACCCTACTCTATTCTCAACACAATGGGTCAGCAACCGTCGAAAAGTGCGATGTCGATGAAGAAGACCGAGGCTGCTTGTGAGACCAGCTAGGTTTACTTAGGACTATAGGCGTACTACGTCTTATTGTGCGCTCTCTGTAGTTGCCTGACGTCAAAGTTTCCGGCCCTATCACTGATATTTCCGAACCACACTGTAGATCGTTACTAGTAGACCACCAACCACCAGTAACCGTATTTGGGCACACAAAAGCGATGTCTTCGACATGGAAATAACAGGCCAAGCACTTGGCGTAGCTCATCATCGCTACCGTTGTACAGGAGAGGTGGAGAAAAAGATTCCGATGTTGCTCGATTCGTCCATAGGCAATATATCGCATCATCCTGGTTCCCTCGCTGCCAGATCCAGGCGTGGCTACTACAAGCTTGATCTCATCATCTACGGTATAGCACCCCTGTCTATAATGCTTCCCCGCAGCGCTCCCCTTGCATACCCCAGGCAGCTATCCCCACGTGGTCCACTGCCGAGGCAGCAAAAGGTCATCTTTGATCTTTACTGGCCCTTACCGGTCTAATTTCTGCCACCCGAAAAGCTGGTCCCGCAATGCTCTTTTGCACATCTGCAACTCCCATCACGAGCGTACATCTCTCAGGACACTTATCGACCATTAGAGGTCGAGATTCACATGTTGCTACCTCGGACCGTACATCTTTGACATTGAACATGCAATGTAGTGATGTAAGTTCGACATGTAGCAGCCATAAGGTAAGACATAAAAGTGGCATGACTTGCTCTTCACAGGTTGTGTCGCACTTTCACTTCGTGCTTCTTGTCTCTGAAGATGCGTCCCTCTCTCCTCTCGATCTTGTACTTCGCATCAGTGGTCACTGCATGGCCTTGGATCGCCAATGTGCCTGGAGTTGACCTGTCTGCAATCCACGCACACCCCGAGAACTTCGCAAAACAGCGTCGCCAAACCGGAGGTCTAGACCCCACATGTCCTTTCAATGCTGATCACCCTGGAGCTGCACCTTTCGATGTGAGATTTCCTTACACAGGCTCTATCGATGGGCTTCCAGGTACTGGCATTGGCGGCGTCCAAGTCCCAGCACCAGGCGATACGGCTCATGAGTTCACACCCCCTGGGCCAAATGACATTCGAGGTCCTTGTCCTGGCATGAACACGGCTGCCAATCATAACGTTAGTACATGAGTCCTTCGCATTGACGGTAGCAGTCCTGACAGGCCATCTAGTTCCTGTCGCATGATGGAGTCACAAACCTCGCGGAACTCGTCTCTGCTCAACAAAATCTTTACAATCTTGCTTTTGATCTCGCCACCTTCATCGCAGTCCGCGGCATTGCGTTGGACGGAGACGTTGCCACAACAAAGCTCAGTATCGGCTGCGACGCAACGGAGCGTACTTCCATCGACCCCACCGGCACCCTAGGACGCGAGCCAGGCCTTGATGCACACAACAAATTCGAAGGCGACACCTCGCTCACCCGCCGCGACTACTTCCTCAACAACGGCGACGCCTTCACCTTCCAAGGCGACATGTTCGCTGACATGTACCGCGTTGCCAACGAGACTTCAAACGGACTTTTCGACCGCGACACCATCGCAGTGTATCGCAGCCAGCGGTACGATGAGTCACTCGCCTCGAACCCAAACTTCTACTTCGGCCCCAAGGCCCTCCTCCTCTACGGCGCAGCAAGCTTCATCTACGAAGTCTTCCCCGTGTTCGGCCCCGAAGGCGACGCAAACATCGACACAGTCTCCACCTTCTACGGCGCCGTACCCAACAGCGCCGGCACCTACGACCACGTCCCCGAGCGCATCCCCGAGAACTGGTCCAACCGCCGCACAGCCTACGGTCTTGTAGAAATCGGCGCCGAAATCGCGTACCAGTACTCCTATGCACCCAAGCTGATCGGCGGAAACGTTGGTGCGGGTAACTTCTTAGCGCTGAACTCGACGTTTGGCATTATTGAGAATGGGACTATCCCCAGCGATGCGACGGCTGCGGATTTCACGTGCTTGCTGTATCAGTTGGCGACGGACAATGTGCCGGGGACGGTGGGGAACGAGGCGGATATACCGCTTGATGTGTTGGCGTGGGTGTTGACACAGTTGAATCCGGTCTTTGAGAATCTGGGGTGTCCGTTGAAACTTTCTTGAAGGAGTGGTCTGGAGGACAGAGCTGCGGCGGTCTTGGTTTTGGGACCCGGCATGGGATGCGAGTAGGACAGATTGCGAGAGGTTGATGAACAGGATCATGAGTATACAGGGTAAAGCATATGGCTGGATTGTGGATTATATGGGCAGTGGCGACGACAAGTATGCAATCGTTGTCTTTTTGCAAATCGACGCTGTGAAGTGTTTTTGAGAGTCGCCTGTGTTGTGTGCGAACCTACAACGACCAGGACATACAAGATAGCGAGCAGGGCTATCGCGCTAACCGAAAACATTATACCGTAATACCCATTCTGGAAATGTCGTTCTCGGATATGCTGGCAGATGCATAAGTGCCATGCAATAGGCGGAGCCGCCTGTAGCTGAATACACTAATACTCCCTCCAGTTGCGTTTCGAATATAGCAACATAGATACCGTAGATTGCGCATAACTCGGGACACTGGTAATTCAATGATGCCAAGTGCTTGGATATCGAAACCCATGACCACCTTCCGTAACCAGACCGTTTCGCCGAGATTTCGCCGCATGTATAAGCTACATACAAAAGGTACACATGAGCGATGCTGTTTGCAAGTTGAATCGTTAAGCGTTCTTTTTGCTTTGAAAGTGGTGAAGAAGATGTTGTCACTTTGGTCTGTCCTCTTTCTCTCAGCTGCTATAAGCGCCACACCCCTCAATCCCCGGGATAGACCCAAATTTGTACCTGGAAAATATCTCGTGCAATTGCAGTCCGATACAGATGCCGCGTCCGTGGCCGCACACCACAACACAGTCCACCGCCTAGCTCGACGCGACACCACACCTGAACCGATCGAGCGCATCTTCAGCATCGGGAGCCTGAACGCCTATCTCGGGAGTTTCGATGAACAGGCCGCATCCGACGTCCTCGGTCTTGATGAAGTGCTCTCCGTTGTTCAGGATGAATATGTCTACCTAGAGAAGACCGACTTCCCTGCTCTGGAGCAGCGTGAACTCGTGACACAGTCACCCAGTATCTGGAGTTTGGGCGACCTTTCACACAAGGCTGGCAACGCGACGGAGTATGTTTATGACGCTAGCGCAGGCGAGGGAACGACAGCATATGTTTTCGACACGGGTATCCGCCTTAGTCATGTCGAATTCGAAGGCCGCGCGAGATTTGGCGTCAATGGGATTACCAACTCCACGGATCCTAGTGGAGCGAGTAAAGACGATGATGGTCACGGGACGCACTGTGCGGCAACGGTGGTAGGCAAGACGTTCGGCGTAGCGAAGAAAGCGTCGGTCGTCGATGTCAAGGTGTTTGATGGCTCAACCGTAAGTAGACACTTCCCAATGTCATGCGCCCAAGCGAATATCCACTGAACACCGTGATTACAGGGTTCAATAAGCGCCATCATAACTGGCATCCAATGGGCAGTTAACGACGTCGTCTCCCGCTCCGCCCAATCCACCTCCGTCTTCAGCATGTCGCTTGGGGCTGAGACAACCTCAACTCTCCTCGACGACGCGGTCAAAGCCGCATACGATGCTGGCATTCTTTCCATCGCCGCAGCCGGTAATGAAAACGCTCCCATCGCCCCCTCCACCCCCGCTCGCGTCCCTGTAGCTTTCACAGTCGGCATGACGCAACCAGATCGCAACCGGGTAAACATCATTGCCGATATTTACGGTAGCAACTTCGGACCTGAGATGGATGTATTTGCGCCGGGCCGCGATATCGTGTCTGCGAGCAATCTGAACGATACGGGAAATAGTACGAAGACGGGGACAAGTATGGCGACGCCGCTTGTTGCTGGGCTCGTTTGCTATTTGAGAGCGTTGGAGGGTGGGTTAGGAAGCCCGGATCAGGCGACGGAGAGGATTTTAGAGTTGGCGATTAAGGATGTTGTGGGAGATCCGAAGGGGAGTCCGAACCTGCTCGTTAATAACGGCAGTGGTGCCTAGGGCGATAGATTGCAGATAAATTTGATGTAATGTTGACTCTTTTCCGTTGCCTTAGAGCGGCATTTCCTTGCTTCTCTTTTCAAGGTTTTGAGCCCATTGTTCGCAGAATGACCTTTCTGTCGTGTATCTCACCTCATCTGGTCTTGACTACGCCTTCACCGGCTCCTCATCATTCCCAATGGGCGGACTGGAAGTCCCCGGTTCCACACCTTTCCTCTTCACCCCAGTCTTACCTTGTACAACCGTCCACATCTGCGCCACGAAAAAAGCCAAAGGTTTCTATCTTTACCCCTTGGAAATAATGGTATCTACGAATACTCCCTTTCATCAAAGTCGTCGAAAATCCAATGCTCAGAGAGCCTCGCTCGTTCCTCCTCAGACTCAGCTGCGTCGAGCGCATCAGCTTTCAGCTTTCTTTCACGCTGTTTTGTCTCTTCATATTGCTCTAAGGGTACCCACCCCTCGGGTCCTATGCCAATGATATCCCTACAAGTCTGGAGCTGCTCATCTGCCTCAATTTGCGCAGCGTTCAGACGCTCACACTCAAGCACTTCGTCCTCTGAGAATTGTATTGGGCAAGGGGCCTTCGCATCACCGCTTGCGCTGGCTGGAGCGGCAATCTTAGACCAGTTTTTCATCAAGTGAACGAGGTCGGCTTTGAGGGTGACGTTATCGCCTTCCCAGGGATAACTCGCATGATCAAAGAGTTTGCGCCTCAGAATGCTGAAGTCGGAAGCTAGGGCGTCGTAGTGCATTGGATTAAGTTTTGCAGTCATTGCAACGTAGAAGTAGTGAAGCTGACGCCGTCGTAAGAGAAGGACCTGCTCGAACTGTTCGCTCTCGCTCAATTCATCGAATTCAGGTGGCAGTTCAGGAGTTGTAAGAGATTCTGAGATGCTGTCGCCGTAATTCTGGAGGCTGCTAGGAATACCACACTGCAAAAAGAGTGGGAGTATCGCGCAGTGTTGCCAGTCGATAAGGCCAGTGATTTCAAGTTCATCAGAGACGAACACATTATTTGGTTGGAGGTCGGGATGTCTCAGCGTTGGTCGAATAAGAGCTTCTTCTTTCGGAACGAGATATGGCGCAATTCGCAGGTATTTATCCAGACTGTCAAGATGATCTAAAGGCGATTGCTTTTGATAATTGTAGATCTTTCGTCGCAGACGTTGGAAAGGGTGAAGCGGTTGGCCGACCTGCGTCAAATATGCAATCTCCTTCTTGGCCCCGGCTATTAGTGCAGCTGCTGTATCTGTATCTTTGCAATAATCAGTTGAGGTTGCAAATGAAGAATGGGTTACATCATAACAGTCGATTAATAGGAAAGTGAGTCGGGCTTCGTGAATGCAAAAGCTGATACTTACATGGTCCACGATCAGTCCGGATAGCAGCCCGTTTTCCATGCCACAGACTGAGTCTTGTATCAGGACCAACACAAAAGTCGCTGTTGCGTGTCGCGCTGGTGATGGGAACCTTGACATTATCGGATCCACTTTGCAAATCTTTGGTATAATACAAGCCACCACTTGCTGGAAACTCGAGAGCAAACAGTCGTGACTCCAATTCCACGAGTTTGGTGACAACGGTAATTCTTGCCTTTTCACCGAGATCAAACCATATGTCACCCAAGTTCGTCCCTTGGATAAGCTCCATGAAGATGTATTCAGTGCCAGTAGCGTTATCCGATGTAGCTGAGTAACTGTAGACCTGGGGAACAGAAATGCCGTGCGAACGGAGAAAGTCCATCGTTGCGACTTCGCTAGCTATGACCAGTTGTCTCGGCTCGGTAATTGGATAAGGGATGCGTCCAACGAACTGGAAGCCGTCACGCATCGTAATCAGAAAGGTTCTGTTAAAACCCCCTTCAGCTAATTTTGTAAGTGAAGTTACGTCTTCAATATTCTGGTTAACAGCTGCAGCCGCGAAGCGCTTGAACTCCGATACATTGAAAACACGTCTTCGTTCAGAGTGCTTCAGATCGTCATTCCAACTTCAGCCCATAGTCAGCAATAAGTGTTGGATTTAACAGGAGGGGCCGACAAACATCCATCGTCCTGACGTATATTCAAATAACTCAGCAGGTCCTTCCATCGAGTCCACAAAACGAGTCGACTCTGCGCAGAAATTCCTGGCTCTAGGAATTCGTACCGTCCTTCGGAGATGACTGCAGAGAAAATCAGGGACCAGACGGCTGGTTAAGTTTCTATAGAATGCCATAGCACAATCGTGCCGTAAAGTGGCGTAGCGCAAGGTAGACCTTTCAATTACTGCTGTCGCGGAGGCTGAGGTGAGGATCTCAAAATGGTGTTGATTGACAAAATCTATTATATATGAGGATCTCTCTATAGTGGGCAGTACGCAATATAGAGCTGGTGCAGCCGCCAGCGCTAGAGCTATATAGGCTAGCCTCTACGCGCTGTCACGTGCGGCTCAGAGATGTGCCTCTGGCTCCGTAACAACTGCAGTGATTGCGGAGACTCGTGCCCAGGTCAAGATGCTGTCATCCATTGCCTGCAGCCGTGAGGTGTGCCATCTCAGTATTCGGTGAGGAATCCAATCGCATTGAAAACGCGATGATGAATCTTTCGTTAGTGTATGTCATCGGGCACTCGGAGGGGAGGATTATTGTAAGCAATGAGAATGTCGGTGGTTCCGGTTGCTCAACCTCCGGGCAAGCCGAACGCGCCTTCCCCGCCCACCACTTAGCAACCTCGCCTTCCTCGCGCCTTCCTCAACGCGTCGCTTACAAACTGCATGATGGGAGCAATGTCGCAATCACAGCCTCATCGTACAAAGGGGAGCTTGCACAACGGTGCAAAGCTCCCACCGCACTGCCGTCACACAATTGCCCGCCCTCGATAGCTATGACCTTCACGAAGCCGGTTCTCATCTCCGGCGGCGGCATTGCTTCACTGCTGCTCGCTTCAACCCTGCGCCGCAGCAACATTCCGTTTATCGTATACGAGCGCGATGCATCACCCATCTTCCGTGCCCAGGGCTACCGGTTACGCCTCTCCAACGAGGGTCTCGACGCCATCGAGAAGGCACTGCCGCCCGAGAAGTGGGAGACGTTCTGGGCCACATGCGGGAAGACTGGCGGTTCGGGTCTTGTAACCATAGACCCTTTAACCGGCGAGACATTAAGCCAGGGGCCCGATGCTGCCAGTAGACCCAACACAGGTCCGAGGGAAGTGTTGTCGTCCCGCGACGGCAAGGTGGTGGGCATTAGCCGCGGCGACATGCGGAAGGTGTTCATGGAAGGCATCGAGGACTCGATCCGATGGGGCCACCATGTCAGGAGCTACGAGTTGACAGCCGACGGTGTGCGTGCTATCTTTGCAGACGGCTCCGAGTCTGAAGATGGCTGCTTGCTGGTAGGCGGTGAGGGCATCTATTCCTACGTCGCAAAGCAGCTGTCTGGCGGCAAACTCAAGGTGTACGATCTCGGATCCCGTGGTATCCACGGCCAGGCACCCACAGCAGCTTTCAAGGGTCTTGGAGAGGGTGTCTTCCGCCTCGTTGACGAGAAGACGGTTCCCGGCCATAAGATTTTCCTCATTACCAACGTCCGCCCTCAAGATATGGACGATCCCAACGTCCAGTTCGGCTGGACTATGGGCGGCTCTCCCGGTGTTGTCAAAGCACCCAACAACAATTACACATTGATTGGTAAGCCTGCCGCCGACATAGCCAAGTCGCTCACCGAGAATTGGCACCCCCGCTTCAAGCCTCTATTTGAGCAAATGAACGAGTCGGAGGCCGCTTTCTGGAAGATCACTTGCTCTTCTCCTGATGGAGTTCCTGAATGGACCAACGAGCCTCGAGTCACTGTAATTGGGGATGCGGTACATTCCATGACTCCAGCAGGCGGCATCGGCGCGAACACGGCTGTGAGAGACTCAGAGCTGCTAGGTAGATTGTTAGCAGAAGCTGGCGAGTTCAGAGACGGCATCACAGAGGCGTATGAGAAGGAAATGAGGGTTTACGCCAGTGAAGCTGTCAAGACGAGCTTCAATCAATCAGTTGGAGCGTTTGGTACAAATATCGACTTGAACGCGACTATAGAACCAAGGGATGTCTAATTGCGAAGAAAACCAACAGCAAGCGACCGCTGACGACTAGCAATACGTAATATCACTTCCTATACGTTCTCTGTACTCTGTCCATACCATATACAAGCATCTCGAAAGGCGTTCGAAGGTATCATCAAACGTCTACCACTCAGCAATAGAAGATTCGCAGCCCAATTCCCTCAAACAGTCCTATCGTGATCCAGCTAAACCATCTTTCCATTTCCATCACTCCTCTAGTTCCTGGCACAGCACCCATGTCGGTTTCTCCTCCTCTAGGAATCGACTCTCTTCAAGCTTCGGACCCCTGTGGAACACCAGGTCGCCCTGCCCTTTGCAAGCTTCTTCATCACTGCAACACGCCTCAGCAACGCAAATGAGTAGGGCCACTTCAACCTACAGGAAGAATGCGCATCCGCACCGCTCTCGGTCAATGCGGTAGATAACTGCCGTCTCATTGTTCCAAATAGGCTCACAATGGGCATGCGTTTGCAAGCCCACTGACCACCACGCTGTGTCTTCCATGCGAACGTAGCCGCACAAGGGAGTGTTGTCGGGAGGGGGATCGTCGCCGATCGGGGCCGCAAAGGCAGCACAAGCAGCCACAAGAAGTGAAACGAAGAGCCTCATGTCGAAGTAAACCTGGCTGCCACGTGGAAAGACAAAGACCGTCTACGAAGGTATCCGGGTGCAGATGTTAGTGGCAGTCTGACGCAGTGTTGTTGATTCGGCGACCTGGTTGAGCGGGCAATCGGGGTCTCTAAATACACAGCTCAACGTCCATCTTCCAGCCCCATTCGCATGTGGATGCGCCCTCACCGACATTCTTGAAAAAGCGGCTATGTACACAGCCTACTCCATCCCAGTAGTTCCCGTAACCGGCAATGTGTGTATGGCTACTAGTCCTTTCCGGACGTCCTTCGTAGGACGAAAGTGCAACGGCGAACTCAGACTATCGGCTAGTTTCGCGACACAGAAAGCGATCCATTGGCACGACTTGAAAGTACAAAAACACCATGCATCCTATGGGTATAGGTACCCGGGATATGGAGCTGGAACCTTCGACGTGTCCCCAGCCATGCGCTATGAGCAGCTTCCCCGGTTCCATATATTGGAAACTCACCGCTGGAAATAGCGCGTGCCCTTGACCGCCCTCCTTCCTCTCTCTCTCTTGGTGGTTGGGTGTTGGGCTGTCCGATATCCGTCATTGGGCTCAGTCGATATTGTCTTGTCCTCTATCTCACCTTCTTGCCGGTATGATTGCTGCTCGGCTCACACGAGAACAAACGCCACTGACTTGCGACGGACCGATCACGCTACACACGATAGACCGCGGCTGCAACGGTTGTGACGCATGTAACTTTTCGTCTCAGAGAGCATGGTGGGCCGAGGATGCGATTGGGCTATATCAAAACGATGGTACTGTACTGGGCATGAAGCTTGAATCGTGACGGTGTGCTACGACAGTTGGGCACAAATATTTCGACGATGCTCTACACCTTTGTGGGCCGCTTCGAGTCCCAGCTAGTCGATGACTGTGCAAGAGAACGACATGCTAAACAAGGAATCAAGAAACCAATTCATCACATGTCAAAACACCGCCACAATCCTCGTGCTGACATCTCCACGCAATTAGGACCGCCTATCATGTTCTCTCTCAAGACCCAGGGGGTAGTGCGAATAGATATTCTGGACATCATCCTCATCGCTACACGTTGTACACGACAATCCGCCTTCGCAAATCCTACCACTATCGACCTCGGTCTCACTTCTCTATCCATATTGTCGCATAATGAACCCCTTCAATCAAAGCAAACTCGCGAAAACATCCACTCCGCTATATCCTACTCCACACCAAACACCACCCCCAATCACTCTTCCACATCAAAAACAGGGAGAATGCCCCTCTCCCCCTCGGCCGTCCTTGCCGTCTTCTCCACAACCTTATCCCACAATTTCTCTAGCGCACCATAAAGATTGTTTCTATCGGCACAGAAGCTGAGAACCATGTATGGTGACCCGCCCTGGTGGCCTACATCTGCGTACAGAAGAAGCTATGCGGTGCACTTGCCATCTAGCTCGCGGACGTAAGTAATGTCTAGTTCGCCATGGGGTGGTGCCTTGGCGACCAAGTAACGGTCTTGGGCTACGGTGTGTTAGCATCTTTAGGCATGACAGAGGAGCTGGGGCTAATAAGGTCGGTGGTAATGTGCAGGGCAAGCAATGGGAAAGGAGGGACACACAGATTACGAGAGATTTGAGGGCTGCGAGGTCTTGCGGGCGTGGAGGCGCGTTTACGCGGAGGGACATCATGATGGCTCGCTCTGCTTTTTGGCCGAGTGTTGAACGTTTGAGGAGTAAAACTTTTGAGTAAGGGAGCTGTAGACAGGGGGGGGGGTATTGCGTAGAAGGAGAAGCAGACGCAGTATATAGCTTGAGGTCGGGCGATGGCAAACGTCTTCACGTAATCGTGCGTGGTAACAAATGGTGCAGAGCTGCGCAACGCAAATACTTGTTAGAGAGCGTATGCTGTATAGTCATTTCGTAGAGTTTCGGCAGTCTGTTATACTCTGGAGAACGCGGCCCTGCCTTTGAAGAAGATCCTGCGTCGAAATTTGACCAACAGTCAGGGGTGCTTAACTATTTACCCTTTCTATGCATTTGGTCCTGTGGAGATCGACGACTAAGATACCAGTGCAAAGGACATGAAGCGCAAGAAGCAGCCTTGAACCAAATCCAGGGACCCACATCATCCAAGTAGGACGACCTGATTGGTAGAAGCAGCTGGTTTGCGGGATTACAGTGACGGTTCCGATTGGTCGGGCGAAGCTCAGCCGCACTAGGTGACGAGAGACGGAAGCAGCAGCCGGTATCTCAACCACGTTCACAAGTGCTGCAGCTTGCATTTCCCCATCGCGATTGGCGTAGTAGTGGTCGGCATCATGGGATCGACGTTGTCATCAACGGGGGGTGATCAAGGGTCTCCATCAACAAGTCTTCTGGAGACCAGACCCCTCGCCTTCGAGCCGGTTCTTGCAAGTGCGCTCTTGAAATGGTGTGAACAAGTGGAAAACGAAGGAGGTCAGTTCTGGTATCGCGGCTGCAAGAAGAGTCTTGAGGATGAAGAGTTTTGGCGAAACGAGATGAGGAAGGGTTGCCCATTTTGTACACTACTCTACGAAGCTGTCTGGAAGCTTTACGGGGACTACCTGATTGAGGGCGGCAGCCTGAAATGGAGAGTCCCATATCCACGCACGCCGGAGGCGATCCGTGATGATGGGGGAAATGCAGTATACTTTAGGGTTCCAGATGGTAAGGTTCTCGATTTATGCTTCTAGCATTTGTCGCATGAGACATCGTCCACGGTCACTTGCTGAGTTACTTGGTAGATGGCAACCTTGCTCTTCGTTTGCGGAAATTCCCCAGCTTATGGCGCGGCAAAGGTCCTTCGGGGGAGGTCAAGCCCAGCCCTCGCGATACAGCTTCAGAAAGGACACTACAGACAGTCAAGAGTTGGATCAGTGAGTGCACATCTACCCACCCACTTTGCAGCCAGGCCGAAGTTGCCACGCTCCCGACGAGGGTCATCACTGTTGGGTCAGGGGAGGCAGACATACGTTTGCACGAGACAGAACAGACCACGGGCATGTACGCATGCCTAAGTCACCCATGGGGCAAACGGCCTTTAGTACGTACTCTCAAGGAGAATCTCTCTCAGTTCAAGGCTGGAATTCCTTGGTCGGTGCTTCCGCGGACGTTTCAAGATGCCATCGACTTCACCCGCCGACTCGGTCTGCAGTATATATGGATCGACTCTCTTTGCATCATACAAGATGATCCACTAGACTGGCAAAGAGAAGCAGCTCAAATGGCAACCATCTATCAACATGCCTATGTTACCTTGGCAGCTTCTAAGGCGACTGATTCGAGTCGTGGACTCTACACCTCATCCTTAGACCCTAAGTACCAGGCACAGCAGCTATCGCTTGTCAACGACGTCGACGATACCGATTTCCCACTGCTCGCATGTTCTGATCTTTTACATATCGATGGCTTCTTTGACTTTTTCCCAATTTCTCGGAGGGCTTGGGTGTATCAGGAGCGGCTTCTCTCCGCCCGAGTGGTGCATTTCGCCGGTGCCGAAGTAAACTGGGAGTGCAACTCCGCACGAAACTGCGAGTGCGGCAAAATATCCTCTGGAGCAGAGATCCTGCCAGACAAGATGCATTTCGCGGGTAGTCTAGCAGAGCTAAACGGGAAGTTCTCAGGGCAAGACGGAGAAGCCCCCTTAGCAATCCGTAACGAAACCAACAGAAGCCCAGACTACAGCACCTTCTCGCCCTCACTGCTCCAATCACCCCAATGGGGCCAAAGCATCAAAGCCTGGAGACAAGCAGTAAAGCAATACGCCCAGCTCAACCTGACCTTCCCAAAAGACCGCTTCCCCGCCCTCGCCGGCATCGCCAGAATGTGGGACCCGCAGTACCAGTCTCAATACCTCGCCGGCCTCTGGCGCCCCTCCATCCATCTCGACCTCCTCTGGCTCGTGTACAAACCCTGCCGCCGGCCCTCCGAATGGAGAGCCCCCACCTGGTCATGGGCGTCCCTCGAACACGAGCACCAGGAACTCCTCCGCTTCGATTCAGACCCCGAGTGTCTGAACTCTGGAAAGGGAAGCTGGTTTTCGCTCGGCAGGATAGGGACTGAGGATTATGCGCCTGTAGCAGAGGTCTTGGACGCGGTGTGTCTTCCTGCCGGGGTTGATCCTGCGGGAGAACTTCTCTCTGCGCATGTCTTACTCTCGACGTACGTTCTGCAGGGGACGCTGGTCAGGTGGCCGGGCGTGCTGGTAGAATATGGAAGTAGTCCTATTTGGCTTGTGGTGGGAGATACGTGGGTTGCTCAGGGGGATACGCACACCCGGGGATTTATGCTGGATGCTGCACTTACAGATGCGCAGGGCCCTTGGACGATACCTGTGAGTATCGTGCGTGTGACTGACTTTGGGCGTAAGACTGGGAAGGAGGCTGAGATGGCGTGTCTCGTTGTGCGACAGAGAGGCGAGGCGAGGACCGGCGAGATGGAGTATGAACGTGTGGGGTATGTTCGGTTCGTGGGGCGGGGGTTTTCGCAGGGCTCTTTGATCTCGAGCGAGGATATGGGCTTGGAGGCGGATATGAGGGAGTGGGTTATCGGATATCAGCGCGAAGTTGGTCGACTTCGTCAAAGGGTGGGGAGTGTGGAATCCCCTGCACTGGAAAGGCTCGTGGATCTGTTTCATGAAGCTGGACGTCAGACAATTAAGATTGTGTGAGGAGTTCGGATGCAAGGCACGTAGATTGAGTGGGTACTAAAATTTGCCCATTCTTGTGGAGGATCTGGACGTTTGGAGTGTACCTTCGTCATGTACGCTTGCCAGTGCCTTTCTCCATGTCCCTTCACCGTGTGCCTTGCTCTTTGAGTGGTGACTTCTTGTCCTTGAAGTCTGGATAATGCATTGAATTTCCGTTGCGCGATGTTCTCGGTAGCGATACTGGCAGCGGCCGGTGCGAGGCAACCTGAACAAGGGTTACCACAACGTGTATCGCCTATCAAGCTTTCAGGCTCCGTCGGCCGGCCATTGTGTCGGCTATGCTGAGTATTTTCCCAGGGTACACAAGCCGCATCCCGCGGCTCTTTACTCCGGCATCTCACATATACGCTCAAGCCTGTCTTCAAGCATATCTTAAATCCCACGCATCGTACCACCCTTTCATCTCCCACCTCTGCGCCCTCAAGAAATCCTTCACGTTCTCGTTCTCATACAGATACGGCTGCGTCCACCACTTCTCGTGCATGCTCACAAGCCCCTTCTTGAAGTCTTTCTCAGTCGGGCACCGTATGTTCCACTTATGATTAACTTCCGTCCACGGCATCGGCCCATCCCATCTGTGTGCGTGGTTCAAAAGATTCTGCTCGGGGTCCTTCGGATCGAACGCGTCGGTCATGTTGAGCAGCGAGCGGTAGTAATCGAATGCTGGGAGGGACGGCGCAAGTAACATGAACCCAGCGTTCATTTTGCTTATTTTCTTGAGGTCGGTGTCGTCTTTGGGTGGGAAGTCGTGCGTGCAGTCCCAGACTTCGGAGAGGGAGCCGAGGAGGTAGGTTCCGGGGAGTGGTGCTTCCCCCTCTAGGGGGGTATATGTATTCTGGTTCTTTGTCTGGCGCACCTTCGCGCCTTTGTCGTCGAAAACACCGTCCAGTGGGAGGCGGAGCATAGTGTCTCCGTCTAACATGAGGATGCGACTGTACTGGGTCATTTCCCACGCCCGCAGTTTGGTCGTGACGTCGTCCCATCGGTGCTGAGCAGCATGAATCCACTGGTCATTCTCGACGTGCAAGAAATCGACGGCGTGGATGATAGCACCATCTTTCGCGAGGCGAGCACGGCGCGACTCGGAGACGGACGGCGTCACCATTACTACGACATCGATGCCATTGGTTCGCGTCTCAGGCTTGTGCAGGAGCTGCCATACGAGAATACGCGTCGCGACGAAGTAGTTGTCTTCTTCAAGATCTTTTGGTCCATCAACTGTCCCAGAGAGAAAAGTAACGTATGCGAATCTCCCCTTGCCGTTTGCCAGGAAGGGGGCAGAGCCATTCGTGAATCCTGTTCCAGTGCGGTAGATGTCGTTGGATAATTTGCTGTAGCCTGTATTCTCGCTGTTCTGGCCTATGCCGATACGTACTCGGATTGCTTCGGTAGCGTGGGTCTGGTGGAGTGTGAGAAAGAGGAGAGTGGTCACGATGAAGGCGAACACTGCGACTGTGAGTCGTCGCCGTTCGGAGAATGCGATCATCGCGGACCGGAAGTTGATGACAAGGAGGGTCACTGCATCTAGAAAGGGGATATCGGACCTTATTGGAAGTGATTCCGGCTATTTGCTAGTCCTAACCCTGTTCCCTTAGCAGCATTTGGTCTGCCGATTCCCGCGGCCTATACTAGCTGATTCGCGAGCGTTACTGGCAGACGTTTTCTCTTGGGGTGCCGTCTCAGGCTAGCAATCGGTAACTTGCTATACAGTGGCAAAAGGAACACATAATGCTCCCTAATCTCGCATTACACTGCCGATTCTCACAGAGGAAACGTTCAAGGCTTTAGCTGCCGAGAACATGATGTGCCAAAATGCGAGGGACTAGCGCCTAGGCTCGCCTTTAGAGCTGGTGGGCCCTAGCCGCTGGCACGTGCCGGTGGAGCCTCCGTTTGTCGACTGTTCATCATTCCGCGGAAAGCGTTGTGAACAACATTTTCGCCGAGAACGTTGGCAATTGCTTCATGACGTTGGGAACATATGGCACCTGCTGCGTGTTATTCGGACAAGACTGAGTGGCTAGCTCCTGAAATCTTCTGTAATGTGCGATGTTCCATGTGGGACATGGTTAGATATAGAGTTGTGGTTGAGCCGCTTCCCTGTGACGATCGCCTCGTATGTGTCGATCTCCCGGATGCGGCCCCATCTGCACCCATGCCTGTCCACCTCAAGGCATAGGGTATATAGAATGCTACAGGCGTAGCATTGAGCTTCGAATAATCTTAGGGGTTGGTCATGGAGAGTTCACTCTTATTTGCACAGCAAAACATTGCAGCCAGGTGGTTGGAGCAAATCAGGAACCGGCTCCTGTCCGATTGCGATTCCTAGGCTCGATCGCATCGTTCAGGCATATGTGAAGTATTCGTAGTGCAATACAACGATCGTTTGAGCTGCGGATGGGAGGCTGGTGTTAACGTTGGTGTTCTGGGACAGGCGTGGGGGCCCTACCGAGCCTCTTGCCGAATCCAGACCATGGCAATCCGCAATTCCCATTGCAGTCATCAAATGCAGACCCGAAAGGGTCTCTTTCGGATCACGCTCCACACCGTATGCCTTGTACAGAATGCCATCGGCTGGCGGCAAGAAGTCAATGTTCCTAGGTCGCGAAGCCTGACCATCACTCGAACTCCAGGCAACTGCAGATCTGCCAGGGTATTCCTCAGGCTGCAACAGCATAAACTGTGCCACAATGATCTTCCACACGATAACCTTCGCCGGGCGCAGCAAAAAGGGCGGAGTATGACTCGACTCGGTATGCATGTACATTGAGTCACGGTCCGAATCCTCATAACCAACATGAGACGTCGACAATCTTCTCTTCAGTGCTCACTATCATTTCGTCAACAACACACGATCTCAATTCTCGACTTCAAATGCAGATTTACGTACCTCTGAACTTGATCTTGTTAACGAAGCCACAATGGCTTTCACCAACAAAATCGCAGCTGCATTCACCCACGATGTCACTAACGACCTCGGCCAATATGTAATGCCACATCTGATCGAGTGGTGGAAAGTCGTCAGAGCAGAGCATGATTATCACTACAAGCAGTACATCACTTCCCATTGTCCCTAAGGATTCGAGCAAGGGCTAATGAACGCCAGAATAGCAGAGCTCAAAGCCTTGATACGACAAGCCGATAAAGCGATCGCACCGGCCAAAAAGCGAGACGGCCCACAATCAATCGTAACGAAGCGCTTGATTCAGCACAGGCGCTCTTCCCACGAAAATGTAAAACCATTGGAAGACAAGATATACCTGCTGAGACGGTGAGTCGTGCCTAATCATGCGTAGCTCCGACCAGGGACTGACACGTACGCATACAAGTCATCTAGCTTCTTTCGACAAAATCTTCAATGCAGCCATCGAGCCCTACTCTCGCGCCTCCTCCCTCGCACTCACCTCCGCCCTCTACGCAAAATGCCCCCGCGAGCTACGCGATATGGTGTACTCGCATCTCCTCGAGGGCGCCACCCTCAGTGACCAATTCGCGAAACAAGTCTGGCTCCCCTATGAGTCAGTGGACTACTCTTTCCCAATCTTTCTGAACCCAGAATATGTCTATGAAGAAGTGGTGTCAGAGATGATGCACATCCTCGCGAAACGATTCACACCGACACGGTCAAAACTACGTGCATTCTTCACAACAAGCGATGTTGAGCTCGAGTTCGCCGCCTCGGAATTCTTCAGGCATCTGCGCGAGGCGACGTTTCCAAATACTGTGTTTGCGACGCCGCCTCTGAGGAGTGATGCGGAGAAGATGAGGGCGGCTGAGGAGCTGTATGGAAGGTACTGTCGTGGAGGCATGTTGAAGCCGACTTGCAGGTTCGTGACGAAAGTGGCGAAGCGAGAGGAGGTGGAATGGTGACTCTTGCAGTCGATCGGTGCAAGATATCTGTGGGGAGATGGTCATCAGGTTGGAACAGTGACATGTAGTTTTTGGCTTCAGCTGAACCATGATCTGCCCTGAGCTGCATAAGCGGTTCGCAGAACACGATTCTCAAAGCAGTATGCGTGACCACACCACGGAAGCTCGGTTTCTTAACGCATGTCCCGCTTCGAATGAGTTAAGATGTTGTTTCAACAATTAGAGAATGGTCCTAGGCAGACACGGGAGGATCCGTTTCGTGCTGTCATACAAGCCTTGTTGAAGGCTTGAGCAGAACACCTTCTCGAAAATCTGTACATTTATTCTCCCCCGCGACATTTCCATTGGTCACGCACAGCAGCTAGCATACGGTGACACGGCACAAACAGTGGTAGACAGTGCGCCTCCTACCGTAGCTGTACTCAGGTCTACCCCACCCGCGAGAAAACACTGCGTAAGCGTGCAACACATGTCCTGCGTTTCAGTTGCTCATCATCAAATGAGACAAAGGAAGGAATATTGAAGAAGCCCGACGAAATATTGAAATATTGGACGAGTGGCAAGCATGATCGCGATCCCCAGCTGTAGGCCGTGGCGCCCCACACGCGCCAGTTTCAGTGGATCCGGTCAGGACCCAAAAGGGACAGTGACTATAATTAGGCATATTGAAGGGCGGCATCAATGCCATTCATGTCAATAAAACTTCGGGGAGAAAGCATTGATGAAGTAATGTTCTCCAGTGTGATATTATTCCAGCAAAGGGGGAGCCGGAGAGGGGCCGTTGGAGCAAAGTTCGTGTGGTGCTTACGCAGATCGACGCGAGACAGCAGTACGGGCGTTTCCGAGGGAACATGGCGTCCTCCAAGCTAGCAGTCGTGTTCGCCTGAAACAGACGGGCGTCCACACAATGACCGAGTGAGCTGACGACTCCCTGGGTAAGGATGGCACTGCATCCAGCACAGCGACCATCTCGCACGCCGGAGGACGACGACAGCAAACGGCGCGTCGAGCAGCTCGATCAGCGCAACCTCCGAGATGGAAATGAGCAAAAGGAGCATCGCCACGGAATGGCTGGAGCGTGCAGGCAAGGCCCGCGTATTATTGGCTGTGGAGCCCCCTGACGGCGCCGTTGCCAGGCCAGGGTGGCGCAGGGTAGCGAAAACAGGGGAGCTTTTCCGCCTGCAGGCTGGCTGGATGCCCCATGGGCTCGAATAAAAGGCGACGCGTCTCCTGAGAGAGTTGAGACTACATCCATTCACTTGGTCTATCCATACAATCGCTTACCAGACGTCGAATCCAGTCCATCGTTAATTCCATCCATATAATACACAACAGTCACTTACTTTAATCCCAACAAACAACAATCTTCAAGATGCGCGCCTTCGCTTTCGTCTCTGCCCTCGCGGCTGTCGCTTTCGCCCAGGACTCTTCCTCTGCCGCTGAGTCTTCTGCTGTCGCTTCCTCTGAGGCTGCCTCTGTAAGTCTTAACGCATCTTCAATGGCATTCCCCATCTAACAATGACCAGTCTTCTGTCGATCCTGCTCCTCAGACCTCCTACCTCGCGCAGACCAACTCTCTGGGCGTTGTAACTGGCGGACCGGCCGTTGCCACCTCGCAGCCCACTCAGCCTGCTGCTGACACCTCCATTCCTTCGCAGCCTGCGGTTGTGACCTCTCTTCCCGCCGGCGTCTCCATCCCCGCGCAAGCATCTGGCGTCCACACCGTTGTCATCCCCATCGGCAACAACAGCACCACCCAGGTCGTTGTCTCCGCCAACAACTCCACCACTGTCGTCCTCGTTCCTAGCACTGCCTCAGGTGCTGAGACCACCGGCACCGGCAAGGCGACTGGAAGCAAGGCAACTGGCTCTGATGCCACCGGCTCTGACGCTACCGGCTCAGATGCCACTGGCACCGGTGCCGAGTCAACCAGCACCCCCGGCGCTGCCGCCAACGTCCAGGTCGCTGCTGGCTTCCTCGGCGCTGGTCTCCTTGCTGCTTTCTTGTAAACAGTTTGAGCTTGGTTCTGTTCGTTCCGTTACGCTTCGCACGTCTTTCGACGAAAAATTCTTGTTGGGTAGCTACGTTGGGTAGCTGCTGTTCGATCCTTTAAGATACCTCTGGGTGTGCATTGCATGGCGCTTTGACCCTACATTTTATGTTTTTGATGCGGTAATATCGATTGGGGAATTGGTACTGGTGGTGTTATATAATAGTCGCCGTAAGGCGGAATGGAACTGAGTCGGATCATACGTGGTTGTCTTGATGCATTGTGGATGTGACGTTGAGATTGAAATGGGGAAGGCACGATGGTTCGCCTGAGTGACGCTCAACTATCACATCACATCACACCCTCTTGTCTATCCTTGTCCTACACAGGCGCTTCGGACAGGCCCAGCGCTTAGTTTTACATTCGGTCAGATCATCGGATAGATTGTGGTCCACGTCAGTCTGAGTGACCTCAGATCTTCTTGCGCACGTCGAAGCGACGACTAATACCCAAGCAGCATGCTCTTTTACCTCACAGGATCGTGTTACTGCTCAACATCATGAGTATCCACCTCCACACCAATGATGTTAGCTATCGATAAGAACCGATCGTACCTGACGATCATGGCGTAACCCCACCATCGCAGCTCCGAAACCATCGTCAATCACAGCAGTTGCCAGACTTGGACGCCCTCGTGCTTAATGGGAAGCACTTCATAAGACCGGCCTCACTAAACACCAACAATGTCCTACTCCCGCGATCCAAACATCCCCCACCTCACCCACCACGCCTCCATCCACTACAAACCTCACGCGACGCGCCTCCAGACACTCGACATCTGGCTGCCCTCACACCCCACCCCTTCGAACTCAAACCAGACCTCTTCCAAGCCCGGTACCTGGATAATCTACCTCCACGGCGGCGCCTGGCGCGACCCCACCCAAGACTCCTCTGCTCCGTCCCCACCCTCCGCGCCCTCGCCAACACTCACCCTTCCCTCCTCCATCCAGCCCACATCTCAGGCATCGCCTCCTAAACTACCGTCTCTCTCCCTACCCTCCCACGCCACAGACCCAAGCGCCCCAGACGATGCCTCCAGAAACGTCACGCACCCCGCGCACGTAGAAGACGTGCGTGATGCGCTGATATCTGATCGCCGAGTACGAAGTGCACAGCTGGATCGGCGTAGGGCATTCCTGCGGCGCAACCTTGTTATTGCAACTCCCCTCCTTTCCCAGACCGAGAAGATACAGGGTACACTTCGAGGACTCGTTCTTCTAGCGGGGATATACGACGTACCTCTCTTCCTGAGGTCGCATGCACCGCCCGAGTGTCCGGCGCACATTGCGAAGATCTACGCGGATATCGTTGCTGGTGCGTTTGGGGATGATGAGCAGGTTTATGGGGAGGTGTCGCCGGCGAGGGTTGGGGAGGGGATGCTGTGGGGAGGTATGTGGTGTTGGGGTATAGTCAGGAGGATGAGCTAGTTGAGCCGGCGCAGAGGAAGGTCATGCTTGAGCGGTATTTGAAGGAGGGATGGGTGCGGAGTGATCGGGAGGGAGGAGGGACGGAGGCGAAGAAGGTTGTCGAAGTGAGGGATCTGAAGATGGGACATGATGAGGTGTGGGAAGATGGGGGGCAGATAGCGGAGCTGATTGCTGAGGTGGTGGGGAAGGTGGGTGCGCGATGATAAAGGCATGAAGGAATACAAAGGGTCGTGTGAGGGGCGCCGGCGGATAGGCGAAGTTGATTGACGTGTCTCAGCATGGGTATAGAGGGACGAGTGGTTTGACATCTCATATTCTGCTATTAACATACGGATGTGGAGTTTTCCTGACAGAGAAGAGAACTCCAAACTGGAACAGAGGCTGACTTTTGAACCGTCCGACCTATCCAAACCCAATGCTCGCTATCGTACTGATACAGCGCGGTAATGTACACTATGCGTCCGTGGTTCCTTCTCCAAGATTTTACCATCTACTTGCTTTACCCACTCTATTTCTTGTTCAACCGCTGGTCCATGGCTGCGTTAATGGCATTCTGAACATGCCCGGTGCCATTTTCTACCTCTTCGAGCTGGGCCTCGAGTTCCGCAATCTTCCTGCCCGCAGCGGTGTCCTCACCTCCCTGGACCATCTTTGCCGCCACGCCCTTCGCATTCGAGTCGTTGACCTTGCCGTAGACTGCCATGGCACTAGCAATCATGCCACCGATGTCGCCAACGTTTCCAGGCACAATAACGCTGGTGCCTTCTTTGGCCAGGTTCGCAAAGGCATCAACGTACTTCTCCGCCACAGACAACGAAACGGCACCTTGGGCAGCATCCTTGCCTTGGGCGATCGACTGCGCAACGGCATCGATACCTCGAGCCGTGGCTTGTTGCTTCAGCAAAATAGCCTCGGCTTCACCGCTTGCCAAATTGATCTGCTCAGCCCGCAGAGCCTCGGAAGCCAAAATGACGGACTGTTTCTTTCCCTCTGCGATGTTGATAGCCGACTGCCTCTGACCTTCCGACTCGAGGATCTCGGCGCGCTTGGAGCGTTCCGCAGTCACTTGGCGGTGCATGGCTTCGACGACAGGCTCGGGCGCGTGGATGTCGCGGATCTCGTAGCGCAGGCAGGTGACGCCCCAGTCTTGGGCTGCCTCGTTTATGGCGGCGGTGATATTTGCGTTGAGGTTGGCGCGCTCCTTCAATACGTGGTCAAGGCTGAGTTGACCGATCTCGCTGCGCATGGTCGTTTGAGCGAGCTGTGAGATGGCGTATTCGGCGTCTTCTACGCCGTAACTGTCCACTAATCAGCTTCCATGCCCAAAAATCCGAGGGGAAGAGGTTCCCTACCTCGCCTTGTACGCATCAAAAACCCTGGTATACAACACACCATCCAGCTCCAACGTGACGTTGTCCGCTGTAATCGCGCTCTGACTCGGAATCTCAATCGCGTTCTCCTTCAAGCTCTTCACATATGCGATTCGGTCGATAATCGGAAGCAGCACGGCCAGACCAGGCTGCAGTATGCGGTGGAACTTGCCCATGCGCTCGACGATCCATGCTGTCTGCTGCGGCACAAACCGGATAATTGTGTTGGCGGGGAGGCTCCGCGAGGAAGAGAAATACGTGGGTGGCGAGTTCGCGGCGATGAAGGAAGAGAGAGGGTTTCCCGTGGCGTTTTGTGCGGCGGGCGAGTGCGTTTGAGTGAAGGTGCGGAGGGCGAGAGGAGCTGCTGTTCGTGGCAGTAGGGTCGTCCGTGTGGTTCGTATCAAGCCTGAAGCCGCGGAGGCAACCAGGCGGGTGCGCGACGCCATTGTGAGGTTTTGCCGTGGTGATGACTGCGGCACGAGGAGCTCGAAGCTCGAAGCTCGCGGTGGTCGGAGGACGGAGCGGCCGGGGTTGGTTACGTAATCGAAGGTACATCATCTATTTGCGGCTACCACTCATCTTCCCTCCCAGAGTGCTGCACCTTCTTCTTGATAGGTGCAATTGTTACTTGACGGAGACCAGAAGTCTGATTCCAATCGAAATGGACACGACACACCTGCTCGATGGGACGATTGGGTTGTTGAAATGCGAGGAGTAGGTTTCAGCTGCCGACACCAAACGCAATGCCTCAAGTTTTAACGAAATATATTAGAAATGAACTAACAAAAAGGTATCAAATGTCCTGAAAAATATTGAGAAACCTCTTTCAGACTCATGACTTCCTCTTTCCTTGGCCAATGCTTCCTACAAACCGGCTGTGATGCCCGGCCTAATCACCTCATACTTCTTCAATCCATCCCAAACCCGCCGCTGTACCACTTGGCCCTCCGGACTCCTCACAAAGGGCGAAGGCTCAGTAATTTTGAAATTACTAAAGTACTTCCCATGCCCTTCCGGTCCTTGACTTGCCGCATGACTGAGAGTTCGACCACCTTGCGCACTGGTACGCGCAAGAAGTGCCTTCATTATGACATACACAACCCTCACCACACCCGTAACGTCTCGGGCAAGCTCGCTGGACTGGTCAGTGTATGTAAGGTAAGAAGCTGAATGAGACTTACGAAGCACAGAACCCAGGACAGACGCTGTTGACTATGACGGGGCTGTTGGAACTGGACAGTCGATCCGCTATCTCTCGAGCAAGAAGAACATCCAACAACTTCGTCAAGTTATAGCGTTCCTGCAAGGCCAATACTCCACCATTATGCTCCGTATTCAGAGCCTCGAAGATCTTTCCTTCTGGTGCATCTTTCTCTGCAAAGCGCGCAGCGCCGTGCATCGCTGACGCGACCACCGTGACAATCGGCCGGGTATTGAACTTGTTGGCCGTGTCATTGAGTTTGGGCAGCAGTGCGAGTAGTAGCAGGAATGTGGATACAACATTCACAGTGAGAGTTGATTCGTCCTGCTCATAGACTTCCCACTTCGGTGCTGAAATGCCCGCATTCAACACCACGGCGTCCAGCCTTTGCAGTTCCTTTTCGGCACGGTCTGCGAAGTCAAGTACAGACTGGTAGGACGACTGGTCCAGCTGCCATACTTCGACGTTCTTGTTGCCAGTGCTGGTCTCGATGTCTCTTTTTGCAGCTTCACCCTTGGAAAGCGACCGCACGGCTAGGATAACTTTGGAGGCTCCATTTCGGGTAAAATCCCGTGCGGCTTCTAGACCGAGACCAACATTCGAGCCTGTCACAATGACAGTCTTTCCGGCGAAGGAGGTCGTCAATTGAGGAACGGGTGTGCGTAATTGAGCGATGAAGAATCCAGGGGTTCCCATTGTTGCGATTGAATCAAGAGATGATACACATTTCATGGCAATGGCTTGCCTTTTATTCATTTATTCTTTGTGCCATATTTTGCTGTGTTGCTGCCTCAACGATTGAGGTGTAGCAGTAGGGCCGAATGGCATCGAGGTCTTCGTGGACATTGGAAAGTCATTCCCTGTCCGCTCTTCGTCCGGCAGCGCTGCGCACCATTCTGTGGTAGAAGCTGTATCGACAAAACGAGCAGTGCGGAGCTCTCAGAAGCTATCAATTCTATGTTCCGTTGGTATCGAAACTCTGCGAAATGCTACGTCTATCTAGCGGATGTCTACAGTCCTGAGTACAATGTCGACAGCCATGGGTTCCACCAAAGCAGATGGTTAACAAGAGGATGGACTTTACAAGAACTGTTGGCCCCCCCTTGCGTCGAATTCTTCACCAAGGACTTCCAGTACATTGGGAGCCGCAACACTCTATCCGCCTCCATTATACAGGCCACCGGGATACCCGAAGAGGCTCTCCACGGGTGTCCTATGTACAAATTCACCGTGGCCCAGCGCCTCAAGTGGGCAAAGCATCGCTCTACAAAGCGGGAAGAGGATGCAGCTTACTCGCTCCTTGGTATATTCGACGTTTACATGCCGCCAATCTATGGGGAGGGTAGGGAACGAGCAATGTCTCGCCTGCTGTACGAGTCCGACCAGCATGAAAGGCGTCAACATGGGTATCTGTTCAAGTGGTTGAGACTGATGTTTCCGCGGGTATGACTGCTCCCCCCTCCTACTGTGAGTTTTATACACCGCGCTGACACAGGCAGGTCATGGTCAAATACAATGCCTACGAGTCATTTGTGTTCTGGATGGTGTTCGGATCCGTCTTGGGTGTGACAATCGCCTACCACGGCATAGCAGACTGGCTTACCGCCTACACTGCGAAGGGCGCCCGCTTCGCCGTTCGTGACATGAAGATCTACCCGGGGGTGGGTCTTCTTAGTGTAGCGGGTCTTAGCTACCTCTTTAGGTACCACTAATACACATTGTTTACTTTCCCACAGCTTCTGTGCTCGGCTCCGCCCTACCACTAGTAATACCCGCTTAGAGACTACCTACCTTTTCACCTTTTCACCTTTTAACCTCACAGCACTCCAAGTCCATCCTGGTCCTATCTTCCGTCCCCCTGCTATTCTTGCGAAGCAACACCTTAACGGGAATCAGTCTCTTAGGCTCCTCATAACGACGAGTTAATTTTTGGCGGGTCACAAACCAATTGCCTCAATGCGCCTCTGTTCAGCTCCGGCTCTCAGGTCTAAGCCCTCGCCAGCTTTCTACTGAAGATTATCTCATCCGCACGCGGTTAGACGCGTTGTAGCGGCACGGTAGATCTCAAAGGCTCGAGTAGCCCGGCATATTCCCATCGTTGGGGCTCGCGTCATCACATTGCTCGCGTTCGGCCCGATGAGGAATCTAATAGCATCTTTCCCTGTCATACTTTAGCCTACCACGTGGCTACCTACAGTAAGCTGGTCACGGGTGACGTCCTGGACCATTACAAACACCGCTTCAAGGCAGCGTATGCCTCCTAGTTTCAATGGGATCTAGGACAGCTAAATAGCGGTTGTGGCTCATCCGGCACTCCCGGAATTGTGTGATACTTTGCATACAGGTATATTACGATCTCCCAGCACGGACCGGGAGGAACAGATGCCGGGTAGTTACCAAGGTAACTATTCAGCAACTTTTTAAGGTTCTGCTAAAATGGCCTGCGGCATATACAACAAACTTGTGTTGGGCTCCCGCCCAGAGGTTGTCACTCGGTCAAGAACTCGGTCAAGAACTCGGTCAAGAACTCGGCCACTTTCTCGGAAATTGCTCCGACCCAAAGATGCATAAACATTCAGTCAGGAGCTGAATCTCTGAACCTATCGAATTGATTCGTATTCCTCTGGCACATTCGGCCTCTTGGTCCCTTCGACCGTTGCATACATCTGCATAAGCAAAAAGCTCGGGTCAACTTCTAATATTTCATATATATACACACGAACTGGGAACATCTCGAGGGTACTTGAGTCAATAGACGCTCCTCACTTATACCACCGCCAGTATGCATTCTCGAGCATTTCTTGCGTCACTATGTGTTGCATTTACTCTAGCTGCATCATTATCGACCAATGACTTCGGCAACTTCGAACCTCCAGATATCGTTGAACGAGACATTGCCATCATTGGCGGCGGCTCCGCAGGAACGTACTCGTCCATCAGCCTGAAGGATAAAGGCAAATCCATCATCGTAATCGAGAAAAAGAACCGCATTGGCGGTCATACAGAGACCTACATCGATCCCGCAACCGGCACCCCAATAGACATGGGTGTCGTAATTTTTCACAATCTTACAATCGTCCGCGACTACTTTGCGCGGTTCGACGTTCCTCTGATCACCTCTGGCTCGGATGTAGACCCAAACGCTGTCTCCGTCACCGGAACCTACGATCTCCGGACTAGCAAAGAGGTCAACATTACGAGCCCAAGCCAGACGAATGTAGGTGCAGCATTCGCCAAGTATGCTGAATTTTTGGCAAAATACCCACGCTTGAATGACGGCATGTTTCTGCCCGATCCAGTGCCTGAGGATCTCCTGATGCCTTTCGGCGACTTCGCGAAGAAGTACGGAATCGAAGACGCGGTTGCAACGATGTTTAATTACAACCCAGGCTTAGGCGACATTCTCACCGTACCGATGATCGAGAATCAAAGAGTATGGGGCCAAAGTTTGGTGCAGCAATTAGCTGGCGGATTCCTAACGACCAAACACCACAACAACAGCGAATTATACTCAAAAGCGCAAGCAGAACTACTCGCCGCCGAAAGCCTTCTACTGCAGTCCCACGTAATATGCTCCGAGCGCTCTGACGGAGGCGTCAAGTTAATCGTCCAAACCCCTGCAGGTCGGAAACTCATCAAGGCAAAGAAGCTCCTCATCACAATTCCTCCTCGGCTCGACTTCCTCGCCCCATTCAATCTAAGCGCCCATGAACGCAGTATATTCGGCAAACTGATCGACGCAGGATACTACACCAGTATCCTAAATAATACTGGCCTCCCAGACGATCTAAGCATCACCAATTACCGCTCAGACACCGCATATAACCTCCCACAGCTACCAGGCGTATACGGCATCGGCAGCACCCCCGTTCCCGGCCTCAAACTCGCATACTACGGCACCCCTCGCTCCAACTCTACCTACCCGCTATCGGACCAACAAGTGAAATCTGAAATTGTCAACGCGATCAAAACGCTTCAAAAGGCGAATCCGGAGACGTTCAGCGCGGAAGAGCCACAATTCGTGGAGTACAGCTCGCATACACCTTTTTATCTGCAGGCGAGGCCAGGAGATACAAAGGCGGGGTTCTATCGGGAGATGTATGCGTTGCAGGGGGAGAGGAATACGTTTTGGACGGGTGCGACGTGGAGGGCGCAGGATAGTAGTGATATATGGAGGTATACGGAGGAGGAGGTTTTGCCTGGGTTGGTGAAGGAATTGTGAGGTTGTGTGTGCTATGGGACATTGTTCTATTCGAATGATCATGGTGTGGGTGATAGGATTCTCCCCACATCGACATATCCCACTTTCGAACTGTTGCCGTACACATATAACACTTTGAGGCGAGATAGTCCTTGAAGAATTACACGCAGGGCTATTGAAACGTTTCGTCATGATTCTGGATAGTCTATCTAGGTATATGGGTCACAAGCTTCTTTACAACACCATCTGATAAAATTTACTCGTCGTCGCCGAAGAATACCTTGACCGGCAACCAAGCATCGCCGCAAACCTTGAACCTCTCAGGCAGCGAGCTAATAGTCTTCTGTTCCTCTTCATCCAGCTCCCAGCCGTCTAGCTCGAAGTTCGCCTGGATCCTAGAAGCAGTTACACTCTTGGGAATGACACTCGTTCCTCGCTGAAGACCCCACAGCAGCAATACCTGCTGCACCGTCTTCCCCTTCTTCTCAGCGATCTTCTTCAACTCATCGTTCTTGTACAGTGGAGAGTCGGTCGAGCCAAGGCAGGAGTACGCTGTGGCGTGGATGCCCTTCTCCTTGAGGTAGTCGAGGAGCTTGGGCGAGGGGTTGTTAGGGTGCAGCTCGACCTGGTTGACGGCGGGCGTGATCTTGAAGTCGGGAGACGCGAAGAGCTTCTCGAGATTCTTGATGGCGAAGTTGGAGACGCCGATGTTCTTCACGCGGCCGGACTCAGGCAGCTTTTGCATCTCGCGCCAGGTGTCGCGGAAGTCCCAGTCGGGGTAGTGCTTCTTCAGGTCGGCTGGGTCGGAAGATGAGGGCCAGTGCTATAAACATGTCAGTACAAGGTATTTGGAAAGATGAACAGGGCAAAATGTACCATGAGGTAGAGGTCAACATAGTCGAGACCCAAGCTCTTCAGCGAGCTCTCAATGCCCTCTTCCACGCGCTTGTGCCACGGGTTGTCGAGCTTAGTGGTGACCCAGATCTCCTCGCGCGGTACGCCGGAGTCCTTGATACCCTGGCCGACCTCGTGCTCGTTGCCATATGCAAGGGCAGTGTCGATATGTCTGTAACCCGCCTGAAGTGCAGCCTTCACAGCTTCGCGGACCTCATTGGGCTTGGATTGCCACGTTCCCAAACCAATCGCGGGGATCTTTGCTCCAGTGTTGAGCGTGAAAGTCTCCTTAGTCCAAGTCTTGGGTGCCATTCTGGAAAGTGTGCGAAGCATTCAACGAAGAGAAAAATATGAAGAATGGGTATCAAAGAGAAAATGCGTTGAGAGAGAATGGAGCGGGACACAAGGAGGGGCAGACTTTTAAACACCGTCACCGTCGCAATCACACAGTCGCATTCCCATTTCATCATAGGCCCCAAAACATCCCCATCGCACCCCACCACACGTATCTAGTCCGAATACATCAGCCACCGGAAGAACTGCTTTGGCCCGTCTTCCACGAATCAGAGCAGGATTTCGCCGCGGCTGTGGAGACCCTAGCCTCATCGCGTACCCCACCCGCTTAAACCACATCCCGCGTCTACCTCAACGCGCGAAAGCTAGATCTACAACCGCCACCTCGGCATTTTGACGCGGCTGAATTAGCAAACATGTCTAGCGGCTTCGTGTCTGGCGGTACGACTGACAAGCCGACCGAGCGCGACGAAGAATGGCGCGTGGCGCAGGCAGAGCTCGAGGCGAAGCGGCTCGAGAAGGAAGACCGCGACAAGCAGCATGACGGCAAGTCGCTGTACGAGGTGCTCCAGGCGAACAAAGGTGATACCCTCTCCTTTGGTCGAAGCGTAAAGAATCTGACTGACATGTTAGGTCGACCCTAAGCCGCCAAACAAGATGCCTTTGAAGAAGCCACGCGATTAAAGAACCAGTATCGCGCTCTCGATGACGACGAAGCCGAATTCCTCGACTCGGTGCTAGAAGCTACGCGGAAGAAGGAGGCGGAGGTGCAGAAGGATACACTAGAGCAGCTGGATGCGTTTCGCAAGCAGCGGGAGGAGGCGGAGAGGAAGGCGCTGGAAGCGGAGGAGCCCGAGGGCGTGGTGGAGGAGGAGGCGCATTGGGTCGCGCATGGGAGGAAGAGGAAGAAGGGGCCTGAGCTGCTGAAGGGCGTGAAGTTGAGGAAGACGAGCTCCGCGACGGAGGAGAAGAAAGATGTGGGGGGGAAGAGCAATGCCGGAGACACGAAGAAGGCTCCTCTACCGGGAGCACCCGCGTCGACGGCGGCTGCAACGAAATCGCCATCTGCTTCGTCCGCGCCGAAGCCATCCATACCGGTGTCACTAAGTCTGGGATACGCATCTTCAGACGAAGACGATTAATAGTCATTCCACGTCGCCGGGCCGCGTATTTCACATGTACACGAAGGATAGATGTCATAGCTACACGCACGGTGTGGGATATCGTGCATTTTGACGTATGGCTTGCGGACGTTGAAATGATATGTCTCCGTCACCGATGCCCACAAACGTACTCCCGGAGCAGCGATGCGTGATCAGACATAGCGGCTCTCCCAGTGTCGTGAAGAGATACGACTCCACGACCGCCTCGACGCCGATACACGCCGTTCCATGAACTTCATTCTGTGAATGTAGCGAGGTATTTCTAATGCTATTCCTTCCACTTCTACTTCTGCTTCATATTTCTGTTCCGTACCCGTCAGATTGCTTCTATCTTTCCCTTCAGCGTCTCCTGATCTGTAGTGAGGTATTCCTATGCCTATCCTTCTACTTCTGCTTCACATTCATTTCTTTACCCGTTGATTTGCTTCGATCACTCCTTTTGTGTGTCCTGGTCATTCGATCGTTTGTGGGACTGTGTCGCTACTTCCGTCCTGTGATGGCTGACAGCGGCCAAGCTTGGCGTCAGTGCAATAAGGTAGGAACGCGTCGACACGCCCACGGATGCGACTTCCTCGGGTGCTAGGCTGCGACTCCCGTCCTAATCGCCGGGATAGCGCTTTGTACTCCGACACCACGCATCGCGGCGGGCGAACGTCGATTTGAGTTCTGAGGCGCGAGAGAGGGACATTTTGAGAGGAATCATCAAGGTACGTGAGCAGCTCGTAGGTGCAGTCGACCCGGCTGCGAACGGAAGCTGTGAAGGTGACTGCGCGTTCTTCGAGTACTCTGACATCTTCGGCAGAACTGTTGCAAGCTCACTGCGGCTTTGTCGATGTTGACATTGCTCTGCGACTTTTAGGGGCTCCCTTCATCGAACGAAGGGAGATGCGGGCGTATACCTCTCACGCTATGTACATATCGCCATAATGTGGGACGGCGCAAGCATCACCCGACCCGCCTGGTGGGATCGATGCCTCTGACAGCAGATCAACGCTATCTTGTCCACTTCACCCTTGCAATCAGGTATGTCTTTCCACGGTCACCGCTGTATCTCACTTTCCCACTGTGTGGCTAACGCTATCTTGTCCACTTCACCCTTGCAATCAGGTATGTCTTTCCACGGTCACCGCTGTATCTCACTTTCCCACTGTGTGGCTCTGTCCAGGCGTGAAGCCGGAACGGGCGGCATCGCAGCAAACGCCAGGCTCTTACTTTGCCTCGCCACAGTAGCTGTTCCTCCTATAATATAAAGGAACCCCGCCTTCGAAGACCTGTCACTTCTATCCTCCACTCTCGTCCCGACTATCTCGTTGACGAACCTCTCACGAACATGTCACACTTCCCCTGCCGCCTAGCAGAGTGAATTGAATTCTCAGAATCGTGGACTTAACCGATCCAAGCATTCAACCGTGCGTTGTGCATGTGAGGAAGCCACCATGGCGACAATCGAATATTGTCTTCGACATATGGTTTTGCCACCGAAGCTACCCCAAGAAGATGATGTCACAACTGCAAGTGAGCAATCGCTTCTTCAAGTGACAGTTGCAGCTCTGCAAGATCTACGAAATACGCTTAGTACCACGGAGCCGGTCCACGCCCAGAAGTTTGATCCCGTCATCACAATCGTTGAAAACCTTCTTCACAGTCGCAATGATGAAGGGTACATTGCAGAGACTGAGTTGATCAAGTCCTTACACAAGCTGGCCGCCACTAACAGCCCAGAAACCCTTCCACTGCATGTGAAGGCACAAAATGCCGGCATCCTCGTCAGAAGACTTGGGGACGATGTCGTCTTTGAAGTTTTCGAGCTGTCTCCCCAGGATGAACAAGTTACTACTACCAAAGGCCGATTGGTACGATCTTTTCCAAGCTACGCCTGCCGAATTCATCTAAAAGCCTTCATCGAAGAGGGCTTGGTGGAAGCTCTAGCTCATCATATCGCGAAATTGAGTTATCACGAAGTTTCAGAATTCCGTTTTGGCATCGCAAAGGAGAAAGACAACACCGGGCCACCAAACACGGCTCACCCAGGCTTAGTGACAGAATACCTCGTCAGTGTCTTGGCCGCTCTTGGAAAGTCTGCAAATGTGATTACCATCACGAAAAGTACGCGAGAGGAAGTTATATACTCCTCCACCGGATCACCATGGCGTCGATCTCCGTTGTGGCTACTTGTTCGTGTCGCCATGCAGCTCGAGTTTTTCCGATCTTCTGGCTCAGGCACGATTGCACTTGGCCTTTACAAGGCTGCCATACTCAATGTACTGGCCAGAGTCCTCAAGGAAGCCGAACACGAAGGGCTCGACCCTGACTTGCTGTATGTGACCTCCGCAAAGCTGTCCCGTCGCCTTCGGAAGCTGAAGTTCTTGTGGCAAGATGATGAGGACCTCTACCACGTGTGCGCGAATCCAGTCCGAACCAATTTGATTGAGGTTCATCAGAAGATGGCGGCCTTATGGAATGCCATCATGGACAGTAGCGACTTCCATGTCGATATTGATGACTTCCCGAAAGTCCTTCAGACGCTGCAGCCCGCAAACGATGTTACCATGAGTTTCAAATCACTTGAGCTGTTTTTGCGCCATATTTCCTCTCGAAAATCGAAATCTGATGCATCAGAATTTCAACCCTCGCTAGAATTAGCGGATTTCGATGACGTTGGGCTCGAGTTCGCTTTCGATGCTACCAGCGAATATCGATACTTCCAGTTATTCATGGTTGAGTTGTGGGTGGAGAAGCATCTTCCGTCTTGGTTAGAGACCCACAAGACGAAGAAGACTTGCGAACGCCTAGCTAGGCTCGTCCAGGAGTATCATCGCGCGGCATACAATGTGTACTCCGAGTCGAAGTCTCCGAGCGGCTTGTCGGTGATGCATATCACAATAGCTGAGCTCTGGAAAGCTTGTGATATGTGTGCATGTGCGATATACCCTTTACTTCTGTCATACAGTCCGGAGGTCGATCTCACCCCACTTCAGTCCCTATCGCTACCTCTCAGAAGTCAAATGAAACGTTTGCAGGAACTCGAGCGGTACGTTGAGGCTCGTGAGAAGGGGGTGGATGCAAGCCTTCCCTCCATGTTTCGCCACTTTGGTCATGAGCAGTCATTCGCTGTGAAGTTTTTCGACAAGTCCACGTCCCTACAAGAGCTACGAGTACGAATTGACAAAGAGGCGAAGACTAGGAAAGAGAAGAAACTTGACGAGTACGAACGCAAGAAGAAGAAACACGAAGATATCATGATAGATGTTCATAAGATGAACTGCGAAAACCACGATGAAGGCCCGGTTGACCGCGGCCATGGACGCAAGCGCAAGATGGAAGATAATTTCGAAAATTGCGAGAAGTGTCAATTGCGCCTTGAGGCGGGAAAGATCAAGATTAGCATTCACGAAAGCCCTCTGAGCTCCAGAGAACCTCTTGCGAAGGCAACAGTATTTGAGCTTGCGAAACCGGAACCGTTGAGATTCTGGATGGATTTGACGTTCTTTTTTATGAAGAACGTGTTGCTCTTTACCTACGACATTGATGTTCCAGCAACTGCGCCCTATTCACTCGACAGCTATGTTGGCATCCCTGCGACTTTTCGAAAGATTTCTCAAGACCAGCGCGTCAAGATTTGTTCTAGCCGACAATCCGCTCATGGGAAGCAGCGGCATATCCGGCCTAACGTAGCTTACTTGACACCCGAAGATGTCTGTGTTCAGAATGAACTCGATTACCGATATTATGAAATGTCCGACAAAGACGCAGACCAAGATGCCGATGGCGATAAAGACTCCGACCAAGATCCTGACAAAAATACCAAAAAGGTTCGCGTCAAAAAGTTCCTCATGAAGAAGCTAAGGATGACGGACGAAGTTCAGAAGAAATGCACATACCAGGTTCCTCGCAGATCATCACAGCTGCAACAGTATCTCACTCTTACCTCACCACCCGTAAAGCCCAATTCCGTTGCGGCTTCTGTTTCCAAATGCCCCCTACATCTAACTTTTGACGAGTACAAAGCCCTCAGTCTCCTTCCAGTTGGACACAAAATCCAATACGTCAATATTCTGACACAGCTTCGTTCACCAACGCTGGATTTCGCGAAGGCCGAGGCGCATTGCATTCTTCAGCAGACTCTTCATATTGCGGGTCCACCAGAAGCAGCCCGGGCGATTGGGCGTGAGATCCATTGCATCCTGCACGATGACACATTTGCTCAAGCCTTGATGAAAGAACTCGATGCTACTCTGAGAAGGACCCAGTCAAATTGGGAATCATGGAGAGTACTAGCTGTGTGTATACTTCTGGCTCGCAGAGTTCTCACTTTCACCGAGTCGCTCGACATTCGGTCCTGGTGCTTAGACTACCTGACACAATCTCGAGAGGTTGGCCTAGGTTGGATTGATGGTCTGGAGCAGAGACTACGTACTACCATAGACGACCGGCGACAAGTTGACTTATTGTCTAGGCAGACGGACATTGCGCTCCTATGCATTAGCACGTTTGATGTGGATGAAATATGTCTCAACGACACTCTTCGGCCTCCTGGAGCGTTTACCGACATCATCCGGTTGTCTTTGATTGTGCGCAAGAACAAGGATACTGTACGCACAAACAATCACACCGTGTGCACGAAAGAAGATGCTGTGATATCTAATTATGAGGATTTACATCTGACCGCGCTCCAGTCTTGGAGGAGCATTCTGTTTCGCACATCGCCGTTACTGCGAGCCGGCATCGCTTCTGGAAAATACCAAACTGATATGAACACGGCTATCGGCTTTGTTCCTTCTGCTGCTTGGAAAATTCTTCCCGAACCAAAGCACCACTGGGCACACACCAGAAGCGGATCTGCTGATGTTTACTTTAACTTCCTCACAGCCGATTTGATAATGGACGGATTACCGTTAGCCCGTCTTCCGTCACAATACACCGAACAGGAAACCTATCAAACGCTCTTCAAAGGGATGCCCATTGAAGTCGTCCCCACAAGCGAACCGGGCATGTCATTTTCCTCTAAGGACTCTAAGGAAGAATTCTCTGGCTATCAACTGAGTTTCGGAATGGAAGAAAACGGACGGGACATGCTTGTCGTTGCTTCTCGAGATGACGAGGAATTCGATTTAGTACCACGGAGCGTCTTCGAAGGAATACTACCACAAGCTTTTGTCGATGAATATGTCCACTGGTACAATCGCAAAACAGATAAGATTGAGTTTAGACCTCTGGAAACCCCGTGGACCTCTTGCGAACACTCGTGGCAGCTCACAGGATCCGGGTTTGATTGGCAGCTTGAGAATTCGACTTCGGTACTTGTAAATCCCAAAAGTGAGACTGGTACTGTCGTCTCGAAAATCTTAGCGCCGTTGGAGCATAAGATGCACATTCACACTTGGGTAGATGTGATGTCCTCTCGGGTCTCAATTGGACTCAACAGATCACAACTTGACTTTTACTTCCATCCGCATGGATCAAAGATCCACTCCTGTCAGTACCCCGGTATGGTCATCGACCCCGATCAGCGAATAGGGACTTTGGTAGGCTTAGTGAGCAAACTAGTCTTACAGAAAGAGTGCGAGCCCAATCACCGAACGATCTTGATACCGGAGGGCACAGTCAGCTACTGCAGGAAACGAGACCACAATCAAGTTTCCATCGAAGTATCTCCGAATTCAAAAATAACGACGAAGATACACGAGTACCATTTCGACCCGATACTTGCGCGCCTGCAAGACAATGGGACACTGCAAAGTAAACTTCTGCTGTGCTATCTGCACGCCCTTACATCTCACTGCATTGTGGACCGCGCAACTGGCTTCACGGGTACGGAAGCCGCCTTGCTGATCTTACGCTCAGCTGCAGTGTCTTCCTTCGGAATATTCGAACCAGAGCACATAGAGCTTCTCGAAAGCATCGCCAAACTGACGCCGAGTCGGAAGCCCACCCCAACGTCGACACGAGCTATGCAACAACTCCACTGGGACGAGCAACTGTCTTTTCTTTCTCAGCATTCGGACTTCAGAGTCCAAGTCGAGTATCTTCTCTGTCAGTCACAGCAATATTCACTGTTTCATCCGCACGAGGATGATGCGAAACTACCCAAGCTCAATCTGGTTGATCAAGATCTGCTCGAAAGGGGCCAGATACGTTCGGCAATGTTCCTCGTCGATGGGTTTGGAGCTGAGAAGTACACACGAAACTATGACAGGATATATGCTGGAAGGGATGTCCACCTTGACCCAGACCGAAGCCAGCGCGCCGCCATCATCACTACTATGGTACTACGCAAACAAGTAGCTCTGGTCCGCAAGATCGAGAGTCTGCAACTTTCCCTCCACACCAAGCACCTTAAAAATGCCTCGGTGCAGGGCTACGTTCCACTAGAGCCAACAAGCCTTAATTTTGTCGCCGAATGGCTCGAGGAGCCTAGTAGCTATCTCCCTCGGCTTTGGTGCTCTTTGCACTCCGCGCTATCAGATACTTCTGGTCCTTTCAACAAGTTTGTCGTCGCAATCTTTTTATCGACCGTAGCTTTCGCTAAAGGTGCCGATATGGATGTGGTTCAGACCCTGGCAGCGTTTTACAAAGAGCCGAAGATGATGTCTATCACCATACCCCAGATCTCCGAGATCAACCTGAGTAAAGGGCATGGTCCTAAAGTATCCGATATTGAAAGAATCGTCCATGGCAACAGGAGGCCCTTCGAACAGTGTCCAGAATACGATCTACCACAGCAGCCTGAGGAATCCGTGTTAGCTTGGCGAGCTAGGAGGAACAAGCAATTCTCTAAAACCCAGCAGGATGCGATAAATTCTTTCTCGCTCGATTCATGGCCAGTGGCCTTGTGAGTCCCCAAAAAAGCCAAACACGCAGGATGCGGGTACATACATCAACATCAAGGCCGCCATGACAGAGCTTCGCGTCCAATGCAAGATCTGGTTCGAGAATCGTCTATTCTGTGACTACACGCAAAGGATCACGAATGCTGTGGAATCTATGGATGTTGCAGGCCTACCTACACTATGCATTCAGTCAATCATCCCTTCGTCTAAGACCGTCGAGAGTGACTCGAGTTGGTCTTTTAGCATCAGAGATATTTTCGCTTTGAAGCCACCATCTCCAGCACGGAATTCGTGTAAGTACGTTACGTTCATTCACCGTGTTAAGGCCAATAGAAAAATAGCACGCGCACAAACCACGCTATCCTGGCCAAAGCCGCCGAAGCTCAGCATTCCGACGGTTAATACCAAGCGCAGCGGATCCTTGCCAGATGACGGTCTGAGTCAGCTCTGTGACAGTCTGGATGAGGCAGCAAAATCCGAGCCAGAAAGGCAATATGTTACCGATCTCCGCGACAGTCGCGATGCTCTCGAGGCCGGGCAAGAACAGGTTGAGATTGTGATGAGCGAATTGAACAATGATCTGGGAACCATCTTGCAAAAGCATCACGACGATTGCAAACATCATCTTCAAGAGGTACAGTCGGTACTTGAGAATGTCGTCAAGACCAGCGATGATGTCGGCTGGTTCATCGGTCATCGGCCCCGGGTCCCTCCCACATTTTGGGTGGGCCAACTCAAGAAAGATTGTCATGACAAGCTTTCCCGAGACTGGAAGAGGGCCATCATTGACACTGGGCTTGCAGTGACGGAGCTCCATCGAGCTCGCAGACTCGTGCAGGTTTTCCTTCAAGATCCGACGGAACTCGCTCGAGAGCTATTTCAGAAAGGCCACACAAACTGGAGTCCAGCTAAATTCCCCGAGACTTTGCTCATGGAGATTGAGGGCGGCTTCATGGTACGAACAGTACAAGAAGACATTGCTAAGCAAATGAGAGAATGTCTGCAAGGCCAGAACTCAGTACTACAGCTCAATTGTGGCGAGGGGAAATCCTCCGTCATTCTCCCAATGGTTGCGGCTGCAATGGCGGACAAAAAAAGGTAAGCCGAGACACCGTCAATAGGCTTCGTAGAATACATTACTAATAACGCATGAAATAGCAACCTGGTTCGAGTTATCGTGGGGAAGCCACAATCAAAGCAGATGGCTCATATGCTCAGAAGTAAGCTCGGCGGTCTTCTCAATAGGCGTATCGCCTATATGCCGTTTACCAGGGCGCTCAAACTTACCGCTTCCAACGTGAATGACATCACCAAGATATACAGTGACTGTATGCAAGAGGGAGGTATTCTCGTTGTACAGTCGGAGCACATCCTGTCCTTGAGACTGATGTGTATTGAGAGCCTAGTCAGTGGACACAGCGACCTTTCCCTACCCCTTCTGGAACTCCAAGAATTCTTCGACGGCACCTCTCGCGACATTGTCGACGAAAGTGACGAACAATTTAGTGTGAAGTTCGAAGTGTGCTACACCATGGGCAAACAACACCCGATTGAATTGAGTCCAGAACGCTGGAGATTCGCACAATCTATGCTGTCTATGATAAAGAGCTTGGCACCTCGGATCAGGAAGAAGCTAGGGGATTCTCTTGAACTTCTTGAAATGGGAAAAGGAAGGTTTCCTCGCGTGCGCCTTCTCAAGGCAGATGCAGAGGATATGTTGTTGGACCTACTGGCGCAAAATGTCTGCAGGACACAGCGCCCACCTCTCTCAATAGCACGATTGCCGCCGACGCTAAGAGAAGCGGTGTATCACTACATCAGAGATGCAGAGCCATCTGCTGAGCGAGTCAAAATGGTTGAAGAAAGTGACTTCTTCAGCGAATCTGTCAGAGGCCCACTGCTCCTCATCCGAGGATTAATCGCTGGGGGTATTGTACGCTTTGCTTTAGGATCTAAGCGGTGGCGGGTCAATTACGGCATAGATCTCCACCAACCACCAAGGACAAAGCTTGCGATACCGTACCAGTCAAAAGACAACCCTTCTCAACATTCAGAATTTAGTCATCCGGACGTCGTTATCATTCTGACGACTCTCTCCTATTACTATGGGGGCCTTGACGAAGAAGATCTTTTCAACGCCTTCGCGCATCTTTTGCGATCAGATCAGAGCGAGGAAGAGTACGCGAATTGGGTTTCAAACCAAGATGAATTGCCGGAACGGTTTCACAACTTAAATGATATCAATATTGAAGATCGGCATCAATGTGAGACAGAAATCTTTCCTTATCTCAGATACTCAAAAGCAGCAATCGACTATTACCTGGGGCATATTGTGTTTCCCAAGGAAGCAAGGCAGTTTTCCCGCAAACTCTCTGCTTCAGGGTGGGATACCGCCGCAGTCAAGACGAACCCTACCACTGGGTTCAGCGGCACGAACGATGCTCGGGACCTGCTTCCATTGACTGTTCAACAATTAGACCTGGAGCCGCAGAAGCATACAAATGCTATGGTCCTGCTTCAGCACATTCTCGAGCCTGACGGCTCCCAACCGCAAAACTCAGTCCAATTGGTTCCACGGAAGGATACCACCACAAGCGACCATTCAGATGGGGAAACCCTACTCACGCTGGTGAACTCAATGAGCGAACCGGTTCGAGTGTTACTGGACGTTGGGGCACAAATTCTCGATTTGAGCAACCAACAGGTCGCTCGTACTTGGCTAGCTATGTCACACGTCGATACGGTAAAGGCTGCAGTTTTCTTTGGTAACGACGAAGAGCTTCTTGTTGTCGACCGACGTGGTAGAGTGGAAACTCTCCAGACATCTCCCCACCTGAAACGATTGGACGAATGTCATGTGTTCTTTGACGAGGCACATACACGAGGAATTGACATGTGCCTACCCAAGCACTATCGAGCAGCAGTAACTCTTGGGGCGAATCTTACCAAGGACCGACTCGTTCAAGCTTGCCTAAGAATGCGCAAACTGGGAAAAGGTCAATCGGTTGTTTTCCTTATCCCTGAAGAGATTCGGACCAAGATACTCGATTGCACATCTAAATCAGTGGATGACGAAATTACCATCTCCGATGTCCTCGCGTGGACGATAAAAGAGACATGGGGTGACCTGAGCCGCAGTATACCGTTGTGGGCCAGCCAGGGCCGTCGGTTTGAGACGCACAAGCATCTGCTGCGCGGTACTGTTACCACGAGAGAGCATGCAGAACAGTTTCTTGAAGAGGAAGCTCAGACTTTGGAGCAACGGTATCGGCCCCGTTCAATTACAACGGATCTGGGTTCTCTGGGGTGGGATATGACAAACGAGAATGTCCGAGAGATTCTTGTTCGTTGCAATGCCTATGGGACTATGAGTTTGAATCCAGCTACGCTTGAAGAGGAACAAGAACGAGAGCTTGCGCCGGAAATCGAGGAAGAGCGCCAAGTTGATCGCCCTGCCCCAATGTGTACCCAAGAGCACACGCCGGACAAGGACTTGGCTACGCTCGTCGAGAGCGGTACATTCGTTACAGGTTCTAGGACGTTCATGCCGGCATTTAGAGCGCTAGCAGACACAAGCGCGGCCAAAATCATCGACCTTGGCCAATTTCCTACCGATCTGATGGTCACTCAAGGCTACATTCGTACCGTCAAGCCTCCCCCAGGGCTTTCCTCTGCTTCGCTTGTTTCTGATTATTACCACCTACCGGTCCAGTATATTTTGTCGGTCGTGAAGCTCAGGTCGTCCTCCAGATCTCAGAACCTAGCGAACCTGAGGAAAGTAAATGCATTGGTCATCATCAGTGCTTTCGAGGCCGATGATTTATTCGATCGAATTCGCAACTCAGTACATGTCACACTGCATACTTACGCGCCTCGGATCAACCGGACTTACCAGCCTCTCGATTCCCTGGATCTATACACTATTGGTCGTCCTTTCAATCCGGAATTACCCAGAAGTCTGATCGCTCAACTCAATCTCTTTGCTGGACAGCTGTACTTCCGATCCTACGACGAGTACGTAGAGATGTGCGGTTTCCTGGGGCTCGCATCTACTGCTACTGCTGAGGGGCAAGCCGTTCAGACGGATGGTTTCATATTGCCGCCTGTTGGGGCATGGAAGTTTCGTGAGAGTCCGGTTAGGTTCTTGAAGGACCTCATTGTGAAGGTTCGGAGGGAAGGTGAGGCGATCGACAAGACGCATCTGGGGAGGATGTTGGAGGGAGAGGTCCTGGAGAGGAGTGACTTTGAGTAAAGCACTGATTTTAGCTTTTGTGGACAAAGCTGCACGGGTTCGACGTGGACTGCAAACTTTGGAAGAAAACCTGCTCCTACCGTCGGTAGGTATGGTGGGCACTGTACGAGATTTGGGGGCGATATTACGGCATCTACATTGGGAAGGGACCGGATGTGGAAGCTCCATGAAATATTTGGCATCATGATAGCTACAAGTATGGACTTTCAAGATTCGCGATTGCATTATTGATTGACGCGTGTGACAAGATGTTCTAGCGGCTGCCAAAGCCACGCGCCAAGTGGCTCGTGCGCACCCTGTCAGCTGCACCTGCCTGCGCGCTTATTTTAGGGCCTCCTGGGACAACAACTCATGGATCCTGACCGCATCTGCCTACTCAGCCGTCACCTCTGCACGCCATTATCTGTCATTTCGCCTATCATTCTTTGACAGTTGATATGTTTTGGATCCGCACACTGTGCCTCTGCTCTCGTTGATCGTTTCCCGCGCCGAAAAAGCCGCGCTCCCCAAGGCTTGCACGGCTCGCTGCGCGCAGTGAATCAACCTCTGGAACCTGGCCACATGGAGGCTGTCTGCGACTCTATTTCTGCCTGGAGCTGCACCCGGGCCCATTCTGAGCCTTCTACAAGAACTGCTGGCCAAATGAGCGAGGAGACTTCAACCTCTGATCCGCACACCGCTTTGTGGGCCGGGAATACGCTAAAAAGTCGACACCGCTGAACCGCGCGTTGCGTATAGAACATTCTTTATTGACGTTACAAACTCACCTTTGATGCGCGGTACATCCGTACCGATCACGCGACCTGGCACTCACGTTGTTGTCACGAGCTGCGCGCCGGCCGGACTTAATTGGATAGAGGTCGACTAGGCGCGAATTTACCCCGGTTCCAGCACGACAAAGTAAACACCCTGTATCGTCGCAGCAGTTTTTGCGAACCAAAGCGAGCACTCAAGATCCCTTCATACTGCTAAGCGTGTACCGGCTTTGCATCACCTCTTTCTGGGTGGCCTCGTCTTTTGGAGCGGCGCTTTAGCTGAGAATGGATCCCCTTCGCTACCGCAAAGCATACGAGGCGATGATCCATGTCAGCCGGCTTTTGGAGGACCGTCTGAACCAAGAACCATCGTCGGAATCGAAAGAGAAAGGAGAGGCCGATACAGTAGAAAATGGGGTATCGTTCGAGGTTGAGGATCCGGATAGCATGGAATGGACACCTACCGTCACTGGAACAGCGACTCCCCCAGCAGGCTGTGGACCACCACCATCGACTGCCAAGAATATGCGCCATCTGTTGCCCGACGCCGGAGAAGGGGAGTACCAGATTGAGGAAAGAGGAGACAACACCGTGCTGCTCCATAAGCTTCAAGAGGGTATCGTTATGGATGAATGCATTGACAGGCTCGTGCGCGACTTGCCCGATGTCTTGAGCTATGAGAATGCAGCCGCGTTCACGCCCTCCACGATTGAGGTGCCCAAGGACTTCGGCCTCCAGCTCAGTATATCCATCAACCATCATCTAGCTCAGGTTGCAGATCGAAAGGTTCTCGAGAAGTACAGACGTCTACTTGGCCATCGGAAGGACCCTTCGAAGCGAAAGTCTGTCAAGCTTGGTTTCGATGCTGTCGAGCTGATCCAGAATCAAGCTATCAAGTTCCCGGAAAACTCGTCAATTACAAAGTCCACACTCGATAACGAGATACACCCCATTTTCCGCCCGGAAAACTTCCACGGCTGCTCCGACGCAATCTACGAGGTATTAAAGCCAGCCATTCGGTTAGCTACCCTGCTTCTTTTCTCCCGAGGAACCTTTACTTTTTGGCACACGCTTGTGTTCGGCGACCGGAAGCCGTGCAAGAAGACATCGGACCTATACGGTCAGCCCTGCGCTCGTATCACGGAGGATGTAGCATGGTCCGATGAACACGCTGCGACGTTCAAGGACTTCATAGACAAACAGGTGGATACCGTCCACTTCATGTTTCATCGCGAACCGTTGCCTCCTGATCCTGCGTATGCTTCAATGGGTCTGGTCGCTGACTATAAGAACGGCATCATGCGGAAGCTCAACGGGAAGTGTCATACCAGCAGAATATGTTTGCACTCGGACTTCTATACCACGGCGAAGAAGCTCAGCCTCCTGCAGTATCCCGAGCCTGCCATGGTCCTGCGCTTCAACCTTTTTCTCGCCGTATGCCTTGCGCACGAAATGGCCCACTTCATCGAAGTATCCGGACCTCATCATGACCACCCACTTGGGCAGCCTGAAGTCTTCTTCAACGACAACATGTGGACCGAATCCGGCATCGCGTTCGAACTGAAGGTGTTTGGTGGGAGGCTCCACCCCATTTCCTCGCGCGTCGACTGTGGTCTAGGACTGGCCGTTCTATCCTACCCGCTACGAGAGGTCTACGACAAGGAAGACAACGTGCTCTACACCCTACCCATGGACTACATCACAAAGTTGCAGCAAAAAGAAACGTGGGAAAGGGACTTCAGCGAAGCAAGTGCCGACGTTTTTCACGTACCGCGCACAGGTTGTCGATCTATCGAGATCAACGGCATCAACCTTATGATCTGGGAAGACGAGAAGGATGTCGATATCTCCGATGATGTTGATCAGCTTGACACCATGTATAAACGCAAGGATGACGGGAGTATCATCAAGAACCCCAACTCGAGCAACCGCAAACCGCAACGACACGTTGAGGGACGCCGGTGGAGTCCATATGGTCACAAGCGCAAGGGAACTACAGACGGTGCCGCTTGTGTATTGAAAGAGGTAGCGTCGGTTGATGGCGAAGTTGAAGATGCCAAAGCGAATGAGAGCAATGAGAGCGAGGAGGGGACAGCGGCAGAGGCTAGTAACTCGGATGACGATATGGCATGATAGCGAAGGGACCTATCAGCAAAGAGAGCCCAGAACTATGAGGAAGGTGCGGGCTTGACTATCGTATCAGCGGATTGGGGTTGGCATACCATTTGGCGTTTCTGGAGCATTTTCAGTGTTGTATTACCATAGCGGCATTTCCAAGCGATGCATTGCTCATTATTGACAGTAACACATGCGATGACATTCTTGCATCGATGGAGGCCCAGAGCCGCAATGATGCTGAATAGTCGAATTTCCTGGGCTCAGACCACTGCAGAGCGTGGCTTGACTCGAGGGCCTTTACGGTATTGGTCTTCACAGGTAGTTGCAAAGCCTGGACGAGTGAGATATCTTACGTCGCGGTGACAAACAATCCATAAGCATCGTTACCATTACCTTGGTTTCTGGCCATACCGTTGACTAAGTCGCTGGCGATAGGCCGTATGTTAAGAGTAGCAGGCGTGGAAAGTCGCTTAAGGTACTCACAAGTCATATTTTTCAAACTGACAATGTATCGCGGCTTTCTGAGACTGTCGAGTGCCCTTCTGGGTCAACGCAGATAACAGTAACATTTACCCTGCTACTATTGAATAGGCAAAAGGTTTAGATTTTGAATTACAAAGGTTCGCTCTCATCAGTGTGAGCTCCCACTGCTCGAACTTCTTTCACGCGCAATCACGAGCCGCTCTGCTAGTAGCTGCCTACCAGCGACGGCGCCAGATCGGCTTCACCCCGTCGTTGAGACCTTCCAGATGGCACGCTAAACGAGATCAGGCCCTTCGCGCCGCCTTCACCCTCACTCGTGCAACAAATCTTTGATCTTGCGCCGCCTTCACCTTCACCCAGGCCCTTCACCCAGGCAACGTCCCTCTGATCCAGCGCCGCGCTAGAGCGCACAGACCCTCCAGGCGCCGCTCTTGCCGCCTATATAAACCCCTCCTGCCCCGCCAGTTCCCTCTTTTCTTCTCTCCACTCTACACTCCACTTCGCGATGTATGATGTCAGGTGTTGCACTTTGTCAACATCGGACCTCAACTTCAACATACCTTGACCTCAACCTTCGTCATTGGTCTTCATCATCATTGACCTGCATTGTCACTTACTCTTGTTGAGTCGGACCTACATCACGCATGTCGACCCTCATCCTTGTCGGCCTTGACCAACATCCTTCACTCTTGTCGACCATGACCAATGCTCTTCACTCATGTCGACCTTGACCATTAACCTCTTCAACCATGTCGACCATCATCCACTCTTGTTGGTCTTGTTGGCCTTGACTAACATGACCTTTCACTTATGTCGACCTTGACCTTCATCACCTGCCTTCATGGCCACCTGCCTTCACGGCCACCTGCCTCCATGATCAACCTCCTTCATGGTCAACCTCCTTCATGGTCAACCTCCTTCATCACGTCATGGTCACCCTTCTTCATGCCGGTCCGACTCGACATTTTCCTCCTCCCGCATACGATACGAACCGAACAGTGGAAAACACTGGGCACCGGACATGGCACCGAGCCATGGGCGCTCTCCATCCGCGGATGGTACAGCGTTGAGCTCGATCGGAAACAACCTCATGGACACTGGTACAGGGTGTGGTTCGAGGCCACAGGGTCCCTTGGGCTTGGACATGGTTGGTGGTCACTCGCTGCTAGTCATCGAACATGTGCATTCCAGTCTGTGGCGGCTTCGGCTCGGGTCAATCAGACTGGTCTTGTGCATGGGCTCGGTTGACACTTCAGACCAAGGGCATTCTCAGTTCATGTTGCAGGCTGTGTGGAATTTGAGGGCTTCGTGCCTGGCCTACCTGCGACCTCTCACCTGAGACCCCTAGTGGTTTGGTGTCCTCTGATGCTTGGTGCTAGTAGCTCTTCGGTATGGGTGGTTGGTGGTTGGTGGTTGGGATGTTGGATGCTGGAAGTTGGACATTGGTTCAAGGTGTTTGTGTGATGATCATCGGATGCTTGCTGGTCACTGACGATCTCCTGATGTGTTCTCCCCTGATGTTGGCTACTGTTTGGTTTGGTCGATGCCCTATCATGTCACTGTCTTGTATACTGTGGATGCTTTCGATCAATGCCATGAATGAACCATGTCTCACAACATAATCATCTTCTTCCTCTAATATCCTGTGCATTATGCCTGTGTGTGACCGTCATTCATGTCCCAAACCCTGTTACTGCAACTCACTCTCACTCCGCTACTTACTAGCCCCTCCACACCCTCCACACTCCTTGCCTCTACACTCAGTCAAGCAGCGCACATGAACAACCCTCCCTATCGCACTTCCCAAACATCTGTGTTATCCCCTCGTCTTCCACCGTGCTAATGCCCCGATCTGAATCCCAATCTCTCTCCAATGTTGTTCTAGCCACTCCACCGCCTGTAAGCGCATGCCCCGAAGAATACACCAAAGCATAACCCTGATATCTTCGCGAGGTCGATCACCCGGTCGCTATTTATCTACTGTAAGCGGCTTCGGGTACCATACCATGGAATTTGGACGTATTCCTCGTGCGATCACGCTGCTCATGTTTACGATCAACGCGTGGAGGCGTATGGCGCGATCACGCATGTAGCTGTCGTCTTCATCGGCTTTATCCGCGCCTAGGAGGGATGTGGTGTGAGCTTTGCGCGCTGTGACGTCGGGTGTAGCTATCACACTGCATCGACTATGCTGGCGACTGTTACGTGTCATAGACAATCGCTGTCGATATAATCTAATCCGGATCTATGGACCAGACTACATCGAGAACAAGAGTCAGCTACCGAATATTGTTGGCAACTATCTCATGTCGGCAACTTCGAGCCAGCATTTGGGTGGATTGGTAGGGGTTAAGCGACCTGGAGTGCAGGTTACTAGCAAGGTGTTGGAGGACGCAAAAGAGCTGGTCAAGGGCATGACCGATACGGCAGCGGGTGCTTCGTTCGTCGAGCAGCTACTTTCTCTTGGAGTGAAGGTGCAGATCAGTTATTTCGAGGCCGAGCCACGAGCTTGCGCATATTGATATGGTCATCATATTATCAGACCGCATCTAGTGGGGGGGATTGGCATAGTTCACAGCTCGACTGTGTGATTAGTTTGCCTGTAGGGTACGTTTGTAGTAGGTTGTGAAAGGGGTAATTAACCTACCAGGTATTTAAGATAAGGGTGTTGAGCTGCTTTGTCTGCTATTAAATGATCCAGAGACATGTGAAGAGCGGATTTGTGGATGCATAGAGCTGATTCATGAATTTTCTACCTATAGGAGCCTTGGAACTTAGGTCCTCCTCATTGATACAACAGCCAACAGTTGTTTCAGCATTTAAACCGCCTCCGCACTCAGATTATCTTCTCTTCTAATCGCTTGTCTTGCTATGATCCATCTTAGAATGATCGACCTCGACAGGGGGCCTCTCTAAGCTTGGATTGAGACCAATGGACCTATCCTGTGCCCAAGATTCAATCGCGTCCCAATCGGCGCAGGTGCGCTGCGAATTAGTCTTGGTCTTTGGCTTGCGCACTTTCTCATTTGAATCGGGCCACTGGAAGGAGTACAACGCAGTGTTGCCAGCGCACATCAGCGATAGCCGAATGGCCTCGAGACAGTGATCTGTTTCTCTGTTAGGACGATGTGTACTGTGCTTATATAGCGTGGCCTGAACTTACTCAAGTGGTTTAGCTCGTAATTGTCTTCATCGGAGCCATGAGCGAGCTTAGGATAGTAGTGTTCTTTGTGAAGGTACATTTTCAAACGACGCTTTGCGGTGTTAACAAAGCCATGCTTTCCACGAGCAGAAATGGTAGGATACGAACCATGCAGTGAAGCTCATGGTAGACACCAAGAGATACCATATACCCTCCATTTCCGTCACCCATGGCAACAGAATGTTCAGGGTCCTCTTGTCCGAGTAGCATCTCCTCATGTGAGGCGCGCGAAAGTGCCGCTGTAGTGACATAAGCTCAGAAAGTTCTACGCAGGCGTTTAAGGGGAGGAGCCTACGTATGACCAAGTCCAGCCAAGCTTTGTCATGTTCCTTAGATGGAAAGCCTTGGAAGCTTTCGTTGTACCCATCTGCTGAGTTTACTATAACGTATCGTACATTGGATACGGGGGCTGTGTTCAATTAATCGATGATTCCATAGTTGATGCGAAAAAACGTACTGTAAGGTGGGTCCAGACTATGAAGATGGTACTCTCCTTGTTTGTAGATTTTGACCAGGAAGACGAAGGATCCACAGACATATGAAGTCGCGAAGATAATGAGCAGCACGGTCAGGGACCTTCTCATCCAGCTGCGGTGCGGCGAAGGCGCATATCTCTCGTGTTGGAAACTGGCTTCCTCTGGAACTGATGCAGTTTCTGAGTCATCGTAGAACAGCTTGTCGCTCCGCTTTTCCAGCAGCTTCGAGTAGTCTGCGCCACTCATGACAGACCAGTAACGATGAATAGCTGGAATAGCAGCAAGTAGTGACGTGGAATGAAGGTGAATGGGAGGGGAAATGGGAGTATGCGGGAGCAACGGGGAAGTCGTGAACCAGAAGACCGCTTCCCAGGACACCTCCGATACTCTGCCACCGTGTTCTGCCAAGTGATTTGAGATGATATTCCAACAAATTAGATCGTATACCAAATGCACGGCAAAGTCGGCCTCGACCGAGTTCAGTCTGGGTTTATTTTACCCGTAGCATGGGCAGGAATCCTATCTTACCAGCCCTACCCACCACTTTTCGGACTCCGGTTCGAGACGCTTGATAGCATGGTAGTAGACCCTGGCATCTTCTCAGAATGTGACGCATGTTATCAACGCGCATGCAGCAAGGCAGCCTATTTGCCGGCCGGGGGCAACGGTTCTGCAGGGCGGAAGCAACGGTCGTGCATGGGATAGAACGGTCCTACATCCCTGAGGTACGGGGCAGTCGAAAAATTACCCAGTTGGGTAAGGTGAATGTGCGTGGAAGCTTGCTCAATATTTGAAATAAAGATACCTGCCGAAAGCGTGTATCGTGGACTTCGGATTATTGTCCCTTTGTAGAAAACAGTAGCATGTACCTCAAGTACCTCGCCGATTGCTGCAGTCTCGGGGGCCAAATGTCAATGTCAGCAGGCTGCTCTTACAAGGGTTAGTTTGCCCGTGGCAATATACTCACTGCATGGTACCGAATCTAGATGGTCGCAGAGACCTTGATTCTGGTATGTCATGAAGTCTTGGAGTAAGGTGAAATATATAAGAAGCAGTAAATGCTCACTGTTGTAGAAGCCACCGCGCCCATCTAAGCCAGTCTTCCTCAACCTTCCTACCTGCTTCTTCTCCTCCAAAGCTTAACGCTTCAACGGATACCAGCCACGCAACATGCAGTTCAATCTCGCCACCGCTGCCCTTTTCGCCATCTTTGGCCTTGCTATGGCGGCTCCTGTTCCCGGAGGTAAATATACGAATCCTTTTTTACATCGTGTTCTTGTTACTGACATTGACTAGTCGACTTTTGCAACGGCGCTGTTGATGGAACGGTCTCCACTGAATCTACCAATGGAGTTCAATGCTTGAAGAACTGAGTGGCATCTGCCAAATGTTAGAGTTCAACCAGACCGGATGGTGTCAGGGGTGTTTTCGGGTATAGGTTGCGAAGACTTTGCTGGATAGGATCTCAGCTTCGGATACGTAAATAGCTGGTCAGACTCAATGAATCCAATATTCAAGGATCCGATACACAAGGGCTTCTCTTTTCTTGCATATATGAATTAGGTTTTGCGATTTTCGCTAGAACAGTCTATGATTGTTCGTGGTTTTCGATTGCCTCTTTGCGTCTTGCACAACATTCATTCCACTTCTTTAACCTTCGAAATGTACCTCGGATCAAGGCGTTCTTTCAGTTAGGTGAGCTTCACGTTGAGTCAAGGTGTACTATTTGAGGCCCTTGCAGCGAAGGTGCTACGTTTGAGTACATGTTCCACCTCAGAAAGAGACAAGTTTAGCCTTCTACTCCGCGCCAAGGGCCTTCTAAAGCCTTGCTAGATGATAGATAGAGCAGAGGAACTTCGTGTATTGGAAGAATTATAGTATGGAGTCTCGGGCATAAGCGTCGTTGTTATCTTTCAGGGAAGATCTGCCACTGTGTACTAACCCTCAGATACGACCTTTCCTCAAGTTTAAGTCTACGTGCTAATGTATCGGAGGGGATGCGGATAGAATCGCGGCCAGAATATGGACCTGCTGATCGACCCAGACCTTCTCACATCTTCTCGGCGTCACTGTAAACCGTGCAGGGGGCATACGAATTCCGATAAGGTTCAGCGGGGTTCCTAACATCGCTGACCGACTACCACGCGTTCAGAATCCATAACAAGGAGAAGTAGTCAGAACAAGATAATTGCAGGAATTGTTTTGCCTGCTCATCAAGTTTTCTCAGCATGACATAGCATGAGCAGACTAGACCTGGACACCGTAGGGGCGTAAGCGATGTCCGGCGTGCATTGAGTTAATCTCTTCTCGGGATTGGGAAATCCCAAGCAAGTAGACTTTCGGCCTTTTACTTCAATGATGAGCCGAAGGATGAATCTCATGGACTAACCACAATAATGTTAAACTCCGTCCAGGTAGGAATATTGATGTCATTGTAGGCAAACATGGCCAAATGTCTTTCTTTGATGCCTGAACATTCGAAGGGTTATGATGACTGAGGTGACGGGGTGCCATCCAACGCGATCCTTTTCAGTCAGCATGCCCATTTGCCTTCTTCTACCCTTGTCAGTTTTCTTGGGTGCAATGGTTTTGAGCAGGAATCCGTTGCCTTCTTACTGGCGCAGATTGTATGGTGAATTGCGCCACGATTTCGGTCACATCATGCCGATGTATACAGGTAGCGTGTTTGAGTATTCCCTTCGAGAAGACTATCAAAGGGCTCGCAGAACCATGCCGCGCTACCAGGATCTATTCCTACTTGCTGCAAGGATGTAGGCTGACGCGTCGGGGTGTGTTCTCGCCCGATAGAGGGTGGCACTTGCGCCCTCGGGTAGATAAGCTTCCTACCCCAGGGCCGTGCCACTTTTCCCAGGGAGTGGAACCAGGGCTCACACGGCCCCCGGGAATTGCGATACCGGTAGCGTTATTTTGATTCCTGTACCGATTGAGGAAACAGTGCAAGTTCACATGCTTTGGAAGCCGCTCAAGGTTTTGTGATGCAGAATCTCAGCATTTACTACAGTGCTGGATGCGGTTGCCGACAGTCTCCTATCTACTCTGGCAAAGCAGGGGGCATTGATTATCACATCTTCCGCCAATCAATGTCACCATCGCCACACTAACCCTCACTTGGACGGCTCTGCACCGTCAATTTCCACCACTGGTCCCTTGTACGTCTTTTTGCCGCGTACAAAATAATACAACAGACTGAAAATTGCAACCGCACCACACATCAAACTGCTATAGTTCATATCCTTGGGAGTCGGGTTGATTCCAATGGGCCAGAAGCTGAAGATAAGAATAACGACCAGATAGGCACACCCAAAGCCGTTTACAATGGTTCCAAAAGGCTCGGGGATTTTCCATGGTCCCCAGGTCAAGGAGTCACAATCGACGTTGGCAAGGGATCTGTCATAAGGATCGTAGGCTTTTATGGCGCCGGTAACTCGTCGGTAGAGGAGCAGCGCATTTCCGATCAAGTACGAGGTATACAGCCCGTTGATGCTCAGGGAGACGACACTATTGAAGGCGACAGGAGAGCCGAGACCGATGAAAGACAGAAGCACGGCGACAATGATTGTGAACATAATGGACATCAGAGGGAGCGTGGTTCGGGGTTCAATCTTGCTGAGAAATCGCCAGCCAGGAGTTCCACGGTCGCGAGCGAAGGCCCATGTCATGCGAGAAGCGGTGGCAACGAAACTGATTGTGGCGCACATGTTGAGAATCGAAATCAGTGCAGACATGGTGAGCGCACCAGGTACATTTTCGACGGCTTGGCGAAAAATTTCCATGAAGGGGTATCCGGTTGCCGTTCCAAGGACCGTGTCTGCGTCGCCGAGACAGAAGAGCGTCGCGATGAGCATGGCAAGGCCGAGGGTGCCATTGAGGACCAGACTGAAGACCATGGCCCTAGGCACATTGACAGCCGGGTTGCTTATTTCCTCGGACATCTGGGCATGCGTTAGTGAACCATTGACTGTTCAGGTAGATACGGAAGGACTGGGAGACATACGTGTACCGCACTGTCAGCACCTATCGTCTTATTAGCAACAGTATCAGAGCGGTAACTGCTTCCTGACTCACCCAGAAGACTGAAGCAAGGCCCAAGAGCCCCGATAAAGAACGAAATACCATCCGAAGGCCAACCGCCTCCGTTGGTAAAGGACGTGAAAATCTCGTTCGTAGACCCGTGGGGCGCAAAATAAAGCATCGGAATCAGGATCGCAAAGAATCCGAACGTATGCAAAATCAGGATGAGGCTCTCAATATTGGGAAGTTGATGGCTGATCACAGTGTTCACTGACAGTGAAACAGCGAGAATGGCCCAATACAACAGCATGAGTTTCCACGCTGCTGGAATATAAGATTCATTTCCGAGAACCGCCAGACCTTGTATGAGCGAGGCGCAAAGGTAGCCTAGATGTTGTGGCACGAAGTCAGCTCAGAAACATCTATTTTGTACCCAGGAAGGTCGTACACCCAGATGCAACGATGGCTTGCCACCCGATCATTGTCAACCAGCCAATGAAGTAGCTTAGGAACTTCCGACAAAATTTTGGTGCAAGCATGCTCGTCCAGTGATATTGTCCCCCTGCGGTAGGCGCCCTAAAGCAGCTGTCAGAAACTTGAAGATGGCCAGGAAACAACTGATGAAGCTCACATCGACGCCAGCTCTCCCATCGTTGCAAAGGTTGCCATTGTTCCTAGCCACACCATTATGTATTCGTATACAGATCCCGCGAAGCCGCCATTCGTAAAGCTGATGGAGAATAACCTGTTGTGATCTCAGTATCCGATTAGCTACGACAAGATACCAGAGCTTACAGCAAGACACCTTCCCAGGTAATCATCACTGTGCACGCAAATGCCAACATAGACACGAGACCAAAGTTGCGCTGAATAACGCGTTAGCGCATATCGAATCAGTTCGAGGAAGTAGATGTACCTTCAACACTGGTTTCTTCCCCAGCCGAGTCAACTCTGCATTGTCGATGTCATATTGCGGCAATGCTGCTTCTGAGGTCGCAGCCTGTCCCTTGGCGCTTGCAAGCGTATCGAGCGGTAGATTGTCTTGAGGCATAGTTGTAGTAGACTAGATTTGACAAGTGTCGTCGTGAGCTGAAAAGAAATGTCAACTTCCAGTACCCTAACGCAGCCGATTTTGCACGCTTTCAAGACACACCAAAAGGGTGAAAGAGTTTTGGACAATCAAGGATCGAATGAGAAGACGAACGATCGCAAGTTCCGAAATTAAATTAAGTCAGCCTTGCAGTATGCAATAGACCGAGGAGCTTGAGCCAAACTTGATGGATCAGATTCGAGTGTAGGCGGCTCTCAGCCACGTCTGGACCATCAGGTTGGATTTTGCAGGCATGCAAGTTGACATGCATCAAACTGGAATGGTCATATCTTCAGCCAATACTGGGATTCGCTTTTGGCCCCTTGTGTCGGACTTCGAGTCTTGGCGCTGCAAGTCAAGAACGAATAAGCGCAACAAGGCTAGCCAATATATAATGCTTGTCTCTACTTCCTTTGCAAGGCGGAGCTGTACGTCCGAGCAAGCAGGGTTACTGCAAGATGCACGTCACCTGTAGGAATTGGGCAATCAGCCAGTTGTCCGAAGCAACAGTTGAATCTTCAAATTTGGAAGTTCCTGAGCGGATTTAGCTGGGCATTATCAAGCTCGGGTAGAGTAGACCCTGGTATTCCCGATGAAACCCCTGTTCAAGAATCATGCTGTTGGTTGGCCTACACAACATTCCTTGATACCAGATTTCTCCATTCGTGTGCGTGTGCATAGTTAATACAAGCCTTACTCCGTCATTCGGGTTGCTCGCCGACTCGCGTTACCAAGATGTCTTCAGAAGATCCTGAGCAAACTCCTGCCCCTATCCATCACTCTCACCCACTCGTCACTGCAAATGATCATTCTTCTCTGATCAACGTTCTGGCATGGTTCTCGGTCAGTGTAATCGTATTGATTGTGCTCACGCGTTTGGGCACAAGACGCGCGAAGGCGGGGATCTTTGGGTTAGATGATGGTTCAATAATCATTTCAGCGGTAGGTTCTGCTCTTGATTTGTGCCTGTTAGCTCATCTGGGCTGGAACTACACTGAAACTTGGAACAGTTTGTTGCAATCGGTCAAACGGTAGCAGTCTCTGTCGGTGTCTCACATGGCCTAGGAAAGACAGATGGCGAAGAGACGCAATCGCAGCTCGAAGCTCAGCAGAAGGTAAGCGCCCTACTCAAGGCTCATCATGCACTCCTAAGAGGATACTCAGTGCATCTATGCATTCACAATACTTTTCTTCGTCGGCCAGTTTTTTGCCAAAATCTCCATCGTTTGCTTCGTCATGACACTTGCACCTCCGGACCGTGCTTACAGAAGTCTCTCACGGGGTCTTGCTGCCGCCGCCGGCATTTGGATGCTCACCTCGGTGTTTGGCTTCGCATTCCAGTGCGAATTGCCTCAGCCATGGAAGTTCTTAGATCACAAGTGCATTAGTCGACTAAGCTTTTACACCTTTGTGGAAGTTTCCAACGTGATACTTGACACTCTGTTGGCTTTGTTTCCAAGCTTTATAGTCTTCCAGACGCAGCTAGATAAGAGGCGCAAGATTATCACGATTACCTTCTTCATGAGTCGAGTCTTGTGAGTATCATCCATGTGCCTTGCATGTAAATCAGCTCTCTGACAATATTATAGGGTAGTAGCTGCATCTGTCGCTCAGCTTATCATCATGTACTCTCGAACCGACGACCCTTTTCTTTCCTGGACCTTTGCGCTTCTCGTCACCATAATACAGACATTCGGTATAGTGACCGCGTGCGGGCCATACCTCAAGCCTTTCCTCGACTCCATCAACTCTGGCATGATTGGCAATGACGACATTCGAAGACGGCAGGGCGGCACAGTAACAGGGAATTATGGAGGAGTTTCGAAAGATTCAAGAGGCTCGAAACAGTCCAAGACAAGTAAGAAATTCCTGCCATCGCTGTTGTCCAACAGTAGGAAAATTACTTCTCGTCGTGATGAGAGTGAACTGGACACTGTGAAATTTGACCGGAACAAAGAAGGTCATAAAGCGCAGGTTGAGAGTGTGCAGAAAGGGGATGAATGGGAGGTAGGAAGTCAGTCAAGTCAGGCGAGGATCATCAAGCAGACAAGTACGTATGAGGTCAGTTCGCAAGTGAGTGAGTGATCGCGGAGTTGTTGCTAGTATTTGTCTAGTCATCTGATTTCACGTTTTGAGTGTGTGTATATACCCATTATCGAATGTAGCAAACGCATTATTGAAGTCACAATTCCCTTGAATAGATTTAGCAGTAATGGCTATTACTTGTCTGGTTGCTGCGAAACATGAGTCCGCCAACTGTACTGCTTCTGTGTAGCTTCGGTGGCAGGCGTCGGCCGAAGCCACGGTCCGGCATCAAGTGATACTTCTGTGTAGCAAATCTCCCGGGACTTCGCTATCTTTGCAATTTGGCAAGATTCGGGCATCCATTTCTGCAACTAACACTAGGAATACATTATTAGCTCGTGTGAAGACAAGGCTAAAATAGCTGGTATGGATGCGGCGAGACCTCGTATTCCTCACAGCAGGGTTGAACCCCGCTGGGCTGCGGGCCGAGTACGGGGTTCGTATTCTCTATTCGGGAAACCTACATGTGTAGCTGCATCAAATCAACCGAGGCCCACTGATACATGTAGATAAGTATCAGCTACGACAGGATTTCGGGATTCTTTCGAAGCTTCCCTCGTGATACGAGATACGAATCTGGGCCGATCCGCCGCCAGGGTGTTCGGGGATGCCTTCAAAAGAGTGCACATGCATCCTTACAACAACCATCCGTGCGCGGCAAGGTTACAACATGGACCAGGCCTTTCAATATTGTGCTTGCAGCTGCATAAAACTGGACAATGCTACAACCAGCTGTCTGACTGTGATTTAACGGGATCGTGACCCATGTGCACACATGCAGACGTACTGTGCCGCATTGGGGGCAGAGATTCCGTGTATGCAGTGGACCCACCTTTGCGTTTCCCTTTGCGTTTCCCTTTCCAACGACTCCCTCCATTTTCTATCGGAACTCTTGATGTCTGGCTTGTCTGCACAAGCTTGGTTTGCTCTTTGTTCAAAAGCGTCTTGCACTGTAGACGTCCGCATTCTTGTCTTCCCGCTTAGCCTTGTCTTTTGTTTTCCGCCCCTGGTACAACTGCCGACCGTTTGTCACTTGTAACCGAGACAATGGCAACTACCGAAAGCCCCAAAAAGCTTCGCTTCGCGCCCGGCGACATCATCATCTCAGAGGTAACCGTAGTTGACCTGAAGTCAATTGTGAATAGATCCGCTCCCTTATTTCACGTCAACTTCGTTGACCAGAAGTCTAGGCCGAAGGCTACTACGCCTCCTTCCCTGTGCCCTGGTTCGACAACATCGAGCCCGCGCACCTCCGCGCCAAAGAAGATGTCCGCGTGGCCCGCTTCGCTGAACGTATGATCCCGTGGATCTCCGAGCCCCACACCCGATGGACAAAAGCCACCCTCTCCCCATCCTCTCCAGAATACAATGCCTCGGAACCCAACCGAGTAGTTGGCCATGCGGGCTGGCTGCTTCCGGGGCGCACCAAATCCGAGATCATGAACTTCTGGCGCAGGGATGCGAGCGATGCGCTGGGATGGCGGGAGAAAATGGGGTGGAGCAAAGAGTACGAGGACGATTTATGGAGTGGAACGGACGTTAAGAGCTACCAGGATAGCTTTTTGCTGTGGGATAAAGTGAGAGAAGAATATCTGCGTGGTGTTGGGCACTGGCATCTTGCGCCGCTATGGGTCGTGCCTGAGCATCAAAGTCGCGGCGTGGCGTCTCTGCTTCTACAAGATGCTATCAAGTTAGCGGAGGAAGAGAACCCTGTGCCGCCTATGTATCTAGAAGCCATGCGAGATGCGCGTCCTATTTACGAGCATTTTGGGTATCAGGGCGTTGAGGGCGAGGGAGAGAAATTCGCGATGATTCGAAACCCGCCAGAAGGAGTAAAGATACTAGGCGAGGGAAAGTAGAAGAATTACAACTCGGAAATAGTCAACGGCCGAAGATAGTTTCTCCAAAATGACTGTTTCCTCGGAGAGCAACCAGAATGTTTTCATGCTGCCGTCGGTCGCGCTCTGTTGGCTTCTTAGGGAATTGAAGCACACGTTGAAGGATTTCCGTCAGGAACATTAGCGATCTGCGATTGGTTGATTACGTTTTCCAGGTTTATCAGCTATGGTGGTTTACCCCGCCCGCTATCCACACAGATCAGCGTAAGCATTGTCAATGAGGCTAGATGCACGTGACTGCGGATTTGAGTCATCCACAGATCAACGTGATCTCCATTCATCATTTAATTTATCCACCCCCACATGCACATGTCTTGTACCATAGCTTTGTAACAGCGGCTTGATAGAGACCAGAGTATCAATTCTTGTTCACGTTTCCCAGCCTAGAAGTTCGTGAGGCAGCGCGTGAAATCACTTTTACCGCACGTTCGAACTCGAGACCCTTCATCTGAAACCCAGACAACCAAGATGAAAAGCATCAAGGGCCTCACATGGCCGCCTCCGCGGTACATCGTATCGAGCGCCATCTGTTCCTTCGGTGGCTTTATCTTTGGGTGCGTCTTGCTCTCGAATCTCCCAGCCTCACTTACTGAAGAACGCAACCCGCAGCATGGACACAGGGATTATTGGCCCCGTTACTGTTATGCCAAAATACACCGAACAATTTGGCGCCACATCTGCAATCGTCCACGGTCTGATCGTGTCTGCAATCCTCATCCCGGCTGCCCTCTCAGCCTTTGCTGCCGGACGTGCCGCTGATGCAATCGGTCGCGCGAAAGCCATCACTTTTGGTGGTCTGATCTTCGGTTTGGGTGCGGCGCTTGAAGCTGGTGCTGCGCATCTGGGTATGTTCATCACTGGAAGGGTGCTTGAGGGTTTTGGCGAGGGGTTGTTCTTAGGTAACCTAGCTGTGTAAGTTGGTATTGGTGACAGACTTCGTCAGCAGAAGGACCTCGTGCTGATTGCACAGATACATCACCGAGATCTCGCCACCACGCAGCCGTGGAATACTGACATCCTACCCGCAATTGATGAATACCATCGGGCTAACAGTAGGCTTCTTCTCCTGCTATGGCTCGCGCAACGTGGACTCATCGATGTCATGGCGGCTCCCATTTGTACTTCTTTCTGCTTCCGCGTTCAGTTTCGCAGGCATAAGTTGGCTCTGGCTTCCGGAAAGTCCGAGATGGCTGCTCGTCCGAGGGCGGAAAGAGGAGGCGACGAAAGCGTGGGATGTTCTGGGTGTTGCCAGTGCAGACCGAGAGAAGGTTGAGCATGAGCAAGAGATGGCAGTCATCGGTGGTTCTGGAAGTGTCGAAGCACAGCCCTCTGAGGCAAAGGATGGCTCAGGATGGCTGGCCGCGTTTGCGCCGGATGTGCGAGCAAGGACGCTACTCGGTGCTTTCGCGATGGGGATGCAACAGATGAGTGGCATCGACGGAATTCTCTATGTAAGTATTGGACAGTATATTCTTAGGCTCTCGTCCCGTTTCTCTACGCTTTATTTAAGACATCCAGCTGATTGTCTCAAAGTATGCACCTCTCCTCTTCGAACGCGCAGGTCTTAGCTCCACGAAAGCGTCTTTCCTGGCCTCTGGAGTCTCTGCCATCGTCATCATGGTCGCCTCCGTAGCTGCCCTCGTCTATCAAGACAAATGGGGTCGACGACACTCCACAATTTACGGGGGTCTGGCACTCTCACTGATCATGTTCCTCATAGGGAGCTTGTACGCCTCCTCCTCAGTCCATGAAACGTACGGCGCAGGTCGATGGGTCGTGATTGCCTCAATCTACCTCTTTGCTGTAGTCTTTTGCACGACGTGGGCGATGGGTATAAAGACCTGGGTGGCGGAATGTCAACCACAGCGTTCACGCTCGAGTGCCACAAATCTTGCATACGGGAGCAACTGGCTGACGAACTTCCTTGTTGCACTCACTACGCCGGTGCTATTGGATAGCAGTAGCTTCGGGGCATACTTCTTGTTTGGAGGTTGCACGTTTATCACCGCTATCGTTTGCTTGATGTGGATGCCGGAGACGAAGGGCAAATCGCTCGAGGAGATTGAGGCCGCGTTCGCGAAGAAGGCTCCAGGGAGTAGGAGTCTGCTGCGGCTGATGAGAAGGCCCTTTTGATTGCTCTCACATCTAGAAGGGAGGACTTGTTGGGTGAAGAGAATTCTAAATGCGACACTGGAGGTTGGCCCCAGAAAAGATTTAATCTCATGCGAGCGTTCCAGCGTGTGCACGAGCCAGTCTCTCGAGACCACCACGCCTTTTGCGCATCCGAATTTGGTACGCTGGGGAAGTTGCAAGTCTTTCCTTATCGGATTGCAGTAGGCGCGATCAAGCTTCCTGCATCGCATCGGTCAGATACGACGCAATTTGTGACGATTTCACGTTCCTTTCACGCCCTCAGAAAGCCCGACGCAGTCGGGTTTAGCCAATGAAGCCCTAGAACATGCGAAAGAATGCGACAATATACCTTAAGATGTATTTCATAGCAGTGAAGTGCTTCACGGCTAGCGTCCTGTACCAGCCCACTTTTACCCGCGTTCAACGCACAACGTTCCCAAAATCGGGTTGAGCGAGCACAAATATACTATCGTGTCTGGTCCTCCTGATACATGTCGTCCGCCAATTCTCAAGTTGTTCTTGATCAGAAGGAGCAAATGCGCCGGGACCATGCCGCCCTGGATGTTGACTTACAATCACCTGCAGCATCCGACTCGTCCGCATTACCACAAACAGACCTGATGGATACTCGCAACGCGCCGATGAGTTTCTCTGCTTTTCTGCTTTCTTCCAGCGAAACTGTAGAATACCCGGTTCCTTGGACGTCACTAAATTGCCAATATGGTAGGTCGGTGTTTTCAGTAGACAATGCCAGCGATATAGGTTATCAGCACAACTTCACGGCAATGTGTAAGATAAGACGCGTTTGCTAAACTCCGGCGCTGGACTATACCCTTCGATCCACCAGCCTCTATATCTGCTGTGATGTAATGGGAGGTTCACGCTCGACCGTTTCCTGCCATTCTGTTGACAAGTGGAGCCGCAAGGCCCTTCAGGCATCCTTCCCAACACGCCCAAAACGCCAACAACAGAAAGTAGAAGAATTTTCCTCAGCGAGTTCTTAGAATGGTAGGACTTAGCGCATCGAAAGAAATTTCCAAAGCTCAGGTATAAGATCCCCTGTTCGTCTTTCTTTTTGGTCAGTTACACGTACGCTCCTCTCACACACCCAAGACCCGAAACATCAAGAACTACGCACACCAACTTTGCAAATTCTCACACCGATTCAATACGTAAAGGACTACAACTTCACAACATCCGCTCTACGAGACTTTGTGCACATTATCCGCTCTGAAGAGACTCCGCACTGCATCAAATCTCGTCCATAATTGCAAAGTCAACATGTCCAGAATCTTCAATATCAAGAAGTCAAAGGGCAGCAAAGCCATACCCTTAGAAGCACCCCGTCAGGTCTTCCTCCTCATTTGGCCAGCTCTTCCCCACCACTGGGGTATCTTCCTTCCCGATCGTTATTCTACCTCATCATCGGGGAAAATATGGCATGTGCGCGTTATGGACATGAAGGTCAAACAGCATGAACACCGCAGCAAACATCCTTCAAAACTGCTGAAGCTACTATCACCCTGCACCGAAAAAGGCGTCGACATCCTCAAGGAAAACCACATTCTCAAGAGCGAGAAGTGCAAGATCATCAAAATCGAAGACACTTTCGCGACTGAAAGTACGATTGATTCGATCGTGAAGAAGATCGAGCCGACGTTTCACTACGAGGCTGTGCATGAGAATTGCCAGACTTTTGTCGTGGAAGTGATGAGGGAACTGGAGTCTCACGGCTTTGCTACGAGAGAGGCTGTTGATTTTGTGAGGAGGCAGAGCCTGGCGAGTGTGCGTGTTGCGGCTTGGAACCGAGAGAGGCGCCACCCACTACCAGATGTGGCACTCAACAATCTTGGCGCAAGGGCGCCGAGGGTCGATTGGTCGTCTACAACTAGTGCCAATGAAACTCCGAGGGCATCAGACCATTCAAGCTCAGGCGCGTCCACACGTTCAGGTTCAGACACGCAGAGGAAGATCGCAGAGATAAATCGAGCGAAGGAGGAAAGGAGACAGACTACCAGACAAGTACGCTACGGCGTAAATTCGCAACCTCGACAAGCTAGACTCGCAGACTCAGCAAGAGGAACTCCACATCGGAGTCATGTTAGGGAGGTTGCTTCATACGGAACAGAATTCGAGATGCCGGGTTCCTGGGTCGAATGAAATCTTACCACCTATGTTCAGCAATTTCTTGCAATTTTCTATGTCGAAGCATTTCGACATCTTTCCGATTCATAAGGAAATGTGTTTGGGCCACTTTTCGACTCAAGCAGTTATTTCGGGGGCATCTGAAGATTTATTTCACCAATAAAATAGCTGATTGATAATGTTCAATCTTTCTAAATCTTCTTTTGCAACCTTTTCACATTATATTGTTTCGAGAGTGCACTAGTAGTTCACAAACTGCTGGTCCTGGTGTATCCTGCATTGATAGTACGTTTTGCATGCATATGCTTGAGTAGCTGAGGTTTAGCAGCACCCAGAAGACTTCATGTGCATCACATCACATGGCCTCTAATTAAAAAGAAGGATGTGCTTCTGGATACGGCTATCTTGGGGTTTCTACTTTCACATCAGTCTGCCTGCCACTAAAGTAGATCTGCAAATCTCCTTTGTTCCTCCCTTTCCTGGTAACATACGAACATTCTTGCAAATTATATGTTCGCTCCAACCCAATATAGTGTAGCCTCCCAGTTTATGAATGCTAAAACAACATCATGTCGCCTTCATCTTCGCCATCGTATGCTTCGTCTATTATAGGCAGCTGCGTGAGATCTACCTTCCATTCAGTGTTGTAAAAACTGTGTACCACCTCCACAAATTTGTAGCCTGACTCGATGGCATCCCAATTTTCGTGATGATCTTCTTCCAAGTCTGTGACGTCGATCTGATTGTTCTTGAACTTCCACCACTCTTCGTTTTCTCGATGCCAATGCTCTCGGTCAACGTCGCTGCAATGCGGCCACGGCAACACGTGGTCTGGTGCCAAAAGGAGCCTTTTCGGATACTTTGCCCCATGTCGCCAAATCCCGATCTCCACACCTTCCCTAGTACCAGTTTCGATCATTTGTCGAAAGATGTCATACTGATCATTGCTGAGCTCCAATAGTGCATCGTCGACACGAACCTCGGGAGCTTGCATGCCAGGGGTCCTTGGGCGGGCGATATGGCGTTGCTCCATGTCAAGATGAAGGTCGAATTTCCTAATCTGGTTTGCCCCAAACAGAGCGTCTATGAATGTTACAAAATCCGTGCCTTTCCTGGCGTAGTTTCGGTAACGATTGATCAACTTTTTAAGTTGACCATCATAACCCCAGGATTTGATGTTTGTCAACTCCAGGGATCGGAGATTCGGTGGAAGGATCTCATGCGGGTAATGCAATCTACCTGTATTGCCCGAATCATGCTCTAGTAGGTGATAATCAACAACCATTTCTACAAGGCTTTCGTGTTCTGCAAAGCTCCCGAAAGTTCCGCACCCAATAGGCGCATTTGTAATTTCGAGATATTCAAGATGAGGAAATTGTATGACAATATCGAAGCTCAGTTCAAAGCCGTCGACGATATCCTCGTCATCAATACTATCGCGCGTCAGTAGTGTGCTGAGTTTAAGACGCTTCAAGGCCCAGAAACATGGTCTGCTGAACAAGGCCTTTATCTCTGGCAGACGGGTATAGACATCTCGAATCTCAAGCGTGTGAAGCCTTGTACCCAGGCCATGATGAAGGCTTGCTGACAGACATGGCCAAGGAGATGGCGACGACTGACGGCGGGAGAGGTTGTTGAGAGAGACATTCTGAAGACTATCAGTGATGGGTACCCATGAGTACGAGTTAAATTCGTCGCCATATCGGCACTTTCTGCAGCTCAGGCGCAAGTCTTTCAGCTTATGAAAAGGACGATGTGCGTTAGAATGGCCAGATGCTAGCCGCCAGTCCAAGCCCAGTACATCTCGAGTTATCGGAAAGGCTCCATCTCTTGTAATCGTGAGGTCGAGCTGTTCTAGATTCGTGGCTAAACAAAGAACCAAGGCAAGGACTGCGTCATCCTTGACTGGGGGAGCGGAGGAAAGATCAGATGCATCATCTTCCTCGTCCGGCTCAAGAAAGATATTGTGCCGCCAGTATTCAGTGAACCATTCAGGAACGCCCTGGGCAGCTGTATTAATGGCGTCATCCACTCGATCTTCAAAGTCGTCCACGTTGTCGTAGAGAGCAGACTCCCCTGTATTTGCTGAACCAGTCGCTTCGAAGTTGAGCTCTTGTATTTGCGCAGCCAGTTCCTTGCGAATTAAAAGTGCACCAAGGAGTTGGTGGAGCTGATCAGACCCCTGAAGCTTAATTTTTTGATATTCCAAAGGGCTGGCAAGTGTACGTATGGGGATATTCGTTTGAGACATGGTCGTAGCGATCAAACTTATTGATCTACCTATGGTCCGAAGTGGATGGCGAACGTGCAGGACCGTAGAAGCACCTATGTAGTGGTGCATGTATGTGTTTCCATGTTTGTTCCGTCACGCGGAAAGACATAGCCATCGCTTGTCCAAAGCTACTGCAAGCAATCAAGATGTTGCTTCCCGGAAAGAGGCGAGTACCCAGCCCGTTAGGTGGCTTCCAAGATTGCTTGAGGACTGCAGAAAGCGAAGGGCTGCGCACACGAAAGACGAAAGACGTTTTCACAGGATTCCAGAATGAAGCTGTTCTCATCACCTCGCAAGATTCCTACTTCAAATCGGTGTTGTCTGGTCACCTTAACATCACCCATCCATGTCATCTTCGCTTTCGACGTATTCCGGATCTCTGAGAAACTCGTCCTTCCTGTCACCCCCAAACAGTTCCCAAGTCCAGCCATCGCAGCTTCCGGATTGAGCAGTAACCTCATTTTTCCGATCCCATTGTGGCCATGCTCTTGCGTATCCCGGCCCGTAAAGTAACACCTCCTTGATGCATCCCATAATGCCAGCTCCCCAGACATTCATGATGACACCTTCTTTCTGTAGCGCCGCTACGAGGCGCGGGAGAAACTTACGAGTCGACCATTCCAGTTCTTCCACTATATATCCAGATTTAGCTGTCGCATTGAAGTGGTGAAACTCATGGTACATCCGAACGTGGAGATGTAATTCTCGCAGAGATAGCGAGCGAACACGTTCAAGAACGTATTTCACAGCGTGTGCACGCCCGCTGGGCGTCTTCGTCGTATGACAGCAGAGTGTATCCAGACGGAAGTAGCCCATATCTGTGATGTGGAGAACCCTCAACGACGTAGGAAAGCATTCCGTGGGATGCTGGAGATGAAGTGAGGAACCGATTTCCTGTCCAGCCGATTCGCACAATAGCTTATAATCGACCTTGAAGAAGTGAAGACGCGAGAGAGATTTGAACGACCCGAACATGCCCTTAGGACGGCCTTTAGGGAAGCTGCACTCGAAGTGCTCAAGATTGGGTGCGTATTTCAAGGCTTCACTCAGCTTCCGAAAGTCGTACGCTTTGCAGTGCTCGGTCGGCTCTGACCAATCCGGCAGTAATCGCTCATCGCTGAAGACTTTCAAGCTTTTGAGGGAGCGACAGTCGCTTTCCACAAGATACTTCGCTAGTGCACCGGGCATGATTACAGGTCCGGTAAGATCCATAGACCGCAGATTCCCGGAAGTGTTGATGGTTGGGTACTGGAAGTTCGGAAACCAATGTGATTCATGAGTCAGCTCTAGGCTACGGTGCACAATGCGAATGTGTTCTAAGCCAGGCAGAATTGAGATTGGCAGGGGTGTCGCGCTGGCATGTAATTCTATAGTGAGGCTTCTCAGTCTATCGAATGATGGTAGTTCAGAATTCTGGCGCCGAGACGGAAGTAGGGCATCAAGGGCAATAGGTGTCGGAGGACCATGTTCAGATCCGCTGAACAGGAGGTTACGGCGAAAACTGACGTCAATTGACTGCAGATTTTCTGCAAACAACAGAAACACAGCCAACGCAGCATCCAAAGCCGAGGCTGGTGAACCTAGTTCAATGACCCAATTGCGCTCCGGTGCCAATTTTCGCAGTGCGCCAATGAACTCATGCGTACCCATAACGGCATCGCGCACGTCGGAGATCAGTCCATGGAGTGCATGCAGTGTCTTGTCATTTTCGAGCGGTTGATTTGTCCTATCGTAGTCCCGTGCGTGATCATGTAAGACGAAGGACTTGACATGCGATGTTAGATCTTTGCGAGCCAACATGCGAAGCAGAAACTTTGCGAGACGTGTTTGATGTTGAGAGTCTGTACATCTGATTGACGGCCTTGCGTAGAGAAAAGACTCTAGTCGATCGTGATAATCTCGGGAAACGCGTATCAAGCTGCAGAGGTCGCTGGTCGATAGATTCATGCAGATTGCCTCGAGGAGCTCATTTGGTAATTTTTGTAGAGCCATTCTCGGACTCTACAGCTGCGGTGACAACCTTCGATCAGAGCGGTGGCTTTCGTGCATGTGGTTCCTGGCTCCAGCAAATCCAGATCCCTAAAAGCTCACAATCTAAGGCGGATAACATTCAAGCTGGGCAAAGGGGTCGAGGGAATGATGTCTCTATATCACGGTACCGCTTCGCAAGGTATGTGGTGCTGAGGTGGGGCAGGAGGTGGACTACTACATGCCAAGACATCTTGACGCTAACACGTTCCCTTGTAACTTCTGTCCGAACATTGGGTTCCAAGCTGTCTCCAATACCAATCCCACAATGCTACAACCACGGATACCCTCCCGTCTCGGGCGTATCGTTGCCAATTCGACCCAAATATGCTCACATTGCAGCTCGTCCGCCCTCTACCGACCGCAAACAATTCTCACTCGCCATTTCACCTCCGCACCCATCCTCCGCAAACCTCAAACCACCCCCCAACCTCCCACACCCGCTAAAGATGAAGAAACCTTCGTTCCTAAACCCCTCGGCCGACCCATTGGCTTCTCCGCGCCGCCTCAGCCAGGCGAGAACTCCGGCTATGCAAAGCCCAAGAAAGACTACAGCGGCATGACGCTGAAAGAGCGCAACCTCGCCAAGCGCGCTGACCTCGTTGAGAAATGGGGCACAAACTACTTCCGCGACTTCAAAAACATCCGCAAGTACCGTGAGGGAAAAACCTTCGTCGCAAACCCCAGGATTTTCAAGAAGGAGGTGGCTATGTACTTTCCGAATCTGCGTGGGGATACGCTGGAGGGCCCTGGGAAGGACACGACGGATGTGCTCAAGGGGAGGGTGAGCGTGGTGAATCTCTACAGTAGTGCGTGGGGAGAGGCGCAGGTTAAGACGTTTACCGGGAGGGCGGAGAACCCGGAGTTGCATGAGATACTGAAGGAGAATGACAGCGTTGCGCAGCAGGTGGATGTTAATATTGAGGAGAATACGTTGAAGGCGTGGATTGTGCAGATGTTTGCATGGAGGCTGAGACTGACGAGGAAGAAGGAGGATTGGGGAAGGTACTTCGTCGTCAGAAGAGGTGTGAGCCAGATGGTGAGGGAGAGCGTTGGCGCTCTGAACGGAAGGGTGGGGTATGTGTATCTTGTGGATGCGGACTGTAAGATCAGGTGGGCAGGGAGCGCGAATGCGGAAGGGACGGAGAAGGATGATCTGGTGAGGGGTCTGAGGAGGTGTGTGGAGGAGGCGAAGAATCCGCAGGTGTTGGCGAGGCCGAGAGCACAACTGAGAAACGCCGGTGGTGAGAAAATTGCGGCTGCAGCGTAGGAGTGGGCACCGCATGCGGGTCTTGTACCTCAAGCACGAGCAGGCAAAAGTCGGTGTTGTATGAATAGGGACGATTTGATACCAGGAACTCCTAAGAGGGATATGTAGACATAGTTGTACAACAGAAACGGGCAGCTGCCCTGACCCATGCCAACACTCCAATGCACGCCGTTCATGTGGATATCCGCGCGCTCCAAACGCCTGACTGAAGATCGAAAACACTGTCACACCGTACTGGCATCACCAAAACCACATCAGCATTAAGAAACAAAAAGCGATGAAGCTCCCCAGTATAATCCCATCCCTTCTCTTCTTCGCCCCAATCCTGCCTATCAAGCTGTTGATGCCCGGTACCTGACTCGCAGCGCCTACTATCCGTCTGTTAATGCTCGAAAGCGTCTCTCTCTGGATTCTGAAGTTATCGTGCACGGCGTATGCCTGGCTAAGCACGCTGTCCGCCATGTTGTGTGAATTGTCGATTCTTCTCCGCTCATCCAGCATGTACTCTGCCTCCGCAGTTTCTGGGTTCGCAGATCGGTATGCGTCGATGTCTGATCGGACGTTCGAGAGAAGGTTCGCTTTGTTGCGGGCATCGGTAATGGTGGACTTCAAGCGGGCGAGGTCGCGGCGGTGGTCTGATAATATTTCGCGGTGGCGGGCGAGGTTGTTCTGTTTTACGGCGGAGGAGGAGTGTGCGGATTCGGAGTCGAGGAGGCGGGATAGTTGGCCAACGAGAGCTTCCCTCTACACCAGGTGAGCATTGGTGGGCAGAAGTGGCCTGGACGCGGCAGGGCATACCTTCTCGAGAACTTCTTGGAGTTGCGCTTCCGTCCGTACTTCCTCATCTGAAGGTTTTGCAGGAATGTTAGGCGCGTTGGCGAATTGCGAATAGGTGTGAAACAGCGACTCTGTCTGCATCCCTCGTTAGCTGGGAACGGCCGATTAAGTCCGTAAGCTGTGTGAGGTGTACCTGGCTTTCGAGCGCCCGCGCTTGTTGGCGCAATTGCGCCCATCCTCCGCCGGTCGATGACATGACTTGTTGTTGTTAAATCCTCAAAGATGAAGTATTCTAGGTAGTCGTGGGTGCACTCGCGGGATGATGCTATGGTTGAGTGTCGGCGAGTCGGCGGTTAGCCAAGAAAAGAAAGCACGGTCCACCTCCGCCGGTTAGCGAGCCCGATAGATTCGCACACTCGATCGAAAACGAAAACCTTTGAAAGACGACACGCGATAGCCCATTCCCACACCACCCGGTCATACTAACCACACAGACAAAATGGTACGTCCAATTCTCCATTATTGTTTTCAGAGGCGATGCGCAACGCGGGCAGAAGGTTGCGCCCTCATTCGGGAGCCTGCTGTCTCGCTGCTGCTCCGCCAAATTCTGCAATCCACAGAGCTTTGCTAACTCAATGCCTATAGTCGTCCAAAGTCGTACGTTCTCCCGCGCTCAAACCCACCGCATCCCTCGAACAATTACTCACAGCCGCCGCAGAAGACCGCTACCCTGTGGAACAAGTCCAAGGAGGACTTGAGCTCCCAGCTCCAGGACCTCAAGTCGTGCGTAACCCGATACAAGAGGCTGCAACTGGACAAAAATGCTGACGGATTGAAGCGAGCTCATCGCGCTCAGGACCTCCAAGGTCACCGGCGGCTCGACCAAGCTCACCCGCATTCATGATGTCCGCAAGGGCATTGCTCGCGTCCTGACCGTCATCAACGCCAACCAGAGGGCACAGCTCCGCCTCTTCTACAAGGGCAAGAAGTGCGTTACTTCCACCACTGCCACGACCCCGCTCGTTCTAACAGTCCCAGGTACACCCCGCTCGACCTCCGATCCAAGAAGACGCGCGCCATCCGCCGAAGGCTCACACAGCACGAGGCCTCGCTCGTCACCGAGAAGGCGAAGAAGAAGCAGACCCACTTCCCCCAGCGAAAGTACGCCGTCAAGGCATAAGCGGGCGATGATGGTTGTTTCTTTACGTTTATCAAATGAAGCATTGCATGGCCGGGGCTTTTCCAGCTAGCACGATCCAATGTACCCTTATACCATCGTAGAGTGGGAGGGCAGGCGATGTGGTGGCGGGTCTTTAACGGGGCGATCTTCTACGGGAATGGGATGGCGTCCATGTCAAGATCAATGAATCAAAAAGTTCATACCACCTGGATCAAGGCCTGTGACGATGTGATGTTTGCATTTGTGTGGTCACTGAGCGCTTCGAGCGGGAACACGACCGATATAAAGAACGCACGATCCTTATTATACGGCAACCACAGCGACAGTGACCGAGACTTTAAAAGAGAAATCCTCGTCATGAAAGCTCACCGATTTTAGCCTATCATTCCCTCGATCCAACCTATGAAGTTTCGGTAATCCACTCCCTGTAGATCTCCACATCCTCCCTCCTGACGCCCACCATATCCTCTCTGACACCCAAAATACCAACCTTCCCAATAGTGACTCCGCCATCGCCCTCGCCATCCACCTTCCAAATTTCCACCACCTTCCTGAGCTCCCCAATAACCTCCTCTTTATCCTCAAGCAACAGCACAATGGCATCGTACCCACCAGCACCAGGCACCACGCCGCCCACCACACCCGGAACAGCGGAGCATGCGTCCAGCAATTGCGTCTGCTGCGGCGGCTCAATCGGCACGTCCGACGCCTTACTCATCTCGCGGATGAGCGCGCGATTAGAAGCAATGATGTCCTTCAGCTTCTTATAATCCCCATCCCCTCCGTCGCCAACCGCGTAAGCTCCTCCGCCACCCCTCATTCCCCCTCTGCAGCTCCCCCAAATCCTATCCGCCTCTTGCGGATTCTCCTCGCGCCACTTCAACACCTTCTTCACCATGCCCGGCGTCTGGCTTCCACAGTCTACATCGCACATAACCAGCCTCAAGCCCCGCGGCATCTTGACCTTCGCTTTCGCGATCTCAACGTCCCAAGTGTCGCCTTCCACCAGGGCGCGCAGCTTCTGTGCGAAAGACGCGGCGCCAGGCGCAGGCAAAGAGGAGAGCAGGCTCGGCGAGAACCGCCTGTAAAGACAGCTCCCATACACCGCACTCGCAATGTCAAACCCACTTCCCACCTTCCCCTGCGCAGCGCAATGACTCGCCTGGCTCAGATTATGCAATACCCTTTTCCCCTCCTCCTTCTCCAAATCAAATTCATCCTTAGACAAATAATAACTCAACACCGCGGCCGTGAAGGCCGTCACGAGGGCCGCAGAGGACCCCAAACCCGTCTTGTGGGCATCGGACAGCGCGACATCGAACTTTAGGAAGCGGGAGGATGGCGAGAGGGGGGTTCCGGGGTTTGAATAGTAGGCTTGGTCGGCGAGGATGCTTATTGAGGAGGGGGCGATGGGGCTGGATTGGAGGGTGGAGATGTAGGTTAAGGCGTAGGTGAGGGCGGTTTCGATGAAGGGTTTTTGTTGAGGGAGGAGGCGTGGGAGCTGGGGTGGGGTTAGCGGGTGGTTCGTAGGTAGGTTGATGTGTGGTTCTTCATGTGAACAGATGCATGATATGTTTTTCTCGCAGTTGGATGTCTCCCTCTCGATGGCCCCGGGAAAATGCTGGACACGTGACTAGACGAAATAGGCAATTTCCGAGTGAGGTACGATTGATGTAATGAATGCCAAGACATAGAGGGGCAGTGAGACGACAGAAGAGAATTGCGTTGGAAAAGGAGAAAAAGTGGAGGAGATACGGATGTATTCAGGGGTTTCGATGATAAATGTGGGTAGGAAGGGTACGAAAATGGTGCGCAAAAAAGAATGACAGCATAGGATCGCCCAGTGGCAGAAAGACGAGAGAGAGAGATTGGTATGATGAAACAGTTCCAAACGTTGGAGCAGCACCGTTTTGTTTGCGATCCAATTTGGTTTGGGAACGATTGTACTCAATGGATAGGAGGTGGCGAATATCGTGAGGAAAAGGAAACATAGCATATAGAAGATATCTGAACTTACGCTCGCAGTTGAGTGACCGCAATTCCCCCGTCACCCTCTGTCAACCTGTAACCATACTCCCAGGCAGCCTCTCGGAATTGCGGGCTCCTCACGATAATTTCGCTCAGGGTAACACCGCTCTTCGTCCGGATGGGCTCAATTTCCACGTGAATCCGTGCGTCGAGGCCGAAGACAAGCGCGGTATATTTTCGGTCCAGCACGAGGTAGCCACCCGCCACGAAGACCTTGCCGGGTGCTGACACAGCCTGGGGCTGGAGGGCGAGATTGGACGCCATGGATCAACTGGAAATTCGACTCGTCATGAACCGTCAAGAGGATTTGGCGCAAGGGGCAAACCGTGGTGGGGATCTACGTTGGCAAGCGGCGTGTCGGGGAAGAGGGCGGACGACCGATTCGGATGCGAGGCGGCGCGACAAGGCTGTGGCTCATCGCTTCACTTACTCGCGCCGCAGTCCTTGTCCTTGCTCGCGTGGCCATCTGATTATGAGATTGATAACGCAGGCCCTTCGAGCCACAGCCAGAAAGTCGATGACACTGGCATGCAGTTCCTGCTCAGTCATCTGCCTGTCGCTCCCGCGGTGTCCAACCTCATCTTCACAAGCGCAGGGCGGGGTGCAGCGGCACAACTGGCAAGTGAACCGTCTTTTTATCGCAGAAGAGTCATACCTTGTAGTCGCCCCTAATGGTCGGGTCTGTCGCTCTTCCGTCACCGCCGATATTCCACTTGGCCGGTAAAGCCGAAGCGTCCAGGGGCTGCGCGGTGAATCGCTAGGCCGCAGACGGCTAGATGAGAGAATATGCCGGGTTGTTTAGCGTTAAATTTGAGTTGGTGACGACTCGACCACATGCACCGGGGACCTTCCAAAGGATTCCGCGAACTTGCCAAAACCCACACGGCCCACGCGCAGGCTGCCAGATATCCATCTGAGGCCTCTGTCTCTTTCCTCCCACACCTCACCTATTACTCACACACTTTGTGCCTGATACGGGTCGGCACACATCACGATTGACCCTACCCCCAGTATCTTTCCTACCCCTTCTACAGCGCGTTCTTTGGCGGCCATTGTCGTCAAATGAACCTGCAACACCGACGCGCCTTGAGAATAATAGTGAGTCGCGCCTATCTCTGTTGAAATTCGCACATTTCACGCGCAGCTTCCACAACAATTCCCATGTCGCGTGCTGACCACCGCAGTCTCACCCTTCCAATCCGAAGGGTTGTTCGATCTCCTAAATGGTCTTTAAGAGCTTTACCCTCGCGCGTCAGAGTCTTGCGAAAGGCTTCACTCACGGATACGCTCAGAGCGTCGTCGCTTCTGTCACCCAGCAGAACCCCCTTGCCACATTCAACCACGACCGCCTTCGCAAGGCAGGCGCAAAGCAGAACCAACATGCTTTCGCTTCTACATCTACTACCAGCGCACTAAAGGCGCTCGGCGCATCCGACGCGCAAGATTCCGGCCTTGCCGCCTACTACGCAGCATGGCAGAAGCACCGCAACGTCGAGGACAAAGAGTGGTCGCAGTTCCAGTTCCGCAAGCTCATTGAGTGGCAACCTTCGTCCGCGGGTACCAAAAGCCCGGCGGAGGCTGAGAGCAATGTCATCGTCGAAGAGGCGGATCAGGATGCGGAAGTCATTCCGGCACGCGCCGGTGTGACCCGCGCGTATAGCACCAGCCAGGTCGATGACTTCCGAAAGGTCGTCAGCGATGAGCAGGTGGAAGAGATTGCGTTGGCGCAGGTAGACGAGGCGATTGCTCTGGAGGCGGCCAAGATTGAGGCACTGCAGTCCAGGAGTGGAACACCTGTCTCTCAGAGAGAGGTGGCAATCGAGGAAGCACGCTCAGAGTCACCTGCCACAGTCGCCGACACTCTTGTGAACTCGACTACGCTGAGCCGCACCGACTCGACTCTCCTTCCCAGCCCTATTGAGGAGGTTGATGCCCACATCTTCCAGCTAGAGAAGCTTGCTGAGAACCAGAAGTATGGCGAGATTCCCGCCGTCTTCGAGTCCATGCTTCGCTCTGGCATCAAGCCATCGGCTTCCGCATACAATGCTCTCTTGTCAGCTGCCATCAACCTCCCCAAGAGCAGGCACCAGGTCGTTCCCAAGGCGCTGGATGTCTACTCGGACATGCTTCGCCGACGAGTCACTCCTAACACTGCTACCTACACCGCACTCATTGAGCTTCTTTCCGACCGATCATTGGAAGTCGTTTCCACCAAGCAGAGCCTCGAAGAGAAGCGTCTCCGCTTCGGTGGCATGGAAGAGGAAGGCAAATTCATGCTTAACTCCAACGAAACCGATTATGCCATCCTCTCCGAAGACGGCTCTCTGTCCATTGCTGTCCGCCTATTCGACGCTGCAGTCAAGGTCGAATCTGGACGCACATTCTCAGAGAAGACTTACCGCATGCTCGTCGCTGCCTGTGCCGAGGGTGCCCGCGTTGAGGACATGGTGCGCATCTTTTCCCACATGGAGTCTCGCGGTGTCATCCCCGCTGCAGAGATGTTCGTGCCCATGATCCACGCCTTTGGCAAGTCTGGCGATCTCCGCAGCGCTGTGGAGTGCTACGACGAGTACAAGGCTCTTGCCATCTCCAACGACAACGGCGATGTTGCGCTCTCCCGCAAGGACAATGAAGTGTATGCCGCACTGATGAAGGCATACGCTATATGCGGTCGCATGGAGGGCGGATGGAAGTTCCTGGCCAAGATCGAGAAGAACCTCACTACACCAGAGGAGGTCATCTCGATCCGCGACACCGCCAGCCTCCAGGCTTTCGTGCCTGAGTGGTTGAACAAGGGTGCTTTCCACGATGCTTTCGCACATGCTGCTGAACACATGAGCCCGCAAGCGCGCGAGGTTGCCATGGCCGCTATCTGCATCAAGGCCGCCGACAAGAACGTGATGGATGTTGCTTCTGACGCTTTCGACGCGCTCCCTGCTGAGGTGGATCTGACACGACCTGCCATGGCAATGGGTGCTATGCACATCCGCAACGGAAACATCGAAGCTGCTGAAGTCTTCTGGAGGATGCTCGAGCTTTCTCCTACCAAGCCTTCCTTCATTGAGCCCACGACTATGCACAGCATTGCCCTCATTGGCAGCGGTCAAGCAGACCGTGGTCTTCGCCAGGGTCGTCAAATGTTCGCTCGCATCCGCGACTCTCAGTCCGCCTCTCAGCAGGCCAAGATGGAGGTCGTGGAACACATTGACGAAGCCATTGAGGTCATGGGCCATTTCATGATGAAGCGCAGAATTATCCTGCCCGCACGAGCTAGCATGGAGCTCATGTGGACCATGATTGAGAACGGTGGATTGGTGACCCCCGTTGCTCATCACTTGCTCGCTGGTGTGGGTCCCGAAGCTGTTGCTCAGCTCAGCTTCGAGGACGTTACTCTCCTCATGCAAGTTCAGTCCGGAATCATTCTCAACTCTCCCGAGGTCGATATTGCTCACGCCGCCCGATTTTCCCATCTTCTTGAAGTTATTACATCGTTAGGCGCGCCTGTGAACAAAACGACATCTGGTTTGGTGGAGAAAGTTTTGGTAAAGCTTGATCGAGGAGACCTCCAGCATAGGTGGTACAACTACAAGCATCCAGCACCGGAGTCGATCTACTCTCCGGCGTCGTTTGCTACCTACCCCGTGCAGCCTCCTGCACCAGTCGTTGCTCCCACCTTTGAGGATTCGTACGATCCTTATGCTGCTACCACGGACAACAAGGGTTCGGTAACCATTACCGAGCTGCTTGAGAAGACCCATGGACGGCCTGCTTCGCACCTGAACGAGGCCCTGATGAAGTTCAAGAACATGCGTCGTGCCGGACGACACCCTCGTTTCTTCACGTACGCCAAGCTCATCACTGCTGCCGCCAAGGAAGATCGCTTGAACCTCGCCCATGACATCCTCAACCTTGCCAAGCAGGACGTGCCCCTGCTTCCGCAGTACCGCATCGTCCGTTACGGCTGGGTTACTATCTTGGATGCCATGCTTGCCGCTTGCCTTACGACTGGTCGCCGCGATCTCGCTGCTCAGTACCACCAGGATCTCCTCGACATGGGCGCTGCTCCTACCGCCAACACCTTCGGTCTGTACATAACCACGCTCAAAGAGTCTACCAAGACATTCGACGAGGCTACCGAAGCAGTCAAGATCTTCCTTCGCGCTAAGGCCGAAGGTGTCGAGCCCTCATCCTTCCTCTACAATGCTTTGATTGGCAAGCTTGGGAAGGCCCGCCGCATCGACGACTGCCTGTTCTATTTCTCGGAGATGCGCAATCTTGGTATCCGCCCTACGAGTGTTACCTACGGCACCATTGTCAATGCTCTCTGCCGTGTGAGTGACGAGAAGTTTGCCGAGGAGCTGTTCGAGGAGATGGAGAGCATGCCCAACTACAAACCCCGTCCTGCGCCGTACCACAGCATGATGCAGTTCTTTTTGACTACAAAGCGCGACCGCAGCAAAGTTCTGTCCTACTACGAGCGCATGCGTGCCAAGCGTATCGAACCCACCACGCACACGTATAAGCTGCTCATCGACACATACGCCACGCTTGAGCCCGTCGACATGGAAGCCGCCGAGAACGTCCTTGCCCAGATCCGCCAGGCCGGTGCGATCCCGGAAGCTGTCCACTACTCTTCCTTGATCCACGCCAAGGGATGCGTCATGCACGACATGGAGGGCGCCCGCAAGCTGTTTGACACCGTCCTCGCTGACTCCCGCGTCCGCCCGCAAGCCTGCCTCTATCAAGCCCTCTTCGAGGCCATGGTCGCCAACCACCAGATCGCCGACACTGAGTCCGTCCTCCGGGATATGCGCACTCGTGGCGTAGAGATGACGCCTTATATCGCCAACTCGCTCATCCACGGTTGGGCTCTGGTGCACAATATTGAGAAGGCGAAAGCCATCTACGATGCTGTTTCCGAGGCCAAGCGCGAGCCTAGCACTTACGAGGCTATGACTCGCGCCTTCATGGCCGTCGAGGATCGCGCGTCTGCCATGGCTGTCGTCAATGAGGGTCTTTCCCGCGGATACCCCGCCGCTGTTGCCGGCAAGATTCTCGAGCTTGTGGGAGGCGGCCGTGCCGCTCCTGCTGATGTCGCTGCTTAATCGCATTGGTCATCGGTTTACCTTCGGTTCAGTCCAACATTCACCTGGGCTTAGAATTTCGATATCTCCTTTGTAATCTTGGTTTTGCAACGGCCGCATTTTTGCCATGTTTGCCCCTGCGATGTACCTCGGATGACATCACGTGTCTTCGACGGTGCAGTGTAGCTGGGCACCTCGTTATTTGTGCTTCAAAAGTCGCTTTTACGTTTTCGTTTCCTACCTTTTCCTTTGTAAAAGCGACGGCGTTGATCGGCGGTGTATGGATGGATGGAAGATATCCTGATACCCCTCTAGCTGGTGTCGGGAAGGTGTATAGTAAGATGGTTTTGTCTTTGGGCATTGCGTTTACATTGCGAGCGGGAGTATTCTTCCTTGTGTGCGTGTACAAATACCCGAGCGATGCCATCTCCTCTCTAGACGGCGGGCGTTGGATGGGTGGTGGGAGAGGCATGACGTATGAGCGTTCATGCTATGTAACAGGATTGACAGAGAAATAAGATACAAACAATGAAGGGAAGTGTAATTGTATACATGTGCCTGCAGGTGAAAGTGGATGTCTGCATCGATGGCTTGATGGTTGTCAACACCTATCGCAAATCCGACATGTTTAGATGTGATAAGAGAATCGAGCGTATTGCTATACGTCTCCATAATCCAGCGGTTATTACTGAACGTAGCCAAAGAGTAAGTCGACAGACTTACACGGTTACAATTTATTTTCCACTAACTGGAAGAGGGAGCTGGACGTCGCGCGCTTAGCCGCGGCTCCTACCCCACGCGCGACTCTGGAACTTCGAGAGCAAGTCTATGAATGAACCTTCAGCACACCTGCACACCACAACAATGACCAAATCAATCGCAAACCATGACCTCCCGAAGCCGCCGTCCGGCAAATATCCCGCCAAAGCCCATTGTCGTCGCGTAGCGGCATGGATAGCCGAAAATGGCGGACCGTCTAGCGGCGTTATCTACCTCCAGGGACAGACGCTGAAAGAACATGAAGTAGAAGCATCCATGTACATGACTATGATGCGTACGACGATGCTAATTGTGATAGTAGGACGATGACACCGAGCAGCATTTTAGGTAAGTCGTAGCTTCGCTCGAGCACGAGCGGACTGTTCACTTTCTTGGGGCGAGGGAACATCGATGTTGACTTGGCCCAGGCAACGCCGCCACTTCTACTACCTTACTGGCTGCGAACTCCCGGACTGTAGCTTTGCATACGACATTGCCTCTGACAGGTCTACACTATGGATTCCTCCGGTCGACCCGGGGTACGTTATGTGGGCTGGCATGCCGCTGCTGCCGAAGGAAGCCCTGGAGCGATACGACATTGATGTAGTTCTCACCACCGACGAGCTGAAGTCCGGAAAGGCTGTCGAGAACATGCTCAAGAAGCAGAACGAGACCCTCTTAGTGATCAAGGACCGCGCGGACCTGGACATCTTCCACGCCGATGGTGTGAAGCACCTGCAGCCAAACTTCGACCATGAATGGACACGTCGCGGCATCGAGCAGTGTCGTGTTGTAAAAGACGAGCACGAGATCGCCATGATCCGCCATGCCAACATCGTCTCGTCCTACGCCCACGAGCAAGTCCAAGCCTCCGTCCACGCCGCGTCCAACGAGCAGGAACTCAACGCCGTCTTCACGATGCACTGCCACGCCAACGGCTGCAAAGAAATGGCCTACGGCTGCATCTGCGCGGCCGGCACAAACGCGAGCACCCTGCACTACGTCCACAACAACCTCCCGCTCACCAACAAGCTCAACATGCTCATGGACTGCGGCGCAGAATACAACTGCTACTGCGCCGACATCACCCGCACCTTCCCCCTCAACGGGCGCTTCACCAAAGAGAGCCGCGACATCTACTCCCTCGTGCTCAAGATGCAAACCGAGTGCATGGCCATGATCAAAGCCGGCGTCCTCTGGGAAGACGTCCACATGCGCGCGCACACCATCGCCGCCGCCGGCCTGCGCGATCTAGGCATCTTCAAGCAAGACCTCTCCGTCGAGAAGATCCTCGAGTCCAAGGTCACAACGCGCTTCTTCCCGCACGGCCTGGGGCATTACCTGGGAATGGACACGCACGACACGGGCGGCAACGCGAACTACGCTGATCCGAACCCCTATCTCTCCTACCTACGCGTGCGCGGAAAACTACCCCTCAACGCGGTCGTTACTAACGAGCCGGGGATATACTTCCGGGAGTTTCCGCTACGGCAGGAGCTCAAGGATGGGGCGTGGAAGGAGGTTATCGATGAGAGTGTGTTGGATAGGTATTGGAGTGTGGGTGGGGTGCGGATTGAAGATGATGTTGTGGTCAAGGAGGGGGGGTGTGAGAATTTGACGACGGTGAGTAGTAGGATGGAGGATATTGAGACGCTGTGTAATGGGGGTTGGGGTTTGATAGAGGGAAGAGTAGGGGGCGTTCGCAGGATGTTAGGTGGCGTCTCTGAGATATGATGGTTCTCTTCCAGCCATCGACGTTTTCGAATGCATTGAGTCTAGCTAAGCACCCTGATCGAGGGGCCTGACTAATCTTGCAAGTGATATCAAGAAAATTCAGGGCCGCGTGTCAGACTGGGCTCGTCTGTCATTTGTCGCGGTGAGCCCGGGTGTTTCTTAACGCTGAAGTGGAAAGTGCTTCGCATGTACTCGGTAGGGTAGGAGCGATCGCCGGCACTAGCCCTGCGGCTCCACCACGCTCAGCTCTCTCACCACTCTTACAACACACTTTGTATACCCAGCGCTTTCATCATTGTTCACTTGGGGGGAGCTGGCCTCGATTTTCCTCTATTAGCGACCGCCCTGAGACAGTTCAGCCCAACAGAGGCATGGCCCCACGCGAGCTTCCAGCTATGTGGCACGCACTGTACTACCGCCTTCCAGCAGTCTGGGGCATTCCGCAGCATATCGCCTGCCCGATGTATCACTGCAGATGCCAAGACCCGGCTGAACCGCAGCATTCGCATTGTAATGCAAAATTGCTCTATAGAAGGAGATCGATTAGACCCATCGCTCACAGGTTGAGTGGATACGCTTCAGTGGGATTGACCTGCTTCATAAATATGGAAGTAGATGGACAACATGCCTGGAGTGTGGTCATCGAGGGTTCTCCAGCCTGGTCGCCCCCATCACCGCCTTATGCCGTGCACACCGCTGGACGCCGTGTATCTGCAGCAAGCGAATGATATGAAGAGACGCCCCTATCTATGCGTAAGCACCGGAGAGTTTCCACCGATGACATGTTGTGCAAGAGGCTGTGCGTTATACAACAGAACTTTCCTGCCACGCCTGCTCCTCACCGGTGCGCCTTGCGACTTCTAGGTCAAAGTCTCAAGATCAGCTGTAAAACAAAACTCGATTCTCCGCACCTTCCGCTGAGATCCTTCCATTCCCTCGTGAGTTTTGTCATGAGGCCATATACGCTCGTTACCTACATTGCTGTGGCGGTTGCGCAGCAAGATCCTATCCAGGACTTCTGCCGACGTCACCAGCATCAGACGTGTGTAATAGACAACAGACTCTACATTGATGGCGGTAAGGTGTTTTATGGCGGGTCTGTTGAGAATGGTAGCATTGCGCAACAAAGTAAGTTCGTCAAAGCCGAAAATATCTGCACTGCTGACCGGTAGACATGCACTTATTATGGGAGGACACTCTAGCCACGGACAACGAGACCGAATTTCCTCCGCAGTACAAAAACTTGACAAAGGTAGATGGAATTGGTAAAACCAAATCTGGACCGCTGACTCACTCGCTCTACAATAGACATCAGAAGTTCCTTCTGTAAGCGGCGGTGTACTGTGGCCTGACACTACTAATAAGATGTTTTATCTCTTTGGAGGGGAATATAACGATGTCGCCAGCGTCCAGCCCTTTGAGAACTTGTGGTTCTTTGACACTATCTACAATACCTGGAATCGTACGAGCCCCTCTCCCAGTCAGTCTGGCATCGTGTGGCCAGCATTCGGATCAGGCGTAGTGACGGAAGGAGGTACCGCATATTACTACGGAGGCTATCTGAGTAACAAGTCCACTCCGCAGTGGAGCAGCAGCAATCCTTTGATGCTATCTTCGCTGATATCGTTCGATATGGACACTCAGATTTGGTCTAACCACACATATGACAACACTCCCAGGGCCGAAGGGACACTTCAGTACCTTCCAGCATCGGCTTCGGGTATGCTGGTGTACTTTGGAGGCGTGGAGACGGATCCTGACGGTCGAGTGCGATATGTGAGTCATCTGTTCGTCGCGTGTCCGCATAGCAAACTGATGTTCCTAGGCAAACATGAGCGTAAGAGGTGCCCTACTATCACCGCGTCTCGGCTAACACCAGATGAGGAAATCCGAGTTTTCGACATCAATGAGAACAAGTGGTTCACTCAGAGTGCCAGTGGATTTGTACCCTCTCCGAGACGTGGGATGTGCGCAGGCATGGCTTGGGCGGATGATCGCTCTTCATTTAATATGTAGGCAGCCAATTGATATTGATGCGAGTAGATGCTAACGGTAAGAAGTTATGTCCAGGGCGGAGTTCGAGATGATGGAGCGACGTTCGGTGAGACGTACATATTAACGATACCGTCTTTTCAATGGACGCTGGTATGACATCCAATCATCGAGCATAATCTTCGGATACTCACACGCTTAGATATATCCAGAGACAAATGAACTTCCTCATACCGAGGCTGGGAAAGGCTGGTCGTCATGCAACGTAGTTCGGGGCAGTTCACAAATGATCATCATCGGTGGCTACTATGGTAATGCTTCGTATGTGCAATGCGATACGCCGGATTACCGCGGGCAACACGGCCTCCTGCTTGGCCAGGAGAGCGTGGAGGTTGAACCACCAAAGACACAATGGTGGTGGCGGCTCTGGCGCGACTACAACAAGTACCGGGTACCGGATAAGATTGTTTCGCTTGTTGGCGGCAAGTATGTGCTTCGAGGAATAGCTGCATCGTCCATGTCGTACTGACGCAATGGCAGTACTGAAGGCCATGCAACTAGAACGTCTCCGGTGCAAGGTTGGACAACACCCTCTCCTCTAGCGCCGTACTTTGTGTATCAGAATTGGGAGGGACCACGCACAGCAACCAGGCCCATACCAGGGACGCCAACCCCGACTTCGAGTGATCAGCCAGGTCAAACGCCTTCCAGAGGTCCCAATTTCGGTGCTATAGCGGGTGGAATTGTTGGAGGGTTGATTGTCCTCATCGCATCCATCTCCGCCATACTTCTATGTCTTCGTCGCAGGCGTCGCAAAGAAGCGCCCCACTTCCAAGCGGAACTTGACACCAATACCGCCAAAGCTGAGCTAGACGGTCTACAGGATTCCCGCGCCAATTACGCCATCTTGGAGGGTGGGACCGTAGTTCCCTCTATGACTTCAACCCCGGCATACTCGCCTCAAATTTCAACGCCACATGGCACCAACTCCTGGAGCGAATCGCCACGCTACTATCAGGGGTCGCCGCTTCACCAGGGCGAAGAATGGGTTCAGCACGGGCTTCCGCACCAGCAATCGTATTATCCACGACCGCCTGACCCTTCACAGTCGCCTAAGCATTCATTTGCGTTCAGCACAGAACTACCGGAAGTCCGGAGCCCAGTCAACGCCGAAGTGTCGGATGTGAGGAGCCCAACGAACGCCGAGCTACCAGATTTGAAGAATCCGCTCCCTCGTCGTGCAGAACGAGGGGCCCAAGCTGCTAGGTTCGAAGAATAGCACGTAATCGACGCAGATTCCTCGTCGGGTGGTGTGAGACCGAGCTGTATTTTCCACGGTGAGGTATCCGACTGGCGAGTTGGGAGGCATGGTTGATACGATGTCTCAGCACTGCGCTCTACAGGTTTCGTCTAAGGCTTCGGCCTCTTGTGTTTGTTTGATTTCTAGTGCAGCTAATCTCATGCACAAGACCAAGTGAAGGTCGAATCAGTTACCGTTCTCTCATTTGGTTACCCGAATTCAGACTGTTGATGTCCGCGACTGTTGTGACTACACATGCGCGTTAGCCTGTAGGTGCTTTCTATATAACCACCATTTACCACTCCACGAAAAGTGAAACGATTTTCGCAGGCCCGTGTTTACTCGAAGACTAAAGCGATTCTACTTCAAAATTTGGATAGTCTACCCTATGGTAACTCAAGCCATCATCAGCGCTCAAGTACAAGGCCGAGGCAAAACATCGCAGTCCCCGCTCTCAATGTATCGAGGTCAAGTATACAGCGAAGAAATGCTTGATAGCCCGAAGGATAATGTGTCCTGGGGTACCTCACGTCACAATGCGCACGTAGATGAATCACATAACAGCATAGTCACGGATGACGTGGTACAGCCAGGACCTCCGCGATACCTTCGGCCACGGCCACTGTGCGTCACAAGTCACGCATGTGTCTCCCAAACGCCAAACTTCCAACATAATAGAAGAACGATATCACGTCAGACATAGTAGAAAAAGGATATCACTTCAGACATAGTAGAAAAAGGATATCTTTTCCACTCCCAACATAGTAAAAAAAGGATATCTTTTTTCATCCATGTCAGACCCCCCTTTTTTACAGAGGAGAAAGTGAAGTGTAAGGAAGAAGAACAGGAGGCGGGCGAAGGCGCCTTATATACTCGAGAACTCGAGCACTTAGCGTGGAATCACGCACTGCGTACTCCGCGACATAACCTCTAAAACGCGCAACTATTTCCGCCGTCTATCTCGAGTTTGTCACGCGTACGTAGGAGAAGGTAGCTAGCATTAGAGCCTCACCCTCCCCTTTCTAATAACATAATCACTTGACGGGGAGGGGGACGTGGAGTTCCGAGTGCCTACGTAAACAACCGTATACTCTACATAACCTCTAAAACGCGCAACTATTTCCGCCATCTCGAGTTTGTCACGCATCTACGTACTCGATGGTAGCCAGCGCCAAGCCTCCCGCCTTCGAAATCATGATTTTACCAGCGCTCTACCCTCCAGGACCCTCGCACACACCTTGCAACCCAGCACCGTCCCTGCATAAGCCGTTGAGTTAACCCCAGCACTTCTCCCCCCTTTTGCAAAAATAAAATTCTATGAATACTATGAATACACAACCCCACGTACGTACGAGCCTCGTACAAACCTGACATCTCCGCGGGCCCCGCTCCAGCGCCGAGTCTGAGCACCGCCACACCTGCGTGGAGTGCACACCCGGAATATCCGACCCAGCCTCTCACCAGGCCTTCCGACAAACAGCCTACAACCCCTGTCGGAGATGCGGTGACGGTGGTATCGGAGGAGGTGGGGTCGTCTCCTGTGTTTGCGGTGGAGCAGCTAGCGCACAGACACCCACGCTGTCGGCTGCGACGTTTGTGTTGGGCGTTTGCGTGGAAACGGAAGGCCAAGCAGGGGATTTGTCTTGTCTTGGGGGTTACAGTACGTTGCCATGCAGAGCCTCATGCAGGCAGGGGAGTCTCGAAAGTTCAACAAGCTTCGTTTCGCGGCTGGCTGGCTGGCTGGCAGGAGGGAAGAGGAGCGAACGGCGCTAACACACGCGCGAAGCGCATCGCTTGCTCGCGTGCAAGGAACAGGTTGTTCCACCTTTGCGATACCTACGGCGGTTCGGTTCGGCCATCGTAGCGTAGCGTACCACGATCTTGATCTTGTGTGCGTGGGTCGCGCGGGACCCGAGTTGGCCCCTATCTTCGCGCCTGAAGCTTGGCTGCAAGTACCCGCCCGCGCAGTGCAAGGCTGTGGAGAAGCTACCACAGGAGGGGGATTAGTAAACGACAGCACAGCACGTTAGCTGCGCGCCGGCGTAGATCATGCGTTTGGAGTAGATGCTCAGTAGATTCGCTAGAAGGTGGACGCGAAAACACGGCTGAAGATACGATTTGCGCGCGCCTCGTGGTTCCCTTTGCGGTAGCTTTCTCCGCTGAGAGCATCGTATCCCCCTTTCCTTTCCCTGTACCTCTATCGCAGTCACCGCCTCGCCCTCTTAAAGGTTGGGCGCTCCGCTCCGAGCATCATCGGGCAGGCGGGCGTCCGTCCGTCCGTCGGCCGTTCGTACGTCCCATGGTCCATGGTGTGATATTTGTTTCCAAACCAAAGCCTGAGTGTTTGACCTTGCGCCCGCGCGCGCTCTCGGCGCTGCTTGTTCCACTTATCCCGCTTGGTCCGTTGGGTCGCTACGCCCTCAGGGTGCATCCCACGCCCGTGTGTGAAGGGGTGAGTTCCAGGGGGGGGTGTTTTAGTTTTACGTGTTTGACGGTATTGGGGTTCTAAACGTGCGAAGCTAAACGTGCGAAGCTGGAGGGGGCATAGTCTTGTGGGACGAAACGGAGGAGCGTGGAAGAACCTGAGGCGCGGTTTGAGACACTGGAGGAAGGGAGGGGGAAACTGAAGTGTTGATTTGGAGGGAGGACTGGCATGACGGCGTGACGTGGTGCTGGAATTCAAGGGGTGGGGTGGGACGGCATGCCATGCCATGCCATGGCGTGGCGTGCCGTCTTGGAGCGCGTGCGAAGTGGAGATGGTTAGTACCATGTAGAGCACGCGGGCGACCCTTTGACGGGATTGTTGACAGCTGGCGCGCACACGCACCCACGACGCTGCCGAAAGTATTGAGCAGGCGGCGCCTCATCGAGCCAGGAAGCAGAAGGTTGGCCACCAACCTCATTGGGGACCTCGCCCGGAAGCAAGCGATTCAGACGCCATGTGGAGTGTGTAGGTGTTTGAACTCAGCGATATCGTGTCAACCATGACACGCGCTGCCATTTCATTTGTCGCCCACCCCCTTCCTATAGTCAACTGCTACTGCTACGCTACCAGTCCACCATGTACAAAACTCAATTCAATCTCCGCCAATACTCCTACAACAAAACTCCCCTTGCGCCCATACACCGAGCGCTGTGCCAGATTCAAAGTGACTGCTAAGGAGAGACATTAAGGAGGAGACGTCGTTAGATCGCGTTCCTCGGGGCATCATGTAAACCAAAAAATTCCAGATCTTAAGGAGTGTGTATCGCTGCGTCGTCGAGTATGGCCGTCAAAACTAGTACGAAAAATAGTAACTCCCCATGCCAACGTGATCCCACCAGGCGCCCTAACAATGAAAAGGAAACAACGGAAAAATATCCACGCGTATTAGAATTAAGCAGGTAATAACCAGATAGATGCGGTAGGTGCGTATATTCATGTTGAGTCGCACGAGATCATGTGGATGCTCGTCGGGCTGCGGTCCATTAGAATCCACCAGGTAGTGATGCCAGTTTGTACCGAGGAAGAACCGAACGGAGGCGCGAAAACGCAAAAACGACAATGGAGACCTCGGGGTATAGCAAGGAAAGCATCATCTCCAAAACAAACGCCGGCATGCTCACACTGCATGCCATCAGGAGCGGAAGTCGCGCGGGCCTTGGTTGGCAAAGATGTAGTTCTTCGCCTCGGGTGCCGTCGTCCGTCGCATGTGTCCGTGGAATCCGTCCCCTGATGGAGGGATGTACTGGTTGACCAGAAAGTCCGGCATAGCCGAGACAGGTGGGGCGAACGGCACGTTGTGCTGAATGCCGCTCAGAGAGATATCATCGTAGTTGTTGTAGCCTCCGTATGAGGAACCGAACATGCTATTGTGGTCATCGCCCTGCCCTTGCGCGTCGACGGGAAGCGATGGTCTCCTGAAATGGCTGGGCTTGGGCTGCTGGAGGGTCAAGTCAGTGCTTGAGTGGCATGCAGCCCTCATTCGCGGGGGTTGCATCAGATTTTGTCGAGGAAACCCCGGCTGTGTTGCCGGTGCAGACTGCGGTGGGGTGTCGCGGCACATGTCAGCACCAAGACGGGCCTGATGCAGTTGCGCTGCCTCCAGCGAAGGCGGAGACTCTCCCATAAACGATCCGACCTGCTCCATGGCCCAACTCGCAGCCATGCTCTCCGGAGAACTATGATCCGGCAAAGAAGTCCTGATTGTCGGGTTGCTTTGCCAGTAGGGGAAACGGCCATGCTCGTTCGGTGTCTGCGGTGTAGGTGGAGCCAAGCTGCCCCCGTGGCCAACAGTAGTTATACTGGAAGATGACATGGCCCGCTGGAACTTGGGGGAAGATGCAGCCTCTGAGAAGGTCAAGGACATGGGTGAGCGCTGTGCTGAGCCCGGCTGTGGCTTCTGAACGCGACCGGCGTTGCCGATTCCGGAAGATCGGATCCTCCGGAGCGTATGGTCGCCGTGGTTGTTGTTGTTCCCGGGCGAAGGCATACCGCCGCTGTACGACGCGCTTCTGAGAGTATTCGAGTTCAGTGTGGCCGGTCGCTTATGCCTCCGAGCAGCAATGCTAGATTGAGTGGGTGATCGGAAGCCCTCTGGCGTATGATTTTGGATGTGAATTGCTTCGATATTCGTGGCAAGATTGCTCGTAGAAGAATTCCTCCGGGCGAACACATCGCCTCCAAAGTCAGGAGTCTCGAAATCCGCGGGCCCAGTGCTGAGCGAGCGCCCGCTGTTGTGTGGTGACGAGAGAACAGCATGCGCAGAAGCATTAGAATGCTGGTACATGTCGACGCGCGGAAATCCTTGGCCTTGCGATGGTCCCCAGAAGTTGGCCTCCGAAGTCGAACCCTGTGGCATGTTGTAGGGGCCAGCAAAGAAGTCCACGGTGTCGTTTTCCGGTTTGGCCTCCGCGTCGCCATTCGTGTCAGTCCAGCCCGAGTACTTTGATGTGATGGATGCCACTGAACCAGTGTTCGGCTCAATCGAGGAAGGGTTAGTTGTGTTCGACTGAGTACCAGAGTACGGCGAGTCATCCGCCGACATGGATCCTGCGGTAATCTGCAAATCAGCCGGTGCGGTCGAGATGATTGGTAGGTATGACAGATAGTCCTGAAAGCCGCCGAATTGGTCGTCTTCAGATGCAGCGTTCACGGCGGACATGTCGTTGGGCATTGAGAATGGCATGTCACTCGGCAAGCCGTTGGGAGTTTGATCATTGAAGACGAAATTTGAGCCCTGCTGTTGCATTGGAACACCGTTGTTTTGCATGTACGACGGTCCAGCGGTGGCAGCCATGATAGAATGCATAACCGCATTGGGATGCGCGTAATTCCCTCGGTCAGCCTCCGGAATCGAGCGCAACGAATGGTGCATGTCATATTGCTGTTGGAGCATCATTTGCTGCTGACTTGGGCCTATGTCTAGCGCTGACGGGCGATCGACGTTTTGGACTGGCATGGTTGCAGGACTCATGTCGGCATTTACAGGAAAGTACCCTTGAGCAAGAGTCATCTGAGGCTGTGCTTGATCCATCTGCGGAGGGAAGTGTGGCATCGATGCAGGGACGGGCATTGGCATTTGCGGCGCTCCTGGCATCTGTGGTTGCGCGTATAGGCCCAACTGCATGTTGTAATTGTTGATTTGCTTTTTCATGTCCTGTTTCACCTTCGCTCTCCTATTTTGAAACCAATTCTGTGCGTCGCGTTAGCTCAACCACAAATGCTAAAACGGACGGCACTGACATTAATCTTGTCTAGAGGAACCCCAAGATTTTCGGCAAAGCCCTTCTTCGTACTGGTACTCGGCTTATGATGCTGTGCGAAGTGACGCTCGAGTATGTCATGCTGTTCTTTGGTCCTAGATACACGATACTGGTCAACCAAGTGCCACCGTCGACGCTTCATGTGGACTTACAAACGTGGCTTCACGTCAGCTGTCCCAGGCGGTTTCGCGGGTCCTGGCGGCTTCGCAGCACCCGCGCTTCCTTGTGCGGAAGGAGGGCGTTGCGCGGCAGCATCGCTGCTGTTCGCATAAGACTGCATGAGAACAGCGCACGGGGTTCGTCCAGGAGCGCAAAGGGACAGCGCGAGCAGCGGCGCGCCGATGGTCTTATTCGCTCTGCTCAGCTATGGTGAGCTCTGCGCTGTGTGCGGTTCGCGAGGTTCGGTTAGGGGGAGGGGCGAGTTCCTGTGGTTCAACGGGTCGACAGCGGGTCCAGGGTGTTGTGGTAATGGGGCGAAGACGGGGAAGCACCGCGGGCTCGGCGGACAACGAAAGCTGGGGGGAGGGCACGCGCGACAGAAACGAATGACTGTTACGACATCACAGAGCGATGCGTCAACAAAGTAACGAGAGGAAGTACGGGAGGCGAGAAAGCGAGTGTGTTAACGGCGGAATGAACTGGTCAGGAGTAAAGTTGGTTCGCAGTGGGCGGAGGCGCACCGCACGTCTTAGCAGCGGGAGGACTGGGTCTGAGCTCGGCCTGATTCGCCCGCCCTCCACCGACCTGACTGACCTCCGCTGGCACCCAAGAATAGACCCACGCGCAGCCCTCTAACGCACGCTGGATCGCGGGCTCAGCAGCGTTAGCCCACGCACCAGCAGCCTGCGTCTCACGGCGCTGGGTAGCGAATGGCGGCCGTGGCCGTGGGATGCTGAAGTCACCTTGGGAGAGCGTCCGCGCTGCGCTGCATCGTGCCGCTGTGCCCTCTGCACTCCCTCTGCGGCGTCCGCGCCTCGCCTCGCCTGTGCGCGCTGCCGCCGAGGCTGCTGCTGGCGTCGAAGCCCCGGCACGCTCGAGGCCGGGGCGCCGCGGCTTGCACAGGGGGTTGCTGGCCGGAGCACACGCCTTTATTGGTGTGAAAGGCGGCGGCGGCGGCTGATCTGCCCACTGCGGGCTACCTTGGCTTGTCATGGACCTCTCCCTCCGTTACGCGAGCCTTACTCGCACCGTCGCTGTTGGCATCGTCATCTGTCCAATTTCGGGAGATGCGCACATGGTCCGCAGAAGACGACCGCAGCTTGGACCCTCCTGAGCCCGGAGAATATTCCACCAGAGTTCCGTTGACTGCAACGTTGGACGTTGACGTCGACGTCGACCGTCTGTGCCGTCACAGCGAAGCATGAAGGCCACCGGGCGCTAGGCTCATCGGGCCCGAAAACTCCCCTTTGTGCCGGACCCAGGCGCCAATCCCAACCCTCGCCCTTCCTGCACGCTGTTGAAGAGCACCTGCTCCAATCACCAGTGTCGACGCCGTTCGTCACTCGCTCCCCTCAACACACCACCATCGCGCGCAGTGACCAGAGGGTCAGCTTGTGTGACGTTCGTTTTCTCCACAAAGCCCTCTTTCAACACCATCGAGCGGGAGCGAGTGTCTTTCGGGGACTCGGAAAGCGGCGTATATACGGGTGGAATCACTCAACAGTTGTACCTTGCAGCATCCACTTGCCTTTGGCCTCGGTGTCACTCGAGAGACTCAAAGCGTCTCAATGCGGTGTTGATCTTGTTGCACAGAGTCCGCAGCTGGCCGTTTTGGGCGACTCATGACCCCTCAGGTTAGCACTGACTTTCATCCATGCGCACCATGCATCTTGCGCTTGTCTGCCCACTCTAGGCGAACAAGACGAGCCAGCTGAGTTTGGGCCGGGGAACTGGTAAACCCCTGCAAGGGAGGAGGAGGAGCACAGCCTCACTGCCCCTGTCGACCCCGAGTATCTGCCATTGGTGCAAACACACGCGAAAGCTTCCCGCCGACATGTCCCTGCGCGCGCTGGAGCGGGAGACAAAATTTGTCAATGCCAGATATTATGTGGTTGATGCATTTTCAGGAGACGGCGGATCGGCGGATAATTTTAGTCGGCGGCGGAATTCTGTCATGCATGTAACGTGACTGTTCTAAACAATTGGACCCGGCGTGTGTGGCTCAGACTGCTGGGGCGAGGGTGGCATGCAATGCAACGCTTTGTGAGGTAGCAATTGAGAGAATAATCCTTGGCGTGGACGCATTCCCGCGGCGCGATAAATGTTCAACGCGGGCCCATTCTTCTGGGTCGGGCGTGAGAACAATCGCCCACGTCGTGGCTGCGCAGAGAAAAGTTGCCTGAGATGTTCTCTTGTGGATTGGCTGGCCTGCCGACTGGGGTAGTCTGTAGAGACATGGATGCACGACTCGGTCACCGAGTAAACTTGCCTCTTAGATATGAGCATGCGGACCCTTCGAGATTGTTACTGGCAGTTGAACATGCTAGGTTTCTGGCTACTGTGGTATGGGCGAGATCCCTGTCGTGTAAGAAGTGCACCGTTTCGCGGATTGTTCTTCAATTCGCTACTTGAAGAGTCGGACGTAGTAGTAGGATTCTATCGGCCTCTATAAAAAAAAGTGATCTTCTGTACAGCCACAAGAAATTCTATCGACGGTCTTCTGGATACCTTGATGACCATGAGGTTGCATGATGTTTGTTTAGTGCTGCTGCGAGGCCGGAGAGATCATGACAACGGTCAAGAATACCGGAAAGCTCGGCCTGGTTCATGTCGCGGGGTTGGACCGATTACTATGCTTACCACACAAGAGCGTCGACAATCTCAAGCTGTGCTTCACAGGTGACCTTGTTCCAGGACTTGAGTAAGACTGAACGCATATCTTGAACGATGAAATCTGCGCCAGCTTCCTTCAGTTGATCTAGTGTGTGAGTTGTGTATAACGCCACGACCGTGTAGCCTGCGGCCTTTCCTGATTTTATTCCAGCGGGTGCGTCTTCGAAAACAATGATGGAAGGTTGTTCCTTTGAGAGGGTGAGCTTTTTGCATCCTAAGAGGTAGCAAGCGGGGTCAGGTTTGCCATTGTCGACGTCTTCGGCGGTGACGAGGTTTTTAGGATGTGCTAGTTTCAGGACGTCCAGCCAGCCGGTGACCAAAGGTCGCGTGCCCGATGTAACGATAGCCCAAGGGATGGATTGCTTCTCGAGTTCTTCTAGAAAAGCGCGGGAGCCAGGGATCTCGACTGCGTCGGCGCCAAATTCTCGTGGTATTTGCCCTTCCTTCTTGCCAATGTCTATAAGTTGATTAGCTGCCATGTGGGAACGCCACGTGGGATACGTACAATCCCAGTTTGCTAGTTTAGGTTCGTATATCTTGAGTACGTCGATCGATCTTCGGCCGTGCGATGTTGCAAGTATGACCTCTGGATCCACGCCTATCTCTTTTCCAATTCTGCTTTGGTCAGTATGAGAACCGTTGCACGAGTAACGAGACCCTGATGTCGTCACTAGCCTGAAGGCCGCCTAAGGCCCCCCGAGAGCCCTATCTAGGGAGATGCGACTAGATACGGAAGGATCACCACAGATCTCAAGCGAAAGCGAGCCACTTACGCTTGCCAGTTCTTGATCACAGCTTCAGTCGAGTCGATTATGGTACCACTGGTGTTGATCAGCATCCATTCCTCAACATGTGGGATAACCTCGTATTACTCCATATCGAAGAGCTGACCGCGTTAGTATGTACAAAAGGTTATGGGGAGTTGACTTACCAGTCCATCGCTAGTAATCGTTTTCGGTGGAGCGTTGAAAGAAGGCTCTACGGATTCCGGGACAGTCATTTTGCTGTGCGTAGATATTGGGGTCAATTGAGAGTTGTTCAGAAGTTTTAAAGCAAGCTGAAACTAAATGATCGTATGAGTAACTTTGCAACGGAAAAGGCGAGACGCCACGGAAAATGTAAGAGATCTGCGAGGACTTGCCGTATAGGGTATGCCGCCCGCCAGTTGCCAAGTTGCAGGGTGAGACTCACACCTATAGACCGCCAACGAGCGTACTTCGTGGGCTGGTGGTTCTTGTCGTGGAATTGGCGTTAAGTTGGGTAGCGTCTGACCTTTCTAGAGAAGGAAGAGGTCAACTGTATTTTCTGAGAGTCCACTATGGTCGTCGAGTACGTGCCCCACAGTTCCCGCCCGCGCTAGAAATATTCTGCCGCTGCGCACCGCCCATACACGTGATGCGAAATCTTGGCAGTCGTGAATTTTTGGATCTGGGAGAAGTCGTAACAACGCACATTATCAACAACCAGCGTCATACCCGCTATGAAGGTCGGAAGTGAGTCAAAAATAGAATAGATTCCAGTATTGTCGCTAACATATTCTAGAACCCAAATCGAAGCGCGTACCCGTGCGGTTGAGGCATAAGATCGAGAAGTCTTCTGCGGCGAAACAACGGAAGGCGAAGAAGGAAGCCAAGAAGGTACAGCGCACAGTATCCCCAATACTTACGGATGCTGAGCATTGCAGAACCCAGAATGGCGCTCGAAGCTCAAGAAGGACCCTGGCATTCCGAACCTCTTCCCGTACAAGGACAAAATTCTGCAAGAAATTGAGGAGTCGCGACGGGTAAAGGCAGAGGAAATTGTGCGCCGCAGAGAGCTAGCGAAGGAGCAGAGGCTTACTGGAGAGGCTACAATGGACACTCTGGACGAGGACGAAGACTCGGCAGGCGGCGATGACCTTCTCGAGGAGTCGGATAACGAAGACTCGATGCAGGTGGTGAGTACACCCTCAGTGTGGTCAGGAATTGTAACTGATATTTTACAGGACGACTCAAATCCCATGGCCGCTCTGCTTGCCTCTGCAAAAGCTCGCGCAGCCAAGTTCGAACAGAAGAAATCGCACGATGAGGAGGCGATGGACGAAGACGATGAGGATGATTTCGAACGCTTCGATCTCGAGGACGACGAAGGCGCGGTCAACGTGCGAAAGGATTCCTCCCGAAAACAATTCGACAAGGTGTACAAGCAGGTCGTGGAAGCCGCAGACGTGGTGCTCTACGTGCTCGATGCGCGGGACCCGCAGGGCACGCGGTCGAAAGAGGTGGAGCAGGCCGTCATGGCAGCCGATAGAGGCAGCAAGCGGATGATTTTCATCCTGAACAAGATTGACCTTGTACCACCACCAGTCCTTCGGTCGTGGCTGGTTCACCTGCGCCGATCATTTCCCACGCTGCCTCTCCGCGCCTCGAAGCCCGCACCAAATGCAAAGACGTTCGACCACAAGGAGCTCACGATCAAGGGTACATCAGAGACCCTCTTCCGAGCGCTCAAGACTTTCTCTGAGGCTAGACAACTGAAGCGATCGGTCAAGGTTGGCATCATTGGTTACCCAAATGTTGGTAAATCCTCAGTCATCAATGCTCTCACGCAAAGAATGGGTGGGAGAGTCGGCGCCTGCCCGGTCGGAGCTGAGGCTGGCGTCACAACGAGCCTACGTGAAGTCAAGCTGGACAGCAAGCTGAAGCTTCTCGACTCTCCTGGAATTGTGTTCCCCAACAGCCCCGAAGGCGGCAAGAGCAGCAAGGTGGAAGAGAAGGCGAGACTCATTTTGCTGAATGCGATCCCACCGAAAGAGATTGAGGACCCTGTGCCGGCCGTGAACCTCCTTCTGAAGCGCCTGTCCTCCTCACCAGAGCTCTTTCAGAAGATGGTCGATGTGTACGATCTCCCACCCCTGCATACTGTCAACGGCGATACAACGACAGACTTCCTTGTACAGGTAGCGAGGAAGCGAGGTCGCCTTGGTAAAGGCGGTGTTCCCAATCTTCACAGTGCAGCGCAAACCGTCATCACAGACTGGCGTGATGGACGAATCCAGGGATGGACCGATCCGCCAGCATACAAAGCCACTCTCACAAAAAGCAGCAAGACTGCTCCTGCTACGAAGGGAGGTCTTGTTGGTGACCAGAAGGATATTGTCAAGGAGTGGGCCGCCGAGTTCAAGCTCGAGGGCCTTTGGGGCGATGAAGCGGTCGGAGCGGATGCCATGGAGTTGTAGAGAGGTTTGTGTTGTCCATACATTCATGACTTGGTGAATCTGGCGTTTTCCACGGCGATTTAGATCTATGATACCAAATGAACACAAGCAACGACTTGCATACTATGGTAGACATTCCCCTGACTAGCGACTTACGTTCCTAGATCGCAACTTAAGACCTTCGCCAGTAACCAAGAAAAAACTTGAGCGACATCGGAGTCCGGACACGCAAAAAGTCGCAACGGGTGCTAGGACCCGGTGTTAGTGTAGGAATGTGCACGTGCATAGGCGTCCTGGAGCAGTCGCGACTGTGGGGTTTGCGCCCCGCTTTGCGGCTTCCGTCGGCTCAACGTTGAGCTACCTCGTACAAATATCTACAGAGCATCTTCGCATGCAATGTCTTTCTCCGAGCATACTATTGCTATCATCTCAATCACAATGTCTTCGCTAAAGACACTGCGGCCAGCTTCGCAATCGCTAAAGGCTCAATGCAGCACAGCTAGAAGAGGCGTCGCAACCATCGCTAACTTCAAGATACCTACGATCAACAATGAACCCAACGTGAGCGCAATCCTTGCCAGTATTACAATGTTAAAACTGACATCACCCGCAGCAACACTACACAAAGGGTTCCGTAGACCGTCGGAAGCTCCAGGATGCAGTAGCAGCTCTGAAGCAGCGGACACCACTAGACGTCCCACTGGCAGTGGGCGGAAAGCACGTACGTGAAGATATCTTGACTTCCACAGAGCAATCTGTTTACATTGATAGATCACCAATTCGTCCATTCTCACGCAACACAACCCTTCCTCTCACGCCGACGTAGTCGCGAAGTACTCCAACGCCAGCACAGCAGATGTCAACAAGGCAATAGACGAGGCGCTCGCAGCTCAAGAAGCATGGGCGAACCTACCTTTCGCCGACCGCGCCGCTGTTTTCCTCAAGGCAGCAGACCTGGTATCGACCAAGTACCGATACGAGATCATGGCCGCTACGATGCTTGGCCAGGGCAAAAACGCATGGCAAGCAGAGATTGATGCTGCGGCAGAGCTGTGCGATTTCTTCAGGTGGGCATATCATGTGTACTCGCATATTTCACTGTGGCTAATATTGACAGATTCAACGTCAAATATGCAGAGGAGACCTATGGGGAACAGCCCGTGCACAACTCGCCAGGCGTGTGGAAGTATGTGGACATGCGGCACAACCTTTGGCAGGGGTGCTAACGAAATACAGCCGTGTGGAGTACCGCCCGCTCGAAGGCTTCGTATACGCAATTTCGCCTTTCAATTTCACCGCCATCGGAGGAAATCTTCCTGCAGCCCCAGCGCTGATGGGTAATGTCGTAGTGTGGAAGCCATCACCGTCGGCTATCGCGTCAAACTGGCTTGTCTACCAGATCCTCATCGAGGCCGGCTTGCCTCCGAACGTCATCCAGTGGGTGCCTGGTGACGCAGTCGAAGTTACCCAAGCAGTGCTGTCACACCGCCAGTTCGCAGCTCTGCACTACACTGGCAGCACAGCCGTCTTCCGCTCGTTGTACGGCAAGATCGCCAACGGCGTAGCTGAGGGGAAGTACCAAGGCTATCCTCGCATCGTTGGCGAGACTGGCGGCAAGAACTTCCATCTTATCCACCCCAGCGCGGAGGTCTCAAACGCGGCAATCCAGACAGTGCGCGGCGCTTTCGAGTATCAAGGCCAAAAGTGCAGCGCATGCTCCCGTCTCTACGTCCCGAAATCCATCTGGCCCGAGTTCAAGGAGAAGCTTGTCGCCGAGACAGCCGCACTGAAGATTGGCGAGCCCTCCGACTTCTCCAACTTCATCGGCCCTGTTATCCACGAAGCCAGCTTCAAGAAGCTCTCCGGCGTCATTGATGAGGCCAAAAACGACAGCGAGCTCGAGCTCCTCGTTGGCGGAAAGCACGACGCAAGCAAGGGCTACTACATCCACCCGACCATCTACCAGACCTCGAACCCCAACCATCCCCTCCTCTCTCGCGAACTTTTCGGCCCTGTCCTCGTTGCATACGTATACGATGATTCCACTCCTGATGCCTTTGCCAAGATCTGCAAACAGATCGACACGACTTCCGAGTACGCTCTCACCGGTGCAGTCTTCGCGCAGGGCAGGGAAACCATTCGCTTCGCCGAGAATGCTCTGCGCAACGCCGCAGGTAACTTCTATGTGAACTGCAAGTGCACTGGTGCTGTGGTCGGCCAGCAGCCGTTCGGTGGCTCGCGTGCAAGCGGCACGAACGACAAGGCTGGCAGCGCGACACTCCTGTCCCGTTTCGTCAACATGCGGTCGGTCAAGGAGGAGTTCCTTCCTACGACCAAGGTTGAGTACCCCAGCAACGAGGTGTAAAAGCATTACTGTGTATATAGATACCATGACTCTAAGGCGTTGGCGTTTTGGTGGACACAGTTGCACTTGGATGATATGAATTTGAATATTTATGCATCGTTCGTTCAGATGAACAGAACGCAATCTGTAGCAAGAATAAATTAAGAAATAATATTGCGAGAGTGTGCTGTGTTGAACAGTGGCTTACAAAATTGAGCAAGAATAGCAAGACCGATACTAACATGGTTGGGCAACACCTACACTGTTGGAAGGTTCCAATGCGAGTCCAGAAGCGGAATGTCGAGCAATGATATCTGTTTCTTCTTCAAAGCATATCACATCGCGTAATTCCACTTGTATCAAGGCCATCTCTAGTGGGCGCCGTACCGAAAGCGTGGTTACAGTTACTTGATATTCACTTGTATGCACTTCAAGCGTCAAATTGTAGACTCAGAACCATATACAACGAACTATTAGTCGTATCAGAAGGATGCTCTCCGCTGTATACCGTCTCTCAAATGCGCTAAATATCCCCGCGGGTCAGTGGAGCAGGACTTTCCCTTTGTCTATGCGTTTCAGGGCGGAAATGTGGAAATCATTGTCGCTAATGCCATACACAAGGTGTCACTAAGAGTGTCTTACTTTAAGAGTTCTTTACGCTATAAGCAAGCATGTATGTAATCGTTGGAACTAATGCTATACAGTGCAGCACGTCACATAACTTAATCAACTCAAAGGGTTTGGCATCACGAGCACAGAACTCGCGACATCAATCTTTAAACACGATAATGCGATGCATTGCGGCGTGGTTCGAACACGAAGCCAGCATCCTCTAAGATACGGCAGTTAAGAAGCTATAAACTGGGCAGCGCTACCTTTGTACAATCCCCTCACATAAGTAGAACCCTTGTCCTCAGCTTCTCTAATAGAAAAGAAGCTTCATAGGATTTAGATCTAGCCATGGTCCTTTCAGTTATAAGAAGAGAAGCAGCCTAGCAATATGATTAAAGATAAACGATCACCTAGTTTCCTTAACACTCAAGGCACGCTGCTTCCTCGCAGCTTCGGAAATGTTACATATTGTGTATTTTCTTTTAAATAATGTAATGCCCCTACTAGCTGTGATACTTACAACATGATTTCGAATGACAGTCGGTGTTCGTCGCGTGCTGTGTGCAGCAGGGGTATGCAGAGGCTCAGTATGCGCCACAGCTATCTTTAGCAAGCCTTACTTTCAGGAACAGTGTAAGATTTGTTACAACAGCCGACTGTCATATTCGAGCGCTCTACTGTAGGCTACGGCGTGCCAAGAGTCACGAGAAGTGCATGTTCGGGTAAACCTGTTTCGACAATCTTGCTCTTCGAGCGGAGAAACTGCCAGAGTACTATCCTTCCACGTGTGGCGGAAAAACCTGCGTGCCGGCATGCCGGTCATACTTCCCATAACAACAAACCCAACCACAGCTAGCTTCCTGACCTGCTGTCTAGGTGTGCGAGAGGATGGCGTAGGGGGGCGCGGGGTCGTCGTCCACAGTGGTCAGCTCGAAGGCGCCATTATCTGGAAGGCACTTGAGAAGGCGCATTATACTGCAACATATTCTCCTAGGAGAACGCTGGCAGGCTTGATCGCGCGTGGTAGTACAGACGCGGAGAGGTAAGAGATGTGGAGTAGCAGGAGATGTCTCTGCCGTGCGCACGCATGATGCACAGGCAGGCTGACAGCGGGCGACTCACAGGCACGTGAGGCTCTATGGCTGCAGGTCTATGGATGTACAGTTAGATCATCTTGCCGTTGACGTTTTCAGCTCGGCACTATCGGAGCGTTTTAAGTCCGATGCATATGCCAAACCATGATGCAATAAATTGCATCGCCCTTCCCTCTTTTCAGGAAAGACACTCGTATCGTCTACATGAATTCATTTTATTCACGCCTTCGATTGAACGGGACCACACACGCTTCGCCAACATGATTGATTTCCTCCGCCATCATTGGTACGACCTTGGCGCTGTATCCGCTGCAGTTACTGTCTATTACTTCCACGTCAATCGGAAGAATCTTAATACCATACAGAGATGGCTCATCGCTAGCTTTCTTACTGTCTTGGTCCATCAGTTCGAGGAGTACCGATTTCCAGGGGGATTTCCGGCGGCTATGAACATTGGCGTACAAGCCAGCCCTCGGCCGACCACCTATCCCTTGAACGCACACAGTGCTATGATCACCAACACGGTTGCCACCTATGGACTCTACCTACCACCAATCTTCTTTCCAAACCTTGTCTGGCTTGGCATAGGTCCTGTCATCTTAGGCTTTGGCCAAGTCATTATCCATGGTATCAATATCAATTCCAAGATGCGCACGTTCTACAACCCTGGCCTCGCGTCTACTCTACTTATGCATGTACCCGTTGGCATTGCCTATATTCAACATGTACGAGCTGCTGGCAAGTTAACGCCAATGCAACTAGGACTGGGGCTAGCATATGGAATGGCTATCATGTATCTTCTTCTTGGGAAATACACCTTCACCTGGGCACCGGACATGGATTCGCCCTATCCATTTACAGCTGCTGAGATGCAGCGAGGCGGTGTTGCTACATACCTAGCTCAAGCTTAAGTCCTTTAAGGTAAGATGACAGCTTCTTATCTTTCAGTTAATACCATTGACATCAACGTTAGGTCAGCAACGTCAAGTGGTCAAATCACTCACATTGGATAATGTCTTGCCATGCGGCCTGTGCGTTCAGGTGAAAACATCTCATCCGGTCCACGGAGACACGAAGAATTCGCAGTGCGGGAGAAGGTGTTCGTGGTACACATACAGTACGAAGTCAAAAGTCTGCGTACAATCTGTTTTTGCATTGTCTATCCTGGCGTAACACACTGTACTTAAACCTCAAAGCAGCGCTGTCAAATAGTCCTAAAATTCTAGGACTATCTATCTAGATGTTCTTCTCCTAAAGGCAACCTAGCGGCATAGTGCAAACAGTAACCAGTGTGATTATGGTGGGCGCGTACAATCGCTCCGAATTCTTGCGCAGCGCAATGGTCGTAGACTCTGCTTGCCATGCATAACCACACAGTTTCGTTGGGCGCGATCGAGCCACATCGATACCCAGCCTTCTGGTTCAGCCCACTGTACTGGCCTACCTGAACCCATGGTAAGGCTTTTAATAATCATATGCCCTATGTACAGCACGCTCATCGCACTGATGTGCTGTGATCGCGCTATACACTTCGAAGCAGACTCCTGGAACAAGAGATGGGCCCATTGGTGGGCGGAAATATGAGACCCTCCGAAAGTGGTTCATTTGATTAGTATATAGATACAGCCTCGCAAGCTTAACCTCAATACGCCGTTGCTGATGAAGCACTGTAACAGCCCTTGTCGACGACCGAGTGGAGAACGGAATTGGATGAATCCCACCCCCGAAAACCTATCGATACTTGGCCCAAGCCGCGGCACATTTCCAACTGCCTTGAACCTGTAACAAAACTTGCAGAAGCCGACCTAAAAATTTATTCGACACCATGGTTGCCATGGAAAATTATTTCCACGCGAGGTTGCCGAGGTAAACAGCAGCAGCAAAAAATTCATCTTAAACCACAGTTTCGGAGATGCCGCCGCGACGGAAACTAAATGCTTTGACACAAGCTTCCGTCGCTAGTGAAATCGCTGCCTTGGACTTGGGTGTTGTCTTCTGACTCGGACGTCGGAGCTAGGATCGGACCGTGAGTCTTGTTGCTCGATGTCTGCATGCAGCCAACGTTTCTGGAAGCCTGAGATAACACTGGATGCACCGCCGCAGCGTATTCTTAGGCTGACGTTCTGTCCAGGCATTACCGTGTTCTTAGGAATTAACATCGTAGGAAATACGTGTGTAAACTCCGTCGAGCAACTTGCTTCGTAATGCACATTTGCATCTCTTTTACACACGCTGACCCCATCTCTCACTCCGACGGCATGGCCGCCGAGTGGGATGAGTACCGTCCGACCCTCCGCCCCGTCCACACGGTTTACTTATCTCTCCTGACTCTATCTCGATCCAGATTCCTCTCTCTTCTGACTAGATTAACCTCGGTACGACCGCATGCGGTTAGAGCAAACAAAACCGAGCCTGAAGACGCTGCATGGATCGCCGCTACTTCAACGATCCCGGTAGGAAGCGTGCCGAGGTGCTCCACTCTTATCACGTGGGAGGCCGGCTATTGGTCACATGGTGGATGTTTTTGGACAACTCGGCCGAGGTGTTTTGATGGTGTCATTATGTGGTGGACAACGCGTGTGTGGAACAGCGCCCAAGGGGCGCAAGGGCGGGTTTGACTGATAGTGGAACCCGTTCGCAGTTTCGAGAATTCTGGTCCGTAGACCCATAGGGCGCGACTTTTAATAGTACAAACAGTCCCCAGGCTCCGAGGAGATCTGCTTCACTTTTACCTGTGTTCCTCCAGATCGTCCCTTGCATACCCTTTGGATCTTCCTTGTACATACTTTTAATCCCTCGCCAAGCGAGTGCACTTCACAATATGGCTGGAGAAAAGTCCAGCGTGGACCCAGAGTCCGGTCGACAGGGCATCCCTCACGTTAAACTTATCCTCGAGCAAGGCATCGTCACCGACGAGATTGTCAACTACGACTATGAGGGTGCAGGCACAGAGGATGACCCGTACGTGGTTGAATGGATAGAAAACGATCCCCGGAACCCGATGACATGGAGTCAGACGAAGAAGTGGGTCGGATGTGTTTGCATGGCGTTTGCGACGTTGACGGTGTCGTTCTGTTCATCGGCTTTCAGTGGAGGTAATTCGGTCTCCGAGATTCTGGAGAAGTGAACGAGGCTAAAGATGAATAGGTGTCCAGCAGATTCTCATCGAATTTGGTGTCTCACAGGAAGTTGTCACGCTCGGTATCTCGCTGTTCGTTCTCGGTTTCGCGCTCGGTCCGCTGCTATGGGCTCCCTTCAGTGAACTGTACGGTCGCCAAGTTGTCTTTTTCGGAACGTTCCTCGCCTTTGTGGCGTTCAACGCTGGTGCCGCTGGATCGAAGAATATCTGGACGCTCCTTATCCTCCGGTTCTTCGGTGGTGCCTTTGGATCATCGCCTCTTACCAATGCCGGAGGTGTTGTTGCGGATCTGTTCGCGGCGAAGGAGCGTGGTCTAGCGATGTCCATATTCTCCGTTGCACCCTTCATGGGCCCTGTCCTCGGTCCCATTGTTGGTGGATTCCTCGGGATGACAGAGGGCTGGCGCTGGGTAGAGGGTCTCATGGCCATATTCTCTGGAGTCGTCTTCTTCATCGCCATTCTATGTGTTCCGGAAACGTATCCTCCAGTTCTGCTCCGGAAGCGTGCGCAGACCTTGTCCAAGATGACTGGCAAGGTGTACATGTCAAGAGGCGACATTGACCAGGGCAAGACGTCGCTCGGAGAGGCTTTCTCGACTGGACTGAAGCGTCCCTGGATCCTACTGTTCCGCGAACCCATCGTCTTCCTTCTGTCCTTGTACATGGCTATTATCTATGGTACATTGTACATGCTGTTCGGCGCTTACCCGATTGTCTACCGTCTTGGTCGTGGATGGAACGAGGGCATCAGCGGTCTTCCCTTCGCGGGCGTCGCTATTGGTATGCTTGGGGCTGTCACCTACACTATCGTGTATGACAACAAGCGCTATCTGAAGTGCGTCAAGAATTCTGCAAATGGATTCGCAGCTCCAGAGGACCGACTGCCCACGGCCATCGTCGGAGGAATCGCCTTGCCCATTGGACTCTTTTGGTTCGCATGGACTAACTCTCCATCCCTGCCATGGGCTGCCTCTGTCGCGGCTGGTATTCCTTTCGGCTTTGGCATGGTCCTCATCTTCTTGAGCATCATGAACTACCTCATCGACGCCTACACCATCTTCGCTGCATCTGTCCTGGCGGGTAACGGCATCATCCGTTCGGTATTTGGTGCCGCATTTCCTTTATTCACAAGCCAAATGTACAGCGGCCTGGGTATCCACTGGGCATCATCCATCCCTGCCTTCCTCGCTATAGCCTGCCTCCCCTTCCCCTTCCTCTTCTACAAGTATGGCGCCGCCATCCGAAAGAAGTGCAAGTACGCCGCGCAATCCGAAGCCTTCATGGAGAAGCTCCGCACCTCGGCTGCCCGACGACAAGCCGCGCCAGAAGACTCCGACAGCTCGAGGACCGCCTCAGTACAAGCCGAGCAGAATGCCGAGCAGGAAGCTATCGATTACTCGTACGAAGACGAGAAACCTCCGCGGTTCGAGGAGATGCGGGCAGCGAAGGAGACCACTGATGGTGGGGCGTTGCAGAAGGTTCACACGGGTCGGAGTACGAGGTCGAAGAGGAGCGTACGGACAGTGAAGGAACCGGAGTATGATGGCAACCCGTATGAGATCGATCGTATACACACGAGGGAGAGCTTCAAGAGGCCGAGAGGCGCAAGCTTGAAAGACAAAACAGCACCGGGGCCCAGCAAGAAGCAATAAGGGCGAAGTTGCGAAACGATTGATTTTGAGCGTTCGAGCATGGGTCGGAATCTAAAATTGGGATAGAGGGGATTATGATACCAACTGTGTACTAGACACTGCATTAATTTCTATTTGACTATTAGCTTGACTTCAAAAGATGTGGGCTGAGTGAGAGTTTCTACAACGCTTTTCAAACGGTTCTGTATGCTCACATGTGCTTGATATGGAAAAGTGTTGGATACTACACTTGGTAGTGAACGTGCTGATCGGTGCATTTGTGGTAGACAAGATGGACAGTGAATGCTAAGGCAATGCTGCGTAGGATCAGCGCATTTGTAAGCGCTGTAGCTCGTACACGCAATAGTAAGGATACGTCATCGTGGACGTGAGGTTGTGGATTTGTTGTAGGTAGGTTCACGCTAGGCTCCTTCCGCTTCCGCTTGGACCCTGCATAAGAGCCACGATGCAAGGCACCCCATGTCGCTTGGGCTTACCTGAACGGCACGGAAGAACTACAACATGTTCAGCTCTATCTGTCGCATCTCTCTCCGCCTAATGTCCCCCCTCCGTGTAGGTGTGATAGGGACGTCATTGTACCCTTTCCCCAGCCTCGATACCTGAGCTGGCACTATGGCACGTTTCCGAACCAGACACGTCGCCTTTTGCGCCTTCCTGCTCGTATTCCTCTGGTATATGCTCCCCGAAGACGAGCTCGCGATACACCTCCATAATCAGCCTCGTGGTGCGCCAAATGCAGGGACCGCGGAATTGGCGCGATATATGAACGATGCGAACCGTATCCCGCACATCGAGGCCAGCCGGAGCACGTTCAGCTGGAATACAGTCGAGTTCAAGTACCCGCCCGAGCTCACGCCGAAGCTCCCCCCACCAGTGACGAAACGGCCCCGGATACAGCATCATTTCCGACCCGAATCGCGAAGTGTCGCTGCCGAACAAGAGCGAAGACGGCAAGAAGTGTTACGCGTGTTCACGAAGGCGTGGATGAGTTACAAGAGGAAGGCATGGATGAAGGATGCGCTGAAGCCGCTGAGCGGAAGCTATGTGGATCAATTCAGCGGCTGGGCCGCGACACTCGTGGACAGTTTGGATACCCTATGGATGATGGGCTTGAGGGACGACTTCTACGATGCTGTGGAGGCTGTCGCGACGATCGACTTTGGACGAAGCACTTCTGGTCGCGTGAACACATTTGAGACGAACATACGATACTTGGGAGGGCTGCTTGCGGCTTACGATTTGAGCGGGCACGAAGTGCTCAAGGCGAAGGCAATCGAGGTTGGAGACCTGTTATACGCGGGTTTCAATACGAAGAACAGAATGCCCGTGGATTTCATCAGCTTTGAAGACGCAAAAGAAGGAAGCGGGTTACTTGTTGAGAAGTCTGTGGTCAGTGCATCTCCAGGCACTATCACGCTGGAGTTCAGCAGGCTAAGCCAAATCACCGGCGACAACAAATACTACGCCGCGGTATCGCACGTCATGGACATGTTCTACGAGCAACAGAACAAAACCAAACTCCCTGGAATGTGGCCGATGACGGTCTCCATGGCCAACGAAGACGCGATCACAGGCTTCCAGTTTACCATTGGTGGCAACGCAGACTCCTTGTACGAATACCTACCCAAGGCACACGCCCTCCTTGGCTCTGCAGATGCAAGCTCGCGCAAATACGAAGTCATGTCCCGCACATTTATGGATACCGCGATAGACGTTCTTTTCTTCCGGCCTATGACCCCGAAGCAAGACGACATCCTCATCTCAGGCAACTGCGACGTACTGGAAAACGGCCCGAGCCTCGATCCTGAGAGCGAGCATCTTTCCTGCTTCATAGGCGGTTTGTATGCACTTGGCGGCCGCCTCTTCAACAGCGCGACCTACCTTGATGCCGGCGCAAAACTTGCCCGTGGCTGCATATACGCCTACAAGTCCTTCCCAACTGGTATCATGCCGGAGCGCTACAACATGGTGAAATGTCCTGGTTCGGATCCAAAGAAGCCTTGCAAATGGGACGAAGATTTGTATGTTGCCGAATGCGAGAAACGAGTGCAGTATCGCGAGGGGCTGCCTAAAGGGTTCACGACGGCAAAAGATCCGCGTTATATCCTCCGGCCTGAGGCTATCGAAAGCGTCTTCATCTTGTGGCGGATCACTGGGCAAGAAGAGTTCAGGGAAGCAGCATGGGACATGTTCCAGGCTGTTGTCAATGCAACTGATACAGAGTATGCCAATGCGGCAATCGAGGACGTGAACACTGTTGGCTCGAAACAAACGGATTACATGGAGAGTTTTTGGCTGGCGGAGACCTTGAAGTATTTTTACCTGGTGTTTGCGAATACAGACCTCATCAGCCTGGATGATTTTGTGCTTAACACCGAGGCGCATCCGTTCAAGCTTTCGAAGGTTTAGGAGGCCTCGAATCATGAACGTAAGGAAGCGTTTGGAAGGACAGCGACATCTATCAAAGCAATATGAGGCGCCTTGGTGTTGATGGTTTTCTGACCTCTGCACTTGATGATGATGGATTTGGGCGCCACGGGCTTCGTTGTGGGGAGTGCGTTTCAACGGACTTGGCGTGCCTGGCGCTAAAAATATAGCGACGACATCGGATGCTGATTGGCTTGTGCCTGCAGATTTCGGCACCGTTGCAATGCTGGGGAAATCGATGCTTGAAGGCGTTGATGATGGCCACAGGCGTGTCTGCGAGGATATCCAACATACTGCTCAGGGCCCGACGCTCTGTCGGTGTTGAGATCGTTGTAATGCACATTGTATGGCATGTTTAGTTTCCATGTGTTTCGTTTGTGATGTCCAGGGTTTCCTGGCATGACCCATTGATAATTCTGGGGATAAGTGGTGAATAGGCTGTAGACTAGACTGATTGACCATCATGAACAAAACACACTTCGACAAAGTGTAATCCCCCTTCCGAGGTGCATTCTACGTTCCAAGTCTCCGAGAGCTTTGCCATAGCGAGCACGATGCGGCAAGGCGGCCGATGCGCCACACTGCACCGGAGAGGGGCTAGCTGAGTTAGGATCACCGTTGCGGCCCCTTCATCTCCATTGTCGCGCCGCACCCCGTCTCCGCTCACTCCACACCTTCTTGTACATTTCTGTTGTACAGTTGTTCTTTCCCTAACCGCGTTTGTCCTTCTTTCTAATCCCTAGTCGCTCTCTACCGTGTGTTCGCGCACCCACAAACGCTCTTTACACCGAAACTTACTCCTCGGATACCTTAACGACACCGAAGATGCGTTTCTCCACTGCCGCAGCAGTTGCTCTCGCAGCGGCGCCCGCCGTCGTCTCCGCCGCAAAGGGTTCCATGGGATTTGCGCTCGGCACGAAGCAGCCCAACGGCGACTGCAAGACACAGAGTGACTACGAGGCCGACTTCGATGCTATCAAGGAGGCGTCTGGCGCGACGATTGTGCGTGGATACGCGGCGGCCGACTGCAACATGACGAAGACGATTCTGCCTGCTGCGGAGAAGAAGGACTTCAAGGTCGTGCTGGGAATCTGGTAGGTTGGCTTAGGTCCCTTAAACCCGCAGAATGTATGCTAACACCAATTCGCAGGCCCGACGTCGAAGAGTCCTTCAACAACGACCTCAACGCCATCACCGCCGTCGCTGAGAAATACAAAAACACCATATACGCCGTAACCGTTGGCTCCGAGACACTCTACCGCGGCAACTTTACTGGCCCCGAGCTTAAGGCCAAGATCGACACTGTCAAGGGCAAGCTGCCCGACAACATCAAGGTCGGCACCGCAGACTCGTGGAACAAGTTCAACGATGGCACCGCAGACGCGATTCTGTCGTCTGTCGACATCCTCATGATCAACGCGTTTGCATTCTGGCAGGGCGCTGGCGGCGAGAACGCTACTCATGTCTACCTGAACGATATGTTCCAGGCTATCAGCCATATTGAGGAGAAGGTCGGCGGAAGCGACAAGATTGAGATCTGGAACGGCGAGACCGGATGGCCTACTGCTGGTAAGTTCCCCCTGCCCCCACCCATCCCCTAAGAACAGACACTGACGGGCTTGATAGACGGCACCGACTACGGCGCTGCAAAGGGTGGTCTTAGCAACGCCAAGAACTTCTACCAAACGGGCTTCTGCGCGTTGCTCGACTGGGGCTTCAACGCCTTCTTCTTCGAGGCCTTTGACGAGCCCTGGAAGCCTGCCTCCATCGGTGACAACGGCAATGTTGCGGACGAGACGACCTGGGGCGCGATGACGAGCGATCGCAAGACTAAGTACTCGCTGAAGTGCTAGATCGCGAAGGCTGGGGACGGGAGTGTGAATATAGTTCGACGGGGGAAGGTTGTCGATAGGGCATGAATGAGTGTTTTGGAGGCGGATGGAGACGATGTAGATTCCCCATTGCAAGTTTATATTAAGGTTGTGTTCATTCGGTCAATGAGTCTTGTTTGTAATGTGCTTCCGTCTGGCGAGGGCCCGTCTTCATGTTGTTTCTCCCGGACGACAGCGTCTTTCAGACATCATGGTACGAGCTCTAGACAGGTTCTAAAGTAATTTTTCTACTGCAATTGGACCATTTCCATGCTGCACTTCGTTGGGCCAACCAGGCCTATGTGGTCCGTGCATTGTCGATGCGCGTTGTGGCGCAAAAAGAATTGGTTGATGTTCGAACATCAACCACAACCTCCTTTCATCGATTTATCGACCCCACACTGGTACAATAGCAAGATTTGAGCCGGCAGACAGGTGCATTTGAGGGAAACCCTTCCCTCCTGATGTTTATTATGATGAAAAGTGCGGGATGATGGTCGTAACTTCTACGTTTGTAAATGCATTCTTTGCAGGACCACTGAACCTAATGTTCTCATAGATTCTCTCTCAACAATGCGTAGCTACGGCCTTAGGACTGTCCGTCATTCCCCACAATGGTGCGGATTTTCCGATCCTTGGTCCATCATCCGCTCGGTCCTTTGAAGTCTCACGTGACTGGCACCACACCTGCACCTGCACCCTCAACCTCCGACCCGGCTACGCGACTGAACGCGCTGGAGGAGAGAAAAGTTCTACTTCTTGAGAAGAGGGTCAAAGCTCTCAAGGCAACGAATAGATATCTTTCTATCGGCGAAAAGAAAAAACTAAGCTGGCTGGTCGCAGCCCAAAACCGTATACGGTCAGGGCTACTAACTTCAGCCCAAGTGCAAAGGCTTGAGCCGTATCGCAAATTAACTCCGGCCGGCCAATTTCGAAAGTCGAGCCATGAGCAGGACGAGGCGGAGGTCAGCAGGCACCTCAGGATCCTCAACGGGCACACTGTGGATGTAGACAGTCATGATACGTCTCAACACAACATGCCGACCGTGAGGTACCGCCTGCCCGGATCGGCGTGGGAAACCCAGCAAGCACGATCACAAAGTCCACCTCAGCCAGGAGATGTCCCACCCTCAAAGCAACCTGAACCCGTAGAAGCACCTGGACCACCCTTAACACTTGAGAGGCCCCCAGTCCCAGAAGGAGCATCGCGTATCTCTTCACCTCAGCGCTCTGGGGATCCAAGAGCTCCCCGAAGAGTACCCAGTCTCAGGAACACTATCGAACAACGAATCACGAGTGCAAAAGCGTGGCTATCCCAATTACTGCCGAGTGTTAGTCCTTTTGCATGGGGTAGCTTCCACGGCCGGACCGAATATGCTCGCCGCCTCTCAAAATTTTTCACCCGACGAGACAGTCTCTTCTTTCACATGTCCCAGGACCCCTTACGTTTCCATCGGCCGCCCCCACCAAAACATCTCGATCTCTTCGACGCTGCCACCCGGGTTGTCCGCGTTGAGAATGTTATTGGCTACAGTTTCAAGAATAAACTGCTTTGTGTAGAGGCTCTAAAGGTGAAAGGAGCTCGAACCCCGTTGTATTGGCAAGGTGTTGTCACGCCTATCGCTGACAACCGCAGACTCGCTCTACTAGGCGATCGCACGCTGAAATTAGCTCTGGCCGAATTATGGTGGGAGACCAATTTACCCACCCAAGGCTATGCCGTTCTAACCAGAAAGCTGGAATCACGGATGGCTCTAGCTTTGAGGGGCAGGGAGCTAGGCATAGACGATACTCTCCTCATTCAGCGTGAACATGGGTCGGTAGAACCTTACATCATCGGCGAAACACTTGAGGCAATTGTGGGTGCCGTCTATGTGGATACCAACAGCCTGTCAGCTGTAATGGATCTAGTCAAGAATTTACGCATCGAGCACGACCTGCGCCAGCTTGCGGAGGCAATGAAATCACAGCTCGGGCCGACAGCAGTGGTAGACAATCCAATAGCGAACTTACCCCAAAACGACTCTGCAATCGATGTACCAATCGCGCTTCCGACAGAGCAGCTACCAGCAAGTGCCCCGAATTTAGAGGAGGCAAGTGCGGAACGTTCGCATGAACAATCTCGACAAATAATTGAAATGTTCAAGAAAAGGTTAGGAACGGAAAAATTGCTCGCTAGGAGACTACCACGCGACCGCAAAAGACAATTGCTGGAAAGACTTGCGATGCTAAAGCGTCAACTGGAGCAGATTGGAGCCACATCAGAGGAGTACGAGACATTCAAGTCTAAAACGTTGCCTCAGGACCGAACCACAATGTCACAGCATGCGATACTTATTCGTGAGGAGCTACTCCTTGAGAAGCGGCTGCAATCCGAGAGAATGGGTCCGGCACGTGACCAAACTTTCGAACGACTCAGATCTGTTCGGTCAAGAATAAAGTACATTAGTCCAGCTGGTTTCAAGGTTGATGGTGCCACTAGCCCACACGAACGTTCGCCTCTACAAGCTAGACAAGTTGCAAATCTCTTACGAACAAGATGGGGTCTAGAGAGGTATCTCGCTAGGCGCGGATGGGATCAAGGTAGAGTCAACTGTTGGAACAAGCTTGTGAATGTCAAGATTCAAATGCATTCCATTGGAGTCGCACCAGCAGAGTACGAGGCATACAAGTCTAAAAATTTGACTCGGGAAAATGGCTCGCTGAATGTCTATCAAATCGTCCAAGGCCATGTGAGAGACTTAGAAGAGCTGCTGGATTCTGAGGGTATGAGCCCAGAACGTCGTTGGCCTATCGAGCGACAACTCCGGTTGGCGCGACAACAGGCGATGTATGTTGGCCCATCGGCTGACTTCGATGGCCTCACGGTAAGTGAGGACATAAGAATAAGCCATGGCGCTGCCCCTGCCACTAGCAAGGATACTTCATTAATTGACATGGCAGTAATGCAGGGGATTCCGTTGGCTGATGTATCAGCACTCAAGGCCCAGGCTGCGTCAAGATCAATCACAATTGAAGATCTAGTGATAAGTGTTCTACAAGAATTTAAGAAGTTGTCCAGAGATATACGAAAACTGCGCGAAATTATGCGAGCTCAGGATAGAACGAAGAACCTGGATCATAATCTCCAGGTCGCAAATGAGAAGTGGGAAAATCTCCGTGCGGAATATACGACACTCGGAATGGGAGGACAACGCCAAGCTTGGTGGAGGTCGCTCCGCGCGCTGACGAATGATCCACAACTTTTGGAAAAAGCGGAGTCACGAGACCGCCAGGAACAACCACGCTTGCACGACCGCAGCCCGGGGATATTGGACGGCGAGCAATACAGGGAAGATGAGGGAAAGGAAGAAACAGCAAAGGAAGAGCTGAACATGGACGAGCCTCGAGAGCAGGAGGCAGCAGAGAATGCATACTGGGAAGATCTGGCAAAGCAGAAATCGAAGGACGAGCCGTCTTGGGAGAAGGGCGCAGAAAAGGCGGAACAGCAATGGGAGCAACAATGGACAGGCGAGGTAAAGGCAGAGGTCAAAGGGGTGGAGATCAAGGACGCGATGATACCCAAGGTGGAACTCATGAAGGAAGGCAAGGAAGCCGAAAAGACTCAGGACGGCTCCGGGGAGGATTCGTCCGATTTAGAGCGCTACAAGACGTGGAAAACGCAACACAATGAAATCTCGGGGGACTGCCCTCAGCCGAGCAAAAAAGGCAGGGGAAGTTGCCGCCCGAAACCACAGCATCGGATTATCTCAAAGCCAGAGGATTGGTGCACTCGGACGTGGAGAACAATTCCTGGCGTGAGTCGTATGATCAAGCCAATCGAGAAATCTTGTCGGTCACTGCGCTATCAAAGGAAATACCGCTTACTTCAGCAATGGAGACAGCGAAGACTTCCAAGTCAAAGGATGCCCAAGAGGGTGCCCAGGATAATGCTCAGGAGCATGAAGCCAAAATTGCCTCGCCTGTAAAACAATCCCTCCGCAGTTGGAAATCAAACCAGCATGGAAAACTTCAGCGCGCTCTAGAACAGGCAAAGTTAGAGGCGGATCTGGACTTGCCTCAAGAAGCCACAATCTTGGATTTCCTCAAAGCGAAAGGGCTGGTGCATGCAGACATTATGGACATGCAGTGGAAGCACCTGTACGCGATAGCCGAAAAGGGCGAGAGCATCACTGCGTTGTTGAGCAAGAGACCTCTTTCTTCAGCAGATATACCTTTCCACACCCTCCTCGTGCAATGGAGAGCGCGGCAGCAGAAGAATGTCGCCACGGGTTTGAATGTCTCGCTTCCAATAGGTCGACATCTACTGAATCTGCTGAAGGTTAAAAACTTGGCACATTCAGACGTCGAGGCGATTCCTTGGGAGTACTTGTATCACCAGGTCGGAAACAAGAATCTGTTTGAGTACTTGGTGAAGAACCCGCTTACTTGCTCAAGACCTCTACTCTTTGGAAAGCCAAAGAGACTGTCTAAGGACGCAGAGCCAGTGTCAGATGAACCATCTGGATCAGTCGACCACCCTGCAGCCAGAGAAGATGTCGAGGCTGCAGAAGAAAGCACGGTCGCAGAAAACACCAAGATTGCAGGAGACACACTGTCTACAACAGATCCTGAATCGATCAAAAGGTCTGTCGCTAACAGCGAGGACCAAGCTGTTCAAAAACCCAGGGCATCTGCAAAGCTCTCGAAACATCTCTCTTTTGCAGCTCATGAGGGTCAAGTTGTTTGGCGATCGATACGTGGATCTCGAAACACTGATACAACTATGCCATCCATCAGAACCGAGGGATCCAGCGCTACTGCTGCCCCCGAAGCAGACCAAAACAAGCAGGCGAACCACGCGCAAGCGGTTACCCAGCCTGACGATGAGGCCTCTTCTTCTGTTGCAGAGCCCACTACTAAGATCAGGAAACCGGTGTACAAAGTATACATCCCGCCAGTTCCGCGATCAGCTCAGGAGCAGGTGGATACCAGCAACGAAGGTGCGAGCAAGGACCGGTGGGATGAGTCGCCGGTGGAGGAGGCGACCAAGAGCGTGTTCCTCGATATTCTCGAGCGGTCGGGCTGGAAAACGCGCAAGGAGCATTCTAATTATTGGGATACGAAAGACCATTGGGATACGAAAGACCATTGGGATACGAAAGACCATTGGGAGACGAAAGAACGTCCTGGCCGCTCGATGCCAAGCGAAGATGATCCTGGCCATTGGGACACGAAAGAGCATCGTGGCCGCTCGATACCACACAAATATGATCCTAATAATGGGCAGATGAGAGATCATCGTGGCCGGTTGATCATACGCAAATATGGTACAATATGAGAGAGCGTCGCCACCGCTCGATGCCAGCAAAGATTATCCTAATCATTGAAAGAGAAGACGACGTTACGCAAAGCTTTTACAGGATGGTGAGAAGATGCAAGAGGAGTCTGGTTCATTGTGAGATTGAGCAAGAGGGTAGGAGCATGTCGCACGGCATTGTGTTGTTCATTCGGGTTTTGCATTTGCGTTTGGAGCATGCATTGTGATTTATCGGAAGCGTTTGATGGGTATTGGGTGTTTCTGTATATTGGGAATAGGTGTTGTGTATAGGTATGTAGCTTTACTGTATGATAGGGGATGCTGGAGAAGCAGTACCATGGCCATCATGCTTTCGGGAGTTGAAGCTGTGTTGTCGAGTTTGCAAAATCCAAAGAGAATCTAGGCCTCTGGTCAAGCAGCCGCATAGTGGCAGCTGAACATTCAAGTGATTTTCAAAGCTTGTCGTGGATTGACTTGAGCTTGTTGAGCCGTAAGCTGTACTGAGATTGGCCAATCAGAGCGTCGATAGCCAGTGCCCAATGACATCGCACTTGTTCGACCCACAATTTTGCATTTTGCCCTACGCATGAGTCTTCACGTTCACCTCCCCTCGTGCGCTTACCTATTCCAAAGCGTTCTGATCCAATATGCCAATTCCGGACTGAGCGTCAGTGTTTGCCTTCACAGCTACCACCCCGATTAAACATTTCACGTTCGCGAGATGCCTGATTACCTTGTGCGACTGGTGCAGATGCACGAGAGCTTTCGCCAAGCGGAACTCCAGGCTCTCGCTGATGTTGCTGAAGTGCCTATTGAGTTCGTGAAATATGACGAAGAGGTACGTGAACGTTGCAGGTCTTAATTGCCGTTATGGGACCGACCTCGTACGCTACTAACAACAACAGTCTCCATTCTGCATCGTCCGTCTTCCTTCGGATTCGGCCGCCAAAGCAGTCATTTCAAGGAGTTTATTGTCGCAAGGCATTTACGAACTTTGGGGACAGGGCGCAACGTACGATGCGCTACACAAATCCGTGAATGATGTTTCTAGTGCAAAATGGGCCCAATACGAATCAGTTCCATTCCGGTTCACGCTGGATTGCTATCGTGGGACGCGAGATCAAACGCAACAACGTGAGATCATCGAGTCGTTCTCCTATCTGGGCTTCAATGGACCTATCCGGATGCGAGACGCCGATGCATCATTCAAAGTGTTTGAAGAATATGGTGAAAAGGCGTCTGAACCTAAGTACATGTATCTTGGCCGTTCCGTGGCTGCCTCCGGTCGTGATGCAAAGACGACATACGATCTGAAGAAGAGACACTACATTAGTACCACTTCAATGGATGCCGAGCTCGCGCTTGTGACGGCCAACATGGCGCTTGCGGCTCCTGGCAAGCTGTTCTACGATCCTTTCATGGGAACAGGCGGGTTCCCTATTGCATGCGCTCATTTTGGGGCAGTGGTCTGTGGCAGCGATATCGATGGCCGTAGCATTCGTGGGACTGGCGGTAGTGCGAGAAAGGGACAGACTGGGAAATTCGACGTTCGGGGAAATTTCCAACAGTACGGTCTCGAGTCAAGATACCTTGGAGCATTCGTTTCTGACCTCACAAACACACCATTCCGGTTATTGCAACACAGCAATCCCGCAAGTAGAGGCGGATATTTGGACGGTATAGTTTGCGATCCACCTTACGGCATCCGGGAAGGCCTCAAAGTGCTAGGATCGCGCGACGAGCTCAACGTACAAGAACGCGCAACGCATAAAGATCGATACAGAGAACCGGGCTATATACCTCCAAAGAAGCCTTACTCTTTCACCGCCATTCAAGACGATATACTAGCATTCGCCGCCGCAACGCTAGTGGAGAATGGAAGACTCAGCATGTGGATGCCAACGGCGAATGATGAAGACGTGGAACTGGTCATTCCCACGCATCCTTGCTTAGACATCGTGTCCGTGTGTGTACAGCCATTTAACAAATGGTCCAGAAGACTCCTAACGTATCGAAGACGGACTGAATCTGAGATACCTGAGGGCGGGTTAGAATCGGTCAAGAAAGAATATGAGAAGGGCGTCAAAGCAGATGAACTGAATGATTTCCGCAGGAAGTACTTCGAAGGTTTCAAGGAATTTGAGAGGCTAAGACAAGAGCCAGGTACAGACGGGGCGAACTACAAAGCAGACGATAGCAAAGGTGTCAGCGGACGTTGGAGAGAAAAGGGTGGCGCCAACTAGGTCCAATACCCCTTGCAGGGCGTACGCTGATGGATTGAACAACAGCAAAGGAAAGGGCGGTCGCAATTCCGCCGGACAGTGGCTACTAAAGCTGCAACGGATAAGCGTACTCCAATTTTAGCGATCTCGGGCTCTATCGAGATGCGATAATTAGACACTTCGTATAACCGACCACGTGACCCGGTTGCAGCCTCACGCCAAGTATCATCAGTCATACCCGTCGCGTTGTAGTACTTGATTCAACACGCAGCATCCGTCTCTGATGGATCGGCGGTTAAGAAGGAGTCATATCTACGTTACTCTTAAACGCGCCCTTCCTCCCCCAGCACCCGCTTTTCTTCCATCTCACTTCATTATCGCATCAATTTCCCGGTCTACGTCAAGAAAACTTCGATATTCCCGCACAACTTCGAGTCATCAAAACCACGCCTCCGAGCTTTGTACCGGAAAACGGCGGGATCCATACTGCCTCTTTGCTTCACGGCTCAAGGTGCAAGATGAGCTCCAAACCCACCCAAGAAGATCATGTCAGCGCAGACGAAGAAATTGAAGAGTATATAATGGTGGAGTCGAAGGATCTCCGCTCTGTCTCCGAGCTCCAGGCATGGCTAGAACCGACAGACTATTTGTCCCCTGGCAATGAGTACATGAAGCACATACATTCGCACGTGCCCGGGACCGGTGGCTGGTTGCGTGCTTCTAAAACTTTTCAAGGTTGGAAGCGCCCAGCTTCCCAAGATGCGACGGCTCGCAACAACTGCCTTTGGATCAAAGGTGTACCAGGGTCTGGAAAGTCGGTTTTTTCAGCATCAACCGCAAAGCAGCTTCATGACGACGGGAACATAGTGCTATACTTTTTCTTCCGACAGATTGTTGCAACGAACCACGACCCGAAGTACCTAGTTCGAGACTGGTTAGCACAGCTACTACCTCATACCCGGTGGCTACATCGTCGACTGGATGAGCTTTCAAGGTCTAACACCGGCATCAGCAAGAACTTGGCGACTCTGTGGGATGTATTAATTCAGGCTTTGCTTCGTATCGACAAACCAGTATATTGCATAGCAGACGGCCTCGACGAGATGGACGATACACACGCCAACTTCACGGAACAGTTAAAAACCCTGGGCACCACCGACCCCCTTTTCAACGTCAAGCTTCTCCTGACTTCGAGACCGATTCCGCGAATCGAGGAAAGCCTGCGAGATCACACGATAATTGGCATCAAGCTGGATCCTACTATGCTATACTCGGACATTACTCACTACGTGGAAGTACGATTGGATACCCTGGAGCCTAAGTTGGGTGTCGCCAAGTACCAAGAAGTTAAAGAGGCGATCTGCGAGCGAGCGAAGGGGTTGTTCCTCCATGCGAGATTGATGACGGACAATTTGATCACTGGCCTGCGCGAAGGCACTATCGTAGAAGAGACCTTACCAACAAGCTTAGAACGCCTACCGCGAAACCTCAAGGAGCTCTACACAGAGATGCTGGCTGAACACTCGCGCCGCTCTGGAATCACGCAGGACCAACAATTCATGATCTTACAGTGTGTCGTTCACTCGTCTCGGCCTTTGAGGTTGATCGAGCTGGGAAGCTTGATCATGATGCTCCGCTCAGATACCGGGATGGGTCTCAAGGAAGGCAAGAGTCTGGTGAGGCAGAGCTGTGGACGTCTTCTGGAGATTCTGGAGGATGAGAGCGTGAGTGTCATCCACCATTCTTTCACGGAGTTCTTGCGAGATACAGTAAGAGACGATGGACACGGAACCTTCCCTAAACTGGACAAGGGGAAAGCACACGCAATGCTCGTAAACATTGCACTAAAATACCTTGACAAGTGCGAGGTACCCGAAAACGCATTGTGGGTAAACCCTGAGGATTGCGACGAGGTCACCAGCGAAGAGGAAGATGAGGAATTCGACCCGTACGACCACTTCGATGAGTTAGACACCAGAGACGGCCGTTCGGAAGAAGACAACCGGAAAACAGCTATCGTTGAAGCTCTACGTCTCAAATACCCACTCCTTGACTACGTTACCGGGAATCTCAGTCACCATATAACGAAAGCGGATCAGAACGACATGAGCACGTACTCAATCCTCGATGACATATTCCAGCCTAGCCGGCCCGCTTTCACTATCTGGCTTCTCATGCAGTGGAAAAGTTACCGTCCAGCAAATGTCACACCGTTACACGTGGCAGGCTATCTAAACTGGCATTCCTACGCCAGGCACCTGATCTCGAAAGGTGTTCCCGTAGACCGAAAAGATGCTGAAGAACGCACGGCTCTATCATATGCCGCGGAAGAAGGACACGTAAATGTAATGAATTTGCTACTGCAGCATGGAGCCGAGCCAGATTCGGACGATCGATATGGACTCAAACCACTGCATTACTCGGCGCAGGAGGGTAAAACGGAAGTAGTAAGACTGCTTCTTGCTCGAGGCGTGAGTCCCATCACTCTGAAGACAAAAACCACACCAGAGTGGATAGCTGAGCAGTTTGGTTCTGATGAGGGCGAGACTCCGCTGGAGTACGCCTGTCAACATGGGCACACAGATATCATAAAAGAATTCTTGCCACTAGTCGATCAAGAGTGGAGGCAGAAAGCATTTGGCTGGGTAAGAAATGTCGAGAACGTTGAGGCTGTCCTGCAGGCAGGCGACATCTCTATTAACCAGGGTGACGGCCTACGAACTAGACTCTACCAAGCTGCATCCGACTTCCAAGTCGACATCGTCAGAGTTCTTCTGAAGCACGGTGCTGATCCAAACGCGCGCAGCCGTATCAAGCGCGATAATACAGGAAGTCATAGTGCCGGCTGGCCCAGTCCTGACGGGAATACCTATCTGGATGGGCCAACCCCGTTGCATGGATGGGCAAATTATGATTACTGGAATCGATCATATGACGGACATGGAAAGGCCTCTGAGTGCTTCCAGCTGCTCCTTGAGTCTGGCAGCGATATTCATGCCGAAGACGGAGATGGATGGACGCCTCTACACTGTGCGTGCAAAGTGCAAGAAGATAGCATGTTGGGATCTTGGTTCGACGATGCCAAAGACCATCTGGTGAAAACGCTATTGGAGGCAGGTGCCAACCCGAATGTGCAGATGCGTCATGGTTCGACACCTCTCCATATTACTTCGCGACCGGAAGTTATTAACATGCTCGTCGAGCATGGTGCAGACGCAAACATCACTGACAATCACGGCCATACTCCTCTGATGGCCTATCTAGCACCAGGTGCTGAGAAGAAGAAGTCAGCTACGTTTGAAAAGCTGCTTCAGATCAGTGCTCAGCCGACTCAGCGACAGAAGGGAGGTGATACACCTGTACATGGGTTAATGCGCTGCCTACCCAAATTAGCTGATCCAGTCTTATTCCAAGCGCTCATCAAAGCAGGCCTGGATGTCAACACGAGGAATACTCAGGGTATGCCGCCTTTGCTTGTGATGGAGGAAAACGACTACGCAGATAGCTGGAAAGACGACGAGCAGAGTTGCCAGACCTACGAAGCAGTCTTCAGGACGCTCAAAGACGCAGGCATGGACATGAGTATCACGGACCCTGCAGGACGAACCATCCTGCATGTGCTGATCGGACGGTACAAAAGGAAAGTCTCAACCTTACAACGCTTCATCGAGTTCGGCTGTGATCCGCATGCGCGCGATCACAATGGTGCAACGATGCTTCACTACGTCATTCGGAAGAGCGAGTCAACTCACGAAATGATCGATCTGTTCGTCAATTACGGTGTTGACCCGCGAGCAGTCGACCACGAAGGCAACTCTCTGATGCATGAACTAGCGCGCGCTTCGATCTCTTTCTTTCCTAAATTTGTCGAAAAATTACGAAAGTTGCGAGATCTCGGTGTGCCTACCGATACGGCGAACAGAGCTGCACGTACACCGTTCCATTTCATCTGTGCTGAGTGGAGACAAAGCGGACAATACAAGACTCATATCGAAGCCTTCTTGAAAGACGAAATCATACCACGCAGCAATATAAACGCGGTAGATCACAGCGGTGCCACGCCTCTTCACTACGCCGCGATCGCCTGCGAAGTACACGTGAAGCAGCTGCTGGATGCCGGCGCCGATCCAGAGGTGCTCACTTACGAAGGCCTTTCTCCTCTGCACCTTGCGGCAAGAGCACGCCAGCCAAACATCGTGGGACAGCTGCTGCAAGAGTACAAGACACGTGGAGTACTGGAGCACTATGTCCATCTGAAGCACGTCGCTTGGCCGCACTGGACTGCTCTGCACTACGCATGCAGTTCGGGTAGACCGGAAAGCGTCCGCTATCTACTCGAGGCTGGAGCAGATCCGGATGCCCTTGATATACGGGGGTTATCGCCGGTGCATGTTGTGGCCGAGTTCGAGCAAGACCGTGATCCCAAAAGAGAGCACATGGGACGTGCCGAATCACGCTTTGGAGTTGGCAACCGAACGATGGGCGTAAGATTGAAGGATCATCCAGGATATGGCTATGTCGGCGATGTGCATAGTAAGAAAACCGAACGCACTTCGGACATCATCGAGATGCTGGCTCGCGCAGGTGCTCAGCTGGATTACGAACGTCCAAAGGAGAAAAGACTAGGGGAACGAGACAGGATGACTCCAATGGATCTAGCTGTTGAGAACGGTTGCACTGAGATGGTGATTGAGCTTCGTAAAAGAGGGTACTCTTCTTGCGATCCTTTGGGTGAGAATATAGTGGGGCGCTGTCTGGGCACTCAGGAGGCTGAAGTGCTGTTGCAAATCCCCGACACCGACGATGCAAACGTCAATTCTAGACAGCGAGATGGTCCACCTCGTTTCAGCATGTCTGCCAAAGAGAAGATTGAACGCGTCCTGAAGCTCGCTGCTTACGATTTGCTCCACGAATTGATCAGCAAGAGCGAAGAACTGCGTGTCGAAGCCCTACATGTACTCGCGAGTTGGGGGCACGCTTTCCTGCTGGAAGAGCTCCTCGATGGGATGGAAGATGTGGACCACAAGACTACACGAGACAGCCAATACGGTATTGAGTCTCTCCTCGGCACAGCATGTTCAGTCGAGCTACCAAACCTTGAGGTCATCAAAGTGCTCCTCGAGAAGGGGAAAGTCAATGTCAATGCACAATTCCGACAACAATCTGTCCTGCACGTATTGGCCGAAGGACGAAATTTCTGGCACATCGAAGCGCTGGACTACGTCCTGTCGCAGAGTGCTGAGATCGATTTGGTTGTCAAGAATGGAATGACTCCACTCCTCACCGCTGCTTCTTCCGAGTTCGGTATCTGGAAGGGCAGGACAGTAGCGACGCTTCTTAGACACGGAGCTGACCCAAGCAAACTCAGCGCGGAGGGAAAGTCGGTGTTGCACTTTGCAGAAACCGCCGATGACGTCCGTCTTTTGATCGAACATGGTGCGGACCTTACGCTGGGGACTTCGTCGCCGTTACTATTCGCTATACAGCATCGGCGCGTGGACGTTGTTGGCGCGTTATTGCAGGCAGGAGCGAATCCGAATGCTCTCTCTATGACTTCTTTTACTCATGGTCAAGATTTCACTGCGTGCTATCCGCTTCACGAGGCTGCTAAAAGAAAGGACCCCTACAGCGTCGAGGTGGTAGAAACAGTCCTGAAAAAGAAAGAACAGATAGTCAATGCGCTTCTCAAGCACAGTGCTGATCCCATGGCCACGTATGAGGACGGCGCTACGGTACTCCAAATGATAATCGAGGACCACGGACTTGCTGAACCACTACTTGCTTCATCAACGCTAGATCTAGAGAAAAAGGGCAGAGGTGGTCGCACGCCCATCATATCGTCTTGCTATCCGAAGAAAGTTGACCCCACATATCCATGGCAAAAGCAAGATGAACCAGCTTACTCCATCTTTCCAAAAATGGCGAAGATGCTCATCGAGAAATCTGATCCTTGCGCCATCGACAACGAAGGGCGCACAGCGCTACACTGGCTCTGTACCCTCCCCCTGGAATTCGACTCCGCATCCCGCGACGTATTCAACCTACTCACAGAAAGGGCTCCCTCTCTAATTCACCTCCACGATCTCAACGGCTGCACTCCCTTCAGCCTCGCCGTCACCGCAAACCAGACATGGGCAATCGACACGTTACTCACCCTTGGTGTCCATCCGACATCCGCAGACCCAGATGGCAACACCGCGCTGCACATCCTCGCCCCACGGATGTTCGGCCAAAAGCCCGACGCAGACGCAGCATCCCAGCGCTTCACGCACTTCCTCTCTCTGGGCGCGAACATCAACGCACGCAACAAAGTCGGCTCAACGCCCCTTTCACTTTTCATCTCAAAATCTTACGTCCCGGCCTTCGACTCAGGAGGCCGCCAACTTCCCTCCACCTACAAATTCGAAACACACTCCACACACACATCTTACCTCCCTATCTTCCTCTCCGCCGGCGCCGACCTCTTCACCGTCAACGACAAGGGCGAAGGCCTTCTTCACCTAACGGCCAGCCGAGCAGATAGCTCAGGCTACAACTCGGACCATAAGCACGAGATCACCGCGACGTTCAAAGCGCTGCTAGAGAAAGGTCTAGATCCTCGACTTGAAGACGGGGAATGCCGCACATCCATCGACGTTGCCATTGCGAGGGGAAATAAAGACATCGTAGCGCTCTTCAGGGACGATGATAAAGCTTGATGATAAGGGATGGGAGGAGTTTAAAATGAGTCCTCATACGTTGTTGTATACTTTGCTTTGTACAGTCCTTCAGCACCTTCGATTCGCATCGACAGATAATCTCCAAGAGATAATACAAGACAGGTAGAACGAGCAACGAACTGGGTATACACCACTAACGCTAAAACTAACTCTAACGTTAACGCTATCCACCTCTCACCCCACCTCCCCATACTCATCACCATCCTCTCACTCACTCACACCGCACCCCCCCCCTTCCTCTTCACCGCCCTCAAACCCCTCAACGTCCCCTGCCTCCTCCCCCTCCCAACCTCACAAACCACAAACCGCACAAAATCCCTATGCACCCAATAACTACTGTGCGCACCTAGCATAGTGATATATTCAATTGACAACGCGCCCCCACCGTACTTAAGATAAAAGTCAATCTGCCCATTGTCATTGAGTAAATAAGCGCGCTTCTCAGCAATTTCTTCCCTGCTGAAGTCGTGCGTTTCAAGCTCGACATTAGACGGGAGACGGATTGTAGAGGGGCGGTCGAGCTCGTGGTTCCTGGTGGAGGGGGCAGCGCGGAAAGGGTTGGAGAAGGAGAAGAGGGAGGATGTGGCGGAGGGGATGATGGCGGGTTTGAGGGTGGAGGCGTAAGCGGCGTCGACGGCGGCGTTGAGCGTGTAGGCGACGGGGTCGTAGCCGTTGACGATGTTGTAGATGTTGTCGACGGCGATGCAGCCGTAGGTGCCTTGGGTGCCCGCGACGCCGGGGGTGGCGTAGGAGTCTGCGCCGGGCTTCTCTTTGTCGACGCGAGGGAGGAGCGTCGCGTTGCGGAGGAGGAGGAAGAATCCTACCGGGCTACCGCAGACGAATAGGTTGGTTGTGTTGAAGATGAATTGGTCCTTGGGTATGTCCGACTCGGGGCATGCAGGGTCGGCGAAACGCGGATCTACGGCAGTGGGCTGGTCGGAGAGAATATCCATGGCCATAACGGAACCGAGAGAGTGCGCAACGATATGGACGCGTCCCCATTCGGAGAAGCCAGGGTTGTTCTCGCACCAAAGGCGGTAGATGCGGTTCGCTTCTTGAATGCAGGCGGAGACCATCTTAGGGTGGTGTTCCTGAGATAAATAGTATGGCACATCAAGCATGACGTCGGAGATAATGCCACGGATTGAAGGAAGCGTATTAGGGGTGATGTCCTTGAGGCTGTATTTGTTGACGGCGGGGGTTTCGACTTCGGTAGGACCAGTCGCTTCGGCCTCGAGAGAGATGCGGAGACGCCAATTGACCTGTATCAGATGTGTTAGCGCAAAGGTTTCGAATGACCAAGCATGGTTTACGTACCGGTAACACCATGATTCCGCCCATATCTCTTCGAAGATGCCGCTTGACGTCGTTGTCCCCTAGCTCGACATTTACCTCCCTGCGTAATGCATTTATCGCGTGCGTAAAGTGAAATGTCTCCATCCGTTCGGACAGCTTCTGCCCAATACCGTGGATGACGAGCACAAGATCGGTAACCTGTGGTCGGTCTGATAGCGCGAGAGCTGGGTCGGATCTTTGCCGTTGGAAGGGCGGAGCTCCAGCCTGAGAGCTTGACACACCATGCTTAGCCATCTGGGCTGTTGCCGTTCTCTTAGGCGGGTACAATTTGTCCCATGCAGCCTGGTCGAATCCGCGTACCACAGGAATACCAATAGGTCTCCCCTTACGGATGTAGTTCGCCAGCGGTCGTCGGCCATAGTAGTCGGAAGGTTGCAGCGCTGGCTTCAAGATATATGCCTCTTTATCGGAAGCGTATAGCACACCAGCAGAGCGGTATAGGTTCTTGCGCCCACCGTGACCGTACTCAGTATCACCTGCCGCCTTATTGTCTGGTCCTTCGGGTCCTGTGGAAATATCGATCATGTCGCATACATGTTCCAGGATCGTGCGGCGCTCCTTCTCGGAATCCAAAGGCTCTTCGGGCATAGTACTCTGGACTAGACCTGGCGTGGGCAACATCTGATTAGACGTGGACGGTCGACTGTCCACTTGGTTTGGCTTCGCGGGCCATAGCTTTTGCAATATCTTCATCTCGCCCAACGCGCCGACCTCAACAGCACTGTTTAGTTCGTCTGTCCACGTCTCCGTCCATGGCTTCATCTCCAAGTAACCAGCTTCCAGCATGTTTGCAACATCCACTTCTACCGGCATCATCGTATCCTTGTAGAACCATGTCCCTCGCAGTACCTTGGCCACATCGTTGACCGGCGCCCAGTAAGTGGGCTCCATCCGTATCGACTCGGCATCCATAGCAACATGATGCAGCCGTGACACTCCTACGGGTACCTTTGCCGATGGGCCTGAATTCGGTTTCTGCGGCCTCCGGCTCGTTCCCTTGTCCTTGATTCCAGGCAGAGCAGTTTCCATGTCCTCATCCCACTTGTAACTATCCGTCACCTGCGGCGCCGGCGGTCTGCGCTCTTCTAGCGAGCCAGCCAACCGTTGACTCGGCGTATTGCCTCGTGAAGGCAGTCTAGAGAATGGCATGCCAGTCATAGCATTCTCTGGCCGCGGTGAACCCTCAGCAGGATCGAGTGCCAGCGCTCGTATCGAGCCGGTTAGGGTAGTCGGCTGCGGTCCGCTGCTAGAGCTCGGGCTGCTGCCTTCTCCCACGTCCAAGGAGCGCGAGTATCTGCCCATGCTCGACGACCTTGCGCTCGGTATGTCTTTCACATGTGACGACCCCAACCTTTCTTCCCCAGATGCGCTTCCGCCCCGTTTGCGCTTCAACCGCATAACCGCGGGGTATGTAGGCGTGCCCGCCGTAGGTGTTGGTGGCCCTTCCATGCTCCTCCTCTTCTCGCCAAGCTCTTCATTATGCTTCAGAATCTTCTTCCGTAGATCAAGCCATGTCTCGTTGATCGCCTCATTGTCGTACTCTGAGAAAGGCCTCGGTGGCTGCCTCCGCGCGGTCGACGAGGCCGTTGTAGGTGGCGGCAGGGGCGAGAGCGGATCATCGATGGCGAGGGGCGAGGTATAAAAGTACCGCACAGGTACCGCGGGAGGCGCTTCGGATGAGTGCAAGACTTCACGAATGTACTGGTTCGCAGCGGACGACATGATTCTCGAGGGCGGAGTCGAAGGAGACGGAGTCTATGGGTGTTGTCTATTCACGCGACAGATCTTCGGGTCAAACTTTTATCGTAGAGTAGGTCGAAATGTGTCTCCATGCTGAGGACTGGGGCGGTGGCAGCCTGGTGTTGAGCGCGCGTTCCATGGGAAACTCGAGCTCGAGCTCTGACGCAACACGCCTCCGGTTCGCTTACACTTGCCTCCAACGCCTGAGCATGTGAGCGCCAACGCGTGGGGCTGGCAGACTATCAGTCCATATGATTTCACGCATGATCTGACGACAAATGAATGAAAATGTTCCTGTTCTAGTGCATTCCATCTTGAAGATACCACGATTGCGGTCATTTTTTCGAGATCGCCCTAGCCGGAAGCGCTTGCCAGGCACGACTTGAGGCTGGTTACAATAATTGGGCACTCATCTGAACCTAGCCTATGATCAGACTCGCCCAATCATACACCGTTTCAACTTTAAAAAGCCCGCTACGTGTTAAGGTAAGCAATCCTGCATTTTGTTAGATAACCACAATATGAACCCCGTAATATCTGGGATTAGAGCATTTACATGGTGCTCGTTTCGAAGTTTCCCTGACAAGTGTCCAAGACGACTGTCGTTCTGAGCAGGTCAAACGAGGCGCATGAAGCTAGGATGACGTGGGATAGCAGCGTGTCAGAAAGGCATCCTGCTTGGGAAGCAAAACAGCTGAGAAAGATCTTCACAGTCAACAGAAGGTACACCAAAGATTACGTTCATCATCTCAATTTCAAATCGTACCAATTATGTACAGGGTAATGAGTGACCCCCCGGTCATTGATCGTTACCCAGGCCTTTTCCGTTGTGGATCATTACAGTTCGGACATCTTTCCCCCGAACGCCTACCCTACAGCTCGCTCCAAGCTTAACCGAACAGCGCATCGCGCACATGGATAGACACCATCTTAGTCTGCGTGTAGTTGTCTAGAGCAGCCTCGCCCAACTCACGGCCAACGCCGGACTCCTTGAAGCCACCGACACTAGAGAAATTAATCAATAGCAGGTAGTTAAGAGGAGCTAGAGAACTTAATCAATAGCAGGTAGTTGAGAGGAGCTGGAGACCTTAACCAATAGCAGGTAGTTGAGAGGATCGCAGGTAGAGCCTAGCGTTTGGCGATTTGCAGGTTCAAGCCAAGTTTCTTTGCATCGAGGACGCAACGAGGTGGGCCGGTGTAGAATTGTTCCGGGGACTGGTGGCTCGACGAACCGTCATCGAATCCTGGTGGAGGCACCCATGCCTTGAGTTGGGGTACTATCGTGGCTCGGCGTTGCTCTCGTTCCTTGTTCCAAGACGGGAGAGTCTCTTTTCCGAACTTTTTGTCCACCTGTTTGCAGCGGTATACCCAGTTTGTGAATCCCGCCCAATCGAGTTGTTCAACTGGTGGCCATCCACTATTTGTTGTAGTCTTGGTAGGATTCTCTTTTTCGGCCACTAGCTTAGTATATTGACCAGCAAGGATAGCCGCATCTGCCATATGCTTCTTGCTGCCGAAAAGAGCCCATTGTTGGTCTTCTGACAACAACGGAGTGGTTGGATATTGCCAATCGCACAGGCTTCGGTAATCGTACTCGGTTGTTTCCTCTTGCTTCTCGGCTTCTGATGTTGTTTTCGTGACATCGACCTGCGCCAGCATCTCCCTTACCACAGGCTCTGTACTTGGCTTACTCGCTTGGCGCCGGTCTTTCCCAGGCCCATCTGGCACACCGAACATCTCAAGAGCGCGACCATAACTCATGATAGATGGGTCAGTCCGTTCACCCACTGATTTATTTGGCAGCTTCTGGGTATCTTTGCCAGCTTTGAGAAAGACTTGGAGGCCAATCCCATCACTCACCAGCGTGTCTGCGGTCGCCGGAATTTTGGAAAGGTCTGTACCCTTGAATGACAGCTCGCATGTGGGATCCTCTGGACAGAAGCGAACGAATCCGTCATCAACCTTACTCTTCGCAGCTTTGCGCCATATTTACCGGAGTTCATCTTCGCGCTCCGTTGCATTAGACTCAAATGCTTCCGAGAGTGCATTTGGGTCAGTGCCTAGTAAAGATTAATTTCGTGTAAAACTGAACATAACATGGTGCTACGCTTACAATCGCACACATCTTTGACTTGTGCCTCCACAGAAGCAACCATTCCCTTGAGCACTTGGCAGCGCTCATCCCATGCCGCGCATTGCTTTGTGACTCTTTTCAGCTTTGCAATAAGGCATTCTCTATCGCTGCCACGAACAGCGGTGTCTGCGAGAAGAGCCTGATAGGCGCTCATTGATTTTCCTCGATTGCTGCTCTCTGTAACAGCCTGAGAGTTGTCAGTCTAGCAATTGAAAAAAAATAGATGGTATCACGCTACCTCTTTGAGCTCGCCGCGCATGTCATCAGCACTGCAAGACAAGCAGCCTACACGATAGTCGGCGTGTTGGCAAAGTGCGCGACGATCAATGGAGAATGGAGATGGCATCTTGAGGCGTGATTGGATCTTAATTGGGTGGTTGATTGGCTATGCGGTTGATACACGATTGTGTTGAAGTGGCGTCGAGATCTAGACTACAAGACCAATGTTAGCTTTGTGACATGGTGTGCACGGATACTCTCGCGCGGCGGCGTATGGCGTGCACGGACCGCCGAGCCACGGTAATTATCCGAGCCGCGCTGCGAACAGTAGTTCAACCACTGCCACCACATCTTCGACCCACCCAACACCATAGCACACACGCACACACACACACGCACACACATACACGCGCACACCAAACGTTTCTCGAAATATGAAATTATGACCTACATCGCCCTCGACGTTGTCTCGGCTGCGGTCCGTTCCCCATCGCTCGGTCTTTTCAACACCAACCACCTCCATCACACCCATCGACTCCATCACGGCTTCCATCAGGTCCGCCCATCCATAGATGATAGAAAGCCTACTAGACAGCAGCTCGCTCCAAGCCTAACCGAACAGTGCATCGCCCAGACGGATAGACACCGTCTTAGTCTGCGTGTAGTTCTCAAGAGCAGCCTCGCCTAGCTCACGGCCAATCCCGGATTCCTTAAAACCTCCAAAGGGCAATTGCCAATGAAGTGTATTGTATGTGTTGACCCACACGGTCCCTGCGCGGAGTGCGTTTGAGACCTCGATAGCAGTGTTGAGGTTGCTGGTGTGGACGGCTGCGGCGAGACCGTAGGTGGTGTTGTTGCCAATCTTGACGGCCTCCTCCTTGGTCTTGAACTTGGAGATGGTGCAGACGGGACCGAAAATCTCCTCTTGTACGATCTTCATGTCCTCGGTAACGTTGGAGAAGATGGTAGGCTCAATGAAGTAGCCCTTGTCACCAATACGCTTGCCACCGGTCTCGATCTTTGCACCGGCCTTCTTGCCGTCCTCAATGTAGCCCATGATGCGGTCAAACTGCAATTTGGACACCTGGGGGCCCTGGAAAGTCTGTTCGTGGAATGGGTCGCCGACAGCGTTCTTTTCCGCACGAGCCTTGAACTGCTCGATGAACTTGTCGTAGATAGATTCCTGGACGTAGACACGCGAACCCGCACAGCAGCATTGGCCGTGGTTGAAGTAGATACCGAAGTTGACCCATGAGATGGCGTTGTCAATGTCTGCATCCTCAAAGACAATGTTGGGGCTCTTGCCTCCAAGCTCAAGGGTGACCTTCTTCAAGTTGGAGCCAGCGGCAGCCTTCATGATCTGTCGGCCAACAACGGTTGAACCAGTGAAAGCAACCTTGTCGACATCCATGTGCGATGCGATGGCGGCACCTGCGATCTTTCCGAAACCGGAGATGATGTTGATAACACCTGGAGGGAAGCCAGCCTCCTTGATGAGCTTGGCGGCAACCAGAGCAGAGAGCGGGGTCTGCTCAGCGGTTTTGAGGACGACTGTGTTACCGGCAGCGACGGCAGGGCCGATCTTCCATGACCACATGAGCAGAGGGAAGTTCCAGGGGATAATCTGACCGCAAACACCAATCTAGCGGCATATTAGTGCTGGATAAGTCAGATTGAATTGCAGTCCTTACAGGCTCCTTCTTAATATAGTTGAAGGTGTCGGGCGTGGTGTCGACGACCTTGCCCTCAATCTTGTCGGCCCAACCACCGTAGTACTGTTCATGTGATTAGCGACGTGCGATCTTCCTGATTGTGTATCGTACCCTCAAGCAACCTGCAGAGGCAGCGACATCGCCCTTGGCCATGCTGATAGCCTTGCCATTGTCCAGCGACTCGACCGCGGCGAGCGTATCGGAGTGCTTCTCGAAGAGATCTGCGAGCTTCACAAGTAACCTTCCACGGTTCTCGGGAGTCTCCTTTCTCCAGGGACCTTCAAAAGCCTTGCGGGCGGCGGAAACGGCGAGGTCGACATCCTTCTCGGTGGCCTCGTGGATGGAGCAGATGACGCTCTCGTCGGTGGGGTTGATGACCTCGAAGGTCTTGCCGTCGACACCCTTCACGAACTCATTGTTGATGAAGCTACGCGTAACGAAATGTCAGCCATTGGCCAAAGGAGAATGGAGCATTTGTAGAGTCGCGGAATGCTACTCAGATGCCTCGGCCCAGGAAGAGGTACTTACAGTCCAGTGGGCTGCTCGTACTCGCCAGAGTGCGGCGTCTTGAGCGTGATGGACGTCATGCTTGCGACCTTCTGTCTGTAATCAATCCAGGGGTATCAAGCAAAGAAGAAAGGCGAAGTAAAGGAGAGGTTTCTTAGATGGTAGCAAGTGAGGGGTAAGCTCCTCTTTAAGTAGTGCGGCTAGCTATGATAGCATCGACCAGCGCGGGCGCGGGCCCGCTCACGGCACCCAGGAGAGTACCACGAAGCAAAGCCAAAGCCTCGGCCATGAGGAGCCCCGTCATCAGCAACCCCTTGCAGCCTATCGCCGTGGGCGTTGTGGAGGACGGTGGCGTTAACGCAACAACGGAGAGCTTCGTGCCCCGCAATGTCAACCAGTGGCATGCCCTACCCTTCCCCCACACACAGCCCTAAGCCGCATCTTTCCTGCACCATTCTCGGAGCAGTCCCGCGCATTTCAAATAGCCTACTTTTGGACCAGAAATTTCGGAATATCACCCTATCAAACAAAACGCCACTGTATCCCTACCTCGTCGATCCGTCTACGGCATATGTTGATGAGTGAACATCCTACCTTCGTAATGGACCTGACCACGTGCCATGCTTCTGTATCCACCACGCTAGCAGGATCTTAGCATCCCTGCTATCTTCGGCTTCCATTCGAGCGAAAACCGGCCCGCATCCAAGCTCCTGTAGGTGACAAGAAAGGCAGTATGAAACCCCACTGGGAGGTCCATCTCAAAGCATTAGACGTTACAGTGTGGTCTTTAGTACGCGGACACGGCGCCTAAGGTTCGATAAGTCCAAACGGCTCAGGTGAGTTGTTCATGTATGCGTCCATCCGGGCCACACAGAGTCGCCGGAGGAGCATCGGATGGAAGCTCCATTAGTCCAGACGGGCGCCTAATCCAGAGCTTCCGAAGCACGCACAATGGCCAAAGACAACTGACCTGGGGTAGCTGACAGCGCTGGCGTGACTTCTCCGCACCAAAGGAGTGAGAATAGGCGTGGAGCGGCCGTGTCTGGGGGACGTGGAGTGATCATGGTGCCGTTAGCGCGTCCAAGCCATCCAGATGTCTGGAGTGCATCGCGCAATACTAGTGTAACGGGATCCTCCTGACGGCTTGAACAAGCTTGCAACAACTTCACTGAGAATTCTAACGCAACGAGCGTGCGTTTTGCAGACTGCGACGGCTACTTTGCCGCATTTCGCCGTTATGGATCATCACCGCCAGGGGTGGAAACACTTTGGGGCAAGACTAAATAATTAGAAGCAAGGTATCGGAACGTTGATCGATAGACGGGCACGTGGAGACAGAAACAGTGATGATAGCCATTCATGGATTTGGGCTACTTAGTCAATTCGTTGAGCAGTCTGTGAAGCGAAAATTGATCGTGCCGGATACTGTACATGCCACACCTTCCTCTTGTCGTTGAAATGAAAAACCTTCCTGAAAACCGACGCTTTGTAATAAGGAAGTAGAGAGTGCAATCTGCTGATTCCAAAAGCCGAACCGTTCCGAGATGATCCCGGGTTGCTCGAAACCCCATTACGAAATGTGAGAGAAAAGAAAGTGGAACTTAGTAGGATAGTGTTCGGTGTCGGTCAGCTGCTCAGAGCATCTGATCCTCTTCCATTGTATCGCCGCCGCCGGCCTGGGGAGCATCTCCGTTCGTTACCATAGCGTCGTTACCACCCTCAGCAGCCGGGAAGTAGTCCTCCATCTCGGCGTCGAGCTCTTCCTGGGTCTTCTTCTTGGTTCGTTCACGTCCACCACGGCCACGTCCGCGACCAGCAGCACGGTCCCCACGTCCGCGTCCGCGCTCACGACCTCCGGCAGGTACAGCCTTGGCGGCAGTGGCGGGCTTGGGCTTGTCTGCCTTCTTGGGATGACTGGAAGACACAATCAGTTCTAAATCTTGATGCGACTGAGCGTCGTGGATACTTACGTGATTCGGTCTGCGAAAGAAGACTGAGGCTGGGAGGCTACAGCAGCAGCGCTGACGAGCATCTCGACTCGGATGGGCTTGTTGTCAATCTTGACACCCTGGAGCGCGCTTGTGGCCTTGATGGCCTGCTCCGCCTTGTTGAAGATGACCGTAGCGCTTCCCAAGCTCTTGCCGTTAGGTCCATATTGAAGCAAAATCCTGCGGGGCTTGCCAACGTTGACAACTGTGTTGAAGTATTCCTACAAGGCGCATTAGTTGTCGTCGCAGATGAGTAGTTGCAACACGAAGAGCAAGTTGAGCGAGTCCGGGTCGGCAATTCGTCGTAGGTAGCGGTTCCTATTCCGAGGGGGAGGGCCGTGTGGCTCTTAAAGCAGATTGTACGCCCGATATAACAGTAGACTTGATGTTCAGCGAGGAGGCGGCGTTGCTAGCAGGGAGTATTGCGTGCGAGAAGGGAGCGTAATCTGTCGGTGTACGACAGTCTTGCTCTGATGCGCTTGGCCCTCACCCACAGGGACGCACTGCACCCTCTTTATTGCCGCAAGTGACTCGGTGCTTGCTATGCTGCAATGCTGCTCTTCACAGCCAGCGATGCTGCAGGCTGCGAATTGCGTACGCGCTACCGTCCTCGCTGCAATCACCTGTCATGACAGAATATACTTTCTCGCTTTCGTCTTCGCGACACGTGCAGGTGTCGCATGCTGCGAAGTCGCTATACCTGTTGTGTCCGCCAAACACAGGTTCGGTATGACTTATAGAAGCAAGCATGATGTGGACAACCCGTCTTGAAAGTGGAGCTTGGTGCTCAGTTCATGGGACTCGCATTCGCTCGCAGATTCGACGGAAGTACAGGTTCAAAGACCTTCCATGGCCTTACATACCTTGAGTTGATTCTCCTCAACATCGAATGGCTAGGACATGTTAGCAGGGGTTTAGCAAAGTAGCTGTGAAGGTCATACAAGATTGGAGATCATGATCTTAGTCTCGCCGCCCGAAGTAGCAGCGGGGGCAGTGGGAGCAGCCTTGTTGGGCTTGGTCTGCTTAGTGGCCTTCGCTACGCCGCCGATCGGAGCTTCGGTGGTGCGACCAACTCCAGAGCGACGAGGGCCACGGCCGCGGCGGGCATTACCGCGGGTGGTCTTGAGGATGTCATCGAGAGAGGAGTTGAGCTTGTCGGACATTGTGAGAGATGTAGAGTGGTGTAGTACGGCTGTCGATGGGCGTAAAGGCGGCTAGCGCGAGCTTCTCAGGTGAGGAGCAGATGAAGAGACGGGTTTTGATGGAGCGCGGTTGACGGGATGATCGCGCGCAGCTGAAGAGGTCGCAACAACAGGAGCGGACTTGTCGGTTGACGCGCGTTGATTAACAGATATACCTCAGAGGCAGAAAAGTGAAGAGGTAAAGTGCGCGCTTTGGGTGTGGCGTGCAGGTAACAGCGACCTTGGAGATGAAGGGAGACGGCGATTGACGTGGCCGGCAAGAAAGAGAGTGCGGGTGTTGATGAGAGGACGTGAAGGGCGGTTGCCTTTCGCTTGAAAGGAGCAGGCACGGCTCAGCCACGGTCTTGGCAGACCCCACGTCATTGGCTGTCGCGTTGATCGCAGGTGCGGTCAGTGCGTGATGCCTGCCCGCAGCTTCACGACCACGATAGCTCCTGCTTTACGAAAGAGCACGAGTTATGGATCGGTAGCAGCATGGCCGTGACTCCGGTAAGCTTCGAGGATCCTCTGTGCAGCTCCAAACATGGAAGCGCTGACCCCGACGCAGTGGCAGTTTAAGTTCTTCGACGTTTCGCAAGTCAAGCTCCCGGACGACGAGAGCTCATTCCTCTCGGAGGTATGATAGAACCCTGCGGCGACATGCACTTTCTTACCGATCGCAGCCTGGAAGCATCACATCTGCAGTAGCGGGCTCAGAAAGCATCTTCTTCGGAAGCGCAGATGGCGTCGTTCGCATCGTCTCGCAGGCCTTCAAGGTCGTGCGCTCGTTCAAAGCGCATGACACGGGCGCTATTAATTACATGAAGCAGGTGCAGGGCACTTCTTTGCTGGTCACAATTGCTGAGGATCTGTCCAACGAGCCGGTTCTGAAAGTATGGGCGTTGGACAAGCTAGAAAAGAAGACCGGCATCCCGCGCTGCCAGAGCACGCTCACAATACACAATGGACGCAAACAATTTCCCATATCAGCTTTTGCTGCACTAGATGATCTATCTCAGCTGGCAGTGGGTTTCGCAAATGGCGCCGTTACCGTTGTTCGCGGCGACCTCATCCACGACCGCGGCGCAAGACAACGAACCGTCTTCGAGTCTGAGGAGCCTGTCACTGGCATAGAATTCCGCGAGGGCAACATCACAACCTTGTATATTGCGACGACAGGTCGGATATTGACATTGGTGATATCGGGCAGAGGACAAGGGCAGCCAGCAAAGTCCCTGGACGACCACGGCTGTGGTGTAGGATGCATGGCGGTAGACAAGTCTACACGCGATGTGGTCGTAGCGCGGAACGATGCCATCTATTACTACGGCCAACACGGAAGAGGCCCGCCCTACACTTATGAGGGTGAGAAGAATATGGTCACCACGTTCAAGGATTATGTGGTCATCGTTTCGCCGCCCAAGTCGAATGTCATGTCACGTTCCAATCCTCTCAGAGCGCTCGGCATGGGCCCAGCTGATGATGCCTTTAATACATCCGGTTTCACATTGCTCAACACCGAGTTGAGATTTGTGGCACACCAAGAGCAGATCACCTCGCAAGTCAAGTTCCTCGTTGCGGAATGGGGCGATCTTTTCGTGTTAACCATGGACGGCAAGGTAGGTTCTCCTTTCTATGTTGAACGCGCGGTATATTGATCAGACCTCAGATATTCCGCTACCACGAAAAGCCCTTTTCTCAAAAATTAGACATTCTGTATCAGCGTAATCTCTACGTTCTGGCTATCAACATGGCTCAAAAGGCTGGCCTTGATTCTTCGCAGCAGAATGTGATCCTCCGGAAATATGGCGACTATCTATACCAGAAGCAAGACTACGACACGGCAATGCAGCAATACCTGAAAGCGATTGACAATACTGAGCCCTCACAAGTTATCCGGAAGTTTCTGGACACGCAACGGATACACAATCTGATAGAGTACCTGGAAGAATTGCATGATCACCACAAGGCCACATCAGATCACACAACCCTCCTTCTCAACTGCTATGCAAAGCTGAAGGATGTGGAGAAACTCGAGGAGTTTATCAAGTCTCCAGGCGATGATCTCAAATTCGATCTTGACACAGCAATCTCAATGTGTCGGCAAGGAGGCTACTTTGACCAAGCCGCCTATTTAGCACGAAAGCACGGCGAACATGAGATGGTCATTGACGTTTTGATCGAGGATTCGAAACGATATGCGGAAGCGCTCGCCTACATTTGGCGATTAGAGCCCGAAGTGGCTTATTTCAACCTCATGAAGTACGCAACCGTGCTGCTGGAGCAATGTCCGAAAGATACAACCCAAATATTTATCGATTACTATACCGGCAGCTTCAGGCCAAAGAAAGACGCTATTGTTATACCCAATGCTCCCGCATCTTCAGGGATGGGGATGGGCTTGGGCGTGGCTTCTAGCGCCGTGCAGAACCTCGCTGCTCTTCTACCCCTTCCGTACATGAACACCAGTGCGGTCGCGTCGCCACCTTCAGGCGAGTCGAAATCAACTATGAGCCAAGCTCAAGTCGTCGAAACCAGCACGGATGAACCACCACCAGAGTATGAGATACCCAAACCTCGAACAGCATTCTCCGCCTTCGTAGACCATCCTCAAGAGTTCATCATCTTCCTTGAGGCCTGCATCGAGTCCCAAAACATGCGTGAAGACGACAAGGTAGATCTCTACACCACCCTCTTTGAGATGTATCTGCACACGGCGTCTTCGAAGAAAGACGGTGAGCGAAAAGAGTGGGAAAACAAAGCAAAAACACTGGTAGAAGGCAATAATATCCCGATCGACACTTCGAACGTCCTCTTACTCTCGCATCTATCAAATTTCCGCGATGGCACCATCCTCGTCCGCGAACAGCAGGGCCTGCACTTTGACATCTTCCGCTCCTACACCGCCGCCAACGACACGCAAGGCGCCATCCGCGCGCTCCGCAAATATGGTCCCGAAGAACCCGCGCTCTATCCCGCCGCCCTCAGGTACTTCACCTCCTCACCCGAAATCCTCGCCGACGCTGGTGACGAGCTCGATACCGTCCTCAAGAAGATCGATGATGATGGTCTCATGGCCCCGCTGCAAGTCATCCAGACACTCTCTACCAATGGTGTCGCCACAATGGGCATGATCAAGACATACCTCTCCGCCACCATCGAGCGCGAGCGTTCGGAAATCGCCACCAACCGCCGCACCATCGAGACTTTCCGGTCCGACACCGAGACCAAGAAGGCGCAGCTTCAGACTCTTAACACGAAGCCCGAGACGTTCCAGGCGACTCGGTGTAAGGTGTGCGACCGCCCGCTAGACCTACCTGTCGTACACTTCCTCTGCAAGCATAGCTTTCACCAGCGATGTCTCAGCTTGGACGAGGATGTTGAAGACGAGAGTGTCGAGTGTCCGCTGTGCAGTGGGCAGAACCAGACTGTGCGGGCGATACGGAAGGCGCAGTTGGAGAGCGCGGAAAGGCATGATTTGTTCAAGGATGCGTTGAAGAGGGGTAGGGATGGGTTTGCGGTTGTGAGTGAGTGGTTTGGACGGGGGTTATGGGGGTGGGTACGGCGGAGTGATACCTTCTCAGACGAAAGATTATACAATCCTATTCATCGAATGCACTCTGAGACAAGCTACCTCAACACATGACTGTAGTAGTTTAGCGACTATGTGGTCGAGTTGATTCTAACTTCATCTTGCGAAGATTCTACGCTCAAACTCCCTGTTTCGATATCTAGTGAAAGGTATCGATGGCGGTGGCTGATTTCAACCTCCAACCGAATGCACTCTCCATTTTCCGCGAGGTCACTCGGAAAACATGTCATCAGCGGTGATTGATCCATTCGACCCTACAAATGCCTATCCCTGACTCTAATCCAACATCGAAACCAGCTTTTTCAAAACCATCATTAAGCTTCCTAGCTAATATAGCAATTACGACACTTCTTATATCCTTCTAAACCTTAGCAAACTTCCTGATCCGGCATTCATGAAGTGCGTCGGTTGTGGGAATTTAACCAGAGTTTAGCTTGTGTTTAGCTTGCGTTAGCTTGGTGAAACGCAAGCAGCAACTGCTATGGGTTATATGTTTGATCCAATCCCAGCGAAAACTCGACAGTACATGAGTTAGACTAAACCTTACACAAGGCATTTGAGTTGGTTTTATTCCATATGGATGTCGTGGCGTACGCCCACCGGCATTGCTATCCAACTTTATAATGCAGCCCAACCAGGAGACGCGGTCTGGAATCAAAGTGAAAATCGATCCTGGCTGTATAAACAGCGGCCTCAAGAATTACATCGAAATGTATGTACAATATCCTACAACACACACCGTTTCTCTCCTTCCCGGCCTCGAAAGCCTTGCTCTATTCCTTCTTAACAGCCTTCGCAACCGCGTCTTTGACTTCCTTCGCCTCCTCCTTCACCATCTTCCCCACATCCACCGTCTTAGCCTCCCCACCAGCCTCCTCTTGCAACTTCGCCGCCCTCCGCTGTTGAAACCCAGTAGCATGCAGATACCCCGCAACACCGACACCAGCGGCCAACCCTCCAAAATGACTTGCATGATCCATCGTGCTAGGCCCCTTGCGCCGCGCCATCATGATTTCCCACACAACGAACGCAGCTAGCAACATCTTCGGGTAGAACCCAACTTCCATGTCTTTCACGAACGGTATCTTGACGCTCTCCTGGTCGGTGAGGAGGCAGTACAGGGCACTGATACCCCAGATTGCAGCGGACGCGCCGACAGAATGGGCTGTGATATTTCCCTTACCCAGATTCGCCCAGTAGAGGCTTACTAAGGTACCAACGGCACCGGCAGACACATATGTGCCCATGAAGATACCGCGGTCAACGAGGTCATGTGCTACTGGTCCGACAAGCGCAAGCATCATCATGTTACCGAAGAGGTGCTCATACTGCACATGCGAGAAGACGTTGGTGACGGCCTGGATGGCGCGCGGATAGCCGGGAACGTGCATAAAGTAGCGGGTCAGGATGGGCCAGAAGGGGGTCCAGCGCCAGGCGATGCAGACGAGGGCGTTTGCGATGAGGAGGCCGGCGAGGGTGGCGGTGGAGGGAGAGAGATCGGGCCAGAGGCGGTATTCATCGGCGGGGGGTTCATACCAGTGACCGAAGCCGAAGGAGAGGAGGCAGACAACGAAGACGAAGGCGGTCATGGGGTAGAGACGTTGTGCCTTGTTATCATTAGTATGGATGGAAGGTGGGTCAGGAAGTAGCTTACGAGGGTCGTTTTGGAGAGCATTTCCCCCTCGTCTTTGAATTCTGTTTCCGATTCCTTTGAATACTTTTCCATCATCTCCTTTCTCCGACTGACCTGCTCCCGCCCAAAGACGTCCACGTATGTGTCTTGACCAGGCTTCATGAGCTGCGTTCCGCCAGGTGTTCGCACCCATTCGCCCGTTGCGAGCATCTTCTCCTCTTCTACCGCTCTTGCCTCCTTCTCCTCTGCCTTTTTCGTGATCTCTTCTAATCGCTGTCTCCGCTTCTCTTGGATAGCGATCTCGAATTGAGATTTGCCAGTGCGCAGAATGCCGTATTGCGACCTCTCCTGCTGCTCAGCCTCCTGTTCCCGCTCCTCGGCCTCCTTCTTCTGCTGCTCCCTGTATATCCTCGCGGGATCCTTATATTTGCTGTCATTCTCGGGGTCTGCTAGCCAGAGCTCGTACGCTATGCGGTTCGCTTCCTTCTCTGCCCAGGCTTCTGCCGCACGCGCTTCGTCTATAGGAAACTTGCTGCGCAGCCAGTCTAGGGCTTTGATCGCCTGGGCACGGCTCACGTTATATTTGTCGCCGAGGTTGTCGACGCCGTAGTCGGCAAGCGAGCCAGATGTACGACGGTGGTGTAGGATGCGTAGGACGCTGTTGCCGTCATGACCAGAGATCCTTCCCCCAAAGATGCTTCGTATCTGCCCGTCAGAAACACGTCCACCTGGTAAATGACCAATCTGAACTGTTCGTTTTCGCTGTGGGAGTCCTTGCTGAGGTGGTATGATGTCCTGGTGCGTCAAATTTGAATCATCAACTTTCGCGGCGATTCGAGGGGTCGTCGAGAAGGATCGGATCGGACGAGGCGAGCTACGCGATCGTATAGCTGAGATTACAGGCGACGAAGAAGCCGATGTGAAGCACGAGGGCTGGGTATTGCAGTACGAGTATCGGCGGGCGAAGGCCGAGGTCACCGTGTTCCACTGGTGGGCGGCGCGCGCTGCAGGCCGCAGAGCCATTGGGATGGCATTGTTCATGGCGAAGGGGTGGGCCGCAGTCGCGCTTCGTGACTGGGCTCTAGGAAGCCTTATAATATGCGGCAAGCGGCCATGCGCGGACTCAATCAAGCAAGCAGAAACAAGACGAAAGTCATGCGATTGAGAGAGTCGTTCTAAAAGTTCGGCCGGAAGTCCGCACAGACCACTCAGCCCTGCAGCTCGTTCACAGCTTCCCCACCAAAATATTATCCCAGGAACGCCCCAGAACCTTGAACTCCACCGGCCTTACTCCGTATTCGAATCAACGTCAACTGATAGCTCGCCAACCTTCAAAGAAATCCTCCCACCCCAGCAGCAGCTTTGTTGCTCTCCCACGTCTTGCGCCACCACGCGCCAGCTTTCGAGATCGTCCGCCCGACTCCCCGCTTTCCGTCATTCGATTTGACGCTTTCCTGGTCCTCCAACCAGCTTAGCACCTTTTCACTCTCTTTGAAAATCATCTGCTGTTCTTCCTCCCACCTCTGCGCCGTATCCAACTCAGTCACTTCGATTCGCACTCCAAACACCCCCACCATGTCGGCCGACGCCACACCCATAACGGCCGCCCGCTTCGCAGCAGCCCTCGAGTCCCTCTCCGTTTCTTCGCTACACGCGAAAGCCGCCGAAATTCGAAACAGTATCAACCACTTGGAGAAGAGCAACGCCGAGCTAGAGGAGTTTGTACGGCAAGAGGAAGATAAAGATCTCTATGAGGCAATCCTAGAGAACCGGGAAGTGATCAAGCGGATGGAAGAGCGAATCGATTTGCTCAAGAAAGAAGTGACAGAGGTAAGGTGCTTGCCTTGGGAACCGGAGGAGGGGGCTAAGGCGTCAGAAGTCGGGGAGCGACCGAGCAACGGGGAGGGTAGCGCCACGAACGGTGTCATCGGGGGGAGGGAGACGGACGCTACACAGGAGCGAACGAACGGGACTGGTCAGGCGGGTGCTGATGAGGAAGAGGGAGTGTTCCTTTGAGAAGTTGATCCGGAGATGAACAGAAATGCCTACGGTAACACAACAGAGCGCTGAGAGCATTCATCCACGGCTATATAACGCGCACCGGTTTCACTACAAGGCCCTGATTATCGTTACACCAGCGGTGTACTTCGGACATTCGCCATGTGCATCGCACCCGGAGACCATGCAGGCGGTATCCATCTACGAAGTTTAGCAAGACATTATTGGGTCGAGACACCTCTGATGATCCGACATACCATCGATAGTTGTGACATTCTCACCAGGGCCATGGACGATCATTCGTCAAATTGTCCGAGTTCCCTCGAGATGGCGGAGTGGGTGGGCAAAATATGACCGTTGGCGCATCCCGCTGTCATGTTTTCGGAAGTCAACCCACGTGGGTGACCGAACTTTCCCACGTCTACATTTGGATCGCTCCACTCGTCGTTATGAGAATCGAGCCAGTCTGAAGTACGCGCAGTCCTGACTCTATCAGTATGAGTTCTAGCACTCCATTGGGTACATGAAAGTTTCAGCAACCTTCGGCAGAAGATAGAATAATAACATGCTACTCTGTTTGATCAAATACGGCCGTACATTATTAGGTTATAACTTCGAACACGCATTATAAAGCGAGTCATCCTAGGCTATACTATTAAATACTAGGTTTGCAGCCAATTATCAAACCTCCCTGATATAGGGAGCTAAGAATCTGGCAACGTGAAGTTCAGTTCTTTGTGTCTCCCACTATGGTCAAACAATTGAAAAAGAAATCTAGATTCTGACAGATGAAGTCGCGTAAACGAAGTTGGTTCTATCTCTACTATCACCGACGATCACAGCTGCCGATGACAAATAGACAGTTCACTGGCTGTACCCACCCGCACTGCCCGCGATTGACACTACCAACTTGACCTTGTCGTTGACCTCCGATATCTGTAGTTGAGACTACAACCTTACTTGTCTACCACTCCATGAACTTTCCCAGTGTGGCACTTGACAGCGGTGTCGATTGCGGGAGTTTAACCAGAGTTTAGCTCCTGGATAAACATCAATTAGGTTTCCATATCCCGGCACTCAGACAAAGTTAATTTGGACTTGCCCCAGAAAGTCGCAGGTGACTTACCTCTGTAGGCTCTTGAAGGAGATCAATGAACACTCTGTCCTACATTACATCCATCCATACCTCACAAACACGCGCAAATCGACAAAAATGTGGCAAGAAATGTACAATTTGGGTGTATCTCCAGGATCAGACCAGAATAATACACAATGAATATCTATATGTCTGCATCCCATGCAGCACCCTTGAACGCCATTGCTAAGGATCCTCAGATCAGATCAGCCCTGCCCTAGCTTCGACCTCAAACCAGCAAAAGTATTCCTCCTTCCGAGACTAGGTTGCCTCGTCTTCTCAGACCTTTTCCTAACCGCGTCCGGCCTGCTCACTCTTTCGGTGATCCTCTTCTCCGACCTCGCCCTCTTCAAGCCCTACTCAAAGGCGCTAAGATCCAAAGGCACGCTGCTTCCCCGTCCCGCTCTGTACTTCTTCGGTCCGCCCAGGAATTCTCTTGGTCTCGGGAATTGAGATTCGTCGACAAATCTCCACCGCAGGTCGTGGACAGGCATGATCTTGCCCTTCTGCCCGGGTGCTGGGCTCGAAGGGCTTTTGATGCTTGAGCCGCCGTTGGTGAGGGTGTACGAACTCGGATCTATCATCGAGCGCAGAGGCGTTTGGGTCGCTGGTCTCCCTGGCGGCGACATTGGCGGAGGTGGAGGCGCTGATGCGCTGGGTGCCGAAGGAGGTGCGGGGGCTGAGGATGGAGGTGGTGGAGGCGGCGCGGCGGGAGATGCGCGGCCAAAGGCGTTGCGGGCGGCTTGTTCGGCGAGAGAAGGTGCACCGTTCGTGGGAGCTTTTGGTGGAGGAGAGGGCGCTGAAGGAGGTTTCGGTGGGGTGTTAGTGTATCTGTATGGATCGTATTCGTCGTCGTCATCGTCCTGTGGTGCTTTCGAAGGTGGAGCTGGCGGAGGCGGCGGTGGAGGTGTGGATCGGCTCGGCGCTCGCGGAGCCGCTGTCGGGGAGGAGGTGGCGGTGGTGCAGAGGGGTTGAGACTGGAGGTGGAGGCGGCGGCGGCGCGGGGACTTGATGAAGGTGGCGGTGGTGGAGGAGCTGGAGGAGCTGAACCAGGCACGGGTGGAGCTCGAGCTGGAGATGCGGGCGGCGGAGGCGCAAGTCCAGATGGTTTTCGTGAGGAGGGAGGTGGTATAGGCGGTTTCTTCCCTGGGAGAGGAGGCTTTGGCTTGGATCCTATGTCGGATGTCGAGTGTGTAGATAGCATGGATGAGGGCCGCAAGTTGTTCCTGAGCGCAGCAATACCAGGGGCAGGTGGTGGTCGTCCTCCAGGAATGGGTGGCGCTGCTCCTGGCGGCTTTGGTGCAGCTCCTCGAGGTGGTTTTGGCGCTGCACCTCGCGATGTCTCGGGATCTGACAGGTATGGCGAGCTGCTTTCTCTGCCAGTGTTCACACCACCAGACTTCCTCAACTTTGGCATCCCGCCTGCAAACAGACCTCCTAATTGTGGCGCCGCGCTCGCCATTCCACCGCCCCCTCCAGCTCCGTCTCCCCCCGTGTCGCTGTTACTCCTCGCTCGGTTGCCCGGGACAGGCGGCGCAAGGCCAGGTGGTGCTGGTGCTTTTCCCATGCCAGGGATCGGAGGAGCGCCTCCAATGGGTGGTCCGCTCGGTCCGTCTGATACCTTCCCAACTATCGGTGCTGATCGATCGTTTACTGTGACCTTCTTCAACCTCGCGCCCTTGGCAATGTCTCCCAGCAGTGCGCCCTATGCGACGTGAGCCCAAGTCATAGCAGTGTAGCCCAAGGTGTACAATTATAGGCTTTGCGATTTGGACCTACTCTTCCTGCTCCGCTAGGCGGCTTGCCTCCGGGCGCTTTTCCAGGCATTGGTGGCGGCGGTGGTGGCCCTCCAGCACCTCGACCCATGGGCGGCATGGGCGGAGGGGAGGCGGTGGTGGTGCGGGCATGATGTCGTGTGAGGTGTCGCTCGCGGGGGTCTGCTGTGTCCGCTGTTCCAATAGAATTCAGACTCGAATATAGCTTGCGCTGCTGCCTGCGAGCGACGCGCGTGTTGTGGTGCAGGTGTGACTGTAGTGGACCTGAGAGCTTCGCTGAGGTTCCGTCAGTGCCAAGAGTGGCTGTCGGCTTCGTCACCAGCGAACCTCACCGCAATCCAATTTCTCCACTTCGAACAATTCACACGCCATGAAGCCCGGATCCCTGCCGCTCCGGGCACCCTCACGGCCGGTGTGCCAGCTGTGCGACTATATCCTGCAGCAGCCCGGATCCCGTCGCTCCTTCCTCGCCGCGGCATCAACGTTCAAATCGCCTGCCCTGCGGCGACAGCCCGCGAAACAGCATGCCATCCTCCCCAGAGTACCCGTGCGGAGCGCTGCGACAGTCCGGGGGCCACAAAGACAGGCATCAGGAATAGAAAATCACCAGCAATGGGCAGAAAGAGTTGCAGTGTTGAAAACCAAGCTCGCCGATGTGGAGCGGCATATCGCATGGATAAAATCGTCCGACAAAGTCGAGCCAGAGTCGGCCACCTTAGAAGCGCTCGAGGGCTTGGAGAGTATTGCGCGACAAGCAATTGCGATCCGATCTGGGAAACCGCCACCTCCGAAGATTGAAATAAAGCAAAGCTCAGCCGGCGCGATTCTCTCCATGGGACGCGAAGATGACGATGCACCTGTTGCACCGCAGCCCACCTCAAGAGCACCTTCGCTCAATGAACTGCCATCACCCCAATACATATCCCGTCTCGCCATGGACCTGCTCAAACATCCCAACGTCTTTATCTCATCAGAGGTTCTGGGTGCTTATATCCGCCTCCAACGACTGGTTGGCTGCCCGCGCGCGATACCTGAGATCCTCCATTTGTACGCCAACAAGCCGGTCCCAGAACTTGGATCATCTCCGCCCAAATTCTCAAAACCTTCGCCCAAGGCCGCAAAACAGGCTATACCCGCGGCCCTGGCCGAACAGGCGCTCGGCGCCGCAATTGAAGCGAAGGACATGCCTCTCGCTCTCGACATCGTAGAAGTCTCCTATTGCGCGCCTGCATGGCGGCGACACAGGATGGTGACAAAGATGGGGCTACCAGGCTTCATTGCCTCTATCACGCCTTTGGCGATATACATGCTCGCTCAAGAAGCGTCGGTGTACAGTGGGTTTATTGACCCATGGACTTTCAAGGTGTATGCTTTTGCAGGAATTTCGACCTATGTCCTTTGCACTGGAACACTAGGTTTCGTTGCTTTGACAACCCACAACGATCACCATACCAGAGTAGTCTGGAGACCCGGAACGCCGCTTCTGGACCGATACCTGCGAGAGGACGAACGAGCCGCTCTAGATCGGATAACATGCGCATGGGGTTTCAAGGAAGAATGGAGAAGAGGCGATGAAGAAGGTGAAGAGTGGGAAGGCTTGCGGGAGTGGATAGCGCTGCGCGGTATGGTGCTCGACAAGCCTGATTTGATGCCTGGAATGAACGCTTAGGTACCCTATCGGCCATGTTGGTGTCCAAGAAGCTCGCTCATATGATCGTTTCCCCGGATCGTTTACAGCAGCGGGCATTGTTACCTTTTCACTTCTGCATATACCAACCTGTAAACTTTACTATGTATTATTGCCAAGCAACTAACGCTTGATCTGTTTTCGAAGAACCAATCAGCGATGCAGTCCTTCAACCACGCCTTCTTCAGGCAGCACAGTCCCCAAAGTCTTCTTCTACACCACTATCTCGCTCATATTGAAGCTCTGTCTCCGGAACACTTCCGATCCGATAACCATGCGCCGTACAACAAGATCCCAATCACATCAGGCATCGCAACCTCCAACATCCACCGCTCCAGCATCGCATGAGCCAATACTCCTGAAGGCTGCCATCAATCCACCACTCATCTCCTTTAGTCTGCCGAGTCACTTCACGCCGAAGCTTACAGGCTTAAGTCGTGCATCAACTACACTCCTGAACAACAAACGCTCTAAGACACGAGCCTCTATTACACGGCTACACCGCACTTTACAACACGCCGACAAGGCAACTGAAGAACAATTACTCCGATCACTGGACGCAACGCTCGTATTCGCCCAGGCAGAAGATGGAACAGCAATCTGTATCTCTCCCACAGGCCTCTTACTCACCTGCTCTCATTGCATCGCCGAGGACGCGGAGACAGCCCTGGACAGATCCAACCCACACTGGCTAATTTTCGCCATAGGTGTTGTTGTGCGAGCTATCTGTGTAGCCTGGGACGGAAAACGTGACCTCGCGCTCTTGCAGATCACCAACTCCGAACCACTCCCGCCTTCGTCATCTCCTGCTGCTGCCTCCCACACTCCGTCCAATGCCTTCCCTATGCCACCATCTCCCCTCCCACTTCCCTCCCCTAACCCACCCCCTGCTCTGTATCGGCCACCCCGCCAGCGAAGACCTTGAAGCCTCGACCCCAGGCCAGGCAACGGGCTACGACGTCCTACACATCAGCGAGGGGATGTACCACGGCCTTTCCCCCGACCAAGATCCCCAGGATAACTCTGAAATCGGGGCATTGATGCACGATTGCTGGACGTACTGGGGGCACAGTGGCGCGCCGATTTTGGATAGGGAGAAAGCGGGATTGCTTGGGTTGCATAGTAGTTGGCATGAGGAGACGCTGATGAGGAGGGGTATACCACTTGAAGCTGTGCGGGCCTTTTTGGGAGAGTGCACGAACTTTGGGAGTGGGAGTGGGGAGGGAAAAGAAAGAGGTGCGACCGCTGACGACCCGATTTCACTCACATAGTCGCAACACTATCGATTCTTCCCACCCTGAGCCACCTTTTCCCCTTCTCATTCCAAAAAAATAAGAGAAAAGCAAAGCAAAAACTAGAGCCGGGAGCGACCCCTCTAGAAACGTTACATTTTTTGTACTACTCGCGCCGGGTTCCGCGCTCACAAGATTGACCCCCTTACGCCGGCCTTTCTCAAGTCGCGACGCAACCGTCTAGGATTTAATACCATTGAAAGGCAGTTTTAAGTCCGGGCGGAGAATCGAACTCCGGGACTACCTGCCTCCTGCTTAACGGACTCTACGTGCGAAGTGGTGTCGCGGGACGAGTGCTAAGTGGTTTTGGATGGGGTTTTCTGGGGTTTCTGGTATATGTAGAGAGGGGAATCTGGAAGTAAATAACTACGGTTGGCATGATATAACTAATCGAAGACTGCCTGAGAGTGGAGTGCGGAGGGGTGAGGTTGATGAGGTGATTGAGGGTGTGGCTACGAGGGTGAAGAGCGAGGTGAAGGCAGTCGTTTGCGGGCCAACGTAGTGACCATCGTGGTAGCTTTATGTTATAGGCAGAGGAGTCTCTACCTCTAGTATGTTAATGAGTAGCAAGTAGCTTTGATACCGCTGGTACTTCTCACTTCTCGTAACTATGGCTGTTAGTTGCACGCGCGGTTCCCTCCAGATCCTTACTCATCTAGCTCTCATCAGCCTCAGCCATCGAAACCGATCCTTGAGAGGCTATTTGTGAACTGTGGCTTGGTATTGATCAGTTGGTGAGGCGTTCGTTCGGTACCTGTTAGTCCCTTCTTCGTTCACTCACTCACAGTGCGAGTGTCTTTAATGCAGCGTGGATCGTGCAGCGCCCCTCACCTTGTGTCACGGTTCCGGTAGCTTACTGACTGGCAGCTCTGCTCCAAACATGCTCGCGACTCGCGGTCCTCTGGCCATCCTCTCCCTCCACCGCCGCTCAACCCAAAACTGGCGCCAACAAAGAGAATGGATAAGGTGACAAAAGAGATGCTGGCCAACGTGCTACGACGCCTGCCCAAGTCTCCTGCGTCATCTTAGCCACTGGGCTACTTGTGCAAGAAGCATGGCGCAGTACCCATGGAGCTCGACTGCGAGGAAGCCTGGCAGTTTGTGAAAGACAGCGCAACGTGGCGGCAAACAAATGCAACTCCCTCCCAATTACCGTCTTGAAACCCTCTGCGACATCTTCGCCTTACCTGACTGAGGATGCAAAAGCTGAAAAAACTTTTGCCGAGATCGCTGCCATACTACGAATATATTCGAAGGCTGGCCATGAACATCACCTTCAGTCCGGCGCTTCTTGATGTGAAAGAGCTTATCGAACAAGACCTAGGCGCTGGCGAAGTACACAACACGCGCTGCGCAAGAAATACCGAGGAAGCACGGCCTCCGTTGTGGAAAGGCCGCCTCCGATCCAGACATCAAGCTGGAGATGCCAGACGCAGACGACGACCGCAAACAGCCAGAAGAGAATCATGAATGACTGAAGATGCTTCCATGGTAAAAAATGCACAACCGAAGCAAATTCAAGCAAGTCAACTCCAACCCTCAGAACCAAGAAGGTCAAGTCGACTGAAAAAGCAGTAAGGGCGACGGAATCGGCATGCAAGGATATTCAAAGCGTCTTTAGGAGTAACATCATCTTCAATTTAGATAACAAAACCCAAAATTTCATTTCAACCCACACCCGTGAGTCACCATCTTCCACCGATCTAGCCATCCACCCTAACATCCCTCTATCCCTCAATCTCCTCTGCACACCAAACCCCAGCTTTCCCTCACACCTCACTTCCCCTCTTCCCTCTCCCTAACCCTCCGCTCTTGCATCTCAACCAACAACCTCTTCCTCTCCTCCCCACTCTTCCCCTCCTCCCTCGCCTTCCTCTCCAGTTCGCTCAAAGCAGCTACATCCCTGAAATCCGCATTGAGCACAACATCGCTCGCCGTAGGACTAGGCGTCTCCTCCTTCTCTGTAGAAATATTAACAAGTGACTCAGCAGAGCTACTCCTCACGTGTTTCGTCTGTTTCGTCGAAGTCTTCGGGTTGGCAGGCTCGGCGTCCTCATCTTCGAGATCGTCGAAGTCGTCGCTGGACTGGTGTGCTGATTCAGTGGAGAAGTACTCCCTGTTTGTGATGTCTTTGACTTTGGGGGTTTTTGGGGGTTTGGAGGGCTGGTTGGTCTTGTTAGGTGATTGGCTGGTTTTGGGGTCGGTGTTGTCACGGTTGGAGGACATTTTGGATGGTGGCGGACTTGTGGCTTGAGGATATGGAAATTGTGGGAAAGGGGAAGTTGCATGGTTATAAGTTGGGGTTTATATAGCGGGAGTGTGTGCTGTTTGCGTGGGAGCCTGCGTTGCGTTTGAGAGGGACTGCTGACTTGGGCGTGTGATGTTATTGACTGTTGAGTGTTTTGTAGAATAAGGGTTATTGTGGTGACTATCAGCTATTGTGGTGACTATCAACTATTGTGGCGACTATCAACTATTGTGGTGACTACCAACTATCGTGGAAGCTATCCTCAATCACGCGAGCGTTGCATGTCGCGCAGACCTTGAAATGTTACTGTATTGGTTTCAAAAAGCGCATATTGTTTCTCGCCGTGATATGGAAGAGACCATAACGCTAAGGTGGGCCTACAGCATAGAAAATGCTAGAGCCATCGATGGAGAGTAGAGGAAAAGATCAAGCCTCAGACATACGTTTGATTGAATTGCGCTGTATAGACAAAGTTTGGACGATCTTTGTCAATCGCTATCAACGCCTTCAGTGAAGGCAAAAACTAGGGTTGCATCGGGCTGAGTTCACTTTTCTACATTGAAATCTGTAAAGCGTGCATGAGTACTCAGAAGCCACATTCTATTACAAGCACACTGGACATGCTTGGATAACTACGAAACCCCCATTCCGTGAGAGCGATAAGTATGATTTCTCCACAAGTAAAATATCATGTTGGTTATCGTCGAGAGGGGGATAGCCACGGCCCAGAAAATCCAGAATTTCTTGTTCCCAGGTAAGAAGTCTCCGCCCATGCTGAGCACACCGTAAGCGAATGCGGCCGGTGTGAAGAAAAGGATAAGTAGCTGGCCTAGCTTGCTAATCTGATTTGATGAGTAGGACAGCATAGCAGTCCGTTTACTGTCGAGCACAGAAAAACTAGCAAGACGGATATTGATGAATTGATCAGTCTCATTGATACAGTGTTGAATTTCGTCGGAAGTGAACAGCCAATCTAGGTGCAGTAGGTCACAAGTCGTGTTTGCATCCTGGATACTCCTGGAAATATTTTCCTTGGGGGCAATCTTGAGGTGGGCAAGATTTCGCCGTGTAATGACAGAACATCTTTCCAGGAGATTACGGCACGAGCCGAGGTTTTGAAGAGTAGATTCCGTCTGAGACGTATCTACGCTATCATTTGCCAAGTCGCTCAGATTGACAGAGTCGAAATCGCGCCTTAAGAAACGCAAGGTGAGCGCCCAGTTTGAGAGGACAATCTGCTGCAAGATGGCTGCCGTGGTGGAAGCACCAATAGGCGCAGGCAAAGCACGTTTCGGGAAGTTCAATCGGCTGATCAATGATTCTTTCACAGATTTCGGATGCCTTTGGAGGAAGTCTTTCCTTGTTTCGAGATTGGCGAAGTCCAGTGGGCCGCCTTGATACGGAACCCAGGGACATTCCTGAGAGTCCTCAAAGTTATCGTACGCAAATCTGATGAGCTTGGGAAGAGGACTGTCGACCAGAATAACACCTTTATGGGGGTCAGTGCCCGAACACCCGAGAAGTTTAGCACTTACGAGTAGAACAGCCGTCAACGGCCTCACTTTCCCAGTAAGACACAAACCGATTAACAAGAGCAACTGTGCAATTTTTAGCTCCATGTCCGCATGGGCTTCTTATGAACATTCTCCGGAATATCGGCTCTTGTGGGCTCAGCCTTGCGCTACCCAGGTGGTGTCTTCCAGTTAACTGGACACACTCCCAGTATTCCAAAGTCCAGAAGTTCGACTGTTTCCGGATTGAGGGCAATGGAATTGCATTTGATCTGCCATCATAATAATTCCATGTGGTGGCGCGAAGATGGCTCCCGAAGAATTCGGGCTCGATTTCAAATGCAGACCCAACCTTCTCAACCATGTCACGCGAGAGACCTTCGATAACGAAAGCGCGGTTGGACTTGCACTCCGATGGTAGAATGAAATCCTCATCAGTAGCGGCTCGACGAGCCTCCAAAGCTCCGTCCTTGGTCAAGGTGAGTACCGTGCAAGTCGCGTCTACATGTTTGGAGTTTTGCATCAGGCTTTCCTCGAGCACTCGCAGGTTTCCGTATCCGGCATCAACGAGCGACTTGATCCAATCGTGGTAGGGCGACTTAAGTGACATAGTCGTGAAAGATTTCTTTGCGAGGGATTCAAGACTGCGCATCTCCATCCTCGGCGATTAGGATGAATGTAAAAATTTGTGCCTTCGTACGCGGCTGAGGTTCAGCTTTGTAGAGGCTTCCCCGCATCTGCCCTTATAACATGCTAGATACGAGGGCGAGCTGAGGAGGCTATCAGGCAAGATGCGTATTGCTTAGCGGCTTGTCTGTAGGAGGAATAGCGTTTGTTTCAGTACAATATGATTCGGCGATATGAAAGCACGCTAACACAGGCCAATGAATGCTAAGATACATCAATCACGCTAGAGATTTTTAAGAATTTCCTTCTCCGCCCAACGGACCTCCCGGCATGTACATTCCTAGGCTGAGGCATATTGATAGTCTCGCGACGCAGTGACGAACGTTATGGTTCCAACCCTTTCATCATCACCTCCCTTTAGCGCGACTCATATACAGCCACATCATCGCCGCTCCACCGATCGCTCCACTGACGCCAAACATCCAAGGCGGTGCTCTCTCCGTTACAGCTATATTCCTCGTCTTCTCTTCCACCACTACTCCCGTCTCCTCCTCTCTATCCACAAGGTCCAGCTCCTTCTTCACCTTCTCCTTCCACTCCGCCCTCTTCATCTCCCCCCACTCCCTCACAAGCAAATCCTCAGACCCACTCAAATCCACCATCTCCCTCCTCGCGCCGTCGTAGTTTTCCAGCGGACACTGTATATTCAGCGCCCCCAGCCCTGACGATCTAGAAAAAGAAGAGGGAATCCACTCCTCCAGCGTCTTCGCAGGTAAACACCGGAAAACAAGACCCATCCACATCTCCAGCACATTCAGCAACAGCGCCTCTCTATCCATACCCGGCAATCTATGCCCCCCCATATTACTTGACGGCAAGACGCACAGCACGCCGTACGCGTTGTCGTCGCTTGCATGCAGCGCGTGATAATGCAGCGACGCGTGATCCCGTCTATACCTAAACTTCTGGTGCTGAGAGATGCGTAATCGGAGGTTTGACGACTGGCCTACGTAGACGCGCTCCTTGTCTCCTTTTACGACGTCGAAATAGACGCCCCGGCCGAGCCAGGTGAAGTCCCCGGCTATGGCTTTGGTGTTCTCGAATGATAGGCCCTGCTCGAGGGCGTTCCAGACGGGGGGACGGACGGTGGTGAGGCAGAAGGAGGCTAGGTTTGGATTTCTTTCTATCCATTTGGCGTACCGAGCGTGATATTTGGATTGGGGATGTTGCAACTTTTGGAGCATGTGTTGGAGGATGTGTTGGGCTTCTTGTTGCGCTGGTGACAACGCTTCTGGCATTCCTTCCATTGGTGCTGACGGCGTTGTAGTCGGTGAAGAAAATCCAGTGATAGATGCCTCAGCAGTGGCCATTTTGAAGATATAAGGTGCGGTCAATGGAGGTACGAGTAAGTGACCAATCAGGAAGGGCTACCTTCGTTTGGCTTAGCGCGCAGGCAGCGAAGGGTGGCGAAGGAGAGGATGCGGACTTGGGCGCTTCTCAACCTGTGAAGTTACTGGCTGTTGCCTACGCAGATGCTGCTGGTCCCATAGTCTAGAGTCTGATTTGCGATGAACGTCAGAGTGTCGATGAGAAAACGCGAGGCTGGCTTTTCGTATTCGTACTACGAGGTCGACCACGGGCCGCTCCGCAACCGTGCGGCGGACCACGTACTTCCACACTTTAAAGGTTTGGTAGTCGACATCACTTCTGTACGACAGATTCAAAACGAGATAGAGATATCAAATTATGATCGTTGATTAACGCTATCGGATAATCTTGGGGCTTCCAGAATGTCCTTTCCGGTTCCCACCCGTCACCTCGTACACATCTCTGGCCATCTTAGGTCCAGAAGTGCAAATGTTCGGTTATCCCTGATCGATATCCAGGGTGCCTTTTCCTCCGACTCACAAGATTCCCGATTAACTATAGCCACCACTCGTTCCTCCTCCCGCTTTTGTCCTCCACGGACCGCACATATCCTACTCCATCCCAAGGTCCTTCCGTCTGGCTTGCATTCGACCACCTGTCCACACTGTTCATCGGTGCATGCTGTTGGTTCTGTATCTCGAGTTCTGCTAGCGACACTCGGTTGCCTGCACTCGGACTGCTGAGTCTCTGTGAGGTCTCATGCTGGTTGGAGGATGAACTAGGTGGATACTTATTGAGCGCAGGATCTTGTGTATGCCGGCCTGCGTCTGGGTTCACCTTTGACCAGGACCGAGGAATCTTCTCCCATTGTTGTGATTGTTCGGAACGCTGATGGGAGTGGTGTATGACGACTGGATAAGTGTGCCGAGACGTGGGGTCATTGGAATGTGTGTTGCGGTCTTGCGATGGTGTGTGTTGATGGAACGAAGGATCTCCATTGGACTGTGCAACAGTCAGCGCCGTCAACAACTCAAAGCAAAGAAAGCGGAGTACAAGTCAACATTGCGAAGTGGAAAAGACGCATATTAGTAGCTTTAACCCTCAGTTTTACATTGGCACTTACTGATGTTCTGACATAGCCTGATCCTGAGGAAGACGTATTCACTCTTCGAGAAGTGCTATCCCTGCCGGAGGAGTGCTGGTCATAGCCATTACGTTGCTCCATGGCGCTTATAGGCCTTTTAGACAGCGGGGCTGCTAGTCTAGCCAAGTCGCGTTGAGAGAAAGCTCGAGCACAGGTCGAGACTGAAGTCATAGATTCTGAAGAGCCGGAGAGAGCGAATGACCGATGTATGTGTACGCTAGCAAGCGTAGCGATGTTATGAGAGGAAGAAATAACTCCCGTGCGTGCAGACATAAGCCGGTCTTCGATACGAGAGGAATTGGGAACCGGGTGCTCGATCGCGAAGGATATACAAAGGATCTACACTTCTCATTGTCATCCTAGTCGCATAAAAGTCGTGATGCCTCCCGTATCCAGCGTTTGCTGCCTCAGGCGCCTAGGCAGCCTTGTTCCGGGGGACTATTGTGCCGTCGCCGTCGCTATTGTGCTATTGTCCGTGACTTTCACCGCCATTGTCATAGTCGAATGTTCAGTCATAGAGGTGACTCAGAATGTAAATTCATATCCCGCGGGAACGGATGATGCCCCCGAGTCATCTCGCAATGAGGGGGATTCCTGATTGGGAGGGATCGCGCCCACTTGACTGGTCAGCTGGAAAGCGAATGCATTGGAAGTTTCGAAGCAGTTGTTAATCACGAGGTGTCTTGAAGGGCGACTGGGAAGTGTTTGAAGGGCGATGGTGTGACTGGTCGATAATTTTGGAAAGAGCGATGTGTTCTACGATCGGCCTCAAGGAAAAGGTACGGGCGTTCATTGCTGTTGGAAAGGAAGACGAAAATAGGATATGCGGTGTAAAAACAGGCATAGTTGGAGAGAATGAACTGTGTTCTCACGGTCAGTTGTCATGAGCTCCGTGTGGTTGGGCCGTTGCACTTTCCTAATGTACCGCTGAGCACATGTGTAGGGACCGACCCGGGCAGTCTCATCGCCGAGACCAGCAGGGCCGATAGACGACGCAGATTGTGAGGCGAACCGCAATACAAGTGATGTCAGTCGAGCCGACACTGAGTTGACAACGGCCGGATGCGGGCCGCTCTCACCGCAATTAATAGTGTGCATATACGACAGATGTGGAGTCAGCGGCCAAGAGGGAAAAGATACTGTGTGAAACCTGGGGACCATAACTGAGTTGCCTAGTAGCAATCGTCGATAGAAGAAAAACGAGAAGTGCATGGACAACGGTAACAAGCAGGGGTGGATAATGCTCACATGCACATCCCGAGTTGGCACATACCAAGCTTTACTTGAGCGAAATTAGTAAAGACAACGTCATAGAGTCGATCAGTGCAGTTGAGCTGCCGTGGATCCGCCTGTGTAAGATCGTATTGGAGGCTGACGGTGTATATTTAGAAACCTTGCGAGCCCTGTGAGCTCGCGTAATATTTATATCCTACATCGACATCAGAATCGCAACAGTCGCGCGGATGCGCATATGCATTGCAGTTCAGGTGGTCGCTATGCATCGTTGCATCTCAGCCAAGATATTCAGCTTCCTTCGTCTGAGAGCAATCCAGTGACGAATCCAGATCAAAGGCCCAGATCCGGTCATGTGCCGCAAATATTCAGGAAACACGCCAGAGCGCATCCAAAGCGGCCATGATGGTCTTTGCATGGTATGCGGCCTGCATCGAGCGCGGTCTTGGTACGGCGTCTTCTAATTCAATCCACCTCTGATGAACCCGCTTCATTCGAGGGCAAGTCACGCCACGCGTAGACTGACTTGCCCGGATGCTCCCAAAAATATCGCTCTCCCTGCGTATTCTCCTTGAGCTGTCCTTCGTACATCCACTTCTCATGTTCTGATCCCCGCAGATGTTCGAATGCCATCCCTCTAAGCACATATTCCTCATGGACGCGATTCAGGATGAAGGTGCTGATCTTTGTACCGTAGACCACCTCATCTGTCAAGTTGGACCATTTTCCCGCTGTGATGATAGAGTTCGTGAACTTCATTGAAGTCAAAGTGTCCCCCCCTCGATGAACCAGTCCTCTCAACTCATCCTCCGTCGCAATGATTCGGCCAAGGTCAACAATTCGAAGTTCTGGCCAATATAGCCCCAAACCCAAGGAAGCAAAGGGTGAAATGTTCTCTCCCGCTGTGAGCCAGGCGAGGGACTCTTGCATGTTGTGATTAGGCTCTGCGTGCAGGCGTAGCTGACAAAGATGTTTGGCTTCGGCCAGGAGAGTGCGCATGTTGGCCAACGCCTCACGCCGCTGTGCAGTGTATCGCATGTCGAGATCTAATTCTATTTTGCGTAGATTGCGGAAAAAGTATTTTCCCGACTCCAGATGATCAGACTCTTTGAACTGAAATTCTCCCAGTGCTAGTCGAGGTCCACTCCAGTACCCATCATGGCTAAGCATCCGCACGCGGAATTCGTGGATGTTGGAGTATTGTGCTACACAGATTGCACCGATGAGATGATGAAAGCCGTTCTCTGTTGGTCGGTTGGCAGCATACCGAGCTGCCTGAATCGAGCCATCCCACGCTGGCGATGGTACCCTCCGTTCAAGGATATCTTTCATCAGTTTCTTTTCGACAGGGACGTGGAGTGGATGTGAACAGTACGCAATGCTTTCCACGTGAGGCATCCACTCTAAAGCTCGCGCAACCGTCTGCAGCAGAACGCCCTCTTTGATTTCCTCTTGCTCCTGGTATAGCGACTGATATTGTTTCCATCTACCATGGCGGACCCAGCTCACGACCTCTCTCAAATGCGGTCTTGCCAGGGCGGAAGACTGATAGGCACTCTCAACCTTCGCTTCGCCCGCGTCATAAGCTGTTGCGTCGAACACGATTTCCTTGACGTATTTTTGGTAGACCGGATGCAAAGCAATATTCTGAAATGCGCCCATGGCCTGGTAACGCGTACAAGCGATTATGCTACGGAACAAATGTGGAGAGGCATTGTCGCGACACGAGGCGCTGACGCCGCGTACTGCTTTGAGGTCTGTGTTTTCAAGATAGCTGAAGACCTCGATTTGGAGTTCTGCTGGTAATATCGAGAAACTCATGATTGAGGTAGCTGCCAGGCGCTCTGTTCCTGAGCTTGCTGCGTGGCAAATGATTCGTTCGGCCGCGCCCACCGAATCTAAAATGGTTGCAGTGAGTGAGCAAGAAGCAAAGTGAGTAAGAAGCAAAGCTGTGTAGTGTAAGGTGGCGATCAATACCTTGCCGTCGAGGTAAGTCAATGAAAGTGAAGGCAGAGCCGGCAGAAGGAGTGGTCAGGTGCTGCCTACGTGATCACTGATCACCCAACTGGTAAGAACAAGGGTTCACCCGTGCCCCACTTTCCCGACGCAGCCCTGCGTAGAGCTCTCGAAGCAGCAAACATCACCACTGTGCAAGCGATACGTACATGACCTTCGGTATGGGTACTAAGGCAAGAAGCAATGAGCATATGGCGAGCGTATGAGTATCCACAAGCAATTCACATCTGATCGTACAACACACGGACGATCCGGGAAGTGCATGTGACTTGATGATGAAAGGGACAGTCGCACATCAGAAGCTGCTTTATGTAGGACAACGTGACCGCAATTGCTTGTCGCGCGCTCTAGACCCGAGCAGGGATAGTCAGCGGTGTCTACATGCCCTCCTCAGCATGCACATCAACGGATCTATCATAGAAGCAAGCTCTAAGCATGCTCCGGTCTTTCTTCTCGAAAACAGAGAATACACGTAGCGTTAGCTTAGATGTCTGCTAGCTATCAAGGCAGCATGTGAAGACTCAACCTCACGTTGGTTACATTAGTGAGGAGCGTGGTGCAGGAGAGCTGATATATGAAGGGTATCTCATTCGATTCTAGCTCAAGGTGTCGTCATCACTGTTGCCGTAACTTATTCAGAGCAGCCATGATGCCATCACTCATGTTTTCATCGTCCTGCTTCCGCTTCATCGTGTTCGCGGGGGTTACCGCCTCACTTTGGTTATGGACCGGCTTCTTCACAGGTTTGCGTCTTAAGTCTGCTTGCCACATGGCCTCTTCCTCGTCTTCGCCTGGTTGAGGGACATCGACGTCTTCGGCGATACGGTGAGACGGACGCTTGTCAGCATCCGATGCCGCGGTAACAGGTGCCGTCTTTGACATCTCTGCTGCCAGAGGAACCGCCTTATCGATACTCTGATGCATGGACTCCCCCATTACATCGTCATCGAGGATTGGATCATCTCCTTCTGCCATTGACACGCCTCGCGACAAGGTATTGTGAGGCGCGTCCAAAGTGTTCTCACGGGTGATGCCCCGTTTTGCCGCTTTCTTTATCCTGAAAGGCTCTCGGACCGCATTGCACCACCGCTGCACCTTCTTCTCTCCCCAACCAGCAATTAGCCCTACCTCTTCAGGGGAGGCGTTGATAGCTGTGCGCACGCTTCCAAAGTTGGACACCAAACCTAAGGCGTCGGTTTTGTTGATGCTGCGCGGCACTGTGATGAATTCTACCAGCTTGTCCGAGTAGCTCGAGGATTGTTGGGCCTTGATGCTAGTAGGCGCAGCGTGCTCGAATGTCTTGAATAGTTCCAGATATCGGCCAGCTTCTTGTGCGCTCCAAGCCAGCATGATTGTGACGTTGTTGATGAGCGATGTCTTAGACAACTCTCGCAACGAATCCTCATGGTTCTCGATATCCACCATGGTCAACAAAATGCGCAGCTGATACTGGCCCTTCAGGTCGCGTATCCGGTTGTAGATGTACTCCGGGTGCAGGCGGTGGTATTTGAGCGACAGGAATAGCGCGCATGTCGTGGCACCAAGAACGTAGTCGGCAGGTATGTCTGAGTACTCCCATGCCAGGCTGCGCACGCTGTTTAGGATGGGATTGCCCTTCTGACGCGGCGACACGAGGATTGTACTGGGCCCTGAGCGCGAGGGCAGTGCTTGCGGCTTGGGCTGCTGGACTCTCGGCGCGTTCTGGTTCGCGTTCTGGGGCGCACTGGGGCGCGATGTTTGCGCTGTCGTCGATGCGCTGGCGGGAGCAGGACCGCCGGCAGCGGCTCGGGACGCAGCATCATCCATACTGGTCGCGGGAGGTGGACAGCGGCGACATCGGTCAATAAGGTGGTGTAGATAGCGCGCTGGCAAGCGTGGTGAATGCTGACATCAACAGAAATGGAAACAGCCCTTGGTGCACGGACCGCCTTGCGAGATACGAAGGATCCGGGCTCACTGCCGCTCGCTCGTCTTCTACTACACTCCAACCCACCGCCCACCGCCACACCGCGCACCCGCACCCCACGCCGTCAGTCTATAGCCAGCTCGCCCGCGAGCTCCCACCGTCTTTCGAGCCCATATCCGACGTCCCATCGCATGCGCAGCGCCTAGGAGCCGGGAACGCCAAGCGCCTTCGCCTGTGACGGGGCTGCCCGCCGACGTCCTCCTTCGACCCACCAGCCCACGAACCACCTCCGTCGCTGCAAGCAGACGCTGCGGCTCTCATGTCGGAGCACAGTGCAAAGCGACAACGCTTGACGGGATCGTTTTCACCGGCCTCGCCGCCCTACCACCTCGCTGCCAAGAGCAGCGAGACAAAGCCGCCCATAGTCCAGCCAAACACACCCACCTCGCCGCCATACCCCTCGATGAATTCGCAGTCAAATGGCGGCCCTGCCACGACTGGGTTCGCAGCGCCCTCCATAATGACGCCCCCCTCGTCGGTACACATGTCACAGCAGGTCTCGCAGTCGGGGCCCTCGGCGACCAATATGCATCCCTTCCCGACGCCCGCAAGCACCGCGACGCTCTCAAACTCACTCAATGTGGACAACGACGGCGATCTGCAGATGGAGGACAGCCAGGGTGATGATGTGGTGCGCTTAGGCCGACACAGACTCACCAACCACAACCGGCAAAACAGGGTCATCTTCGCCGACGAGGGCGGAGTGGCAGCGGCAAAGGGTGTTTGTGGCAGCCAGCTATTCAAGCTCTGTCAAAGCAGTAAGGTTCCCTTCTATACAGCGCACTTATGCTCTGTGTTACTGACACGGAATGCTTGGTAGCCCATGAGCCGTCACGACCGCATACTTCACAGAATCTTTTCGAGCTCTATGGCCTCAATAACCTAGCAAAAACCGTTGCGCGAACTGACCCAGTGACGGGAGTGAAGATTAACAAGCTGCGAAAATCGTACGAGGGTCACATCAAGGCGTTGCAGATTACTGGCAAGCCGAAAGCATCAAAAATGGAATGGAAATTCACCAACCTGTACAATTTCCCGGATGAGGACTACTACCTATCCACTGTATCAGGAAAAGAGATGACCAAGGCCGTCGACCCCCAAGGAGGCTTGTCGACAGAGTGGTCAGATCTTGTCAATGGCGCTTTGGGAGGCATGGACAAAGGTCCTCTGCCAGCTGCAGATGCTAACAAATACCGCGCTTACCTTGGTACTGATGAGACTGTCAAGCCGAAGGCTCCGACTGAAAGTGCTCCACATCGAGGAGTGCAATCGGCCAACGCCACGCCGAACCCACACGCGTCGTCTGCAGCGTCGCGGCTAGTAAGACCAGAAAGAGCGGGATCAAAACGACAGTACACGGATGCCTCGTTCCACGGCTACGGAGAAGGCTTCACTGACGACTATGCCGAGTCAACTGGAGGGGAGGACAACGGAAACATGGCGGCAAAGAGACGGAAGCTCGCAGCTTTCGAGCGCACATCACATCAAGTCGAAGTTGGCGGTGCGCGACGGTAGAATCGCTTGCTTGCCACATTGAGGAGCTACGAAGGTCGACGACCTTGAAGACGTGCATGGATGTGGCCACTTTTTACAATTCGATGAAAATATTCGGTTCCGGTTTTCCCTCTCACATTGGCGTTGGCGAAAATGGACTCGAAAAGAGCAGGATTTTGACGAAATTTGTTTTGCGACTTTGCAGGTTTGGCACTTGGGCGCAACCGGCCCCCTTGCATGCCCTACAGCGTATGGCAGGGCTGTGCCTTTTTATTGTTTGTTTTGCATCGATGCCCATCTTTAGAGGGCGGTGGAAATTTTAGGCTGGCGGCTGGTAGGGGCCTCATCTTCCTTCAACTGTGCATATTGGGCGGAGCAGGCACGTCATGATACCCTCTAGGCTGCATGAAATCAAAATAAGAAATGTAAAATGAATCATCACACATTACTTCGGGTCCAACGATGATGGTGAGATTGAGGAAGATGTGTGTGAAAATGTCCTATATTTCGAATTTCACAATGCGCTTGTCCGAGACGAGTCGAGTGGAAGGTTGAGTGCGCGTTGCACGAATGTGTGCATTCGCCTCCATGAAGTAGGGCAGAGTCTTCAGCAGGTTAGGCTCACACCATTCGAATGCATAACGCACCATTGTCCGCTCGACGCTGATCAAGTATAGAACTTCTACTATTGACAGCAAGAACGACATCTACGAAGGACATGCGATGCTAAACGCGCTATGCAACAACCATCCGACCCTTAAATACCCACAGAGCTCGCATACTATCTATTAAACTCCAATCACATATCTACAGACTCGCCCGCTCCTCCCCCATCTTCCGCCCCGTCACAGCACTGAAGTACTTGTTCAGCGCCTCGCAGGTGCCGCTGCCCTCCTCCAGCCTCACTACCACGCCTACATACCCATCCGGCCGCACAACAACCACCCCGCCCTTCTCCCCATCCAGCCCCATCTTCGCGTGCGCCGCAGCTTTGGCATCGGGGACGCGCTGGTCCCACACGTCGTCAGCGTAGACGTGGTCTCTGTATGTGGCGAAGACATCCGGCAGGGCAGAGATCTCGACCGCAGAGCGCGCCTCCGAGAAGATAGTAGCGAGCGACAGAAAGTCAGTATGCGGCGTGTGTTTCTCATGGTACCTATCTACGTCCTTATCCTTATGCGCATACGTCGAGTAAAAGCTCGTCGGGTTCGCCATGTGCGTGGCCAGATCCCTCAGCGCAGCTTTCGTCCTGACGAGAGCGCCGCCGAAGATGTACAGTCTGTAAGAGCCGTTGAGCGGGATTTCCTGCTCGAGGTGCACGACGTTGGCGTCTACGACGCGGGTTACGGTTGCGTTGTGCAGGGTGCGGCCGGTGCGGAGGGCGGTGCCTTTTTCGTGGGCGAGGATCAGGGGGTGTTGCGCTGGGTGCGAGGGGCCCCAGTTTATGGTGTTGGGGTTGTAGGCTACGCCGTAGCCGGAGGTGAATTCACAGGACGCTTTGAAGGTCTTGATGAACTCGTTTTCGTCGGCTTGGCTGTCGGAGGAGGCGCCTGCTACTTCGCCGGCGGAGGGGATGCGCGCGGAGAAGAGCTTTGAGTAGCGGGCGTCGAAGTCGAGGAGGTTCTCTGCGATGAGCTTACGCTCGGATTCGTAGGTGGAGAGCAGGCTGCGCGGGGCGAAGCCACTTTCTACGTGGTGGATTTTCCAGGCGAGGTTCACGGCGTCGAGGAAGGCGGTGTTCATGCCCTGTCCGGCTTTGGGGGAGTGCGTGTGGCAGGCGTCGCCGCCCATGAAGACGCGTTCATCGAGGGTGTAGCGCTCTGCGATGCCTTGGCCTATTGGGTAGACCGAGTACCATTCCACGCGGTCCCAGGAGATGGTGTAGGGCTTTAGGATGTCTTTGGCGTGCTGTTGGACTTCTTCTACAGTTGCAGATTTGCGAGGGTTCCAGTCTTTGTCGGTGGAAGAGGCGATTTGGATGTACAGGCGGACCATGTTGTTCTCACGGGGGATGACCATGATGGAGCCGGCGTCTGAGTGGATCGTGCATTTCATCTTGATATCGGGGAAGTTCGTTCGGACTACGCCATCCATAACACCCCAGACGTGGGCAATCGGATCCTTGTACTTGATGCCAATCTTGAGCTGCTCTCGAACGAAACTCCTAGCTCCTTCGCCGCTGAAGAGGTACTTTGCGCGCACAGTCTCTGAAGCTGTACCGTCTACATGTGCCAGCTTTACTTCTACCGGGTATGTGGCATCCGCACCATCATTCTTAAAGCCAGTGATAGTCCATGGCCTCTGAACATGGGTACCGTTCTTCTCGATGTCATCAATGAACACCCTCTCGATCAGGCCTTGGTGTAACAGTGTCGTAAAGGGATGCCTCGCATCAATGAATTTGGGGCAAGAAGCCCAAGTTCCCGTCCTGTGGATGCCCTTCGCGCTCGGATCCCAGAAAGCAACCTCGTACACCTTCGCGGGCTCATATTCCATGATCTTACGCTTCAGACCCATATTCCGTAATAATTCCATAGAACGTGGCTGAATGCCATCTGCGCGTCCGGTAGCCGTGGGCTCAGCCCGGTTGTCGATGTGCTTGATCTTGTATCCCCATCTCGACAAGCAAGTCGAAAGCATCAACCCAACAGGTCCAGCACCGATGATGACAACATCATACAGGTTCGTAGCCATTTCGTCGTCCCCTCTAGATCGTATTCAGAAGCAGTAAAAGTGAGCAATAACAATATACAAGGGTATCAAAGAAGAAGCTGTAGTACGACGAGACGCGCTGCACCGGCAATATACTGCAGACGCGCGACACCTCGCGCTTAAAGTAGGTTGTCCAAAATTATCTTCCAGAAGCCGAAATCTCGTTTTACGCTGCCGAAACAGACGGTAAGGATTTCGGCGACGCATAGCGCGTTCCTGTGCCATGATGCAAGGCGCAGACGAGGCCGATATGCGATGCCGTTCCTAGCTTGTGGTTGGTGGGTGGAGCGGGGGTACTTGCGGGAGAACAAAACGGCAATCGTCAAGAAGCCGCACGTTGCCTGTCGTGGTAAGGCTGCGGCTGAAAGAAGACTAGTTTCACGCCAGGTGTTAGTCAGATCACGTGCATCAGCCGCTTGAGGAACCTCGGGTATAACGCCCAGAGGTTGGGGTCTCCACAACCCGCGAGTCTTCTCCGAATGTCTTCATGTTCGCTTGCTGAATGATTCGGCCGAGCTACATGGGTTCTATACTTACATCTTGCCGCATCTATGATCCGCGACAGCTTCTTCTTATCATGTTGTTCGAAAGGATTCTTCTCGTACGACCCATGACGACGTTGATACCGCTACACGTGGAGCTACAGACCGTGTCGAGTTTAACAGACGAGACGTCTCTACGACTGACACTATACTTGCAATTGGAAGCTTGTTGGAGAGTCTGCGAGCTACGATCAAGGTGTTGAGGTGCGAGTCCTCAGGATCTGCTCAACGAGACACAACTTCATCGTCAAATGGAAAGCTGCGGAAGTTGAGTCAAGCAACACTGAACTAACAAGCCCATTGAAGCTTTCACAAGCTTTCGGCACCAACATGCGGGATCAATGAACACCGATTGTGAAGTCAGGGTCTCACAAGGCCACCTGCATCTGACATTCACATGAGGGCCTTATCAGAGGGACGGTCGGCCAATGGCCAATGGCACGCCTACGCGGACGTTCATTGTGATGTTGTTGTAGCGGTCTTATAGGCCCTCCAAGATGATAAGCAGGCTGTGATCTAGTAACACCCTGATGGAACGAGGAGCGAAAGTGACCCATCTGACACTATGTACTGACGGCCCGCCATGATGGTCCAAGTACATCCGCGTGCCGTGATCCTCTATGATTTGTTGGATCGTTTGAATAGCCTGCAGATAACTTTGCTACCCCGCGCTGCACGATTGGACGGATCCTGCCTTGCAACTTCCATAGTGTTCCCTCTCGTGTAACCTACGAGACACAGACGTAACTTTCTCGTATCTCATAGCCAAGGTACGGCACTAATGAAACCTGGAACTTACTCTAGTGCCATGTACTCCGCATCTATGCAGAGCTTACTTGTGACGAACATGGCTGCGCAAGCCAGAGTAGCGAGCAGTCAGCTTATATATACTTCGTGCGTAGCCAACACAAACAACATATAAATGAGCGGCTGCCAATCTCGCATAATTAGTGTCTCAAGATGTCCTCGTCGCAAACATACCTTCCCAGTCCACACATCCATACCTTTCTCTACGAACACTTCTACGTCTTGCCAATCGCCTTCTTATCTGCCTACATCCTCTACCAACGCTTTTTCTCCCCTCTCGCACGCATTCCAGGACCCTTCCTCGCCTCTCTAACAGACTGGTGGTACGTCCGCGCAACTCGTACCGAAGCCTGGAACCGCGTCGTCGTCCGCCTGCATGACAAGTACGGCCCTCTCGTGCGCATCGCACCTAATGGAGTCTCCGTCGGTACTCCCAAAGCTGTCCGTCAGATATACCCCGTGAGCGCGAGCGCATACCCGAAGTCGGACTGGTACAGCGTCTTCCGGGGGACGCGCAAGGTGGATTTATTCGCGGGGCAGGATCAGAGGGCGCATGGACAGCATAGGAAGATGATTGCGAGGGCGTATGCGATGGATACGCTGCAGGGTCTAGAGCCGTATGTGGATTATTGTCTTGAGTTATTGGTGGAGCAGTTAGACAGGAGGGTGGGACAGAGGGTGGATATGGCGAAGTGGGTGCATCTGTTTTCATTTGGTAAGATAAGTCTTCACATTGCACAGTCATGAGATTCTGCGTATTTCTGAGATCAGAAACTCATGGACTTGGTAGATGTCATCGGCGAAATTACCTGGTCCGCAAGCTTCGGCTTCATCACCGCGGGCGCCGACGATGGCACTTTCAATACGATCCGTACCATGGGTCGCTCAGGCTGCTGGCTCGGACACGTCCCCTACGTCTTCCGCGCGCATGAGTTCCTCAAGCCCTACATCGGCAACTGGCTCGGCATCAACGGGCGCCACGGCGCAATGCGCGACTTTGCGATGCGCGAGACTGCCCGCCGGTTTGAGAATCCCGGCGGCAAGAAAGACCTCATCAGTCGCTTCTTCGACGCGCATGAGAAGAACCCCGAGGAGTTCACTTACACGGATGTGATCAGCATGGGGACTACACAGGTTAGTGCGGGAAGCGATACAATAGCCGTGAGCATTCGGGCCATCATATACCACGTGCTGCGAAATCTAGCTGTCAAGGCGAAACTCGTGGCTGAGCTCGACGAAGCGAAGCGCAAAGGCGAGCTGAGCAACCCGATTAAGCATGCAGAGGCGGCAAAGTTGAAGTACTTGCAAGCCGTCATCAACGAGAGCTTGCGTGTGCATCCAGCACTTGGTGTGAATCTTCCCCGTGTGGTACCGCCGGGAGGCGCAACCATTGAGGGGCATTATATGCCGGCCGGGACGATCGTGAGTATGAACGCCTGGGTTGTGCATAGAGATAGGGACGTGTATGGTGCAGACGCAGACGTCTTCAGACCAGAGAGATGGTTAGAAAGGGACACTGGCGATATGAGTAGGCCTTCCGTTCGCCAATCGTATTCTGTATGCTCACAGCGTTCTGCCAGATCGGTATTTTCTCACATTCGGCTCAGGCTCGAGAGCATGTGTAGGACGCAGTAAGCTCTTCTACGTTCGCAGCCATTGCTTCTGTCAGATGCTAATGACTGAATACGTAGACATCGCCGCGCAAGAACTGTCAAAGTTTATACCAACTTTGTTTCTGAATTACGATATGGAACTTGCGGATCCAGAGAAGGAGTGGAGGGAAGAATGCTTGTAAGTGCACGGTTGCCCCGGATCTCAGATGTAACAACGGCCTAGCCTATAATAGAGATGGCGAAAGAGACATCAGATGCTCGCTAACATATCCTCGCAGATTATTCGTGGGACAGTACGACATGGATGTGATGATCAAGCGAAGGCAGGATTCTCCAATGTGACTGCGATGTACGAAATTAGGTTAGAGTGAGGAGGCTGTAGCTGCGGAGGGTGATTCCGAACACCTGATACAAGTTAAAGCGCAGGTCGGTTTGATGGCAACCCCCAGTCTGTTGTATATCCCAGGACTGGCGTTTCAGCTCATTCATGGTGTCGCTGTAGTAAGCTGTCGTTCAGATGCCTCAGATCGAGGAGATCCATTGAATATTGTTGACTGAGTGTGGTTGGTTCTGAAGGAGGTCTGCCATTGAAGGTTGGATGTTGAGGCATAGCAATGGCTACCGTCGATTACTCAACTCGCATTCGGATTGTCATGCAAATCCTTGCCGACAAGCTCGACAAGTGGACCTTGCAGCAGATCGCCTGACACCTGTGGCGCTTGACGAGCGAGTGAGATCAAGTGGTTGTATGCGTGCAATTCGTGTTCGGGTTCGGGACATTGGTTCCGATCCAAGCTGCAGCCGCGCTGGAGACGTGGCTGGCTGGCAATTGCGGAGAGGGAGCTGCAATAACGCCATCAGACGCGGGTGCGGGATGACCAGCATTCGGCATCCACTTCGAGGGCGTGCATCGGGAGATCGATGCATGGGGGCCCGAAGCTCTGACTATTCCGGCGACGAGGCTGGTGAACGGATCCTGCTTTCCAGCAGGTGTGCTCAGGCATGCGGGCCGAACACGATAGATGGCGCACCCGATAGGCTTGCTGCATGGTATGGCGTGATGATCACAATGCAGTGAAAAGCCAAGACGCCTGCCGCCCGCCACGATATCCGCCCCACGAGCTTCCCCACTATCACGAACCAGTGATCCGTGCTCCGATCCTGCGTTTGTCAGAACAGTTGGCCCGATTGTTTGACCGATGTTGACAGACAGAATGTAGGACGTAAGATACCAGATGGATTTCCTCCGTCGAGATTGGGTGTAGCATGGTCAAGGTCTGTGTAGGGGTTGCGATTGCAATCTATACGCGAGATACTAAACGCGGTGTGACCCGCCTATAGCTCTGGGATCAATGCAAAACTTCCAAGGGTACGCCTGATAACATGTGCCTTATCATAGTCATGATTGGTGCAGCCAACAGCCACGAATTATCGGATTTGGCATTGACAAGCTCTTGCGTACTTAGCGCGAACGACTTCCCGTTGTGGATCAACTGCAAACGCCGACGGCGGAGCTGATGGTGCGGTACGCGCGAGAGCAAGATTATCATCTAGATCAATGCTAGATACGTGCTGGTACTCTGTACTAAAGACTACGTTAAAGCATCCTAACGAGCGGCGCCACCTGAAGTCGGCTGCTCCAAGGTATCTCGCTAGCTAACAGGGACAGCTTCAGTCGTCAATCGGCTGCATCGGAGTCCAAGTAGTATACAGTCATGTCCACACATGGATGTGCCTCAACACTGCGTCAAGGAATGAACGCGTGTGACAGCAACCGACGAAGAACATCAAACGGCAAGGAGGAGTGCGGCACAGTAACATGAGACGAAAAATGCCAAGCCATGGTCCTTGGCGAACCGATCGATGTCATAATCGGAGATGTGGTGCCACGGCTGCACCGTTTCTAGGGTATGCATGGCACTTAGTGAGCTGTCTAGTTCAGTTGGCGAGGAGAAGCATCTCATAGTCCAAGACTCGTTGGGTTTAACAGGAACACAACAACATGTTTCGAACATCAGAATATCAAGGTTGTTCTTGAATGAATGTATGCTCGCTTTTGCAGGCTGATCGAAGTCAACACTTGGCAAAGTAGCGCGTGCTATGGGGAAGTGTGCCGCTATAGATATAGATGCCGATCGTTGCAAGGGCAGCACTGCTGGACAGGGTAGTGTCGACACGAGGACAGCGGTAGACGAGCTCTACCAAACTCGTATGCCCTCTGCGACGTGCCTAAGGCCCCTAGCGGACTTTGCGGGCGTTGATCCAGAAGCCTTCCGGTCGCTTAGCTGCGTTGGCATAGGCTTGAATTACGCAGTGGCTTTCCGCCGGCACCCAGCAGTAGCCCCATGCTCAAAGCGCAGCAAGCAGAGCAGATGCAATGCATATTGGAGTGATGTGGTGGGTAGGCTCATGCACCGCGCGTAATGTTGTATGATCTATGTGTTGGTGTCCGTTGAAATACGGGCCGGGGCCTGCTCGCTCATGGAACTTTTGGCACCATGATACCTTCTTTCAACTCTGTCGCGACCCGAACACAGGCCTCCAGGCTTCCCAGGATTTGGTTTCGCGGCGCCAATACTCTATTCCTTCAGTGCCACTACCTCAAGCTCGTCGCTCATGTGGTCTTGCTCTGTGTAGTGGTCTGCTCGACCAGTCAGCGTGATAGGGTTGGTCGCTCAAAAGTCGGTCAGCTTCGGAGGGGGAGACGATGCATCGGCACAGCCTCCCCACGAACGCTTCCTGGTACTTGTTTCGACCAAATCCGCCTCACCACAGTCTACTGCTTCGAAGTAGATTGGCGGCCTCATGGTTGCGCTGGCCATCCTAGACAGAGGTAGTGGGGCTAGGTCATTGGTGATGTCGCTGCTGACGAGGCTTTACGATGCGGTGGGCTTCGCTGCCAGGATACTCGCCGGGGTACAACACAACGATAGTGTCACTGTTCGTGCGAGTGAGCGTACCATTCGGTTTTTGTTAGGCTAATCGTGTTCAGAGAGAGAGCATGACTGGACACGTAATAAGGCAGAGAATCTTTGTAGGATTGCCATGTTCTTGGGATTTGACTAACCCAAGAGAGGGCTAGCAGAAGGGGGTGTTGATACAATTCGCGGACCAAGAGTCACGACGGCTTTCACCGCCTATTGTTGTTTCGAATGGCATCTCCCTACCCGGCTGCACCCCATCTGCGGAAGCGTACTCTGCCTCGTTTTCGTAAAGCATACCCTGCCTCCGCTTCGTCATTGTGGGTACACCCAAGCAATCTGGTCACGATACCACGGTTGCCTATCGAGAACACTCTTCTGAGACTGGTGTGACTCCAGAAGAGGTGAACATCCGGTGGAGTACTCGGCAGTCGTGGAGAGCCTCCGCTGAGTTGAGCATACGCACTGCAGGAATCCCAGGTAAGGATTGTCGCAGAGCCGCATCCCCTTAGTAAGCCCTGTTGCACCTTCCTTCCCAGCGGTCCGGGGGTAAAATCATAGTGGCAGTGTTGTTCCTTACAATGTTCAGTGGGTCCTTAACTTGGGATCGTTCACAGTGGCTGTCTTTGGCCGGTCCCGAGCTTGTGCTCAGCCTAGCGCCAGCGCAGGAGGTCCCTCCTCCAAGGACATCTCCAGCCGGTATTCTTGGTATCCCCGCCTGCCTTTCTGGTCCGACTCTTTAACCATCGCTCCCATCGCTATCTTCAAGTGACCATCGTCTCATCTAGTCTTGCACTGCACGTCGACGTGCAGCATCTCGACTACTACGGAGGCCTCCTCTTCTGTCAGGGTCTCTCGGATAACCAACGACAGCAGACGCACACCATCCTAAAACTCCCCACTCTTGACTGCGACAATGTCTGGCTCAACCAGCCCTGACTACGAAGATAGCATCGCGGGCTTCCCCAGGCCCTACGCAGTACCACGTCAAGCTTCGCGGGCTACGAACGGCTGGCACAATAAACTCCACCCTGGCTCAACCGCGTTGTCCAGACAGTTTTGTGGACACAACCGACCATCTCTTGCCCCTCCGATGATGTATGCCGCGCCCGGCGTGCCGGACGAGATGACGGGGACCGCCTTGAGCACCGAGAACAGCGCGCCAGGGTCTCCGCGGTTCAGAGCTCACATCAGTCCTTCTCCCTACAGCGGCAGCTCTGCTCCACCAATCAACCCATACGTAGGGTATCGACATCCTTTCTTAAATAATGCAAACAACCCCGGATCGGGCTCAAGACATCCAGACGCAGTAAATACATACCTAAACGGAGTCGCGCGATACACACAGCAGCATCCATATGGCGACTACGGCTATGACCAGTCGGAACAACCGCATTCGCAGGTACAAGCTTTGCCATGCTATGCGCCCAACCCAGGGAGCACGTTCAGCAATCAGCGACCCATTACGTATCCAACCACAACCCGCGGTCGATCCCCGTCATATCCCGAATTAGGGCAAGGCCTCCATTGGTCTGGGTATCCTCATGTTTCCATGGACAAAAGGGAGTCTCCAAATGCCCGAGCCGATCAATTTGGGTACAATGATTGGTCCATCCCAGGACGCATAGTCGACGATGGACAGGGCGCTGATGCCCACCGCGCAAGTGCCTCTAGTGCGACTCCCGCCACAGTACCATATGGTTGCGGCCCCGGCGTTGTTCCGCAACCCATACCATGCCAAGAATTCCAGGACGTGGCACTGTCAGCTACAGTCCGCGTTTCATCGGTCGACGGGGCATCGAATACTTCGTTTCCGCACCGTACCTCAAGCTACGCCTCAGATCAATGGAATCAACCAAGGGCTGCACCAAGAAGTGAAGGCCACTCGCGCCGAGACAGTGTAGATTGTTTCGGATCTGAGCAAGTTTTTGAGACTTCAAGTACTCGTAGCTGCTCTTATGCAACCGCTGGACGCCACAGGTCGCCGATGCTGGGCGAAAAAGGATTAGCAGTACCCCTCCGGGACCATAGTTCCGGTTCAGCTTCACCGACTCCTTCTGGTGGGAGTGGAGCATCCCAAGATCCAGTATACTGTCCCGTTTGCGGCAAAGGCTACACTGGGGAGTATCGCAAGGGTAATCTGGCGCGGCACCGTCGCCAGAAACATGGCAGTGAAGAGCAAACCTACCCTTGTGAAGAGATGTTCTGCTCGCAGGTGTTCAAACGTCAGGACGCACGTCTGAAACACTACCGCAAACACCATCAATCGCGCGCCTCTCGGCCAGCTCTTCCACGGAAATCCGGGTCTTCTCATTAAGACCTTCCAGTAACCATGTGCCTCGCTTGGTGGTAAGTCAAACTCCTCGACCTTTGCATCCAGGTGCTATGCCTGGCTGCAGAAGTGACATTTGTATGACAAATGCTGACGCAGACAGCAACAGAATGCCAAGAATTGCCGGGGCATACCCTCGAGGTGGATCATACACCTGAGGCCTTTCCAGTTGCGATGTGTCCCATAACATTCTGCTTCAAGCATTCTTTCGGGCCCTTTTGCATAGGTTCGGCCGTCTTCATCGATCTCGTCGGGTCTGGCGTTGCGAGACAGGCATTCCGTTGATGTGCGTCGTTTCGGGTGGGCGATCCCCACGGCTTCGCGAAGGCCTACGGCCTACAGGCGGTGGCGGTGGAAATGACGATAACCATTTGTTTGTTCTTATGTTCTTCTGCGGGACCCTGGCGTCGATGAACTTGCTGTTAGGAGGAGGCTCTTCTGGTGCGGTTATATTTACATTCGAGCGGGACCTGCGAAGAGGATGTGGATCTTGTAGGCAGCTGCAGGCAGCTGTGTGTCGGGCCGTCGTTGCGTTGTATGGAACCGAGGCTAGCGTCGTCTCTATCAAGACCGGCGGCGGAGGTCATCGGAATGATCATCCTGTTCCAAAGAGACATCTATGTCGCGGTGTCTTTGGTGAGAGTAGAGGTGTGCTGTGATGTTGATTTAAGCTACCGCGCTGAGACCACTATCGAGCAGGGGAAACCGCGTGTCGCCTTAGCTTCCCAGCAAGCACCCGCTGTGGGTCTTTGCGACTCAGGGCACACCGCAAGCCGACAGCCTACTCTCTCCTCCACTCTCGTACACTGCCTGCGATTCGTACGGTCCGCGCTCGACTTTGCTGGTTGTACGGTATGCTAGAGTTAGTACATCAACGCTCGGTCGTTGAGGTTGGCCGGACAAGTCCATTTTGACGACATCTCGGACCAAAGAGGAAGGGCGGCTGTGCAACAATTTCCTTCAGGCCTCGAGGTTTGGTAATGATGCACCGGTTTCAGCCATGCTTTACCTTCCAGAAGAGATCGACGCCGAATTTTCATGCATTGAAAGCGAATCCGCACAGACCATCCAAGCCACTCTGGTGTAGTGGGCCGTGTCACGTCGACGGCTAGCTATGATCCTTGACAGCAGTCGAGTTGTTGTGCGTTGTTAGATGACTTGTCGAGGAGTTGGATACGTAGCATGTGAATGAGAGAAGGTCCACACGGGCCGCTCTTGCCATCGAATCCTCAGGGCGCCAGGTGTCGAAGAGCAACCGGGCAATTCCACGCGTTTCCATCTGAAAAAATCTTTTTTCAAGTCATCCTAGCCTCTTCACATACCGCTCATTCCAAAACTCGGACGCCATGGGCGTGGTATCAAGCCTATGGATTGCGTTGCATGTTGAATATCAGCCAGCTCGCCATCCACTCACCCACCGCCAATCGATGATGCATTTGACGCGTCTTTGGGTATCAAGTAAGTCTTAGCAGTCACAGTTCCAGCCTTAAGAGCGGCGAGGGCAACTAGTCAACTAATTCAGCTCAGGCAATGGGCCAAGTCCATAGGCAGTCGACAGGCCTTCGCAGGCGTCTGCAAAAAATATATATCTACCCAACGGATCCCACCCTCCACTACGAAAACCTTAGCCAAATAGAGATCTGACTCGCATGTACATGCAACATCATGTAGATGTCTCCCTCAAGTTGCCTTCACTAATGCAAGTCATGACTGAGCCGCACCGATGACGAATTCGACCCTCCTCCATACATACTTGTTGGTCTTCTTCTCTGCTCCGTCACCTTCAAGATCACGCAATTCGGAGATTGCAAAATCCTTATTCGCAGGACGAAGACTGTTTCGCCTCCCCTGAGGCGCAGACCTCGCCTCACCTCCATCCGCCACCAAACACGGAGGTACGCGACTCTATGCTAGGTATGCAACTCTACTGCTTCACTCCAGCTGATTTTCTATATCCAACGACTTCTGAAAGAGTTATCGTCTCGCGACACTTAACCTTGACGAAGACGTGTGGTCGTGTGCAGTTTAAGTTGGTCAGCCAGATGGTCGCCTACATGCAAGCATACCCTGCAGGCTTGCAGAAGCGGCTGACGCAAGCTAATGGAGTCACACGGCAACCCATGTCCCAAGCCCAGCCGGGTCAGTTATCGTTTACCGTCGGCCAAAGAACGACATCTCACCTTTTTATGCTCACTCGTGTGACTCAAGCCAACGGATGTCGGAATCTCTGCAAAGGACATGGCCGCGCGAGAGCGGTCAAACTTAGGCCGCCACCACCCAGCGTCCGATCGAAATGACAGCTCAGCTGCACCGGTCAACCTGCCATACGTAGAGAGCTGCGGCTCGACGCGGGATTTCCGCCCGGAAAACAGTTCGGAACTGTCTCTTAAACCACTTCCATCAATATTTGCGGTTCGAAACGGCATTGCTACCCGATAAAGCAATGTGACGCTCTATCACCTCCATCATTCGCGCGATTTCAAGCCGACATGCCTTCGAGCCCAGAGCCCAAAATCGATGAAGTCTAACAGCCCCCTTTACCGGTCGTATGGATAGACTCTGCAGCCCAAAGTTCTCCCGACAGCCGCGCTGCAGCTACATAGGTGCATTTCCGCAAGCAGCCATCCACGTACCTGAATCACGTATACATGTATGCATAGATGCCTATCCGAATGTACCACGCCCTGCTTTATGCAAAACATTGACGCAGCTCCCTGCCCACTATTCCTCGCAACTCTAGCTCGTCCCGGAATACGACGACGATCATGTACACAGCCTACTCGCGTGTGCGCAGAGAGCGCTTGGAGAACAACTGCGCCCTCTTGACGCGAACCGTCGACGCCTCTTCTGCCCTTCTGCCCGAGTCCTTCAACGACACCTACTCTATACGAGCAAATATTTTCCCGGGCAACTGCGCCCTTGTGTTCGCGAGTCATGAACGCTGATTCTTAGCCGCTCCATCCTAAAGGGGATCCAATGTTTATCACACTTAGCGTTCTTACTCTTGCAACCCTATTCAATGATCGACCCTTAGCCTCTTATCGTGAGCTCATCTCCATGTAGCAGTAGGACCGCACTAAAACCCGATCACATCTCTTGCCCAATTGAGTCCTAGCACAATGACGGCCCCGTCACGTAGAATGAGTGAGGACCCAAGAGACATATTAATCCTCCTGCTACTTCTATATGCACAACGTGCATACAGTCGTTACATTTGACTTTTAAACAGCAAAGATCCTGGGTCTACTCACGAGATCCGCGATCTTTATAGATATTGATGCAACTGAAATCATGCGGTTGAAGCTCTACAATACTTTTGTTTTGCGCCTAGTGCGTATGTCTGTACTTACTGAGGCATAGCAAGCAGCCACGAGCAGCATCTTGGATGGTAGCTAGGGATGAATTTCCTGGCAGATTACTATTCCGATGTCCATCGAGCCGCGAGTCAACTCTCGCTGTTGTAAACGCGTCCCGAGTCCTTCAATATTACATCCGCATGATCCGACAATGCACTTTGGTAGATACACTCCAATAAGATTACATGGCGCAGCTCCATTTCGCTTCCTGCGGCAACACAGGAGCGTTAGCTCCGGCGTAATTCCTCACATTCACCGATTGACGAGATATGCCTCTCCATCAACGCCCTGGGTGTCCAATGTTACCCATCCCAGACCTCTTCGATGTGCTACCTGAGAGCCCGAAGTTCATATTACGTGCGTTGATGTTGCCAGCAAGCGGCTGGCGCGTCATAGGCGAGGCTTGATACGGCGGACCAATGTCGACGTTGTTGAAGGCGTTCTGACGTGTACCGCCCATTACGGGTATTTGGCTACGGCGACTCGGGTGTCCCTGCACTTGTGGCGTGCCAACAGGTGCTGACTCTGCTTCAATGTCAGCTGAAGCGCTCCATTGTAAGAAGAGGGACTTACGGCCAGTGTTCGTCCGACCACCAAACATTCGTTGCTGCAATTGAGGGTTGAACTGAAGTCGACTACCAATCCGTTGTTGCCCACTGCTGCCCGAACTTCCGCTGGCATCACGATTATGCAGTCGCCCTCCGCCACGTTGCTGGTTCGTACCGAGCTGATTGAGATTTACGGTGCCTGAACGTGTACCTGGGAGCTTGTCGACGTAGCGATCGCTTTGCCGGATCGTATGCATGGCATGGTCGACTTCTTCGCCAGCGGCGTTCGCGACTTGTGTTGCCATGACTTGGGCTTTGAGTGCCTGGTACATCTTTTGGGTTTGCTGCTGCGCTTTGGTCTTGGCTCGGAAGGCGTTCTATATGCGTTCAGCGTACAAGTACAAGTACACATACGGCCAAACTTCTCTGCTCACCGCCAACTCCTCGTTGTTATGCTCAAGGGAAGCTTGCTCTTCATACATTGCTGGAGGATCGTGTCAGATCTCGTTGCAACCAAGACGAGCAATGTACTGACCTTGTAGCTTCTCCTGGAGTGACTTGATCTGAGCATTGGCTTCATGTATAAGCTTATCCATGGCTTGATTCAGGTTTGCATACTTCTCCGTCAATGACTTTGCCAGATGCTCTTGATATATGATCTCTTGCGAGGCCTGATAGCTATAGAAAGCCAGACCTCTGCTTGCACACTCCATGATGATAGTAGGGCTGAGCCCGGACAGAACGCTTGTCTTGTAGTCTTCGGCAGGATTGAGCATGGCAGCGACGACATCATCGGGGTTGGTAAGCTGTGTCTGGCAAGCTGGGCATATTCGGGTTCCGCTAGATGACCGCGATAGGCCTGTTGAGTCTGCACAGTTCGTGCAGAAGACGTGACTTCCATCCGACCTCGTGAGTTAACTCGAAGTGGCAAGCACGGACGAAGGAGCGTAGCTCACCTGCATGTTGTCACCACAGCTCGATCATGCAGCTGAGAGCGACATTTCAGATCGTTACAACGAAGCACGAATTCCATAGTCGCCGTGGCCGAGTGAGGAGGAAGAGAGGAAGAAGAGTGAAGGGCACAGCAGTTGGATGCAACGAAGCTGCGCTGCTGGTAGGGAAAGCACGCTGCACGTGTCGCGATCGACGGAAGGTGCGATGAACCTCTTATCATCTCTTCTACCTGAACCACCAATTCACAGACGCGTTCGTATGCGTCCCAATGCTTTCAACAGCGTGCCACCAGCCCAGCGGAATATACAGCCCATCACCGCCCTCTAATCTAGCCTCCACACCGCTAGCAGAGACGCCATTGATCTCCTTCTCATTCCAGATCGCGTCTTGTAATCTATCCCTCTCCTCGCCCACCATCATCTCTTCACCCCGCAAGTGCGCATGCCCCATCTCTGTCCTTAATCGATCGTACAGAAACCTGCCCTGCTTTGGCTTCATCAGGCGGATGACCTTCTTCCCAACTAATTGTACGAATAGGTTTGGGTTCGGATCTCGGTGTAGGGGCGTGCTCGTCGGCGGGCGTCCCATCCATATGCTAGAAGCATAGACGTCACCCCGACCGAGGTGGGTAATCAATTCGGGGGCAGGCAGGTCGTGTTTCAATTCAGAGGGGAGGTCGTCGAGGGAGCACTGTGCGAGATACAGCTGCTGCGAGTAGTCTTCGCTCGATATATGAGACAGCAACAAAGACAAAGGAGCTTGGATACATTCGAATGTCGATATCGATTTCGCAGTCCTTACATCGTCTCCATTATGACGATAGCGCGTGTACTCCAGGGGAACCATCAGGGAGCTATGGCGACCCAGATACGAGGTTTTCGGGATGTAATACACGCCATGGTCTGTAGGGCAATCGACTGAGGTGAACCACTTTTTGATCGCTGGAATATCAGTAAACTGCTTGGGAAAGACTGTCGGTTCGCTGAGATCTAAGCTCTTCACGTCCGCACAATCGCCATCGAACCTTTTTGCCGGAGGGAAACGAATGCTCTGTGAGAATGGGCGTGAGCTAAGAGCTATGCGCAAAGCTGTTCGCCGACCCAACATAAGGAAACATGGAGACGGTGGTATACACCAGTGGTTGAGTTGCGGCAGAAGCGCGCTCAAGCTCCTCCGTTCGGCAAAGCCCGAGCTTCCCCTCCACAGAAAGTTTCGCGCGGGGCAGACACCACCATCACGCGATTGACTGCGACTACCCGCAATGGCGACGCAGAAGCAGCCTGGCCAGAGTAAGTCCGGAATGCCTAAGATATCACGATAGCCATCTTAACAAGTTTACAGTTGATCTCGGGCAGCTGCCGGTGCCGCAGCTCCAGGAGTTGAAACAACAGCTCGACCGCGAATTGGAGCATCTGACCACCTCCTTCCAATCCCTACGCACCGCTCAGTCTAAATTCCGCGACTGTATAAACTCGATATCGCAAGGTGTCAACCCTGGGACCGCCGACAAGTCACTTCTCGTCCCGCTCACTTCTTCCCTATACGTTCCTGGTCGCCTCACTTCCTCTACGCACGTACTTATCGATATTGGCACCGGCTTCTTCGTCGAGAAGAGTGTCGAGGATGCGACCGACTTCTATAACCGCAAGGTGAAGGATTTACAGGACAGTTTGAAAGATCTGGAAGGCGTGGTCAACCAGAAGGCAAACAACGTGAGGATGGTGGAAGAGGTCATAAGGGTCAAGGTTCTGAGCGCACAGGAGCAAAGCCAGAAGGAGGGAGCAGGCAGCTGAGGAGATCGCGTCATGGTATGCTCAAAACGGGGTCACAACGGCTGTACATCAATCGGCTAAATGATGGCCAACGACATAGCCAGAGAACAGAGTGGTTCCTCAGGCCAGGATGACCACCTTCAGAAAGGAGCGCTACCTCGGCGATACCAGTGCCAGCGAAAGAGCAGAGCCATCAGTAGGAGACAAAACAATCTAAGCATCGGCATGTTCACCGACAAATATGTTTAAAACCAGTTCACAGTGGGCTAACCAATTACGTGGAGCCCTCGCAGACGCGTGAAACTTTGTTTTGTTTCGAAAATCGGTATACACAAACAGGAGTGAGCACAGAGCGGTGCGTCCAGGCGTCGAGAAGTACAAGTCGACCTCTGCGGGTGGATCTGTCGGCGAAGACGTCCGAATTCTTACGTCACCCATCGATAACGGAGCTGAGTCCAGCAGTTCGAGACGAAACACTATCGATAGTCTGTCAAGCGCCGAAGTGGAGGTTGAAACTTGGGGTGCTTGCCGATTACGGTAGCAGGGATGGCTTATGATCGTGGCGTCACCCAGGCGACCAACCACTGCGCGCTACGTCTTAGACCTCGACCACGACAACACCGCAACTTCCAATTCGACTGCAATATCTAGTGTGCATTCGCTGTGCGACATCCCTAAGCAAACCCTCTAAAGACGCTGGTTCACTTTGTTGCATGATTGAGTGGTGTTTACCCATCCATCTACAGATAAACAGAGCTTGTGCCGAAGTAAACACGCGCATTCCGAGATGCATCGGAAGGAAAGGGATGGCGCATCGTCGCCAGGCCCAGTGTATATGAGCTCCTCACAGATGAGTACGCAAGCTACGAAAGCATTCCGGTGTATATTCCTAACGCGGTTGCTATAGCGAACTATCTACAAGACCTACGTACCAACCGTCCCGCTCGCCCTACAGGCTCTCGGCCTCCTCCCGCACATTTCAACACCTGGTCCAGCAGATCCTCCAACAGATTCTCCGATTCGCCCGCTATATCGCCGCTCTCGCATCCGACCTTTGAAGAGGCCGGTTGCAACGTTGACGCACCGCCGGCGTCAACAACCCCCGAACCCAAGTTACACCGGCGAGCAACTTCCAATATGAGCTTGGATGAGATGATTGCAAGCACTGGGCGGCCTTTGGTTCAGCCTCCGCGAGGACGAGATATGTCAACGTCCGCAACGGCGAGGGAACGAACCCCGAGTGTGCAGTATCGCGAGAGTGCACGGCGGCAGGTAGAGAAGGACGAGGTGCACGCATTACGGGCAGCATTGGATGAAGCGGATCTGAAGTCGGAGGAGAAACTATACGAGGCGGCAAGAGACGAGGCTGCGGAGCTGGTCTGGAAGCATATCAATCCCAATGCGCCGGGCGCGAACCCAGACGCACCGTACGCCTATCCTGGGTTGACGAGGAAGGGCAGCGTTCAGAGGAGCCAGAGTCTAGACCGCAGCGAGCAGGATCTACAGCGGACAAATTCGAAACTCCGCAGAAAACGCAATTCGATGGGCAGCACATCCGGTAGCAGGAGCAGCAGTCTCCAAAGCCGCCGCGCTGGCAGTGGGTCTTCCCTCACCGCCAACGCAGCCTTCAGCACGTCCCCTACAAAGGCGAGTTTCAATGGCGATAAGGCAGAAGATTCGGCAATACTGCCGAAAGCATCCTCAACTCCGTCCACGTCACACCGTAAAGTGTCGGATCCAAACCAAAAACGGCGCAGCAGCAGCGGTTCGCGCAGGAGGACCAGTGCAAGCTTGTTCAAGAACCCCAACGACCAGATTTACGAAGAACCAGAGGAAGAACAAGCTGCTCCTCCACCTCCAGCTGTCACGAACCCTCCAGCGCCTGCCAAGCTTCCTTTGGGGGTTAGACGGAATCCGTTCGCTCGCGTACAAACCATCAAAGACAAGAGTCTTGTGAGATCGAACACTGATCCAATTGTACCTATGAAAAGATTTGATCGTTTTGAGATCCAGAGGAATCCTCCATCACAATCGCGTAATGCCGCTTACACTAGCAACTCGGCTCTACCCAGAACCAGCGAGGACGGCAAGTCAGATGCGGAGAATGATCCCGAGGTCAAGAAGAAAGATGGCAAAGAGATTCGAAGTGATGAATTGCGTGCGGCAACCGGATTTAAGCTAAAGGATAGGAGTGGCAAACTTCCTACGCCAACAATGGTGTCGGATAGCCCAGGACGTCCGATTGTATCGTTCAAGAAGGAGTGGAAGCCCAAGGAGATTGTACTCAAGGAGGAAACCTCAGCTCTTCCTGCTGCATCGCCTCGGCCTCTCAGCCAGGCTACTAGAGGTCCTCGACCTTTATCAAAAGCGGCGACTGCTCCGATCGTTCCTACGATCAGTACACACGCTGAGCCCCCAAAGAAGGTGGAACCTCCAACGCCGGCTCCAACTCCTGCGGTGAAGGCCTCAGCCACTCCGTCTGCTCCCTCAACCAGAGTCAATCGGGCACAAATCCCCGCCATCAGCGTCTTTGAGGACCCTCCAGCGAGGCCACTCCCCAGCGTCGCATCGTCAAGGAAAGTCAACACCCCGCCTCAAAACGCTGCGCCTACCGTACCAACAATAAACGTCTCTCAGGCCCCTTCAGCGCGCCCTAAGCCATCTTCAGCGCATTCCCTTCCCACGATTGCTGTCCAAGAGACGCCCTCAATCTCTGTCAGCGCCCCCAGCGGCAGTTTCAGCTTGAAGAATCGGAAGCTTCCCTCAACGTCCGCCACGCCTATCCCCACGATATCTGTGAGCGAGTCACCTATGCCATCGCGAGGTCCAAAGAATCCCAGTGCGCCTTCGATCTCCGTTACACCAAGCATCCCGACAATCGCTGTCAGCGAGTCTCCAGCCCCGAGCAGAGGATCCAAGGTCAACGCACCCTCGATATCCGTCACCCCTTCTATCCCCTCAATCAACGTGGATGCTCCAACAACCTCAACCCGCCCCTCCCCGTCCCGACCAAATCTAAATCCCCTTCGCCCGCGGCAACGCCGCCGCCACATCCCGCTCGCACTGGACGGCTACTACCGTTCGCACCGGCGCCCTCTGTGAACACTGCGCGCTTCCCATCGCCGGCCGCATCGTCTCCGCCGCCGGCGTTCGCTTCCACCCAGAATGCTTCCAATGCCACCACTGCGGCGAGCACCTCGAATGCGTTGCCTTCTACCCCGAGCCCTCTCTCAAGCACGCTGAGCGCGTCTCCCGTATCCGCACCCGTCAACGCGGCGAAGACCTCCCCATGCTCGATTCCCACCCCACCTACGAAGACATGCAGCGTCTCGAGTCCGAAGACGGGCACGACGAATCACTCCGCTTCTACTGCCATCTCGACTTCCACGAGCTTTTCTCGCCCAGGTGCAAGAGCTGCAAGACGCCCATCGAGGGCGAGGTCGTCGTAGCTTGTGGCGCGGAGTGGCACGTTGGGCACTTTTTCTGCGCGCAGTGCGGCGATCCGTTTGATAGCTCGACGCCGTTTGTCGAGAAGGAGGGGTACGCGTGGTGTGTGGACTGTCATACTAATCGGTTTAGTACGAAGTGTAGGAAGTGTAGGAAGCCGATTACAGAGACGGTGGTGAAGGCATTGGGGGCGGAGTGGCATATTAATTGCTTTGTTTGCATGGTAAGTTTCCGTGTCTATCTGGTTTTGGGATGGTTTGACTGACAATTAATAGGAGTGCTCTGGCCCGTTCGAGGACGGAAGGTACTTCCTCCGCGGGGAATCGGAGGATCCCGTCTGCATGCGGTGCGAGGAGAGGAGGTTGAAGGCTTGAGCGTCTTCACGTTCAGTGTTTGCATCAGGCCGGTCCTGGTCAGCAAGCGGTGTCTGAATCGGTGGATGTAATAGTCTGATTTCTGCATGTTTGCATATGCATAATGTTGTTGATGTGTCTATGTTTGAGCGTTGTAAACGAAGGAGAGCATATTGTCGGAGTAACAGCGGCATCATCTGTATTTTGGGCAGGAAAGGCGTCGGGGAATGGGCGTTTCGGTATATACACGGGTTCAATGAATTATGCGTTTACGTAAATGGTGTAGCCTTCTCGCCGCATGCATTGTTCAAATGTATTTGCTACACAACTATTTCCCTTTCCGCTGCTTCGCCGCCCCATTCTCTTTCGTCGCCGTCGTCTTCGTCTCTGCCTTTTTCTCCGCTCCATTCTCCTTCGCCTTGGGCTCGCTCTTCTTCTCGGCAGCCCTCCTTTTCGCACCCTCCTGCTCCAATACCTTTATACTCTCCTCACTGACCTCCCAAAGCTTCTTCTGCAGCGTCTCATCCTTGACCTCGTCCTTCAGAATTCCCATTTGTCTACACTCCTTCAGGAACCATCCTCCCTCGCCCCGGCCATACTGCGCCTCCATGGCCGCATACAAGAACGTCTGCGCGCCTTGATCGGAACTCTTTAGAAACAACCACCATAGCGGCCACGTAACCATGTACACAAAAAGACCCCACAAGCTGCCCAAGGTGAGGAAGCGGCGCATGCCCGGTGTACGCGTCCAGCCCGGGTCGACGAGGATGACGCGCGAATTCACAGGGTTCTTGTCCGGGCGAGCGTAGGAGGAGAGATGCTTTTGGAAGGCGAGGGCGAAGGTCATGAGGGCGAGTTTGGACGTAGCGTAGGCGGTGCTGGGTGTGAATGGAACGGCTTCTAACTTTTCCTTTTTGCCTTTCTTTGAATCTTCGGTGCCGGAGACGGGCAATACGCCGCCTAGGTACGAACTACATGTCCCGAAAATGACGCGGACATCTCGGTCAGGAGGCTGTGCTCGCAGCGCGGGGCTCAGGATACTGAGGAGGTGGAAGTTTGCCATGTAGTTCAGGCCCCATGTCGCTTCTAGACCGTCCTCCGTGAAAGAAGCTGAACCACCCGAAGGTGTCCGTGTGTTTGCGCACAGAACGACCATGTCCAGACGCCGCGGGGGTGCGTTATCCACCCATTTCGTAGCGAACTTCCGTATACTGTGCAAGCTCGCAAGATCGACTTGCTCGGCGGTGATGAGCTCGTTGCCCGTCTGCGACCGCAGGTCTTCGATGTAATCGACGAGGAAGGGGTCGGTAAGGGCATGCTGGGTGAGTAACACAATCTGGGCGCCGCGGGACGCGAGGCCTTTTGCTACTTCGGCGCCGATGCCTGATGTTCCTCCCTGTTTTTCCTTAGCTATCTACATAGTTATGAGCCGAGCTAAACATACTGTCATTATGACCACCTTGGAGTGCATATTGCGCTCCGATGTGTTGACCGCGCCATTGAAGTAAAACTTCAGGAGGTATATCAACGCAATTCCCGGGACAATTTTGAGGAGGGTCCAGCCATATGGAACAGAGGAAATGCCCTGCTCATACACCTGGCCGAGGATGTGAACGGGCATGTTAAGGGTAGGGTTGGCGGAACGTTAGATTGAGGCTCGAGACGGGACGGGAGGGCCCGAACCTTTGGGTTGGTGATTGACGTCGCTTATCGCTTATCAGTCAGCACGTGCTCACGCGATGCGGGTTGCCGCCTTGTCCAAAGTTATGGCTTTGCAAACGGGTGACGGGTTCCCCATGATCTTTCACCACCTTCATTTTTCATGGAGCGGAGTCACTCCTTGCTTCGCTATACGGTCGAAGACCATTTGTTAACTGTCAATCAATAAGATCATCGTCTGCCCGCCCATAACGACTACGATCATGACGGCGTCACACGAACCGTACCCAGAAGTCGACCCAGACGACCCCCGCTTCGACGATGCCGACATCTCCACCGCCCCCTTCGTCGACCAGCCAGCATACGGAAGCAGACTCTGGCAGAAGCCCATAAAGTTCGTGCCTGCCTCAAAGTCGACTCCCCTCACCGCGCCCTCCGTACTTGACGGTCGCTCCTTCGCCGAACAATACCTCGCCATCGTGTTCCCAAACGGGCAACCGCCACCCAAAACAGATGCCTTCCCAACCTGCGGCATCTGCGGCGCGCCTGTCAAAGAGTCGGATGACCGCATGCACTACCTAAGCCCGGTGCATCAAGCTGCGCTTCCGGAGATACACACGCCTTCCGGCATAGACCGCACGCGACTGGGCTTGAAGCTGCTGCAAAGGCATGGCTTTGATGTCGATGCGCGCATGGGTCTCGGGGCTACCGGCCAGGGCATGCTCTTCCCCATCGTGCCGAAGGAGAAGCGGGATAAATTGGGCCTTGGTGTGGACAAGAAGCTTGTCGATAAGGAGAGAAGAGAGGCGTTGCCGCCCAAGGGAACCACGCTCGACGCTGGGCAAGTAAGGAAATTGGCGACGCAGCAGAAGAAGAAGCATGAGAAGCTGCAATCGATGTTTTATGGAGACGACAAGCTGGAAAAGTACCTTGGAGGTGGTGCGGTGGATCATGGGCTGAAATAGACTTTTGGGTCGAGAATTGGGTTGTGGCGCGAGAGACTTGAGCACACGTACACACGACAGAGTGTTTACAAACTGGCACTTCCGTCCATTTGGGTTTTGCTGCTTCGAAAGCAGGTATACAAGGGAGTCTTGCTTCAGGTTCTCCATAGCTGTACCGTCGCAGCACTGGAGTTAACATTGGGTGGTGGATTGTGTTTTGAGATACCCCAAATTCTTTTAAGGAATATGATCAACATGACAATGATCCAAATGTGGGCTTATGGGTGTTTTTCCAACGAGTGGACTGAGGAGTAGAGAAATACTGAGTTCGTCCACTAGCAATATCATGAAGCTCGACTTTTTCATGACGGCTGGGCTTTTTGATACAGATTGGCTGACGAAACACGAGTGGCCTCGCGAGCCTACACAAGCTTTATTTGCGTGTCCTGTCTCTGCTAGTTAGGAAGCATACCTTATTGACACAGAACAACGCACCGCCTGAATTTCCCTCTTTGTTGTTGTATCCCGTCGGACACGGAGACTTCTTCGTGCTAATTTGTCCTCAAGAACCAGGTACCAGACCGATATCAGAGGGCTAGTCACAACTTGCTCACTCCAAGCGGAAACATGCTCACGCATTTGCATGTCAAAGACGGTCCCCTTGGCATTTAAGCAGTAAGCACGATCCAAGCGAATTCTTGCATATGGTCACCGGACGAGAATCCCTTGCTACGCCTGAGGCGGACGCAACACTACGGGAACAGTCATGGTAACTTCGCGGGCCAAAAGAACGTTGCCTCTTCAGGTTTACAACGATGTTTGGAAACGGCATATATTATCAAGTAATTCCAAATGAGTGCATTTGGAATCCTGGATATAATGAGAGCGAGGGCGCAGTGAGATTACCGGGAGGATAAGCAGGGTCGACCTTAAGTAGCTCGCTCGCATCTGTCACGTGTGTAGACGAGACGTTTGCCCTTTCTGGTGCGGCAAGTGCCCGGGCTGGCGAATCACAGAGACGCGAGTACGAAAGCTCAGAATAAGTGGAGACTTAAGCGGGCCTACGCAATGCTCCTACCACGCCAGTCCAACGCTCAGCCACGAATTAGTCTACCTTTGCGAGGAGTCAAGAATTCTCGATCTATAGTACTTCGGTGGCCCCGAGTCGATGCACTCCTCTTTATTAAGCTTATTCATTGCAAAGTGGTGGTATAACGCCGCATACTCTCGACCTGATCATCCTATCTTCCATACCATCGACCACCCCTAGCACTTCGCTTACTGTACGAATCACCGACGAGCGTGTACGATGTCCGCTCGGATCACAGGGACGCGCAAAGCACACAACAAGACGAGACTTGGTTGCTCGCAATGCAAGCGGAGACGAATCAAAGTAGGTGCATTTCATTAGTCGTTGAGACCTCCAATCCTGGATCTCAGAGTACGACATCAACCGCTTCTCGGAATGCATGGAAACGATCAATCGGAGTACTTTGGATGGCTAAACAAACGTTTGGACACTTAAGGCAACTAAACTCAAGTTCAGTTACGTACAAAGCTCATAGGTTGTAGCTGGGTTTCTGTCAGTCCTAGACCGTAAATGCAAGGTTTGGAGGCAGATAAGCCACACACAATATGGATTTCCGCTGGAATAGCACCGGATTTGACCACTGACACGCATCATCAATTCTGGTATTGTTCGATCGATCATCTTACTCCATGGGGGATTCGGTTTTTTACCCTGCTACGCATGGATTTGGCGAATCGTATAGCTTCAGAGAATACCTATGGTCCAAGGCTGACAATCCAAACAGTGCGACGGCGCTCATCCGAAATGCTTCAATTGTGAGAAACGAGGAGATCAATGTGTAGGTTGAGTCTATTTTAGGTGATATCGATGCCTCTGACGAGCTCGTGCTTATCGTTTACAGAGCTTCCTCCTCCTCGCTCCTTCTACGCGGTTAACAGCCGGATCCGCGCCTTCCACGTCCACAACCACATGCACATCATCCATACCGTCTCCTCCATCATCGACTTCCACCACAGTCACAGCTTCACCATCAAGGCAAAGATCTTTACTGCCAAACCAGCCCTATGAGGTCGGTGTGTTCAGAGGGACCTTGGTGCCCGAAGCTTTGGTTCCCTCAGATAAGGCCTTCTTGACACCTCCATCGACACCTCCACTGCTCATGTCACTGCCCGACCTCACAATACCAACCACGTTTCCCTGGATATCACCGTACCTCCGCTTCAACGACATATGGAGACCGATACGAGAAAACCTTCCACCGGCTCTGCAAGGAATTCTCTACCACTATGAGTATACCACGAGTCTCACGCTCGCGGACGAAGACCCTGCGAAAGCAGCTTGGCAGTCCGTCGTGCCTGACCTAGCAGCAAACCACAAGTTCCTCGTACACAACATCCTAGCGGTCGCATCGCTCCACCTCGCAAGGCTGCATGGTCGTGGGTCGGAACGCAGAGCGATGACAGATTTGGCGGCGTCTCAAATGAACAAGGCAATACAAGGGTTCCGGCCTCAACTAAACAACATCAATGCCGAGAACGCTGCTGCTCTCTTTGCGAGTTCGACGCTCACCGCGGTATACTTCTTCCGCACTGCGACACAGGAGTTGGAAGACATACGAGCAAGCGTTTTACAAGGGACAATTACACCGCCTCCATACGTAGTGGATAGGATGCTTGCGGCCACGCTACGAACGATATGGGGTCTGCGCGGGCCGTGGACGGTCCTAATACCAGGCTGGGACCACGTCGTGAACGGCGAAATGAGCGTCATTGCGAATCGACACTGGTGGCCCAAGGACCGCCGACCGAAGTCAGATCTGGCTCTGGAAGAAGATCAGCGCCTCGCTGATATGGAGCGGCTTTGGAACGGCGGCCCTGATCCATCGCCTGATGCCGATACCTTGACCTCGGCGTTGTTCTACTTGAGAGAAACGTATGCGCTGGTCTCGGAATTGGTTATAGCTGAGAACGAGTTTCCCTATTTGACCTCTGTGGACTACGCGTACGCCGATGAAGGCGGTAAGATCGTGCAGATGAAGGACCGCGGGGCGATCTTTGTTTGGGCTGTGCGCATTTCGAGGGAATTTATAAGGTTGGTGGAACAGAAGAATAAGTACGCGTTGGCGATACTGGCGCACTACGCTGTGCTTGCTGGGAGAGTGCGCAACGTGTGGTGGCTAGAGGGAATGGGCGCCAATTTCATCATTACAGTGGCGGTAGCATTGGGTAGGGAGAATTGGCATCTCATCGAGTGGCCGGTAAAGCAAGTCAATGTGGATCTGGAGAACGCGTTCTCAGCAAGACTTGATCTGCTGGAGGGTGCGCCGGGGGAAATGGCGATGGAGGTTGTATGACATAGGGAATACCAAGTAATTCTATGCAAAGCTAGACTCTGCATATGGCTCTTCACTGTACGCCATTTGGATACAGGTCCGAAGACTCGATAGTCTAGTGTATTGACAGACTCTTCCAAGCTAATCAATATGTGAGAGATCTTACCGCATTGGTACATCCTTCGACTCGAAGCTGTAGCGTAGCCACTCGCCAACAGCCCTCAAGCTTTCCCACCGCACACTCTCGTCCGCCTCTTGCATCAGCGCCATCACTCTGCCCTTCAGACCTAGCCTCTCAAGTTGGGATCGCTTTTCAGGCACCTCCTTCACCAAAGCGGCGACGTCATTGCACCCGATGGCTAGTACCTGCTTGTCATTTTCCCATGGCTTGGAGAGGATTTCGGCCAGTTTCTTTGGTAATTCGCCCTTGTTCTCTTCAAGGATGCGGCGAGCATTGTCGCGCCAAAAGTCTGGATTGCGGTGAGGTGGTGACCAGCGCAGGTGACCGGACCGGATCTCGGCAGCGTATTCGTCGAAGGTTGTTTGCGTGGTGGTGTACTCTTCAAGCAGTTCACTGAGGGACTTGAGATCCTCAAGCGCGTCGTCGTCGGTCAAGTGGCGAGATTTAAGTGACGAGAGGAGGGCTGGTAAGCGGGCAAGGACTGCGGCAGGGAGGAGAGTTTGGCGGTTCGAGGTAAGGAGGTTTAGGAGAGTTGATAGGAGCAGACGCGTGGTCTTCTCTTTTGGCGAAATGCGAAGGAGGTGGGTATATAGCATGACGATATCGTGTTCGCTGGACAAGGTTAGTCACGAAGCTCTCTAGAGGTTTGGATATCGTACTCTTGTAGCCCATCGCCAACCAGCTCCCCCTCAAAGCTGAGCTGCCATACAACCAGCAATACATGGTAGAGCAATTGTAGTCCGACTCCACCAGTGAGGCCTTCCGGTACACTGCGAATGCTACCCGCTGCGCCGCTTCGCAGAGACGAGTCCTGGTCTTTGCTAGCGCCAGATGCCGCGGTAAGAATGTCCATCAATGGATTGAGTGTCTCGTTCCTCTGCTTCCAAAACAGTTCTCTCGACTTCTTGTTTCGCAGTACGGCGGAGTACTCCTGGACAGCGATGTCCTGAAGACCCGCATCTTGGCTCTTAGCGAGCGCGGAGAGGTAGTTATATAGTTGAGGCAGAGCTTCGTCAATCTGCGAGGTGGTCTTGGTGGAATGAACAAGAGCGTAGGATAGGAACTTGGAGAGGACGGAGGATGTGAGCAAGGGTATCGTGTCCTCAGCATTCGAGCCAGCTTTGAGCAGTGGCAGGAAGGGCTTGAACGGCGTGGCGTGCTGGACAAGGGCTTCTGTCAGAGTGGGAATATCTGTGCTGTTGTTAGTGAAGGGCCATTCTGCGCAATGGTAGCGTATACCATTTATCAGATCCTCGGTCAGCACCAGCATGTACTGCACGATATCCTGGCGTTTCGCTGCCGCCTCGAAGATGCTCTGCGATCCGTTTCCACCCAACAGCAGCGACACGAAGCTCTGCACATCCCCTTCGACCTTGTTCTTCCTCTCTTCCTTGCGCACCTTGTCGATTGACTTGATTTTCTGGAGATCAGTTTCGGTGATGGTCTTTGCCCGCATTGCACCTTCCCATGATATCGGTCGGGTGCGAATGTTGGCCTGGATGGTAACCAGGTACGCCGGCGGGTCGAGCGACATGATAGCGGAGCCCCCAGTAGGTGTCGTTCGGAGAGGAGGACCCGCGACGAGGACGGGAGATGCGTTGCTGGAGCTGGACGGTGTTGCTTGTGGTGCTATCACAGCCCGCCGAGCTGCACGAGGAGCGTCATTAGGGAGCTTGGACCACGCTAGCTCCGAGACCTCGCAACGTACTGTTCATTGAAATCATTGGCCTGACTGGATCTATACATTTTTTTATATGATGAGCTTTAACTTTGTATGATGCTTTGGGTTTCTCAATTGCCTTTCACATAATAAATCTTCGCAATTATCGAGCCTCCCTCCAGCGGCTAGTCGCGCTTTCCCTTTCAAGCCTAGCTCTTGCCTTGCCTCCAATATCTCTTGGCAAAGCACATTTTCGAACAAGCACCTCTTGCGTCAACCACCTCCACCACAACTTCGTTCGCGCCATATATCGAAGATGGAATACTTCAGCTTGAAGCGCTCCACTGCTACGGACAAAGGAGGGACCAACCTCTCAAGCAAGGTTTATGTGCGCTCGACAAAAAGTGGCAAAGTCCAGAAGATCGTCCGAGAGCTCTACCTACGAAAGGACATCCCATGTTCGTCAAATCTGTGCAGAGCATGCCTCGACATCGCGCCTGTAGACTTCAGCCAAAAAAGTACGAACGCACGGTTCACGTGATATAACCCAGCTAACCCGTATAGCCACACCTTTTGTGCTCTCCGACACACCCGCTGGATCAAAAGACTACCCAAATGGACTTTATTTAGTACCGGATACCAATGCCTTCCTTACTGGAATGGATCTTTTCGAAGTGGAGACTGCGTTTCACGACGTCATTGTATTGCAGACTGTACTCGAGGAAGTCAAGAACCGCTCATTACCGCTGTATCACCGCTTGATTGCTCTGACGAAACATGAGAATAAGCGGTTTTATGTTTTCTTCAACGAGTTCCGCCAGGAAACCCATGTCCCGCGAGAGTCGGGAGAGACTATCAATGACCGGAATGATCGAGCAGTGCGAAGGGCAGTACAGTGGTACAATGAGCACATCAACCAGGCTGTCAAGGCGAGAAGCAAGACGCAGACACGCATCCCGACTGTCGTGATGATTACCGATGACAGGGATTGTCTACGCAAGGCGAGAGCAGACAATATCCCATCCAGTACTCGTAAGTTGCCACACGTAACAGATTACATACACGCGCTAATAGACATAGTCGCTGACTTCGTATTCGGACTTGAAAATGCCGATGAACTACTAGACATGATGAGCGCAGCTCAAGATCAAAGAGAAGTACGGTCGAAGAAGACCGAGCTTTTCTACTCCGAGCACTACACCATCTCCAAGATGATGACGGGTGTAAAAGCGGGCGTCCTGCACCAGGGTATCTTCAACGTTTCACCGTACAACTACTTGGAAGGCTCCGTGCACGTTCCCGCTTTCGACAAGTCTCTATTAATACTAGGACGCGAAAATGGAAACCGTGCCGTATCCGGCGATGTCGTTGTTGTTGAGATTCTTCCGCAGGATCAATGGAAGGCACCGTCTACGAAAATCATTGAAGAGGAAACTCTGAATAAGAACGACAATCCTGAGGTTGAAGACGGTGAGAACATTGTTTCTGAAAAGGAACGGAAAGCTTTGCAGGAGGAGGTGAAGCGAGCACATGGTCAGAGCACCGAGGGCAGGCCACAGCCCACCGCCCGCGTAGTCGGTATCGTCAAGCGGAACTGGAGACAGTACGTTGGACACATTGATCGGGACTCCGTGCGTACCACATCCAAGTCGAGCAGACAACAGCAAATGGTATTCTTGATACCCATGGACAAGCGCGTGCCGAAGATCAGGATACGCACAAGGCAAGCTGGGGAGCTCCTCGGTCAACGAGTATTGGCCACAATCGATTCGTGGGATAGGGACTCACGGTATCCAATGGGCCACTTCGTTCGATCACTTGGAGAGCTTGAGTCCAAGGGGGCAGAAACAGAGGCGTTGCTGCTGGAATGGGACGTACAATACAAACCTTTCCCGAAGACGGTGCTAGATTGCCTGCCTGCTGAGGGTCACGACTGGAAAGTGCCGGCGAGCATGGACGATCCAGGCTGGAAGGGCCGCAAAGACTTGCGGGATCTTGTGGTCTGCAGTATCGACCCTCCAGGCTGTGTAGACATCGACGATGCACTCCACGCGCGCCAACTCCCCAACGGCAATTTCGAAGTCGGTGTTCACATTGCAGACGTATCGCACTTCGTCAAGCCTAACAACGCCATGGATAAGGAAGCCAGCCAGCGTGGAACAACCGTCTACTTGGTCGACAAGCGAATAGACATGTTGCCTATGCTCCTCGGCACAGACCTCTGCTCATTAAAACCCTACGTGGAACGCTACGCCTTCTCAGTCATATGGGAGGTCACGCCCGATGCCGATATCGTAAATTCACATTTCACGAAATCAGTTATCCGCTCCCGCGAAGCTTTCTCCTACGAGCAAGCACAGATTCGCATCGACGATGCCACACAGCAAGACGATCTCACGGCCGGTATGCGCACCTTGCTCATGCTCTCCAAGAAGCTCAAGCAAAAGCGGTACGACGCCGGTGCACTAAACCTTGCCTCGCCAGAGGTAAAGGTGCAGACTGAATCCGAGACGTCCGACCCCGTCGACGTGCAGACCAAACGTCTCCTCGATACCAACTCGCTAGTTGAGGAGTTCATGTTGTTAGCCAACATCAGCGTGGCAGCCAAGAACCACTCGGCCTTCCCCCAAACCGCCCTCCTCCGCCGCCACGGCGCGCCCCCAAAAACCAACTTCGAAGAGCTCTCCAACCAGCTCAAAGTAAAGAAAGGCCTCGAGCTCCGCACCGACAGCTCCAAAGCCCTCGCCGACTCCCTCGACACGTGCGTCCAAGACGGCGAACCCTTCTTCAACACCCTCGTCCGCATCATGGCTACCCGCTGCATGATGTCCGCAGAGTACTTCTGCGCAGGCACCCAGGCCTACCCTGAGTTCCGGCACTACGGCCTCGCGTCCGAGATCTACACACATTTCACGTCCCCCATCAGACGCTACGCCGACCTCGAAGCCCACCGCCAGCTCGCTGCTGCCATCGACTACGAGCCGCTCGACGCGTCGCTGCACTCCAAGGCCAAGCTCGAAGGCGTCTGCAAGAACATCAACGTGCGGCACCGAAACGCGCAGATGGCGGGCCGCGCTTCGATCGAGTACTACGTCGGACAGGCGCTCAAGGGCAAGGACATCACTGAGGATGGGTTCGTCATGAAAGTCTTTTCGAACGGGTTCGTTGTGTTTGTGCCGCGGTTTGGCATCGAGAGCTTGATACGGTTGCGCGACCTGGCGACGCCGGAGCCGGAGGCGGAGTTCGATGGGGAGAATTACGTGTTGAGTGTGAAGGGTGGGGTGGGGAGGGAGGTGGAGCTCTTTCAGAAGGTTAGGGTTAGGATTACGGATCAGATTGAGGAGAGTACGGGGAAGAGGAAGGTTAAGTTGACGCTGGTTTGAGGGGTGGATCTTTTCTTGCTTCGAGGGGAACTGGTGGAGGGATGGAGACGGCGTTGTTCGGGTGAGAGCAGGGCTCGTAGTCAATGTTTGATCAAAGCATGGCAGAACGCTGAGACGCTTCTGCTTGATGGTTCCTCACGAATAGAGAACAGCTTCTAAAGCACACACATAGTTTTCCAGTCACCAGGAGGCCCGTCGTCGCAAGAAAGGACGGTGTCGATCTTCAACCGCCATGCTCCCAGAATATCCTCAGTCACTGTTCTCCACGCGCTGAGCAGACAAGGCCCGACTAAGCACCGAGCGACCGACCTGATTACTTCAGATACTTCCATTCATATCCAACTTCCTAAATTGTATGTTCACATGCCATCGCTAAGAAATACATTTATTGCCTCGATGTACGCGATCCGCACTGCTGGGCTCGAGGGAAATACGTTCGTCATGCAGTGCAATTGGCAACGTACGATCACATCCCAAGACAATCATTTCGCCAGACGTCTACTCGCACTCCTCAATCGCATATCCCGCATTCCCCCAGCATCTTAACCTGGCGCCTCGTCAGAAATCCTGCTGTGATGTCCGACCAGGTCCCATATCCTCGCAGCATCACCCGTGAGTATGACCCGCATAGTACACACAGTCCACCTGCTCTGCTCTGCTCCCTACGATCGGCTCCCTTCCGATCTCTGTGCAACATCAGATGGATGTGCAGCGTGCGTTCACGCGTCTCACCTGCACCTGCGCGATCTGCTCGTTCGCTTCCCACACGGAGTGCTCTCCGACTGGTTTCTACAAGGTCGGTCTCGCCGAACCGCACCGAAGGTATCTCCGAAAGTAACTGTAATGCACCGAAGAAAAAAAAAGATTCAGACAGCAAAAAATAGAGTTTAGTGGCGCGGGGGCGGAGTTTGGTACGGGAACGGGCGCCATTGCTGGAGGGGGAGGTTGGCCGATGGGCTGTGGCGCGAGTGACGACAGGTAAGGTTTGTGTTAGGGATTGTTTGGGATGGTGTGCAGGAAGGTTGTTGGGTAGATGCTTGTGGGGAGCGTTGATGCTGATGTCTAGGGTGTTCGCGCTTGCGCAATGGTATGTGTGGGCTGTGCGTGGTGTAAGGTCGGAAAGGATAGACGGAATGGTTGGAGCATTGAAATGACCATGCTTTCACGTCGATTGCTGGGACAGATTCCGGTAGAGTGTGAACAGTCATAGGACTTTGCATTGGCTCTGTCAATGCAATCGTCGTTCGGGTCGGAAACTGTCGGCATCCTCGCAGGCGGACGGTGAAAAGCAAATATAGACTTTCCTTGGGTCTTGTTACTTTGTACAGCCACATCGAAGAATGCCCCGGGGAAATGGTTCAAGACAGCTACAAAGCGAGCGTTCATGATATCCTCTCTGATTGCTGCGGAAGTTTGATCCATGCAGTTGAGTTAAAGACGTTGTCTTACTTTGCTTCTTCGCTTCGGCTGTGCTACACTCTGGCGCGCCTCGTCCGACCTTCTCCTCGTGTTGCACGATACGCGACGACGCCCTGCACCGTGCCGGATAGCTTTACTGTATACCATGCATAGCTTACTGTCGTGCGACTCGGCGGCTGGAGGTCTATCATGGATGTGGGTTTGCGGTTTTCTGCAGGATGGAGTGAGACGAGGTAGGGCAATGTGATTCACAAAGTCTTGGTGAGATGAAAGATCGGCGTGACGAAGTGTGATTGCATCAGCGATGGCTAGGTTCAGCATGACAATGCGGACGCACTGCGGTCTGTGAATGCTTAGATCCGTGTTAGGAAGCCGATGAGCACTGCAACGTTGTCTGGTCGCCAAACGTCGCAATTGCTTGCCTATGCGAATTTCTTGATTCTCGACTGAACATCGTAGGCCGTCAGAACTTCATCTCCGTTAGACATCCCACATCATCCCACCATCAGTTTGCAACAAGCGCAATTCCGGGACAAAGGAAACATCAGAGCCGTCTCTGCGCTGGTCGCAGGGTGCACGCTATGCTGCGTGAACTATACAACGGCTGTTCTGCCTGACCGTTGGGTTATCGATATATTGCTATATCCCACGCCAAGCGACCCGGCGGATGAGGGGATATACGAGACACGATGTGATGGGATTTTGAGCCGGAAGTGCCTATGAGCGGAAACTTGCATTGTCGGTCGAAGACTGGCATTGTGAGTCAAAGCCGCCATCACAAGACGCCCACATTTATCCGACATTGCGCTGGTGTAAATGTGCGAACAGGAGCAGGTGTGGCGATGATAATGGCCGGGATCGGTATATGTCTGAACGGTCTCGTACCTGACCGTTTGTGGGATCCGATAGCTAGCAAGGGTCAACTCACCGGGGTATTCGTAAGCTCCGACTTTTGCGACGGTCTGAAACGGGTGTGAATAGGGACCTCTGCGAGTCTCGATCATGGGGTTCTTGAACGTGACTCTGAGAGCTGACTGTATGTCTCCTTGTTTCGCAAAACAGCTTCAGCGATATGCGATCGGTGAGAGAGCCCCTCACCGTTATCGTATCGGGTCTGCTGATCACCGGAAACATCGAGAGCACCAGATACCGAGCCGTAACGATAGATACGTGAAGTATATGAGGTGGACACGCAAGCTTGAGATTTGCGCGTTAGGAAGACCGAGCCGTGCGCGAGGTTATCCAAAGCCAACTCATGATGTTCCCAAGGATCGTGACTGCGGTGCCTGTAGATATCGGCTCTAGGATATACACAGTAAAGTCACATCAGGAAATTCAAGGACCAGGAGTTGAAGACGCTGGCCTGATGCTGTCTAAGCAGTTTTGAGGTAAGACCTCAAGGTTGGCTCGGGTTCGTGATTGGTGTAAGCGAAGATTTGCGTACTGCATCCTGCAAGAAACTTTCACGACGACCTTCTCCTTTGATCTAGCCGAGCGCAACAGCGATGAGTTGGCATTGCAAGCTGTTCAGCCTCCTAGGCTAACATTTAAAATGCTCTCCAGTGAGGTTCGAGAACAGCTATTTCTCCACGTTTGAGGTGCATTGCGGGAAAAAGCAAGATAAAGAACCCCATGCTGCCAAGTGCGACGGTTCGGAATCAGGGTTTTGAGCAAAGCAGGGGTGCCTCGTTTGTGGCGTCGATGATCAGAATCCACGTGCAGCTTTGACATTTAGACATTTATCCGGTTGCAACCGTCAATGATTCCGCGGAGAGCAACGGCGTCAGGTACGAGCGTTGGTTCTGGGAAATTTCTTTGTGTTCCACTTTAGGTCTTCCCAGTAGTACTGTACTGTAAGTCGGCAGGCTTGGATCAGCACCTCTCGCCTGACTCGCGATGACACTGAAATCTCGATAGGATTTCGGCACTGCAATCTGTAGTGGGGATAGACAGTCCCTTTACCGAATCCTGTCGCCAACATTCGTAAGCTTCAGAGCCCATCCTTTGGGTGCGGGACGGCTGTGGAGATCATGGACGCGGGGAAATTTTCATTCGCGTTCGCATTTCTTTCTTCGTGTCATGTACCTCGCTGATATAGCGAGCGAAAATGCTATTGATGGAGTCGCGTTGGCGAAAGACTTCGCGAGATTGCGATGCGTCGTACTTGCCTCAAGAAGTGGATGATGATGCAAGCAACTAGCCCAAAGTTGCCGTCGTGAGCATCGTCGTCAGTAATCCAGCGCGGGAAGCGCTTCGGAAAATTTATAACAGACTATCCAATAGCCTGCAGATCCAGACCGTACGACAGATGCGGCAACTCCGGTATCATACTGTAGGGAGCTGATGCAACCGTCGAACTGTTGGCGGCGCCATTGCCGGTGCGTTGTCGAACACACCGGAAAGTCGTTCATGAGTGCAAGCCTTCCTCGACAAGAGACGTCGAACGATGGGCGTATGTGCGATGCCATTGGTTCCAGTCAAGAGTCAGCCGCCAAAGTCTCCTCGATGCTGGGACGCGGTCAGCCTCTGGTGACATGGCATCGCCATGGCCAAAGAAGAACCTGAGACACGGCACAGTTCTGTTCCTGAGCAGTTGCCCGCTCGTTTGCGACCGGGATTCTGGTAGTGGAGAGGGGCCAAAGCGAGCCGGTCTTCACCGATGTTGCTCTTCCACCTGCTCACTGGCCAGCCTTCTACGCCTGTACCTTACGCTTGACCGTAGCGCACCTGTTTCCAAGATGCAACAGCGTCGACAGTGACAGCACACCTCCTGGGCTGACGTTCCAGATGCCGAACTGCCAGGACGAGGTGTGGAAGCTTGCGGAACGAGTCGATGCCGCACAGGATTGGCCAAAGCTATACCGGACACCATGCCAGAAGTGCAAAGGCGTCCCTCGCCTGCGATGATCGACCTGTGTCAGGGGCAGCGCCAGACCGCAGCCTTCCAAGAGTGCAAAGGCTGCCGCGCACACGCTCCATCCCGCCGTCAAAGCTTTCGTATGTGCATCGTTTCGAAAAACAGTGGAAGAAAATATTCCGAAGAAACAAAATCACAGTGCGCGCATCCTGTGAACGTCCCTTACCGTGCATCCTCCTTGGGGGAAGGCGGGGTCGTCAGGGGCACATTCCAGCATCGAGAAGGCTTATCGACGCCAACTCCAAGTCCAAATCGTGGCGTTGTTGCCAGCTCATGGTGTGCGTCTGACCTCTTCCAGTCGAAGCCAGAACGGAGTGGAGGCCAGCGTGGGAGGTGGAGCAGCTGCCCTGGCCCATGCTGCAGGTTCATCCTAGCGAGCGGTGGAGCTACCTATCGCGGTCACACACTTTCAGGCTAACGGTATGGGTGCCATATTCCAAGGCAGTTGTGAAATTAAGCTCGCTCACCGCTTCTGCTACTTGAACTTGCTTGTCCGTCTGGCACAAGCTGCGGTTCCTGCATGCATTCGCCTCCGAGCTAAAGGGCGACGGTTCCATCAAGCTGCAGGTACGAGTGCGCCTTTTGCTGTCTACCAGACGCCGCTCTTTTACTCTTGGCTCTGTCCCGCTGCCTATACACCATCTTGGTCGCCACTTTCCGATCCGGGTGGACTGTGTTGCGCATGACCTTCGCCTCAGCCTCGTACACATACATACTTCATCTAATCCGCTCCCGCCCCTTGCGGCCCGTCAGATCGCCTTGGGCTTTCTGAACCTCACTTGCACTTGGCTGCAACCCCATTCAACATTGTCCTCCATCATCGTCATGGTCGACTAGCTGTTGCATTCGCTGCATCTCGCACGGGACTTGTCAACAACCTTCCCTACCTTCGCCTTTTGAGTGGTCCAATTTCCGGACCATTCCAGCCGTGCAACTCCGCTGAGCAGCGAGGGGTCCATTGTAGCCATCGACAACATGGACCAAAACCAGATCTGGATTATCCTCGCCGTTGTCCTTGGCAGCTTGGTCCTCGCGCTGGTCGTAGTCCTGGCTCTCTTCTGCTGCAGACGATCAAAGAGACGAGTGCGAGGTTTCTCTTTCCGGGCCGTGACGCCCTTGCCTGACGCCGAATTCGAATCGTGGCGTCGACCGAGCCAATACACCCAACGACCGCAGAAGTACGGCATTCGGCCCGCTCCACCGCCTCCTGTACGCACCACCAGGAGTCCTGTCATGCTTGAGAAGGACTTCGATGACTTCGATGGTCCACGCACGCCTTCTCCTCATGACTATCCTTCTCTCGAATATCCTATGAGTCCGATCCGTAAACCAGAACGTGTTCGACGAAAGTCTAGTGCTACTTCTTCGCTTGCGGACAGACCACCCACGCCATATTCACCTTCTTCCAAGACGAGCGAGTTCCCTCGTGAGTCCTTCTCATCACGAAAGTCCTACGGAGGAAGCCCTCGCATTCATTATCCGTCAATGTCAGAGGCATCCGCGTTCAACTTCGACATCAAAGACATGAGCTTTGACTCCAACAAGTTCGATCCAGTTCGACCTTCAACACATTCGGATCGCCCTCTGAACCTTTCCTACGAGAAACCATCTTATCTCGAACAGTTGTGAAAGAAGAGCAACGCTCACCAGATCTGCCACACCACGTTTTGCCATGGACGAATCCAGATCCACCGGCTCATATACCGGGGTCCTCCATCAATGACCCACCAGGACACATCGATGTCCACATACTCGGACCTAATGTACACCACAAGCTCAACGCAGCTCCGCTCCGCTCTTCAGGAGCAAACCCACCACTCATGTCTCTACGACACGTTTTCTCTCATCTCATGTTCGCCGTCGAATATCCTTCACTGCACATGTTTGACGGCCGCACACTTTTGTATACCCCGGGAGTTTGGAGGACACCATATGGATTTGTGATACCAGACCTTTTGTCACCTACACAGGCATCTTGCCTTTTATCCTTCCTTTTGATATCTATAGGGCAGAACACGGCGATGTCGCCATGGAGATGAACATAGCAGTACGACCGCACGCTAGAAGCCTTGGTCTTCTCACAGATAGTCTAGTCAGTTGAATATGAAATGATCTGCTCGTCTAAGCCGTTCTTCGTTTACAATCTCTAAATCCGGTGAAGTGACGGACTGTCCGATGGGATACTACACAAATAGCAGCCGCGCACCATACGACCGCGCCTTGCGCAATAGTGGAGCCTCTTCGCTACACCATGGCATCCAAGGGTTGGCGTCGACGCCCGTCATGCGTAGCGTGGAAAATCACCATTATAGCATCGCAACGAGGCTATCGATAACCCCATATCCCCACTCACACGCTTCACTGAAGGTTTGACACTTATCACAGATAGATAGCCGTCGTACACCGCCTTTCTCCAGTTGGTTTGCGGTTCCAGACCCGGCTGATGGTGGTAGTCCCCGCAGCGCTGCATGCACGATTCGCGAGGTCTCTGACGCGATCGGGATGGTGCGATTGCGCGTACTGTGCATTTGGTGTGACGGTTGAAACGCACAACTTGCTGACTGCAGGCGCGTGAGGTGACATGAGGGGTACGTGCCAAGATATATGCACGTGCTATGATGCGCTCGCACCCCGGAAGCGAGATGCTTGTCAAAGAAACACCACAACCTTGTTTGGCCTGCGCGCAACCAAATGAAACACAGACCTCGCGTCAAACAGCTCCCGCTGCGTACATAATCACCACCGCATCAATTGAATACGCTTGACGCGACGCCATAGTCAACCCCCACCTAGAGCTCAACCGCGTCTCAGACCGCTACTCAACGGCCAGCGTATCATTCGACATTTGACATCCCATATCTCTCGAATTACATATACACAACCGCCAACATGGACGTTATCCAAAGTAAGCCCATCGTGCTCCCCTTTTCCTCATTCTATAATATAGAAAAACTAATCTAACACTCTCACAGACTACGTCTCCCTCCTCCACACGCTCCTCCCCTCAACCCTCACAAACCCCCTCATCCAAATAGTCACCACCCTCTACGGCCTCTCCAAAACACTGCAAACGCATATCTCCCCGCTCATAACCCAAGTCATCACCCAACCGGACATCGCCTCCATCCTCGCCCTCGTCGCAATCCTCTGGTTCAGCCTACAAATCTTCGGCATGCTGTACCGCAGCGTCATGTTCTGGGTGCGGCTCGTGTGGCAGCTCGTCAAGTATAGCTTGATCATTGGGATATCGCTGTGGATCTGGAACCGCGGGATGGACGGCGCGATTCAGGATGCGCAGGAGCTGGCGGGTTTTTGGGCGGGGAGTTCAAGAGGTTTCAGGGGAGGCGAAGGCGTGGAAGGGGCGGAGGAGGCGCAGATTAGGATGCAGGCGAAGCAGAGGGCTGCGGGGGTATGGGTGGCGTTAGAGGCGGAGAGGTGAGGGGTGGTGAAGATGGATGCGGGAAGATGTGATTGACGTGTTGTTGAGGATTGGTTATGGTTGATGAGATTGGATCTTGCGGGTTGCATACACGGCGTCTTGATGGTAGCATTTTTCACGGCGTACGGTTCTTCGGCGTTTCGCCGCGGAGGTTGAACGATTGTAGCACACGACACGACGTTTATGACTGGCGTTCTAAGGTTGTTTCTACAAAAGACCGGATTGATTTCATTCTGCGAATCTTCACGACTTCCCGGGCAGTTGGTATAATACATGAACCCCATAATTACCGAGACATCACTGAACCATTGGCTTAAGCCTAGAATCTACTGAAACAACGTACCAGGCCTGTCAAGGTACGGGTGACAGATCTCGCTATGGAGAAGAGCGTACATGCAAGATACAACTTGCGAAGGGCTTGGAGGATGAAGAGGGTGTGGATATCCTTCCATGATTGACGAGTCGCATAGTACTTTAGTATCCATTGGCCAATCAGCCCCACAAACGCGACCAGAACCGCCGCACACGGCGCCGTAGCGGACAGCTCATGAGCATTAAGGTTGTGAGGCATGCGTACCGTAGTCATGCATATCGCGGCTTAGATCATCGCTCTTGAAGGGCTTTGTCGAGATGAAGGAATTCACGTCAAAGGCGTGTCCGACGAGGCGGTTCCGTAGGAGTTCTGGTTGATGCGTTGGAGGGTGGCTAGGTTGACTTAGGTATCGTCGTTGCTTGGGTATACTAGGACGTCTTCGGAGGTGGCTTGAATGCGTGAGAGATACTCTTCGCTGGGCTGCCCATCATTTGACGGTTTGGGCGCGACTAACAAGGGGTTTCAAGCTTCACTAAATTGACTCCGGTATCCAGTGCCTGCTGTTTAACTTGTTCATCGTTGTGCTTCTTCAATCCTTGCACACGAGCCCCGATTTCTATAGCAGAGCGAGTCGCTGTATATTTATGCTGGTTCGACCACTTCGACTTTGTTGCGTGCCATGTGCGCAATGTGAGGCATTGCTCTGCCGTTCTACGTCGAGATCGTTTGGAGGTTATGCTGCCATGACTTTCTTCCTGGCTCGTGTGCCTAGCTATAGTCCTTCTACCATGTATATGATCTGTGAAAAATATGTCTGTGGTGTGGACGCTGGAAGTAGGTCCAGCTGACTACGCAGCCCACACCTTGGCGGTGATCAGTCGCTTGACCCTGGTATATGCAGCCAGCATTTCGGACTACTATCAGCTTCTTCAGAAGACTGTCTGGAGGTTCTCTTATATGTCTTCCAACTTTCATCGCCATGCAGCCCGATGCGCATTCAAGATCAGATTGCGCTGTGGATGCGCTCGCCATTGCAATATTGTGACCCGCAATTTGCATTAGCCGATACCAGATGCTACAAATGTTCTTTGCAGAAGAACTTTTGGATGGAAGGAATGATAGATAATGGTCACTTCCCTGGTTGCACGCAAGGTAGTAGCGACCATGGGAAGCCCCATATCTTTCTGATCAGTGGTGATGGGCCTCTGCTATAACACCATTACATCACTCTTCGTTGGAGCATAACAACTACACATCGCTAATATTCTTACATACTCCATCGTTCATCATGACTAGCGAACGGCCAGTCGAAACGCCGCCGGGGACGTCACAGCCGTGGTCGGATATAGTTAACGCATGGGGCGATGCGGCTAGATGCATGTGCAGTTCTCGTGTAAACAGCGAAGGCTCACTTAGTGTAGGCTTTCCGCCCCACTACGTCGATAGAGTCCAGCTCCGAACTATATACAGCTCGCTTGAAGAAGCGTCGGACGATATTGCGCACCAGCTTGTGGCAATGATCGATGAACGCGTGGAACTCGGTGGTGTGATGCGAGCAATGCATAAGCAGGCAGCCCCGGAGATTGCTCAAGTCCTCCTGAACAAAGGATACTTTGCTCTGGCAACACCACCACCACGCATACAGAACCCTGACGCCCCACCTCGTTCACCCGAACAAAATCAGTGGATCGGAATCCACCCTTTCCCGCCACGTGGTACAGTCTCGAGTCAGCGTCCAACAACTCCGCCTCGTTCATCGATCTCGGATTCAAGGATATGGGAACCACTCAACCGTGGCGTTCAGTCTCTTACACTTGATCGTTATCTCGCAGCTCCCTCTCCACCTTCATACAGCGAAGCCATCGCTCACAACTGGAATGCAGACACGCACCTACAGGATCTTCGAATGACTGACTCACAGAGAAGCACTCAACGTCACCGTCCAGCACCTTCTCGAATCCCACGAAGGATAATTGCAAATGACAGACGTGACCGGACAGCCGCTCCCGTCAAGATACAATCAAGTACAATGAGGATGTGGACAGGGTCTGAGTTGAGGAGGCACGAGAAGGTGAAGATCAACGTAGTGGCGACATTGATGAGCAGCGATCAACACAGCATTTCCATTGAGTGCAACGGCCGTTATATCGATGGTGGCCTGGTGGGGAGAAATGTGTCGATCGAAACGAACCTGCTGTCTGGTGCCACGGGTCTGGCGAGGTCGGACCAACGACAAGGACGACAACAAGGCGGGGTTCGGCTTCCCGACAACTCGTAAGGTACATGTTTGATTCCAAGGGGCGTTCTCACGCTTTTGGCATTACCGCAGAGTCGAAGCTGATCGATGTGGGTATGACCATCGATAGATCGCACGAAATGGTCGCTGGCCATGGTGTTAGATAGCGGGAACAAGACACTTTGGGGGAAGCAAGCGCTGCCTTATTACCTCAAGCGGAATAGGAGGCTCGTCCCCATTACAATACATTACCAATCCCCACCATATCTATATTTGCATCTACGCACGTGATGTCTTCCTATGGATGCTCACAGTATCTGGGTGGAAGATACGGAGCACTCCTTTATTGCTCTGCTTGCCTGTATGTGAGTGACCTGCACAAGCATCATACAGAAGTTTCTCGATCAACTCTTTCGTATTCTACCTCTAGACCTGCATCCTGAAGTACCCTCACCAAGCACATCCCGGAAAACATTGTGAAAACAGCACAAACTACTCAAGAGGACAGGCCCTGACCCCACCCCGGAAACAGCACCTCGCTCACATTCAAATACTCGATGCCTCGATGCGCGCAAAGGCAGTGAACGCCTCAGAAAGTGGTGGGGATCCAATGGCGAGGGATTCGTACTCGCAGCGGACGCGGGTGAGGCCTATGGTGCGGGCTGTGATATACGCGGTTGTGGAGTCTGCGAGGAAGAGGGACACGAGGCTGGGCTGGACGGCGGCGTTTGCGCCTTGGAGGGTGTCGAGGCGGGTGATGGAGGCGTCGTGTTCGGTGGCGTTGTGCGAGGAGAAGTGCGAGAGGGAGAAGGTGGTGGATGTGTTGAGGAGGGAGGGCAGTTTGGCGATCATGGCGTTTGTTGTTTCTGGGGGCGAGGCTAGTAAGGGTGTGGAAGAGGGGTGAGGAATGGGGATGGGACTTGTAGGTTGGGGTTTGGAGGGACGAGTGCTTTAGGGCCTTGCCTGTACTATGAAGGACTTGAGGAAGAGTTAAGCCCCAAATTGACTGTGAGTACAGTGACAAAGTGTTTGGATAGAAATCATTAGAAGAGCAGGAAAATAACACATTAATTGACTAAAGCACAAGCATGGGTACTATCGTACTACTCACCAGAAGCGAGCGTATAATCAAAGTTCAGAGGCTCAATCTGTGCGCTATTAAAGTCTTTTTTCGTGATGTTGTGACCATCTCGAGCCAGAAAGCCATGATTCGCAAGCGTGTTCAGCATCGGACATGGACTCCAGGACGCGTTGGCCACGAGTGCGGATGGGATCCACGGATGGTCGTACAGAAAGCTGCTTTTGTTCGCATATATGGAATCTGCACACGCTCCCAGGGACAGGTATGTCAGTGAGCATAACGAAACGGTGAACATCCACATCCTTGCTTCTGTATTCGATGTTAATGGAGAGGAAATCATGAACATGGCCTCGCATTATAAGGCACCCTGCGTTCTTCATGCGGCTGCTTATGGTATGTCAGCCCTTGCCCTAGGAGGCTCTGTCACCCGCTCCCCGGCGTTGATGGTTTCCGCCAGGCTTTCAGAGATATAACCCGCAAAGCTTAGTAACAATCGAATGGAAGCTCAGGGAGTAAGCAATGGTGGTGAAAGGGTCCGAGCTAAGCCGTAAGCTGCTAAGACGCAGTGATCGCCTTATGCGGAACAGCCAGTCGTACACACTTGATTACCCCGCGCTGTGCCATGCGAATCTTCGGTTTCGGTGCCGCTTCGAACGAATGCGATACTAAAGCCTCGAATGCTGTCTTGGATTTGAGCTTATTCTGGAAAGCTGCAATTGGATGACTCCAAACTTTTGATTCGGTAAGGTAATATAATATATGGCTAGATCAGCTCAATCGAAAGGGCTTTCTGGAGCTTAAAGCCCCGCTGTGGTCATCATCGTCATGACTGCCTGAACAGAGGTATATGTTGGAGCTTCTAGACAAGTAAGAAAGCTTTTGGAATGTCACTACGCTCATGGCCTTAGAGAGATCGGGAGAGTTCTTGCCAATCTAGACTTTGAAGCCTCCTGTCACTTCGCCATTACCACATACCGGCCGAGCCTTTTGATACAAGCGAACGATTTCACGGCGAAAGCAGCCTGTAGGTGAGTATGATCGGAACAATATACTCTCCAGCAGCCGGATGCATTTTCTCAGGAGCCACCGGGGACTATCTCTTAAACAGAACATCCAGAAGGAAAACTTCAACTTTGTTGGGACGTCCGCTGTTTGTACAACATATATATGAGGTATTGACGGCCAAATTGGTAAATTCCGCTTCCTCCCACATGCATATTTCGATTGGATAAGCAAGCCTCCTCTTGATGGTGTTAACCAAAGAGCTACGCTTCCGATGTTATCAAGCCAGAAGGATACATGTACCACGCCAAAAAAAAAAAAAGACACAAATTACAGTGCCCGTTAAGTCTCACACAATTTTAGAAAGACTCCAATAAAATATCATGGTAGTAGGTGCTAGGTAGTACATAGTAACAATAGACGGCAAGGTCACTTTCCACCTCTTACGCAGATTGTGGAATCCGACCTATCGTCACCACGAGGATCATACTCCGTAAGCCTCTCCTTTATTCGTCCAATGAGGTCATCCCTTCGGTTCCAAAGATCAAGAATCGACGATACTTGCTACCGCTATCAGCATAGTTACCAATCGCCATCCCAAGATCTGACGTCCTGCCATGCCATCTCCAGCTTTCCCTGGGCCACGTGATACCTTGCCCAACATTTGAACCCAAGATCCAGCAAAGTCCCGAGCCTTCACATAGTATCCACTCTGCTGGAATCGGGAATAAATCTCTTCGCCCACCCCGAAGACCTTCGCAATCGTACGCCTCCGCCAACATACACTTGAGTAGCACCATGGCACCTGCAGGCGCTGAACTTTGAAGAAATCCAACAAATGAGTGCAAGCTGTGTGGAGACATTTCGTTGCGACTACTGTAGATAGTTGATGTTCATCTCGACTACTGCACCATCATGCAAGCTGCGAAAGGTAAGTCTGGAGATCTACTTCGTTTGCGCCGCACAGCACCTCGGCGACGTCGTCGGATGCGGAGGAGTACTTTCCAGGAACGAGCTTTTCTGCTGCGAACTACATACAGCAAGATTCATCATCTCAAAATCAAGCTTTCTACGATCATGCAGACTACGGCAATCAGCAGTCGGTTCGAGCGTAGTATCTGGTCGCAAGCCACATTGCACTTCTAATATCACGACTCGTACCCACTTCTCCACCTCAAAGCCTAATCAAGCAACAAAAATTAGGCTACGAGTGATATGCAATCCGCCGGACATAAAACGATTCCCTCAGTCTACCAGGTGACCCTTTCGGGCACATGCACCGCACTGAAGAAAGCTAAACGCTGCCCAACGTGGGCAGGTAGGTCGTTCGTTTTCAGCTCTACCCTACCCCCTTCCATCCATCCACCCCCTCGTGACGCTCCAACAAAGTTTAACAAAGTTTACCAAACGCGACGCTTACGCGACTACCTCCACCCTCACTCCTGATTCGCCGTGGATGGATCCCCGGTCCTCGTCTTTTCAGCCCTGATTGATTCGACGCAGATCCTCATTCCCTTTCAGCTCTTTCAGCACTGGTTAGTCGCCGACGAAACCGACGAATCCATCCCAATTCTCCGCCTGTCAAGCCTATCTGGGATCCTCCGTCCGCATATGGTAGCAATGCTCAGCTGCGATGCCCCTCTCGGCGCGGACGAGACGAGAAGTGTTATCGTGATGAGCGCAGCGCAAAGTTTAGCACCGCGATGCTGATCGCTGATGGCGGTCCATTCGCCAGCCATTGCATTGGAGGAGCCTCCTTCCATTCATTGGGTAGGATGAACGTTCCTAGCGAAGCTTTCCACTTGCCTTGCCTTGCGCTCTGCCTGCTTATCTTGCCCATCCATTTCCAACGCCGAACGGGAACGCGCTCACAACCTTTCATTCCAGCTAAACGATGCGACACTCTCGTAACGCCACAACGATAATCACACAGTAGCACCGCAACGCTGCCCGTGCCTGCCTTGCGCGCCCAAGCAATGAACGCTATTGACGTCTCCCCTCCCCTAAAACACTCACCCACCGTACCGGGCGCATCACATCCTACCCGCCCCATCCATCCATCCCCACTCCCTCCCACCCGCTAGCCTCGTTCCAGAAAATCCACAGCAGTGAGGCGTGTAGCTTACGCGAAGAGACACCACGCCGCACCGCGGCAATCGCACGCTTTTGCAGCTCGCGTATCTGGCTGCGGAACGCGCTCCGGCGCGCGCGCGTGGCAAGGCGTGGCAAGGCGTGGCAAGACATGGCATCCTGGTCGCGTTGTACACGTCACAGCATGGCACGGCGTGGCATGGCATGGGGATGACAGGACATGGACATGTCATGAGCTGTGCCACTCCCGCTCCGTTGACGCGACTGGGGGCCGGGGTGGGCGTTGTGATGATGTGCGTGCGCTGCGTGGGCGAGCTGGCAGGATGCGAAGCGAATGGATGGGATGGGCGGCGATGCGATGCGAACGAACCGGGGCGAGGCACTGTGGGTGGATGGATGGACGGAGGGATGGGGATGCCAGCGCATCGTGCTGCGAACTGCATCCGAACCATTCCTCCCCTTCCTTTGCCTCCCCACTTCCAGGGCCCAGGATAGGATAGGATAGGATGGCGCTGGTGCAACCTGCGAGCGCCTGTTCAGTCGCAGGCCGCAGCCCATTGATTGAATAAATGCAAGGCTGCTCGCCCGTCCACTCAGCTGTTGCGGCCCCCAAAGCGATAACCCACCACGCATAAGCCACGGTACCTGCAGGGAGGAAAACAATAGTATTAATATTAAGGGCGATGGTTGTCAAAGAAACCTCAGGCATGGCACGCACATGCATGCACGCCTTCCCACCGTCTCGGCAACTCCCTCCCTCCGATCCATCACCCGTGGGATGTGCCCCTTCTAGCCCAATTTGATCGACTACCCAATATGCAAGTTGGACGCGCAAACTCCAGCGAAAATGTGAATATGTGATGGGGGTATGAGGGAATCAACTGAGGTGCTGCAGTACGACAGACGCTACAACTAGCCACCGAGGAGCAATGCCGATCAAAACAAGAACAGAAACAATGTCCAATCTGATGTAGTGACCAAGTGAAAGTGAGCCACCACGCTGCTCGACGATGCAGAACAGAAAACACCAACTACCGAATGCACGCCTAAAGTGCAATGCCGAACTCCTATATCCAATTCAACTGCATACTGTGTAGATGCGGAAACAGCAAACGAAGGACCCAGAGTCGCATATGCTGTGTGTGCGTAGTGAGCGTGGACAGAGTGACCTGCTGAAATGTACAAAGAAATGTGATATCGAATATGCCTCAGATTGCAGTGAATAGTTCGGCTCGCGAACCCATTCAATTGTCTGACGTGATCGACGTTGGTATTGCCTCGTGTAATCGTCGTACCATATGTATGTGTAGTCCTCGTGAGAGTGAAGATCGCGAATGACTCCGTTGAAAGCAAATCATGAACAGACCCCACTGCAGTAAACGGTGATGCCCGGAAAAACAAGGGTATGGGAGAGGGTATGGGCACAAATGCTCGAACTGGACATCCGGCGGAGGTACAATTCTCAGAAGCCCGGATACCTTGCAGAATCACCGCAATCTCATTTCTAGCTGTGCCAAGCCACGTTGATGCGAAAAGCAGGCAGATTCCCCATGGTCTGAGGATTGTGGTGGCCGTTCGGCAATGCTTGGACATGGCCGCCGCAACCGCTGTAGTGCCTTCCAAATCCGCCCGTCGCTGGCCGTTACTGTGCGCGTGCGACGTGTTGTTGTCTAAGCATAGTGCTTGGTACTTGATCTTCCCTTCCTAAGAAGATCGGGTCTAGAAGCCAAACCAGCTAGCCAGATATTTCTAGTATGTTGGCCAACCCTGCTGAGGCTGCTGATTCGGCGCCCAACCTGGCATGCCCGGCTGCTGTGCAGCAGAGCTTTGGTGCTGCATGAACTGGTGGGGGCTCGGGCTCGGTTGGTAAGGATTCTGACCCATGGCTGAGAACCCCTGGTCTCCCATAGCGTTCATGGTTTGATACTGCTGCACAGGCGTGCCGTGCATCGAACCACTGCTCTGAGTGTGATGGAGTTGCGGCGATGCGTGCATAGGCGACTGCTGAGGATGAGGGCTCTGTTGCGGTGGTCGGCCATATGCCTGCATGTTGTGCTGCTGCGAGAGCGGTGATGGTTGCGGTGGTGCCTGTTGCCACATATGCTGTGGTGGATAGCCGGGGTTCTGTCCGACATTGGGCATCATGCCAGCCTGTGCCATCGCTGCGGGGTTCATCCCTTGGGGCAGGTTCATGCTTGGAGGACGCCGATGCATCTGATCAGGCCTCATAGGCGTCTGTTGCTGTGCCATAGGCGAAGGCATCATGGACTGTGGATGCGGCTGCGGTCGGTATCCTTGAGCAGCCGCGGCTTGACCAGGTCTCTGTGGAGTTTGAGCAGCGAGACCATACTGACCGGCCCCGACGGCAGTATTCGCGGAAGTAATGTGAGGCGATTGTGTCGCCTGCGTCGGTTGAGGCATGTTGCTAGCATCCGCAGTGCCCGGACGCTCAGTAGATGGCGGAGGCTCATGTGGTCTTTGCCAAAGGTCGTCGAGATATGACTTCCGGTTCTTTCTCTGTAGTTCAAGCTGCTTGTTGTATTCGGCAGTCTGACCGGCTGCATTGAGAATCTCCCCTGAAGGGCTAGGCCGCGTCACGTCCTGATACGGTACTCCGGAGAGCTCGTGCCGCGGACGCTGGACGCCAGCATAGTTTCGCGGCTGCAAGTCCGTGGTCGTCCGTTGGTCAAAAGGCTCGGGATTGGCTGTTGGCATCGTGCCGGGCGCAGGTGTCAGTCCCCCGAATGGATGCATGGGGTTCACAGTGGCTCCTAGGTAATCCTGGTCCAGTTTGCCTGTGTATGGTCCGGAGTGGGCGAATGCAAGATGTCCACCGGCGTGACTCGCTTCAGCCGCAGCTGCTTCCCGAGCTCGCGCAGCGCCGGGTCTCTTTTCTCCTGCGGCGTCTTCCTCGGTAAAGCCCTGTTTCTTAGCCTTGCTCTCCCAATAGTCGTCGCGTACTCGTCGTCCGTTCACAATAAGTCTGCTCCCAAACTGTCGGAACATGGAACGCGCTGTTACGATGGCGATTTGGCGTGACCGGTATGAATATGGAAGAATCTCCTGATGAATCAAGTCGTCTTTCTCGGCTTGCGTCGCAATAATCTTATACAACGACCTGTTCTTGTTGAATAGAAGGTATGAGTCTCGGTATCCTAGAATACGTGCGCACTCGGTTGCGAGCATAAACAGCTTGTTCCCTCTGTTGGGGACGAAGAAGGTGCGGCACCGATATTCCCTGCCGTCGAGCGGGTGCCCTGTCGGGGTAACCTTGTTTTCGCCAGCTTCGTCTTTCTCGCGAGGAAGATACTCGTCTCCCTCAGGGTTCAACTGGTCGGTGGTATGGTCCCTGACCGTGGGGAGCGCCTTGATCACAGTAGCCTTGGTGGGTGTCGATTTAGCTGGAGGAGATGCCTGTGGTGGAGATGCTTGCGGGAGTGGTGTAGCTCGTAGCTGAGGTGTTTGTACTGGTGGTGCGGCATTGTATGAAGGGGTCTGTGGAGGATGCGATCCACGGTTATCATTTTCAGCAAAGACGACTTTCCCAGGCTTCGCGGGTCGACCGCGTTTCCTGCGTGCGCTATCATCTACACCTTCCTGATTAGTAACGTGGATAGAAATGAGCCCGCAGGCTCTGCAACGTGTCGCCATTTGGACACAGATCACATACCATCTCCATTCTCACCGGTTTGCAGATCAGCATAGCTGTCCTCTGGTGTGCGGCTGCGTTTGATGCCCCGAGTCGGTTGTTGTGCGACGGCCTGCTGGGCTCCTCCGAGCACATCTGGAAGGGAAACGTGTTAGCATACTGTTCACTAGGGAACGCGGCAGCGGATGTAACAGATGCGCCCATTCGAGATGGTGGTTTTGATGGGGTGGTGCAACTGTCGCGCCGCTTGCGCGCGCATTGGCTATAGAAGAGCTCGACGCGTACCTGCAGGATTCAGAGCCTGGGGATTGATGGTGCCCGACGGGTCCATGATGAGGCCGTTCCCGATACCGTTGGACATAGTCTGGACGGGGTGCACAGAATACATTCCAGCCGTCGGCGAGGAGCCGCGGGTAGTTGCTCGTCGTCGCGTCGAGGTCACGACCAGGCCAATGGGGCGCGGGGAGGGATGTTTGCGATTGCGCGAGGCTGAGGCGGTCCGGGTCGCGGGGCGCAGCGCGACGGGCAGAGCATGCGGTCGTGTTGACGAGTGAGGTGAGGTTCGAAGTGCGGGTCACGGACGCGAAGCAGAGGCGGCGAGCTGCAGTGGTTACCGAAGACGAGCCGGGCGCACTGGCTTGGGCAGATCCGAGCGCAAACTCTTGCTCGGCGATGGCGAACGGTTAGTGTCTAGGTGCCGTGGGCGCCGCGACTCAGGAGCGGAGGATGATGCAAGGTCGGCTGCCCGTGTCGCACAGATGGCTGCTAGTCGCGGTGAATGGGTCGAAGGCCGGGCAAGGCAAGGGCCGGACAGCGTCAAGCGTCGCTCAGCAGCTTGGGAAGTGGAGCAGCCCTGGTGATAGCAGGCGGTAAGTAAGTACGGCTGCCACGTGAGGGCTTGGGCGGTAGGAGGGATGACAGGGTGACAGGAGGAATGGTACCGGCGGTGGAATGCGGGCGCGATGATGCACCGCCCAGACAGCTGCTGGTAGCCGCTGTAGGGTCTCTTAGTGATGGCCGCGGGCTGGAGCCTGACTTGCAGAAGCAGAGCGGGAGGGCGCCCAATGCGTGCTGCGAGATTCCCGGGCCGCGGAAGAACGCGTGGAGTGGGAGCGGCAGCCTTGGAGTGGCTACGGCAGCGGCAGCGAGCAGCGTGTATATGTACGGCGAATCACCAAGGCCCTTGTAGTGTTGTGCGCGAACGCGACGGCATGGCTGAGGCAGAGGCCCAGCCGTGCGCGGAGCAGCGACCACCAGCTCGGCCCGCGCTGGCCCTAGGCGAGCGTATTACAGCGCTGCTGCAGCGTTGACGGGCACGTTCACTGCAATCCGGGCACCGCATGGGGGCAGCACGCATCGAGGCCCCGCCTGTGGCTGTACTGTACGGCGGCCTGTCCGTCTGCTGCGAGCGGGCCTCTCTCATTACGTGCATGCGCGCGCCCTAGCTCCGCATCGCGACATGTCCACCCCGTCCAACAGACCCGCTCGAGGGCGACATCAAAGCGAGACCTGCCCTCTCCATGACGCCTGCGCAGAGAGCTAGCCTCACGGCGGACGGCCATGGACTGAACGGGGAGACCGCCTCGCAACTCCGCGCAACAGCTGCCTGCCCCGTCCACTCAGGCTCGCGGACGCTGCTGATTGAGCCAGGTCACGCCGAATCATGGTCGGCGCCTGCAGCAGCCCAGCAGCTGCATGCATAAGCGGCCGTGGTCATGCATTCACAACCTGCTATCAAGCCAGCCATATCGTCTGACTCCCAAAGAGCTGCTGCTGCCGCCCACGCCTTTGCCGCAGCAGCCGGATCGAGCAGGTTGCCTCTATTACTTCTGGAAAGTAATAGACACCCCGGTCGATTTGCGCGAATGCCTGCTTGCACATCCCGCCGCCGCAGCATCGTCCATGTCCAGAGGCTGCGACGATCCCCGCCTCTGCCGGCCAATCTGTGGGCCCCCTCGAGGCGCAATCCATTTCTTACCTACGGCTAGCCGTGGGCGCTGCTAACTGCAGTCGCCGTCCTGTGCATGACCGCAGCTCGACGGCAGTCATAACTTTCCGCTGTTCCGGGCTCTCTTCCTACTCTTTGGGTAGGCCGCCCGTGAGTCGATAGCGTTCCCTCTGTTTGTATGGACACGAGATGCGAGCGCGAGGCTCGATCCGTTCCACGATTCGTCCCGCCCCGACAAGGGATCAATGAGCCCTTCCTTGTAGTCTTAGTCTGTGCTCCATCTCCGCCGTCGTACCATGCTTGTATCTCGCATCGCTTCCGCACCAGGCGCCGAATCAACCTAGCGGGGGCTATGAAACGCCATGTCCGCATCCTACGTAAACATGGCACTCCATGACGGCCGTAGTTGAGCATTTGCATCTTGAATCAAGTACACGTTAGCGTACAATAAACGAGTTTGCCTCTCTTCGGACATCCCAAACCTGCCAGTGGCGTTCTCCTCTTCCAGAATCAGCTCACTCAGGTTGCTCACCATCTTCTGAAGCTGGCGCGGCTTCGACGCGTCCTCGGAACCGTGTGCAACTGTGGTCCATGTCTCACTTGCAACTTTGTCATCTGAGCCTTTCTGCAGGGTCCCGGCATCAGTCAAGCCTAGTTCGGCTGCTCGTACGCTGTGGATCCCATGCACATCCCGGACGGCGTCTCACTTCAACCTTGCACCGTCGACTTCTCATGGAACTTTCAAGATTCTCTTCTTAATCGTAGTCGAGATCCACTAGTCCCCCTAACAGGTTGCAATGATCAGCCTTTGTCCGCTTGTCGTTGCCGAGCGTGCAGATGATCTGACTTGACCGAACGGACCGACTGACTGGTATGTACGCCTCGTGATAGTGTTAGACAGGGGGTTATAATGTCTCCGTCGTAGACCAGGCAAGGTATCCACAATGGCCTCCGGAAAGACCCTTGCAAGGCAGTGGAAAGCAACGGTCGTTTCGCTCCCATCACTCGCAGCATATTCTGTTGAGTTCTCTATAGGGTGGGGCGTGCAAGACAGTGAAGAGCGATTCAGTGTAAGAGATAGATTGCTCGTGTCCAACAGACTCAGCCCCATGACTGGCGTGCGAATAGGATAGAGCGCATACCTTTGGATGTTTGCTACAGTCGAAAGTGGCGCATTGATTGGCACTCCATTTGTCACGTCTCTCGGTTGCTCCCACGCCGTAGTGGCAAGGCTTCCGTTTTGACAGGCAGTTGAAACGGTCGATTGCGAGTTCAAGGCGATTACCATTTGCCACTAGGCGCGCTGCCTTGACGACGCCCCCGCCATGGAACATGTTGATCATCTGATAGCAATACTGACGCCAATAGCAGCCGGCTGAGCCACTTTCTTGGGATGGCCCCTCGGATGTTTGAGACAGTGTATAGACCTGCTAGTAGATCTACGGTGATGGTTGGACTGCTGTGTCCAGTCCCACGCGGTAGAAGTGGGTGGGTGGAAGAGCCCAGGCCAGTCCCTACAATGGCTTCCGAAAGCGTTTCATGTAGAAGTGATATTGGATGGAGACTTGGCATTTATACCAAAACACCGAACGTCGACCAAGCTTGTGGATTGTAGCACGACGTTGTCCTCATGGCGCGGGTCGGCTCGAGCAACATCTGCAGATCGTGTTGCACAGCTTTGGCGGTGAAGTTCGCCGGCATCTTCCGATGACAGTGATCTAGTAAGTGCGGAGAGCGGTGACGTATAATCAAACGGCCATCAAACAAGTGCAAGACGTTAGGGTAGAAAATGGTAGCAGGTGTGAATGGCATGTGATGCTTGGCTCGATGCTACGGTAGACGTTTGAGCGGCTATAACGGTACTCACTTGAAGAACGTTCTTGCCGGTGGTCCTGGAGATGTCCAGTCCGAATGCATCTGGAGGAAGGCGCGATGCCGGTCATGGTTGCTTCCCACTTCTGCTCGACGCAACGCAACCGAGACCTCGAGTGCATCCAACCTACCGATGAGCGATTCATGGACAATGGCCGCCTAAGCGACGTTTGCTTTTGCGTGGGTGAAGGTTCGAGTTCCAGATCTCTGGAGGAAACAAATTACCCGAAAATAGGCGGCTGGATCCACTCTGTGTAGAGGGTGTGGCGGGGCAAGCAGCAGCTTCGTTGAATGTTCGAGTTCAGCGCAGCGAATGAAAGCGTGGAACAGCATCTTGCTATCGCTCAAAGGTCATGTGCCAGCCGCCGTTCCAAGGTAGATGGATGTATGGTAGTGCTGCAAGGTTGCGCCAGGGTTCGTTGCTCGTGCCTTCCAGAAAGGTCATATGACTGCACGTTGCTGGATCATCGGTGATTGGAGCTGTTAGCGCTTCTGTATCCAACGAGCAGTCCGTGCGGGTGCGACTTGATCGATGTCCATTATTGAAAGACATGCCTGGTGTTGCAGATGTACTATGGAATCAATCTGACGCGGGAGACGCATACGAGCTTGGAAGGAGCACACTCACTGCATGATTGAGCACGCAAGCTATGAGACCACATCGTCAAGCCTTCCCGCGTCCAGTAGCCGATGAACAGAGAGCGTTACGCTTGCAGGGTTCGGGCTTGGTCCAACGAAGGTTTTCGTTACATGTCAACGAAGGCCGGCGGACCAATGGGCGCCGCTCATGCCTTCGCAATCTCCCTTGGGGAACACATATCCTCACTACAATGCGAGTTCGCACGAGACAAATGGGGGATCAACAGAGCGGGCTCTTGTTAGGGATTGAATCACCGGTGCAAGGTCTAGACGTCGAATTCCTCCGCTGTTGACTGTTTTTCCATCAACTGCGGTAATGCATTGATTGTATGAGGCGCTACCTACACCTGGAAATAACTCAAGCATTTCTGATCGAGGCCTCGAAGCAGAGCTCGGTAATCGGTAATATTCCGACTTTAGTGTGGTCAGAGTAGCACTGGCCATGCACGCTTCGTCATGAGCTTCATCTCTACCGGGCCGTCCACCCTTCACCTACTGCTCGCTAACCGACTCTTTGGGCTAGTGTGCTTGATGGTCGCCGAATAATCTTTACCACAGGAACGTGTAACCTGAAGCAGGCGTGCCTCATTTGCGTCCAGGAGCAAGGCCGGGAACAGCACTGAAGCGCTCATCTCGTTCCGTCTTGAAGAGAAGCTGGCACCAGAACTCTTGGTTATCCTCATCAAACCATGTCCAAAACTTGCCTTCTCGCCGATCCACCTCGCGAGCTTGCAGCTTCACCGCGACCGTCTCGTAGGGCTCACCAGCGACGATGAAGTACTGGTAATTGGGATCCGGGTCCTCCACCTTTTGCTCGTATGCGCTCATGAAGCGCACACGGGGAATCGTGCCCGGGGTGATGTCTGGGAATTGAAACTGGAACAGAAGCCCATTCTGGCGGGTGACCGGATCGCGAACCTTTGTTATCCTGTAGCCCGGTCGACCAATCTTGATGACGTTCTTCTTGACCTGAACACCCGCGAGCAAGCCTGTCTGCATCGCATCGTCCTTCTTGCCTTCCCTCTGTTCCTTAGCAGCGCGTCGAGCCAGATTGGTCTGATGTTTCCTCCCCTGTGTATGCGCCAAGTATGAGCCATCGTTCTGGTGCACCGTCAAGCAAAGACGGCATTCGAAGCTTCCAACATGGTTCTTGAAGAAGTACGGGTCCTTGTCGAGGTCGATGGTCTCAAGCGCGAGCTTGCGCAGACGTTCGCGACGATCGGCATTAGTAGCGGATGATGAGGCGACACCTCCGCCGCCAAATTTGGAGCCTGCACGGTTCTGCGCGCGTTAGCAGTCTGTCGCAAAGAAGTTCTTGGAGTGCTTGCCTGGTAGTCCATGCCTGCTAGTCAATGAAGTCTGTTAATCGAGCGAAATCAAAGCTATGGTGTTCACACCGAGATAGTAGTTTAGTCGTGGTAGTTGCGAAGGTGCGGCTGTTCGTACGTTGAAGTTGATAATGTTGGACCGTAGCCACCGCGCGCCACGAAAGTGAACGTTAGCGTGCCGCTGCCAAGGCCATATCACGTGCCGCAGGCAGAACAACACGGAGGTCGTATCCCGTACATCTTGCACGCTTCTTGAGGATATATACCAGATGTGCTGTCTTGACCTTCTGAACCCTGATTACTCATAGTCCAACCGTTCAAAGACCCGCCACGGTATTACTGTGCCCCAGCTTCGCGATAACAGTTTTTGTGCGATGCCTGACGGATTCTACATTTTCTACGTTGGGAAGCGTCTTTCCTATGACAATCAACTATGCACAGTTCGATACATAGGAGAAGTGAAAGGCACAAAAGGAGAATGGCTGGGTGTGGAGTGGGATGATCCAACTCGCGGAAAGCATTCGGGTGAACACGGCGGCACCAAGTATTTCGAATGTACGACCAAGCAATGGAATATCGGAACCTCTGAAAGTTGAACATCTCTGAAATACTGAGATGTCATAATCTACCAACGCAGGCATCACTAACGACACGACAGGTCTCAACCAAAGCACAGCAACATCAGCCTCCTTCATCCGCCCAGCCCGCAAATACGACCCATTCCGCTCCTTTGCAGAAGCTCTCAAGGCAAAGTACGCCTCAGACCCTGTTCAAGACCCCAGCATCCACATTGTCTTTGCCACTAAGCCTGGCGACAATGCGCTCAAGAAAGATCCACTGGCCCGTATCAACCAACCCATCCGTATTAGCGGAAAAGAGGTGGAAGAAGTTGGTTTTGACAAGATTAGAAAGCAGCTCGCGCAGCTCAGCGAACTGAAGATTGTTATCCTGGACGGCCTTCGTATGGATCGGAGTGTCGCGAGGTTGAGGGAGGGAATGGAAGAGTGGGAGAAGGGTCTTACAGACGTGCGGGAGGCGTGTCCGAAAGCGATTGAGCTTGACCTCAGTAGGAACTTGTTCGAGGAGTGGAGAGAAATTGCATCTATATGCGAGCAGCTGGAGAAGCTAAAGAGTCTACGAGTGGAGTATGCCATGCCCAGTTTCCCCTTTATCATACCACACAAGCTTACACCTCCCAGCGGCAACCGTTTCAGAGACATTTCCATTACTGCCGCCGAACGCCCCCGCTGCCTCGCAGCCTTCGCCAACATCACCGACCTTAAGCTCGAAGACACGCTCCTCCCCTGGGAATCTATCGCCTCGCTGACGCACCTTTTTCCCGCCCTAATCACATTCTCCGCTTCCTCAAATTACTATACCTCTCTGACATCGCACATTTTGAACCCGGCGATCACATCCCTCACCCTCGAAGACAACAATCTCACCTCCCTCTCCGTAATTTCTTCCCTGGCCAGCCTCCCCTCCCTCCGTCGCCTCATCCTCAAATCCAATAAAATCTCCATCATCACAGCCGACTCTTCACCTTCCCCCCCGGTGTTCTCGTCATCGGTGACGGAACTCGATTTGACCTACAACGACATCTCCACCTGGTCATTCCTCGATGCCCTCCCGCGCAGTTTTCCAGGCCTGACCTCCCTCCGCATATCTCACAATCCATGTATGTAAACTGAGTCATTGAGTGATGTCTCCGCTACTGCAGATCTTTGAAACTCTCAAACATCTGCAGCCAGCGTAGACGCCTAGCTCCACCTCTCCACCTACCTATGACCATTCCACTAACTCGTTCACACACATATAGTATACGCCCACCTGCAGACACCAGACGGGCGCCCAATGACGCCCGAAGACGGGTACATGCTGACCATCGCGCGCCTCTCCTGCCTCCGCACGCTAAACTACTCCCCCATCACGGACAAAGAGCGATTGAATGCCGAGAGTTACTATCTGTCGTTGATAGCGAAAGAGCTCGCTTACGCTCCGGAGAAAGACGCCCCCGCTATACTGGAAAGCCATCCAAGATACAAAGAGCTGTGCGAGGAGTACGGCGAACCCGTCATCGCGCGCGAGAGAGGGGGCGTGAATCCTAACTCGCTGGCTGCACGACTCGTTCGCCTTCATGTGTACTTGAAAGATAGCACGGAAAACCAGCAGGTGGAGTTGGAGATCCCGGGGCGGTGTACGGCGTATACGCTTATTGGGATGGTGAGTCGCGAGTTCAAGACTAAGCCTATGGGGATGAGGCTGGTGTGGGAGACGGGGGATTGGATGCCTGCTCCGAAGGGGGTCGAGGAGGAAGACAACGATTCTGAGAGCGAGGACGAGGAGGAGAGTGAGGTGGGCAGGGTTATGCGGGAGGTGGAGATTGTGCCAGGGACGAGGAGCGTGGGGACGTGGATTGATGGGATGGAAGCTACGATTAGGGTGGAGCTGCGATGAGTGGGGAAAAGGGGGACGGTATTGAGGTGAATAGAGGCGTCCCCGCCAGGCTCGCCCTCGTACTCAGTAAAGAGAAGAGTGATTCATGGAAAAATCTACGAAATCCGAAAAATGGGTATATTGCTCCGCGACGCAAACGTTTCGATCCAAGCACTAAACCTCCCTCCTCTTCATCCCGTCCAAAGAGGACCGACCTTACCGATCCTCCTTATCCGGTTTCCTCCTCTGCCTCGTGCTCTTCTTCCCTGTCACCACCGCGTCATCATCTTCTTCGTCCTTCCCTTTGCCCAGATCCTCAGTCAAATTCCATTCTTCCCGATCATACCAGTCCTCGCCGTCGCTCATTTCCCCGAGATGAGCTTCTGCCTTTGCCATCTTGAGGACCTCCTGCCTCATGCGCTCGCCTTCGGTTATGCCCGAGAACAGCTCTGCTGCTAGCCGTGCGACCTCTTCTTGCTTTTGTACGTACGCCATGAGTAAGAGACGCGTATCTTCCGCTTCGTCGGCGGGAAGGCCAAGATCGCGGTCGGGGAGCGCGTCGGTGGGGTATATGAACATGGGGTGGACTTCGTGCTCGGTGCTGGTAGGTGATGCTGGTGGGGAAGGGGACTCCGCAGCGCGTGCTTGTCTGCGCGTAGTCATGCGGTGCGCTGTGTTGTGCGACGCAGTATCTGACGCATCGTCTGCGTCTTGAGAATGTGCACGGTCCCCGTTCGTCTGTGTTATTTCTCCATCCACAGTGTGTGGCTCCCCGTTCGTGGCGAGTTCCGTGCCATTTTGCGCTTCTGGTGTAGCTTTGCCGTTTGGTTCTTGTACTCCCGGAGCTCCATTGCTTTGCCGCGCATCCTCCATTTCAATATCTTCGCTTGCAGCTGGAGCTTCTTGAGTTGTGTTCTCCTCAGCACCTTCAACGCCTTTCCTATTCTGCGTACCAGACCCATTTGCCGCGCGACCGTTCGCAAGCTCGCGCCCAAAGTCAAGGAAAGACTCATGAGCTAATGAAGCCAACACATTGGGCGCAAAGCTGGGGTCGCCTTGGAACTTCAATTGCAGGATCTTCGCATGCCGTAAAGCGAGATTCTCTTTCCGCGATATCGCCGCGGCTTCGTTTGTGAGATTCGTGAGGTGCTTCGATGTGTAGGCGACGCTGTAGGATGGGTGTGTAGGTAGATCGGCAGCGGATGTCAACGGTGCGAGCAACTCTGCGCATGTCTGTTAGTTGCAACCTTCTCGCAAGCAGATGCGCAGCTCACACACCTTCTAACCGCATGTCGGCGTATGGATTCTCCTCAACAGGAGACAGATCGTCTTCGTCGTCCTCGTCGCCGACTTCAACGATGTCGCCATCGGGATCGTATCGTGGTGGATTGCGCTGCAAAATGTACCTGCGATAACCGGCATGCTCGATCCTCTGAAGGCGGAGTGTTAGTGTGGACCCTGGCGCAAAGGTGTGGAGTGTGCACCTTCTTGTACGGACGGTTGCCGGCCACCAAATCCGTGTCGCCATGGTGGGAATAATGGACTTTGCGCTTCAGACTTTGTTTCTGAGTGCCGTAGCTCGGCGCTGTGTCTTCGTCTTCGGAGGCTGGGGTGGTCGGTTAGAGACGGCGGCCAAGAGGAAGGGAAGCGGGAGGCGCGCATACAATCGTCTGGGCGCAGTATTCTCCTTTTCAAGGAGAAAATGGTGTCAATGATCTGCTGCTGCTGTGACCCGGCCATGGCGACTGCGGCTCAGCGCGAGCCCAACTTCTGAGAAAGTTCGCGGAGCTGCGTGCCACCGAGGAAGTGGGGAGGAAGTAAACAATGTCGCGAAGGAAGCGCTGGGTCTAAAGCTACGCGTAGAGAAGATGAGCAGAGCGTTTGGTAGGCGGAATGCTTCGTAGGAGGTCTGTTGCTAGGTTAAGCGTGGAGAGGGGAGAAAGAAGCAGGGTAGAATCGGGGTGACCGCACACGCACAAGCCAACGCGGAAACGCGCCGTAGCTAGTGCGGGCGACATCATCAGCCCCAGCAATCGTCGCCAATAGCTGCGTAGCTTGCCATGTGCATGTACAGCCCTACCCTACACGAACCGTAAACATCGTCGACCGTATACTCCGCGCCGAGCTGCGAAGTGCCTTTTGGAATACACTCCCGCGGTAGATTGCGTCTACGTCGACCGCCCCTCCATGGAGAGGTAGTCACACCGCTGCCGCCATGGATGCATATCCACCCGAATACGTCTTGCACAACCTCCCATTCATCGTGCTCTCTGGGCTGGGGACCGCTCCTGAGCTTGAACCACGAAAGCCTTTCCAAGACCTTCTACCCGGCCACGCTATAAGCACCGTCAACGCAGAGACGCCCCTCGTTACTAGCGACCGCGCGCAACAGCTCTTGGAAGAGTTCCTGAGCCATGATAACACGAATACCCCATGGGAGGCGCATGGGCTCGACAGGAAGAGGACCCTGGCCGAGTTCAGAATGCGGGCAGTAGGGAGGGTAGGTCAGGCGCCCATCGGTATATAATTGTTAGCCGTCAAGGCAATGCGCTCCGCTATTGCGCGCAGTGGAGCAGTTGCGGAAGTCATGAACATCTTATGGATTGGATGACTTGCGCTGTCTAAAAGTTGATTTGTGGATCTTCACTGCACTCTTTGCGGGTTAGCGGAGCTATTGCCTGACTTGCGACAGTTGAGACGAATAGATACTTATACATGGCAGAACTTCCAATTACCTCCAAAAAAGGCTGATGCTCCCACTACGTCAGAAACTACTCCGCCTGGTAGTCCTACAATAGCCGCTGCGACGTCGTGGATCTTGCATTCGCCCATCTCCCCACTATCGCCACGGGCGCCCGTATTCCCTGACGGTGTCATGACTCCCGTCTGGGTCGCCAAACATCAGGACTACATTCCGTCCGTCTTTATAGCCTTCTTCGATTTCACCACAGATCCCATCACCAACAGCCTACATGACAACCACCTGAAGTCAGAAATCATCAAGGTCAAAGAGCAGATCCAGAGGTCGGGATACAAGACTAGGTTCGCAGCAGTATTGTTGAGTGACAAGTCTGTCCTTGAGGCGCCTGACATTGACGAACGTCTGAGCAACATACGGCGGAATACTGGATTGGACCCTAAAACGCAGCTGTTCTTCCTTCCGCCTTCTTCACCCGTCGAGCTCCGCTCATTCGTTGCTACTGTTTTGGCGACATTGAAACCTATCAGCGTTGAGTACTACCGCGATCTCACAAAACGCGCAAGACGGAAGAAGACTCGATCCACCATCCCACCACCAACAGCGCCTCCTACTCGCGGCACATCGCAAGTTCTAGGGTACCCTGGCTGGGGCCTTCGATATGAGTTCAAGCTGGGTGTGTTTGCCGAGTTTCGGCAAGAGATGGATGCGGCTCAACGACACTACAACATCGCTCTTGACATTCTGTTCGGTCAAGAGGGTATCTTTGAGACTACCGCAAGCTGGTCGCCTAGATGGGACGAAATCCGATTGATCGCCGATACTATAGCACTCCGACACGTCCGCTGCCAGATATCAAGTAACTATCTCACTTCAGCGGCGCAAACTTGGCACAAGTACAAGACCAAGCTGAAGGACGTGCTCGATAGGCGCGGGAAAGGTACCTCAAACTATGGCTGGGAGGCTTGGGAGTCAACGTGGGCGCAGACGATGGCACAGCTGATACAGCAAGCGGACTTGAAGGTTTTCAGGATCACTGATCCTTTACCTGAATCTGAACTCTTGCCTAGCGTGGACATGAACCCAGTCTACGCGCCGGCCGAGAAACAATTTCCGACTGGCGAGCGGCTACCTCCTTGGGAACTTCTCCAACATGCAGGCTACTGGTACAAGTCAGCTGCCGATCACGCGAAAAGGAGGTATCTACTAGCGAGAGATATGCCTGAGGAAGATCGAACTCCTCCTGGCCTGTCGCCCGCGACGAAGGTCTCGAACAGAAATCAAGTATATGACCACTACCTTGTGCCTGAGCCACATCTCGAATTTCCCCTTCAGGGCACAACTGGAGGTTTCGAGCATTGGAAGGATATCGTTGGCAAGCTTAATGCTGCAATACAGGAGTTCGAAGCACGACGCCAGTATCGAAAAGTACACCAGTTGCAACTTGAAGCGGCCCGGACCTTGCTTCACGTGAAGATTTTCGACGAGGCCTTCAAAGTTCTGCGGCCGCTGTGGGAGAATATGACATGGCGGAAAGAAGGATTTTGGAGTCTGGCCTCGGAGGTCGTTTGGGGTATGCACGAGGCTGCGCTACGTGTTCGAAATACGGAGATCTATGTAGCTACGGAGTGGGAACTCAACTCGTCAGGCACGTACTGCGTCTCCAGGATATATGGGAAGATTCTGACAAAGTAATAGTCTTGACTGGAAAAACGAAGTACAAGCACGACTTGATGAACTGTCTTGAGCAGTTCCCGCAAGCTGCCTCCACTGACAATACTATTGTCTCTCTGGACACCGAAAACTACATAACCTGTTGTAAGTATATTACGTCGCGCTCAGAGGCTGTGCTGACAATCTAGTGTCTACAACCTTCATCTTCGAGAAGCACGAAGGAAACGTAGGCGAGCCTCTGACCGCTCAGATCGCCATTACATCTTTTGCAAGACGAGGGTCCGCGCCCATAACTCTGTCTAATGTCGCATTCCAATTCAAGGGATGCTTGAGCGAGATTCACCTGTCGCACGCAGCAGGTGACTCGGTTTCGAATAATGCTTCACAACTCATCGACTGTCAACTCGAAGAGCAGACCTCTTCCACTGAGAAGCCACGATGGAGCGGCAAGACCGATTTGATGTTTCACGTGGGTCAGACGAAAGTATTCAACTTCCCTATCACATTCCGAGACTCGGGCGAAGTGGAGGTGATCAGCTCCAAGTTCGACATAGAGACCGAGCGCTTCGACCTCGTCGTGTCAACCAACGAGCTGCCCTTCAACCATGCACCGAAATGGTGGATACCGTCAGGGACTACCGTCAAACCACGGAAGCTGCAGACAGGCTCTGGGTCCGCCGTGAAAGTCCTGCCTAAACCCCCGAAGATGGAGATCCGTCTTCCCGATGTGCGAGACCACTACTACACCGACGAGCCCGTCACCCTCGCCATGGAGATCTTTAATAAAGAAGACGAAGACACCGAAGCCATGCTGGAAGTTAGACTACTCGGCCGTTCCAAGGACTCCCTGGGCTACTCCTGGATCCGCGACGCCGCGTCCCCCATGAAAGAAGCTCCGCCACCCGTTGACAACGACGATATGGACCTCCCCGGGCACGTCGTCGGTCGTCTTGCGAAGGGCGAAAAGACCATCGAAAAGATCCGCTTCACAGCGCCTTCGGATCCCGCCGACTACGCGCTCGAGGTCAGGGTCCTCTACCACCTGCTCAGCGACCGCGACATCCCCATCTCCAAGATCATGATCGCAGACCTCGTCTTCACGTCACCCTTTGAGACAAGCTACGAGCTCACTCCGCGCGTCCACCCCGATCCGTGGCCGAGCTACTTCTCCCTCACCCCCTCCTCTGGCGACGCCTTCGGCATAGCACAAAAATGGCATCTCACCGCCAAAATCGCCTCTTACGCCACCGAAACCCTTGAACTCAAAGACGTCGCCGTAGAAACGCACACCGTCCACGGCGGCGCCACAAGCACCATCACCCGCGAGTTCGACACCATCGGACAGGAAGACTCCGTAATGGAGCCACAAGCCCTGCACTCCCACAGCTTCAACATCGACGTGCGCAAGACGAACCTCGAGGAGCGCCGTCCTACCGCCATAGACACGAGTTTGAACGTCCTCTGGCGAAGGAAGGAATCAGAGGATATGCAGACGGTTACGACGACGATTCCCATACCAAGGATACAGATCCCTGGCGGCGAGCCGCGTGTCTTGGCCTCCGTCCGTTCATCGCCATCAACTCCAGGTATCATACATCTCAAATACACGCTTGAGAACCCGACCATGCACTTTTTGACTTTCGAGGTCGCGATGGAGGCGAGTGAGGAGTTTGGATTTTCGGGCCCGAAGTTGAAGACGCTGCAGATACTGCCGATGAGTAGGCAGGAGGTGGGGTATGTGCTTGTGCCGGTGGTGAAGGGAGAGGGTGCGGAGGGGTGGGAGACGGAGGGTGGGAAGAGGGGATGGTGGATTACGCCGTGTTTGAGGGTGACGGATAGGTACTTCAATAAGACGCTGAAAGTGCTGGCGACGGATGGTATGAGGAGTGATAAGAAGGGAGTGGGGATTTGGGTGCCTGGGGATGCTGGGAAGGGGCCTGAGGGCGAGGAGTAAGGGTGAGGGTGAGGTGTTGGCATGTAGAAGCGTATGTGCTTTCTATAACGCTGGTTCAAGCAATGTAACTTGTTGGGGATGCATAGAAATTTCTCTACTGTCAAGACAGATCGTCATGCATCACGCGCAGACTCACTGATCAGCCATGCTCACGTCACTCATACCCATCCACATGGACAACGGAGAGTTCAAGACCTCATGCCCAAGCGAAGTCTTCCCTTAGCCTCAGCCTTCAGCTAGACAATAAGTACTTGTTATTTCTTCTAGCGAATACCAATCAATTGATTCAATGAGTGTAAAGAGTTGGAATAATAGATGTGACCCCTTGACGCCCCCAGTGTCGCATTCTCCAACGCTTCCAAAATCCCAAAATCACCGGCACTGATCCCCACAATCACTTACCCTGGACCCCGTCACGGACAAAAGCACTCGCCAGCACCACACAGCTAGCTCGCCCCCAAAGGAACCCAGAAGTTTAATGGGCAAGATAGCAACCCACAGAAGAGTGCTGCAGGAAAGCCTTCCTCTTTGCACCCCCGGTGTCTTTGAGAAAGGCGAACCCTCCAAAACTGCAAGCCACAGTCAGTGAACATTCCTTTGTTAATTGCATAGCCGGGACGGGTATTACCAGTCGGATCCAGGGCAGCAGTCAATCCCACCCAGGTCAGGATGCGCAGCCGGCCTGTTATGCGCAATGTAATTAGTAATGAAGCCTTGCTCCCAGTTCTTGATGTTCTTCTGAGCGCTGTGATCGTCGTTAAGGATGCAGAGACGCGCACTGCCGTATTCTCGCACTAGCCATTGTCCTGCTGCTACAGTCATGATGACGTCGCCGTTCTGGAAGAGCCAGTCGCGCATAATGTCGATGTCGTTGGTGGCGATGGAGGCGCCGCCAGAATTGCAACCTTGCCAGGCGCGTTTCTCAAGGTGGGCGAGCGCGTCGGTGGCGGGGTCGTAAGGCTGGAAGGAGGTGACCACAGTGGGCTCTACAGTGGTAGGCACCGCGGTGGTGCAAGTGGTCAGAAGGACGAGAGAAGTTAGGATAGAGAAGTACATGTTGGAAAGCGCTTGTGTGATGATTGAAGAAACCAAGCTGTAGACAATTCAAAGTGTGAATGGTTTTCAAAAAATAGGTGATCGAGGGCCTCTCTTATATTGATCTTTTACCCCGTGGATCGTGGGCTGGGTCTGTATGTTCTTAGAATAGAGACTCGGTGAACACTCAGTCAGTACTGTGTCTGGTGAGTTTGTCAACACCGAATTACTGGTCGTTATTACCCTGTTGAGTTGGCCTCCATAGCTGCAATATGCAGAGCATGGATACTGCTTTAAGGTAATAAGTCAGGAACTAATCAAAGCCTAGACGACTCATCGTCCGGTGCGGGCTTCAAAATCCGGTACAGTCGACAACGAGGGCGGCAATCTTACTCTCAAGGTTGAGGTTGCCTTTATAGTCTCAGCTCGTACAGTGCCGGCTGAACTTACGGATCTCACCGTGTGTTTGCGCTTTGGGGCCTCTTTATGAACCGACTTCTGCGACTGGGAAAGGACAGTGGGCGAAAGCCTGTTGCATGTACCGCTCATACTCCAGACATTCACCGCTTTCGGTAGCCTAATTCATTGACGTATGCAGTATTATCCAATCGTTTCCAGTCTTGCTGATTATCCCTGCACTACGTTTCTTGCATGTCAGTATATTGAAGCGACCCTGCAACTACCCCCAACGAAACCTAACACTTCGGAAAACCATCAACCAGACCGTGTAGCCATATTCCTCATGTATTCGCCCATTGTGGGAGTGACGGTGAGGCGGATTTCGTTCTCGCTAGCGTAACCGAGCAGCGGCGCAAGCCTGATCGGTGTACGTCGACAAAGGCATGGAAGATGTAGGAGAATGGAAGTGAGGTGGGCGATGTAGAGTTGACTGCGCAGTTGTATTGAGCAGCTACATCGCGTACCATGGTTCCATCCTAGGCACCACCAGTCAACAGAACACCAACAAGTCACTTCAAAGCTATTCCAATGGACGTTGCCTAACAGCACGTGATCAAAGTCTGAGAGAACCCCCATCATGGAAGCATCCACTCCGCACACTCGATGATATGACTTTGGAATCGCCACGAAGGATGAGAGAAGATCTCGTGGGCATTGGAATTTGCAATGGTCGTAAAAGCTGCACCTGGGGGATCTCCGCCCGTTGTTTCCTATCTTCCATTGTCCTATAGGCTGATCGATATATGACACTGAGATACTAAACCCTCGTCTGCGCGAAGGATTGCAGTGTCGCGTACTTACCGTGTACGTGTTGGCCGACTAAACAAGCGCCGGGGTGTACCCACCGGTCACCTTAGCACGCGGTTCGGTGATATGTTCGGACTCACAAAGACGCTTCTTTGAACGCTTTATAGTATCAGAGCTACGTTAATTGCATACAATTACCCCAAGAAACATAGAGAGGAAACTCTTCTCTTTTTATTTATTAAATTTATATTTTATTTCTTTTGCGTTGTTTGATAAAGGAAGAGTAAGCTAATGGGATCATCTTTTTGTTCGCCTATTTGGCAGGTAATGAGTCCGAATTTTTGACCGAACCGCCTGCTTAGGAAGAGTTCAAGGCGGAATTACCGAAGAGGCTTGCAGCTGTCCACACGATCAAGGCGTCTACAAAGATCACCTTATTGCTCCTTTCGTTGCTGCCCTTCACCCACAAATATCGTCCCGTCAACTGACAGGTGGATCTTGCTATTCCAAAGTCCTACCGCTATTCATCGAGACTAAAAGCCCACGATGGTGCAGCTCGGCCTGCAAATGGGCATGGTGAGTCTCAGCGTATGAAGCAGCGATGTTGCCACTCTTGTCGGCTGCGCCCAGCAGTTCGGCGGTCCCTTCCACACCCGTTTCACCAAAAAGCCTCTCCAAGAACTGATACTCGCTTTGAACAATAACACGGACATAGCCCCAAGAAGGTACGAAGGCCAAGATGTCTACAAAGATCATAACGGCAAAATTATGGACATGAGGGGTCGGATCCAAAAGTTGGCCATGGACGAGCTCTCAAAGGAAGACGAGGAGAAAGACGCAGCATTGGGGACGATTATTGCGTGCTTGTCGGTACCATTGCCCCTTTCTACCATTGCTACCGTTGTTGCCGAGGCCATACTGCTTTTTGCTCACGGAGAAATGGACGAAGTGGCTGCGGGATCCTTGTCACTCTTGGAGTCGAGGGTCAAGAAATACGGCAATGCTATCCTAACAAAAGACAGCATGTGCAACAAGAAGGCGAATGCACTAGAAGACGTCAGGCGAAAATTGGAACAGCTGAAACAGACAATTCCCAACATACCCTGGCACACGGTCCTTTTGCCGCCAAGGACAGCGGCTGAAGAGGCGCTATACGCTCCATTTCTGCAGCGTCTTCTTGCCAGTCGAGCAGACGACGAGATTCTCTATGTTAGGTCGACCCAGCTCCTCGGGCTGGCCCTCCTCATGAAATGCTACGGATGGATGATTAACGTTGAAGTCGAGGGTCGAGAAGGAAACATCGAGTCCCCATGGGAGAGGAAGACTGGCGCTTTGACTGTAGTATTTAGTACTCAATCATCAAGCAAGCATCCTGACCGTACCTACATCGAGAGCCGCGAAGATAAAGTTAAATATCGCCAGAACCGTCGATTCAATCAATCCACGTCCTGCAAAGCCAACAATTTGAGCAAGATCGGCGGCCTTGCGATATGTGACAACGAACACCATGCGTACGATTATCGGAAGGCTTACTCCAAGGTTCAAAAGACGCTACAAGAATCCAGCACTCTCGAATTGTCATTCGACAAAGATGTCCTTCGCTGCACCATGAAGCACAGTTTCGATGACGATACAATTGATGAACAATGCCAAGATTTTGTAAGGACGTTCACAGAAAATCTGCCCCACTGTGTACAGGACGCTATCTCGTTGTCACTGGGTGAACATGACTGGTGTGGTCTCATGAAGCAGCTTAAGCATCAGAGTGGGGGGCAAGAGTTGGATTCGTACCCTTTGTTCCGGATGGCCACAAAGGCGAAGGATCCGACCAAGCTGTGGGCTCTCATGGGAGCTATCACAGGCGCACACGATTTTATTGCCAGAGCTTTGATAAATATTGACGAACAAAGCACAGTGAGAATTCACACAAGCTTGGGATTCATGGATCCGACACGTGAAGCGAACGTATTCATAGAGAAATTGTTTGGAACCGGAGTAGTCCTTGGAGAGGTCGTACTATTCTGCGCTGTCAAATTTGCAGGGATACAGGCAAGATCAAGTGGTCTGACATCGGGCGTTCGGGTCGAAAGTCTGATAGGGTACTGGAACGGAGAGCAAGGTATCCTCGCGACCCCAGTCTACGAGCGTACTGCATACTGGGACCTTGCAGAGGATAAGAAGCGACCTCTGACGCTACACAACATGCCGATTGCGGGCATGCCTCTGGACGAAGGAGGATGGATCAAACCGGGCCACGTTGACCGAGTAATCCAGCGAGCCTCATCCACTGCGAGCTTCAACCCGGACAGGGAAATCCGTCCGTGCGATGTCATCATCGAGTACCGCCCACACTTTGAAAACGACAGTTCTAGTGTTGTTGGTGCTGTGTATCTCAACGGCGTCTTTCATAGCCTATGTTCCTTGGAACGAACCATGCCGGCTGCTCATGAGCATCTCTCCGTATGCGACCATACCAACAAACCTCCCGAACCTGCTTCAGCGTACTGGGTCGCCGACATAGGATCTTTCGAGACCGGCGTCATCCCATATCTACGCAATGACAGTGTCGGGGCAGCCGAGCAGCTCCTACTCTTCCAGCCGCAAAACGATCACGTATCCCGGTTTGTCACTTCCCAAGTAGTGGATGGATACCTTATGGTTCAAAAAGGTTGCCTGGACTGTGCCGTACGGCAGGCGAAAGACGCGCGATGCTCTTTTCTGATTCCCGAAGTGGTGCACTCGACCGCGATTGGAAATGCCGTGAGCACGACTTGATCTATAATGATGTTCTTTTGATGCTTTCTTTACTCATTACATCCGTCGAGTCTGTAAGGATCTAGATAGTTAAAGCTTAGATCCTAATCAACAAGAGGCCAAGAAGCCTCCAATTCAATTTGCAGCTTTGTTTTCGTTGTACCTGCGAGCAGCTTCGGAGATTGTCGCGTTCAGGAGCTTAGAAGCTTATGCGTTGAATTGATTCGTATATTCATGCGCCTGCTTTCGATACAGATTCCGCCATTATGTAGTCTACAGCTTCTCGCGCTGCGCCAAATATCCCCACCACGACATCCATCACTTAACCAACAGCTCAGATTGACGCCACCCCAATTCCAGATCGGTTACAACCACTTGTGCAAGATGATGCCCAAACTTGCCCACATTGTTATACAATTTGCGCCGCAGCTAATCTGATACGACACTGCAATCTTTAGCCCGGGCGAAGTATTTGTCCAATCTTGTGCTACATTCAGCCTGCTGCTCTGATCATGTAGTAGGATCGTTGCAACCTGTAGGGCCATTTTTAGAAGGACAAGCGTGTATCAATCCAAGGCCGTAATGAAAACGCTGACTACGTACGCTCTTTATATACAAAGCCTATGTCCACTCCTATTAAAACCAATCAAATAACCTACCTAAACAGGTACGAAACTAGTATACCACGTATAAGCTATGCTAACCATTTGTTCAGCTTAACAGGGACAGAGATGAAAGAACACGGTGAGAAATGGGAACACCTCGTCCGGGCTAAGAATTGCAGTGCAGTCCCCAGCCCATCATGGTACTGACTAGACGCTGAGGCTGATAGAGAGCACCTCGTCCGGGCTAAAGATTGCAGTGTCGATGCCGAAAAGGGACGAAAGCCGGTTTCGATCTCGTTTCGAAGTTAATCCTGATTGACACAATTCAAGCGACCATAGATTCTGAACAGTCCGACACTAAAGTCATTCAAACGTGCGCATCCACCTGGCGTTTCAATTTGGTGTGAATCGGACGTGTGGTTGTTGAGATATCGATTTCTCCCATCATCTGCCTTGTTGTACGTAGAACTTGACGCAGAACGACTGATATAACAAAGAGAACATGATATGCACCTCCGTTCAGGTCTTAGTTCGATCTCTTCCTATTCGCTTCCTTTTGAAATGATTAGCCATTCTTCTGCCTCCAAAAGTCAGCAAATCACATATACCTAGGTACTCTTTGTTTCCAAGGCCTATATCCACTCCTATCAAAAAGCAATCTAGAACCTAATCAAATTAGCATCAAACTTCGATCCCATCCAGAGGCCGTGCTAATCGTTCGTGGATATCAACAGGGACAGAGATGAAAGAACGAGGCTGAGAAATAGGAACACCTCGTCGGGGCTAAAGATTGCAGTGTTGGTTGGATATGTGGATGGGCACAGACTAGTTGAAGCATAGATTCACTGCTGATTGGATCACGAGGCTGAGAAGGGACCCCCCTCGTTTGCGCTAAAGATTGCAGTGTCATGGTCAGACACCTCGTCTGGGCTAGAGATTGCAGTGCAAAGCGACTACCCATGCAACCATGCACGCCAGAGCACCCTACCATATTGGATGGAAAGACATTGACCACACAGGAAGACCAAGCTGTGAGAGGCTCGTTTTGCCAAATAGCCCTAGCAAGGGCTTGATTGGAATGCTCATCCCAAACATCCATTAACACCTCACTTTCAGAACGACTTTAAAGGTAAGAGTAGATGTACTTCATCAAATCGTATCATTCGTAAACAACTACAGGAGCCGTCCCAACCCATGTCCATCCAGCAATGCATTCATAGCCATGGTATACCCAATCCATTCCACCCATCCATTCGTAAAAAAAAAAAAAAAGGAATGAACGGAATGCCATGATAGCTATCCAAAACTTCAAAACTTCAAAACCTGCTCCCACCCCCGCGATAGCAGAAAGCCAATTATGCCCGCCAAAGAACGGAGAAATCCACCAAGGAAATCGCAAAACACAGATTCGTAGCTAATACCTCGCACCAGGCGGTGCACCACCCGGTGGCGGCGGGAGCGCGCCGTAGGGATTCGCATCGACGTAGGCCGGACCGTACGGGGCGGCAGCTAGAGGATAGGCATACGGATTAGCCATGCCTTGACCATTGAGAGCATTCTGCCGGGCCTCCTTTTCTCTCCGCTCGCGCATCTTCCTCCTCTTACGGCGCCTCTGCTCCAGCTCATGCACACTGTGCCGCTGCTCGTTCATCTCCTTCCACTCGGAGAAGGCAGACTTGATGCCCAGCGCCGCGATACCCACGGCCGCCGCATCCTGCAGCATGTTCTTGGATTTGCGCTTGCGAGCTTCCTCGGCCGTTATCTCGCCCTCGGCAACAAGCTTTCGGCGCTTTTCCGAGGCCACCATGGACGAGTAGACGCCGTGCGCGGCGTGGATGGTGGCAACCGTGGCAAGCCCGGCAGTCAGGAGTTCCTTACCTCTCATCTTCTTGCGCTTCTTCTCCATGTCGGTCGTCGATGTGGAGCCAGAGCTGCTATCTCCCCTCCCACGTTGCGACCCGCCTGGAACGAGTGCTCCTCCTCCAGAGGCTGCCGCTAGTCTACGATCTGGATTAGCTCGTGGAGCGTCGGAATAGGCACCGTCCATACTACGGCCCCGGTCGTACCCGCGGGAGCGGCGATTCCGGGATGGTGGCTCATATTCGTCAGCGCTGTCGTACGAAGGTGAGCGCTCACGCCTGGAGCGTGACTTTGAGCGCACGCGATCGTATAGGGCTTTGCCTGCTGCTAGAACTGCTCCACCGCCAACGACCTTGCCAAGGGCGTTGTCACCGCCACGTTCGCGAGATCCAGAACGTGAGCGTCCACGAGAGCGAGAGCGACCGAAAATTGACCTGGCCCGGGAGCGGGATCGCGAGCGTGAAGGAGAGCGAGAACCATCACGTCCGCGAGACTTGGAGCGAGAGCCGTTAGCAACGCGATTGGCAAGCAGACCGCCAATGGCTGATTCGGCCACATGTCTCTTGCTGTGCTTGTCGGGGTCTTTGTCGACGAGACTGTCGATACCAGCGGCACCCAGGGCAGCAGTAGCAATGCGCTGACCCTTCTCGCCAGTCCAGGGACCAGCCGTCTTTCGGCTACGGAAGGCTTCAACGGCACCGGCTACAATGGCGGCTTTGGCAGCCTGCTCCCACTTCGCCTGGGACTTTCCGTGACGGCTTGGGCTGCGCGATCCGTAGCGGCTGCTTCGGCGGTCAGAGTATCGGTCATCGTAGCGGTCACGGTCGCTCTCGTAGCCGCGGTCGCGGTCCTTCCGGTGTCGTGAGCGAGAACGGCTGCGACCAGTGACTGCACCGATGACGCCGCCTAGGCCTGCAGACTCGGCAAAGTCCTTGACGTTGTCGACGATGGATTTGCGACGCTGTGGCTTTGGTCGCTCGCTGTACTCGGAGTAGTCGTCGTAGTCACGCGCTCGCCTGCCTCGGTCGTTGCGATTGTAGTCATCGTAGTCGTAGTCACGATGGGCTGAGCGGGTGCGGCGTGGCTCATACGTCTCGCGGTACTTGGTCTGTCGGTACTCGGAACCTGGCGGAGGGAAATCGCGGGCGACCTCTTCGATGCTGTCTTCGTGGCGTGGTCGGTAAACTAGGTCGCGCATTCCGTCTCCACGGCCGCCGCGCTCGATGTAGGTGGTCTCCGTGACATATTCAGGCTCGCGCTCGCGGACGCGGTCGCCGCGACGCCGTGGACGGTCGTCGTAGCTGTACTCGGACATGGCGCGAGTTCACCCTCCAGAAGAAGCAGGTTTGGGCAGTAGCAGAAGTTCTTGCAGCAAAGCGGTAGCGCCTAGGAATGTTGGATCGGTCGTCTGTTGCTTGGTCAGTAAGGGTACGGAGTAGGCACGGCACGATGCGCAAGCGTACCGACTACAGTTGTAATCTAGCGTGTCGGGCAGTCGCAACGAAGAATAAGAGGTGCCGGCAACGTACGGAACAAGATGGAGGGGGAGTGTATGTCGTTGCAGCGGCACGCAGGGGGGACCGGTTTATCTAAGGGACTGAGGAGGCTGATGACTGTAAGTTCTTGGTGGTGGGCTACGGAAGGCGGTTGGCGGTTGGCGGGGCGCAGATGTTAGAAGAGGGCTGGGCAGTGGGATGAGTGCATGGCGTCATAGCGCGCGAGCCCAACCTGGCTGGCCGGTGAGCCTGCAAAGCGAATGGCAACGAGTGACTGGGTCTTTTCATGCAAATGCTCACCGTGGAGCGCACTGCCTCAGTGGCACTGCTCCTCGGCTCACGCCGCTCACCGGGCCTCAGTCTGGTGTACCTGCGTAGCATCGCTGTGACAAACATGAAGACTATGGTGAATGTCCTCGGCGCTGGGCATCACTCCACGCGTGGTTTCCCCTGCCAGTCAGCCGTCGCAAGGTTTCTTAATGCACTCTGCCAACTCAGCGACGACATCGGATGACGGAACTGGGATACATCACGGAGAACTCGGCGCTGGAACCATCTGTGATTGGTCGTCAGTATTCTTTGCAGTAGTTCTCCCAGGGTGTATCTTGGACCTGTCACGCCCGTCGGCTGTTTTGTGAAGCCGGCGGCGGCAGCTTGTTAAGTTGCGAACCGTCGAAATGTACGAGGATGCCTGACAGTAGCGGCTTGGTGCTGCCTAAGAGCTGAACTGGCTGAAGTCTAAAGTTCCGCGGCTACCCTTGCGAGACTCATACGAGCCTGAAAACACCAATGCGCCGTAGAAGACTGTGATGAGAAAGCACATTATGGAACAAGACTAGTCAGACATGCAGACTAAGATTGAGGTTCTTGTTCGTACTTCTTACACGTGCTGTAGGCGGCGGCACCCATGGAACATGCAGTGATTTGGTGGTCAAATGTACTGTGGGAATAGAATGTGTCATAGTCCGGAGCGATGAGCTCTACAATAGACATCTACATGCTGAGAAGTGTGGCTCTCCACGATGAGAAGAGAGATTGACGCAGATAGCCTCCCCAAATCGGTACTTTGCCCGCAATATAGCACATATACTCATACACTGATCTTACACTTTTTCTTCAATACCCTCTCTCCACCTCCCCTCCGCCCTTCTAATCAACTCCTCGTAGACTGTCCACGCAAGCGCAGAGCTGATGGCCTTCCGCGCGATGCGTATCCCCAGCCCATCAAAGAAACTCCGCATTCCGTCCTCCCTCAGCATCTTCTTCGCCGCTTGTATCGTGTTTGAATACCGACTGGGCATCAGCTGTATCCGCGTCTTGATCGCATCGAACGGGTTCGTAAAGGTGGTTCCCAGACCAGCAGCCATGACGCCAGAGAGGAAATTTATGCCGGCCGAAGTGCTAGAGGAGAGGCTCGCAGTCGCAGCCGGCATACCAGATTTCTCTTCGATCGTTGTAGCAAGGCGGGAAAGTCGCTTCTTGGATTGCTCGTAGAAGAGGACGTAGAGGCCCGCGTAGGGCGCATCGCGGACAGCCGTTGCGCCGAACCCGGCGAAGAAGCCGCGAAAACCTTCTGTCCTGAAAATGTCTCTTGATGCAGAGAACAGTGACGAGTACGAGTACAAGTTGCTCTCGTACCGCACCTTCAGCACCGTGATTGGCATCATCATGAAGCCAGCCCATGTCCGCGCCACCGCACCCGTCGCTAGGTTCGCCGTGTTGCTCAGCTTGGGCAGAGTACTTGAGTGTCCATCTCCTGTTTTTGCGCAGTCACCGGCGCGCAGGCTTGCGCGCTCACTGACCCGCCGCCGCAGCGCATTCAGGCCGGAGAAGTATATCGCGGAGCCGCATCCCGTGCGTAATGTACTTGGCAGTGTGCCTCTCCAGAACTGCCGTATTGGGTTTGGACCGCTTGCGATTGTTTTTATAGTTGCGAGGAGTGTGTTCTGGTGCGATTGTTGGACGCGGGTCTTGAGCAGGTCGGCGGGTTGGAGGAGGACGGCAGAGAGTATGCCCGAGCTCATGCCCGCAAAGAAGTGAACTGCGGTGTGTCAGTTACCTGCACATCTCGTATGAACCACACCAAAGCTCATGAAGCTGCATCAAGCTCCATCAGCTGTAGCAAACTTACAGGACGACGAGGAGCGCGACTTCGAGCCATTGGACATTTCCGCGCCGTCACGATGTGAGGATTTATGAGAAATGGAGTGATAATCTGCTGCGCATTGTGTTGGGTAGCAAAATGGCGGTATTGTAGGCTTGGAGGCAGATGTCGAAAAGATGTCGGGACTGTTTGGATGACGCCAGCTCAAGCCGCTACGACCCGACAAAGCGGCGCGCGTCATGCCGACCTCCATCCTTGTAACACATCGCGGAACACGTGTTAGCAAGACAACAGAGTATGAGAGCAAGCATTTGTCCATGTTCGTGATGTTGTACACTATCAAAGCATGCCAAGGCATGAAGGGGTATCATCTCAAACCCGCAATCCACCAACAATCCTCACGATTTTGGCGCGTGTGCGCGCACAAGTGAGCCTCTCCTCACAATCATCCATCATCATGCCTGCAATCATCTTCTTCACCAACTCCTTCATATCGCCGCAGTCTTCAGCAAATCCTTCCACAAACTCGCCACGGCGCAACTTGGTGAGCGCCTCCACCCGCTCCATTCTGGTACCGAAACGTTCAAGCATCTCAAAAGCAAGAACACCAAGAGAAAACACATCCAGCTTCTCATTTATTTTGCTCAATACAGCAGGCCGATAGAACTCGGTGCCTACTGGTTTGGTGACCGACTCACCCAATGCCGCTACCAAGCCAAAGTCTCCAATCTTTGGCGTGACGTGCTGGTGATGATCACGCTTTGAGCATGAAGAGCAGCTAGCAAGATCAACAGAGCCGGCAGGCGCTTTGCGACCGGTTGATAATGAGAGGAATACATTCGCTGGCTTCAGGTCCCGATGAACAACTCCACGTTCATGCAGATATTCAACTCCTTGAATAATCTCATGCAAGAGTTCGAGAGAGATGCAAGGGTGGAAGCAATGACTAGGGAAACCTTGCTCGGTAGACAAGAAAGCCGCCAAATTAGTATCGTAGAGAGACATCTGGATGTTAAGAGTTAACACTGGACCCCTGCTCCGCATGGAGATCAGCTGGTTGGGAACTTCGCTGTCTGTCACCATGCTTTCGGACTCCTCAAACGTCGGTTCATGGCCTCGAGGAATTGTCTCGACGACCTCGTCTTGCCCTTCGTCGACATCTTGAACAGCGCTCAGGCGTGACCTCGTAGACGAGATGGTCGCAATTGTAGCCTGGCTTCCGCGGCGCATCTTTCCCTTTCCCTTCTCTTCCTTTGTGAAACGCCTGGACGACTCCTCTGCTGGCGCACCTGTGTCGCTGTCCTCGAACTGGATATATCCTGCCGACTCAAGCGTTCTACGCTCAAAGGGATCGTCTATATCCAGAGCACTGAAGCTGTCATACAATGGGCCCGCAGCACTCTCGCTGAAGGAAGGCTCGGATACGTGCTCTATAAGGCGGTTTGGACGGGTAAGTCCACCAGTAGATGACTCAGGAATATCCGCGACGGCGGCAGAGAACTCCATCCATGCACCATGGTATCGAACGATGTTGTTGTGGTCGAACTGAGCAAGGGAGCGGACTTCTTCGAGTATGCTGTGAAGTTCCTCATCGCCGCGTTCGCGGATCCTTTGAAGCCTATGGGAGTTGATGCAGATGCGCTTTACCGCATAGTATGCGTTGTCCAGCTTGTGCTTGGCCTTGAAGACCTTGCCGTAACCGCCTTTGCCGACCATCTCGATCTCTTCGTACTCGCGAGCATAGCGGTTGTTGTGCAGGGTAGTGTGGTCCTGAATAGACGTCGGAAGTTGACGGTAAAGCTCATTCATTCTCTCCATCTCCTGCGACAGTATTGGGGAGCTCTGAGCTGGTACGCCATGGAGAGAAGGCCGAGTGACCAAAGCTTGAGACACTCCTGCAGCTGCAATAGTTCCCGTCGCGGTAGCAGCGGTAGTGAGACCGGTCATATGTAGATGGGTGGCTCGGTTGATACCTTCTTTCGCGGCAAGGCGTTGCATGCGCATGTCGTTGCTAGCGAAGCTACTATCGACCTGACTAGAGAACTGGCTGGCTAGACCTTGGTATGTCTGCTGTGCGAGCGCCAACACGTCTGGATCGGTCTTGCTCTTACCCAGGTGCTCTGCGGCATCGGCGAGAGCTTTGTCTTCGAGCAACGAGTGCAGTAGAAGGTCCCGGATATTGTCACCGGTGTTGGTTCGCGACAAACCAGGGCGATCGACCGGAGATGCTCCTGCTGCTGGCAAAGAATGAGGTACGGACAATGTGGACTCCAGAGTGTTGACTCTCGAGAGCAGATTGTCCGTCTCTTCCCGGACAGGGGAGGTATCCACTTCGCGAGTGCTGGAGGTCTCTTCCTCACTGGACGACGAGCTGTCTCCTGGCCTTCGAAACATTGACATGATGTCGAGCGAAGATGCGCGTCTTCCTCAAAGGTTTAGTTTCATCCGACTTGGAACCTGGCCAGACGGCAAGGCTAGGAAGACTTGTAGTTGATGCAACGACAGCGTACACGCAACGCTGACCACGCCACTGGGCGCAATTCACTCTCGATTGAATCTTTGCTCGACTTGTAGTCAAGTGCCTCTGCGAAATGCGGGTGGGCCACCTCCAGACGCAGGTGGAAGTAACAACAGCGTACAAAAGCCTCGGAGGGGCGCGATTGAAAGAACTCTCAGTGGAGCCTCTGGCTCTATTTCGGACGGCAAATGAAACGTTTGAGCAATTGCAGGTCGCACCTCAAGACGGTTTAAGGTGTGAGTTGCGCGGTGTGGTGTTTTGACGCGCTGCAGCGATAACGCGAATCTTAACCCGAGGGCGCCTGGTGGTTGCCATGGAATCTACAGCATAAACAAAACGGAACATAGCAGAAGCATATGGAAGTGAAACGTGGTCGTTCGCTCGAGTGAATGCTGCCTTCTTTCCGAAGGGCGCAACATCTGTTCTGTTGGCTGGGATCAACAAGCGAGCCGCTTGACCATTTTCAGCAAGCCTACATTTACACGTGATGACGCCATTGCGGGCCGCGTGCACACGCGAAAGCGCGACATCCGCGACCCCGTATTGGGCCACGCGCCAACTGAAGATATGCCAATGATTTTGGTATGGAGCGGTTAGAGCATTCACGCCTTCGCGCGCCCGCGTCAACCATTCGGTAGCAGCGTGGAAAGCTCACATTATGCCTCCGCGCCGCCAGCTCCCATGGGCAACCAAGGGTGGCGGCAGTAAAAGCAATAGGAAGCAGCCGCCAGCAAAGCGGCCTGTCCCATCCGATATCGACGATGACTTCTTCGACGGTACTATCTTGGAAAGCTCTCGAAAAGGCAAAGAACGAGCAAGTGAGCTGAACTCTTTGCTATGCACATCTCATATGTACTGATTAGGCTCCAGATGTTGAAGACTCAGACGTTGAACTTCCGGATGTTTCCTCCTCTAGGTTTGCGCCCACGACGCGCAAACAGAGAGAGTCGAGTCGTGATGCCCGCTTACCCTCATCTTCTCCCCCTCCCATCGCTGCAGACCTTCCGCCACCAGAGACGGAGTGAGTTCCAGTCATCTTCCCCACAGATACATGTCTATCATATGTAGGTACATGCTCACGGGTGTCGATAAGTTCGACCTCCGCGACGACGAATGGATGATGGTAGAAGACGAATTGTTGCAAACAGTTAAGCTGTTCACACAGCACCTTCACCTCGCGGAGTACGAGACATTGAAAACAAAGATAGGAGCACGGAGGAAAGAGGCTGCTGCGAGGCCCGTTGTTGCTAATGCAAAACCGTCGACGGAGGGGCACTTCAAGCGCAAGGCACAAGAGCAGACCAAGAAGCAGAAGAAGGCACTCAGGGAGGTGATCTCGACACATGACAGTAGTAACGAAGGCGACGAGGATCCACAACGAGTGGTTCCAAACAGATCGACTCCGTCTTTCTCATCACCAAGGCCCTCGAGCACAACCAGAGCACTGGGCATATCCAAACCGTTGCAAACAATCAGAGGTGTCCCTCACGAGAATGCATCTGACAGCGATGACCTAGACGCGCTAATGACGAAACCTTCCGCCCCCCCACCTAAAGCCTCAGCAGACAAAGGTCCGGTTAAGGAGCAGGACGTCTTCGTCAAGCCAGCGATACCGTCGAAGACGCCGAACAAACCAGCACATGGGCAGCGCCGAAATCTCTGGGACGATTGGGATGAGCTAGCCACTAATCCGAAAACATCGATCTCGGCGCCTTCTCCCTTGAGGACCCCAGATCGAGCTTCATCGTTCACGAAGACGATTGGGCGGTCTGCAATTCAGCAATCACCATCACGGACTGATTCCTTACACACACCAAGCACGAAACCAACGGACCATGGAACGTCGATTCCATCGAAGCGTCTGAAGTCGACAATGGACGAAGACGACCTCAACAAACATGAACGTAACACACTGGCCAAGGACATACCGGATCGAGCAACTAATCGAGAGGCGCGGAAGGACCGCGACGACAAGAAGAAGCAGAAATACGACGATATACCGACCTTCCTGTTTTGAGTGCTGGGCTTGTCGTGGCGTTTGGAGTTTTCGTTGGCGTTGGAAGATACCCAAACTCTGTCCATTCACATATTTCATAGATAACAAACAATGGCTTCCAGCATTGGGAGATAGATACCTAAAGACAGTGTTTTCCAGTGTTCTTGTCGAAGGTTTGGTGGTCGATATATATTGCGCTAATAGGCTCATCTATCACATACGACCATAGGACACTGAAAACTAGGCTTCCCGTCCGCTCAGCCATATATAAGCAGTGTACCGGCGGATTAGTAGTTGCGTGGGTGACCAGCAGCGAATACCCGCTGTTGTATGTTTTTGTCATTTTCTTTTTCGCCGGTGTGGGTCGGCTTTCGCTAGGTGGGTCATATGTCTTTTTAGGTTAGGTACGCACAGGCAGACACTTCAACTTAAAAGTTTAACTACGGAGCATTAAATTATAGATAATAATAGCTTTTATCTTAGTTAGGAAATACTTATAGAGACTATCTCTAGTAGTGTTCTTAGAAGAAATTCTATAGTTAATAATTAACGCGCTAAGGGCGTTCTATTTTACACATGACTATAGGACACTGAAAACTAGTTTTCCTGTCCGCTCCGCCGTTTGCCACGGGACCGAATCCGGTAGTTATAGTTCTCCGTCTCCTGCTTTGGGTAGTATTAGTACCGATTACAGGTTCCATTCCTCGTGCATCTTTTTCTGTTTCTCCCACTCTTTGACCAGCTTCTTGCGCTTGCTCTTAGTCACCGCACTCCCTGCGGCATCCACGGTTGGGATGCCACTTTCGTCCCATTCCGAGTACTCGTCTAAAGTCCTGAACATTAGCAGGGGGTCGATCTTGGCTCGCTCGCGTAATTCCTTCTCCCTCTTAGCCTCTCTGGCCTCTCGTTCTAACTTAGCCTTCGCTTTTGCAGCGCTAGCTGACTCCCGCTCCGCGCGCGCCTCTACGAGCGACTTATCGAGGGGTCGGACCAAAGCAGGCTGGGGGCTGTTACGGTCCTCAAGATAGATGCCTAGGTTCCAGAGGTGTACGTCGCGGAGCTGGTCGCATAATGCGAGCAGGTCTTTAGGAGGCGCTTGCTGGGCCGCAAGAGCCTTGACGTTGATGCGGAACTGCTGTAGCACCTGATCGTATGGTTTAGAAGACTTAATTACCGGCGTTGACGCCGCGATTGTAATATCGTTGGTGAGCTTTACTATAGCTGTATAATCAACTAAGCTAGAAAAAGCCAAGTTTTGGATCTTGTCGCGCAATTCGGATGCAGGGTAAATATAGGGTTTTGCAGGTGCAGGAATATTGAGACCGGACTACCCTATGCGATCAAGGTCGTTGAGATCTCCCTCAGGATCCAGGCCGACTATGGTGACAATCCGCGTTACCCATCGAGCGAGTAAGAAGACAGTCTGATCTGAAAGTGTATCTACCGAGTTAGACTCCGTAACAAGATCGGAGAGAATTCTCATGACAGACGAGGTGTTGAAGGAATCGCAAAGAGCTGCATCGACTTGGGTTTTCGCCTTATCCAGGGCACTTAAAAGTTGCTGATCTGCGATGCCAGGCTCTTGTATTGACGTAGTGTTGGGACTAGAACGTGAACGTTGCCAAAGGTCCAAGCTCTTTAAGAAGAAGTTGTTGAGCTTGCCTTCCCAGCCGACTACGGCCTTCATAAGCTCGTCTGTTACCTCGATGCCATCTTGCCAAGGCATAAGGAGAAAGCAAATTCGGAGAGAACGTGCACTCCAATCTTCTTCAGAGAGAACTGTCCTTATGGTCGTGTAGTTCTTGAGGCTCTTGCTCATCTTCAAGCCTCGGATCCTACAACCTGTTAGCGCTGTTGTACAACGAAATCAGCACTTGAAGCATTCTACCTCAGTTGCCCTATGTGAATGAAGTAATTCGTCTACTGTACTTGGCAGCCCGGAGTCGACCAGTAAGCTTCCGACTGTGTAAGTTCGTTATCATGATGAGGAAACTGGAGATCGATGCCTCCGGAATGGATATCTATCGTTTTGCCGATTACTTCAGAGGCCATTGCAGAGCATTTAATATGCCAGCCTGGCCGCCTATAACCCCATGGACTTGGCTATGCTGGCTCGCCTGCCTTGCTAGCTTTCCATAGCGCGAAATGACCTTCGCTCCGCTTCATTGACTTTCCCTTGGACAGTGAGCCTTCACTATCAGCTTGTAGGGCAGGGTCGTTCTTGCTCTACGGTTGCAGCCGGGAATAACTGTGCCCAGCCGCCTCAAATGAGTCAATGTCAAAATATACGGAGCCGTCAGCGGTAGCGTATCCAAAGCCGTTTGCCACGATCTGCTCGATGAAGCGGACAATGGGTGGGACATATTTAGTCACACGAGTTAGTTGATCGGGGGCCAAGACGTTAAGTGCTTCCATAACCTTAAAGAAGCGGCGTTCGAATTTCTGGGACAGCTCTAGGTAGACTTCGTGGTTATTGGAATCCATCTCTGCACCATGCAGAGCATCAAGATATGGGAGCAAGATATCGTTCGTTTTGGCAAAAAAACGAGGCAGCTTTCCTGGGGCTTGCAGGGCCTCGGCAGCCGACCGTGCCGTTCTAATGTGGGCACGTAGCAGTAAATCGGCGATAGTAACGGCTTCGCCTTCTTTTGCTGCCGCGGGGTCGGCCAGAGATGGAGGCTTGACCTTCTCCTTATATGCCTTCTCTACTGCCTCGGAATAAGTCTCAGGGCTCGTACTTGAGGGTAGAGTCGGAAGGTTTTTGCCGATGTAGTGGCGGAATGCGGCTTTGGCCTCTGCCAAAACCGAATCGCTCACCGAGTCGTCCTCGGAGGCATGCTCCTGCTTGAAGCGCGCGAGCAGGTACTGTTGGCGGCCCTGGAGAATGATTTTGTCGTCGATATCGGTTGTATTCATAACGAACTTCACACGGAAGCCGAAGTAATCCTTCATGATTCGGCGGATGATGTCGGTTGAGATGTAATTCTTAGCATGGCCTAGACGGGCATCTTCGTAAACTGTCGGGCCACACGCGTACCACGTCACCACCTCTCCCATCGGATCGACTGGGACAAAGGCATCCTTGTTCCTCGTTAGGCTATTGTAGATTCTCAGTTGGGGTAGCTGGGCATTAGGTTGGGCTTGGGGGGGAGTCCATGGCGGCTGTTTGCGACCGTCGGAAGCCATGCTTTGTGTATTCAACTGTTTGAGATTAAGATCAGCGTTAGGAGAATTTATCTGAGAGTAAGAAGAGCCATACTTTTAGTGAAGGAAACGAAACAGCTCCGCGAAGCGGGGTGAAAGCATTGATAGTACAAATCTGATTTCACTTCAGTGGTTGTCTGGCAAATTGAGGCAGGAATGACTCACCCAAACAATCTCATGCTCAGCTCACGGCAGAACTCTGGTTGAGGTACCACTCGAACAGCCTCCCCCAGCTAGATTTGATTATAATAAGACGGGTCTGAAAGCGCGGGTAGCTTCAATAGATGACGAATTAAGTTTGCCAAAGTCGGTGTAGATGACAGCAACGCGATCGTGGTGTGTACGCCAAGGATTGACTGCGGGTTTGAATAGCGTGCATAGCCTTTGAAGGCACCCATGTAATAGGCTAGTCCAATTTTGGCCTAATTGTCTGCTTAAGTCACAGGCCCGTGTGACCCATCTCAGTTAGGAGATACTCGTAGAGACTGTCTCTGGCAGTGTTCTCAGAAGAACTTCTGTGGTTGGTGATTAACGCGCTGAGGGCGTTCTATTTTACACACGACCATAGGACACTGAAAACGATTTCCTCTCCCACTTTACCATCTGTGCTAGGAGCGTAAGTTTATTACAGTGCATCAGTCAGGCGCAGGCTCCCACGACTCCACGTTCGAAGCCTGTCAACAGCATGTTGAGCAGCCCCGCAGGGTGAATGTTCGCACTACGATAGTCAAAGTATGTACATGTGGATACTTAAGGTTCAGAGAAGAAATGATGTAGTGTCACTTCCGTTGCAGGCTGTTCGTTAATAACTGGTAAGGGATGTCCGCCAATGCGACCGCCGTTCTCGTCCTATGTAGCAGCAGCTGTGGTGTAAAACTCGCAGGTGCGTTTATGTGCAAAACATTGCACACAAATCCGCCTTCTCGCCCTTTTGCTCTTCTTATTCTTCCATCCCATTCTCATCCTACCGTCTTCAACGCAACATGCCGTGCCCAATCAGCTTGCCATACCTTGCTTCCCACTCTTTCATTTTTTGCAGCCCGTTGCCGGACTCAAACTGCCTCCTCTCCACCCAATCGCCTTCTGAGCTTCCTGTCCTCCAAGTGCAATCCATCTGCGACCCAAGCTTCGACTTCAGAATGGCTTGACACTGTTACACACTCTCTCTCACTAGAGGGGTACCGCTAGTTCGAGTGAGTTCTGCACGTAGAAGCTCAATTTCATCATCAGTCTAAAGCCTCCATCAGACCAGCCCGGCTCCGCCGCCTTACGTACCGCGAAAGTCTCCTGCCGTTGCACCCAGCGTCCTCTAGCACGCGCTGTATTATCTGATGTCGCATCAATGTATACATGTTGCCGGGGTTCTAGGTTGTGACCAGGATGCTTTCAAAGGTGAGATGGCTCCCCCGTGACCCGGCGATGGATGCCTGCGATACTGAGATTTGCACTTCTGGAAGGGGAGTGAGGGTATCACCTCAAGGTATGTATCCCCTTCCCTCGTTGACTAACCAGATACTACAGCTGCAGCAGGTCCCATCGTGAGGCGGGTAGGGGAACCGGGGTTTTTAGCATTGCACATCGCTTTCCTCCCCCACTCATTCAGTCAAGTATGAATTCCATGCAGGCTGACCCAAAGGAATTGGGAACAGATCTCCACCTTCGACCGACCTTGGCTTCACCGATTTCCTCGACCGGTCCATGTAGGCTTTCCTTCGAGATTCCTCGCCCATAGTTCAAGTCGCACTCTACCCGTCGTCCGCTCCACTTTCAGTGGATCGTCCCAAGTCTTCGGTCGCGAGCTACTCAGGTGCGTCTATCTGGCTTTCGAATCAGCCGTGATTAGTGCTGGCATAAAAGGTTGGGCGTGGAAAACTTAGCGAAGTCCAGTCATCAGCATTCAGCCTGATCCCAATAATACAGTCTTGGGTGGTTGAGACTTTCACGTTCCTTGGCGTGCTGCAGGAATTCACTTTGAGCCATGGTTGGTGGGAAGGCAACACTACGTAGCCACAATACGAGACCGTATCATCGTCCCTGTTATTGGTGTTGACCTCTTACGTTGAGGTCTTCCCAGGGTAGACCAAGCTTACCAATATAATTCGGTGCATATGTGGTTTGCGTCCCTTTAGTGGCAGCTGCTACAAAATTGCCACTAGCCTCGTCGTAAAAGCGATTACTATCACTAGCCTAGTAGACTATACCTAATAGACTATGAAGTAGTTATGAAAGTCCGCACAGAATAGAGGTAGTATCAAATGAGTCTATGTTAAAGTCTAAGTTGTCAAAGACAGGCTTTGAAGTAAGAAGGGAAACAAGCTCAACAGGCTTCAACTCCACCCACTGAGTCCATCGTGGAATGCCTAATGTCACAACCTAAAGAGTCGGCATTTGCAAGTTCGGCGTCTTGGCCTCGAAGGCGAGTAGTGTCGTCTGGTCCCTCTTCAAGTTATCAATAAGCTCCTGCACATTTTGAACGAGTTGTGTACCCAACACGCGTTCCGCCTTATTGGTATCCCTCATGTTCTCAGCGATGTCTACTTTTAGCGAATCCAATGTAAGATCATTCACTTTGAGGTCGCCGTCAGCCTTGTTGATCGCCGCCTGGTTCTTTGTCTTGATAGCCTTGTAGAGCGCTGTTTGGAGAGGCGCCCTATCCTTGTAGGCACCATCCAGCTGTTTCTTGAGTCGTATTGCACTCTCCTTTAGGCGCTTGACCTCCGCTTGGTGCGCTTGCAGATCTTTCTTCAGTACTTTCCCCTTGTTGTCATTGAGGGCATTTTTCTGCGCCACTAGGGCGTTGATAGCGGATTGGTATGCAGCCTTTGTCGCCGTGTATCTGCCGGTGAGCCAATTTTTGCCGTGGTTGCCGATACTTTCGAGATGGCCCTCCATGAAGGCTGTCCATTTTCTATCGAGGTCCTTGTTTTCTTGCGTCAGCTGGGGGATGTTGCTAAGCTCTTTCCTCACATTCTCGTATGAATGGATTAGGCGATCCTTCACTTCCTGTTTGTTCATGTAGCTGAAGACACCAAATATCTGAAAAAGGCGTAAACATTAGCATGGTGACATATGTAGCTGTAAGCATGTGGTTGGCATACCGTGCGAAATATAGACAAGACTTCGTTAGAGTGCATTGCGCCCTCTATAAAGTCTTCAAGCAAGTTTTCGAACTTCCTGAGCTCCATGTAGTTGTGCTTCATCCATGTGCGCATCTTAAACGTGTTAATCTCGCTGTCGCAGAGGACGAAATCGGCGCGATTCTCCATGGATCCAAGGGCTTGGAATACCAAGTCGTTAATTGATGTCTGTATGCCAAGGTCATTTCCGGTGGTGAGGTCGGTAGCCTTGTTTGTGCGAGTGCCCACTGGCACGGCATTTGTACTAAGATCTTCGTTCCACCATTTCTCGAACCACGATCCTTCGACTTTGCCGGCGTCTGTCTTCTTCACCAAGCTTTCGATGAACATCTTCACTGTCTGCAGCTATTATTGTGTCAGAATACCGGAACCCCGCCATCAAAAGACGCCAAAGCTTACCTCGATCAAATGCTCTGTCACTAGTCCGCTGTAATCGTTCTTTTCCGGCAGGGTCTTGTAAACCCTGACATCGAAGTCGCTGAGCTTATCGGACTTCCATTCGACTCTCACCTTGGGCACATCAGCTCCTTCACCCGTGTACAAGTCCGAGTTGCTTGGGTAATCAAGCGAATATATCTCAAGCTTTGACACACCCTCGACATCAGTCTTGTACCGCCGAGGTTCTCCACGCGCAGAAAGTTGGTCAGAATCGGAAAGATCGATCGAAAACTTCTGTTGACGTTTGACTGGCTTGGTACCCTTGCCCTTGGTGGGCTTGGACGGCTTATTGTTGGTGTCTTCGACAATAGGTTCAGATTCGTCGCTGACCTGACAATCGATCAAATAGTCGCACGCATTGATAGCCTTAGTGGGAATAGGAGTTGGCTTGTAGTTGCAGACGTCATCTGGCTTGCCAGTGGGCTTTCCCATAGGCTTGCCAATAGCCCTTGGATGTTTAACCGTTGCCTTACCTGTAGGTTTGCCGATCGCGCCAGCAACGGGGCAATAAAGGTCGGAAGCGGTAGCAGTTGCAAGAGTAGAACTAGATGTAGCCGAAATAGAGGAAGAAAGGGTCCTCGTAGGAGAACCTGTAGTTGGCAATGAACCTCTCGTTGATGAAGAAGCTCCAGTCGACGAAGAAACTTGGACGGTTGAGATACTCTGAGAGAGCGATGAGGTCTTCAGGGTAGAGCTGGAAGAGAGACTCTTAGAGGCAGAGCTGGAAGGTCGAGACTTCGAGCTTGAGGACGCCTTGCTAGAGCTTGGAATAGGCGTCACGGGGGGGACCTTCGTGGCACTTGGAGTTGGAACAGGCGCCTTTGACGTAGGCTTCACCAAATTCTTTGGCGGTTTGGAGTTCTTTGCGGGTCTTCTCCCTGCACGAGGCACGATGTTCAGACCATCGGAGCTTCCGTGATCTGCTTCATCACTGCGCAGTGCCAGATTATAGTTGCTAAATCTTCATATGAGCAAATTACGATTCATTAGCAGTGAGTCTTACTCTTGACTTACACATCGAAGGGGACATAAAGACCCTGCGTGACAATTGCTAGACCCCACAGCAGTAGAACGTTGCGAAACGAGAGAGCATGCATATTGATTGATTGCAAGAATGTGAACAGCGAAAGGAAAGGCTAGCGCAAACTGCACTTAATGAAGAATGGATGAATTGGGTGAAAAGTAAAGAGTGACTGAAAGAAAAGGATGTTTGGACTGCTACCGAAGAATGAGTAGAGATGATGTCCTATCTTTAAGTACACGGCATCATGTCCTTACTTTTGCAGCCTCTTCGGACCTCATGTCTTCAGTCCGTCGCGTGGCAGCTGTTCTGGGTCACAATTGCAATCAGTTCAGTCCGTGAGAGGTGAGAGGTTGGTAACACACAAATTGCCTTCAGCTCTCGGGGGCCATGCTCACGATTGACCGGTTCTTGGTTGCCATTAATGGTTCTCAGTCATTTGTGATGTGTATCCGAAGTCCGTCTGGGCATCATCAAGAGTATCCTCAAGTTGTTGTTCTGGCATTTGGCGAATAAGCAGGGAAGCCGTCAGCTCGGGAGTGCAGGTGAGCCTCTTTCGTGTCTCGGAGTGGGCGACCAGTAACTGTACAGTGTTGGTTGCTCGGCTCGCGCGCGGTCTTTTTCGTATTATTGTTGCTACTTCTACATTAATCGGCGAAACCCAACTCGTTTATCGACCACCTGGGCAGACGACAAAACAAGCGCAGCGTGTCTCCAACGGTCCTCGCCCCCACCTCCCTCTACGCGCATATAGATTCTTCTCCCCAGTACACGACCTCAGCAGATAGACACCAGTCAATCCCACAGCCACCACCATGGGCGAAGACATGGTTAGCACGCGCCGACTGCTCGAGCAAGATCCCAACGCGAAATGGGGCTTTATCGTGTATCGCTGCACCTACGAACGCGATGATCAATGGGCGCGCTTCTTACAGTATCTCAATACGCGTACAAGACTGCGACTGGAGGAACAGGGCAACGGAGACCTGTTCGAGCGCATCGACTGGCAAGTACAGGAGGACCGAGAAAGTTTCGATCACGCTGGCCCTAGAGCACTGAGGAGGTAAGCAGATCTCTCCTTCACTCATGTAAATCAGCTGCCCAAGGGTGGCAACGATAGCTGTACAAGTCGATTACCCAGGTACAAAACCCATCACATGATGTTGTCTCATCACCAATAATGAAGATCCATATACCCACTCATCGCAGCCCAAGCAATAACGAACCACCAAATTAATCTCTCTTCTAGGCATTTCACCGAGGAGGTCCTGCCCACCCTACCGAATCCCAGCACCTCTCGCCATCACGCCTTCGTCGCCGTTTATCAACTTACCCTTCATCGAACGCTCACGAAGGCTCCCCCTGCTGAGGAGTTCGACGCCTACGGTATGGGCTTCGTAACATTGGTGTCAAGGCATGAGAACGAGGGTGAGTTCAACGTCGGCTTGTCGTATTTAGTCCCCAGAGTGTATACACTGTTGGATGCCTGTGGATGGGACAACGTAGATCCCGCAGAGGGGGTTGCGTGCCCTTGAGGTCTCAGGCATAGACGTGGGCCCGTAGAAGCTTGCCTTCGTCGCTTCGTATAATCAAAAGCGAAAAATGAGCAATTCCGAACTTCGTGAGCAGTATAGAAAGCGACATGTTGGATAAAAAACGAAGTGAAAAACATTGAGGAGAGGAGCTCGGTACCGCAAGTACAGATAGATGATTGGTGCTTGACCCAGAGGACACCTTTGAAAGACGACAAGGCTGAAGGTCTAGCCGCTCAACTTTGTTCTCGGACAAACACAAGGTGCGTGCAATACGTGCCCGCTACGTGGCAAGAGCATGCATGGGTGGGTGGGTAAGTGGTCGCACAAATTTGCTGGCGTACGAGGTAGTATCGTGTGGGGGCGTGGTATGATAAGCAGGCAGTCGCCACCGCGTCGCGTATGAAGGACATCCACCCCGCTTAACATACCGTTCTCCGTACTGCACTTCCGGTTGGGTCTGCACTGTACCCACACTTTCCTGGTTTTCAGAGCGATGTTGGGCGTATTTCTAGCGATTGTTCTTGCGTATCTCGCGCTCGGTGTTCTTGTGGCTGTCATCTGGACTGGCCGTGCACGCGTGTTTCGCGATGAGGAACAGCCGTTACTGCGCCCGAGCTCACCAAATGACACGATTGTCAACCCTGAGGACCATCTACTACGTCCTCAACTACCGAGCGAAGATAGCTCGTCGTCCACTATCTATTCTTTATCACAGGATCTTGACCCTCAGAAATATGAAATCCGGATCCTTCGACTCCATGCAGGTGTTCCAGGATGCAAGCTTGAAGCCAGTCTGCAGATTGAGTCTCTGGGGCCAGATATCAAACCCTCTCCGTACGAAGCTTTGTCATATGTCTGGGCTGAGATTCCAGGCGAGGCGGAGATTCGCGTTGATGGCATACAACACAAGATCACGAGGAACCTTGGTCAAGCTCTCGAGCAATTTCGATATAGCGATCGCGACCGTTTGCTGTGGGTCGATGCTATTTGCATCAACCAAAACCACAGCATAGAGCGCGGTCATCAAGTGCGACTGATGGGAACCGTATACGCCCGAGCTTCCGGTGTTCTTATCTGGCTGGGTGCTGAGACTCACGACAGCGCACAAGCAATGCGCGATCTGGAGACGCTTAGTGAAGACAAGCACTTTCGTCAACTCAGCTTCTTTGGAAGTGTGGATGACGCGAGTGGGGATTGGGTGCCAGCGCCCACAGAAAGAATCAATCCACTCGAGAACCTTATGAAACGAACCTACTGGTCTCGTGTGTGGGTAGTCCAGGAGATCGTCCGCTCTAGAAATGCTACTCTAATATGCGGTTCATCGTCCATTAGCTGGGATACGTGCCTCAAGGTTCGCGACAATTGGCCAAAACATTCACGCACATGCTGCAACGCCGAGTGTACTGTTATCGATCCCCGTATGCGGCGTGTCATGAATTGGTTAAACAGTAGCTGGAAGAAGTACAGCAGTAACAACAGCGACCTATTATCAACTCTCAACCAGACACGTGCCCTAGCTGCTTCTGATCCTCACGACAAGATCTTCGGTGCACTTGGATTGGTCGACGATGATCCTTCTCTTCTCGACCCTGACTACGATTCTCCTTATACCGTTGTTTTTACGGAGTGGACCTCTCATATATTCAAAACCACACAGACTCTCGACAGTCTATTGCACACCAACTTCTTGTTACGAAGTCCGGATATTCCGTCATGGGTTCCGGATTGGTCGCAGTACAATCCCAAAGTTCGTTTCCAGGCAGAACGATTGGAGCATCACCGTCATGTATACAACTCCTTCAATTCAGGTGGTAGCTCAGGACTGGGATCGAGATATTTTTCGAATGGCAAACTACTGCGCCTCGGATGCGTACACCTAGGAACTGTCAGTAGCATTGGGCAGAGGTTGGTTTACGACCGGGAAGAGAACCTCACAGATGACCAAAATCAGATTGGGGCGATCAAGAAGTGGAACGAAGTCCTCAACACGTGGGCTCATGTTGCAGGCCTTCCTGATGCCGGAGTTGCGACATACCCTGCGGGCAACACCTACAAAGACGCCTACTGGAGAACCCTAATTTCTGACCACATCACCGAGGTCGGTACGTACCTTGGAACTCGTATTTCTGCAAATGATTATCATCGCTACGAATCGTGGCGCCAATGGTTCTCGGAGCTCGTGCAGCAGCCAGATGAAAGGAAGACCGCATTCTATAAAGACTGTCTCGGTGAAAACCGCGACCATGATCGATTCGACTGGACGATCATGAATATGAACTATGGCCGAAGAATGTTCCGTATCAATAATGGTATGATTGGGATGGGATCGGCAGATATGCTGCAGGGCGATCGCGTTGTAATCTTGTGCGGTGGCAGAACGCCGTTCTTGGTGAGGCCAGTAGACCCCGAATCCGCTTCCAAGGGCCAAGCACATCAGATTATAGGCTACGCGTACGTACACGGCATTATGCACGGAGAAGCAGCACCTGCGAATGACGAAGGCTGGGACATCATCTCCTTTGTCTAAGCCCTACAGAATTAACGCTTCAACAACACCATACGAGTGGCGAGTGGAGTCTAAGGGAGCCTTCTGTTCAATAGTACGAGTGTTCTATATACGCCAATACTTATGTCTCGGAGATCTTCTGCAAAGTCTGCGAAACGAATGAGTACCCAAGCTGGCACTCTCGCCTCTCTCCTGACTGTAGGTCTGACATCTGTTGCAAGATGTTGCTTCCAAGGGCCCCCAAATCATCTATCATTTCTTTGTAGATCCCAGATCTCTGGAGTAGGTGCCCATTCGTGAATAGGTTGAGGACAAAGCAATACTGACTTCCAAGCAGAAACCAGTGGTTTGATTTGAAATCTTGCGCAGCCCTTTCCAGCCATTCCCACATCGCTCTTGACCGGTCGAATTCTTCCAAGATTACATTGGCATTCTCCAGACGAGTCACCAGGCTGAATACGCTACAACGAGACGGGCGATACACCTCGTCCATGCCATCGACGGCATTGGAGATGTCGGCAGAGAAACCGTTCAACAGCCGCAGTACTCGTAGAGCTCTCATCATCTCGTGAGATGCAGCTCTAGCAGGACATACAAAAGCATGTTCGAGAGGAATAAGGCTGCACCAAAGTGATGTTGCAAGTATCCGACGACTGATTGGCCCATCAAGGACGATCGTGCCGAAAGCAGCCAAAGTCGAGTGCATGCCCATGGTGTGCTCGGGTCTCTGGAAGGTCATCACCACGTTCGAGGCTGCGTTAGACTGGGGAGTGCGCATCGTGAAGTTCCTCCATAAGACGACTACTCTGGATGGCTCCTTGGAAGTCTCGAGGCTGCTAATCCATTCCGCAATGGCCTTCCTCTCCTGGACTGTGAATGCGCCGAACATGCGCCCCTTCCACCCCAATTCTGCGAACAAACGGCTCTTATCTGGATCTCCAGGGACAACCCACGACGATGTGGCCAGTATCTGAAGAAATCGATATTTGCGACGTTCCCAGCCATCGCTATGCATCCAGGCGGAGACGTTCATACCTCGGAGACCTCCTATCACTGCACGGCAGGATTGATGAGCTGCATTGCTAGCTTCTCGTTTGCGCGAAAAAATATCCAGGACTTGCTTATCAGCCACGTTAGGGATGGATGGTGATGAGCGTATCATCGTGGCAAGAAGATACCCGGCTTTGACACCTCGCCAATTCCGCTCCCGAGTGCAGGGCTCGCCGACCTCAAGAAACTTGAGAACGGCATCCAAGGCCATAGCGGTATGTCCACTGTCCGCGTTGTCGATTGTAATATGAAGATTGAAGTAGCTGGGATCCAAGTCTAATTCTTTGAGCTCATGAGCTGCAAGTAAGGTATCGAAAGCAACGGCTTCGTATGCCAGGTTGAAGCCCATTACTTCTGCAAGGAATTCGTCCGGAAACATTCCAAGAGCGAGTTGCGCAACGGCTGCGGCCCAAATGTCGGGATCATCGTTCGGATTGGCTTTAGCATCAATGAATTCGGCCGCGTCCCCGGCTGGCAAGGATAAGCCGAAGCTGCGAAGCAATTTCGAGTACAGATGGACATGATTTTTCTTCAAGTCTCCATCTCCTAGCTCCTCGGAGAGGATTTGCCATGCGATGCGGGTAATTGGCCTTAGCTCGCATGCTGTCCTTCTATGGTGAATCCTGGAGAGCCAGGCGCCATCAATAAGTTTGACTGGGGCTGCACGTTCTAGCCAGTACTCAGCATGCTCACGCGTGAGCAACAACTCTCGGTGACCTCCTGCTTTGCGTCTTTGTAGATAGGAGCGCCACGCGGCATCGACACCCCGATTAGCAGATGAGACGAAAGCCTTCAAAGCATGGGGCGAATATGCCTCGAGTGCGAGGATATTCGGTTCCGAGCCCAGGCACTGATGTCCGTCCGAAAGTGCTTGATCGAGAAGCTCGATCAGACGCTCGCTGGCACTTGCAATAGTTGCTGCGTCTATTTGGAATGGGTTCTGCAACTTGTGGTACAAGATCCTATCTCTATGGGCATTGGTCGACGTAGAAGCCTGGACTGCATGTCGTTTGGGTAGGTTGGCAGCACTCTCTGATCTGCTGGACGGGCTTGATCTGTAACGACCCACAAGTGTATGAAATATCAGGACAAGTATCAACGCAACTAAGAGATGGCAAAGCAAGACACGAGGTTCCAAGTGCCAGCACCAGAACTTAAGACTATGGAACAAACCAGCATTATCAATCGCGATGTTCCTCGAGGCTGTCGCAAGCTCAAGGCTAAGGGCGGCTACCGCGTGCTCCGCTTGAGTCACAGGAGGTGATAACGAGGGGCGCTTGATCGATGAAGGCATATACGAAGATGCTGATATTTGATGTGTCAGCTTCGTTAGTGCCTAGGCTACCCTTCGAGTTGACACACTAAATACGACAATCTTCATGTGCCAGCGTGGGGTGCCACACAAGGCTGAACAATCCAACTCCGTTCACTAATATGATTGGCAGCTCCCAGCTCATATCTGGTGCCTTGAGGGACCGCGTGTACGCGCTAGAGGCTCAAGTGTGTACATAGAGGGGGGATCGCGTACGTTAGCCAATGGTTTAGAGGAGGCAAAGAAGGCAATATTAGGCCCCCACCCACGGACATGCTGGCAGCTGGATGTAGACATACACTATCCCGAACCCATATTTCCAGGATTCAATGAATAAATTCGCGCTGTCAGAGTTACGTCTCCGGTCACACCTAACAAATCATCAATCACGGTCGAGCTTCGAAAAGCCAACAGTTTTTGAAGCACATCTTCCACAAGTTTGATCGACTGCCATTATCCCAATGGCAACTTCGAACGAGTTGGAACTCGAAGGACTTCGAAGAAAGATCTTTGAATTCTATGATTCGCACTGTAAATTCCAGGTCTTGAAAACTCTGGAACCTAAGAGACACAATGGCGTTCCTCAAGATCTTTTCGTTCTCGACGCCTGCTTCAATCCACCAACGACAGCTCATTTATCTTTGGCCGCCTCCGCTTTCAAAGGTCACTATTCCTCGTCTACAAGCAGATTGGTGTTGTTGTTCTGCACCAATGGAACAAGGAGAGCACCCAGCCCAGCTACTGTGGAGGATCGAGTTGAGATGATCAGGCTTTTGGTCATGGAGCTTCACGAACAGTATCCTGAGTCGCTTGGCGCCGCTTTCGATATCGCCTTGACAAAGGAAACTACATTTTTCAAGAAGAGTACAGCAATTGCGACTGCTTCTCAAACCGAGTTCCCGGCGTTGTATAGGGAGGCTGAGACTCAGCCCTGCAAACCTAGACAGATCTTTCTCCTCGGATCCGACAACTTCTTCAGGGTATTGCAACCAGAGTTCTACCCAGGGTTTGATCCTCCTTTGTCTGCGCTTGGTCCGCTCTTTGACAATGGTCATGAAATTTTATGCTCTATGAGACCAGATGACTCCCTTTGGATTTCGGAACCAGAAGACATGCGTTTGACTATTTTCGAAGGTCCTCAAGAGTAAAGAAGCTGCTGGGCTCAGAAAAGATTGGAGAAGCCAGATACTATGTGTGGGGCCTTCTGCGGTCGCGACTGGAGTGAGTTCAACGGCTGTAAGAAAAGCAGCGAAAGCTGGTGAATGGAATAAGGTCCGTTCCATGTGTCCACCAAGTATCGTTGATTACGTTCACGACAATGTCATATATGCCAATGACGACCGAGGATTGAAGCACGCACAAACTCTCACAATCGGCATATCAGGATGCACATCATCAGGCAAGACGACGTCGACAGCACTCTTACGGCAGTTGCTTCCTGAACATACCATCTTCATACATGGGGATACCTTCGGACGCCCTTTTGAAGACATGCCTTTGCGAGAAGGATTCGCGGACTGCGATAGTCGACAGAGCGTACACACTCATGACCTCTGTGCAGCGATAGAGTTTACCAAAGCGAACAGCAAGACATCGACGACGGTTCAATCGTTCGAGGCACTGGAGAAAGATCTGCAAGATGCAAAGGGTAATATTGATCCTGGGTTGCTTCTAGATCTAAGAAGTGCAATGGCCAGCGTTTGGTCTCGACTGCTGCACTTTGAAACCATCATTGTCGTGGACGGCTTCATGCTGTACCCTGACGAAGCGTTAAAGGACATGTTTGACATCAGACTCATGCTGCGGGCATCGCGCGAAGAGAGCTGGCGAAGAAGGTCGAGTGGGTATGGCAACCTGAGCGAGGGCGAGAAAGAGTTTTGGCAGACAAAGGCGTACTTTGATGCATGTGTGTGGCACAATTACGAGCTGGAGCACAGGCCGCTGTTTCCTGACGGTGACGTCCAAGGCCTTGTTGATACTGAAGTCACAACTGTCTTGCATGGAATCGCAATACAACCAGAAGTCGACTCCAGCTTCTCAGACACGCATCGCTGGGTAGTCAATGCAATCATCCAAGGTGTTGAGCGCAAGACTTCCTGACTTAGCCTGCATGAGTGTTGCGATTATTTCGAGCGCCATTTTAAAGTTATGCTTCGTGTTCTATTATCAGATGAGCATCGTCTTCGGACTGGAACTATTTTTGCGTGGTCGTCAACACAGGAGCTAATTTGACGCTGTCCTAAATCGGGCATAAGCAAAAAACAATAGAGCCGCTTCTTCCCGAAGCCAAGATTGCAGTTGAACGGAATATGTAGAGCTAGCTCTTGTGCAGACACAATCGAGAAAAGTGTGAGATGCAGGGTGGGGGTAAAGCGCCCTGGAGACTTAGCGTATTCCCCAAAATCATCTTTCCTTCTTGTTGGAGGCACACTCTGACATGTCGCCCCACTATTGACAGCTCACCTGCCTTGCTTCATAGAGATAAAGGCAACCCTGGGATCGCCAACTAGGCAACAGGCACCTGCAACATCATCCACCCATGACTCTTGATGGTCCCAATTATCATATAGCCTTGCTATTCGGCCTTTTGCTGTTGTCGCGTCCGGAAGGTCATCCTCCTTGTTACCCACTGGACTGGACTTATCTGGTGATAATCTCATATTAAAGAGTACCCGCAATCATGTGGTAAGTTTTGGCCGCGGCAGCTCTGAGGTCAGTTCCACAGTATTGAAACAGTATACTAACTAGTCTCTTAGTGGAATCGTTGGCTACGTGAACTACAAATTAAACAGAAGTCGGAAGTACGTCATAACAACACTGTTGGATGGTCTTGCCAGACTGGACTATCGCGGCTACGACTCTACAGGCTTGCTGGTCGATGGGGACGAGACAGACAAAGTTCTACCCTACAAGATCATCGGCAAAGTCGCTGCTCTCAAACAGCTGATCAACGATGAAGACGTGGACCTCAAGAAGGTATATACAACACACGCAGGAATAGCGCATACGCGCTGGGCGGCCAACGGCGTTGCTACGCTACAGAACTGTCACCCTCTTCGGTATGTCATACCTTCCTCTTTGACTACCACTCCAGCCACTCACCATCAACTTGTAGATCTGATGTAAGCTGGCGATTTGCTATCGTTCATAACGGAATAGTTACGAACTACAAGAAATTACGCACACAACTTGCCTCGGAGCCATACCAGTGGGAGGGTGAAACAGACACCGAAGTTGCTGTAAAGCTTGCAATGCATCTTTACGATCAAAATGCAGGCATTGGCTTTGCTGAGCTAGCTTGTACACTGGCCAATAAGCTTGAAGGTGCATTCAGCCTTCTGTTGAAGTCAGTTCACTATCCTGGCGAGCTAATTGCCATCAAGAAGGGATCGCCACTGGTTATAGGCATCACGTCTCAAGATACGCAGCAGATGAGTTCACTGCCCGTCTCCTATCACCCTCAAAGGTTCGTCCAGAACGGCGAAGCGATCATCAACAGCGCGAATAGTACCCACAGCGTCAACGGCACTTCGGTTTCCGAACCTTCGCCCATGTGGGCTCACGAATACTTCTTCGCGTCGGATCCGTCTGCTATCGCTGAACATACGAAGCGAATGGTGTTTATGGAGGACTGCGATATTGCACATGTGCATTACGGTCTCCTGGACATTTACAGCATCGGTAGTCCCGACGAAGCAGGCTACGGGCGACCTGTTCAGACGTTTGATCACCTTGACGGCAGCATCCCAAGCAAAGGCACCTATGCACATTATATGCAGAAGGAGATTTACGAGCAACCGGAGATCATTGAAGCCGCTCTAAAGGACCGACTTGATGTCGAGTCGGGGAAAATAGACTTTCAAGGTCTCGGTCAACACATGGACAGAATTCGCACTTGCTCCAAAATTAGTTTCATCGCCTGTGGAAGCAGCTACTATGCCTGCTTAGCGATGCAAGAGCTGTTCGAAACGTTGACGAATGTCACTGTCTCGATCGACATTGCCTCGAGCTTCCTTGACAAATTGTCACATATCTCGGCCGATGTCGCTTACGTCTTTGTCTCTCAGTCTGGAGAAACTGCGGAGTGTCTGACGGCACTACAGTATTGCCAGAAGCGTGGTGGATTTACAATCGGCATTGTCAATGTGGTAGACTCTTCGATCGCTCGTCTGACGCATTGCGGGCTGTACATCAACGCCGGTGTCGAGATTGGTGTTGCCACTACAAAGGCATACACTTCTCAACTGGTGCATCTTGTACTGCTTGCTCTGGCTTTGGGTGCAGGCAATGACTCGACACATGATCGACGCAGAGAAATCACCAAGGGCCTGCAACGTCTACCGGAACAGATGCGACGGATTCTAACACTGGATAGCAGCATCAAAGAGCTCTGTGAGACGAAGCTGATGCATAAAGCAAACATGCTCGTGCTCGGAAGAGGGTACCAATACGCTACCGCCCTTGAAGCGTCGCTAAAGATCAAGGAAGTAGCATACATCCACTGCGAAGCTGTGCTTACGGGCGAGTTGAAGCACGGCGTACTTGCACTTGTGGACGATAACTTTTCAGTAGTCATGATTGCTACAAGAGACAGAAGTTTTGAGCGCAGTCTCAATGGATATGAGCAACGTAGGTCGCCCTCTACGGATCGCTATAAAGAAAAATGCTGATCATGATTCAGTACTTTCTCATGGGGGAGACCCAATCATATTATGTCAGGAAGGCGAGACAGCTTTCAACATCAGTAACGGACATTGCATCGAAGTATTAGAGACGGTAGATTGTCTGCAGTCAGTCTTGAACATCATCCCGCTTCAGCTTATGTCATACTGGCTGGGAGTATTGAGAAACAACAGCGTCGACTTCCCTCGCCATGTTGCAAAGTCTGTCACGGTTGAGTAGAATCGCTCGGATGTTAAGCTGCGGTCATATTGTATCAAACCTTATGCATGTTCTTCCGTGATAACGTTTCCTGCACTTTATTTGTAGTAAGTGCATTGTACGGGCTTGACAAGGTGGCTTCACAAGCACCTCGCCGCTTATCTATTCGTGAAGAGTCTAGTCGATGTGTGTAGCCGAAGTAAACGTAACTCTCGTTCAAGGTACTTGCTATATAGACTAGCCTCGCAGCCATGTCTTCCACATACGACCATAGGACACTGAAAACTAGGCTTCCCGTCCGCTCAGCCATATATAAGCAGTGTACCGGCGGATTAGTAGTTGCGTGGGTGACCAGCAGCGAATACCCGCTGTTGTATGTTTTTACCATTCTCGCTGGTGTGGGGACTGCTAGCGATCTGTATCCACCGGCGCAGAGCTTAGGGCACGGCCCGAACAAAGTGTTTACTACACACTTTTTGTCCTTCCTCGACCTCTTCCCCTTCCTTCAAGCAACCTTAAGCTGTCATGCCGCTTAAGGGTGCCGCAGAGAGTTGTGTCAAGGGTATCGTCATTGAATTGCTGCGTTCATGTGAGCCCAAAGACATTCCCATTAGAGATCGAGATCTAGGTGTCTTGGGCTTTTCTTCGCGTACTCGTAGAGATTGCATCTTGGGTGGGGAGTATGGTCTGGTTCTTGACTGGTCGTCCTGTGTGAAAAGGCTTCGCAGCGAGCCGACGCTTGCAACGGTGATTGCTATAACAACGTCAGGGGATATTCTACTCTGAGCTTGGGTATTCTAATGAAAGTAGAAGATCTACCAATGTTTGCCTCAATGTGTGTCAGAAACAGGATCAAGCGTATCTGTAAACCCTTGTTCCCGGCAAGTCCCTTTGTGGCGATTACGCAGCGAACAATAGACACGATTACAGTCACGATCTCGACTGAAAATAGTGTGTATAAGATCAACTTCTTTTGTGTCGCGATTCTCTTGACGTTGGAAAGTAGTGCGAAAGGTATGGCGATGACTGTACCGATGGTTAGTAGATCAAAGAGATAGTGTCGATACACTCACTGAGGCAGTCTGTTACAACGATGAGGACCGTCGCTACAATGAACGAAGCTTGCCTCCTTGCTTGTACACTAGGTTCAATCTCGCATCGCAACACCCCTATCTTAGCCCAGCAATCGTAAGGGTTGATCGCCCAGATCGCGAGGTATGTGACGATAGTAATGCACAAAACACACGTCCAGTACTTTCTCAAACCTGGTAATTTACAAGCACCGATGCTCCGAAAAAATATCAGAAAAGATAATTTCACACACCATAACGAAGTGTAGAACAACACTTGTGTAATGGGTTTACTGAGGAACAAGTTGTGATAAGCGTGCTCGCCAATAGCGTCATCGCGGCCTGACGATATGGTGGCTTGAGCAGCCATTGGCATGGCAATGCTCCAGGCGAGCACAACGAAGAAGTCATCCCAGAAGAAGCGCTTGAATCGTCGATATCGCGCGTATAATCTACCGCAGAGTGACAACGAGGTTATGGCGCTGATCAGCCATATTGCAGCCTAACTTGTGTAAACCATTGGGACGAGAAAACGTCTAAGTGATACTGACCAAGCGACCTGAGTTCGCTGCTTGCCCGTCGCGCGGTCTTATGTCGATAGACATATATGTGATAAAGAAGAGCGATGAAAGCTTTCGAGCGGCCACAAGGGATTTACACAATATAGAGAGCTCGTAATTAAATTGAATCCGGGGCGAGGCCCTTGTGTATCGCCTTCCTTCGCTCTGATTCGTAGTAACGACTCGGCGCACCAATGCTGTGCGACCATGACAATCCAAAACCTGCCGAATGACTTCCTAGGGGTTAATTGATCGCAGGAACATGATACGTTTACCTCGCATCTGGTGTTGTCCTGCGACTGAATCTTGCACAGGAATTGAATATCAAGTATAAATAGCGGTAACCTGCCCTCCTCAGGCGCTTATTTACAGGCGAACCTTCGAAATCATTGGATGGAGAAGAGACCGTAGTAGTACGTATAGCCCTGTATTCAAGGCTACCTTCACAGCTAAAGTAGGCTTACGTCGAAAGTACGAGAAGGCTTAACCATCGAAAATGATCCGGCCCCAACTTCTCTCTCCCTACTGGCAACGAGCTCAGCATTTACTCCTCCCACATCCTTGGCGAATGTAATAAGAAAACCCACACTCTTCCCATCTACCATCATCTCCTAGCCAAACATCTTATCCATCCACCTATTAAACGCATTCTGATCCTTCGTCTCTACAAAATTCCTCGTGTACTCCTCAATCTCCTCAAGATCCTCCTGCAGATCGACCTCATGCGCCTTCTTGTACTTCGTCTTATGGAGGAGCTTCCAGCCGATGTACAGAACGGGGAAGATGAAGATCATCATATATCTAGTGGTCGTTAGTCTACCTCACGAGTTGAGCCAACACACGAGACGGAAACTTACGCGAACAAGAAGTCAGGAATATTCCAATTATCATCGATGAAGACGGTGTACCCGCCCACGAACGCCATGATAAAGCAACCTACGAGCCCGTAGTACGCCGCGAACGGCATAAGCGGGGCTCTGAACGGCAGCGTACTTCGATCGAGGCCCTGGACATGGCACGCCTTGTAAAACGCGAGGAAGGTGAAGCACATGACGCTGAAGTTGATGAGCTGCGACGCCGTGACCAGCGCGACGAACCAGTCCAGCACGACCGCGGAGTTGTTTCCCAAATTGAGGAACGCCAGACACGCGAAGACCAGCACGACGGCGACGCAGTAGAACGGGACGCCCTGCCTCGTGCACTTTGTCATGAACTTTGGCGCTTTGCCCTCGAGCGCGAGCCCGTAGAGAGACCGCGAGGCGCAGTAGACGTAGGAGTTGCCGGCGGAGAAGGCGGCGCCGAGAACCATGGCGTTGACGATGTGCGGGAGACCCTCGACGCGTAGACGGTTCATAGCAACAACGTATGGACTCGCTGCCGCGCCGGGCTTTCCTTCCTTAAACGCAGCCTTCAGCTCCGGGTCATCGTACGGCACGTTGATGCCCACGCAAAGACTTCCCAGGACGAAGAACGCGGTAAGGCGGTAGAAAACAGCTTTGTACGCTCTGGGCATGATTTTGCGCGGGTTCTCTGCCTCGCCTGCCGCCATGCTGACGTAATCCGGTCCTGCGATGGTGAAGGAGGCTTGGATGAGGCACTGTAGGAAGCCTAGAAAGCGGCCGAGGTTACCTTCGCGATAGAGCTCGGCGAAGGAGCCGGGGTTGTTCCAGTAGCGGAAGCCGTAGCGGTCTTTGATGGGGTTGCCGCCGAGCATGGAGATGAAGGTGAAGATGATGAGGCCAATGATGAGAAGGACTGCGCGTTGATACACGATCAGGGTGACTTCTGCATGAAGGTGGTAGATGCTCACCTTTTCCCAGCGCTGCCCAGAATTCGGTCTCGCCATACCACTTAACAGCGAGCATGTTGATCAAGCTATCTGCGGATCAGAAAGTGGGCGAAACGGCATCTGCACAAACATACCCATATAGAAAGAGGATGATTGCGATGATAGCTCCTGTAGGCACGATATCACTCCAGAAATGGATGATGAGGTTGCATGCTACAATCTCGAAAGGCACCAAGGCAGCTTCGAATATGAAGAAGTTCCAGCCTGCAGCGAATCCAAAAGCTTCGTCCACGTAGCGACCAGCAAATCGGATAAAGGGCGAAGAGATGGGCAGGTACGACACCATTTCAGCCATGCCTGATCACGAGTATTAGTTTCACTTTACATGACGCATTGGGCTATCCGAGAAGCTCGCGTGTGATTGCGCTTGGGCATGTTGCATTTGGGAGAGCTCACATAGGGTAACAGCGAGGATAAAAGTGCACCTAGGAACACGATTAGCCCGCATAAAGGTATGATTTTCATGTATTTGCGAAGTAATTCGCTTAGAAACTGCGAAAACCCACCATATCGAGAAAGCGAGAAACAAGCTCGCAGGACCGCCATTCATCAACCCTCTGCCAATTTGCACGTAAAGAGCTGTGCCAATGGTTCCACCGATGCCAATGAGCTGAATGTGGCGCGGTTTGAGCTTGCGATGGGTCGAGTCACGAACCGTTTGCACGGATACCGCAATGGAGTTGCGGCGATATTCCGGTAAGCCTTTATTCTCTGGATCGACCTTTACGCCTTTCTCGTGGTACTTCGAAGTTCCATAGTCGATACCGGTGGAAGCCATTGTAATTGATCGCGACACCAACGCCGGAAAATCCTAGCGAAGGTCTTTGAGAAGAAGGCAAAAGAACCGTGTGACGAATTGCATATGCTACGGTCGATCAGTGAGATGTGAAGCTTGCGAGGAGGAAAAAAAGCGCATGTACGCTTGATAAAGGCAGTCTATGGTGCTAGTGCGTGGTACCAGGCCGAGGATCTCTCTACAATCAGTGGAGCCTCGCTGCAGTGTCCTCAGCCCAGGCCCTTGGCCGTCACCCGCATCCCGCGTTGCTGGGAGCTGCAGAAACCCTGCTTGCGCGTGCGAACACCGGAGCTTTCCCCTGTTTGCCACGCCTCGTTGGTGCTCGGTGTCGTTCTGGACGTAACGTCACACGCTGCGCGATCACGAAAGTTGGTGGTGTTGCGGTACGTACCCCGCATCTCCATATCCACTTTCTCCACTGGCGAAGTTTTTGCATTCTGCTCCGCACGTCCAAATTTCCAGGCGAGCGATTAGGGTTAGGGTTAGGGCTCTCACGGCGCACTCGCCTTATCCTCGGCCAGACCGACGCTTGTCTATCTTTCCTCTCCGGACAGCCACATCTTCCTCTCGAACATCTTGGCCGGCGGGAAACTCCAATGGCTGAGCATCAGGGCAATCCGCCGAGCGGCGGTCGCTTGGCGGTCGCTGGGCACCGGATTGGCTTCTCTTTGCTTGAGTTCTTGTTGCGCTGCAATTCTTATCATCGATGTGATGGGCTGGCGTGATGACTTCTGCCCATCATGCCTCGATGTCAATTGGACAAGATCCTCACAACCAAGCAACGCATTTCGAGGTGCCCAGAGATGCTGCCAATGCAAACTTCTCGGCTCGTGGAGGATGACGCTAAGTGCTGCACTGATGGGCGACTTTGAGATGCTGAACGCCTCCGGGTAATGGATAGTTGCAGCAAAGCTGCGTCCTTTGAAGTCTGTCTGTAGACCATGTACAGTACAAAGCTGGCTGCAGACTAGGCTGGGAAGGCTTGAGATTTGCCGTGCGGAGGTAAATCCACTCAATCACGGTGTTCCTCATCTAGGATCTGCGCTCCATCGTCTTGTACGCGGCAGGCCTGAAGGCGCATGACCCGATACTGGAATAGGAAGGAGCGAACGATCTCGAAAGGAGCAACGCGCGGTTCGGAGTTCTATCAGACTCCAAGAGTTTATGCACAATATCAGACAGAAAGGATGCTCTGGCTTGTGGATGGCGCAATATCATGGGGCCTTCACACGACGCTCGTCTTGACTTTGCCTCTCAATGCCGTGGAACTCCTGGCGGAAGCTGAGAGTGTTGGTCAAACTGTGCTGTCAATGTAGGATGGGCGCACGCTGCGAAATATGCAGATCGCAAGGATGATAACTCGTGACCTTGACTAAACCATGGGAAAACGGTTAATTGCAATACATGAAGAGCACAAAAACTTGAAGATTCGTACAGTGCATCGCCTGAGCTGCCTCCACGTCGCACAATGCTATGGAAAGCACGTCAAGACGAGGTCAAAGTGACTTCCTTAGCACAAACTTCCAGAGAGCTTCTGTAAGTATGTGTAATTGCTGCATGCCTTGTGTGATGAACCACGTGAACACCGACGTTGAGAAGTAAGAGATACTCTGGTACATCACCCGCGTCCAAGACATATAGCATGTTATCTGTTCTTCTCTAAGTAGGAAGGCTCGGAGGCTCGATTGCGTCTTTCCGTGATAGAAGCCATCTCCGAATGTCGAAGCAGACTCCTGTCATTCACGTGGAGCTCATTCAGATGAACCGTCTTGAACAAGAAGTGGACTAAGCTCGGAGTCACTCTAGCATAGACTTCAACGAGGTGCTAAGTGAATCGGCTGAACGGGTATATTCGACACAGATCCAAATACAATTGTGCATGCTACATTTCGATGTCTGAACTCTCTTTTCAATCCCACCTCCCATACATTTTCAATTCTCCGACTGCATCATTTCCGCACACACCTCTTGCCCATCACATCCTACTCCGTCTTCCTCCTAATCCTCGGCAAGCACAGCCAAAGAGCCAAAATAACCCCCAGCAGCGCTAGAACAATCGGCTGCAACACCTTGACCCCCTTCGCCTGTGCAATAGCGCCCACCGCGAAGGGGAATATCGCCGCGCCCGAGCCGCCAAACGCAGCGGCAAACCCGATTGCGCTGACGTGAAGGTGCCTAGGAAGAAGTTTCGTAGCGACAACCACAACAGCGGGGAACAGCGGACCCATCAGGAAGCCTTGCAAAGAGACGGCCACGGCGGAGACGTAGAACTGCGGGACGAGCCAGAAGATGAGCTCGAGGGCCATGGTGAGCGGGAGGTAGATCTGCATTGCATCAGAGAGGTCAGTATGTACGTCGAGGCAGACAGGGGAAAATTCATTCGTTCGAAATCATGACGAGACACTCACCGCAATAGCTAACTTCTCGCCTATCCTCGGCGTTACAAAGCCCAGGATGACCCTCCCCACCGTGATACCCATCCAGTAGCCTGTTGCTACCATGCCGCTTGCAAAATCTCCTCCGTTGCGCACTTCCAGCATGAATTTGACGATCCAGCCACCGAGGGCGACTTCGATGCCAACGTAGCCGAGAAGGAAAATGGCGCAGATCCAGGTGATGCGTGCATGGGGCATGCGGATGAGAGCTTCTTTCATGCGGCTGTCCTGGCTGTCAGATGTGCGCTCGTTGTTTTCGCGGAATACGGCGCCGGTCGCGGTCCAGAAGGCTGCGATCGAAGTGCCGAGTTCGATGGCAGCTAGCCCGATCTATTGGATTTAGAATCCGATGGGACAGCGTTAGGGTCGAGAGCCAAGCTTACCATGACATAGTAGAATGTCCACCACGGCAGTCGCTGACCCTTTGTGATCATGGTGGTGGCAATGAGCGGTGAAAGCACTGCACCAAGGCCGTAGAAGCCGTGCAGGAACCCCAGGACCTCGTTAGCATTCGCCATGTTTCCAATCCCTGCACCGTTGTTAGGTTGCATTCACAGTTTGTACTATTATTTGGGGTACTTACAAGCATTCCAAGCAGCATCTGCGAGTCCGTTCCCGAATCCTGCTATCATGAAGACAACCACTAGAACAGGGTACGGAGGATGCACGGCAATAATGACATAGGCGATGATATGGCATCCTGGAGAGAGGAACGCTACACCCCGTTGACCGAATTTGAGATGTATGGCGTTATTGAGCAGCGCCGACGCAGTGTAGCCTATCTCCTGTCAGTCAGCTAATTCCAATGCATATGAGCAAGTTACATACCGATAAGAGGCGACAGAAACACCAGCGAGATGACCACAAACGTAAGGTCATAATATTGTTGAAGCTACACAACTCATCAGCTTTCACATGACTACTTGTCGGAGCTACAGCACATACATAAGGGATCAAGGCACCATAAGCAGCATCATTGGCCCCCATAACAACAAAGCTCCAAAATGCCGCCAACGTCTTCCACAGGTTGCCCCGCGGAGCATTCCACTGCTCCAGCTTCGCATCCGCTTGCGTTGTCGGTGACGGCAGCCTCTCGACTGGATCTTGTTCCTGAAGTGTCTTGCCTGCCTTTGCGTTGATGCTTGGGGGTTTGGCGGTGGGGAGCTTCGCATCCTCGGGCTTGGAGACGAAGTGTGAGAGATCGTTGAGCTCGATGGATGAATGCGAGGGCTCCATGACGTACGTTGACGAACCGCCATTTTGGTGGATCGTCATTGTGGTATTTGGGATTTGTGCTTAGCAGGTGAGAATACTATGGTCGTGCCTGCCTGCTTGTAGGATTGCCGACAACGTGTAACGACCAATATTCTTTGCGTCCCAAGTCTTCTGCATGGGTGTCCTCACTCTTGTACGTGGTGTCTGTTCGCTCTTGAATTACCGCATTATATGTCTTTCAACGATCGTCAATGCAATTCTCTTGACTCATAATCGTCTGCAGTAAGACGAAGCCGTATTTATGTATGAAGAAGAAAGAAAGACGCAGAAGACATGGCGTACTACAGTAGCGCATCCGTCCACCGACAGGGACCTGGAACCGCATTCGGGCAAGTGCTGCCCCACGAATGCTGTAGCGATACTCCCCGCCTCCGGAAGTTCGTCGGATTAACTCGCTTATGACCTCTTTCCTACCACATTACACAATGAAAAAGGGCGGAATTGCTACATCTGGATTGAATCGACCCGCAGTGGAGTGCTTGGTAATATTCAATTGATTTGTCGCGTCGCGCAGACATTGCTCGATGATATTCACTGCCAAGCCTTATGCGTCGTCCTGCGTTGCACGGCACCTCGGTCCGACATACAGCGAGCCATATAACATAAGGCCTATAGCGAACTCCTTACATAATATGCGTCTCGCAAGCTTTCCCATTTCGAGACGCAGCACGCATGCGAAACACTTCAAGTCACGCCCGCGACATGACATCGATCCATTCATTTCAGCTCACCCTTCGCCATCGCCTTTGCTCCCCATTCGAAACCACGTTCACAAGGTGCCTCACAAAGTGCCACACCATGGTAATTCTCAAAAGTGATATTCAGCTAGCTAGCTCTCAGTCGGCCTCAGGCCTTCATCCAATCGTAACACCCTCTCTGCCCCATTACCTCCTCAAGAGTACGGGCCCAATATACATCCCCCTCCCTCCACAAACGACAAGAAAAACTCTGGGGTATCTGCTTCGCGACTCATCGAGTCATCCACATCTAGTCCAAGCAACAACAATAAAGGAAATAAGGAACATACATGCAACACTAAAAACCATGCTAGAATCAACGCTTGTATTTTTCAACGACTGTAGTGAAGAAGATCTGTGTTGTGTGTTGATTCGTACAACGCACCTCCATATGCTTTCATTCTCCCTCACCACCGACCCTGACACCTCTTCTTCAGACCCTCGCTCGTCCTCATGAAATAGCAATAGTGGGAATAGACAGGTGTATGCTAGATGGCGGAGGGACTTTTCAACGTGAAGGTGTCTATGAGGGCTGGATGACGGAAGGTCCAGCGAGCACCTCGGCGTCGGCCACGGACTGCGACTTGGTGATCATCATGTAGACCTCGCCGTTGAGGTTCTGGGGCACGACGCAGTTGCCGTCGGTGATTTGGGAGAATTGGTTGCCACCGCTGTGATACTGTTAGCGTCCATTCGTGCAGTCTAGTTCGGGACCGGTAGGAGGGGGACTTACGGAGCAACAAAGGCGCAGAACTGGGCACCAGCGGGGTTGGCAGCGTCCGCGAGCTTGAGGTTGGAGCCAACGGCGGCCTGCTCGGGGTTCTGGAGCGCGATGGAGGGGAAGGCCTGGATGTTCAGGTTGGAGCCCTCGGGGCAGGACATGATGAACGCGGCTGCGAGGGTGAAGACAGCGCGGGGGCCGAGCGGGGTGTCGAAAGCAGCGGGGACGGGCTCGGCGCCGGAGGCAACGCGGATGAAGGCCTGGTGGCGGGCCTCGACGGTGACGATGGTAGCAGCCGCGGTGAGGACGTCCGAGGAGTTCACAAGGGGAGCGGCGCCCAGATAGGCGGAGACACCGACGGCCTCAAGGACACGAGCGGTCGCAACCATGGTCTTTGCGTCCTTGAGGGCGGCATCGAAGTTGTACATGCAGGGCTCGACGGGCTTGGCTCCTGCGCCCGCGATGGCGGCCTGGAGGGTGGTGACGTGCGTAGCCTCAGTCTGTCCAACGCCCATGAGAGACTTGATCTGTCCGTCGGTGAGGCCGAGGGCCTGGAAGTCGCTCATGGGGAACTTGGCGAAGCCTTGCTGGTAGAAAGTGGACTCAAGGTGCTCTGCGGTAAGAGCACTAAGGTTGTTAGCTGGGCCTACTGACTATGGATGTGAAGCTGGACTTACAACTGAAGGATGTCAACATCGGTCAAGCCTCCACCTGCTGCCGGCGCCGCTGGTGCAGCAGCAGCAGATGAGGTAGCCGCAGGAGCAGCAGAAGATGCAGATGCAGACGCTTGTCGGGCAACGATTCCAGCCGGGGCGGCAGCCGCAAGGGGAGCCAAGGCCATGAGGCCGCTGATGATTGATCGTACGCTAGGCATGGTGATTAAGAGTTGTTGGTGTTGATTTTGTTGTTAAACTTGTAGATGGTGAATGGGAACCAGCAAAGACTCGCTTTGATTAATTATAAATTTCCTTAGGGTCCAACCAGGGACGGAGAAGTGAAGGTGAAGGAATGTGAAGAGGTATTAGGTACAGAGAAGGGTACTGGATGGAAAGGCCTCCGCTAGCTGATATCTAACAGAAAACGATTGTAGAAACAAGGTGGGCGCCAATGGACCTTATAGCCCTCCCTGTGGCTCGAGGGCCGCACCTGAGACGGTAAAGCAAATTCGGAGGACGGAAGCAGGCTCGTGGCAAGTTGACGGACTGCAGCGATCCCGCCCACGCTTGGTCCACTTACCGGATCTGTGGCCATTCAAGCTTTTTGGCCTAGCAAATGGACCACTGTGATCTGCGAGGACTACCCTGGGACCGCTGGGGCAGGCCTCGATGGAGTTCGCGTTGCTGCGAGGGGTCTTGGTTTTGGGTACGCCAAGTGTAGCACGTCTGGGGTGCTGCGACGCTTAGGCCTCATCCGAAACTGTCCAGGTCGCAACGGCGCTCAAGTTGTTGCTCGGAGGAGGCGCTACCGATCAAGCCACAGCATTCTGGGCTCATTTCTCTGCCGCATGGCACGCTTACTTGACGGCTTGACGTGCTTCCGGATGGCTTCACGCGTCCGTCACCACGCGCGTGCCCGTTACGCGCCTCAGAAAACGCTTCATCGTAGTCCGACCAGTATCAAGGCACCGAAGTTCGAACAATGTTTCAACAGACTCTGTCGAAGATGGGTACGTTGTTGAGCACGGTAGTCGTCGCATGCGCTCGTGAAGTTGTGGATGGTGCTGATGTCTATGGGGAGAAGTACGATACCAGGTTCTGAGAGCAATGCACCACCTTTTGCCGCTAAACGGCTCGCCGGCTGATCAAGCATAGCGACCCACCAGTTCTGCCTGAGGCCCTGCAATTACCATGCGACTATGGAGGTACGTTCCTGACAGGGGAAGGAGCTGTGCCAATGGTTTACAAAAGGTCGCAGATCTGCCCGCCGAACCGCACTAACACCCTTCTCGAGCATTGAGCCTCCTTGCCTGGACACCGTTTTACAATACCAAGCGGGTAAACACACTACTGCGCTTCCGTGCAGGAAAGGTTCAGATCCAGCGGAACAAGCTCTACCCAGTGTGCTGTTTCATACAATTGTCTCCAATCCCACAAGGGCAAACACGCAGCTAAGAACACGCACCGACAACTGTCAAGCCATCATGCGACCGGATCGGCACTCACCGATCCTGCAGGGGCGGGGGCTGCGCGAAGCGAGGAAAGCTTGACGAAAAGACACTGATGAATGATTCATTGAAGCAACGCTAGGCATGTGCAAACGAATAACGGCAATATTGACTCTACTCAAGGTACTTCTGCACCTCGACCACGCGTTAACACACCCGCGACCTTCTCCTCCATGCGAAACTTGTTACTTTGCTAACTTGTACTCATTACTTTTGACCACTACACGCTGAAGAATACATATCTGTCCGTCGACGTCCCCCGCTAATATATTCGTGCCATGCAATTTCTGTCTACACAAATCCTCCGGAACTAACAGCGTTGGCAACCGATCAATGGAACAAGAAATGGGAAGATGATATCCGGGAACCCTGCGGTGCGCCGGGTCTCCCAAGCGGGACGATCCAGTAAGCATCCTTGATGCCGGGCTCGGTCGTATGTGGAGGATAGTGATTGCGGATCAAGCAAGTAAGGCGAAACAGCCTCTAACGGGAGGCTTTTATAGAGCGTAAGGGTTCAGGGATCGGATCGTCAAGCATCTGGTAGAAGGTTAGCACCGTTCGAAACAGTCATCGAGGGTATCTACTTACGGAGGGCTCTTGGACAGGTCCGTCTTAAGGATGATAGGCACACGAGTCATCTCCCGCACATCCTGAATGTAGTCTCCGTTCTCCTCGCGAAGAGTGAACCAGCTCAAGTACTTCTCCTTGTTGGTGAGCTTGGCTTCAGGGGTGTCGCTGGCGCTCTGTGCGAGCTTGGAGTCAGACTTGACGCGGTGCGGGGCGTATCGGCTGGAGTGGAGGCCATTTCTGGTCGGCGACGGAGGCATGCTTTGCGTGGGGCGGTCTGCGCCGGTGTTCAGTGAGACACCAGCCATAGCACCGGTGAGGTCGCTGGAATCATCATCGTCGTCGTCGTCAAACAGAGCGTCGTCATCGCGTGCTCCGGTATCCATTTGCCTGCGCTGGGCTTCTTCCTGCTCCTTGGCGCGTTGCTTAGCGGCTTCCGCGTCGCGGGCAGCAGCAGCGGCTTGTGCAGCCCGACCTGAGCCATGCTTCGGCCTCTCATCTTCCGGGATGTACGCAGACGACGGGACACCCTTCTCCCAGTAAAGCTCAAGGAGACGCTTGTTCTTGTCAAACTCAGCCTTCTTCAACGGCAGCTGGTCGCAGTGTACGCGCTTCTCAAAGCCGAATTCGGGGATAAGGACATCAAACGCCGACTCGTACACGCAGAGAACGATACCTTCGCTGATGAGGTCACCGCCCAGATCTTGCCTTGTCTTGTCCATGGCACGGCAGGCCTCAATGTGCACACTCTGCTCTTGGGCAGCATGAGCCGAGTCCTTCTTGGTGTTGGACATTTCGGCGGTCTTCGCGAGAACCTCGATGTCCTCCGTGAATTCAATGGCGCCGTCGGACAGGGCAGCCTCCAGCTGGCGGTGGACAATGATGTCTGCATATCGTCGAGAGGGGTTGGTGAAGTGAGTATACAAGGGAAGGTTCAAAGCATAGTGAGAACGCTGATCCTCGGTTTGCTTTCCTGCCACAATGTATTTGGCGCGAGTCATTGACTTGATGACAAGGGTCTCCAATCCCTTGCGGATGTCCACGTCTTCAATCTGGAACAGGCTGTTCTGTACACTGCCACTGCTAGTGGTATCAATGGTATAGCCGATGGCGCCCATACGCTCAGCAATAGTCTGGAGACGACGAGGGTTGGGCGGGGCCTGGCGCCGGAGAAGCGCCTTCTCCGGAAGACTGGCAAGGATCTGCTTGGCGACAAACGCGTTGGTCTTGTGGCTCAACTCCTCAATGCACTCGTGCGAAGGCGATGAATCAAAGATGTTGGCTTCAACCGGCACGTTCTCGTCGTCGAGCTGGTGCATCAGACGAAGGGACGGGATGTCGGTACTACGATCGCCGAAGCGAGCCTCCCGGAACTTCTGAGTGACGTGGTGGAGCATCTTGATATCCTTGGCACGGCCCTCTGAGACTTCAGACGCGTTGCCATTGATAACGGCATCGACCTCATCATAAGACAGCTTGCCAACGCTCTTGATAATGGACTTGCCAATCCACGTCTCGTCTTCGAAGACACGTCCAGAGTTTGGATCGACCTTGAATACCACACTCACAGTGTAGCGCTCCTCGCCAGGGCTCAAGCAACAAATTTCTTGAGATAGGCGGGGGGGCAGCATGTTGACGGTACGATCCATGAGGTATACAGCCGTGCCGCGCTTCTTTGCTTCACGGTCCACAAGTGAGTTCGCCTTGATAAAGTGAGCTACGTCGGCAACGTGGAAGCCAATCTCAACGCGGTCATCGTCCAGGTACTTGAAGTGAATGGCGTCATCCAGCTCCTTTGAACCATTAGGATCGATGGTGAAGGTATGTTCGCTGCGGAAGTCTCGGCGGTTTTCCAACGCAGCCTCTCCGTCGTTGGCAACAGACCAATCCTCAAATCCGACATTTTTCATGACAGCGTCGGAGAAGTCGTCGGGACCAAAGTTGTTGTCTCGCAGAAGAGCATCGGTTTCCACCTTAAGGTCACCCATCTCACCCAACTGCTCGACAAGTGTTCCGAACGGATGCAGGGAGGTGATGGGCCATCGCTTGATGCAGGCCACGAAGATGCGGTTCGCATAATCCTGGTGCTTCTCGACGAAGTCACGTGGAGCTTGTTCGGTCGGAATAGCGATCAAGGGCACACGCTTGTCAGTTGGCTTGAACCAAACAATCTTCGGCTTGTCTTGCTGGCGGTTGTCCTGAGGACGAGAGTTGCTGCCTTCACGAGCCGCACGCTCAGCTTCTTGCTTCTCCTTTGTGGCCTGGCTGCTGGGGCGTAGAAGACCCAAGGTACTAGAAGGATAATCAGCAATGTTCGACTCATCGTGTACAGCGATTGCACTTACCCAGAAAACATCTGACCAGCTACTCGTTCAATGACGGCGACAATGTGACCAGCATACAGAGGCTTCTGTTCATCGTTGATCTCTTCCTCCTCCATCAGCAGAAGACTCTGGCCTTCGACTTCGACATCATCATTCTTCTTCTGCGTAGGGCGCTGGCGCAAACTTCCTCGGCGCCGAATTCCGCCCTCGCCGCTAGTCTCAGGCTGAGTAGTGGCGTCGTTCACGGCAATGTTGCTGCCTCGAGGATCGGCGTTATCCTTCCTCTTCTTCTTCTCTTCCTTCTCACGCTTCTGTCCCCACACCTCATCCACGTCGAGAAGTTCAACAGCAACCAAGTCACCTTCGAGTGCTCGGTTCCTGTCTTTGCTACCGCAAATGAAGATGTCGGCATCGAGATCTGTAGTGGTAACATATGCGTCGCTGCGGTTCTTCTTGTTGACCCGCAAGATACCGGCAACAAGTTGTCCGTCACCGAGGAGGGCAGGCAGGGTCGCCTGAGGTAGGTAAGGAGTGAAAAGCGTCTTGCGCTGTTGCTGTTGTTGTTGCATCATCTGCGGTTGGCCTTGCTGGCCAGGAATGCCTCCAAAACCCCCGCCGTTCATCTGTGCAGCTTGAAGTGCCTGTAGGTGGGCAATCTGTAGCGGGTTGAGACCCTGACCGCCGAGCATTTGCTGCTGAAGCAGCACCTGACCCTGAGGTAGCTGCATAAGCTGAGGCTGGCCTGGGTATTGGAAGTTACCGAGAGAGCCAACAGACTGATTGACTGAGCCACGGGTGCGGTGACCGGGCTGGAAAGGAGCGGCATTTGCTGTTTGGTTCATGTTGAAATTGCCCATGTTCTGGGCTTGGTTGTTTTGGTCTGGTTGTTGCTGCGGTTGAGCTTGGGGTTGCGGTTGCGGCTGCCTCCAGTTGCCCTCGAAGTTGCGAGATTGGCTTCGGCCGTGCCCTTGACTGCCACGGCGTTGGAAGTCAGACTGGCCATTCTGCGCACCACCGTTATCGCCAGCCGGCGCTGCAGGGAATGAGAAAGCTGGTCCACCACGGCCTGCGCTTCCACCGCCGCGGCCAACAGCCATGCTCTGGCTGCGACCATGTGCACCACGCCCACCGCGGCCCGCAGACTGTTCAGTCGGTGTGTTTCCACTCGGGCTTGCGTCACGGTTGCTAGAGCCGCCAGCGGAGCCAGGAATGGGGAACTGGAAACCAGAAGTCTTTCTCTTCTGTTCTGCCAGTTCAGCTGCCTTCTTAGCTTCGGGCAGGGCGAGTGAGTGCCGACGGGTATGTCCCGATCCAGCACCACCGCCACCTCGACCGCGTGGGTTGACATTCTCCCTGCCTTGAGTTCCCTGCTGTCCGCCGTATTCGCCAAAGCCAGAGGCGCCCGACGAGGGCGCAGGCGGCGGCCCGCCCATGACGTTGGGCAAAGCCGACTGGTTGCGACGGTGAGAGGATGGCTGCGAAGGAGGGTTCATCGGAACGGCAAGGTGCTGCTGAGGCACCTGCTGCGCGAACTGGAATTGGTTCGGATTGGGTGATACGTTAGACATCTGTCCCTGCATCTGGAAGTTACCGGGCAGATGTTGCTGGGGCTGAATCATGCCCATGTTAACATATTGTTGATGAGTTGCAGCAATTTGTTGCTGCTGCTGCTGTAAGACTTCGATCTGTTGGGCGATGGCAAGTTGTTCCACTGTAGAGTCTGTCAGCAGGTCGCAGACAGGATGGGAGGGGGGCAGGCGCACTCATCAGCGGAGTCAGCTCAGACGGGCTACGTCGATGAGCGATGTGCAGGCGACGGCCATTGGGGTTCAAGGGCCCAGGCTGGCCTTGTTGGTCCATGGTGAGGACGGAGTGTGAATGTTATCACAGCCTGTGCCTGCAGGGTTGCTAAGTGCTATGCACGGGAGTGGCAGTCGACTCGATGAGATAGCGGGAATTCAAGACGACGAAAAAGTTTATCGACAGAAGATCTGGCATCTGTCAGCACTGCTATGCGGAGTGTCGAGTTTGGCGCGGCGTCGCAGTGGGCTTCTCTCATGCGCAGGCAGAGGTGAAGCAAACAGAGCGGGGGTCGGCGTGGTTGGCTGGCAGGCTCTGGGCAGCGGGATGCTGGGATCAGGCGGGGAGCACTTACACTGCGTGCGAAAGTGCTGAGCACAGTCAAGATGATGTTGGATGAATCGATGCTTCAGATGTTGCGAGCGGCGGGCTTCAAATGTTGCAGAGTCTTGTGCGTGATGGCAGGCTTACAGGGGCGGGCGTAGAGAGTGTTCTGTCCCTAGTGACGGACTGCGTGTTTCTTTCCCTGGACAGGGCTGTGGACTTCCAAAGGGCAGGAGGGAGTGCGCGAAGGAGGGAGGGCAGGAGCGATCAGGAGCGACCAAGACAGGTGAGCTTGCCAGGGAACGACTTAAGGATGGAGGAGTGGGAGACGTCAGCGTGCGAACGAGAGTTGGATGGGTGCGCCGCAGCTCTAAGGGAAGGGATCGGCTACACTAGTCAGCTTGTCCGCAAACGAACCCAACGATCCACTTTCCCGCGTACGTCACTGGGTGCTACGGGAGCGAAAGAAGCCTGCTGATTGATGCCTCTGAGGTGTCGAGGCTGATTATAAAGGCAGCCCAGCGAGGCGTCGACCGAGCGAGATGCGCGTCGTGCTAGGTTTGAGGTCGTGTGGTGAAGCACTTCAAACGCTCTTCACAGTCTTCACAGTGTTTCATGGCCCATGCTAGTCATTATTGGTAGAGGCAAGCGACAGACGTGGAGCCTCGGAGCCGTCCACAAACACTCGGCTGCACTTGCTGCTGGTGCGAGATGGGATGGACACGTCGTGCGAAAGGACATCCTCACAGTCTCGAGTCTCGCATCGTGAGATCAGCAATCGGGGGCTGCTTATAGGGACTGGGGTTGCACGCAGCCCACTGCAGGGCTCGTCCCACGCCAGATATACTTTGGGCGCAGCACCGCTAGCCACGGCACATGGAAGCTCAACCACGGCGTAGACCCACCGCAGAATATTGTGCCGTGCGACGATGCGTGGGGTGTGCCAAATCAGCGCGCAGTCGAGCCCTCTGTTATCGACATCTTCTGCTGAGCACCGTCCTCGGCGTGACAGGGGGCGGTTGTTTCCTGTGCACCGCTGCGGAAGCCATGGGTAGATAGAGCGCTTAGCGCAGCCGTGCCGCCGTCCCAAGTGCTGGAGCTTGCCCAACTCGTCGCAAGCTGTTCTGCAGCGACTCGTCTGACGATGCTTCCTTGGGCATGGATGACGCGTTGCGGAGCACTTCTCCTTTGTTTGCAGCATGCGGAAATTGCAGCGTGCGAGGTTCGTTCTTCCTGGCATTGTGCCATGCGGTGAATGAGTGGGTCCGAGCACATGCAGAATATCTGGGGTAGTCACGTGCCGTCCCTTGGCATCGGCGTGAGAGCTTTTCCGTACCCGAACTAGCTCGACGCCTTTAGCATTCAACGCGCGCGAACCAACCACGCCTTTCAGCAGTTACGCGCAACGCCTGCTCCTAGAATAACGACGGCCACGCAATGCCCGCCGCATCGGGCGCGTCGTCCACCAGCATGAACACCTCAAACTCCTTTTCGTCGAGCTGGCTCGGCAGCTCACCCTCGCGACAATCGCCCGTCCGACAATCACCTCAACGTAACGGTCTCCGTTCTTCTAGGGGAAGTCTCATTCTGGACACTTACGAGAGCCCCTCACGGAAGCTACAGCTTGAGTTCAACAACATACTCAGCCATTCTGACCGAGAGTTCCACAAAAAGCTTGATCAGGATGCCGCCGAGCGCGCCAGACTGCACAATGAACAGCTGGCGAGAGCTGCTCAAGAGCACCAGAGAGTGCTGGAAGAGGCGACTCGTGAGATGGAACGAATCAAGCTAGAGGAAGAGAACCAACGGCTGCGCAGGGCAGTTGCTCAGGAGACGGAGATCCAGCGGTTGAAAGAGCAAAAGATGAAGGAGGAAGCAGACGCTCGGCAGCGACAGTTAGAAGCGAAACTTCGAGAGGAAGAAGTCTCCAGAGAAGCCGCAGAGAGGCAGCGGAGGATACAAGAAGCGGCAGAAAAGGCTAGAGCCCAGAAAGAACAAGAAGAGGCAGCTAGGAGAAAACGGGACGAGGATGAGCGAAGGGCAAGAGAAGCCGCCGCCGCACCCCCGCCTCCAGTCCAAAAACCACAGCCCACTCAAGCCGTACAACCACCGGCTGCACCGCCAGTAGTAGCATCTGCGGCCCCGGCAGCACCACCTCCGTCGTCCACGCCCTCAGCCGACATCCTCGAAGTTCACAAGAAATACCTCGCTCTTCACGGCTCGATGAAGCAATTTCGGAAGCAGTTCACAGCCGCTCACAAAGACAAGCAAGATCCGCTGAAGCCCATTGTTGGTGATCTTAGACGCAACATGAACAAGCGATTGGGACAGATAACGGTCGACTTCCAGGACAGCAAGAAGGCGATCGCGTCGATACGAGCCGAGTGCTTCGATACAGCGATAAACGCAGGCGGTCCTATGATCGATATCCGCCCTTTCCTCATCACGCACCAGATAACAAACGACGCCGACGCCCAGTATCCGCAGCTACTACTGTACGCCTGGATATGGTTCGAGAAATACTTAATTACTCAATGGTACAACGAAGCATCCAAGGAAGACGGAAGAATCATCACTCAACTCTCGCTCATCGCCGCTAGTTTATATCTTGACCCGAAGTATATGTTGAAGGGAACCATACCCATGACCGACACTCTCATCGCAAAGTTACACCGCATCTGCCCGATGATGTTTGGAATCCGAGGCAACGCGACAACCGACCGCGCCGGTCTAGGTCTTGACAAGATCCACCCCAACGAATCCGACATGAACCGATATTCCCAGCTCATGACCGGAGTCGGAGCAGGCTACGCAGCCCTCACCCACCGGAAATTCGCAGGAAAGCCTCCTGCCATCCCGATATCAGAGTACTGGCGCGCCGTGGCACTGATCGCTAACACGCCAGCCGAAGCCCTTTACCCGGGCCACTTCCTGTGCCTGCAGGGTCTCCTTCGCGATAATGCGAAGAAGTTCCTCGCCACGTACGGCGTGGCAGCGAAAGCAGTCCTCCGCCGCGCTACGTTTGATCTTCCGAATCGTGTTCCAGAGCCGCGTGCTGGTGTGCAAGAGGAACGGTCGGGTCTTCACGCAGCCGCGAACTTGGTAAGGGTGCTGCCAGATGTGTGGCAGAAGAAGGAGAACATCAGCATCAAGTGAGGCTTGCCGTGGCCTGCACAATGGAGAATATTGGCTCGACTCATTTCCGTCGCGAGTCGCTTGCATACTGTGGCGTTTTGCAAAGCATGTTGTTGCATATACACAATGGCGTTATCACAGTCGACGGACGGACGCGGATAGATTTCATCGCCTGAGTAGCTAGCTAGCAATTACGACGCCGTCATCGTATTGGACCGCACCAGACAGATGTCAATCGTCTCTCCCGTTACCATCGCATCGTGCCTTATTCTTGTTCTCGCACGCTCCCCTCCTATGCAAACACCCTAGCGCACCCGCCTCGCCGACCAACGTCGTCATCGCACCCCATCCCACACTCCCGCCTCCACCCTTCCGCTTTCATCTCCAACCCCGCTCTCTAGGCCACGCAGGTAAGCAGCATGCCAGGATCTTCCCTCTGGCTGCTTCCGCCGCGCGAACATGCCCTCAACGCAGCGCTGTCGCACGTAATCGCCCAGACCGCGCGGCGCTTCGAGTCTCCGCATACGTTCCTTCCGCATGTGACGCTCACATCGGATGTTGGGCCTGAAGTGGTAAGTAGCGCAGCTGGTAGGATAGCGGGGTGTTCGTTTTCGCGAGTTGAATCGTGGGTGGTTGATGTAGTGGTCTTGTAGTTATAGGCGTTATCCATGATGCATAGACGGTGGCTAGAGCAGCACTAACGTTTCTCCCCAGTACGCGGCAGATGCCCAGGCGTGGCTCGACTCCCTACCGTTTCCCGCGGGGGAACATGTCTCTGTGAAGTTGAGCCCGCTCGCGAGCGAGGATGTCTTCGTGCGCAAGCTGTATTCTCTCGTGTCGAAGCCTGGCGTCGAACACCTGAGCAGGATTGCGCGGGGAGTCGTAGATGTAGACTCTGCAACGGTTGATGCATGGGTCGACGAGCGGTGGACGCCGCATTTGAGCCTGTTGTATCACGATTGTCCGCGGGTGGAAGACGAGAAGATAAGAGAGGTTGGGAGAGAGGTGGAGGAGGCGGGTGTGAGACTGGATGGGGTTGGAGAGATGGGTGGGTGGAAGGGAGGGAGGGTGGTGTTGGTGGATACGAGTAGGCCGATAGGGGATTGGGTGCCTATTGCTGGGAGGGAGCTGTGAAGGGATGGAGTGTGGACCGAGAAGCTCGGAAGGAAGGTTGATGAAGTGCGACAGGTTGCCTGCGTACGTCTTATGTTGCATGAATGCGGGAAGGTATGATATGTGAGCGAACTGTGTCATGCGGAAGTACTTGGGGGGCATGATAATGTGCATGACTAGAAAGCCCTCACAACCGTTGTTGAATGGAAGTGAGCAAGTAGAGTACCGGTGCTGACGTGAGTGGTTAATGACTGTGATTGAAGAAGTAGCATCAAGTAAACATGACATATTGCCACGGTGACACACAGCCAACACACAGTTTTAGTTTGACAGCAGCGCTTGATTAAAAGTTCAAATTATTCCTAGAATTATCTACTAGTATTGTACATGACGTCGTTAAAGAAATTATCTAGCTCCTAGATCGTAACTCATTTCATGAAGCCCTTCTTGCCATCACCGTCAGAATCCTTCTTGGGGTTAAGCTTGTCCATTAGAGAAGGCTTCTTCTCCATACCGGCTCCAGACTCCATACCGTGCCTGTCAGAACCAAGGGCTCCCTTCTCACCCCGGAGGCCACCCTCTTCGACACCACGGACGTTTCCGTGGGAGTGGTTGTTGCCTGCGAGGCCAGCGGCACCAGCACCAGCACCTAGACCAGCGGTCCTGCCGCCGGTAGCGTGCTCGTGCTCGCGCTCAGCCATGGTGGCGTGGCGGTTGGCATCCTCTGCGGTCTGGCCGAGACGGCCGGCAGAGGTGTTGTGCTTGCCGCCGTCAAGGGGGTCGAAGTCTCCGTGCATAGCACCGTCGCGGACCTGCTGGTCGTGGTGGGCGGAATCACGCTTGCTGGTCTTACCCTCCATCATGTGCTTGAGGGTTCCGCCAATGTGCTTAGGCTCGCCCTCAAAACCGTCGTAGCGCTCGCCACGGCCGCCGAGGACTCCGCCCTTCTGCTTGAACTCGGACATCGTCATGGCGGGAAGCTCAGACGAGTCGTGGTGAGTGGCAGCGTTGTCTGAGTAAAAGTTAGTCTGGTCCGACATCATGCTTGTGTAATCCTGGAGACAGCCCCACGTTGGGACGGGCACTACTTACGGTGGACCTCATGGATAGGAACAGTGGTGTGGACAACATTAGGTTGGATGGTCTCCTTGTGGACTACTGGCTGGATGGTCTCGTGGACGTGCTATGCAAGTTTAGCTATGTGGACGTATGACGGAGACATAGTGGTGTAAACTCACGTGGTGCACATGCTCGCCGCCGATGGCGGCGTTAGCGCTCTGGCTGTGGGTAGTGTCATGAACAACGCGTTGGTCCTTGAACTGAGCCTGCTCGGTAGCAAGGTTGCGCTTGGTGTGCTCTGCATCGCGGTGGTCGAACTCTCGGTGCTGGACAGCGCCGAGCTGCGCAGTGTGTTGCTCGGGAAGAACCTCACGGTCCTTTACTGGCTGAACAGTGCGGTGGTAGTGATCCTGGTGAACCTCCTTATCGATGGCAGTGTTGATCTCCTCATGCCTGTGAGGCTTGATCGCCTCGTTCTTTACTGAGGGGGCAACGGTCTCGTGGACGGTGGTATCATGGTGACCAGACTTGCTCATGAAGTCGTTGATTGCTGCCTTAGCCTTGTCCATGGTGATTTGTAGATGTTGGTATGGTATGGAAATGTGTTGTGGTGGGTATCAAGAGGAGACGAGAAGAGTACAGTAGATGAAGTACCGAAAGATGTGATGAACGAATATGAGGCCACTCGAATTACACAGTTATATACTCGTATATTCGAACAAAGCGGAACCTGCTTATGATGCAAGCCTGCAACGACGTAATTGTAGAAGCTAGGGCTCCTCTGCACGTTCTGGTCTCTCCACCCAGACCACATGCAGCATGCTGTGACATACCACATTGGCCAGAAGGGCAAAAGAAATAGTCGATTGGGTGAGAAGCATTGTCACTGCGGGGCTTGAGCGCCTTCGCGCCGGAGCGTCCGCCTGTCGTTCGTGGCTGGAGCAGATGTACGTCAGGGAAGACCTCAGATCAGGTCCCCACTCTCGTCAAGTTGATTCCCAATCCATCTTCATACGCCAGGTGGACCGTATCAGTGCCAAGGCTCACCCATCAGCATCGTGGTGGGTCCGCCCCGATGCAGAGGTGAATGATTGTTTGTTGTGCACAGAAGTGGCTCCATCTACAGCCCAACTTCCACATCTGTCCCGCATGGGAATGTCATTCGCTTGTTGCCTGCTTGTGATTGGGTGTAAACAATGGTGATCGAAAGGGGTATGTGATGTGCACGAGGATGCTGTAATGGAAGAACGGAAAAGGCTTAGGTAGACAGCGCTAAGCGAGAGGCCCGCTGTACACCATCGCGGGCAGATCGGTTCATCGACCACTGTTGCTCCCCGACGATGCGCGGAGTGGATCCCAGCTGCCATTCCTATTGGACTAATCTGACAGTTCCAGCATCGTGGGCGACGATGCTGTGGTCTAGGTGGACCCTAGTGCGCGGCAGCGGGACTACCGCGCCCCCAGAACGTCATCCCACTGCAGCCGCGAACAACGACTGGAGGCCATGACCATGAATGTGCATCTCTCGAACTCCGCAGTACACGTTGACCCATACGGATTTGCTGGCACGCTAGGTACCCGCTCTGGGGAGTTCACGTCATACGAAGCCGCCGGCAGTCGCCGAGTAAAGCGTTGAACCACTGGTACAGTATTTGAGATGCAACCCCCTGGCTCTCACAGGGGGAAATGTCTTCCGGTGCGTCTCACATTCTGGGAAGTGATCATTCTGGGAAGGGAACCACGCTTGCAACAAGGTGCAGCAAAGCCTTTCCAAAGACCAGCCACACGGTAGGAGCCTAGAATCGAGGCTCTTTGTCCGCGGAGAAGTGCCGCTTTCTGGTGCTCAACAGCTCATGCAGAAGTACGTCAGTGGAGCACGGAGGCCGCGGGAGTTTGTGCACCGTGTGACTTTCGCCACTGAGGCTGCTAGTAGCGCCTTCCAGACTGGCCTCTGGCCCGAGCACAACTCCTGCCTAGAGCATACGTCGTGAATGCAGGAGGAAGGAAATACCAGGTGGTTTCCGAACAGGGCTACTGTTCTGTCGTCCATCTCCAGCGTAGGAGACAACACTCACTTATCGTTCCTCCTTCCGCGCACTATCACCTACGACATCCTGCGCGTCTCCACTCCATACTCATGAAACGCTTAAAGTCCTTCTTCAAACCGCCCCACCATAGCAAGGGCTCTTCATCCACAGCATCACCTCCGCATCCAGAAACCCGTCCTGGACCAGCACAGCTTCTCGACGAGAGAAGGAAACAGGGGCGAGATCCACGTGCAGACCAATCTCAAGACCAACATTCCCATGTGCAACCGAGTGTGCCGTCCAGTCATGCAAGCAATAAACACTCAAGTCGCAAGCCATCGGTGCAGAGCCCTGTTAGTGGCACCGGAGACCGATCCGTAGGCGCAACCGACTACGCGCCGCAGCCTCGAGGCGACCCGGACGACGATATAATCGCAGATGATTATCGGGCATATATTAGCGCTATATCTCCTGGTAGCAAAGCTGACACTGACGCCGAGTACTTCAGTCTTGGTAGCGACAGCAGATTGAGAGTAGGCGACAGTGAGATGAAGCACAGTGAAGACATCGCCGACAGAAATATTGAGGTTTACGGGTCCGGTTCCTCGTCGACTAGCTCATCAGGGAGCCAAAGAGCAAGCAATCAGACCGCACGAGATCATAATAGTAGGTTAAAACTTAGAGCTCACACTGCAAGATCGCATCTAACAACATCCCTGTCCTGCGATCAGTTGTCTTAAACTCAACTAACGCATCAGCAGCACGCGGAAAATCTGCCACAGCTTCCGTCGGATCCTTAGGACCTCCATTCAGAGCTGTTCGTGCTGTTTCTGCAACTGGTTCGACACTGTCACATCACTCGAAGTACTCGCTTGGGACTGGAATTCCCACTCAAGGTAGTCTTATTGACGGCATCCTCCCTCATGTTGAAGATCCGAGTGCTCGTACCCGTGATCGGAAGAGTTGGCCGACACGCCTTGCTCGCAACGAGTCCGACGTATCAAGGCGATCTCGGCGCGGAAGTAGCGATGTCCACCTGCCCAATGCAAGACGCGAGTCATTCGAACGTAGAAATGAGAAGAAAAGCGATGGAGCAATGGAGGTTCGAGAAGCTGTTATGGGTGGTCCAGGAGGTTACGACCTAAAAGCCGCCTTGGATGGAGTGGTTGATCTGAGAGACACGGAAGACGCGGATAAAGAAACCCGATGGGCTCAGGGTAAGGCCTCCTTCTTTATAATGCACTTTGCAGCTAACACTGCATCAGCTGTTACCCATGAGGTTGTGAAGCCGCATGAGCACGAGATCGTCGAAGAACGCATCTACCGCGAGATCCACAATCACGAAGTCTACCACTACATCCAACCTGTCTATGAAACTGAGATCCTCCCTGCTCGTCATTGGGTGTACAATGCGAAAAATGAAATGGTGGAAGTGTCGGCGGATGAGCTCCCGGAGTGCACTGGGGCGAAGCAGCGATGGGCTATCGTCCGAGGTGACAAAGAAAAGTCTACATCGCACATCGTCCGAAGCGCACCGCAGGCTCGAGAGCCAAGAACCCTTTCCGACAAGACATATATCACCCCAGAAGGGTTCGAACGGAGAGAGACCACGATCTTGCACCCGCCTGAGCTTGAGGATCTGTCGGATTACAGCGGTCCGGTCGTTCCCATAGAGTTCCTGCATCACCCCGAGCACTATCCAGGGCGGGAATTGAAGGCAAAGACGAGGCTTGATCATCTTCCCGAGGATCGGAAGTTCACAATGGAAGAACTGTCTGACGCTCTTCCCGTGGCTCGTACCGGAAGCTCCTCTTCTTCGTCGGGGCAGGCTACAGGTAGCTCTACCTCGTCACCTGCGTCGAAACGGCTGTCGATTCCGCGCAAACCGGTTCCCGCAGTCTCTTCTTACTGATATATTGCTTTATCCTAATTGAATTTTCTTTTGTCAATCTGCTTGAGTCGTTTCATAATTGTATACTATTTTTCTGACAACAAAATTTTGTAGCGCCGCATTGCTTGTTTCTTTTGAGACATATGCTATTCTTAAAGTTGCATTCCGCCTTCGTACTCATTGTTGTATCATCATTTGTGTTCTGCTTGTGTTAGTAGACTGGCAGCATTGTAAATCGTGCAGATAAAATTTGGCTTCGGGCATACTACGTCTCGTTATATCCTCCAAAGCACAATCTTGAGATCAGCATTCACATCGTCTTCACCAGCTCGCTTTTTCTGCCTACTACGTCGACTTGACTAGGTTCCTCGCATTTTTGCATGCTTTGGTAAGCTACAGGCTAAGGTAGGAGAGGACTGCGAGCGTACGCCACAAAAGTAAATACTCTCGTTTTAGAGGATTGTAAATCTGAGAGTGAATATAGAGTTGTGCTTGCATGGACCTGTCCGGAAAGAACCCTCGCGTTCAGGAAAATGCTCAAAGCTGTTCGCGCGATTTATGCAATAACTCAAAACTCCTTTGTTGCGTGCTTCTTGAGTCGGCGATTGAGCAAGCGAGATGAGGCCGCCGATGACTCGGAGGTTCGGAATCCTACAAGCGAACAAAAAGGGTTGACTCCGACCGGCCCCCCGCACTAGGACGTTCTACAGTTTGTGTCACCTTGAAACTAGCCCCCAAAGGCTTTGACAGATGAGCGGTGTCCATGGACGATTGCGCTTCCACGAGAGCGGTTTGGTATGGAGCTCGTGGTGAGGATGTTGGAAGGATCATCGCTGTAGCCAAAAATAGAGTGGACCCTGAGACCTGAACCCAACCGTCTGGAAGCGCGGTGCGTCAGGAACAACAAACATCACCGCCCACTTTGCGAGCCCCTTGCTCTTTTAGGCTCTGCCCGTTGGTCTTGAGTGCACTTTTGAGAAGGCAGAATTGTGGTCACGGACATCAAGTAAAGCATTTGACGGCATTTGCACCTGTCTCACGGGCGCCTACTTCCTCTGAGCGGCTGCGATGAGGTCTTTGTACGACGATTCGCGTCTACATTATCCATGTACCAGGGCGACTCTAGCGCTCTTCTCCAATCGATCAGAGCACGCACTACGAGCGCACCACACAGCCCCGGATGCGGTGACGTCCAACCAGAGCAAAGTGGCGATGCTGTCCCGCTGCCAGCACGATACGAACACCAAGGCCCACATCATAAGCTGTTACACATCCAACGGTCACTGAGACTGCAGCGCTCCACTCGGGCGAATTCCTCCTAAAAGCTTGGACTCCCGTTGCTTCGATCCAGTTGTGCGGCTTTGACTCGGGATCAACATGGTCAATGGGAAAATGAAGAAAAGATGACATCTTATTTCCTTTTCCTACGCCGCTCGACACATTTACGGGAGCTGAAGTAATTGTGCACACTCAAAACAGGAAATGCAACACTTGTGGCTCTCCTCATACGAATCAAATTGGCACGCTTGTTGCTGTTCGACTTCAGGCGGTGCTTCAAGCGGGATGGAAAGCCCGCTAGGCAACCTGTGCCACCGCCTCTCACATGACCGAGCCCTGGTTAGGACGACATAACCTGTTCTCCACTCGTTATGCTTCGACATCTGCGCGAATACGCGGCGTGCGGTCTCGCTCCGGTCCTATCGGATGGGAAGCACAGGCATATCCCCACACGCTGAGGCTGAGCTCTGGTAAAACTGACTTGAGGTTGGACGCCTACCGATCAAGTGGGTACCCTACAACTCAGGATGCGGTCCATGCGCTGTTGGTTTCATCTCGTGTGCAGGTATAACTTCATCTTGACCCGGCTTCTTGCCTCGGGCTTTTTCTTTTTGCTCCAGCCTTGCCTCACTTCATCGAATCATATCGTGCACGACGTACTTGGAGGAGACGTTCAGCCGCCCGTGGCTTAATTGGTTCTCGTCTTTACATGATTCAAGTATTGCCTCATTGTAAAACAGGCGTCCAGAGATATACCGCCTGCCTTCGAGGGAACAATTATCATTCCAACACACACTGGCACTCAACCTCTGGCCTGTACTCTCTACCAAGATGGCACCCCTCCCAGCGGATAATCAGACCATCGACCAAGAGTCTACGTCCAAAGATGGAGGCAAATCCTGGACCACCGCAACCATAGTCGTAGGAGCAGTCTTCCTCTTCCTCCTCCTCGCCTTCATCGCCACCATGATCGTCTTCTACATCCACAAACGCAAACTCCGCAGCAAGCTCCCCGCGGAGCACCGTCCGCGATCCTACCACCCCTTCCGCACAGAAACAACAGACAAATCCAGCCTCCTCGCAGGCGCCCAGACCCCCGACGAGGAACACTCCAGCATGTACAGCCGCGAACGAAGCAGCGTATCCGTCTACGTCGACGCCGAACCCCCCGTTGGCAAACGAGTGAGCAGCCAAAGCATGGAGACTGTCAGCTTGATACCGCTGCACGTTACGCCGGCGGGGAGGCAAGAGTCGTTGGCGGGGGAGATCAGCAATGGGAGTGGCGTGAGTGCGTTGAGCAGCAGCAGCAGGTACTCGAGGGGGAGCCTCAGTTTGAGCCCGATGAGCCCGGTTCACCAGGAGGACGGGGATCTGGGGACTCGGCCGAATAGGCTGAGGAGTACGAGCACGAGCAGTGTGAGGTATTATTCGGGCTTGCCTGATAACAATACTTGGAAGACGTCGAATACGCCGGATATCAACGCTGCGTCGCAACAACCGCCGGAGATACCGAAGATTGTGCACACGTTTTCTGACTAGGTGTATGCGCTGGTGGTAGGGTTCCTTGTTTGGGGCAGGAAGGTACGGCAGTGCTTGATGGGTTCACTCTCCATTTCTTCTCTGACTGCGCTTTTCGTTTCTTTACTAAATGTCTTCGGCATCATTGTCTTCTTAGCGATCTACTTACATATACCCCTCGTTTCGTTGCGCTCCTATGCCATAGTCGAGCCTTGAATGAAATACACACTGCATTAGGCACTCTGCACCACGTCACGTCAGTCTGCCGTCGTGTCCACCTAACTTGCCACAGGCAACGGCACACGTCGGGCACCTGCATGGAGGCGCCAGCATCCAGTGCTCACAGCCTGCCATGTTTATCCTTTCCTCACCGGAAACCTGATATGAAGAGAGGCCTCGAACACCACGTGCAACTGCGATTGGTGGGGGCCTGAAGTATGACCGCGCTGTGCCACCGTGGCGCAGTCTCGCGGCAAAATAACGTTTGCTGGGAGATGTAATACGAACAAAGAGATGGGCTTTGGAGGTAGTGTGGAGAGATTAGTGTTTCACAGTTGCTGGAGTTGGCGAGATGCAGACACGAGCACAGCCACGCCTGGCCGTGCAAGCTTTCACCGCGTGCGACTACATGCGTCATGTGCGGACCACCTGGATCAATCAACTGGATATGCACGCAACAGGCGGAGTCACAAAGTCGGCGCTGGGAAGCTAAAGCGTAGATGCAGTACCCATAGTTCCGTCTGAGAAAGTTCAAAGCCTGTATTCTATAGGATATCTTTTCTGCAACATCTTACACGCACCTACGGTTTTCTCCTCAGCCACAGCATCGGCAGACCCACAGCTCCGACCACTCCCACAGCGAGAGCCCAGAACATTGCCGAGCCATTCTCATCTCCCCTCCTTCTCCTCTTCTGCACAGTCAGAAAGTCGTCCACCTACGCAGCAGTCCTATCCGGGAGACTCGCCTTGCCCGACAACCTTGCCTTGATCTCCTCCACCAAATTCGCCTTCTCCACCATCACGCCATCCTTCTCCGGGTGTCCGTCCGGAAGTCCCATCTCCTTGATCTTGATCTTTCCAGCCTTAAGCTCGTCGTCGCCCAGAATAATAGCCCACGGTACCTTCCCGTTCTCCGCGGCCTTGAACTGGTTCTGTAGTTTTGGCTTCGTCTTCCAGAGGTATTCCGCCTTGATGCCTGCGTCCCAGAGCTGCTTTGCGACAGCCATGCGCTCGGGCAGCATACCGGTGAAGTCTTTGCCGCCGCCGAACGCCATGATGAAGACGTCTACTTCGGTGGGTCGGATCGCCTGCGCGGTGCCGAGACGCGCCTTGGTGATGCTGAAGATGCGGTCTACGCCGAAGGAGATGCCGACGCAGGGGATGGGCTTGCCGCTGAACATGCCGACAAGCTCGTCGTAGCGGCCTCCTGCTGCGACGGAGCCAACGCCGATAGTGGGGTCGTTGGACCGGTCCTCGTCCGGGTCTGTGCTCTTCTTCTGCTTCTTCTCTTTTTTGGCGACGTCTTTGGCGGCGGCCGAGGGTGCGGAGCCTTCAGTTACGACTTCGTAGATGACGCCGGTGTAGTAGTCGAGACCGCGGGCAAGAGACATGTCTACTGACAGGGAAGGCATAACGTCAAAGATCTCGAGGTAATCACAGAGCATGGCCATGTTCTCGAGACCCTGTTTTGCAGACTCGTTCGCAACGACTTCGGGCATTGCCTGGAGCTTCTCAACCACGTCCTTTCCGCCTTTGAGCTGTGCGTATGTCCAGATCTTGTCGGCGACTTCGGGGTCCAGGCCTTTGTCTTCCACCATCTCTCTTCGGACCTCTTCCCAGGGAGACTGAGCATGTCAGCATTGTATTTCGGGTTGTGCAGCAGCATGTGTGCCTACCTTGTCCAGCTTGTCCACTGCGCTACTAATCGTGCGAATCTTATCCTCAGGCACACCACATATCTGGAAGATGCCGTCCAGAATCTTCCTGTGATTTATCTTGATAGTGAACTTCCCCTTCCACTCTGGCAGCTCCTCAAACACCTCCTTGACAATCCTCAAGATCTCCGCGTCTGGCAGCATAGGATCAAACTGGCCCGCAATATCAAAGTCGCACTGGTAGAACTCTCGCATGCGCCCCTTTGTCATCGCCGGCTGATCTCTCCGGTAGACCTTCGCGATGTGGTATCGTTTGATGTTCTGGACGGCATTCTGGGCGCAGAATCGTGCGAATGGAACGGTGAGGTCGTAACGTAGTGAGGTGATCTCACCGCCCTGATCTGCGAGATCATAGATGAGCTTACTGTCTTCACCGTATTTGCCTGTGAGTGTCTCTTTGAGCTCGAATACGGGCCTGGTTCCAGTCAGCGGATCGAAGCGTAGCGGGACGCGATTAGGGCTTTGCGTACGTATCTATGGTGACGCCACCGTGACGCCTGTAACATCAATTAGCATAATCATTGTATATAGTTTCTGGGTAGTGACATACTTGAAAACATTGGTAATGGTCGTGAAGATCTGTTCGCGCAAGACAACATCAGTGCCCGACCCTGCAATTGATCAGCACCCACCCCCACAATACTTCAAGCTGCAACCGTACAATCCCGCGTGCCCTTGGGCGTCTTCAGCTGGAAGTTGCCCTTCCCCTCTTTCCCCATGTCGTTGTATTGCGAGTCGTGTGAGCGGCGAGTTGCGGTCGTGGAATGTTTGCGCGCGAGGTTCGTATGCGCAGGCCAAAGAAAAGGCAGCAGCGGTGTGTAGGTTGTGTCTAACGGAAATCGGGTCTGCTTTCGAGGAAGCGAAAATACGAGCGTGCCGGCACGACGTAAAGTAGTCTGGCAGTGTGCAGGATGGTGGGGCATTGGCGGGGTTGAGTCAGGAAAATGTTGTATGCGTCAAAAGTCTCGGCAAAACTGCGCCCGTTGTGACGGGCACGCACGTGATCGGACCTCCGCGTTCATCTGTGCACGATGACTCGCGCGATGCTAGCCAACGTGTACCTCGGTGAAGCAAGATGGATCAGAGGGAGTGCTCACACGTCAGTATAGTAGGACTCACATTAGCATTGAGCCAAAGAAGAAAGCGATGTATGGGCATATACAAGCCACCCAGGAAGGGAGCCGAATCGTTGCTATTGACCTGCCTGTGAAGACGAGGCACTGAAAATTACATACTACAATGTGGTCAATCAGACCAGCCGCCATAAGATCAGAGCAAAATCAAGAACTCCATCGCTAATGCAAGACGCTGCGTCGTTCATCCCAATGCAGTCATATCAACGCTTTACTATGCTGGAGCCGAGTAGGCAGAAGCACTCACGCCAACAAACGTCCAGAGATGCGAACGATATCAATCTTAGGGTTCGGAAAAAGCGACAGACCGGCGGCGACAGTAGGGTCCTTCAGGGAAAGGTGGAGAGAGAGGACTAGTATAGGAAAAAGAACGAAGACCTAGGGAAGAAACAGCGAGTCAGCATACAACCACTCAAAAAAATTGAAGTGGGCTTGCGACTAGGAATAGAAACCAGAGTTCTGCCGTGTAGTGGAAGCACTACCTGGGCCAGAAGAACCCGACTCGCTGCTGGGTGTCTGTGGCTCGAGCGACAGCTGTGCGCGTAGAGTCATAATCCACTCGTGCTGTAACAACTCGACGGCAGAGGCGCGCACAGATGGGTCGCGTTCAAAGCACTTCTTCAAAAAGTCAATGCCTGCTTCGCTGAGCAGGTCGGTAGTAGGCAGTTGAGGTGGGTCGCCTTGGGCAATGTGGTACATGATAGCCCACTCGTTGTCCATGTTTGCCCACGGTCGACGTCCAGTAGCCATTTCCAGGATGACACAGCCAAGTGACCAAACATCGACAGCTCCGTGGCGGCCCAGGTTCGTACCCCGGATCACTTCTGGTGACATGTACATAGGCGTTCCGGTCATCGATCCCTGTCGTCCTTGTCGGGTAGCAGCGTGCTCGGCAGCAAGAGTTCTGCCCTGCCTTGCTATGACTTTGGCAGCACCGAAATCCACGAACTTGATGACACCGTTATGGTCAAGTAGGATGTCTACACATGTTAGTATTGTTTTTAGTGCATAATGCATGTGACTTACTCTCAGGCTTGATGTCCCGGTGCACGACACCAGAATCATGAAGATAGGCTAGACCTTCCAACATCTGCAAACCGTAGACTTGAATGACCGTCTCATCTTCGATCCTGCCATGTTCCAGCAAGCCCGCCAGCGAGCCACCCGAGCAATACTCCATGAAGATGTAAACCTTGTCACGATGCGGCTCTATACCGTAATACGAGACAATGTTCGGATGATCCAAGACTTGCAGGACGCCCATCTCGTCCCTGATCTGAGCGACAATTGTCGGGATGAGCTGAGGATCTTGTAAACGAATCTCTTTCACGGCCATCAGATGACCTGAATCAAGGTTCATGGCAGCGTAGACAGAGCCAAAAGTACCACCACCCACGAACTGGCCCTGCTGCCACCGCAGAGTTACGTTGGTAGCCGAAGACGACAGGAAGGTCAGCGCTCGGTCAGCCTCGTTCGAGTCTTCAAGAACTCTTCCCAGAGCCTGGCGTTCGGCTTCTTTCTCCTTGCGGATTGCATCGATTTCCTCGAGCATTTGCGTCCATCTCTCTTGGGTCAACCTCATGGATTCCTCATCGTCTTTCATGTTTTTCGGATCCCATAGAGACTTGCCGGCAAGTGCGTTCTGTCGTTGTCTCTCTGCTTGAGCAGCGATAGTCGACCTGGCGCCCATGATATCGAAATGCGATATGAGGACCGACATACAACCAGCGACCTTTAGTCGCAATGTGGAGTACTCTTCGTCGCTGATGGAGAGAATGTTCTGCCCCCTGGTCATCATCATGGCGAATTCCAGGGCCACGACAGCCCAACGGAAGGTTTTGCGGTCGGAAGCTGTGCAATCATCGCAAATGAAGCTGACCCAGTCAAGGGCAAGCCTTGTTAACTTGATGTTGTTCATAGCCCGTCGGTTGTAATCCATGTACAGCAACGAACGTTGTCCAAATTCGGTTGCAAAAGCGAAACACGTCTGGATCAAATCCTGGCAATCAAGTCCGGCTGTCTGACTCCTAACGATCTCAACACTATCCATGATAGTGTTGGACAGTTTCCACGCAGTTTTCTTGATCTTCTGCAATTCCTGGTTGACACGTGGTAGATTGGCTCTCTGTTCGATCAGTGTGTTGAGGTCCATTGCGATAGATTGAAGGAAGGATGCGTTGGCATTGGCAAGTCGTACCTGTGATCCATCTGCGACGAGTCGAAGACGACCTGGCTTGACATCGAGATGGGGTTCTCGAATATTGGCGTTCATCTTCTTGCCCGGCCAGAAAAGAGGTTCTTCAGGGCGGATGATCAGCGCATATGGATTCGATGGGTCTTCCGGGTTCTCTTCCGCGTGGTAACAGGTGGTGAGGAGTGATTGGATATCCTTTGGTCGGTCCAGTAAGGCGGGCGACGCGATTATGTAGATACCAGTGTTGTCACCACCGGAACTCTCCACGAGAAAGTGGCCCGTCATGATGAGAGATTCATAGAGTTCGTTCAGCTGATCCTGATCCAAGTCGATGTGGTTGATATTGTACTCGGTGCAGTTTTCGAACCGCTGAGTCAAGATCCTGGAGAAACGGAAAAGCTTCCGTTGACGAACACGAACAGAGTCCAGAATCTGCTTGTATCGCTTTTCCATTTCAGCTCCGCTTACTTCGTCTGGCCTGCGTTGCAACTCTCTTTCGAAATGCGCTGTTAACCGGGAAAGAGACTTGGAAGTGAGCGAGCTGAACTGTTCTGCCGTTTCAACGTCACCACCTTCAAGCTGGCGACCCAACTTATTCGAGAAGTCCCACTCTTGTTCGAGGATTTCAGCCTCCTTGAAAGTGTTCTTGTTGGCAGAAAGTTTCGAGTTCAGCATCCTGAAGTAGAACTTCAAGGCATCGAGAACTACGTTGTCGAAGTTTTCTTCAATGCATGGCGGTAGATCCCATCCGGGTTCAGGTCTCGAGATGATGATATAACTGTCTTTGATCTTGCCAGCAAGAGTGAGCAAAATCTGGAATTGCGCAATCATCTGCTCAGCCAACATGACACCTTGCTGTGAAGGATCCTTGATCTTTTTGGCGTATGAAAGCCGGACGCGGATAATTTCTTGGAGCAGACGAGACGGGAAGTTGATCAAAGTAAGCAATTCCTCAATGTACGGCGGAAGATGTCGCTCAGCAAAGCCCTCAGCATTCGCAATCAATGTTGCCTTAGCTTTGTGAATGACCCTCTCGAGGGCGACTAGAAGGCTTGCGTCTCCTTGTAGTGACTTGAGGCCATCTTCCTTCAAAATGCGGTCGATGAAGGAAGATTCATCAGTGAGGTGGTGATCATTCGGATTTCGTGCTCGGGGCTTCGAAAAGTCCAGCTCGTCATTGCCGACCCACTTCTTCAAGATGGACATCTCGGTGTTGATGAGCTCAGTAGTGTTGTTCCATGCGAAGACAGCATCGCATGCGTCCTTGTACGCCTGAGAAGCTGCCCTAGGGTAGGCCTGTTCCAAGGTCTGCCGCGTGGGATACAGGCTCTCAACCTGTCCGATCTTCTTCACCACCTCGGCAACTTGTGCTGCGGGCGTCTGACCTGCCTCGGCAGCACCTTGGACCTCGAAAGTGATGATGCTCTCCAAGTCGTTCCGGATGTTCCCTCTTTTGTCGTCGACAAGTCGTCTCTGTGCCTGCAGCGTTCGTCCACATACTCTCGCACGCACACCCATCCAGATCTCGGCCTTGAGCGTGCTGTCGGCCTGCTGCTCAGTGCTTCCAATCAGCCTCTTCTTCTCCTGCTTGACCACATCACCCGTCAGCACGTTGGCAAGCATCGAATGCCACTCCAGCCGCTCCCGGTTAGCGGGGATCTTGAGTTCCTCCACAGAAGGCTGCATGTCCTCGTTGCCATAGTACAACAACGTCTCTTGGTCGTACGGGTCATTGTCGGCGTAGTCGGCGGTGGATGGCGACTCGTCGTCCGACTCTGTGTCAGTGCTGTAACCCAGGCTGGGGGTGCGCACGTCGAAGAACTCGTCCTGCTCATTCTCCTGCCTTATGCGTTGCACGTATGCCTTCTCTTGGGCACGATACTCGGCGTTGGGATTGCGACGGGAGCGGTTCGCAGACGAAGTCCGAGTGCGGTGGCTACTGGTCGTGGTGTTGAGGGAAAACTGCTGCGGTCTGCGGGCGTTTGAGGGCGTGTACGCATTGCTGGGGGTCCTCACGGCAGAGGGGCGAGCCTTAGTGCCTCCGTTGGTCTGCAGAGGCGGCGGGTGTTCGCCTGGGGTCATCATTCCGCGACGACTCGAGGTGGCCCAGCTGTAGCCTTGAGAGCCTGCGAGCGGGGGAACATCGTCGAGAGGGGTGGCGACGGGTGGTGCGAATTCATACTGGCCTTCTTCCTCGAGCGAACCAAGTTTTTGTTGCGCACCCTCGTCGCCAGAGGACCCGGACGAGTCGGTGCCCAGCGGAGCGTTGACCACGACGGGCTTGCTCATGTCGACGGGTCTGTTGTCGGCCAACAGTGCGTTGTCGTGAGTAAAGCGGACCCGGCTGGGAGCCTCGTGGCTCATGATGGTGTTGATAGCCCACTGGGGAAGATCTGTCGCGCGCCGCGCTGCTCTTCGCCTGTTCCGGTAAGCTTGTCTTAGCCGAACGCGATCCTGTGGCGGTGCCCGATGCCCTACTAACAAAGAAGTCGGCCTCCTTTGCACGGCTGGCAGTGAGAGAACGCCGGAAGTTTCTGTTTGCAAATGTGGATGCGCTCGTGGACTAGCAATTGGTAATGGGCCAGTCGCCCGTGCCTTCCGCGTCGCAATCTTGGTCCAAATAGGAGCCCGCAAGCCGCATGTGCACGACCCGATGATCGTGCACTCGCCACTTCTGTGGCGATCGCGATGTATTTGTGGCGCAGCGACCGGTGGGCGGTAAAACGTCTCAATGCATCTATCATTTGTCAGTTGAGTTACGCAAGTGTTTCATTACGTCTGCAGCCTGTCAGGCCTGCACTTGTCTTGCTCAGCTGGATAGACGTCTCGAAGCCTGTGGAAGCGCTCTCTGCGCACTTCGATCGCTGTGCGAACGTCTTGCGATCTCCCAAATACTTACATTGGGCCCCCCAGCCATTGCAGCAATCGAAGTGCGACGATCACTGGGAAAGGATTCCAAACAATTGCTCCGTTTGAAAGTCCGCCTGGACTATGCAGGATGCTTGCAGTGACCGCGAGCTGTGAACCAACATTTCCTGTGAAGGGTCAGCATCACTTTGCCTCTTTCCAATCGTAGAGGAGCAAGCAAGATGTCTCAAGAGTAAAAGGTCTCGAGTTGAACGAGGATCCTGCATTTGCAACGCCCGACGGTCAGTTATCCAAGGCAGTGACCTGATGGTGCAAAGACTGGTTGCTTCAAACACAATCTCCCTTTCGGAGCATTGGACAGAACTACCACGTCAATCTACATCCTCGGAAAAGATTCTCTTCTGAGCATTCGCACAGCAATGGCCTGTCAATACCACCGAGTTCGTCTTGAACTGGGTTTCTGATATTCGGTACTCAGAAGTCTTGCCTACTGTTCAAGGGTACCTTCCACAGGCCTCATGGTAGGCATGAGCCTTGCTCAACACTACGGCAGTCACCTCACCTATTAGCGCTGGATCTGCTTGTACAGAGAACACTGGACGCTCGCATGCCCGATTCTTTCACCACTCGATCGATCGATCTATTTTGTTCATTACTTGCAGAACCCGCCTTGTGGAGCCTTCTGTTCTATATCTGTACTATACGTTTGGATCGACAAGATTTTCCGAACCAAAGCAACCAGATATACTAAGACAATGGCACGTAGCCTACGAGGTGTACTTTCTTTGGCTTGCGTCAGCGTCAAGGCAATAACCGTTGCACACTGTCCAGTCTAAGAGCTGTAGTCAACCGACAGGGTAACAATGAGGCTGAGTGTAAGCCGCAGCCTTCTCGAAGGACTCTGCAGCAGCATGTCTTACCTCCTGACAACGACGCATGCACTCAGGAGGCGTACTGTGGTACAACAGGACTCCGGACTCCCGTTATATTGACAATGTTCGGTCCTATACTTTCCATGCATGCTGAGCTCGGCGAGCATGGTTCGGATGCAACTCTTTTATCCGCACCCTTCGACATCCAGCGCGGAGCTGTCCCAGGGATATTCATCTCCCAAATCTGGCCGCCTTGTTACAGAGCAGGACTGGCGCTCGTGGACCTGCCCAAATCGTAATAACAACAGTCAAGTTATTGAAGATCGATTTCTGCACTCGCCCGGAACCCCGGATTTCCATACATTACTTAGCGTGGCTGCAGGTACGCGATATTTGTTCCAGACTGTGGAGCATTGCGGACTGGCTCACAAGGGGTCGCTTGATCGTACGAATGAGGGTTTCACGGAGAGCTTTCCAACGTCCCAACGGCAACGCAAAGCCACCAGGCTTCCCTCCCGCCGTCACACAGACCCGTGGGGGAGCACCGCTCGTGCTCGAGGGATGCTACGCAGGTGCTACCCTTGCCAAAAAAGGATCGACTCCGTGGTAGTGATCGATGTGACTGCACGAGCAAGGAAGAAAGACGATCTGTGGCTCTCAGGTAGCCAAGTTGCCTACTCTTGCTGCCTGGAGCTGCCACACTAAATTCTCGTTTTCATATTGCCTTGTACTGCCTTTGCGAGAGGCTTTATTTCGAGCACACCCGGTCAGTCGAAGCTCACCACCCGGTGCCTACCGGTTTGCATCCCGTCGTGCGATAGGCCGAACAAGACAGCTTGTGCAACCGCTAAGACGGACTCGCTCCTGAGTGCATCTCGGGCGAATACAATACCAACTTCCGAACGACGGTTGCCCTGCATCTCAAGACCACCAATAATACCGCATGCACCCTTATCTCGCCTCGATGGCACCACACTGGTGCGGCACAGCAGACACACTCAATGTACAAGACACGAGATGTTTTTCGTCAGCGAGGAGATTGCAGCCAGATTCGCCATAGGTGCAAGGCTGGCACAGGACAGGTCGAGTATCGATGTCTGGGCTTTAGAGTTTCGGCGGTGCCAGAAAAAGCAACTCGCAGGGTGACGGATGAGATGTCAGGGTCGTGCGACCGAAGCAGAGCCTTGGGACAGAAACCAAACCAAACAGTGCAAGGCTGTCGGGGGTAGATAAGGAGACATGGGGGATGCGCGCGGGAGAGGGTACCGCTGATATGGTTCTGATATCGCATCGCCGACGGCGTCCGGGGAGAGTCTTGGGAGTATCTCCTGGGCAACTCTGCCGAGGCGTCGACCTGCTGCGGCGACAGATGTCGTCGAAGGCTACGACGAGGTGTTTAGCATCGTCACTTTTGTTCTCCATCGATGCGGAATGAAATGCGTACTTTACATGAAAGGTGGACAGTATCTCGTACGCGTCTATCAACGTCGCGCTACTAGGCTGATCTGGGGCGATTGCTGCAAGGGCCAAGGCGTGGGCTTAGGCGGCGCCGCGGCTGTATGGGTTGCAAGGGTACTGATAAGCACATGAATTGGCTGTCCGCAACAACAGCAGCCCGCGTGCTCCCCCATGCGCTCGCTGGAGACACAAGCACGCTTCTAGATGTTCGCGTATGTGCATCCACACGTCTTGCGACCCGACTGCTGCATCGTCGAGCAGAACAGGCGCCCTCTTCAATCACAGCAGAGACCCACAGCAGGGCCATCCCGCCGGTGTGGTTGGCTCCCGCCACGCGCTGCCGCGTTTGCGAGACGTCGCCGCATTGGCTGGGGTCCGGTTCGTATCTTCACCCCACTGTGTGGCTTGCTCGTGATCCTGGAGGGAGGTTCATGCTTGGAGATTCTAACCATGGCCCGAGCTGTCGCAGGCGCAAAGCTAATGTCCGCCGCCTGTATATCTCTCTTATATCCCTCCCCACTGTGACCGTGCTCCCAGAGCTGTATACATACTCGCGGTCACCGGCGATCCTGTACCACAATATCCCAAGTGTGCGCGACTAGAGGACGGCCGCTCGTTCGATCGCTGCGCAAACGCCTTCGGAGCGAACCGCGACTCCCGACCTCGCCGAGGACTTTGACTTCGACATCTATAATCTGACACCCCGGGAGCATTGGTCGGCCTGCCATTCCCTGTCCAGTCCTTACTTCCTCCTCTTCGCACACACTTGCGAGTACGCGTTCTCGCCGGTAGCACCCCGCTTGCTACATTTGTACGAACGTAGATCGACACACGCTCCGGAACCGGGGTACTTGCCAGTATGGACCCTTCTGCGAGCGGCTCCGACCCTACGGTGCCACTTGTGGCCTTCACAAACTCGTCTTTACCCACTGGAGGAGACAGCAGGCTAGATAACCTCAATGTCTTTTACAATGTAAGGTCCCAGCGCAAGCAGATCGCGTGTAGTTGTACTAATCCCTGCAGGCGGGCGATATCGCGTGGATGCTCACATCAACGGCCCTCGTGCTTCTCATGATTCCCGGTGTTGGCTTCTTCTATTCCGGTCTGGCACGTAGGAAGTCGGCCTTGTCGCTGCTATGGCTGTGAGTTCGCTCACGACCACCGTCATTGGAAAAATGCTAATCCTTTGCCATCAGCTCCGTCATGGCGACGGCAGTCGTCTCTTTCCAGTGGTTCTTCTGGGGCTACTCGCTCGCCTTCTCGCACAACGCGGGCAAATTCATCGGTGACCTCGACAACATCGGCCTCAGGAACGTGCTTGGCTACCCTTCGGTTGGCAGTCCGCGTATTCCTGATCTGCTTTTCTGCGTCTACCAGGGCATGTTCGCTGCTATCACGGTCGCTCTCGCCGTCGGTGCTGTTGCCGAGCGAGGAAGAATGCTCCCATGTATAATATACATGTTCATCTGGACGACCGTGATCTACGACCCTATTGCGTGCTGGACCTGGAACCCCAAAGGCTGGACCTTCCTATTGGGTGGACTTGATTTCGCAGGTGGAACTCCTGTCCATATTGCCTCCGGCACCGCAGCACTCGCCTATTCCTACATGCTCGGCAAGCGTCGAGGCCACGGCACGCAAGAGCTGAACTACCGACCTCACAATGTCACGCACATCGTGATCGGCACCGTGTTCCTTTGGGTCGGGTGGTTCGGCTTCAATGCTGGGTCCGCCCTGTCTGCTAATCTGCGTGCTGTCATGGCAGCCGTGGTTACCAACCTTGCTGCTTGCACGGGCGGTATCACTTGGTGCCTCGTCGATTATCGACTTGAGCGCAAGTGGTCCACCGTTGGCTTCTGCTCGGGCGTCATCGCCGGCCTGGTCTGTATAACACCCGGATCGGGATTCGTGCCTGCCTGGGCCGCCGTCATCTTTGGTGTAGTCGGAGGTGTTGCGTGCAACTACGCTACAAAGCTCAAGTACTTCCTTCGCTGCGACGATGCTCTCGATATCTTCGCTGTGCACGCCGTTGGTGGTCTCTGTGGCAATATTCTGACCGCTTTCTTTGCAGCGTAAGTCTTACGAGCGCGATTGAGTTACCCCTCGCTAACGTTTCCTCAGTGACTACATTGCTCATTTGGATGGCTACACGGTCATCCCCGGCGGCTGGCTCAACCAGCACTACATGCAGCTGGGCTACCAGCTCGCCGATTCCGTCTCCGGCGGAGCATACAGTTTCGCAGGAACCTGCCTTATCCTCGGCGCCCTCGACTTCATCGGCAAATTCCTCCCCATCTTCAAGCTCCGCGTAAGCGACGAAGACGAAGTCCTAGGTCTCGATGACGTCGAAATCGGCGAGTTTGCTGTATGTGCCTCCCCCATCTCTCCACACACATTCAAGAATCACGATGCTAACGAGGAAACAGTACGACTACGTCGAGCTCACGCGCGAGGTTGCCAGTGCCGACGACGTCGACGAGGGCCTCTCCACACACTCCCTCGAGCAGCACGCTTCCAACATGGGCATGCACGAGAAGAACCAGGAGAGCGTGGACTCGAGTCACCAGTTGGCTGAGTGGGCTCATCGTGCATAAACCCGCCGTGCATTGAACTTTGTCCGTCGATAATCGACTTTTGCTCTATACCACTTGCTTTGCTGGAGTTGGAGGCAGCTTTTCCTTGGTGCGGATTTTTGTTTAGGTTGCTGGGATAGTGGACATGGCTGGGAGGAGCGTCTTATGGAACACTTCTGATTAAAGTGCTGCATATAGCACGCTTTGTGCTTTGTTCACGTTTGGGCTCGATGGCTTCTAGTATATTATTATAAAAATAATTAGGATTGTGTGCTTGTTGCTTATGAGGTTCACGATCTTATGGCTCATACGTGATTCTGTACAAGGCTTTTTGGAACAACGCGGGCGCTTCCCAATGCGCCCAGTCCGATTGTAACTGTGCTAGTACATTGTTATCGGCCTAAGCTACCATTACCAGCTGCCTTGTGCCAGGCTTCGTCTCGATCGAGCTCTGGCCTGGCGGAAGACGTAAGTGATGCTCTGGCTCTTTTGAGAGCTCGACGAGAAACGCACTCCGCGAAGGTTTTTAGACTGCAGGTTGGAAGAGCTGAGTTGGGACTATCCTTACCGTATATCGTACAGTGGGAGGGCTTCGTGCACAGGATTGGTGGTGCCAAGCCTTCTACCCTGCATCACGGCATCACCACTTTCTATTGCGACACGCTCCATTCTCCAAACCCCCCACCACGACTTCATTCCACCTCCGACCTGGGACCTTGCAACCTGACTTCGATCCCCCATCGTCAGGCCATCTGAAGCAGCTCGAGCTTCCTGTTGCGCCTCGGAGTACCTCAGTCCCGCACCACCGCAAGCTTGCTCAGCCCCTCCTCCCACGAACGAGCTTCGACATGGCGATCCTAGGCACAGCGCTCAATGCCGTCGGCCTCATCTTCCTGACACATGCGTATGTTATCACTTTAGTTGCTTATCGCGATGATCAATTCTCCGACGTCACCGTGCTATCACTGTCAACAACGGCCACCGGCACCTGAAACTCGCTGCGCTTCGAGAATCGCCGGGCTACAGACTCCGCTTCATTGTTATCGGTGTTCCATGGATTGCTTGACTAACAGCTCCAACAGCGTCTACTCCTCCCACGAACACACCGCGGCCTTCGCGCACACCCCACTGCCCCTCGACATCACTATCGAGCTGCTCGTCTCCATCTTCGTCCTATCCGCCGGCATCGTTGTCTCCTCGCCGCAACTGAAACCGATACAATGGGCGAAGTGGGGAGGCAAGATCGCACGTGAGGGGCAGCATGGCGAGGGCAAGTGGACGAGGGAGGGCGAGGAGATCTTGAGCGAGGGTGACGGGTTCGCGTTTCTGGGACTGGACACGGGTATTGGTGGGAATGGAGAGGGTAGGAGGGGGTTCTGGGATGTGAGGAGCAAGAGGAAGGAGTATGCGGAGTGGGCTAAGGCGGGTGGGAAGTGAATGTCTGGGTTGTCAACATTGGTGGCATACGGGTAAGTGGTCTTCCTTCCATGGGAATTGTCTGGGTCAACGAGCTAATTTGAATCAGATCTAGATACCCTTTGAAGCTCTAAATCGAAAAGCAATGAAATTATACGATGGATATCTGTGTGCCCTGCCGGTATCCCCAACGCCTTGCGCCGACACATGCTGTGCTAAAACGCCAGAACAAATCAAAGCCCCACCTCCAAACATCATTCTTTTCCCTTCCATTTCCAAAGTACTGATCTTCTCTCTCATAAGCTCACGCGCTCCCAGCCATACTTCCCTCCAAGCTCTTCGACCCACACCCATGCACCCTACAAGCATGGCACTCATTCCCATTCGACCTCACAAAAGCCTCCACCTCCGCCGACGAATCCCTCCTCTCCTTACCCTCCTTCTCCACATCGATCCCCGCAACCCACCACACGCCCGCCGCCACGATCTTCGTAATGATCTCCACCTCCTCCTTCGTCCTCGGCGCATATATCAGCACAAACTCCTTGGGCACAAACCGCCTACACCACCCTCCCCTCGCCAATGGATGCCGCTCACCCCAACCAGACTCGAGCACGATTTTCGCATCCGCAGGGTGTAGCGTCATATGCATACTCCCATCCGACGGATGCGCATGGCACACCTCCCCGCCGCACGTCCTCGTAATAGGCGTACTCGCAAAGATACCCGAGCTGTGCTTCTCAAAGCAACTCGTCCTCTCGACGAGACAGTTTTCCGGCTGGGCTATTAAAGCGCGCATGGAGTCCACGAGCGCTTTGTAGATGTCGACGGAGGACTTCTGAGATTGTTGCCGTTGGGGCGCGATGCCGCGGACGGTGGGGCGGGCGCCGGGGCGGGTGGGGAGAGAGTTTGGGGAGAGGTAGCCGCGCTGGGGACGGAAGTGTGGGGGATGGAGGCTGGGCGGAGGGGGTCGCGGAGGCACAGGATGGAGAGGAGTTTTATTTTGGCGTAGCCGAGGGGGGTGGCTGGTGTGCCTGTACGGAGTCAGGGTCAGGACCAGTGTGGAGGGGTGTATGAGGGAGGTACGCGGTATGTGTTTGGGGAGAAGGGAGAAGAATGGGATTACGCACCGCCGGGGCCGAGAGAAAGAAAGGCTTTGTAGTCGGCGTGGATGTAGAAGAGTGTGAAGAGCGGGAGGATAAAAGTCAGGGCCACGGCGAGGAAGTGGAATGTTGCTGTTTCGAGGACGGCATTTGGGAAGGGCAGGACCGCCGAAGCAGGACCGGGTCTCAGCTGGTGGAGGGCGTCCATGGTGCTATTCGATTCGAGGTGTGTAGAAGGGACGTCGACGGTGGAAGGCCCTCGCTGATATGCCATGCGAAGCGGGGGGAGCCGAGCTGAGGTTTTTCGTTACGAAGGTGTGCTGTGCTGTCGTTGTTACGTAGGTGTTCCCGATTCCCCGCGGAAGGCCCAGGAATGCACGCAGAGCCAACGACTATCGCGCCCTCACGCCGGTGCTCAGGTACGGCGGCTCCACCACTTAGGTATGACGCAGAGGTTAGTGCGACCCCAGCTTGAGGTAGGGTCTACGGAGAAATTGTCTTCCACACAATTGTTCTCTATCAGAAAGGCTCGATGATGGTCCTATATAGATTCGAGGTCTCGTATGTAGTGAAGATCGAACCACACTCCTCGTTTACCCACGGTTTGCTCGCGCTCCGCAGCATGCCAGATTGTGCTCTCCTCCGCAGCCCGCGGGCGCCATCAAGCCATGAATTCCTTCAGCTTCGCACACAGCGCACCACGTGAGACGTCCCAAAGCGGGTAGAACGTTACAATTGTGGGGTTCGCTTGCGGCCGGGACGAGTACTGATTGGCCAATGCAGACCAACGTGGTCGATCCTGTGACGTTGGCCGGCGTCACAGGGTTGTGAAATATGGGATTGGCATTTTGTGTTGGGGCATCGCCGATTGGGGGATGAAGAAGGGAGGCTCTGCTGGAGCTCGGGTTACTTGCTTGTCTAATTGGGTCCTGACTGATTGTCCTTGTATACTAACAGTAGCCCATGAAGGCATACAGATGCAGAACGTATGGTATGGTATACGAAGTATGCCACGCCACATACGACACCTAAGGAAACATGTTTTAACACTGCCTGTTCAGGTAGTTAAGGCCCTGTCAGCCCTAACACAAGCCGCAGCAGTGGTCAGGCATCCAGGTAAGCAGCTGACCGTATGTAAAGTTGAGCTTCAAACCCCCCGCAATTATACTCTTACTCCTCGTATGCACTCCCTCGAAACCTGCTTTCTCAGCACTAGGCGCTGGTGGACTCACATCGCTACGGTAAACAGGATCATAAGAATCATATTATTGACGAAGGTAGAGCGAGCCGGTGGCCTGATGAAAGTCCACGTATGCCAGGTGAGGCAGGAGTGTGGTACGACATACCCATTCATGTAAAGAAGGTACACATGTAGAGTGGACCTGAGGAAGTGCGTTTCGATACAGTCATGTTGAAGCGGATGCCATGACCGTATGAGGATGGCGGACTGTGCTACTGTTAGAGTTCGCCCACAAGTAGGAGCACACGTGGCGCAGTATATCTCTACGCGAGATACCTCAACATTCCATATGCATACATAACACGCGAGCAGATATGCAGGTTCAGATATGATTCGTGTCCAATGGCGTCTCGTATGATTCCTACAACTTTCTACTCCTAACCAATCCCTTTTTGATACCAGTGAGTTCTCCCTGGTAATGCGCACCACCTTTCGCCTTCTTTCCGGCGTCGAACACAGGTTTTTGTGATTTGAGCGCCTTCTTCTTGGCTTCGTAGCGGATCTTCTTCTTGACACGCGGATTGCGATCTGTGAAAAAGTTAGGAGTGGTCGAGGGTGTATAGAGGCATGGAAATACATACTCTGTTTCTTCCGATGTGGAGTCAGTCCTTTATTCTTCTCGATCACGTAGCTGATCTGGCGACGTCCGTCCTCGCCGATAATCTCCTCTTCCACGACGGCCGCGCCCTGTGCCTTTGCGACTGCATATGCCTCGGCTCGGTCTGTCTTTTGCTGCTTCTTCGCGTTACTTCTGGCCGAAATCATATCGTAGTAACCGTCACCGTCTTCGAAATCTTCCGGACGTGGTGGTGCGTCGCCCTCGTCTGAGCTGTCACCGCCTTCACCAAGATCGACACCAGGACCTGACTTGTTGTGGCCCTTCTTCTCGGCTTGGGCCTGCAGACGGGCCTGGCGATCCTTCAAGCGCTCGCGGTGAGGCACATCAGCGTCACCGCCAGCGTCCTTGCCTGCAGCATCTCTCCTGATCGCCTTCTGAGCGATTTGTGATGTGTAGAAACGCAATGACTTCTTCTTCTTCTGCTTCTCCGCAAGCTCGTGCGCCGTGAGTTCTGTCTCCTCGCCGAAGTCGGAGTCTTCCGCATTGAGCAGGTTGAGCTTAGGTTCCTCGGCTTTCTTCTTGCGAGAGGCCTTGAGAGCCTTTGCACCAGTGAGCGAAGCAAGCGATGCGAGCTCCTCCTCGGTCTGACGGAGCTTCTCTGCACGTCGTGCCTCAGACTTGGCTTGCGCAGCTTCAGCAGCGCGCTGGGCCTTGGTCTTCTTTGGCTTCTTCTCCTTCGCTGATACATCCAGGTCATTGCCGGTCTCAACAACCGACACTTCTTCGATGACAGATAATTCATCGCCGAGGGCTGCCTCCACCATGGGATCTCCAATTGGTAGACCCTCGACCTTCTCCCATAGGCTCCGAGTCTTGAGCAGACTTTCCATGACGGGATGCTCGTGAAGCTCAGCGGGGTCTAATGCAATCACCGACGAATTGCCTTCCTGTGCTGTGGAACCAAGGACAGCAAAGTACATCGACATAGCCGCTAGATAAGCTGCACAAGCTCGGTATTTGGTTATCGCCATGGGTTTCGGTAAAAGTGCCGCATTCGTTTTCCCGGACTTTGAAGTGTGAGCTTTGATGAGCCGTGTAGCGGCATTAGCAGCCGCAGCCAATTCATGGTGCACAGGTTGTAACCGCAGATACTCCTGCGATATCGGTTCGAACTCAGGATATCGCGTCCGTAGGATCTTCAACCTCTCTTCTTCAGACATGTCATCTGTAATCCGGAGCTGTGGCAGCACTTCCGTCACCACCTTGCCGGAATCTGCGCCAGCATCGCCGTCTTGACCCGCCCATTCATCCTCATCAAAGCCGAAGTCCGCCTCTGTCATCGACTGCAGTTGTTTCTTTTGTATTCGTAAAGCTTCCGCTTCTTCGTCGAGCGCATCTTGCTCCGTCTCTATCGCATCCGCATTGTAGTAATCTTTCTTCGACGGACCCCAACCGCCAAGATCCTCCTCGTCTTCGGCTTCGGGTTTGCGTGTATCGTCTTCGTCTGCCTCAGCATCTTCCTCGTATTGTTCTTCGTCGAAGCCATCCTCATCGTCGTCTTCGTCATAGTCGAGAATTTCCTCGTCTTCAGGTTGTAGGAGCTCATCTGACAGGAATTATTAGTATATACACCTTCAACTGAAGTGTTGCTAGCTCACCTTCTTCCCGCCACTTGCGCAGCTTCTTCGCAGCCGGTCCGTCGTCCAGCAATATCTTATCGCGATTGATGTGGAATTCGTCCTCGGAATCAGCGACATCTTCGTACGTGCTTATCGCAAGCTTTGAGTTCTCCTCCTTTGGTTCTGTAGGCTCGCCATACCGGCCTCCTGCCTTTCTTTTCTTCCCCATATTTGCAATGTGGTGGAGCTATTCGGTGCTGCAGATGGGCGCAACTTTCCAAAATTTACTGTCAAAATCTTGGCGCGCGAGGTGGGACTTCCGCGGTCAAGCTCGGCGCTAAAATAGCCTTGCTGACCTAATTTGGGGCCGATTTCTGGAGCACTATTTTGCGAGTTAATCCCTTAGCGGTCCAACTGTGCGCACGCGCTTTGTAGACAGCTTTGCTGACGGCTAGCAATATCTTGATACGAGTCGACTAGGATTCCGAGTAGTCTCGACACGCAATCCTTATTCCCAAAGTAGTGAGCGCGCGTGGGGTCGCCCAACATTGATGAGCCACTATCATCTCCTTTTCTAACAGTAGTCATTCTTTACTTCCTTCCTCATCCGCCATTTTCATGGACACTGTGTTGTTGTGGCTAATCACAGCTTCTCTGATCTTGCTGGGATACATAAGCTTTAACGTTATGGGCTTCCTTTCGTGGGGCAACAAATTTCCAGTAGAGGGAAGGGTGAGTCTATCTACTCATCCTTACGCCATTGAGGCTTACCGTGAACGCAGACGGTCCTCCTTACAGGTGCCTCCTATGGCATGGGCAAAGAGCTCGCAAAGCTCCTCAGCCAGCGCGGCGCTAACGTCATCCTCGTCGCCCGCAACGTAGAAAAGCTGCAAACCGCAACTGATTACGCCAAAGCCGCCGCAAAGTACCCCTCAGCCCAGCGCTTCCACTACATATCCGCCGACTGCACGAAGGAAGCCGAGAATGCGCGCCTCATCGCTGAAGCGACCGCCTGGAACAACGGCAATAGTCCCGAAATCGTATGGGCCAATGCCGGCTCCTCCACCCCAGGACTCTTCCTCGAGCAGAAGTCAGATACATTGAGGCAGCAAATGGACATCAACTACTGGGCAGCATGTTACCTCGCACACCAAACGCTCAAAGCCTGGCTATACCCCGACACACCCTACAAAGCAGGCGCGCCCTCCGAGCCAACGCGGCACTTCATAGTGACATCCTCCGTCCTGGGTTTTATCAACATCCTCGGGTACGGCGGTTACCCGCCCGCCAAAGCAGCCCTTAAAGCCCTCTGCGACGGCCTCCGCCAAGAAGTCATCCTGTACAACGGCGCGCGCCGTTCCAAGAACAACACCTCCGGCCAAGCCCCCGCGCCTTTTGACGTCGCAATCAACATGATAGCCCCGGCCACCATCCTTTCCCCCGGCGAGCAGAACGAGAATCTCACAAAGCCGGATGTCACCAAGAAGCTGGAGGAGACCGATCCGAAGCAAACGGAGCTGGAGGCAGCGACTGCGGCGATCGCGGGGCTGGAAGCGGGGAATTATTCGACCGCGACGAGCTGGCTGGGAGATTTGATGCGCATGAGTAGTATGGGGAGTGCGAGGAGGGATAGTTTGGTGAAGGACACGGTGGGGACGTGGGTGTCGAGTGTGGTGTGGCCGCTGCTTGGGCCGGATATGGATGGCAAGGTGTTCAGCTGGGGGAAGAAGGAGGGTATGCCGGCGTATAAGCCCAATTCGATATAAGCCGATGAGCTTGGGTTTTTAGGGTCATCCGATGTGACGACGACCGCAACCGCAGCCTTCCAGTCGATTTGTTTGAGTTGAATGATACCAGTAGAGTCTGCCCCTAAGGAATGTGAATCCCGTAATATGATGTGCGGGAACTGTGCTATGCGCTGTTAAAGCTCCGGGATGTACCTTGCACATACTACGTTCGCGGTTTTTTAATTATACAAACATCAAGTAAAAATCTGGGTACCGGAGTTGAGGTGAGGTACTGCACTCTTGCCGTGGGGACGTGCTTGATAGTGTATGACAGTGACAAGGAAGAGCATATGGCTATGATGCTGAAGTTGCTTGTTCTACAAGTCGAGACACAATGTACACTCTATATGCCCTTCAGATTGAGACGCAAAGAAAAGATATCTTGGTCAACCGCCTGCTGCAGCGTTTGCAATCTTATACCGTGGATCACCTCACACGCCCTACGCGCCGGATGTTTAGATGTCTCCACGCATCTGGCGGAAGAAGTCCATAACACCGGTGAACACAACCAGGAGGATACCACCACCTGGGCCCAATCTGAGCACCTTGGGCAAGAACCCCTTATACAGAGCACTGAAACCTTCCTCGCGCATGACGGTGCCGAGAGCGGGCCATGCCCAGTTGTACTTGGGTACGGTTCCTACGACCTTGGTGGAGTTCTGGATGCGCGACTTGACGACGTCCATGGGGGTGTTGAGGATGGTACCGACAGTGCCACCAACGGCACCGGACATGAGATCGTTGGTGATTTGGCCCTGCTTGGTGGTGGCCTCTGGCAGAAGGGTGCGGACCTGGAAGATGCAGCCAAAGTATCCGGCGTTCCAGAGAATGTGGCGCCACATGGTCGACTCGAGACCCTGGTAGAGGGTGAGAGGACCCTCGTTCTTCACAATCTTGGTAAAGCAGTCTACCATGCCGTTGTACTTGTGCGCCTGCGCCTTGTCTTGAAGACGGATCTTGACGAGCTCGAAGGGAACAACGACGAAAGCCTCGGTCGCACCAGCAGTCGCACCGGTAAGGATAGAGAGCGATTGGTTCATCTTGGCTTGGCCGAAGAGGTTGCGGTAGAATGCGCCCCAGGAGTCGTTAGCCGCGAACTTGGTGGCCCTGTGTGATTCAGTACGGGCGCAGAAGTGACGATCGTAAGAGTAGCTACCTCTTCGGCGCCTCCATGAGGATAGGCGCGCTAATACCACGATATAATCTGGAGGCACTGCATGGTATTAGTATCGACAGCTGTTGCCCTCATCATACGCTTGACCGTACCCTTCGTTCTTGATGATCTTGCGGAAGCAGTCCACCATTCCATTGTAACCCTCCTCACCCGCCGCCTTGCCGGTCTGGAGCTGCCTGTGCGAGTTTAGGATGCGTGCGGATCTCGATCGGTCGCAATACGCTTACACTCTGGTCTTGACCACATCAAGAGGATACCTGTTGAGTCAGCACGCGCTTCGCTATGATGTTCATGTCGATGACCTTACATGATCAAAATCTAAGTGCGCAGGTCAATTTAGCAAGCTCGAAGCAGCTTTCATCCCACTGCACTCACTTCAGAGACACCTGCCACGGCACCTGCAGGTCGGTCAGCTACAGTTCCAGGTTTCTTTCCGCCATTGGGACTCACCAGCCGCGAATTGGTAGACGAACGGGAGCGGCTTCGGTGGTTCCGCCATTGTGCTAGCGATATGAGAAGAGGAGGAAGGGAAAAGGAAGAGTGGAGAGGTGTGGTGTAGGTCGATCAAGTCTCGCCGACTGCACGAGACCTGGGGAAAGCGACGAGGTCCGAGCGAGCTCCGTGTGGGATGTGTTGTGTGGTCCTAGCTCCAATCGATAACAGGGAAGAAAATGGGGTGCGTCAAAAGCAACTTTATTTGTCCACCGTCCTCGGAGCTCGACAGACCCTATCCGGCTATCTGTAATTCAATTGGACGTTATAGCCGTGAACGCGCTCACCTTCTCGATAAACCCGTCGGCCTTTGCAAATTTGGCAAGTGCTCCCGAGCTGTACACCACGTGACATCGCCAGCCGAGTCTCTTCTTGATTGGCTTGGGGCGACGCGCTTCCGCGACGCCGTCGTTCTCCACCACCCCGACGCGTCCGCCCAATGTCAACGCGTCAAAAGTCCTTCTTTGATCAGAAACCACGGCCAAAGGTGATCACGACTATTCTTGAACACAGCGTTCCTTCTGGACACTAACCAATACAGCATTTTAACCAATGGCCGGGCCGTCCACGCAATCACACTGCCGACCAGCATAACACCGCTGCACCCCACCAAGTCGTCTCCGGACCACCTATCATGCCCTCGAGCCAGACTCGGACGAAGCTCAAGAAGTTCCAGTTCATCGAGGGCGCACCTGCTCCGAATACCATGGGACGAAAAGACGCAGAAAAAGAAAACACAGTCGCGAGGAAGGAAGCCAAGTCACCGACTAAGAAGAGAAGGGTTGACTCTCACCAATCCACCAACACAGAGGCTGCCGAGAAGACTGCACAAACACCGAAACCGGCGAACACGAAGTCATGTCCACCTCCATCGACGCCTGGGACTAGGATTCCACTCGCCGAGCTCGTCGGTAACGTTGACGATTCGAGTCGCCATGTTGTCAAGACTGTAGTGTCGCCAGAGGAACAACTATGCTGGCGTGGATCGCAGCAGATAAACACACCTCTTCCGCGAAAACGAAAGCGCGCACGAAGCTCCTCACCCGTGGCGCCTTCTCCCGAAGATGCACAGGTACAACAGCAGGATGCGAGACAGCTCACAACCCCTCAGGCCAATCCTGCGACAGAATTATGGAATCAGTACACGAACAACAAGGGAACACCAGGCGGCGCAAAAGGCATAGCGTTCGCGCATCTAATTAGCGAAGCCTCGCCACGCTCTTCTGCGACAGCTGGGAGCGTGAGTGGTCTTCGGAGGTGGGCCAGCTGCGGTGTTGAATTTCCAGCATCTACAAAGAAAAGGAGAAGAACGCAGGCAGCGATTGGAGTTTTCAAGGAAAAGACCGAGGATCTGTCTGATCAGCCAAGCTCCGATGGAAACTTTCAAGCGCCACCGCGGGGAAAAACCAACCTGGCAGAAATGCTCGAAAAGATGCGCGAATCAATGGCGAAGCCGGTCCCGAGAGATTCACAAGCTCCATCTAGCTCATCACCGTTGCCCGCGGCCGAGCGCCAGGATGTTCCGACTGATTCACCCTTGCGACATCGCGGACGAGCGGACTTTGAGGATGGGGAGAGTTCCGCGACTGTGATTGAAGAAGCTGCGCCTGTTGGAAAGGGAGAGGACGAGGAAGACGAGTACGGGTCTCGTAGAACCTCGGGCTCTTCCGATGAGTTCGGTGACGTCGACTTTGATGATGACATGGTAGATGCGCTCGAAATATCTGGCCGCACTGCTACCGTCCCGGAAACCCATATTCACTCACCAGACATGGGACAAGCCGTTTCGAATTCAGCTCCACGTGAGCCTTCCGAGCCTCCTGTGTTGGAAGCGGCGGAAAGCGATGACGAATTTGGACTAGATGAAGACGTGTTTGCGGAAGATCTTGAGCATGTAGCATCGCTTTACGATGCCAGGGCTGAGTGTACACCGGAGCGGCAGTCATTAGGTGTCGACGCAACAGAGAACAGGCACACGGCAAAAGGAGCTCCATCCGTACTTGCTCCTCCTGTCATTGATCTAATCGACGACGATGACGATGATGATTTTGGCGATGACATAGATGCTGATGAATTTGCTGCAGCTGAGGTTGCAGCAACCCAAGCACCCGCCACAGATGTATGTAGACCACGAACATATCAATGAATGAATGCTGAATCTTCAAGAGTGCACAGGACGCTAGAGCTATTCAGCGCTACCTCATAAAGCGAGTAGACGAGGCCCACTACATGACTGACAAGGGGTATCAAATGCCAGAGAAGGTTCGATCCTCTCCTATCGCCCACTTGCCTATGGCTCGATATGCTCACTCCTGTGTAGGTTCTGTTAGTAGAGGACGAGAAGACAAAGCTATTCAAAGCCATCACCCTTCGACAAGCCTGGTACGATACACCGTGTACCCCGGGTTCCTTCGTCCACGTCATCGGAGAGTTCTCTAAGACGGGGCAATGCATCATCGACGATCACCACAACATGCTCATACTTCATCCTGACCATCTGATCTCGGCGACGGTTGTTGCAGACTCGTTTGGATGTCTACGACGAGCTGTCCTGCAAGACCGGGTCAAGGCGACAAGCAGAGCCAATGCTCCCATGCTATACGGCACCCTTCTCCATGAGCTTTTCCAAGAAGCCTTAAAAGCCAACCAGTGGGACATCGACTTCCTTCTGGAGACCGTCGACAAGCTCATTCCCAGCAAATTCGAAACGATCCTCGAGATCAATTCGAACTGCGAAGAGGTGAAAGAGCATATCAGCAGCAAGTTGCCAGAATTACAGTCCTGGGCTAAGATCTTTGTCCGCGCCAAACCAAGAGCGGATGCCATCGTACGAGAACGGAATGGAAGGCAGTCAGTCATGAGCATCAACAAGTTGCTTGACGTCGAGGAACATGTCTGGTCGCCGATGTACGGCCTTAAAGGCAACATTGATGCTACGGTCCAAGTGACCATGCAGGATGACCAAGGCGAACGCACCCTCACAGTCCCTTTTGAAGTCAAGACCGGCAAAAATTCTTCGAACGCTGCGCACGTCGCACAAACAGCTTTGTATAACCTGTTGTTGTCTAACCGCTATGGTAAGTAAACGTACTCTGATACTAGACTAAGCTAAGCTAACCCAAACCTCCAGACGTTGATATTGCATACGGTATTTTGTATTACCTTGAGACTTCGGATACCAGCCGTATTCCCGCTATACGTAACGACATTATCCACATGATCATCAAGCGCAACGAGCTGGCCTGCTTTGTCCGAGATCGTATCGAGCTACCGGAAATACTGAAGGAGGACCACAAATGCGGCAAGTGCTATGCTCAAGAAGCATGTTTCCTGTACCACAAGCTTGTCGAAGATGGACAGGGCGAGCGACTGAACAAGAAGGCAAAAGAGCGTTACGATGAGCTTGTGAAAGATCTAAAGCCTTCTGACCAGGAGTTCATGAAGAAGTGGGACGAATTGCTCACCAAGGAAGAATCCGATATGATGAAATTCAGAAGAGAGCTCTGGACCATGTTGAGTACCGAGCGAGAGAAACTTGGAAGATGCTTCTCCAATGTCATACTGGAGCCCGGGTCAGGCCTTGAAGAGAAGAATGGGCAGAAGATCAATCGCTACACCTACACTTTCGTCAAACAACAGCCGAAGCCGGGCTTTTCTTTCACAGAGTCCCAGCTCATCATTGGTGAGCCTGTTGTCGTATCCGACGAGCGAGGCCACTTTGCATTAGCTAACGGCTATGTCACAAACGTGCGAAAGCGTCGCATCACTGTTGCTGTTGATCGCCGCTTGCACAACTCTCGCAGCAAGCTTCCAGGTTTCCATTCGCAGCACAACCAATCTTTCGCCGGCATCATGGAAGTATCGAAAGAAGGCGATCCAGTGCCGGAGTACCAGGACGACGAAGAGCCCGTGTTATATCGCTTGGATAAGGACGAATTCAGTAACGGCATGGCGGCTGCTCGGAACAACCTGATCCAAATCATGGACGACAATATTTACAAAGCACGAGACCTTCGCTCGCTCATCGTTGGCGGTCGTGCTCCTATTTTCACAACCGCACAAAATGCTTCTCTTCCAGAGTCCTCGCAAATGTCGATGAACTCTGACCAGAAAGCGGCCGTGTCCAAGGTCATGTCAGCCAAGGACTACGCTCTTGTTCTGGGAATGCCTGGTACCGGCAAGACTACCACTATCGCACACATCATTCGGACACTCGTTGCCAAAGGCAAAAGTGTGCTTCTTACCTCGTATACGCACACCGCAGTCGACAACATTCTACTGAAGATTCGGAACGATAACATTGGCGTCTTGCGCATCGGAGCAGCCGCCAAAATCCACCCTGACGTCCGCCAGTTTGCTACTTTGGCTGCCGAGACTAAGGAGAGTCTGGAGGAACTCGAGAAATCTTGGATGCAGCCACCAGTCGTAGCCACGACTTGCTTGTCTATCAACCACCCTCTGTTCAACCGACGAATTTTTGATTACTGCATCGTTGATGAAGCTTCTCAGATCACGCTTCCCGTTTGCCTAGGGCCCATTCGTATGTCGCAGAAGTTTATCCTGGTCGGAGATCACTACCAGCTTCCTCCTCTCGTTCAAAACAAGCAGGCAGCCGAAGGTGGTCTTGATGTATCGCTGTTCAAGATGCTCTGCGAGGCGCATCCTCAGGCTGTTGTGAGTCTCGAGCACCAGTACCGCATGTGCGCCGATATCATGCTTCTGTCGAACACTTTCATCTACTCTGGACGCCTCAAATGTGGAACGTCTGCGATAGCTTCGCGCCAAATCACCCTGCCCAATCCCTCAGGCCTGTCAGCTCATCATAACAAGTTACATCCCTCACGACCAGCTGAAGAGTCCACTTGTGTTGGTCCTGCCTCTGCAAGCTGCTGGCTATCTCGAACTCTTTCCCCAAGTGCTCCCGTGGTCTTCATCAATACCGATCTGATCTCCACGCAACTGGAAACACAAGCTGGCTCACGCATCAACAATACTCTGGAAGCGCGCCTTGTCACACATCTTACCCTTTCGCTCCTCTCACTCGGTGTACCTGCTACCGAGATCGGCGTCATAGCGCTCTATCGTAGCCAACTCGCTCTGCTACGACAGTCGCTTTCTTCCGCCCATACGCAGACTCAGTGCTCAGAACTCGCAGCGGCAGCCACGGGACCCGGCATCTCAGCTGTAGAGCTCCACACAGCGGACAAATTCCAAGGCCGCGACAAGGAAGTTGTGCTGGTCTCGTGCGTGCGAAGCAACGACAACGGCGTGGTGGGCGACTTGCTAAAAGACCGCCGTCGAGTCAACGTTGCGCTCACCAGAGCGCGCAGCAAGCTCATCATCTTAGGCAGCGAAAAAACACTCTCCGGCAACGATCTGCTGCGAGACATTGTCGCGCTCTGCCGGGAGAAAGATTGGGTGCTCGACATCACACAGAATATGATAGACGGTCACGCTTTCAACGAAGGCTTCTCGCAGCCCACTGGCAAAACACCGTCGATGTCTCGCTCGCGCTTTGCGGCTCCGAGTAAGAGCCCGACACCCAGCCCGACTAAGAAGCGGAAGGCTTTGGGTGATATTACTGCTAGTGGCGGACAGGTGAACAAGAGACCGCAAAAGAGAAGCCAGCAAACGCCGAATGGGAGTCCAGAGACGGTTAAGACAGGGAGGAAAACGCCTGCCAAGGTTTTCAAGGCTGGGAAGAGAGGTATCCTCGACGGGCGACCGTTGCTGCAGAATATCTTTAATGAGGCTATTTGATTGGCTTTGCCACTTGAGTAGGATGGCAAGGCATTGCAAGCATGACATTTTGGTTAGGATGGTTTCGATTGTATAAGTGCGTGGACAGTGCGTTTTACAGTTTTGGTTATTCACGGGAGCGTCTGAGCGGCGAATTCACATTGGATTAGCGAGCATTGTTTTGTATACCATTACGAAATTTATACGTCTACTTGAATATCGAACATACATGTTGGTCCTCGATCTTGGCTTGTAGAATGCGGCAATTGTATGCTATCCCCATTTGGGTCTTTTGCCGATTGTTTGGGGTCTGGGCTGCATTTACGCCCTGCCATGACTGAGTCACATGGTGCGTGACTGCATATACGGAGCCATGTAGCCGCTCCTCTACGTGAGCTCTGTTTCTTTCGCTCATGAGATCTCTGAGTTCATAATTGACATTATGGCACCATCTCCACAGGGTAAGTACCTCAGCAGCACCCCTTTCTCATGCTAAGATATGTGGTAGCCGACACCTCAGCCCCCAAGAAGAAATCGCGATGGCAGAAACTCAAGGAAGAGAACGAGGAGCGTAAGCGGGGCAACATACAGCACATATCTGCTAAACAAGCAACGGAGAGGACGGGGTAAGCGATTTCCTGATTCAAAATAAATTCTCAATAGCAATTTACTGACTTTTTCGGTAATAGGTACGACGAGACAGGAAAGCCGGCGACAGAGTGGCGCAAAGAGGCGCATGCAAAGTGGGTTGAGGAGCAGAAGGAGGATAATAAGCGGTTTGGGGGTGCGGTGGTGACGGCTTTGGCGCCGGGGGCGGCGAAGGGGGCTGCGGCGGATGGGTGTGGTGTCATGTAGGATAGCGAAGGGGGGATGCGTCTGGAGTAATGCATGTAGATAGCTGTTGTGTGAGATGGCCTAGGGTAGACTCAATGTGTAATGCGATGTCCTGGACGACAACATCACCACCAAGTGCCTTTCGGTGGATCAACCTGATATCAAAGACGCGAGGTACGCGTCCTTTGTTATATCCATTCTTCTAATATTTCTTAAAGAGACGAATCCATAGGGTAAAGAGATGCCGTATAGGAACATAACATGCGGGTGCACTGGTTGTAACAGGGTGCTAATGTTGCTGCCTGAAATACTGTGAGGAGTGTGGTTTTCCAATCCCGGGGAATGTGGGTGCGCGGTCATGAAGTAAGTGTACGACAGTAAAAGTGGGCGTAAATACTCGACAAGTCTATAACATAGCTTTTCCTATATCCGGCGTTGGCGACAAACCTACGGCGCAAATGATTCTCGTTAACAGAACGTTGTTTGTGACCACCAGCTCTCTCGCTTTGTGTCGAAGATTGATGTCAGTCACTCGAAACTACACCTCTTCATACACGCCCCTGTGAAGACAGAAGGAATATTATTTGCATGTCTCATGAATGATTATCCTGAAGAGGTAGATAACTTTGGATTGCAAGTTGCTAGTGGAGGAAGTCAGGAAGTCGAGTCGTTCCGTGGTACCGAGCGGGATGACGTCCCAAAGTTTTGGGTCAGCACGAGCCACGCGACTTTCTCGCGTAAAACGCGTTGTATTGCAGGAACAACCAGCCCACCCTCAGCTCGTTCTTAACACTGCACCATACAGCTATGAACACTTCTCATGCTTTCGCACGCACTGCAGACATCGAGCATGTCTCTACCGCCGTCTAAATTACCGCGCCTTTCATCAGCACAACGCGCCGTCGACCCAAAACAGCGACTTCCCTCGAAGCAAAAGCGAGATTCGATCTGCGGTCTCGGAACATTCACAAAGCCCTTCACAATTCGACCGTGCCCCGAGTCGCCCTACAATCAGCCGCATACCTTCGTACCTATCCGCGTTATCGCTCGGTCACAACTTCCTCTCTCGCTCCTCGATACTACGACCGACAATTCGCTTGCAAGCAATCAGCTCTTCTCTGCCTCGATTGATGTTCTTGAGCGTTTTCACCGCGAAAAGAGCGATGAGAGCCAATCGCAGACTACACAGGCACCGAGGGTTCTTATAGCACGCCATGGAACGAAGAAAACCCTATACGCCATGGAGCGTGTTCAAGAGCGCGTGTACAGCCTCTGCAAGCTGGCCATCTGGTTGAAAGAGAAGGACGTCACGGATCTGTGGGATCCAGAGAATCTACACGTCTATCCAACGCTGCCAAAGGTGGAACCACGCGGCGAATTAACAGATGTATGGTGGAAGCATGCAGTGGTGGACACACCGCCGGCAGAGAAGCCTGCAAAACGCGCCAGACTTTCCATGCTACGCCTCAAACCTTCGACCGAACCTATTGAGTCACACACACTCTCCGTTCCCAGTGAAGCGCCAGCGATCGAGCAGACGCAAAACCAGGCAGGCCCTACGGAGTTACACACGGACGCCGTAGAGACGTCCGCGCTACCTACGCCGCAGGAACAATTGCATAATTTCGTGGACCAATATCTGGACGCTTTATATGTCTCCAAGACATCTCTCGCATATTTTGCCAAAGGCCCGATCGCTCGTATTCGAAATGCTTTTACTTCTACCGAAGAAGGCGCGCCAGCTACACATGAAATGGTCACGTTCATGCGCTCTATGCTTCTCAGCCACAAAGCAGAGGAGAAGAAGTACAGAGAAAAACTGTCGGAAGTCATCAAGGACTTCCCGCCGAGAAGCTTTTCGGACGATGACCTAGGCGACGCACCGAAGAAGCCGAAGAAATCCAAGAAGAAGGTCAAACCTAATCGAGACGGTATGTATCCGCAAGAGACGGAAGTTGTGAAGAAGTGGTGGTTTGGAGGAATATCGACCGCTGAAATGGCCCGCGACGAGACTGTTGACCAGCGCATCAAGAGACGTTTGGGCGACCTAAGGGTTCGTGAGGCACTACTTCAAATGATTCTGATCCTTGAGATCACTGCACTGGAATCTCTTGCGGCTTACAAAGCACCAATGGAAGGACAGGATGGCCCAGCCGAGGAATCCCAGGCGACATCTCAGGCGGTAGGAGAGTCGCAGTCCAAGCCGAAGCGCAAGAAGAAACTCGACAATGTGACCCTGCTCCTTGATCTGTTACTTGATAAACTGTGCATCTGGCAATCCATTGAGGAAGAAGGCGTACTCGATTTCGATGCAAAGAAACAAGATGAAGATATCAATGGGTCTACTGGCAAAGATCGCTTGCAAAGCTTTTGTGTTGAAGTCATCATACCTTTCTACATGAACAGGTTACCAGATCAAGCAAGGATGGTCAACAAAAAGCTAGGCGGCCCAGCACCTTTATCACCACCAAAGCGCAAAGCCATGAGGCCCTCGAATGTGTCACGAAAATCTGGTGAACCGAAGGAGTCAGAGTCCAAAAAGCCGCGACGGTCATTAGGCCGCGTCGCTACCGATACTACAGGGAGAATAGGCTCTGTGCGAGCCCCTTCACTGAACAGGTCCGTGACTGATTCTACCATTCTTAATGGCATCAAACGAGAGGGGAGTGAAGTTCCTCTTTCGGCCATCCCTTTTCAGCGTAGCCCGTCGAACGCCGCTAGACAATCAGCATCTCATCTCAAGCTCCTTAAAGGGCGGGAAATGGATTTGAAAACCACATCAAAGGCAGCCGCTGCGAGGGCGATGCAGCGAAAGCGAGTAGAGGAAGATCTCCGGGACGCTATCTCGACTTTGAAGAAACCAAACCGCGGCCTTGCCGCAGGGAGCTACGCAGATGACATTGAAAAACGCGGTCTTGGTTCTCTCGGCTCAGCCAGTTCAGCCAACAGATCGAGGAAGCCAGCCAATCCTGTTAGGAAAATCATGAAGGACGTTCAAGTGACGGCAACGCCGAATGCACGCAGAAGAATGAAGGACATGTTGCAGCAGGACCCGATACATCACGATAATCCATTTGTTCGCCCTCGACCATTCGACGGGTACCCTTCGAGCGACTTCTGCATACCGTCTTCAGCCGCACGTCCGCCACCGTCATCGGTAGTGCCTGCAACTGTTCAGCGTAGCGCAACAGCCCGGAAAACGGTGCCACAGGGCGTCGCTGAAACGCCATCGAAACCACAAGGAGCTAGGAAGTTCTCTATCCCGGCCCCGAATGGCAGGAAGATCCTCACAACACCATCTAAGGCCAGGACTGTGCATATGGCGTTTGACTCCCCACCTCAAGCTGTGCAAGCAACTCCAACCAAAGCTACTGCCTCCTCCCCTCTCAATGATATCAAGAACTACCTTGCGCCGACCCCTCGAACTCTGTTCGCTACACCGTTGAAAAAAGCTGCGCCTGCGCAGATTGCTGAGTCGCCTCTGCCGGCTCTTTCACACCCAGCGGAGCTCCCTGGTAATATGAACAGCGACTCTGCGCCGACCTCTCGAACTCTCTTCGCCACGCCCATGAAGAACACAACACCTGCACAGGTTGCAGAGTCGCCTTTCTCGGCTCTCCCACATCCGCCAAAAGCCGTTGAGGAACCGTCGATTTATGACGCTCTCGGCTGGAACGACGATGACGATTTCATGTAATACCCCTCAGATAGCATTTGTCTTCAGCATAGCGAGCGTTGCATGACCATGGAATGTGTTTTTAATACCAATCAGCATCGGGACGGCGTTCTCTAGCATAGCTTCTCTCCGCTGAGGTCGATAGGATGTACTCAGTGTAATTGTTCTGCACCATGTCTTAAGACAGGCAGCGAGCATTGCTGTAATCAAACGATGTCATTTCACACCCAGTATGAGCTACCATGTCTTGATTGTGCGAAACATTAGCCGGCCGAATTGTGAACCATGGAACAGGGATCCTTGGCCAAATGATGGCTCTCCGCGCTCCAGGTACACGGCGGAGGTATCTCCGCAACCCCAGAATTAACTTTCGTACAAGCAGCAATGGTCCGGCATTGACACTGCCATGATGGAGACGTGCTGACGTCTGCGGTAATACGGTAAACCGTTGCGCCTACCGTAAGCTCATGCCACGGTACCTTTTCGGCGCGATCCGTCGCGAGCGGGATGGCGTTCGTTGACACGAGATTTGACTCGAGATAGGTTGCGGCGTCGTCGCTGTGCCACCATATTGTCGCATTAACATGGACAGACGCCACCTTGCAGCGGCGCGCTTTCCCAGACAATAGTAAATAAACAAACAGTCGACGCACCCCACATCCGACGCGCTGAGGTTCTGGTAGCGATTCTGCTGAAGCATGCAGCCAACACCCTAGATCGCGGACTTGTCCTTAGCATGAGGTCGGAAAACAAAACGTCCAATGGCACGTCAGGGTCGCTCCGGAGGCCTGGCGGCCGTGCCAGAAGGTTGGACGTGCTGACGGGGGATCGCTGTCAACTGTGCCCCTAATGGAGAAACAAAGTGTCAATGCGCCTTCATTTCAAAGACCTAATGCCCGATCCCCTACGCGCCGCCGAGCTGGCTGCTTTCCCGTGCACGCGTCTCTCGTGTCTTTCTTTGCTTATATCCATTCTTACTCTCTTTGAAGCTTGTGCTGCGCCAGGTCGAGTTGCACAGTTCCAAGAGAGACCTTGTTGCGCAACCTGAACCATGTCAATCTTGTGCCGCGCTCCTCCAAACCGCGATCCAACATTATAATGGCAGCCGCTCCTATTGCTAGGCAGTCGGGCATGCCCTCCTCGCCGCGCTCGCCGACCCTTAGTGAGAGGTCCTTCGACAGCTCTATGATCCTTCCTGGGGATGCGATCCGAAGCATATCACCTCCGCTGTTTGCGGAACGACCGCCCTCGCCGTCGAGTTTCTACGCCCATGCGAACCGATCCACCCACACACTCACTTTGGCAACTGCGCCCCCACGACGGTCGCCCCAACTCAGGAACTCACCACCACTCTCGTCGCAGAGTTCGCGCTCAACGCTCCGGAATATGAACACTTCGCAAGCAGATGCAAAAAGTCCGGCGCTGACTGTCGACACACTGGCATCCTCACCGACTGTACAAGATGGCCTTCTCAATCCAGAGCCCAACGACTACAACAGCCGCAGCCCATCGCAACGGCGATTGAGTACAACTTCGAGTCTGAACAGCGAGGATTTGGAGATGATCAGAAACAGGTGGCCTGGGTTCGACAGTCAAGGCTTCGACGACAGTGGCGTAGACTTGGAGGAAGGAGACAATCAGGACCAGTTCCCGGTAGCAACACCAGACAGCGAACTGGGCGACGATCGATGGAAGAGTGGAGACTTCCAAGCCAAAGAGAATTCCTATTCATCTGATCTTTATGCGAAACGAGCGGAAATGATTCTTGCAGACGCGAAGAAGCGGCTCAATGTACGAAAGATGATTCAAGAAGGGATCGCGGATGACTGACAGTGAACAGGTGATGGAAAATAACATACGAGGTGCGCGACAATCGCTCGTTGTCTCGCCAACCTTCAACAGCTCGAAGATGGCAACAGAGTTCCAGCATCAGATCAACGCAGCGCGCGAACGAGACAGAAAATTGTATGCAGGGATAGGACCGATACCTCCTCGAAATCGATTGTATCAAACATCGCCGCTCTCGACAACAGGCAGCCCGACGCATGCCCGCGGCATGAGCGAAACTTCTGTTCCCCTACCGTTTTCGTCCCCGTCATATATGGCTAAGATACAAGATTCCAAGCGAGCGTCGAGTGCGATGGGGCATGGAAGCGGACCATGGTCTCCCGCTTCATATGGCAATGGCCGTTTTCCGATCAGAGAGTCGCGGAGTTTCGAGGTGATGCGCGACCCACGCGGCCAGGACGACTCCTTGCGCACACATTCCAGGGGCTCCAAGTCGCCACCTAACGTTCTGGAGACTTTACCGGAGGACGAGTCACCAAGGCTTCACCGGTCCGCCTCGACCACGAGCAGCTTGCGCGATCAAGTGCATGATCTCAAACATCGGATATCGAACCTCAGGTTGAAAACGCACGAGGACAGCATGCGGCGACGGAGTCAACAGAGCTTACGTGCACCCAGCCCTTTCACCTCAGCTGAGACCTGGTATACGGGCACAGATTCGTACAAGACTCCAGGTTCACCCATCAATGCGGACGCTGGTATGGGGTTCAAGTTGGAGTCTCCTACTAGAAAAGCATTATATGAGGATGAAGCCAGCGATTTGACCGCAAAACATCCGGTCGATACACCCCGACAAGATCACGCCTATGCGGTGAAAGACATCGTTGATTACGAGCAGTCGCCGCCCGATATCGACGATGAGGCATCATTTCAGTATGACGACTGGGAGCAACAAAAGGCCTCGAAAGATAACCCCCATAACGTAGGTCTCGGCCTGGATCTGGATGAGACCGATGAGGACGATTTCATCTCAGTGAACGGTGATGAAATCGACACGGGCTCTAGCGTTTACGAAGATGCTGTGTACGAGATGCCCGCGACAGAACGGCACGAAGATCGCATAGATGCCTTCGACTACGAGAACTTCTTCTTGCACAGCGCCATGGGAACGTACAGTGCCGCCCGCCCCAGATCTTCCAGCAGCTCGAGCTCGACCGATTCGGTGGCTACGACGAGACCAGTAAATGATCGTAGTTCAGTGGCTACGATTCTTCACACCAGGAACGTGTCTACGGGTTCTGCGAAGAGGGTATCCATGCATGTGCGCAATTCAAGTCAAGCTTCAGTTTCAACAGTAGCCTCGTTTGCGACAGCTGCAGAGGATTTGTCTGATGACGAAGAGGAGAATCCGCAGATGGACCAATTCAGCAAGCAAATGTTTCCAAGTCAGCAGCCTGTGTTGCAGAACATCACTGCGTCGCCGCGCTCTGATTCTGCACACAATGTACGCAAAATCGCCAGCTCGAGTTCCCCAGCAACAAGCTCAACCTCAACGCTGTCCCGGGTTTCCTCCCCTAGCTCAGGCGATCTCGTTACCGGCCTCCAGACCTCGAAGATCTTCTCCCTCCTGTCGCAAACGCCACGGGACGAGCCGCAGTTGGCCCTAAATGAAGAGGAAAAACAACTCATCTACAGCGTGGCTGCTACCTTACAGCAAGTTTGCAGTAATCTGCGGAGTACAACTGGTGATCAGTACGAACGGAAGGAATGGCGGAGGAGGCTCGACGAAGCGAGGAGAGTGCTCAACGGCGAGGAGATGGAGGGTCAGCCTTTTTGATACGGATCCGCCAATTTCCGCCACATCTATTCGGAATACCTACAGCAACAGAATCTAATGTCTATTGACGACCTGCAGCGGCGCAACGTTTCGCGAATCTACACCTTCGACTTTCTTTCTTATGTTGCAGCGGTCAAGCTTTATGACCACTTTTCCACCAACTGCTTCGGCAAATTTCTACACTTTCATGTTTTCTTGGATGGATACCACATAGACGGCATTCTCGCGCATGTATTGATACCCGGGGTGGAGAGGAGACGGCCGGTGTAAGTGGGCCTTCCTGTGGATTTTACTTTCTGTTCATGTACCTACCATCGTAATGCAATTACTAGTTCGCCCAAACACGACTTCTCGATGGCAGATTGGGCTTGACCGACATGGCTTTCCAGAAGGCCGTGGAAACACGAGGGGAAAAGGCTCCCGGGGCGTACAAGGTGTACCCAGACTGCTCGCAGGACGAGGGAGACACGAGGTTGACTGGTTGACAGCTGTCTACATTGGCCCCACCGTCGCCCACTTTAACAGCATCATTGTTGCGGATGCACAGTGTGTTGTCTGTCGAGTCCTATGCCTTTCTCTCCCGGTGCTAATGCGCGTAGTCTCCATGCTGCAGCTGGAAGCGGCGAACTAGTGCGCGAAACCGCTGCCAGGGCGCTATTATTGGGTCGTAGGCGTAATTGAGTGTCGTGAGAGGTGCTGGAGCAGACTGGCGGTGAGGACGAGGCTTGCGGTGTCGTGGCTGGTTGCTCGGTCGGGCAGCCAATTGCGGGGACTAGACGCCTACTATTTGCCCCATTGATGGATGCAGGTCGCGCTGGAGTCCGCTGGCGACATGTAGATGCGCGGCGGGAGCACCCTATGGCGCCCCAGGCGACGGGTGCAGGGGAACGACGGTCGGCTTCACGAGGTTATCCCTCATTATGCATGCATGGCGGCATTCACCCACACAGCGCATGGCAGTGCGGCAGCTAGGCCGACAAATTTTCGCTCTGACCGGGCCTCTTTAACGCGCGCCATCTCGTGGGAGCTTCTCTCCGAAGTGCGGTCCCGTCCGCTTGTTGTTTGCTGCCCTGCCTGTGACTCTGCCGTGTACGTTTACGACGTCGACGCGGGCGTCTTGTCGCGCTCCCCAGCCCCTCACTTTTCGCCGTCCGCATGTTGAATTTCGACGCGGGGCCCCCAAGCGCAGTGCGTGAAACGCCAATCGTTATCAGACGCCCCCAGATGGCCCTTTCCTTGCCTCCATTCGAGAGCACCTAAGCCTAATCTGCTCGGTGTGTGTCGCCAGGACTCACCATCCACACGCCCGCCCCAGGTGCACTCAAGGTCGAGCCCGGTGACCACTTGCAGCGACCCTGACCCTCGAGACAGCCGCTTCGAGCCCGCGCAACCGCAAACACCTGCATACACTTACATACGTGCATCCTCGCCGATCGCATCGCCTTTACTCGCTGGTGCAACTCGTGCACCGGCTGCATCACCAGAAATTCGCCTGTTGGCCCATCTGTGCCACCGTCCCTGAGCATCGCATCGCACCTTCCGCGCCCGACGTGCTTGCAACTTCCCCAGCTACCACCTCGCCCCTTCCCCGCGCAATCGCGGTTCCTCGACTCCGCTAATGTGCCCGCCTCCTCCACCGCCCTCTTCCTGTTTGCGCGCCTCCAGATACCCGGCTTCCTCGCAGCATGTCTCCTCCCGCCAGCTCACGCCGCGCCGCCGCCGCCGCTCCAAATGCGAGGCGACGGACCCGGCTGTCATCGAGGACTGGATCGGATGATAGCATGAGGAGTAGGATTTCAAGAGTTGCTGGAAAGGAAATCGTGTTTGGGACTGAATGGGGAACAAACAGCTACACTGTGAGCACATTTGGTGGGGAACCAGAAGAGAGCGCACCGTTTGCGGGGATGCTAGGGGACATATTCCAGGCGCTGGACCGACTGGAACACCGCAGCGAGGAATTGGACCGCAAGAGTAGTTACGGAATTTCGGTATGGCAGCTTTATTTGGTCGAAACCCCACTTCTTTTGGTCCCTGCATTCCCTTGTTCGTGCTGTGAAGGGCACAGCGAGCGCCCAGGTGCACCTTGTACTAAATTACCATGTATCGTTGATATGTACTAACGGGCGCAGATACACGACCTCTCGACACAGTTGGCGGCTCTTCTGCCGCCACCATCTACGCCCTCACGCGAACTCTGGCTGGAAACGCCTCAGAGCCATGAAGGGTCCCCTCCTCCGTCTTACGACGATACCATCGCGGATCTTCCACCGGACTACACCACTACAGATGCACTTGCCACAGCACAGACACCGGAGTACACACCGTTCCCATCGCTGAATGCTTCTATATGTTCTGACGTTCCCAACTGCTTGCGAATAAGCCGCAATACGTCACCATCCTCTTCTCTCTTTCTAGACGAGAAACCACTTTATGCAGATATCGATTTCGGCTTCACTGAAGATGGGGTCAAATCGCATGCAAAGAAGAAGGGCGGCAAGAAGGCCAATGCGCCGGCCTCTAAGAGCCCTTTCGATGAACCTGCGAAAGAGCCTGATCCACCCGCAGATCCTCCGCCAGATGACAACGGCGGTGGTGATCCACCAGCGGATGGCGGATCAGGCGGAGGCGATGGTGGTGGTGATGGCGGAGACGAGAAGAAAGATGATGATTGGGGCGACGGGTGGGGCGCTGCAGCTGGCAAGAAGAAAAAGAAGACCAAGAAGCAAGAGGAGGAAGAACGCAAGAAGAAGGAAGAGGAAGAAGAAGCCGAGCGCAAGAAGAAGGAGGAGGAGGATGCCGCTGCTGCGGCAGCTGCGGCCACGAATACCGGCGCTGATCTTAGCTGGGCAGATGGCAACGGAACTGCCGCACCCGAAGATGATGGATGGGGTTCATTTGCGACTGCGGGGAAGAAGAAGAAGGGCAAAAAGGGAAAGGTACGTGGTAATCTCGGTTGCTTAAATACCACGTTTCAATGCGCTAACATCATCACTACAGGCGGCCGAACCCGCTGCACCACCACCTCCAGACCCGCATGCAGCTGACCCTAATACGACCTTTGATAGTATTGATCTTGGAGACGACTCTGGTGCACCCAAGATTGACATGAACTTTGGTGACATAGGCGCAAAAGCATCTTCGTTCTTAGGCGGCAGCGGTCTTGGCAATTGGGCCAGCGGCGGTTGGGGGGGGGATCTAAGAACACAAACTCTTGGAGCTTCGACGACAAGAAAGACGAGGGCAAGGGTGACAATCCATGGGGCTCGGCTGATTCAAAGCCGAAGGGAGGTGACGGTTTTGACTTCAATTTCGACGCCTTCAACGCGGGGGGTGCGGCCGCACCACCACCAGTGGAAGAGAAGCCACCAGAAGATGATGGCTGGGGTTTCGGCTTTGGAGGCAAGGCTGACAAGAAGAGCAAGAAGAAGGGTGGCATTTCAGCGTTAGTGGAGGAATCTGTCCCTGAACCACCTCCAGCCGCACCACCCCCAGCCGATGAAGACTGGGGATCTTTCTCATTCGGCGGTGCTAAGGATAAGAAGAAGAAGGGCAAGAAGGGCGCTCTTATCGAAGAGCCTCCCGCCGCACCCGAGCCTGTCCCAGAGCCCGAGCCCGCACCAGAACCACCCAAAGAGGATGATGGCTGGGGATCATTTGCTCCCACCACAACCAAGAAGAAGAAGGGAAAGAAAGGCGTTGTTGAAGAAATTATTGAGCCGCCCAAGGTCGAGGAACCTCCACCACCTCCACCAGAGCCCGCTCCAGCACCGCCTGCTGACGATGATGGCTGGGGTTCATTTGCTCCCACTACGACCAAGAAGAAGAAGGGCAAGAAGGGGAGCGGCTGTGGTTGAAGAGCCTCCGCCACCTCCGCCCGAGCCTGAACCTGTCGCAGAGCCCGAACCTGAGCCTGTGGTCGAACCGCCGCCGCCACCTCCTGAGCCTGAGGTACCTGCAGTCGACCCTTTCGCTGGACTCAGCAAGGGTCAGAGGAAGAAGTTAGAAAAGAAACTGAAAGACGAAGCGGCTGCGAAGGCGATAGCAGATGAGGAAGAAGCTGAGCGTAAGAAGATAGAGGATGCGGAGGAAGCTGAGCGCATCAAGAAGGAAGAAGAGGAAGCCGCTGCTGCTGCCACTGCCGCAGAGGCTGAAGCAGCGACGGCAGCTCCTGTCGAGCCAGTAAAGAGCCAGGACTCATGGGGAGACTGGGGCGCGGCGACGACGGCCACAAGCAAGAAGAAGAAGGGTAAGAAGGGTAAGGAGGAACCTAAGGTCGAGGAGCCTCCGCCGCCACCGCCTGAACCCGAGCCCGAACCCGAACCAGCGCCCGTTGTTGAGGAAAAGAAGGACGATTGGGCCGATGATTGGGGCATGGCTGCAACCACGACAACGAAGAAGGGCAAGAAAAGTAAGAAGGGTGCCGTCGTACCTGAACCGCCGCCTGTAGTTGAGCCTCCACCACCTCCGGAACCAGAGCCTGTAGCCGAGCCCGAGCCCGAGCCCGAGCCTGTCGTTGAGGAACAGAAGGACGATTTGGGGGATGACTGGGGAATGGCTGCGACTACCACGACGAAGAAGAAGAAGGGCAAGAGCGAGCCTGAGGCGAAGGAGAAGAAGGAAGACTGGGGCTTGAGCTCGATCTGGGGCGGCAGCAAGAAGAAGAAGAAGGGCAAGAGCGAGCCTGAACCGCCGCCTCCTGAGCCAGAGCCTGTTGTAGAGGAGGCAGCTCAGATCCAGGAAGCGGATGGCATTGAAGAACCCCCAGCGCCGGAAGAGGATGAATGGGGAACTCCGTCATGGGGCAAGAAGACGGACAAAAACAAGAACGACCCTCTCGATGTCACCGATGAGTTCGCTTCGGGTCACATTCAAAAGCCTGACGAGGATGACCCTTGGGGTAGTGCTCAGTTCAACATTGGTAAGAAGGGGAAGAAAGGCAAGAAGGGCGCTATTGGAGGGTTTCCTTCTGTTCCCGATGCGCCTGGCGAGGTCGACCTCCTTGGTGAGCCCGAGTTGCCACCGATGAAGGAGATCGAAGCGCCCCCGCCTGAAGACAAGGTCGAAGACGATGGCTGGGGTTTCAGTACGTCCTCCAAGAAGAAGAAAAAGAAGGGCGAAGAGGACGGTGGCAAGCTTAGCAAGACGACCACCAAGGATTCAGCTTCGAAATCTGCCAAGGACACGTTCGAGGACCTCATCAATCTCGACGAACCGCCGAAGGAAGAAGAGCCGCCTGTTCCGGAGCTTCCGAAGAGCACTTGGGTCGAATACGTGCCTCCACCGCCTCCGAAGAAAGAGACCGGCACGGCGAAGAAGAAACGTCTAGCGCAAGAGAAGAAAGATAAAGAGAAGTGGGATAAGGAGCAGCAGGAGCGCATCGACCGGGAAGAAAAGGAGACAGCGGAATCCGCCGAGAAAGCCCAGGCTGAAGCCGCTGAAGCCGAGGCCGAGAAGCTTCGACTTGAAGAGGAAGAAGCAGAGAAGGCACGTATCGAAGCCGAAGAGGCAGAAAAGGCACGGATCGAGGCCGAAGAAGCGGAAAAGGCTAAGAAGGAAGCTGAGTCTAGCTCTGGCTGGGGATCATCGATCTGGGGCTCTTCGAAGAAAAAGGAGACCTCGAAGCAGAAGAAGGAGCGTGAAGCGAAGGAGAAGAAAGAGCGTGAGGCGCAGGAGAAACTTGAGCGCGAAGAGAAGGAACGCGCCGAGCAAGAGGAGCAGGAACGTATCCAACGGGAAGCCGAAGAAGCCGCAGAAGCCGAGCGAATCCGCATCGAAGCGGAAGAGGCAGAGAAGGCACGGGTTGAAGCTGAGGAGGCTGAAAAGGCTAAGAAAGAGGCAGAGGCGAGCTCTGGCTGGGGAGCATCGATCTGGGGTTCCTCCAAGAAGAAGGAGACGTCCAAGCAGAAGAGGGAGCGTGAAGCGAAGGAGAAGAAGGAGCGAGAAGAACAAGAGCGTCTTGATCGCGAGGCCAAAGAGGCAGCAGAGGCAGCCGAAGCAGCAGAGAAGGAGGCAGCAGAGCAGGCCCAGAGAGAAGCGGAGGAGGCAGAGCAGGCCCAGAGGGAAGCGGAGGAAGCTGAAGCCGCCCGATTGGCCGAAGAGAAAGCGGCTCTTGAGGCTCCACCGTCAAAGAAGGACAAGAAGAAGAAAAAGAAGGGTGTCGTTGTCGAAGAACCTGTACCTCCGCCGCCACCTCCAGCTCCTCCTGCGGTTGACGATGACCTCCTCGATCTTGTCAAAGACGTTCCTGCCGCCGACCTGCTGGCTGAACTCGACAAGGACACCCAGAAAGAGGAGTCAGGCGGTGGCTGGGGTAGCGCTTGGGGGGATTTCTCTGCGCAAGACCAAAAAGCCTGAACCGAAGCCTGAACCTAAATGGGACGATTTCGTGGACGCTGAGTCAGCTCCGCCCCCTGTCGAAGAGAACCCGCCAGAACCTCCAGTCGCTGACGAACCCGCGCCTGAACCCGTGCCTGAACCTGAACCGGAAAAGAAGTCATCAAAGCTCAAGAAATCGAAGAAGGGTGAGAAGAGTTCGTCGAAGAGCAAGTCCAGGGCAGTAGAGCCCGAGCCCGAACCCGTACCAGAGCCCGAACCTGAGCCTGTGTTCGAGGACGCTCTTGACGACACCGCACCACCGCCTCCGCCTGAGCCGCCCGTAGTCGAGGTTGAGGAGCCGACGCCCAAAAAGTCTTCCAAGTTGAAGAAGGAAAAGGGCTCCTCCAAATCCAAGTCCAAGAAAGACAAGTCTCCGCCTTTGGAGCTTCCTGAGCCGGAGCTTGTCGAAGAACCTCCCAAGGTCACTACACCTGTACCTGGGGGGCTTTCCTATGGATGATGAGATGGATCTGATCGATCTGGGCATGGCGCCGCCGCCGCCTCCAGCAGACCCTGAACCTGAACCTGAACCTGAACCTGAACCTGAAGCGGAGCCTGAGCCAGAACCCGAGCCAGTCATCGTCGAGAAGAAGTCCAAGAAGAAGAAGGACAAGAGCAGCAAAAGCAGCAAAAGCAGAGCCATTGTGCCCGAGCCGGAGCCTGAACCCGTCGTCGAGGCGCCGCCGCCACCTCCACCGGTCGAGGACTTCATGGACGATCTGCTGGACGATGAACCTGCACCGATGGACGCAGAAGCTCCGCCAGCTCCTCCCACACCCCCACCCGAGCCAGAAGTGAAGCCTGATTCCGCGAAGAAGGAGCGCGCGAAGGTTGTCCGAAAAGGTGGCTCTAATGCTTGGGGCCTGTGGACCACTGCTGGTGCCGCCGCTTCTGCCTCAAAGTCCAAGTCGTCCAAGAGACCATCTGACGACGGTACCAGCAGTGCAGCGCCCTCAAGACCCAGCATGTCCCGCTCCAAATCCGCGCGTGCTCCCTCTTCGCGCGAGAAGGACGTGGTATCCAGATCATCGGGATCAGACAAGATGAGCAAGACTCCTTCGCGCGCAAAGTCTACACGCGCTTCTACAGGTCTTGCCTCGATGTTCGGAGTGGGTCCTCCGCCATCGAGTCGCACCAAAACGCGCCGTGGTTCAGCCACACCCCGCACGATGTCTAGACGGCCATCGTTCGATCAAGATGCCGCGATGATGTCGCCTCCTCAGACAGACACAGACGCGAAGGTCGCCTCCAAGGCTGCCAAGGTAATGGGCATGAGAGGCTCGGTCAGCAGACGATCCAGTACCAGGGAAAAGGGCAAGTCTCGAGGTAAGAAGATCGCCCCCAAACGGCCGAACGTGCGTAAGCGGAGAACCCAAGCTAACTGTTTTTGGGCAGCTCCCCCGGACCCGTATGCGTTAGACGACGATCACGATATCGACATGGGGCTCGACGAGGAGGCCCCGCCTTCACCTTCACCTGTGCCCAAGTCCAAATCGCGTCGCAAATCCAAGCACGACTCCGCATCGCCTGTCGAAGAACCCTCGACAGCCCCGCCAAGCGCTGAGGACCCTGTCGACATGGATCAGATGGACGTCGAGCCAGCCCCAGCTGAACCGACCCGCCGCGAGCGACACCGTCGTGAGCGCGGCAACTCCAGCGCGCGCGACACCATCGCAGGAGCAACAGCCGGTGCAGCCGCTGCCACTGGATTGATGAGCATGTTCGGCCTCGGCAAAAAGAAGGACAAGGCTGCGCCGCCCGAAGACGACAGGCGCGAGCGCCGCAGGGCCCACGAGACAGAAGACGAGCGAAAACGCCGCAAGCGATCCTCTGCGCGCGATGGACTTAACGATGACGAGGCGAAACGGCTGCGACACGAGCGTCGCAGCGTACGTCGCTCTTCGCGCATGCCTGACGGCGACGTGGAAGGAGGTGCTGAGCTCGGTGATGGCGCCAATGGCAGCACCGATGTTGACCCTGAGCGCGAAGCCAGACGCGCCGAGCGCAGGGCGAAACGACAGGCAGAGAAGGATACGCGTCGTGCGGAGCTTGAGGAGATTGAAGGCAAGGCCGAGCGTCGCCGCGAGCGCGAACGCGACAACGAGCGCACCGTCTTCGCTGAGAAGAAGGCCAAACAGATGGCTGAGCTAGAGCGACGGAACAAGGAGGCCGAAGAACAGCTGCGCCGCATGAACGAGAAGGAGGCGCGCAAAGCTGGCCGGGAGTCACGCAAGGGCCCTGAAGACCGTGAACACCGCTCGTCTCGACGCAAAGACAAGGAACGGGAGAAATCGTCTCGCCCGGACAACGAGAGGCGCAAGACTCACATCGACGGAGAAGACCCCGAGGAACGCCGTCGCCGCCGCGAAGAACGCCGCGCTCAAAGACATAACTCAGAGTACCCTGCTACCAATGGCAACGGCGAGCCCATCACCGACTACTTCGACCAGCGCAATGCGTCTCAGCACAACTCTCGACACCGCAGCTCGCACCGCTCGCGCGAAGAAGAGAACATGCCGTACATTGCCAAGGGCGGCGACAAGACATCTTCATGGGTCGACTCGCTCTCCAATGAACCACCTCTTCCCCCTCCGCTCGCCGAAACGGTGTTCGATCCTCCGCCCACTGCTCGCGACGGCCTCGGTGACGAAGAGAGCCCTTCAGCTGACGAAGAAATTCGCATGCGCATCCGGCATCCCAAGCGGACGAGCAAGCGCGAAAAGGAAGAGCGTGAGCGTGAGAAAGAGCGCGACCGTGAACGCGAGAGGAAGAGCCACAGACGGCGTTCGCACTATGAGGGGACGAGGGACGAGGAAGAGGGCATGGAGAGAAGATCTCGCCGCGAGGAACGCAGGAAGACGTATGCGCCCGAGTATGCGGATCCGCCGGTCAGGACGTGGGATGGCGGCCGGCGGCGGATGGCGCGCAGGGGCAGGGGAAGAGGGGGTTGGTTCAAGAAGATATTCTAGGTGACGGGATCACGTAGGGGGTGGTGGCTTGTTTGGAGGTGTATGTGGTGGTGTCTTGGATGTCATGTCATGTGCGATTGATTTGGAAGCATTGCGACGGCGTTATACCCCTGCTTAATCGATATCCCCTCTCTCGTCGATCATGTTCTGGTGTGTGCGGCACTGTAATGCATCGGATGGCTGTAGTTTGGCATTGTTGGAATACGGCATGTACTAGGCGAGCCCGCGCGTGTGCTTGGATGGTAGATACCCTTTCCCTTTGCTGAGTGGATACATGTAGTTGCTCGATCTATTGCCTAAGATGTGAAGTGCCTCCGTGCCGATGAGCGATACAGGTGGCCTCTACGCACCTTTTGACAGTTTGCGGATTTGTTTAAAAATATGTATCCAGCGTTTGACGATGGTGCGTACTATCGCCAAAAATCTAGGCTCTCTTCACAAATGAATTGGAGAAATACAAGGCGTGAATACTGCATGTTTTCTCTTCTACACTCCTCTGCCTCACGTTTCAGCGGGCTGGAAATAGTAGTCGGAAGGCCCCATGCACGCCCATTTTGCCTCACTCTAAAATAACCATATACATCTTACATGGCGCATACTACACTCCCAAACCAGTCGTGCTACCTTTAATGCTTTACGGTGCGCATCATCAACATACACATTCGAGACGTACGCGGCTAGCTGCATGGCTTGAAATCTATCTGGTGTAGACTTGGTATATCTCCCACTTTTTAACTTTTGCTTTCGTTGCGGCATTTATGTCTCTTGACTTGGTTTTGTTCCATGTTGAGAACGACTAAAAACTGCCGAGAGTAAACACATGGTCTTCGCTGCGATGAAATTTGCTGTTAGGATTAAGATAACCTGGCATGCTAACTCATGAGATGCTGTAGCTTCGGAAGTAGGGCTTTTGCGGAGGGGAGGTGGTGAGTATCATCACTGGCACATATTGATTTTAAAAAGCTTAGTAGGATGGTGGGTATATAAACTACCTCGAAGCTGGTAGGGCTGTTGTTCACAGTGTCTCACTCTTTTGGGGGAAACTAAAAGCTGCAGAGAACACGTGCATGGGCGAGCTGCGGTGTGCTGTGCTGCGGGGGACTAAAACCATGCTGCTACTGCTTATGAGGTGTTGTTGTTGCCTAATTTATAGTGCGTATATGGAGGAGTGGGAGTGGAGAGTATCATCACCGAAACACATGTATGCTGAGCCAACTATAAGGCCATCAAAGGCATCTGAAGTAGGCTGAGTGGGATGGTGGGTATATAAGTAGGCTTTTTGCTGGTGGGTTTGTTGTTCTTCACAGTGTCTTACTGCTTGGGAGGAAGACTAAAACCAAGATAAGACTAACAAATGGGCTTCGCTGCGTTGGCTGGCTGCTGGGGATTAAAACTCACGCCGCTACCCCTCATGAGGCACCTCTCTTCCCGGTTGCGTGTGACGGCTGTTGAGAGGCGTTGGTGGAGAGTATCACCACCAATCCACAAATGTCGAGTTAAATGTAAGGTCCGTAGAGGCATCTAAAGTAGACTAAGTAAGGTGCTAGGTATATAAGCGGGCTTTTTTTGCAGGCAGGTCTGTTATTCTTCACACTACCTCACTCCTTGCGAGGAAGACTAAAATAGACTACATACATCTCATGGGCTTTGCTGCGTTGGCTGGCCGCTGAGGACTAAAACTACTATTACACTCCATCTATAAGGCGCTTCTTTTCGGTTGCGTGGCATGGTTGTTGCGCAGCGTTGGTGGAGAGTATCATCATAGACAATGACTGTTCCATCGAGTAGAAAAAGTAGAAGAGGCGGGGAAGATCCGGAATGCTATATAAATTCTTCGTGCTCTTGAGTTTTACCTCTTTACTCTGCTTCCTTATTGAGGAAGACAAAAACGCACCCTCCTCCATGACATGGTGTCTCGCTGCTGTGGATCCTGGCTGAGTATCGAAAACAGAAATCAAGCCTTTGTCTTGAAGCAGCGTCGGATCCGTTGCGGTGAGCTGGTGGTGGGTGGCATCACCGATGCGGGCGGATGCTGGGATGACTACGAGGTTCGAGGAGGGTAGGTCAAATTGGGTGAGGAAGGTATGTATTTCTCACATGATCTCTTCTCTACGTCTTTTGGAGACTGTTTAATTAGTAAGACTGAAAGGGAAGGATGCGAAATGCTATGAGATCTGCTGGTGCATCTCCCGTGTCAAATCCTAGATATTGTGTGTCTTCTCTCGATGAGCTTTCGCGCTCGAGGACAAAGAGTCCAAGCATGTGCAAGCTTGAGTGATCATATTCATCATCAAGCTACAACGAGAGGCAGGCATCTTACGCAAATGCTGAAAGGGCTCTGTATCAATGCGTAGTATATAAGACCTCTTCCTTGGGATACGGATTCTCCACGCGTTCTGCTTGCTTGTTAAGCAAGACTAAAATCCAAGTTCGAAAAGTATCATGTGCTTTGCTGCTGTGGCTGTCGTATTAAGGCATTCAATTGAGTATGCCGCGCGTCCATGAGACCCGGGTGTGTCGAATTTCGATGATGGCAATCTTCATCGATTATAACTCCATCCGACCATTCTGAGTATACCTTGAACTATATAAATCTGCCCTCGTGTACTAGAACTCTCTTCTTCACACTCCTCTGGTCCTCGCTTGCAATACAAAGTTTAGCGCGGGCGACAGCATGTCCTTCTCTGGCTTGCCTCTTTCTTCGGCGCGACAAATCTCAGTCCGCTTCTACTATGCGTAGCTGCGTCCCGTGTATTTTGATGTGATTTATGTCTGCTATATTTCAGATCCTGGCGGTGATGATCATCTTCAAAGTATCTCCGGGATGACTTCACCTTAAGGAGTCGGCTTTTTGGATGTGAAAATTGTAGATACCGCATACACATGTTTAGTTTAACAGACCACAAAAGAAGACCGTTCATTGCCATGTCTTTCTTGGGCTGTCTTGCATTTATCGGTGCTTTTCACAAATTTTGTGTCTACCTTACCATGAAAGAATATGTGGAAAAGCGGGGTTCTATAATCTTCATGACTATCAGCTTATAGGCCGTTGGTTGATTGGTTTTGGTAGAGCAGCTCCTCCCATACATCGAATCGCCTGACGAGAACACCGGCGCTTACCAACTCGCCATGTCTTCACTTGGACGCCCCATGAAGGCATGCCCTATCCGCCCTTTCGTGCTTCTCGATGTCAACTACAGAAGACAGCCAGATACTATCCCGCTAGCCTCGCGCCACTACCTCCGTTTTAGTGAATGTCATAAGCCGCGCTGCTCTTAATCGTTAGGTCATGCTACTTATAAAAGCGCGTCAGTCTATCAATGGCAACTCTTTTGTAGTTCGAATGCCCTATTGCTCCATCGAATGCAGTGAGAGTGCACGCTCGTCGCTCTTTCCCAACGGCATCCACCGCGACTTCCCCCAACGCGTGCGCACGTGTACCGGACGCGTCAGGATGGGAACCCAATATAAAACGGCACCGCCCGCAGCCGCCGAACCTTTTCTCCTTAAGCTGATACCAATTGTTTGAGCCCTCCGCTGGTCTACCTGCTTCGGTAGCAATAAAAAACATCATACACTATCTCAAATCTCTACTACATCCACACCTCACTCTTTCCACATCTCCACCTTACTTCATTCCACATCTTCACCCTACTCTCGACATCCACGCCTCACTTCTTCGACATCCACGCCTCGCTCCTTCGACATCCACCTCGCTCCTTCGACATCTACTCCTCGCTCTTCCGAAATCCACACCTTACTTCTTCAATATCTACTCCTCGCTCTTCCGAGTCCACACTCCAATCTTTCGACATATACGCCTTCATCTTTCGACATCTCCACCTTACTCTTTCGACATCATCACCTCGCTTCTTCAACATCTACGTCCCGCTCCTTCCACATCCACGCCTTGCCTCTTTGGCATCGACACCTCGCTCCTTCCACATCAACACCTCGCTCCTTCCACATCAACACCTCGCTCCTTCCACATCGACATCTCACTCTTCCGACCTCTTCACGCCACCTCACCCGACCTTTCCCAGCTTCGTGATTCTCAAGAGGCGTCCTCGGCATCACTCCCTTTTCACCACGCTCACACTTCCCTACAGCCAACATGTCCGACGATTTGTGCGCTTCACAAGCCAAGTACATCGAAGAACAGGAGCAAAAGATCAGGGCGCTTGAAAACACCATCGCCGAGAAGGATAACCAGCTCGCTCAGAAGGATGAGAAACGCAAGTCGACTCTTGACAATAGGGTTGGACTGCTTGAGGCGAAGTTCGAGGGCCTAGAATCGAAGCAAATAACACTCCAGGGGCAACTTGACACGGTCCGAACCGAGCGGACCATTCTACAGACAAACCGGGACATTCTCCAAGGAAAATCTGAACAGCTTGAGGTACAAGTCAAGGCCCTAGAAGCGGAGCAGGCAACACTCCAGGGGCAGCTTGGCATGGTCCGAACCGAGAGGACAATTCTACAGACCAATTGCGACACTCTCCAGGGGCAGCTTGACACAGTCCGAACCGAGAGGACGAGTCTGCAGACAAGCCACGACACTCTCCAAGACAAAGCTAAAAAGCTCGAGGATGAACTCAAGGCTGTGAAAGAGTCAAGAAACTCGCTGATAAGCAGTTACGCAGAATTGACTGGAGCGTATACTGAGCTCTTAGAATTGTAGATCTAACCTGTTATCCAATTCGGCGGTTCATTTTCTACCATCCTACTTTCAGTCCAGTCTCTCTTACTCTGTTTTGCTCGGTATAACGTTCTTCGGTCTGTACACATCGGTTCGTTCTTTTCTCGGTATGGTTTCATTTGTTTTGCATACATCACTGCGTCTTTTGCCCGTCTCGGTCTGTTCAGTCTGTCTTCTTTCATATAACAATAATCCTGTCCGAATCATTATGTTCTTTGCTCGGCTTGGTCTGTTTAGTCTATCTTCTTTCATATAGCAATGAGATCTCGTTCGAAGACCCTCCATGCAGAGTCACTCAATTCCCGTGTGCCGATGATGCTTAGTACCTCCACCAGTGTCGCCGTACGTGGATCTTGCCGCGCTTAACAAAGTGCCGCGGGAACACACTCCTCTATGCTATCCCTAGCAGAAATTAGGAGGCTTTGCTCGGTCACTATGACTCAGTACATATAACTGACCTCATCATCCACGCTCGCCTTTCTCTTCACAATCCTATAGTTGCTATCTGCAACAATAAAACTGAAGGTTTACATGTCTTATGTGCCTTGTTGCGGTCTCTATAAACTACAATGAACTTCTCTGACGGACGCTGTAACCTCATGACCATGTTGCATGTCTTTTCGGAGGGGAACTGCCGCTAAGTATCACCATCACTAAGTAGTGTTAGGAACCATTGACTCAGAGATCGTATAGGAACGCGTCCAGGCATTTGAGAAACTATAAGCCCTTCCCTTCCTACGAGACTAGTTTTCCAAGAGAGATAAAAACCCACGTTTTACTTCTACCTCCCTCCCCTTCTTTTCCACGTTCCATGCTCAGCTTGGGAAACTCTAAAACAAGTGTGTCTTCCTGAGCATGTGCTCTGTTGCTGGCACGAAAACCTGAAGGCATACCAGCGATGGCCGCCGTGCCTGCAAAGCGCACTACATTTCTCCTATGATATTACATGATGACATCCACCACCAAAGACAGATGCTGTATGCACCACCATCCCACATCACCGCATCCTCAGCTCGAGCTACGAGACTAGCGAGCTAACAGGTATATAATCCGCCTCTTTTTCGTTGTTCTCTTTACACAATCCTTCGTCTGTACCGTCGAGCACAAAACGTGCTCACCTAAGGGCAACATGTGTTTTGTGACTGGCACTAAAAAGGTACACCACAACAAACATGGGCGCTGTGCCTGGAGTGAGACGTCTAGAATTCACACGCAGAATCACTCATGTCCTTTGCCTTTCCTCAAGCCTGGGTGCACGTGTTTACGGAAATGACGATGAGCATCACCGCTTGTTCAGCTACGCTGTCCAAGGGCCTGCCTTCCCAGTACATCCACTCATAGTGTGGCAGTGATGGCAGAGGGAACATTCATGACACAAAACGAAGGTAGCACGCTGAGGAGAGATTTTTAGAGAATTTTCAGTCATGAGTTGGAAGCTGCTACCCTGTTCTGCACGCGAGCCATACACCCCGCCACAGAGTGCGTCCATCTCGTATACACGCATCCATTCTTCTCATATCCAAAGGAGACCAAAGCCCCCAACATGCACACAAACAGTAGTCATGTCTTGCCTACGCCTCGACATATTGAACATGCACAAAGGGAAACCCATGGGGCGATAACGGGATCTAACTCCTCATCCTCGCCCTCAAGCTCGAGCTTGGGCTTCGACTTCTCATCCTCCTATTCAATAACCGGCTGGGGGCTCCACAGCCCAGAAGATGAACGGGCCGCTATACTCCTCACCGGAAAGGATGTTGTTGTCCTGAAGTGTTCCCAGTCAGCAGAGCTCGATATAATGGCACACGGCCCAGCACCCATGATGCGCGATGCCGGACGCGCACGCTTGAAAGTTGTCCAGATGGCACTTACCACGTACCACCAGCGGCCCATCATGATCTTCCCGCCGGGCAAGACCACACCCTCACAGGCCCACAAGTCATTGCCTACGATGTAGTTGATGTCCTTCTCGTCATGCTTCATAAAGGTGATGCGCTGCCAGCCGGGGATGCCGCACTGGTCGGGGAGGGGGTTGAGCCAGCCTGAGGCGGCGAAGTCTTCGTGGATGTCTCTGCCCCGGCCCTCGAAGCGAATGCTGTCGTCCGGGGGGACGTCGCTCGTGAATCGCTTGCCCTGTCTACGTTGATGAAGAGCATTAGCGGACTCGAGGTCAAATCAGAAGCAGCGTGTTATGTGACACAACGGAAACAAGATACCACGACCAGTAGGGTGCTGGGTCTACATACCGAGCAGCCATCTTTTTGGCGGCGGCATCACGGTAGCGACGCGAATGGAGGCTGTTCTCAAATTTTGCCGGCCAAGTCATCGTGTCTTGCTCTTCCTTCGACAAAAAGCCCAGATAGAGATCCTAACGAGGTTAGCGAAAGCAATGCCAGTAGTGCATGTTCTAACCTGAAGGGTGCCATCCTCGACATAGTGATCGGTGTGGATCTGGTCGGCCTCGCGGTCCGAGTTGGGATTGTTCCGGAAACGGGTAAGCTTATCGTATGTCTGGTGAGCAAGTGTACCCTTCCAATGAGTTCCGATTGGGGAAACGCCTGGCTTCAAGGGTCCCTCCCATGCAGTAGGCCTCTGCGACGCAGGCAAGCCTCGCATCACGGCATAAAGGAGTCCGGCCCCTGGAGTTGTCATGTAGCATCGGAAAAAGTTCATGCAATGGTTGAACCACGCAAAGTGGAGGAATTCCTCACCGGGGCCTACAAACAGGGGGGCAAATTTGGTAGCAGCATAGACGGCTTCTCTCGCCTCATCCAGTGCGAACCAGCTTCCTGTCTGGAACGCTTGGCCCAAGAGGAAATGCGCAGCCATGAGCCTGACGGCGATGAGCATTGTGTGGACGGCTGGGCTCTCATAGGCCACCGGAGCCGGAGGCCGCCTGCCACCCAGCAGAAGCGTCGAGTTCAAGACGAACTCCCTCAGGCGTACCATGTTCAAGCAATGGGGACGGTTCCCATTGCCAGACTGGGCGCTGCCCGCAAAGGAATCATTGATCAGGCCCGCCAGGATCCTCACAATAGCCTTCTCGTTATGATTATGACCACGCACGAACTGGTACTGGGGGAACGTCTTCATGGTGACGAACCGCCTCAGCAGGCGCCAACGCTCCTTGTACTGACGGCACAGCTGCATGTTGGTTTTATTCATTGGCCTCGCGAAGTCCTCGCAGAACTTGGCTCGCCAGAAGGAGAAGTTGTCTCCATCAATCGCATTGCGAGTAGCGCGGCAGATGGCTTTGAAGCTGGCAATGTCCTTGTGATCATGAAGAAGGTGGGCGATCTCCTTGTTCAGCTGCGAAGGTCAGTGCTGTTGATGTAGTGTTGTGATAACGAACCTCGATGGGGAGCGTATTGAACGCGGTCGAATGCGAAGGTTCGGTTGGAGCCATTGTTGACAGCGAGAAACACGACGGCACGTGCTACGCAATACGACAAAAGCTGCGGCAGTCTTGACGAGAGACCGGAAGTCCGATCGCGCTGGTGTGCACCTCTGAAGCGTAACTTCCTCGAACCCTGATGCCCAGCTCTTGCGCGTCAAAAGGCGACGCTCGAGGTGAGAAGTTGCAGGTCTGGAGGGTGAGGGACGGATCAAACAACGTTGCAAGCGGCCTGTTGCCTGGTGAGACGCCCACCAGATATGGGAGCAAACGGAGGTCGGGAAGTGAAGGCAGGGCGAGACGCTGCATTTTCGTGCCCACCCCACTTCCTTTGCGTACCTCTACGTTCTATCGTCAAAGAGTAGGCTTCCAAGAGCATTTTGTGCGTGCTTTAAACACTGTATTGTAGGTGGAGGGACAGCTGTGGGTGCAGACGGCTGGCAGGGACAGTGGGAAGGTAGACCACGTGGTGGCCAGTGGTCCAGTACTTGCCCACCTTCAGAGACCACAAAAGCCGTACCGAATCATTTGGTGTAAGCCAATACGAACCCGTAGATGCTGGTTGCAATTGTCCATCTCCAAAGCCCGCAATATCTCTTGAGGGTGAACGTGCTAAGAATTCCGACGGTAAGCGCGCCATAATTTGTACTCGTATGCCCGTGAACGATCATTATGTATATGTAGTAAATCTGCTACCCCTCAGTTCAGATACCAACGCCGCGAAAGCGAATAACCGAATGTTCGATACTCATCCATCAGACCAGCGCCGCCAAAATCCCCGCCCACACAATCCCAAACTGTCCCGCCGTCAGCTTATTCACGCTCGCCGCCCCCGGACTACTCGTGCCCGCGGGTGCGCTCCCCGTCGAACTCGGCGGCAGCCCACTGCTCGGACTCGCATCCTCAGCACTACCTCCATCTTCCCTAGTGACAACCCAGATCTCGCCTGTCGCATCGCTGCTCATGAACAAGCGGCCCTCGGAGTCCCATGCTAGGCCGACAGGCCGGACACACTCGTCAGGGCACTTTGAGAGGTCGGGGTTGGATACCACATCGACGGCGGAGGAGTTGCTGGTAGAGTTTGCGACAGGAGAGCCGGCGCCATCGAAGGCGATGTATGAGAGTTTGTAGCCGATGGGCTCGTCGCGATTCCTTGTGATGTTAGTATCAAGGCTGACTGTAGCATTCTTGAACTTAAACATACCAGGACCCGTGGAAGGTGACCCAAGCAGCGGTGCCGTTTTGGTTGAACTTGATATCCAGTGGTGCCTGATGAGCCTGGAAGGTCAATCGAGGAGCAATTCTGTCGTCCCTGCAGAAAGTATCGTTGAGCGTGGAGTTTTGCTCGTTGATTGCGAACTGCGTGCCTACTTCGATACCCTCGTTGTTTGGGATGTCAGCGACGTTCCAGGCGGCGAAGCAAGTTGGATAGCCGTAGTTGCCTCCCTGGTCGTCAGTCTGTGTGCCGTTGAGGTAGCCGTGGAAGTTCATCTCCTCTCCAGGGTTGTTCTGGTGGATATTCTCGCCTGATCGATTGAAGTTGTCGACGCTGTTTTCGACAGAGTAGATACCCCCTGTCACGGGTTCCTCAGCCACACCCACGGAGTTACGCAGACCCCATCCAAGGAGTAGACCGTCTTCCGCGTACTTGTACGCTGAGTCGGTAGCATTAGTGAGGTTGAAGGCTTTGATGGTAGATACGCCAGTGCTTCTATCGAGGGTGTCGTAATCCAGGTTTGCCTGGCTGCCACGGCTGACGAGGAGCAGTCCAGGTACTTTGCGGGACAGGAGAAGAGTTCGGCTGGAATGTCCAGAAGAGGTGCCGAATCCTCCGATAATTTCTTGCGGACCGGATGTGTTGCGGCCCTGGCTCGCATCGTAGTCCCATGCATAGACTGCGGTGGATGAAGAAGCGTAGAGCGTCTTTCCATCTTCCGAGAGTTCGATTCCGTGGTTCAACTAGATCAGTGTTAGCAAGTACGTATTCAAGGCCATGTTGAGACCCAGCTCATGGCCTTGCGAGTCCAGCCATGAATATCTTCGCGATTCGGATTGATATCGTGCAAGACAGATGATGTATATGATCTTCGACTCACCGACTCGTCCTCAATGATCAAACTTGCGTTGCCATCCTTCCTCGCACAACCCCCATCCCCACTAATCTTAACCCTCGAAATCCCCCGATCCTGCTCAACAAACAACAAACCTCCCTCACTATCAAAGATAATGCCCCTCGGACTCGTCAACTCATTCGCCACAACGTCCGCCCGCCATCCACTCGCAACGCTAGGTGCTGCATTCTTAGGCGCAATCGTTGACGCGCACGCCGAAGCGGATGCAGTAGTACTTTGCGCCCGGACGCCCAGCGCAATATATGCGAGGACCAGTATGCGAGTGAGCGCCATGGTATTCTATTCCGTTGTTGGATGAGGCGAGAGCGGAGCTGAGCACGTCCTTGGCGAATGGTCGTGCGCGGAAGGCCCTGGGGGATCTGACGCGGGGAAGGGGAGCGGTTTGACCCAATCTATATCATGCAGGTACGCCTTGTCGCGAACAAATTGACAAATCGATTATCCTACGCGTCGTGATGTTGTCGTAAGGCAAGCCGTCAACTGGTGCGTGCTGTCGTTCAATACGGCAGCAAGCGTACGAGAAGAGTCACTGCCGGACAAACAGGACAGTGCGTGTCGAATTGAGGAACGCAAGCACTACACAGCTTCCCGCCTTCCTCTTCAATACGAATTCATGCATTCTTCGCGGTGCTTGGCCCGTCGTCATAAGTCACGATGCTCTCGCTGCCCCGCGTAAGCCGAGGGTCTTGGGACGCGGCTACGTTTCAAGGCGCAGAGGGCATTGGCAGCAGAGTACCAGCGCAGTGGCGCATTCTCTAGGGCAGTGGCAAGTGTTTCATCGCTTCGACGTCTTCCGATCCTCCACCATCGGTCTTTGGCTGAACAAAGGGTTTTGTCATCCGATCTACCTTGCATCGTATAGCCGAAGGCGACCAAGGAGCGGCGTTAGTGCAATCGCGCAGTAGGTCGTGCGTCGTATGGAGTGCATGCAGATCCATGTTGAGCATAGGCCTGGCCCTACAGGGAGTGTTTATCCTCAGGCAAAATGTCACTGCACTGTGATGGCTTCTCGGTGTTTACAAGTAGTGATGGTGTACCGCGTTACGGGCTCACGGCTCGTGCGGGCAGATCCGTGCCTAAGGGTAACTTGAACCCTTAGGATATACGGGCTGTACAGCACGGGTGCAACGAAGCCGGAGACGCTCCGTTGTTGAGGCGCTGGACTGCGGGAGCTTGTGTAGACCCCATCCAAAAGAAGCATCGGCCTCAGGCAGGACTCTGGTCACGACTATTATGGACAACCCAGTTGTCAATTTTTCCGTCGCCCGCGCCGCTGAACTTTGTCTATAGCCTACGGTCAGAAGTCCCGAAACGTGCAGCATCCGGAGGAGCGTTGTTCCAGGGAACATCCCTCGCTTCAACTCGAATCGGAGCATCCATCCGCCATAGCATCTCCGCTATGGACAAGGAGCGGCTCGGGTCACAATTCACCATGACATTGCGGCATAATTGGGCACAGCTGTAAGACATATTCGTGTTCTTTATTCTCATACGTGCCGTGCTGCTTGCTAGAGGGGACGGCATCCTGAAGCAAGCAGCTGCATCTGGCCGTCTCAAGCGTCATCGTTGGATCGGTTCGGCTGGACCTAGAACCCCCATTCCTTTTGTACATGCCTAACAAAGTACTGAAAGCGAGATCTGTGCTCTTCGGAGCAAGACTCTGGCAAACGCCTCGTGCACCTGGGTAAACAAGAGGAAATATAACCGACTGCATCAACCATCCAACGTCGACACGTTCCGTAAACAGCATCAAGAGATAGCCCCGCCTTCTCTCTATTCTTCCACGCGTGTACAATGGGTCCGTGTCCACATGAATTACAAAGCCCAAGGCTTCCTCGCGGCTGAACTGTGTGCGTGTAATGGGAAAACGCCGCTGCAAATGCGATAAAGTTGGCTCATAGTAGCCAATAGCAGCATGAAAAGATACAGTAATCGCGAAGCCAAAATGTGGTTTCGACTCGGCTGCTCGAACGCTATCCAGGACTAAGGAAAAGGACCCCAGTTGGAAGGAAATCTTTTTGATGCCAAAGGAAATTTTGGGTTTCAAGCGGGACCTGCACGCTCAAGCGCTGTCATATCCTCTCGCCGTAGCTTCTGGATCTACATGACCGTCATTAGTTTCATCTGCGTAGATAGTTCGTTTTCTGCAAGGTACTCCTTGCTTAACGGGGCCTCGGCTTCTTTATGCGGGCTTGTGCTAGGGCTTGAGTAGAGCCCTTCTGCTTCTCGCAACGTTTGTTTGACCCTGTGAGTCAACCCATTGACGTGCGGGACAATGCGTCGAAGGGTTGCGGTATCGAATGGGACTTTCTTCGTAGACTGTGGGGTTTGCACATCCATGAGAGACTCATGAGTACTTCTCCTCTTCTGCAGCGCCTCTATGATGGAGCGAGCCTTTGCTTCGGAATCTTTCCTAGGCCGTCCAACGTGATGGGTGATGTCCGCAAGGGTAGAAGGCGATTCGAACCTGGACTTGGGAGGTACGGGCGAAGATTGCGGTCCAAATATTTGATGGTTCGGTGGAAGAATAGTCTTTCTCCTGGAGCTGTTGTTAGGGGGAGACTTGGATGGCGTGTTGCGTTTGCCGAGCGCGCTGCTTGCTAACCCCGACCTGCGCTTCTCTGCGCCATTAGGAATAGGACTAGAGCGTGACACGTCATCGAAGGCAACTTCGTCGAAGCCAGGCGATGATGCTGGAGATAAGCGAGGGACGCCCTCGTGCTCGGCTTCTTGGTCGGCAAGGTCGATCATAGCGTCCACCTCTTCCCACATCGCGACATGTGGGCCGTCAAGGATACCTAGGCAGGCGGCTCGGACTCTTTGCTCCTTGAGCTCTTCGATCAGGAGCCCCCACTCGCGCAAAAGACCGATGTTCGCGAGAACGTTGTTCTGCTGCTCTTGGATATGATTGGGGACCACCATTGCCATGCCGCTGTCAACCCTCGGCGATTGAACTGTACCCGGTGCACTTGTCTCTTCGTCCACATCGGAGAAATCGAAGTCGTCGTTCCAATCTTCAGTAACCCCTTTGCTTCCTACACCCCAGGTGCCGAACTTATTGGTGACAACTGTGCTACGTTTCCCTGTAGCATCCGGGACGACAGGCACACTTTGGCTGCGGGCGTGCAACCCGCTAGGCGCTCGTCGACCAACAATTCGACCACCCCTACGATCTGCGTCCTTCTTCCCATGTACTGTGCTCGGACGTGGCGGTGTACGATTGCCTGAGCTTTTATCGGCAGGTTGCTGCTCTGACCAATCGAATATGCTACTGCGAGCATCCCTATCACCGTGATCGAAGTTGGGATGTTGCGGAGTCGTAGGCTTTGGACTAGATTTCGAAGCGAATAACTGTGGCGTGTGACGCCCGAGCGGAACAGGCGTAGCTACGAGCATGGCTGGCAGGCGTGGTGGTAGATCGCCCCAAGAGTCTTCGTCATCATCATCTACCGACCATGCGCTGCTGCTGCCATCATCTTCGATCCTTGAATCCCATTCGAGTCTTCCCAAGTTTAGAGGCTTCGGCATATCCGGAGGCGAAGAGGGTATCAGGTTGGGGAAGAGCGGCGCAGTGCTGCCTCGCGAATAGGTAGGTGAATCGTGAATGGACCGGTCGGGGACAACGGTGCGCACCGGGGTCGAGATGCTCTCCTCTTCCTCGGCGATGCTTAGTTGCCCGGGAGCAGCATCGAGCGTCTGCTCCCGGAAGGTTCCTTTGGGGAGGAGATCGCGCAGCGCTGTGACTTTGACCTTGGATGGGGGCGACTCATCAAATATAGTCTCTATGCGCGGGCCACGAGCGCCCGACGTACTCCTTGCACCGCCCGTGCGCAGCGAATCAAAGACGGTTTCACTTTGGATGTCTGCATCTTCCTCGTCCCCTGTCCCTGCTCCGCGGGCATCGTTATCTGAGCCTACTAATGTCGAGGCCTGTTCGGACGGAGCCATGGAGTTTCGGGATGGCCGTGCACCCGTCTGAGCCACCGTTGGCGAGGGCGGCGGCTGATTGGTAGCGGCTGCGGCTGAGTGTTTGACATCGTCCGGGCGCATTGACTCTGTGGTAGGATCTGCCTTCGAAGCGGCGCGATGGGGTGGTTCAGGCAGCGGTGACGCGAGCGAGGCTGCAAGAGCACCATGTCGTGCTTTAGGGTGGGGTCCCGACGAGGTCGATATCTCGCGTCGAGCAAGCGCGGGGTCGGTCAGGTCTCGCCGACCGGAGACAGCTCCGGATTCTCCATGCGCAGTACTACTTCGACGTTTTTCCATCGTAGAGAGGGGGTCGGAGCTCACCCTCCTTTGACTGATCTTGCGTACCAGATTTGCTCCGGGAAGTCCAGTAGTCCGTGGCTTGGAAGCTGGAGAAAGCAAATTGCTGATGGAGAAGGAGCGTCTCGCACGTGTCGCGTTGCTGTCGGCATTGTCAACAGGCGAGCGGTCGTGTTTACGGTCCACGGTTTGGGATGGATCACCCTGCGATGCTGGAATGACAGTGGGACTGAGCGGCGTGCCAGGTCTGCTCGCGAAGTACAAGCTGTCGGTCTCTTCTTCAGTTTCCGAATCCTCGACCACGTGTGAAGCTGCACCTGCCGAAACAGAGCGAGCCATCAGCAGCGTTGGCCTGTGCATCTTGTCCATTGGAAATATCCTCTTTATAGCCTTTGCGTTCGACGACAAAGCTCCCTTGCGCTTTGACAGTGTCTTCTCTTTTGTCACTCTTGCCGTGAAGAAGTGCGTGTACTCGACCTCGCTTTCCGTACTCGGCTGCAGTTGCTGGTCGTCCGAAGAGGGATTCTCGACGGTCATCTCAAGCAGGGCTGTCCGATGTTGCAGCGTGGCAGAGCGTTGGTGGCTGGTGGCAGGGCGGCGAAACGACGGCAGCCGAGACGTGTTGTTCTGGGCTGGTCTTTCTTGAGAACCGCGGACCGACGACGAGCGTTTGACAAGCTTGTTGGGCGGTAGCGGAGCGGGAGGTCGGTCACCCGGGATCATGGGTGCGGTGGAGCCGTCATGCGAGAAAGCCATTGAACCGTTGGAGCACGACACAGAGGGCGAGAGGGGGCCAGGGCTGGTGTCTCGGCTGGAGGGCTGCGAGTTGGATATGGTGGAGAGGCGCTTGATCCAGGACGCCCTCCTTGACTGTGGGCGCGCGGCAGGGTCCAGCTCGTTTATGTTCAGTTCACCTGGAGGTGTGTAACCGGTCCCGATGGGGCCCTGCAGTGGTTGCGAGGCCGGGTCGCCGACCGTCAATCGCCTCAGAGGTCGACGTTCATGACTACTGAAGCGGGCTGCTGTTGTGGGAGCGCGCGAGGTCGCAGGGCGTGGATGGGGCGCGCTGGGCGGGGGAGCGGCGGCGGCGGCGGTGAATGTCGCAGCGGTGGTGGTTTGCACAGCAGCTTGCGTTGACGGGCGACCCAGCTCGTTTTGTGCTGAAGCGGCTTTCCTCTTCCTCGACGGGTACGGGGGTTCTGTTTCTCGACCGAATCCTAGCCCGAGTGCGGAAGCACCAAGCAGAGTTGCAGTGGCAGCAAGCTGTATCACGGCAATGCGTCAGTAAAGCACTTGTGCGACGGCGGGCAGAGATGGCATGTACGGGTTGGGCAAGCTGCCGCCGCTCTCGGGGCCAGCGCCGTGAAGGCGTCGAGTCGCAAAACAACGGATGCAAGGGACAGGAGGCAGCGCAGCGCAGGCAGAGCCGCAACACACACACGACGGCGAGGGAGGAGAGGCTCTAGTATTTACCGTGGGAACCGTTTTCATCCTCTTTCTTTATTGACTGGGCCGCCAGACGGGCTCACTCGAACGCGATGCTACTGCTCGTGACGGCGCCGTGAGCATGCTGGCAGTCGGTGTACCTTGGTACTCTCGCTGCAGGCGTCGGACGGTGGGGTCGCCTACTACGTATGCTCACAGCAAGCACTGCATCTCGGAGCAAGGAGGAAGAGGGGAGGCAGCCTACGGGCTGAGCAAAGTGGAGTCTCGAGGGAGCGCGGAGGCAAGAAGAAATCCGGTGCTGCTTGCTTCTGGGATCGTCGACCAAGACGCGCCGCTAAGGTTTAGCGAGCTGTTGCCGGTGAATTGGGCCCAGTGTTGTGTATGGCGGAATGTCAAAACACGCGCTCAGACGTCGTTCGCGCCGACTGGAGCGCCTCAGGCTGCTGCAATTCCTCTTGCCTCTTTGTTTGCTGCCAGGACCGCCGATCAGAGCAAGCAGCTTGTGCTGTGCAGCTGCAGGCCGCGCATTGACAGTCTCCATGTGCGTTGATACACGGCGCATGGAGCTACTGCCATGGCGCGCGGTGCAATCAGGGACAAGTCCCTCGCAGCTTGGAATCGTGGTAGACTATTTTGGGCGCGTTACTGGATGCACAACGCACGCCGGCGATTCGCGAGCCGGACAAGCTGCTCGCGAAGCCCTGCAACCGCAGAGTGGAGATTTGTTTGTTGACGATGCGCAGCCTCAGCCCGCCGTCCCACGCCGCCCTGTTCTTTGTCCATCTATCTGACGTGCTCATGCCTATCGCAGCTGGCCAACCCCACTGCAAGGCCGCATCATGGTCCGAGAAGGATGGCGGAACCGGCTGCCTCCCAATTGCATCTGCCATCGGGCGGCCGAAACAGCAGGCACGTCAGCCCCAGAGCAAGGCGGAGAAGCGCGACCAGCAAGAGTTTGATGGTTCGAGGGCGGTATTAGCCATAGCACGCGGCGTGCCCACTCGGTGCTTGCAGCATGGCAAACACGCCTGGGGACACGGCCAGCTACACCAATGCCGTCTGCGTCGACTACAGCAGCAGCAGCAAAGACGCCGTGGGCTCGCACAGCTCCGGCACACACGGCAGGACTCAGTGCTTTTGGCAGGAGCGCGTCAGGGCGGCACTGTTGGCGGCTGATGCGAGACGGCTCGCGAACGCGGATGATGGACCAGAGATGCACGTAGCCGGGAGATCCTGGAGGCGATTCAAGCGAAAGAGGCAAATGTGCTCCTGCGCTGCGGCCGGCGTCTCTGCTCTCTAGTTCCTCAGGCCTTCGACCACCGCCATTGGCTGCGGCTGCTTTGGCGTAGCCCCAAACACATCCACAAACCGTCGCTTCGTCAGACGTTGCGCTGCGCTCTTGTACCGGCACCGCACCAGCAAAGACTTGTCGCCGCTGCACCGAGAGCGAAACGATAGCCTCGTCGACGCAGCACGCCGAGCCCATCTTCCGTTTTCCCACGAGCGAGACCGTGCCGACGCCACACGTCGTCTGAAATTTGAATCCCACAGTGACCGCGTCGGACAAGCCTCCACCCGCAGCACCATGGAAGCTGAAATCAGAGCCCAGATCCCTGGCATCGACCCCGTCCTTTCGGATTACTCGGTTGGCTACCTGACCCATGCTGCCAACTCTTTCACCTCTGACGCGGACCCCAATGGCCCTTCTCCCCTTGAGGAAGCCGCTGCTAGCATCACCGCCTTGCTCCTTTCCGCATCGGGCGACCTCAGTGCGCAGAATGAGACCACGATCCACAACCTCGTAGACAAGTTCATTTCGCGCCTCAATGCCCAGAACGGCACCGACGGCGAGCGCCGCCAGATGGCCCCGTCAGCCCGGAAGCTGGATCAAGCAATCCACGTGGGCTCGCGGACGCACATGTCCACCACGCTCGGGCTGGCCGGCGGTGGCGTTGATCTTGAGTCTGCCAACGCCCGCAAAGTAGAGTCCAGGGTCGACCGCAAGAAGCTTGAGAAGGCCGAACGCAAGCTCAAGGCAAAGCAGGACCGCAAGGAATTCAAGAACGTCGAGTATGAGGCGTCTAAGCTGCTCAACCAGCCAAATGAGACCCAGAGCTATGAGGACTTCTACATGCAGGTCAACCCATTGATGTTGGGCTCAGATGCTAGCGCAAAGAGCAAGGACATCAAGATTGACAGCTTTGACATCTCCATCAGTGGCCAGCGTATACTGTCAGACACGTCTCTAACCCTTGCCTATGGTCGTAGGTACGGTCTAGTAGGTCAGAATGGTATCGGTAAATCCACACTCTTGAGGGCTTTGAGTCGTCGTGAGGTGGCGATTCCGACGCATATCTCGATTCTACACGTCGAGCAAGAGGTAATGTCGAACATGACTGTGATAGCTTCAGTGACTGACCGTGACAGATCATGGGTGACGACACTCCGGCATTACAAGCGGTCTTGGATGCCGATGTTTGGCGGAAGCACCTTCTCAAGGAGCAGGATGTGAGCATCTGTACATTTCTAAGAGAGACTTGATCTAATCTTGCATAGAAAATCACCAAAGAGCTAGCTGAACTGGAAGCAGAGCGCGCCACCATGGCCGATACATCAGCTGATGCAGCCGCACTGGACAAGCAGCGAGAAGGTCTTGACCAAACTCTGAGTGACGTTCACTCTAAGCTTGCTGAGATGGAGTCTGACAAGGCCGAATCTCGAGCAGCTAGCATCTTAGCAGGTCTGGGATTTTCTACAGAGCGTCAACAGTTTGCTACGAGAACATTCTCCGGTGGTTGGAGGATGAGATTGGCTCTCGCGCGAGCACTGTTCTGCGAACCCGATCTGCTCTTGTTGGATGAACCGTCGAACATGTTGGACGTTCCATCCATCACGTTCTTAGCAAACTACCTCCAAGGATATCCAAGCACTGTGTTGGTCGTATCTCACGACAGGGCGTTCCTGAACGAGGTAGCCACCGACATCATCCACCAACATTCAGAGCGCCTCGACTACTACAAAGGCGCTAACTTTGGTACGTTCGCGTCATTCAGGCTCTGTGAGACATGGCTAATTGTATTAGAATCGTTCTACGCCACCAAGGAAGAACGGCGCAAGACAGCTAAGCGAGAATACGAAAAGCAAATGGAAGTGCGCGCCCATCTGCAAGGTTCGTATATGCACGGTCAATCCTCCGTTTTATGGCTGACCTATTTGCAGCCTTCATCGACAAATTCAGGTACAATGCAGCGAAGTCGTCAGAAGCACAGTCCAGGATCAAGAAGCTTGAGAAAATGCCGGTGCTACAAGCCCCGGAAGCTGAATATAGCGTGCATTTTAAGTTTCCTGAAGTGGAGAAGATGTCTCCGCCCATCATTCAGATGAGCGGTGTCACCTTCGGCTACAGTCCAGACAAAATCTTGCTAAAGAATGTTGACCTGGATGTGCAGCTCGACTCCCGGATTGGCATTGTCGGCCCCAATGGTGCGGGAAAGACAACAGCTCTAAAGCTGCTCATCGGCGCCCTCGCGCCGACATCAGGTTTGATATCACAGAATCCTCGTCTTCGAGTGGGCTTCTTCGCGCAACACCACGTCGACGCCTTGGACCTGAACGACAGCGCAGTGGGCTTCATGTCGAAGAAGTACCACGGCAGGACGGACGAAGAGTACCGCCGTCACCTCGGCGCTTTCGGTATCACGGGCATGACCGGTCTGCAGAAGATGGAGCTGCTATCTGGAGGTCAGAAGTCTCGTGTCGCCTTCGCATGTTTGTCTCTGCAAAACCCGCACATTCTCGTACTTGACGAGCCGTCCAATCACTTGGATATTGAAGCGATGGACGCGCTCTCCGACGCGCTGCAGAAGTTCGAGGGCGGTGTGCTGATGGTCAGCCACGACGTGACGATGTTGCAGAACGTCTGTAAGAGCTTGTGGGTGTGCGACAACGGCACAATCGAGCATTTCGATGGCACGGTCAAGGACTACAAGAAGAGGATTACCGCGCAAGCCAACGAGGCGGGTGTAGTTGCGAAACACTAAGCTAGTCGTGATGGGTAGTAGCAGAGTACAATAGATCTGATCGGTTTTGTACCTGCGATAAGCGCATGTGCCTCCCACGTCACCCGTGACACCCGTTGATGGTCGCATTGGTATGCGCGTGAGGCCAGAAGTAGAATCCATCCCGTACATAAGTACCTCGTCACTAGCTGCGATCTCGAGTGTGTTTGCTTTCATGAACATGTACTCTGCCGCTCGTGTTGGTCAGGACACTCCTAACGGCTGTAGGAAGCCGCTCCTAGGTTGGCAGCGGGGTAATTTGAACTGAACGGCCGCGATACGCAGGGATAGGATACGATCTATCGTCACTTGAGACAACCTCACAGCTGTGCAAGCTGGCAACGATAAAGCTGTGGTCTCGGGACTCGACAACGACCACATATGCTGGGTGGGGTTCCTAGGTGATGAACAGCAGGCGGGAAGCGCGCTACGGGCCCGTGCGCGAGCCCCAGAGCTTGGCACCTTCCAAGATTCACCGCACTCGACCTCATCCCATCACGCACCTCTCCGACACCGCTCCCGACGCTGCATACTGCGGGCCTCCAATGCTTCTGGCCTACCTGTGACTCGACTGCGCGCCCACACATCTCCACTACGCTGCCAGAGCGCCGTGCCCTGAAACCCGCCCAGCTACTCCCGCCCAATACACAGTACAACCGGCATCTTGTCGCATACGCAGGCTTTCGATACCCACGGCTTGTCCGTAGTCACTCCTTTGCCTCACCACTCCTGCGATAGCAGCGACGCTCGTCCACCTTACACGGTCACTGCCTCCGCAGAAGACCCAGGAACTCTCGCTACAGCCGGTGAATCTCCGTACCCCCCTCCCTTATACTTTCCTTCAGAACACGGCAACGAGGACCCCGACAAGGACTGTGAAGAAGACGACAACGAATCGCCGCCAGCGTTCACTCCTGCACCGCCTTTTACTGAGTCCTCGTCCTCTGCAACCGCCTGTGCTGAGACCAAGGCCGCGCTCCCACGCGACACCAAAGACGGGTCCAGCAGCAAGGACATCGACGACGGCGAACCGCCGCCACCCTATAGCGAAGGATACAGTCCGCTTGAATCGTTCACATACGTCATGGCGTCTGCAGGAGGTCCCGCAAGCATCATCACGCAGGTGTCGCAGCAGAGCGGTGGTCCACCAATAAACACGCTCGGCGGATCCGATGAGAACATCACGCTCGAGCTGAGGTAGGCAAGCAATATGAAACAATTGCTTCGAAGCTGACCAGTCACAGAGGAAACCGCTTCACGCTCTCTCGTGACGAGCTCCTTACTCTCCCGGAATTTGTTCTTCTATCTCTCTTTCCTAATGGACTTCTCCCCGATGGCCACATGAATCAGTATCACGACGGTGATGTATACCCTGTCGATGTTGGTGCCCCCGATCTCTCTTCTCCTCCCAACGTCCGCTTCAACTCCGTTCAAGCGATCCGTTATCATCTCTCCAACCCCGCATTATACTTATCTGACAATCTCTACGCTTCTCAGTATGATCCCAACTCCCTCCAATACATGCTGGAGTTTTTTCGAACTGTTGCCCAGACCATCCCTGCATCGCCCCCTTCTCCTTCTGCCGTTCCAGAGCACCCGACCGAAGCCCACGCCATTGAGCCCATGCACGGTTCCGCACGAGACATGCTGCAGGACCGTGCGGGTATCATCGTGCTTCGAGAAGATCTAGATTTCTATGTGATCCCGCCTCACCGCGACATCTCTCAGCCCGACATGATCGAAGTAAAGCGAGCGGCCGGTGAGGCACTCCTCAAGCAAGACGGTATCTTCTCCGGCCTACGAAAGAGCGAGGAGCCTGGAACGACCGAGCAGCATCTGATTGAGATGTTGACGGCAGGGTAAGACTCAATCCCCTTTGATCCATCTTCCTTTTTCAAGAACCTCCCATTGATTTCAAACTAGCGGCTTCAACCACGATGACCGGTGGGGCCACCGAGCCGGAGAGCCGAACAAGGCCGTTATTTGCAGCATCGCGTTGGCCCGTTTACGAACCGACATCAAGGGCAACGACTTGGCCAACAGCAATGCGGTAGGTATGGCCCAGAAGCTGCTCCTCTTCTGGAGGAAGCCTGCCCGACGATGCTGGTGGGAAGGTGTAGAGCTCGACAACGTTAGGGGTGTTGAAGGCAAGCTCAAGGTGTGGATCAGGAGAGTCTGGACGCTGGAGATGGTATGTCTCACGCTCGGTTGTTCACGAAGAGTCAGCTAACACGTATTCAGAGTGTCATTGGTCTACGCTGATGACTTGGACCAAGCATGCATGCGGTTTCCTTTTGTTCATCTGGTGTGCATTTCATCTTCGCTTGACGACGACTTCCCTTCTCAACTACCTTTCAGTCTGCTGTTCTGTTCATTTTTCCGCGCATTCTTGCAAAAGCGGGGATTTTCTGTTGTCCTTTTTTTGTTCCTTTCGTTGTTTGATACCTCCTTCGTCTCCTGAGATCCACATCATGGACCGGGCGTATGTCTGTTGGATATCCATAGCAAGCGGCATTGTTCACGCGATACCATTCGGAAGAAGCAGCGGAGGGCCCGAATAAGGCGTGTTTTGGGCGTTTGACTCTACCTAGGCGGAAGTACATATTGTATAGAAGTAGGCATCAATATAAGGATGTGTAATATCGACTTGGGAGATGTCTAGGTATGCATGCCATGTCTCAACGACGCATGCATCCATTCGAGATGTGATCTCTGGCTCCGAGACTCGAGATCGGCCTCTCCAGTTCCCTTGCTGGGCTTCTGGAACCTCCACCAGGAAAAGCAACGCGAAGATGAAACGTCGTTTCGTGCGTTTCTCTGGTACCGACGAAGCCTCTGTACAGCACGGGAAGTTCCTCGGTACACATGTCCTGCTGGATGTCACCTTGGGCTATTGCATGCGCTAAGGCACGTCCTAAGGGATGTTTCTGAACGTACATCCGCGTGGTTCACAGCAGGTAGGACGGCAGGCGTGGCTGAAACGCGACTAGAGCATGCGGAGAGGAGACGGGTAGGCGGGCTTTGACGGCTGCCTAATGCAATGCAAGCTCGTTGTCGTCGAACAGCACGATAGTAGTGCATCCATATGTACAGTCCAGCTGTCAAGGGAGGGCGTTGGCGTGGTGGCGCGGCGTGAAACGTAATCTGAGGAAACGAAGGGGGAGGTACTACGTTCGTTTCTCAAGTGAAGGGTACATTGTGAGTCAAGCTCAAGCTGTACGCTCGCAGGTCGCGAAACCCCACGTATCCGATGCCGCGGAGCAAGGCCAGAAGCTGTTGTGGTAGCTAGCTGTCAGATGCTGGGCTGCATGTGGTGCACTCAGACTGTGGTGCGAAGGGTAAGAGCGTAGTATTTGCGAGCAGGTGCGAGGGAGTGGGGGGTAACGCAAGGAGAGGCAAAGAAATGGTCACGTCTTCGCCTGGTGAGAAGGTTACGAGGCTCGGGTATGCGACGACGGCGAGATGCGCTGGCGTTGCAGGTGTCAGTTGGATAGACCGGGCCGATGTGGAGGTCGACGAGAAGAGTTGGGCAGTCCTGCGTCGACGCTGTGGAGTCGAGTGTAGTGCATGATGAGGCTGGTGGACATCCGAAAGCTTATACGAAAATCGAAGGGAAATAGAGTTTTGTGTTGCAGCAAGTGGGTGTGGAACCCACGTATCTGGATTGACATCCCATCCGTGTACGGACGATGGGCAGGTGCGCTTCGAGCATTCTGCTACGCAGCGACCTTGTGTTCTACCTAAAGTAGTCTCTTCTTGCGTTTCCCACGCTCATACAGTATTCCATCACCGCGTGTTTGGCCATGGTTGAAAGGCCAAACGGATGATATACATGTCAAGTTATTATTAACGCCGGTTTCCAATCCCCAGTCCCCAAAATCTAAACAATGTCTGCCGTTGAGGCAAAAACTTTTCGAAATGGTATCATCCCAACTCATAACGTCGTGTTGAACTCTTGAACAAATGAAAAGAAATCTAGTAGCGGTAGATGTCGCTCTTGAAAGGACCGGCCTTGGGCAGACCGAGGTACTCGGACTGGACGTCGGTGAGGACGGAGAGCTCAGCGTTGACGTGGGCAAGGTGGAGGTTGGCGACCTGCTCGTCGAGCTGCTTGGGCAGGGTGTAGACACCGACCTCGAGCTTGCCAGAGTTGCCGAACTCGATGAACTTCTTGGCGAAAGCGTCGTCGCCGGCCTTGTAGAGGTAGATCTGGGCGAGGACCTGGTTGGTGAAAGAGCAGGACATGACGAAGGAAGAGTGACCGGTGGCACAGCCCAAGTTGACGAGACGACCGTCAGCGAGGAGGATGATGTGGCGGCCGTTCTTCATGAGGAAGCGGTCGACCTGGGGCTTGATGTTGGTGACGGACTTGGCGTTAGCTCGGAGCCAGGCAACGTCGATTTCAATGTCGAAGTGACCGATGTTGCAGACAATGGCGTCCTCGGGCATGGCCTCGAAGTGCTCGCCAATGAGAATGTCACGGCAGCCAGTGGTGGTGACGAAGATCTGACCCTGGGAAGCGGCCTTCTCCATGGTGGTGACCTGGTAGCCGGAAACGGCGGCCTGGAGGGCGTTGATGGGGTCGATCTCAGTGACGAGGACGCGGGCACCCATGCTGCGGAGAGCATCGGCACAGCCCTTGCCGACATCACCGTAACCAGCAACGACGGCGACCTTACCAGCGATCATGACATCGGTGGCACGCTTGATACCATCGACGAGGGACTCACGGCAGCCGTACAAGTTGTCGAACTTGGACTTGGTAACAGAGTCGTTGACGTTGATGGCGGGAACGAGAAGGCCGTGGTCCTTGTTCTTGAGCATTCGGTAGAGGTGGTGGACACCGGTGGTGGTCTCCTCGGACACACCGTAGCAGTCCTTGAGCATCTCGGGGTACTTCTTGTGGACAAGGGCAGTGAGGTCACCACCGTCGTCGAGGATCAAGTTGAGGCGCTTGTCATCCTTGAAGGCAGTGAGCTGCTGCTCCAAGCACCAGTTGTACTCCTCCTCGGTCTCGCCCTTCCAGGCGAAGACGGGGACACCGGAGGCGGCAATGGCGGCAGCAGCGTGGTCCTGGGTGGAGAAGATGTTGCACGAGGTCCAGGTGAGCTCAGCACCGAGCTCCTTGAGGGTCTCGATGAGGACGGCGGTCTGGATGGCTGCAAACGTGTTAGTTTCAAGTGAGGGGCAATGGAGGGGTAAGAATTGGCGTACTCATGTGCAGGCAACCAGCAATGCGGGCACCCTTCAAGGGCTGCTCGCCGGCGTACCTGGTGCGGGTCTGCATCAGACCAGGCATCTCATTCTCAGCGAGCTCGATCTCGCGGCGACCGAAGGCCGCGAGCGAGATATCGGCAACCTTGAAGGTGTGGGCGGGCTGTCCAGACATGATTGCGGCTGGGGAGTGTGAATATAGAGGAATTTAGGGATGTAGAGGGAGGAAGGAGTGAGTGAGAGGACTGAGAGGAAAGAAGGGTCTTTAGTGGAGGGGCAGAGCTTTTTGTCTCGTCGGCAGTTTGGGCCCCGCCGCAGAAGTCACCGACACCAACCCCGCGAGGCGCTTAGGCCCGGGTTGGCTACGCGCTAACGCAGACCTTCGACACCGAGCATGCAGAGAAACCCCGTTTAGACGGGCGTGGTTTGGCGGGCGTTATCTGGGAATGCCACCTGTCGAAGTAGTTGACATCCATCTTCACTTCTTGCGGCAATTGATGATACATTATGGGGCTGGATACGCTGGCGTCTGGCCAACCTTGTGAAGACCCCAGCCCTTCATGTCTGCGAGACACGCTCCCATTCGCCACCGTCTTGCTGATCTAGCCTTACTACGGAGAGCCGACTGTAAGCCTCCGACTATGTGCTCCGATATCGAAAAGGTCGAATGTAGATCTACCTTGGGTGGAATAAGTATCCGCGAGGAATGCTCTTTGTTTTTTTTATGTTCACAAGCAAAACAACAAGTCTGGCTTCTGCTGTCTATGTGACTACCAAATTCCAATGTTCTGCTTCTGCTTCTCTACGTCTCTGGCCAGCCTCAATTCGCCGAGGCCATAATGCCGGTCATGTTCCTTCCACTGCCCGTCAACTTTCGAGCCTGACCACACATCGAATAGTATCTGTACCAATATCTCCAGTCAGAAACCGGCAGCCATCGACTCGATCGTGTTCTCGGTTACCGTCGTGGTTACATTCTACTTGGCCTGGAGTACCTTCATGGCGGTCTCGCATGACCCGACATGTATGGGGCGCAATGATAAAACTTCACCAGAAATGTCGGTCGCACTATGTGAAGCCGCTACTGTGGTCCTCGATTCGCCGTGTCGGCAGATCTCATTGATGGGCCCGGAATCCATACCTTTCCCACTATAATACGAGCACTGCTCGGCAAATTTGAGATCGAAAGCAGTAATCCATCGAACGACCTCACAGATTCGTCGCACCACCTCCCCATCCTGAGCACCACCTCTGTACAGTCCAGCAGGCCCCGACCATTCCCTTGCTACCACGCAAGCCCCGTAAACGCTTCCGTTCTCGACTGGCGAAACTAGCTCAAAGAGCTTTCTCATCTCTCCGACCGATACGACAACAAACGCCGTCCCAATTTCTCGACCCTCGAAATAAATCCACCACCATGGCCAGAAACTTCATACACTTCCAGTCCACCATCGTCAAAGCTCTCCACGGCTTGACCTCGAGCGCTTATCACATTCTGAGCCGACCTCTGGTGTTGCTAATTGAGTACAGTGATGACCGCTTCAGGTACATGAATGCGTACCATCGCCATTCTTGATCACATCTCCGGTTCGAAAAAATTGGGAGTAAAATGAAAGCAACATGAATCCGACTCCCTCCGATACGCAGACAAGAGCAGGAACTATAGGATTTGATGCAAAGCCGCATTTGAAGAGACCGTTCATAACGAACTCATTGTATCGCTCGAGGACACGACCTCACCACGAGCGGACTATAGTCCCCACATTCGGACCAGGGATGTCGATGCCATACAGCAGTAAAACAAGACTACCCTCGATTTCCATCCGCTCCCAAAGAGTCGCCTGTTAGCAATGTCCTTCCTCTTACGGTCTTTCCGGGCAAGAAAGTGCGCAGACTCCATGAGCTTCCGAGCCGCCTTTTCGGCGCCGCAGCAAGACACAGCACAGAAAAGCACCTTATGCCGCAATAATTGAATGATCGAAATACCAGGATGGTGGTGTAGAAGACAAAGCCAGCAATGGGGAGAAATATATATCCTTGCGACTCCATCGACTGCAGCTCTTGTGCTGACATGGGATACGGCCGTACGATACCAGGTTACAACTTCGAACACGCGTTATACAGCGAGTCACCCTAGGCTACCTTATCAGCTACCAAGCTTGCCGCCGATTGTCCAACGCTTGAAACGAGGACCCTGAGAATGTGGCACTAATGAAATTCAGTTCCTGTGTCGACCGCTGTGATGGGGATTTTCTAGAAATGTGATTTGCAGAGCCAGCTGCGGTCAAAGTTGGAGAAGCCGAAGGACGCATGTCTCTAACACGTTTTGCATTTCTCCAGAGTTTTGGTGCCTGCAATGCGGCGGGCAGCGTGAGGGAAATGACTTCACTGGAGGGCCTATTAATATGTGAGGCGTGACGCAGTAGAGCACTGGCGTATCACATGCACGACGTTACAATCCAATATTACCACTGCAAGAGGCTAGCTGGTTGAGTATGCAAGATGTGAAGTATGATGTCTATCATTGCAAGCCGAGATTACGCAAGAGCATGCCTACCCCTGCCAGACCGTCCCCAAATCATACATGCCAATTGGTGTATCATGTCGCTCGAACAACGCTGTAGGGTGCCCTGCTCAACCTAATTCAGTATCACCTCCGTCTACCTACGGAAATCAACGCCTTCACTGGGTTGGAAATTCTTCCCCTTTCATGAGTCTACTCCTCGATCGTCTTCACGCAGTCCCAGCCGCCGCTCAGCTTCTCCCTCCACAGGCTGATCCTGTTGTCTCCAGTGCTGATAGCCAAGACATTGCCGCTCAGGCTCCAGCTCACTCGCCATGCTACGGCTTCGACGTTTAGTACGGTGGATTTCCATTCCCCTACATTAGTCAGCGCGCTCTTTCACGATTGTACTTCTTTCTCTGCTTACGTAGATCTGAGGATGTCCAGATGCGCACCGTCTTGTCCTGGCTTGCTGACGCAATGTACGACTTGGACAGAACGGTCGGCGACCAAGCGACATCGCGCACCCAATCTGTGTGTCCTGGCAAAATCTGGGAGTTCTGGTACGATCCGCTCTCCGGGCTAAACTCCCAAAGCTTGACCTGGCAATCGCTGCCGCCTGTGACGAATCGCCTTGCGTTGCCCGGCGCATTCCCGCTCGCTGTGACAACCTGTCCGGGTGCGTAGGCGGGCGCCCAGCTCACACTGTTGACGCCCGAACCGCATGCCTGGAATACCTGGTGCGTCCAGTTGTTGTCCTTGAACTCGAGAACCGAGACATTGCCGTCTGAGGAGGCGCAGGCGAGCACGCAGCCTGCTTCGTGGGGTGCCCATGCAACGAGATTGACGGATGCGGAGTGGAGGGCTACGTCGTAGATTTTCTGCCATTGACCGTTTTGTTCGCGCCAGATGATGACTTTGCCGTCGTATGAGGAGGATGCGAGAATATTGCCGTACTTGGGGTGGGCCCATGCAACGCACCAGACAGCGCCCTCGTGGCTTTTGTGCTGTTAGCCAGGTGGCCGATATAAGCGACCGGAGTTGCCTACCCTTTCAGTGTCTCAACTAGTCTATGCGACTCGCCCTCCACCTCGAAGATCTTGATGGTCTTATCCGAAGAGCATGTGGCTAACCGCCTGCCGTAGTAGTCCAGGACAGCATCGTGCTGCATGTCGTTAGTCTCGAGGGAAATCAGGTCGACGAAACCGTTGCCGCCCAATGCGGGGTTGGACGGGCGCCTGGTTGAGGTCGCGGCAAAGGTGCTCATGGTAGCTTTATGCTTGGAGACACGCGTGGGTATAGCGATTCGGTGGTAAACGTACAATCATGTCATCGTGGCCAGCGGAATTCGTTATTACGTTGGCCTGGAATGGAAGCGGCGCGTCAGCGGCTCAAGTTCGGAAGCTGCGATGGGTGGTGGTACTTACCATGCTGGGCTATTTGGTATGGCGGAACGGGGAAGGGGCGGGGTGGTGGAAGAGCGGTTGGAGAAGGCGCAATGTGAAAGCTCACAGCGGTGTTGGAGCTTGAAGTTGAGGTGCTCTGTGGCCTCTACAGGGGTGCTATTCCAGCCCCGAGCGGCGATGAGATAAGATTAGATCGTAACCCTGTCACTGCTTAGTCACAACCTTCTCAGAAGAACGCTCTTTCCACGAGGCTTATAGACTCACAACACCACTCACTGAGAAGAGGGTTCCAATCATGTCAGAAGCAGTAATATGCGCACTCACAGCTTCTGAAATTTGCATTCTGTGTTGAATTTTCTAACCTGCGTCTGATCCCACAAAAGGTACTCGGTCAGAACTCTGCAGCCATACCAGCGACGCGAATTGGACTGCGCATTTCATGCAACATTTTTCAGAGTGTCAATGTAGCTCTCCGCAGTCTTCTGTTGGACCCGGCGGTTACCTTATGGATCATCTTTACCTTGTTGATATTACTGTGCGGCATCGACGTCTGGCTACAAACTGGTTGGTTGCGGTTGCAACGACCCACAACCCACGGCCGATACTATCTTCGTCAACCTTTACACAAACTTATCTACTCGAATTAGTACAGCGCTACCACGACGATATACATTGTGGGCTATAGTAGCACATGGCGTGCTATGCGCATTGATATCGGACCGCGTTTGTGTGGGCCAGGCCTGGGAGCACGCCATATAGCTTCTTTCAACCTCACTTCAACATTTCAACATACAACAGCTGAACACTTACACGCGTCTTACATCATTCAAGTTATGGGCGGCCGCGACTATAGCAGCGCGCAACAGCACTTCGCTCTACCTCAGTCTTTACGCGCCAAGGTCTATTCGCCCAGCTCACGCAGAGACCTCTGGAGCAATTCCCAACCACTGAGCAACTCCAACGATGAGCACGACAGGCTTCATCCTCGGACGCGCATACGGCACAATTGCCCCCCTCATGAGGAGAGACTCAAGTAATCGGGTTCGCGGGGGATCCTAGCACCGGTGCGACGATGACAATCTCACGATCGTAAGCCGCGCTCCGTTGGCTACGGAATCTTGGAGTCACGTCGGCGAGGTCGCTGGTCTCTCTCCCGATTTGCTAAGGCCCCTCGGTCCCTGTTTGCTTCATCGAAGTCAGGAAGGACACTGCGGTAGCAGCACGTGCTGCGATGATGTCGATTCATCTGCTCGAAACTCGCGGAACCTGTTTCTCCAGCCAAGCTCTTCCCCAGGTTTCCAGATGATGGAGGGGCCCCTTTCGATTCCCCAGATTCATGCGGAGCGATCCTTGTCGTGGAAAGCACATGCAGCCGAGGAACAGTGCACGGTGTGAGGGGAAGGAGAGGCCGAGCCGTTTCGCACACAGTGATGTTCAGCCACTCGTTGAGGTTACGATCATCGCGCAGCCATGGACACGTCCGTCCAGGTGCACGTTGCGCTGAACCTACCTGCCATGCCTATATATGTTTCTGGAGGGTGTCATTTCAGCCGGCGTCGCTGCAACAGTGCCTTCAGCAAGTGAAATGCATCACGCAGGAACTCTGCATGCGCGAATAAGCAGCCTGCGGGAAGGGTGGCCGGAAGAAGCGATGGATACGCCCTTGCTCAATAAGGCGGCCAAAGTGCAACGCAGTCCCGTTGTGGCGTGTTGCTGTCGTGCCTGCCAGCGAGCGCGACCAATGTCAGATCACTAACTGTTGAAGGAAGCTGTCGCTTCGTATTGGATCCTGGAGTCTCCAGCCTGAACCGGCAAGGCGGGGGCGGGCGACCGTCCGAGGCGGGTAAAGTGGCTTGCGGGGTTTGAACGCCTTGCCGCATAAAGTTCTGCTCCCTGGCTCTGGAGCGTCATGGCCTTTATGAACAGATGCTGCGGTGCTGGCAGCATGAGACGACCTCGAATGTTGTCAGAGACAAGAATACCAAGCTCAGCGACGAGGGTTTCGCTCGTGCCCACCTGTGGCACACTACGCGCGTCTCCAGTTTTCCCACGAGCAGCGTTGCCCAAAGCGGTTCGCGCATGCGGACGGCAGCAAGGGAAGAGCGATCGGCGCCAGTAAGCGCACAGGCCCTCCAATCATGCACCAATGTGGCGTCTGGGGATTTCAACCTCTCATGCTCGTGCTGGTCGCCGCCGGCCAGCTTCAAACGTAAGGGCAACTCGGCCTGTCCAATCCCATACCTCGTCGTACCCGAAACAATATTGCGCCCGGACCGCCCGAATGGCAATTGCTCCCATTCTCATTTGCAGCGCCTAGCGGCCGTCGACCTCCATGGGGAATTCGCGTGATCCTGCACGCCCTAAAAGCTTCTGCGAATAGCCGCATGTGACGCCGAGCCGGTGCCCCTGGGGTTTCCTGGGGGAAGCTGGGGCCTTCTCAACGTGCATCGAATACTTAAAGCCCTCCCGGGCGTCTCCCCTACCTTCGTCCTGTAGCACGTCTCCGGAACACAAACAGTCGTTTCTACGCTCCGTACCTTGAACAAGACCGCTCGTCCAATCGAAGCAACAACACCAAACATCACTCAAGATGAAGACCTTCGCTCCCGCTCTCCTCGTCGCCTTGGCAGGTGTTGCCTCTGCTCAGCTTCCCGACCTTCCCCAATGCTCGGTATGTTGTGACGACAACCAACACTCCTGAACTCTATTCTAACAACACACAGCTTCAATGCTTCATCACCGCATTGGGCTCGGACGGCTGCTCTGAACTCACCGACTTCAAGTGCCATTGCCAGAAGTCCGACTCCCTCCTCTCCTCGGTCACTCCCTGCGTGCAGTCCGCCTGCACCGCCGACGAGCAGGCCGAGGTCATCAAGGGCGTCCAGGACACCTGCGCCTCCAACGGCGTCACCATCAGCGTCCCGAGCCCCAGCGGTACCTCCGCCCCGGAATCGTCCGCCGCGCCTGAGTCCAGCAGCGCCGAGATGTCTTCCACCATGGAGGCTTCTTCTGCTCCTGAGGCTACTAGCACTATGCCCGCCTCCTCCTACGCGGCCTCCTCCATGGCCCCCAGCTCCTCCGTCTCCGCCGTGCCTCTTCCTTCCGCCAACGGCACCGTCCCCTCTGCTACTCCTTCGCCCTCTTCCTCCGAGTTCCCCGGTGCCGCTTCTCGCATCGGTGCCGCCGCTGGCCTCGTCGGCGCTGCTGCCCTTGCTGTCTTCGCTTTGTAAATAAAGCATTGCGTTTGCATTGGCATGGTATGAATGACGGGACGGACGGACTTGTACATGGCGTGCGGTACCCGGTTACGAGATCATTAATGGTTGCATGACGGAGGGCGATCTCGTGTATTATACAAAAGAGGCTGGGCTTGTTTGGTGCAAGCGTAGGCGTAGTAATGCATCTGTGCTCACAACCTTCTACTGTGTCCCTTCTATCTTCTTCATGTGCTCTGCTTGATGTTGTGATATCTCTCGACCTTGCCTATTCGCCACCATAGCATGGAGAGAGTGGGTGGGCTGCTTGTGCTCTGAATGGAGAGCGATGTCTTGACCTGAGAGGCGCATCTTGCATCAAACATCGTTTCGAGTAGAGCACCGGTTACGTCAGGCTACGCGCTGCTAATTCTGCCCATGCCACACCCAGTCTATTACATTGGTGTTATTGACAAGGTCCATGCTCGACGTTATGATCTGCGTAGTAAGGTAGTGAACGAATTGTAAGAATAGTAACATTTCTCCATCTTGCATCCATCAGTATAGGAACTAACGTCACGCATGGAAACCGTCAAATGATGCGATGTCCAATGTGGCATGGTCTTCCAACGTCGTATCAGGACATTGGAGATTCTGTACTACTCTGCGGCAGGCCAAGGCGAATCGAGTAGTTCATGGACTTGTTCGCTGTATAGCTAACCTTGATACTAGTCCCCCCCAAGAAAAAAGGGTCACTGGGAGTATGACTTTTTCCTTCGGCCTCTGTGAAAAAATCATTGAAAAGAGATGCGCTCAATGTGTAACAGGACTATGACTTGGTGCTAGTTGGTGAGTAGATGGAACGAATAGGAATGCGGCACTCGGTGGGCCGCTTCCACCGACTGCCGACAACCACCTTCCGGGATAAGTCGGGAATCCGCGCGACACCAACTTAAAGGCGTGCCACGAGAATTCGTCTCACACTCGTTGCATAGACTTCGAGAAAAGGCGGACCGGTGAATGACCAGTCGTGACTCAGTGAGGATGGGGGCTGCGTGCTGCAACCCGTTAGCGCTGAGCCGAAGGACAGTATAATGCGGTGCTGGATGTCCACGTTACCTCACCCGTCCGATTGCTTTATAACCTCACCCAGGTTAATTCAGCTATCTTCCTATGAAATCAAGATCCGAAGCTACGCTATGGACACAATCAGATCCCTCCTCTCCTACCTTATCCCCAGTCTCCCCCCCTCTGAACCCTCTCCCATCACCCTCCACGGCCCTACAGGCCGCTACCCCACAAGCCCAGAACACGACTACACTTTCACGCTCCCAGACGGCCGCACACTCGGCTATGCACAGTACGGCTCACTTACAGGAAAGTCGATCTTCTTCTTCCACGGGCTCCCCGCATGCCGCATTGAGGGCGTCTACTTCCACGAGCTAGGCTTGAAATATGGAGCGAGGATTATTGCTACGGACAGACCAGGTCTGGGCTTGAGTTCTCCGCATCCGGCCAGGATTTTGCTGGATTACCCGAGGGATATCGAGAAGTTGGCGAGACATCTTGGGGTCGAGGAGTATGCTATCATGGTCCGTCCTCTCACATATCGTCACATCGCACTACGAGGTACTAATCGAACAACAGGGTGCCTCCGGCGCCGGCCCCTCCATCCTCGCCTGCGCCTACGCCCTCCCCCCTTCCTCCCTCAAAGCCGCCTCCCTAATCTGCTGCTGCGGCCCCTCCAACCTCATCGGCCACCGCGGCGGCGCCTGGGCCCACAAACTCGGCTTCCCCTACGGCTGGCGCTACTCCCCCGCCTGGCTAATTTCCTGGGCTATGAAGAACATCTTCCTGGGCCCCGTCGGCCGCGTCGACCTACCCATCGAGACGCGCGTTAGACAGATGCTGCATCCGAAAATGCTGGCTTCTCACCATGCTAAGGACTTGGACATCATGAAAGACGAGGATGCGCTGTGGACTATGGTGACCTCTGCAAACCGCGCGTACGGACACAGTTTTGCAGGCGCGTGCCAGGACGGCGCCGTCACGTGCAGTGACTGGGGTTTTAGGATTCGGGATATCCGCGGCGATTTGCCAGTAATGATGTGGTATGGGACGCTGGATATGAATGTGCCGATTAGTCATGGGGACTACATCGCGGCGGAGCTTGGGTTAAGGGCTGGGGCGGAAGGGAAAACAGAGTACCACGTGAGCGAGGATACGCATACGAGTGTTTTCTTCAATAATAAAGAGGAGGCGTTGAAGGAGGTGTTGAAGACGTTTTGAAGGAGTACGCTTGGAGGGAAAAGGATTTGAGGTCGGTGAAGTTCTTGGATTGAATGAGTTTATCGGCTTGAGGGCGTTTGGGCAGGAAGACGGCGTCTTGGAGCTTTCTACTTTGCTCGTCTTGGGATTTCCACTCCTGGTTTTGATACCTTGGGCACGAGTTCATCCGAACGGGCCTATAGACAGACACAGTAGAAGATCAGCATGTGCAACACCAGGCTATGAGTTTGTATCGATAGTGAAATTTGATTGTGTCTACTAACCGCATGCGTTGAGATCTTGGGTTTGGTCGCTTCAAGTGGCTCTTCAAAGACCCACTGTCCGAGCCGCTCAGCATGCAAGAGCTGCATAACGATTGCAGTGACAGAGTCACGTACTAGCGGAGCGTGATGAGAGTCTTTTCATCATCACCCATCCCTTACTTCCTTTCGCCCACTATTGAGCCCTCATCAAATGCTCATAAAAGCAGAGTGTGCATTAGGTGACCTAACGTCTCCGACACACCAGGTATCTGCGAAATGCATCGAAGACATGCGACAGTAAGTGTCGAAGCCGCCAAAGAGACAGACTACAGGTTCATCATTCAATAAGACAGTATAACGCAACAGCGCCTCAGTAGTCTTCCATCTACCACACCTCCTTCGCTAGTCAAATGTCCAGCTCCGTAGCCGGACTCCGCTTCCGATACGGCGTCGGCGGTCCCACGCCCATCGGGAAGTTGTGCGCATGGCGAAGCTCTGGCTGCTCAGCATCGTTCCTAGCGCGACTCTGTGATCTGCTAGCTGCCGAGCTTCCCGGCCTCCCCTCATCACTCAGGCCCATCCTCGCCAGCCCAGAATTGACTTTCCCTAGTCTGACGTCTTCCTCCAACGACGCTCTATTAGCGTTTGGTGTTCCCCTTCGTGTATAGCTGCTGTTCTCGCTGACTGTCCCTTCTCTTCTGAGGTAGTCCGCGTAGAGCTTCGTGCTAGTGAAGCGCGCCGCGCTGGTCCCGGTGCTGGCCTCGCGGTATAGCCCTGCTTCACGCGTGAGGTCGCGGCTGCGGACCACCGGGGGTACGGCGTTCTGGCGGGCATTGAGGGTGCCGGTGATTTCTTCTTTGTCGACCATGACGATCATGTAGACGCCAGGTTTCGAGTCTGAACCGAGTAATGGTGTGCAGTGAATCCAGCGAGGGCGGCTTTCGAGGTAGGCTTGAGGGTCTGGGGTGGATGTGGTGGTGTCCGCGGAATGAGAGCGAAGGTTCTGGGTTAGCCACGATACTTTTGCGGTGACACTGGAGCCTTGGGCGAGGGCTTCCATCAGACCTTCTCGGACGTATTGCGGTCCTCCGATGCGGTCCATGAGCCTGGATTGGGAGAGGCCGGGTATCCGTAAGGTGGGGGAGGTGAAGAGAATGCGTAGGGAGGGGTAAGGCCGCACGAGGAGATACTGCGTGTGTGAGCAAGAAGCATCTGCGTGAAGTGGGATTAGACTTACGTTCTGATAGACGCCCGGTAACCTCCCTTCCGGTCCATATCTCCTTGCTGGCCACAGATTGTCGTCCGAGGTCTCTTCCATGCCGATAAAGCGCCTGCCTGTACTTGCCGCGGTTCGTGTCGATGTGCTAGCGCTCGAGCTCGTGGAGCCTCGACGGACGCGGACGTTGCGCTGCCTAACAACGTCTGCTTCCTCTTCATTCAGTAGGCCTCCAAGCTCGCGTAGCATTCTCAAAGATGGCTTGTTCTCTGTAAAATCTGCCATATTGGCGGCTTCCTTCTCTTGGTCAAGAAGTTGCTTGAACGACTCCAAGCCCTTTCCACCTTCGAGGAGGCGAGTGATATCGATCTGAGCGCCAACATAGTAGCGTACGTTGCCGCGCTGGTCCATTAGAGGAGCCATCATGACCTGACGCTGTTAAAGCTAGACAAGCACCATGATGGGCAGACATACCAAGTTTAAGAAAGGATTTCCATCTCGTCTACTACAAGACAGTTAGTGCATTGTGCGTTATGTCTAAGCGGTACGCTTACTAGTTGAGCAGTATCTCGCTAATCTCTTGACCATTGCGCAGGGCATTAGTTATACGTTTTACAGCAGCCCTGGAAGTTTGAGGCCCTTGTAAGAATCTACAATTCTTCCCAATGACATAATCGTGATTGTACTGTGTGGTATTGTAGAATTCTGTGTTGCCACGTAAGCGGTCTGACAAACGCTTCAAAGCGGTTTGGTATACCTTCAGATGCGAAAACGAGAGGGTTGTCAGGCTGGTTTGGATCGCTTAAGCAGAAGACCTCCGCGAGACCTTGAACTAGATCCCGCATGAACGGTGAACTAGTCCCGGTTATATCCTTCACTAAGCATTCGGTCACGACTGTAATCATCCGGTACGTGACATACGCGGGCAATGCTTCGTTCACTAATTCGTCGACAGCTTTTTGGGAGAAGCTTTGGAAGTGTGTATCTACAACCGCTGCATTGCTCTTCACAGATGATGAACGTGATGGCTGTTGCGATTGTGGAGGTCGCGTGGCAGAAACCACTTCAGCTAAAGCATTTGCGTATCGGATGGCTGCCAGAGCTTTCTGTGACTCTAGATAGCGCACAAGGGTTGCAGCCAACTGAGGGTGATATCTTTCTAGGAACGAACGAAAGCGCCGGGAATGTTCGGTATCTTTCAGTATTAGGTCAAGGTGGTCTGCTGAGAAAAGTCGCGATGCGAGATACTCTGCGTTCGCATCGGAAAATTTGGGTGCCGGCGGGTGTAGGTCGTAGGAAGTCAATTCGTCTATCGAAAAGCGTCTCAATTCGTCCGCTGAGAAGCGTTTGCGTGTCGCATTATGCTCAAAACCCTTCTCTTGTGTTACACTGTCGGTTCTGCCGTAATCCTCAAAAGCTCGCATAGAGTCCGCCGAGTCGGCTTGAGACATATAGTTGGTTGTTGGATCCTCGAGCCCTAGCTCACCCATAATGTCGTCGTTCTTCGTGATGGAAGGCGCGTCTTTTGGTACAGATGGCGGTAGCGTAGGGCTGCTGGGCTGTCTGTTATGGCCAGCGTTCATTCCATTCATAATGCGCGTGCCCATGCAGTAGCTGTAATGTTAGATGCGCAATGACGCATAGACTCCAAGAAGAGCTGTCAAAAAGCTTCCGGAAGGCCTTAAAGTGTTAGCCTCAAGGCTACGCATCCAATTGTATCTTCCTAGCTTGAAGCTGACGTACTGCTTGTATATACTTTCTGAATGAAGGGATGGTTGGCCAGTCGACAGATGGCGATGCGCAACGCCAATGAACACGGACAGCAAGCTATTGAAAATATGAGGGAAGCCACAAAAAAAGCAATGGGATGGTACAGAGGTACGGGCCGTCGATTATGAGCCAGGAGCTGGAAGGAGCAAGTGAATAAAAGCAGGTTAAGTGATCTCCACCCTATCAATGGTCCTGCGGATGTGATTCGGGACGGGAAGAAAATGCAATTCATCTTAGACTGTACAAAGTTCGGACTGTCAACCAACAACGACCTAGAGTTCATCAGTAGACAAGGATCCCATCAGATGCAGCCGTTGTTCCACGCAGCTGTGGAGCCGCGATCTAGAGGACGAGGCGTGAGATGTACATGGTTTAACAACGGTCTAGCGATCGTAAACAGTGCTTTTTCAGGTCCCGTGTATGTTCAGACCACTCTCCGGTCAGTTCTTCAAGGGAGATGCAGGTAATGGGTGGCTCGTTCTCAGACATGGCGTATGCAGGTCATTGCGTAAACAATGGCTCTGGCCGTTGGGTTTGCCGAACTTGTCGCTTTGAGCCGCGGAATCGACTTTCCAGGTCATGGAGTGTTACTCGAGAGTTTGCCTTCGGCGTTAGTGAAACATCCCGATGTCCGCGCATCTCGGAAGGTTACAGCTCTGCGCGTTCGAAAACCTTCAATCACGCGTCTGAAGGCTTAATGAACGATACTATTGGGATTGCTTGCAGGACTGTGCAACCCGATCGTCTCGGATCTGCCGTGGCTGCCTCAATGACATGTCGAAGGCGCAAGAGACGGCTGGGAAACAAGTGCAGACGCCAATCCCGCGACAGCACTAGTGCGGGTGAGCCTGGCTGGCATCTGGTGAATGGTGATGTAACAGCTGATAACGCTGATCCGGCGTGGCTTCCGCTAGTGTATGTAGCTGCAGTGCAAAGGCTTGAGGCTGGAACGAGATCGATGTCGGTGGGGAACAACGATGCTCCGACCGCACCCCGCGTGCCGCCAAGCTTGGCCCCGTCCCTCTTCATTCACTCTGCGCATTGTTTATGTCAGACGCCGGCCAGGGTGTCGCTGCCTCCCCACGCGATCAAGTGCGAAAAAAGATTAGCGAACTAATACCATCGCTAGAAGGACTAGTCTCAGATCTCAGAGTCGACTACGGCGGAGGCCACGGCGCCATGGACGACTTCAACAGCGAAACCGACAGCGACTATACCAGCTACTGGCGGGACTGGGTAAGTTCACATGCCCGGAATTGCGCACATAGTCTCGCAAGATACGGCGCTTAAACATCCTATCTCGCCCTCTTGGTCTTTTGCGACAGTCAGGCCTCCAAAATTCGACATCGTAGTTCCTCCTGAACGCATGTGCCATACTCTTGTAACATGGCTAACATTTTACGCAGTTCATATCCTCAAGAGGAAACGAATACTTCTGCGAGATCGACGAAGAGTACCTTACCGACCGCTTCAACCTTACGGGCCTGAACACCGAAGTGCAGTATTATCAATATGCCCTCGACCTTGTCACGGACGTCTTCGACTTTGACTGCGATGATGATATGCGGGAGCAAATAGAGAAGTCTGCGCGGCATCTATACGGTCTTGTGCACGCTCGATACATTGTCACGACTAGAGGACTGGCCAAGATGGTACGCCCCCCAGCACAAGAACCACGCAATCTACATATGCTGATAGTCCCCAGCTCGAGAAGTTCAAGAAGTCCGACTTCGGCAAGTGTCCCCGCGTAATGTGCGAGTCCCAACCGCTCTTGCCCATGGGCCAGTCCGACGTTGCCAACTCCTCCCCTGTAAAGCTCTACTGTGCCCGCTGCGAAGACCTCTACAACCCCAAGTCCTCACGCCATGCCATCATCGACGGCGCATACTTCGGCACTTCCTTCCACAACATCCTATTCCAGGTATACCCCAACATGTTGCCACCGAAGAGCCAGCGCAGGTACGAGCCCAAGGTGTTCGGCTTCAAGGTGCATGCTGCCGCTGCGCGATGGCAGGCTGACGAGCGGGAGATGCTGAAGGACAGGCTGAGGGGCGCGAGAATTGAGAGCGGATTTGAAGAGGAGGATGACGACGCCGAAGAAGAAGAGGAGGACGAAGAGATGGAGGGTGACGGCTTTGAGGGCGCGGCGGTGCAGCAGTAAAGCTTGAGCTGGGACACAACATCGCGTCTGGATCGAGGGGAGGGAACGGCTACTTTGGTCATGATTAGAGTCGCGGATACCAGGAGCATGGTACGGCGTTAGGCGCAAGTGGGACTCATGTCCACTGTTGTTTATATTGCATAGACGATCAAAGATACCTCATACGGAAGGAAGCGAAGTCAAACGCCGCATGATCCATAAGCGTCCAAACCCAGGAACCTCGAGATTGAACTTAGATTAGACATTACTGATGCTGATAGTGACAACGAACAGGACATCGTTCACCACAAATGAACATGAGCGAAGAAGGGTATCTAACCGAAAACAACTAACCCTACACATCCAACTTCCCCATCTTCTCCTTCGCCTCCCTCTTCTTCGCCCTCGCCCTATCCCTCAGCTCCTTCGGACTCGGCCAGTTGTAATTCACCGGGCTCTCTCCACCCACGAAGACAAACACATCGTACACTAGCGCGCCCGTGAGCACACCCGACAAGCCCGCTGCAATAGGCCCATACGCCCACCATCCGCTCGAGAACGTCTCCGTACCGTACCCGACCCACCATGCGATGAACCGCGGGCCAAGGTCGCGCGCAGGAGACACGCCGAGACCGTTGTAGCCGAAGCAGATGCAAAGGAGGAAGGACATGAGGCCGTAGATCAGGGCGCTCATACCGGAGCCGGGCGGGGTGTTGCTGTCGTCTCCGATGGCGAAGGCGACGCAGGTGTAAAGAGCCGCGGAGAGGTAGTCGTTGAAGAAGGCGGTGGCGACGGAGACATATGATTGGGGGATGGTGTACAAGCCCTTTCCAGTGATTGAAGGCGTCAATTGTGGGTCGATGTGCATGATGGCATCGCGATAGATGAACCTAGGCAACGGATGTTAGTCAGACTGTATCGTAGAAGAAGCAAAGATCGTTGTAGCCGCATCGTGAAGGACAACGGATGAGACATACCATGCCAAAGTCCCGGCGGCGAAGCCCGCAAGCATCTGCACGCAACAGTAGACAGCGCACATCTTCTTCGGGAAACCTCTGAAGATGGAGAATGCTATAGACACCCATGGGTTCATGTGACTTCCAGAGACACCGCCGCCGACGTAGATACCGGCTGTGACTGCTAGACCCCAGGCCCAGGATTGAGTAATGTAGTCGCCTTGGGCAGCTGGATATGTGATCGAGTACAGTGATCCAGCCATACCGAAGAAGAGATATACGGTGGTCTAAGTAAAGTCAGCTCCTATTCATTACATAGCACGATGAGGATTACCGAAAGAAACTCCGCGAGAGCTTCACGGTGACGTGCACGAAATCGTGCAAGCGGGCTACGGTACGTATTGTAATAGTCTTGAATGGCTTCCTCTTCTCGATCGCGGATCTCCTGCTTCTCGGCCTGTGCCTCGGCTGTAGCAGCCGACTGCGTGTCGTCCAGGGGTGGATGATCGCCACGGAAGTCGTCACCCATGCTATCTGGCATCCTGGTGGGTGATTGCAGGCCCTGATGTACCTCTTGTGATGGCTGCTTGTTGTCGATGTGGTCTTCACGCCCAATGCCGCGCTCCTGGTCCGAGCTATCAGCTTCAGTTTCTTTGACTCTCGTGACGATCCATTTGTAGCCATCCATCTCTGCCTCAAAACGATCAGGTGGCGGTTGAGGCTCTCCATGTTCGTCTATTCGCGGTGGGATCTGCAGAGTCGGAGCACCTTGGGGGCCTTTTCTAGCATTCTGATTAGACACAACATGTTCATTGACTTCGGTGAACTCACGGCTGGTTTGACTCTGATAAGACTGACCTCCTTTTCCTTGCTCTTGCTGGTCATGCTCTTCTGCGCGCTTACGACCCCACAACATGCCAGGGCGGACCGTTCGTGGGAATGGTCGGCCCAAACCAAACAGTGGCTTTGGAGGCTCTTGCTCATACCATGGATTCAGCGAGTAGTAGTCGTTATCAACGTAGTGTTTGTCTTCGGTCTTTTTCTCGGTTTGCTGTCGCTGCAGGCTGCTTTGCTGCGCTCGTACACTATCTTGCGCCGTCTGTGGTCGATTGGACTGCCTGTTACTAGAGACATCGTTACGGTCTCGCAATGAGTCCGAAGACTGCAGTTTGTCGAGCGCCACGGTGGGCTCTCTCTCAAGGTCATCTCGCTTTTGGCGCGTTACTTGGGAAGATGTCCGCTGGATGAGACCAGGTCTGGTATTAGATTCGGTGCTGCTCATTGATGACTGTGGCTCGCTGTTCAGCGGTGATTGCGCCTGGTTGAGGCCTTCTGTGAGCTGTTAGTATGGTAAAGTGATATAAGCTATCCATACTCGAAAATATGGGTTTAACACGCCGGTCCCACACCAATGCAGGGCAGTCGTGGGGCGCGCGACGTTTGTAGAAAGTTAGCCTTACCCGTCGAAGACATCGAGATGCCAACCTCCAAATAGGTGATGATGGGAATGCAACTTTGAGGGTAGACAGATGCACGGAGTTGAGCGCGAAAAGCTCGGCGCGGTTGAGTTTTCAATCCCAATTAATGAGAGGCATGAGCATTTCTCACGTAGCCAGCGCAAGAGCCAACCATACCGCATCGCTACGTCACAGCCGTGGCCTTTTACGCTGCGTGAGTCAAATTTCGCATCATACCTGGTGCAAATTCGCATCAGCCCAGATGGAAATCACGATTTTCGCGGGGAAGTGCCATGTCAGAAGCCTGGAGTGGGTTTAGTTTCGCGCCGTTGCTGCCCTAGTTTGTCCTTTTTGGGACCGAATTTACGACGCTGCAACACAACCTTCACGATCTGCGCGGAAGAGCCGATTGGATGCGGCCACAACGGACGCACAAGTTCATGTATTCGGGGGAGCATAAGTCTGCTCTAAAGAGTCTGTTATCATGTGCAAAATGCTGCAAACACGGGCCTTGCTACTATCAATTCTAAGGGAGAGACTTTACTCGTCATATCTGCTCATGAGTCATGACAGATCTTCGGAAAATGACGAGTCAGCAAACTCAAAAAGCAGTGTATATAAGCATGGGTAATTCTGCAGCTTCTGCTTACGCTCTCACACTTCGAATCCGCAATCTTGCGGACTAAAATTGGATACACATTATCCATGTGGTCCTTTGGAAGCCGCACTTATATCAGCTTCATTACGGTCTATGGGGAGAGACCTGTCGCGGAAGATGTACACTCAAATACAGATCGTTCCAGCGTTATGTGGCGCGTATGGTGAGGGAAGATTAATTATGAGTTCTTCCTGTAGGCGATAGTTACACGACATTTTCAATGGCATCCTCCTCTCCGGAATGGTCAAAATGGGGGCGATTCGATTCCATGTTACATTTCCATCGAACCCTGAGTACGGCCGTTGGTTTGAGCGAGCAGAATTCGATGATCCAGACTACAATGGCATGTGACAAGAACGCAAGGAGTACTTGCCTATGGGAGAAAGCCTGCGTGTGCACGGCTTCCTACTTCAAAGAACTCAACCCAAGGCGTGATGGGTGCAGCTCTGTGCTGGACGCACACTCGAAATTCATCGCTTGTCTATGAACAGAAACTATTGGCAACGAGTTTTGCTTTGGTGCCGTCTTGTCGGAAGTGATCAAAACAGCGGATCCTAATAGCGATGTTGCTCTTTTGTCCACTCCGGTACAATAAATATCACAGAGAGCAATCGGTACCGTATACGCTTCATGGGATGGGGCGAGGAGACATCTGATTCTCATTTCCGAAAAGTCTGGCTCCGTATCTATGAACAGCACTTGTTTTGGATGTTGATTCTCTTACTCTTAATTCTCCGTGTCGTTTTTACATCCAAGGTCTGAGCAATTCCGGCAGTGGACGACCGCTACAAATAATGCCGCTTGTGAATGTCATGCTTCGACTCACACTTCCCTCGCTTGACAGCTCAAAAGCCTAGGGCATCCATACGATGGTGCAAACCCAAAAGGCATCTGAAGCGATTCTATGTGTGAGATTCCCGAAATTCGAAGCAGCACAAGAACATGTGATCCTGACTCTCACCAAATATTTCCATGTGGGCACAGGCACTTGTGGCACCGCGGACCACCCTTAACCAGTAAATCTTTGGGATGGCTTATGTGGGTGCCACTAACGGATAGCATTGTAGCACGATGTGGGCTCGTGTCAAACCAAAATAATCTGGCCCATCAGGATATGCGCACGCTGCTCTTCGTTTGCAGGAATCGAGCATTGCCGGTCAGATATAATAGCTTTACTGATCGAAGCCTGCAATCCACTTGCATTGCTGCTTGTTTGGTTACTTGCTACTAAGTTGCAATGGCTGGGGCTTGAAATACAGTCAAAAGTCCCCAAGCAATCCCTTCATGTGTTGGGGAGACTCTCCGGAAGGAGCTAATCAAAGTCTAAACCGGTTGAGTGTCCGTCGACAATTGAAAACCTAGCAAGCACATGTCTGCGCCCAAACAAGACATTGACACTCAATTGTTGTCTTCCTTGCGGACGTGTTTCGCCTAGAATGGAATATCTCATCGATTCATGCCTGTTCGTTCTTTCTAAAGCGGCATAATTCGGTATCAGTATGGGACTTGCGAGACTACCTTCCTTGCCAGTGACGGAAGTCTTCATCGACTCCCGGGCATCGGTGTCAGATCAAATGATGAACCCTTCGTGCATGTTCGCCGGGGCGATACGTATCGTAGCACGACGGCCAAACGGTTCCCTAGCTCTATGTAAAAGAAAACATGCCCATGATGTTCGAGGCCATCAAGGCTGTCACGCGCCTTGGAGAAAAATGTCCTCCAGGTCACCCATCGCGTACCTCCGCCATCTTTCGGCTAAACCCTGCCCCAGTCACCCCAACCCCAGTCAACGACTTTTCCATTCGCTCAGCCTCAATCTCGTGTTCACCCCGTAAAATACCAATCGGTCCTTCTTTCTTATGCATGCCTCGTACCACTTCCACGCGATCCACGCGATATCTGAAAAGCCACATGTACCAGGGTTACCACCAGTCAGAATCACGCCCCCGTCATTACACAAATCACACGACATCTCACCTAAAATCATCGAATCGACACGTAACGGGCTCGGCCAAGCGAGATGAATGTCCCCACCCTTGCGGACGCTCCCGCTACAGCCGCGCCTTCGTCAGTGACTACCAAATTGGTCACAAATGTGCCCGAAACTGATTCGGCGAACATGTGGGGTTGGGCTACGAGATCGAACGGTCGAGCATGTCTCTTTCAGGACGATCCGCCAGACTGCATCTCAACTTCTCGTTCAAGTTCTGCATCCACGTCTACCCCTCCGTTGACATCCACCTCAGCCGTCTCAACAGCGTCACCAAGCTCAGTGTCTGATGGTGGCGCCCTGGTGACGAACACGGTGCAGACAGGCGCGAGTGCGCTGCCCCCTGGGTTTGAGGGCTTGCTGGCTGCGGTGGCTGTGTGGTGGATTGTTTCGAGGAGGGGTCTTGGTACTACGGCGATCCTTGTTATGGTTGGGTGCATATATGTCCGGGGTCTTGGGGATCGTCCGTATTGATGGCGTGATGTTATTGTTTGTTGAATGGAGTATACCAGATGAGTCCAGAAGGAAGGGTATATCCTGCCTAAAGGGGAAGGAAGTAGTGGATGTGGACAAAGTCGTGGGGGAGATCGAAGAGAACGTTAAAAGAATGCCGGGGCAGATGCTTCGATGTGGCGAGCAAGGAAAATTCATCGCAAGCTATCTCCGGAAATCACTTGTGCGGAGGTTCTCTCACAAATAGTCAATACCACATGTCTTGATGAAATCTATCAATGCTGTTTTCAGACCGAAAATTTGGGTATCCTTCATGACAACAGAACGTCTCTTCATGCATTGTAAAGTGAACAAAGAAAGGAGAAACCAAAGCAAAGCGAGACCGAGGTCAGATAAAAAGAGGGTTGAATCTCACATCAGCCTTCATGGTCATACGTCTGGGCGCGAACACCTGAGGTGATAAGAAAAAACGAATGCTGTGACCTCAAGCAGCACGGCGGCGGTTCCGTACGGATGAAACATGCGAAGGAAGCCTCCTTAGCCCGGGCGGAGAAGATATCGAAAGACGATCAACAGCCAGTCCGCAATTAGATATGCTGCATTGCATATCCAGGCCTTGCGATTGCGTGTCGTGGAAAGCGCGCGTGCCGTAGAGTTGCAAAGCCAGAGCCTCAACATCAATCCGAAGGATCCATTCGTGCCGTAGGCTTGTGCTACGGACCTTATTGGTGGTGAGAATATTCGGATCTATGATGTGGTACTGGTGCTGCACTTCGTAGAGACTCAATGTCTGGGTGTAGAAACAGCCTTCACAACACAGCATCAGGCGGTACCCGCGATGAGGATATTCGCTCATAAAGGCACCGCAGAAGAGACAGCCTCGAGGTGCGGTTTGCAGCCATAGGCGGCGGTAGACTATGGAGCTGAGGCTGGGGTAGACCGACTCGGCGCCGTATTCCTCCGCTTGGGCGAACGGGAGGTGGAACCTGTTGCAAGTCTTCACCAGGTGGGCGCAATAGCTTTCAACCAGTCTGCGGCACTGCTTTGACGAAGCAGCCAGGGCATTGAAAGGGTGACGGACTTTGGTCCAGGCAAAGAGATCGGCGGCAAATCGGTCCGCGTCCGGTGGGCTTCGTAAGTTCTCAGTGAGCTTGATCTTCCTCCGCCTTTTGCTGTCGAGAGCGCTCTCTTGTTCCGATAGGCCAGGAAGCTTGGACCTAGGTTGCACAAGGTAGGAGAAGATGTGATTGATGACTTCTACTGGTAATTGTTCCAGAGCGCTGTAGGCCAGTGACGTAGTGGTGTTATGGCGCGTATTTGAGGCGGAAATGACTGAAGCACCGACGTCAGCTTGACTTTCGATGGAAGAATTCGAATCCTGGAAGTCCAGTCTTTCTTTCGATGAACCTCCTTTCCTATGAGACGAAGTGTTGTTCAGCCTGGTCCGTCGTTTCGGCTTGGGAGGGGCCATGCAATCGATCGGAAAGCCGAAGATTGCCGAGAAGTTTGACAAGGGGTATTAGATTTCGGGCAACGCAAGACAAAAGACTAAAAGAGACAAGACAAAACCGAAATAAAGGTCCTCGCACAATATAGAGCGTAGCTCAGTGAAGCGGTGAGCAACTGCCGGTCACGCGATACTTCGGTATGCCGACAAACGGGTTATGTGGTGTTATATAGCCCGGGAGGTTGCTTTTTCGTAGTGGCGTATTGCGTCTGCATCTGCTGCATCCATCGATCTAACATCTAGGACTTGTTCAGATTGGCGTGCGCCGACACTTCACCTTGCAGGTTTGCTGCATAGAATTGCATGGTATGCTAGGGAAGTACGTTATAAAGAGCCAACAGGAGACCAAGATCGAGCTTCGGAAAGTTTACGATCGGTCTTGGATTCCGAAATATCCTACAATGCATATGTGGCCCACCAATAACGAGGTAGAATGTGGATGTATCTCCACGATGGCACCACAGATCGGTGCTCGCGCGAAGGCACCTTAGCGGCTTCCCATATAGGACTAGCGTTGGTATAAGTACAGGTGCCATTCAACCGCTCATTCGCAACAGCAGCAAACCAAACTTCTGCCTGACACAAGGGGCACCACCAGAGACGGGACGACATGGCTCACACACAGCCTGGGCCCGTCATGGTGCAAGAAGCGGCACAGGCACAGGCATCCGCGCCCCCGGTCAACGAGGCGAGGGGCCCCGCGCTGAGCGCGTACTCGAAGCCCGCCGAGAACGGCAACGGCACATCTGCCGATCAAGTCGACAGCGACGATGAGAGCGATGTCGACGCCTGGGACCTTCTACTGGAGCAGGCAGAGGAGAGTGAACCTACGACCGAAGGTACGTCCCGCCCTTGCAACCAACGTGGGTCTAACTAACGTGCGAACAGGCAAGGATGAATGCACCGTCGACGAAGCGCGCCAGATCCGCCAGCGTTTACACAAAGTCGGTGCAGACCAATTTGTCAAGGAATACATTACCAGCGACCGATATACGGCGCGGAAGCTGCTGTCAGCATTCAACGTGCGTCTCCCACATGGGTTCTTGGACGATGAACCAGACGAGGCCTTCTACGAGCTGCTGGGTCGGGCTATCTGTCGAGAGCTTACGAAACGACTGCGGCTGCCTCAATACAAGACCATCGATGATGCGGCCAAGTTGCTGCAGGAGCGCAAGAACATCATAGTCATTACAGGAGCAGGCATATCGACGAGCCTCGGCATCCCCGACTTCCGCTCAAAGACCACTGGCTTCTACTCCGAGTTGCGCGAGATGGGCTATGACGAGCCTGAAGATGTCTTTAACATTGACAACTTCGATACGGATCCAACCGTGTTTTACAAGCTCGCTGGTAGGATAGTGCCCGACCTGAAGAAGTGGTCACCTACGCATCAGTTCATTCGGACATTGCAGGACAAGGACAAGCTGCTTACGAACTACACTCAAAATATCGACAATGTGGAATCGCAGGCTGGCATAAAGCAGGAGAAGCTCATCCAATGCCATGGATCTTGGGCAATGGCCACATGCCGAAAGTGCGGGTATAAGGTTCCTGGGGAGGATATCTTCGACGCAGTGCGCGCCCGAACACCCGCCCAATGCAAACAGTGCACCGAGAGTATCGCTATACGGAAGGCCGGCATGAAGCGCAAGCGGAGCTCGAACGGCTCAAAGAAACGTCGAGGACCAGGCGATTTTGACGACTCTGATTCAGACGGCGCATATGACATTCCGGAGCCCGGCATCATGAAGCCTGACATCACCTTCTTTGGCGAGCAACTTCCCAACAATTTCTTCACTCGCCTTAAGGAGCACGACAGAGAAAAGGCTGATTTGGTTATCGTAATCGGTACCAGTATGAAGGTACAGCCGGTCTGCGAGATACCCAATTGGCTGCCGCGCGACGTGCCCCAGATTTATATTTCGCGAGACGTAAGTTTTGTTTACCCGTGACCAGCATTCCCCAGCTGACAAGCAGTAGCCAATTCGGCATATCAACTTCGACATCAACCTTCTCGGCGATTGCGATGTTGTTGTCGCTGAGCTTGCTCGCCGAGCGGGTTGGGATCTCCAACACAAAATGATACCCCAGGACCAGCGGATAGAAGTTTCCACTGTTGATGAGGTTGAGCATACATACAAAGTCAAGCAGTGTGCATAGTATGTGCATAATTACCGCTCCAAGTGAGCACAGTGCTTGTTGGGTTTGATAGAGATACCATGGCGTTCTGAAGGTGGCATTTGATGGAGTACTACTTTCAAGGGGAGTTCTTTTTTTATGGCGCAGAGGCACCCTTGGCTTGTTCCGGCGTTATTCCGATGAGTGGTACCAGACTGGCTAAGGATGAAGGCATGATGCAAATTGTATGCGTAATGACGAAGGAGCGACGTACTGGTATGTTTAAGGCTCTTTACAACCCGATTGCATGTTTGGCATTGGGTTGCGCATAGATTCATTGACTTGGGCGCATTGCCTTTTGATACGCCTGGACACGATACACTTCTTGTTTTTCCTGCAACAGCAATATTTGAATTTGTTCTATAGTCAATGGACTACCCATTTCCCGCGAACCGAAATTTGGTGTCTTGCAAATGGACGGACTCTAAACTCGCATACTTGGGCATGTTGGATCCTTATACTCGACCTGTTTTCCTTCTTGTCCAACCACAAGTGAGAGGCCTTGCTCGTTACTCAAGAGAATATTCAACTCCACCATAAGTTCACGTAGAATTGCACATGTATGTTTCGGCATCACCGTCAGACTAAGACATCTGCGGTGGTGCGAGAAAGAGAAATTAGGCAGGCAGATTGATGTGGTGAAAAAGCGAAGACGTTACCGAGTCTGAAGATTTTGGCAAGAACGTCGGAAACCGGAAATAGGTACTTTTCATTCTACCTTATGTCTTGACTCCGAAATGGTCTGAATGAGGTCTCTACTCTCTGTCTATTGATATAGTTCCTCGTCGCTTTTGTCACTTTACTATATATCCATAGACAAGTCTCCCAATGCCTTCGCTGATAGCTCGACTGTTCGAGCGTGTCAGCGCCCTTGTATAGCGCCACGCCTATAGCCACATCCTCTGCATACGCTGCGTGGTCATATCGCTCGACTTCGACGACCTTATGAGGCGCTCGCCATGCTCTTCTAGGCTACACCACCTCAATGGTAGTGTACGTACTCCTCAACAGGCGGGCTAAGCCCGTTCCTCGCAAGCCCCTGTATCCCCTCTCTCCCTAAATCGAGATCCTGCTCGTGTGGCGGTATACGTGCCTCATCTATGGTACGTGGAGTGGACGTTGTAGTAGCTATATTGACCTGACACCTCATCAGTAACATTTCCACTAGTCGACGGACGCGAAAGAGCGGGTGCGGCGTACTCCTGGCCCTCGCCTGAGTAAATAGGCGTCTCAAAGTCGGTGGCCGCGTGGTCGAGGATGTTCGGGTCGATCGGCGGTATGGTTGTCTGCGGCACGGGTGAGGGCGGGTCGGACCAACCCCAGTCCATACCCTGTGAGATATCGTTCCAGTCTCCGATACTGGCAGCTAGGCTTTCGTCGGAGTATGGGGGTGCGAGCTGGGATTCTTGGGCAGCGGGCTGTGAGGGAACAGAAGTAGACTGGGCGGTACTGACTTCGACCATCTTGTCTCCTTCTACACGCACTTCGCGGTCACGGAGGCGCCGCATGAGTTCGAGGAATTGGCTGTTTTGGAACTTTTCGCTGGTGTTGTCGGAGACGCGCTCGAGGAGACGGCCGGCTGTTTGTGCCATTTCATCTTCATCGTGCATGGGCTGCTGTTGCTCTTGTTTTTCCTCGGTTTGTTGCGGCTGTTGTACTTGTTCCGAAACGGGACTTCTAGTGTAGCCCGCAGCCTCGAGCTCTTCCCAGATGGCATCCTGACCGCTAGGAGCGGGTGTGGACAGCAGCGGATACGAAGACATGAGTCGCTCATTGATGTTCCTTATGAGCCGCTCTGAGCGCGTCTTGATCTCTTGAGGAGCTTCGCGGTTGGCGATTTTCTGTAATGTGTCAACAACCCATTTCGCCTCGCTAGCATCCTCAGTCAACTGGTGGCTAGTTTCCATGGACTCCAGAGCAGTGAGATACGGCGTGGCTTGGGTTGCTTGATCAAGATCGACGGCGCTTCGGAGCTTGAGGGCAGCGTAGACAGCTATGTAAAGTCATTAGCACAAGTATTGGTGTGATAGCTGATGCGAACCCACCCGGTCGCTGTTCCCGAACTCGTATCAACGCTGGATCTTCATCCTCTACTGTGTGCTCCACTGCTTCTGCCTCCACTTTCTGCGAATCCTGTTGCCGTAGACTCTCCGCAAGAGCCTGCTCCTCTGCTTGTTGCACATCTGCAAAAGCTTGTTCGAAAGCTGCCTCGTCGAACTGCGGTATCGCTTCCTGCGCCCGTTGTTTGCCTTGCGCCACTTCTGACATGGAACCACCATTCATCATGCCAAAGTCAGGCTGCTGGAAACCAGGTCTTGCGAATCCCGACATGCCAATTCCTGACATGCCACCCATATTCTGCTGAAAGGCCGGCGACTGCGTAGCCGGGCTTTGCTGGCTCATGAAGTCCTGGTGCCATGACGATGCGGCATTCGGCGAAGTGATGCGCTGTTGCGGGACTTGCGGGGCATGCGATATGTTCAGGCGCTGGAAGTCGGAGGCCCAGTCGGGCGCTTGAGGGGCTTGGGCGAACTGTGGTTGAGGCGGACGAGCGAACTGCGGCGGGAGTTGTTGGAACTGAGGTTGTGGCGGGAGAGCATGTCCTGCTTGGAAAGCCTCGAACTCATGGTCTAAAGCGCCAACATTTGGAGCGGGAGATGATCTGAAGCCCTAAAAACTATCAGTCCTACATTTGAAGCCCATGTTCGAATATGACAGACCTGCGAGGGCGAATGACGACCGACCAAGCGATCCTGTTGCAGGGTCCGATCGACGGAGGAATGCTTCTGGAAGTTCTGGAGGGCGTTAGACGGCCCGCATAGAGCGTCTGCCATGGTCAAAAAGAGTGCAAAATCACCGCATGCTATGTTACAACTATATGCAGAGGCGGCGGTGGATGAGGTGCGCCGGAAAGCGTGTCCCGCCTTGTGTGACCAGATGCCGAGGCACCTCAGCCGGACCCTGTCGGCGATCTAACGTGACCGCTAACTTCACAACTCAACATGGGAAGCCGAGCCGAGTCTTGGAAAGTCACGACGGGAACACATGTCGATCGGAACAGCATCGGCGCATGTATTCAGGCGGAGGTTCAGCTGGTGGTGGTACAGACCGGTGAAAGGACCTTGCGAGTGCATGCATTGTCAGCGCAATCTATGTTGTGCGATGGAGGCAACACATCACATTGCATGTGCATGCTGGCCTCTTTTATCTAGCTAGTCATATGTATTGTTGATGTAACTACATAGGCTAACCGTGCGATATGTCGTACTAATCAATGCGAAACCATGTGTGAACAACCACGTCGCTTTGTCCTCGCAAACTTAAAAGCACAGATCAAAGGTGGTGTAACGAAAATAACAGAATTCAAGTTTGAGACGAGAAGCCAGTGTTGATATACCCGCAAAACCATCAGTTCGTCATATGCTTAATGTGCCTCATTATCTCTTCAATAGAACATCTCCTTGATTCCAACGACCCTCTTAGGAGGTGAGCTTCGGCGGCGCGATGGGGATCGAGAAGGCTTCCTTCGGCGTACCCAAGCATAGTCGTTCTTTCCGCTGTCGTGGCGCTCTTCGATGAGAAGACGAGAGCTTCCGCGAGAACGAAGGCGACGCGTATGCTCGAACAGAATCTCGGTTTCGCGGGGCTCCATTTCGCGCATGATGATGATGTAATTGGGGTCGGCCTGTGACATGGTCAGAGTGTGAATGTGGTAAAGGTGTGGTAGGACTTACGCGATCAACCTCATATGGAATATCATAGTACACCAGCGTATCGACAGCAAGATGCTCCTTGCTCACTTTGACGTACGTGGGCTGGGGGGCGAGGCGCATCGGATTCGCAGGCGACATGCCCTGTTGGAGTCTGGCGGCTTCCTCGGGCCTGATCATGGCTTGAATCTGGTTATCCTGGAAGCCGAAGTGAGCGAGGCGTTGGCGCATCGCCTCCTCGAGCTCCTTCTCATGCTTCTGTTTCGCCGCCTTCTCTTCTTCCTCCTTCTGCTTCTGCTTCATTAAGAAGCGGTCATACTCCTCCTTCTCCTTCTGTTTCCGATGCTCCTCTTCAATTCTGAGCTGCATAACGAGCTCCTCACGCTTCCGTTTCGCTTCCACTGCATCATGTACCTTCTTGGCCTCGTACTCGGCCACCACGCGCTCCCGTTCTGCCCTCGCCTTGGCTTCTTTCTCGGCTCGCTCCTTGTTGTACTCATCGACAGCTCTCTGCTGTGCTGCTCTGCGCTCCCTCTCAGCCTTCTCAAGCTTCAACGTGTTCTCAGCGATGATGCGCTGGCGCTCCTCGTCTTGCTCTTTGGCTCGTTTCTCGGCCTTCGCCATACTCTCCGCGATGAGCCTTTTCCGCTCTTCTTCCTCTGCTCTCCTCTCTTCCTCTTTCTTCCTCGTCTCGCGCTCCAACTTCAATTCCCAATCCATCTTGAGACGGTGCTCTTGTCTCTTCGCATCCTCCTCGCGCTCGATTCTCTTTCGCTCCTCCCGCTCTTGCTTCAACTCCCATTCCCTCTTCAGGCGCTCCTCGTCTCGCTTAATGCGTTCCTCCTCCTCGTCACGCTCGTGCCTGTCCTTCATGTACTTGAGCTCCATTTTCCTCTTGATAAGCTCTTCGCGCCTTTCCATCTCGATCCTCTCTTCTTGTTCCCTGAGGCGCTGGTTCGCCTGTTCCAATTTCCAATGATCGTAGTCATGACCGTGGTGGTCTTCGTGGTGGTGCTTAGATCGAGAGCCAGACCGAGCCTGCTTGCGAACATCCAGCCGCAGCTCTGCGATTTCGTCCTCGAGTCCCCACTCTCCAGGCATCCTGCGAGGCCGACCACGAGGTTCGGCATAAGGGTTCACTGCGGGGCTCTTTTGCTCAGTGCGAACGTTCGGGCTACTTTCGTTATCCATGCGGGTGGTGTTGTATATGGTCACATTGGGAGCCGGAGAGTGACCCTGTGAACGGGTGCGATGGAGGCTTGTGGTTGTTCGGGCCTCAGGTGCCAGCAGAAACTCGGAGCGACGAAAGTCATCGATGTCTCGAGACCTCCGGGCCGAAGGTGCACGAACATGGCGAGCACCGCCAGTGAACTGTTGTCGGTCGTTGTACCACTCGTCCTCCCAGTAATCAGCTGGAGGCATGATGGGCGTTACTCTGTATCAGACAACGGTCCCAGAGACTTTAGGAAGAAGATGAAGTCGCTCAAAACGTAGCTAATCGCAAACACAACCTAGTAAGAAGTAGACCGTGCGCGCGTGAGCAGTTGGGTAAGGCGTGGGCGGCGGGGCAGGGCGGGGTGTTGTATGGCAATTCTCGAAGCAAGCTGACGCGACAGCGCACAATCAGGCAAACGAAAGAAAAGGCGGGAAGAGGAAAGAAGAAGAGCGGCGACTGGAGATTTCAAAGAAATGGCCATCTTGCACCTGGGGGCCAAAAGCGACCTAGTGATCAGGCAGCGGCTGCTGGGGCTGATCTTGTGGACCGATCGTGCGTACAGCCTTCAAATGGCTATGCAGGACAGCGGCAACCCCTCCTCGTGCGAGACCTCACACTGGCCACAGTTGAGTACTGTGCCCGCGGCCGTGGCCACTTTGCTGGTAATATCCAACTGCACGACTGTCGTGTCTCGTATCCTGGCCATGTCTGCTGCTGGCGGCGTTTCCGCGCGAGAAGCGGTCTGCATGGGCTCGTGTTTGATGGTTCGGAGGCGGGGCACCGTAGGTAAGCGACCGCTCCAAACCATCCTCCCAGCCTCATCCAAAATCGACGTCGCGACAGCAAGCGCCGCATGTGACATCCTCTCTCGGACGCTCCTTCGTCTTCTTTGAGACTGTCTTATGCTCGCATCAGCACGGGAGCGTCCGTCGAGACTCTTGGTCTTGTGCCACTGAGCACTTGACATGTTTAATCAGCCTCATCTGCCGCTACCGAGATCGGACTGGCCTCCGAGTCCAGCCTTGCAAGGCCAGCTAAAGCAGCCCCCAGACGGTCTGAGGAAGGGGCCGAAACACATGCTCTAATCTATATATAACGTCAGTTGCTCCCATCCAAGCGATTTATCCTGCTAAACTTGAAAAAAAGTAGAAGGCACGAAGTGTAGATGAATCGCTTTGGCTTCTGTGCTTGTCGCGTCGAATCAGGTGATGTTGCGGATGCATGAATGGCTTGCCGCATGTGGAAAATGCTGTCGACGCGTTGTCATCGATATCCGTTGGCCGTCAAGCAATACCGCAGACGCTGTGTCGTGTTGGATGTCGGCGCTGGCTGACGCGATCCTATTTCCTTGGGGCTTCGTCATTGTGGAGCGTTGTCTGATCCTCACTGCCTTATCATCCGGGGTGGTCTTCTCCGTGCATATGGTCCTCTACCCTCCTGACTTCTTCTTGGTTGATCGGATACTATAAGGAAAGAATCCATTTACCCATGTGTGGCTGATTTGGCTTCATGAGGCTGAACACACCTGGATTTTATGGGAGCCGCAGCTAGCGAACTTGTCGCGATATGTGGCCCACAGCCGGACATTGTAGCATTTGGCACACTGACCATCGTTACAATGCCCAAAATTTCGAACACCGTACCCAGTCATTGCTTTCGGTCGTCCATTTTTTGTGGAACAAGCAGATGAACGCAGGTCGGGGTGGGTACCCAGTAAAAGTAAGTATGACGGCACTGAAACGTTCACGTCAGGGACCGGGTAATGAATATGGATAGTAAGTCAAAGGGGTTTTGGAAGTCATTGAATGCGGGTGATCGAGCTCTGCTCTCTGCATTGCATTGAAACCAACAACGTGGTGGCGAGCCACACCACTGATAGGTTTTAATGGCTTCAGATTGACCTCAATGCGATCGGGTCGTAACTGAACAATCCCTGTGATGCGTGAGCAAGACGAAGCAACCGAAGCAGGAAGCTCAGGCGGGTTTGCAACAGGAATCCTATGCGGCAATAAGAAACAGCAGAGGTGCAAACATGGCGAATGTGTTCCGCCATGGGACATAAGTGCCAGTAGTACAGAGATAATGGGTTTCAACAGGATGACACCAGTCTTCAATATGATAGATTCGACTGTTGAGTGGACGAAAGGTCATGAAGGTGCCACCTGAAACGGGTCAGGGAAATCCTCGACCACATTGAGCAATGTCTTCCATTCTCTTGAGTTCCCACTCTTTCAAGTGTCAAGGGGGCGTATTGCGATCAGTCACATAGAAACGCCGTAGCTATAGCTTTCGTCTTTCGCTCTTGCATACTTAAAAATGCAATACGTCAACTCTTTCAGCCGCTCCGACCTCCCAGCACTTGCTCGAGGCTGTTCTTGCTGTTTTCGTAGGTCTTTTCCAGATAGTCCTCCTTTTTGTTCAGATTTGATATTTCACCCTTGAGCTTCTCGCCCTCATCTGATAGCCTCTTCTGGACATCAGGAATGGGAGTGCAGACGAACCTAGGAGTCATTAGAGGGGCTACTCTAGCATAGGTAGTCGAAACATGCATTTTCCCCACGCCTTCGTAGACCTTCGTCTCTTTCGGCAGCGACTCCATCTCACTGGCAGTTAGCTGCAACATCCGGCCTTCTCGGCTGTTGGCAACTTTCTGCTGCCTCACAATCACGAGTTGCTGTTCGGCAAAAGCCTTCTTTTGGCTGATTTCCTGCAGAATCTATGCATGGTGAGTCCACGCTCAAAAGCAGATTGGTCGGAATGTACCTGCTGCAGTTTCTCGTTCGGTATCGACATGGTGGTCTCCAGTGATTGTTGTGGTGGAGTTGGGCCCTGAGTATTGCCTGTCGCGCTGTGCAAGATCCGCGCTCGGCTAACCTTGCCGTCAGACAAGCGCGGGGCAGGTGCGCCCGAGCGCGACCATGACGTTAGCAGCGATAGGGTTGGCTGGCTACAGTGTGTTCAACGAGCTATCAGACTCTCAGGGTTCACATAATTAAGCTGTCTTTGAAACAATCACTTCAGCTTCCAAGCTTTCCTTTCTGAAACATCTTTGCGATATGATATAACGTTTCTGGTACTGCTTTAGCACTTGATCTTGATCAGCACTTACATTCCGGGCTTCCCGGTATTCCTTGCTGTTGGTTTAGCTCAGGACTTTTTCTATCTTACTTCTTCTACATCGCCTACATTCTGAAGGCAAGGATGGTCTTGGACATTCTCAAACGGCTCCCATCTGTGGCGTATCCACCAGCCCAGGAAGGGCGGTGGTCGCCAGTCACGTCTACACTGAACTGGTGTGAAGAGGTATGCATTGAAGTTTACTATTAGCGGGCCCCGCTGACTTGCCACGAGGATTACTACGCAACAATCTACTCAGCAGAGATCATCAACACTCTGGTAACGTTCCCAATCCCCTGCACAAGGACAAAAGCTTGGAGATACGCACGGAACTACATACTCAACTAGGATTTGTGCTGTCTCTATGTGTAGTACGAACATGATTCATTAACACATCAGTAGACGAATATTTGGTTCATGTACCTGTCCGCCAAAGGCATCCACAATTGCCTAGTCAACGGGCATGGCACCGTCTTTCTCGTATCGTACATCGGCTACCTTTTAGTGGGTACAGGTTCCTTCCTCTTCCACTCTACTTTGAAATGTAAGCCCGCCCAATTCTACAAACAAGGTTTCCTCTGATCGGGATACAGACCCCATGCAGCTCGTAGACGAGCTCTCAATGATATACACCACATGTCTCATGTGTTATGTGACTTTCTCATTCGGCAAGACGAGCACCTATAGATCAGTTCTTGCTTCATCATTGGTCGGCCTCTCTCTGTTCATTACTTTGTACTATCATGTAAGTGGAGTAAAGACGCAATGCACCGCTTCCATTCCGCTCTTAGAACAGCGGTACTACGCTGAGCGATTATCGATCGAGGACTGCACGGGTTCTTCTGAGTCGCCTTTTCACTTCAGACGTGGGATCAAGCGTGCGCTAACACTTCCATCTTAGTTTCTGCAAGACCCAGTCTTCCACCAGACCGTCTACGCCATCTTGACAGCTGTAGTATTTTTCCGAGCTGTATATGTGATGGAAACGCTGCTTCGACCTAGGTTTCGCGCAGAGAAGCGCACAAGTGGCGGCACTAAAGCTACTAGGGAACGAGAGGAACAGAGAGATAAGATAATCCTGAGCGAGATGTGGGTCATGATTGCGTGGGGACTGAGCATCTTCCTGGGTGGATTTTTCTTCTGGTACCTGGACATCGCCCACTGTTCGACTTTGAGACGCTGGCGGAGAGAGACTGGAATGCCTTGGGGATTCTTTCTCGAGCTTCATGGCTGTGAGTTTTCCTACCTTGCGCAAATGTGAGGCAGCACTGACATTGCATTTCTACAGGGTGGCATCTCATGACTGGCCTTGGCGGTTATTGCTATATCGTCTGGGGTGTCTGGCTGCGTCACTGTCTGAATGGTAGACAAGATGAGTTCAAGCTGCATTGGCCTCGGCTGACGACGATGCCGATGGTGGTGAGAACGCGGAACACGGCCAACGGCCACGCTAACGGTTCGACCAAGAAGAAGTTGTAAGACACAGAGAGGACGCATGATAGGTCAGACATTAGAGATCACTTAGAGCGTCCGTTGCGGGTGGTCATTATAAGTTCGGCGCAGGTGGAACAATTTTGTGCCACCTCGAAGGACGTTCGCATAGCTGAGGATTGTGCCGCTATGCGCGATGCTATGCGTTGTGCCTACCCGAAACGATCTGCAACCCCAGACAGATAAATTTTCGTTGGGGTGCACAACCATGTTATCGCGTGTTGCATACACACGGTAGATAATAGATTTATCATAGATTCGACCTCGACAGGCAAATTGTATAGTATTTGCGAATTATAGAAGTGCAAAAGCTGGTGCCTGCCGTGTTCGTTTACAAAGGCAAGCGCGTAAACAAGACTAGCCTAGCGCGACGGTCTGTGCATTTGCTTGCCGGCGCGGTAAATAACCCTCAACACCTCACCGCTCTGTCTCCTGTCCTCGATCCACTCACGACAACTGCAAGACAGTTTCCACCCAGCTTATCATCCTCACCTTCAGTCAACACTCGCGTTCGACAAATCAGTCATCATGCGTGAGATTGTACGTATCTCCTGTTCCTGGCAATTTTGTTGTTGCGCGTCCTGCCCCGCGTTTTCCGCCTCAGGGACAACACAACAGGGAGACTAGCTGCTAACATGAGTGTGCGCGACAGGTCCACCTCCAGACCGGCCAATGTGTAAGTACACCTCATTCCAGGTCATTAGTCGTTGCTAACGAGTGCAGGGTAACCAAATCGGTGCCGCCTTCTGGTGCGTTGCTCAACAGAAAGCTCTGCCCATGCGACAACAACTGACAGAAACGCAGGCAGCAGATTTCCGGCGAGCACGGTCTCGACGGCTCTGGTGTGTAAGTAGCTCCTGCTCCAGCTTGCATCTGCTGGCAGAAATGGCTGACTTTGACCAGCTACAATGGTACCTCGGATCTCCAGCTCGAGCGCATGAACGTCTACTTCAACGAGGTATGGAGCGCGAACGAACGTCCGAGGGGAAAAGCGAGTGTCTGACAGTGCATAGGCCACCGGTAACAAGTTCGTTCCTCGTGCCGTCCTCGTCGATTTGGAGCCCGGTACCATGGACGCCGTTCGCGCTGGACCTTTCGGTCAGCTCTTCCGTCCCGACAACTTCGTCTTCGGCCAGTCTGGTGCTGGTAACAACTGGGCGAAGGGTCACTACACTGAGGGTGCCGAGTTGGTCGACCAAGTCCTTGATGTCGTCCGCCGTGAGGCAGAGGGCTGCGACTGCCTTCAGGGTTTCCAGATCACCCACTCCCTTGGTGGTGGAACTGGTGCCGGTATGGGTACTCTTTTGATCTCCAAGATCCGCGAGGAGTTCCCCGACCGCATGATGGCCACTTTCTCCGTCGTGCCTTCCCCCAAGGTCTCCGACACCGTTGTTGAGCCCTACAACGCCACCCTCTCCATCCACCAGCTTGTGGAGAACTCCGACGAGACCTTCTGCATTGACAACGAGGTATGCAGTCTTTGATGGATATGACATGAATTTTGAACTAATTTGTGTAGGCTCTCTACGACATCTGCATGAGGACCCTCAAGCTGAACAACCCCTCCTACGGTGACCTGAACCACCTCGTCTCCGCCGTCATGTCCGGTGTCTCCACATCCCTCCGTTTCCCCGGTCAGTTGAACTCTGACCTGCGAAAGTTGGCCGTCAACATGGTTCCTTTCCCTCGTCTCCATTTCTTCATGGTCGGATTCGCTCCTCTCACCAGCCGTGGCGCTTACTCTTTCCGCGCCGTCACCGTTCCTGAGCTCACCCAGCAGATGTTCGACCCCAAGAACATGATGGCCGCTTCCGACTTCCGCAACGGTCGCTACCTGACCTGCTCTACCATCTTCCGTGGTAAGGTCTCCATGAAGGAGGTCGAAGACCAGATGCGCAACGTCCAGAACAAGAACTCGTCGTACTTCGTCGAGTGGATCCCCAACAACGTCCAGACCGCTCTCTGCTCCATCCCGCCGCGCGGCCTCAAGATGTCCTCTACCTTCGTCGGTAACTCTACCTCCATCCAGGAGCTCTTCAAGCGTGTCGGTGACCAGTTCACTGCTATGTTCAGGCGCAAGGCTTTCTTGCATTGGTACACTGGTGAGGGTATGGACGAGATGGAGTTCACTGAGGCTGAGTCCAACATGAACGACTTGGTTTCCGAGTACCAGCAGTACCAGGAGGCCTCCATCTCCGAGGGAGAGGAGGAGTACGATGAGGAGGCCCCCGTTGAGGGAGAGGAGTAAGGTGAACGCCAAAGAATGTGTCCCGGTGACGGTGTGCTAATTATGTTCAAGGTACGAGGGTTAAGTCTCTTGGTTGTAGTGAAACAGTTGGGGTGGCGAGACGCAGCATCTGTGTTGTTCTAGCCGTGGGGAGTTGTGGATATGTCTGAGCGAGCTTCAAGCGCAGAGCAGATGACTCTTGTTAATGCACATGATTGCCTAATCAAATAACGTTCTTCAAACAGAATTTTATATCTTCCGTTGTGATCCTTCAAGTAATTAGTCGTGCAAGTCCTGCGTATAGGGAGATGCGGAGATGTTGCTTGGGCGTTGTTGCTCTGGGCCGATCGTTCACGTCAAACCATTCCATAAAGTGCATCTCATCTACCTAAGAACTGAACCTCTCCCCGCCGCCAGAGAGCTGCCTTGCGGAAGCAGTTGAATGCCCGCAACCGCCAACAAAGCCCTCATCCTATGTGCCTCGACCGTGGACCCATGTCCTTTTGTTCTCCTGTCTTATCTTGTAGCGCATGCTTCTCCCTCGCCATCTATCTGAACTGCGCCAGAATGGCAGCAACCTCACCGCAGCTGCTCCATTCTTCCTTCATGCATATTAGGCATGCAATCCAACATCCCGTCTTTCTTTACTGTGCCTTTCCCCCCGCCTTCTTCCTCTCCTCGTCCCTCTTCTGATAAATCATCTCCGTAAACGGATCCTCCCACCGCCTCGCCACGCTATAGCATACTGCGACCACGACCGTGAGAAAAATCCCCGCAGGCTTGCCCTTCCAGATGGCGGTGGCGAGGAAGCTAAGCGTGGAGCCGTGGTACATGGGTGCGTCTGAGACGTTGAAGGGGAAAGACGTGACGGGGGCGTCCATGAGGATGCCGAAGTAGTCGCCGAGGTAGGTGCCTGTTACGCCGAGGGCGTACATGGAGGAGAGGACGAGGGTTGTGCCTGTTAGGAAGAGGGGGATGGCGGCGAGGTGGATGAGGGGGTGAGGAGGGCGGGGTGCGTGGGTTGGTGGGAGAGGGCGGTGTCGTAGCTGGGGCGATGTGTTAGCATGTAGGAGGCTGGCTGTTGTGCGGGTGAAGGGGAGAGGGGAGACGTACAGGAAGTCTCGTACGATGCCGAGGGAGAAGATGGTCGCGGCGAGGGCGTAGCAGCCGTAGCGTGGGTTGCCGCCGAAGAGTTTGGTGATGGTCTTGTTGTAGTATTCTATGCCGTCCACATGTCAGTTTCGTGGCCGCGCTGGGGAACGTGAAGGAGACATGGGCGCTGCGTACCCGACTGTGCTGCGATGCTAGACGACAAATTAGCTTGGATCCTGGGAATTTCGTGTTTGCGAGATAGAAGCTTACTTCCAAAACGTCGGATTAAAAAGGATAGTCGCTGCGGATACTATGCGTCGTTAGCATACTGCTCGCACAGTGCTTGCGGGGAGTCTTTGGAGAGGGTGGGACGTACTCCACAAGCTGGGCTGGCTGAAGTCGATGTAGTCGCTCATGATGGCGGTATACTGTTTCGCAGTGAAATTGTCTTGTAAGAGAAGCTTTTAAAGAAAGGTGCAGCGAAAGAGCAAGCTCTGTGGAGAAGTTGTTGACGCAACGTGGGGTGAAGCTTGGTGTTTTCGGCAGTCGGGATGTTAGCGAGACGTCATTGCTTCACATGACGGCACCCGTTTAGGTGCACAGGGTCTGGAACAAATACAGCAAAGGAACGCATAGGAGGTACAGCTGTGACAGTGAATGCACATTTGGGTACATGATTCATTACCAATCATAGCAATTGATCGTGCATGTATATCGACTTCGCCGCTGTAGGCCACATTCCTCTTGAGAAACCCCACCCAAGCGACCTCGTCTAGATCCCTTTTTTTACACCCTTACGCCAGAACGCATCTCTACCTATTCATGAAATAATTCCAGAACAATTGATATACCCAAGACCTTCCCGTACTTCCTTTTCTCCCCTTACAAGCCGTTATCTTGGCACGTGAACGCTCCGCCAAAGTTTTGTGCCTTGTAGCCGTCAATGATGCTCTGCACCGTCGCGTACGTTCCACCTGTCAGGAACAGGAGGCCAATGCAGCACAGACCAATGTTGAAGATGAAGCCGGCCCAGCCGCGAATACCACGGTTCCTGAAGTAATCGCGTCCGTAGTCGGCCTCGCGCATGCGGAAATACGCAACGCCCCAGTAGATGAAGCCGAAGAAGGCATCGAAGAGCGAGCTCATCAGGGAGAGCAGATCCGAGAAGAACGGAATGACCTCCGCGACGATGAAAGCCAGAACCCAGAGCACGGCGAGGATACCGGCCCAGGCAGCCCAGCCGATGAGCGTGTGATTGCCCATGTGGTGCGTGTTGTTGAAGAAGCGGAAGAAGATGAAGCGCGCGGACACGGAGGCGTACAGGACGCCCAGGAAGATGATGGTCGGGATCATGAAGGAGAAGGACACCTTGAGGAAGACCTCGTTTCCGATGGAACCGAACGCGGGCGCGGTCATGTACTGAGTGCCCGTGTAGGCGTACACGATGCTGCCGACGAGACCGAAAACGATGACCTCGGCGATGGTGACGGCCCAGAGCGCCTTGGGGAAGTCCTTGGGCTCCTTCATCTCGGCGATGAAACTGGGGAGAGTGATCTGGCCGATGAAGGTGTAGCTGATGTTCATGAAGGCGCTCATACCCGCAACGAATGTAGTGGTTTTGTCGGGGATCGCTAGCACGATGGGGTCGATTGGTCCGGTTTCAGCTGGGTAACCCTTCGGATGATCCATGATGCCAGAAAAGATGGTCGCGAGGATGACCGAGATGAAGGTGAAGACGGCTGAGGCGGTCGCACCCTTGGAAAGAGTCCCGAAGGTACGCGGGAGGGAGCATATCCAGGAAATGAATGCTACAATGGCCGAAAAGCCAATTGTGCACATACCGTGCCCGGTTATGGTGTTGAGGTATTTGGCGCCCACCAGGCAGTGGAGTCCCTACTCGTTGTCAGCTACTATCTGGAAGATACAGGAAAAGACGTATTTCGTACCTGAATGAAGGTGTTGTTCAGGATGAACATGACCGCCGTGAACCAAAATGCCCAGCGGTGGTTGTAGAAGATCATCTGACCAAGATCGCAGACATCGCGGATCTCTGGATGGCGCATGCAGAACTCCCTGTGCCATTTAGCTCTTGTTCAATTTCATTGGACGTATTGACCTTACCAGCAGATCAGGGACGTGTACAGGACCAAGGCCGCAATGACCATTGTCAAGATCAAACCGGGGACCAATCCGAGGATCGAGTATGACCAAGGGAAGGACATGATAGCCAGGCAGATGTACTCGGAGAAGAGCAGGGCGGCGGTTTTCTGCCAGCTGCAGGTGCGGTACTGAATGGCATTTCCAGCCTCAAGCTCGATCTGCTTTCCTACGGAAATGCTCTCCTCGTCGCTGCTATTCATGTCGCGGCGGGCGGGGCCCTCGAGGCGGCTTCCATGGCGCTGTTTTTCGACACCGCCGTTCTCCGAGTCCTTGTTGAACAATTCCTCGCCGGTCGGCTTGGCTTCGTTGGTGGGAGTGTCGACGACCTTGCCGGTCTTTGATCCGAAGCCTAACGCCATTTGATGGACCGGATGGCCTTGACAAAGATGTAATGATAGGAGGTACGACGAGAGACGTGCGGCAGCATTAATTGCGGTTTGACAGAGAGGCTGGCGGTCCAGAGGTTGTTGGAGGGTGGAGGTGCGGCAGCTCTGATTGTCTGCGGCGGGCAGGCTCACTGTTAAAAAGAGGCAAAGGATCTGCTCGGGCACGGCGCGCGTGGGATTGAGTGGTTAGCGGTACAGGGTTGCCGCACACTACGGGCTTCGATTGGAAGTCGAATCTCAGTTTCTGGGTGGTGCAATGGATCAGACTGCAGGCACACGACTGGCTGGCGGGCTCCACATGCAGCGGCGAGAGTTGCGGCTGGGCCTGAAGGGCTGCAGGTGCCGGTACCCTGTGTGGAGTCCGCGTTGGCGGTTCCTCGGTTGGGGTGCGCTTCGATGTCGCAAACGGCATACAAAGACGCGTCCACAGACGAGCCCGCTTCGGACGCTATGGGAGCTAACACCATCTTTCCTCACACCATTGTCAAGTTTTGCATTCGGCGGCGCCGACCGACATGGCAAGGCGTGCGCCGTGGGAGCACTGGTGATGCGTGTGACGATGCGCCACAGCCCGGCTGTCGGGGCCCCCAGCATGGCGTCTGTTGCACGAAGCAGCGTGGAGGTGATGGCGAGAAACGGGCGGTCTGTGCTCCAGGAATGCCCCGATGGCGACGTAATGGCCTGCATCTTCGCCCATGCGACTCGATACTGTGTACTGTACACGCGCATAGCATCTCTACGTCAAACGCCATCTCTTGATCTCCGATCGTCGTCGCATATCCCCAGCGCCGCATCCACGCAACTTAGCGCAGGCGTTCTCGCAGGCTACGGCACGCCTGATGCTCGGTGACGTTACATGCAGACGGCAAAGCATCAGCCCAGCCTGGGCGTTAGCTTAGAGCGAACAAGCTTGGACCTATTTGCAATTCAGCCTCGACATTGCATCATCGCGAATTCCCATTTGCATTCTGTGGCCGTGTATTCGTTCTCATATGTCCTTGTTGGCTTTGCGTTCGCTCGTGTTGCAAAACTGACAACATTGTGAACGACGACTGATGAAATCGCGCACGACAGAGAACTTCATCACACGGGAATCATCTGCCGCTCTATCCGACTGCTTGCACCGGTCCAATCAAGAACCCCAGATTTTAGACCGATGGAAGAGCTATGTTGTAGTGTTGTCTTGGGAAAATAATTGGGAAACGGACAGGACAGGATTGAAATGGCAAGTCAAACGAAGCAACCAAGCACGTCAAGCATTCGATCGTCTTGCGCAAGTAAACTTCGAAGGCTTGGTCTCCCTACAATCACCCCAGGCCCAGCCTTGGTCGCGCCTTGGGCTCTGCCCACCAAAGGCTTCTCCGCACCACACGCAATACGCTGTCCAAGTCGCACAAGACATCCTTTCCGATAGCCTTTCATCCATTCATGCCTCGCCTTTTGCGCCTCAAAGTGTCTATCTTGAGAATCCAAAAAACGCCCGCTAAATTACACAATCGAACAACAGCCTCGCATCTTTCAGCCCTTTACGTCTCGCTTTGTCTACATGCAAATGTCTCATATCAAACTGTCTCCACCGCTTCCCCAGCTGGGCGTTGAAGAGGGTTTCTGTTGTTGTTGATTTGGTGGTTGCGCCATCCTCGATGCCATGCTATTCATGCTCATTCCACTGTTCGCTCTTGCGCCCATGCTCGGCGGCGGAGCTAGGCTGAACGTGTTCCCAGTGCTAGGAGGAGGCGGAATGCCAAATGAGTTTGTCGCTTTTATTGGAGGAGGTGCGATGCTGAACGATGAGTATGGATTGCTCTGCTGGGCTTGCGACTGTGCTGGCGGAGAAGCCATGGAAAAGCTCGACAGACTGCCTGCTGTGTTCGGCGTTGTGCCTGAGCTACTCCATGGGTTTGAGCTGAGGGAAGAAGACCCACTTGCTTTGCTCCAGTCGATACCCGAACTTTGCGTGGTATAGGACGGAGTTGTTGTTGTGGGAGACATCGTGCCGCCCATACCCAAAGCTGGTCTCTGCTGATTTTGAGGAAATGACGACCCAATACCTGGGTTTGCGGGTGCCATTGCTGGGAAAGCCGAATTCAACGAGTTCATGGAACTGTCCGGTGTAATGGTCCTGAGTCCTCCCTGCGCTTGCGGGGCAGTAAGGTTGGTCGGTGGAGGAGACACTGGAGGTGTTGACCAGGAAAATGCTGGGGCTGGCGAAGCATTTCTGGCTGACCCGACGCGATTTGCGGCAGGCCTTGACGGCAACATGCTCGAGGACGATGCCGAAGCTGGAGCATTCGCCCAAGGATCACTACCAAGCATGTCGGTCCCAGTGGTTGCGCCCTGATTTCCACGGACAAGTGCCTCGAAATCGCTGCCTCCGTCCCCGTTAGTAATATCCAGACCGTTGGCTGCAGGCAGACCACCAAAGCTCATGAATTCATTCCGCGAAGTTGCAGGTGCATTGCTTGCTCCAAGTTCCTGCAGCTTCCGAGTCTGTTCATTCTCAACCCGCGCGGATAGTGACTTTATCTGCATCATATAAGCCTGAAACTGGTTAAGGTTAAGCAGTGGACCAAGACTGAATTGCCATAGGATTGGAAGAATGTCGACCGCAAGAAAGTCGCTGTCGACCTGAGGACCAATCGCTTTGAACACGTCCAAAGCTGCCATCTACTCAAGCTATTAGTGCTGGTACACGGGTATCTTCCTTTACGTGAACTTACCATCACCGCAGGCTCTTTGGTCTTGATGCCTTTCAGTAGTGGCACAACCTTCTCCTGTATCGTATATTTGTCCAGGATCGACACATTTGATTTTGGCTTTGCAGCTTCGACAACCCCAGTCAGACCATCGCCTTGAAATCCGTCTTGTTCGTCGCCTCCACCGCCACACAGGGTTCGAAAAGCCTCCAATCCACGTATCTTGATGCCCATGCTACTGGTCTTGGCGAAAATCGTCGCAATGACGGGGAACAATTCGTTCTTAATCGTCGAAAAGTCGAGGATCGGTAGGACCACGGGAAGTGTACGCAGAGCGGCATCTACCAGTGAGTGGGTAGGCGACTCAAGAGCGTAATTCACGATGGGCAGAATGTCGTCCTACACGCATGTTAGCACTGGTCGTAACACCAGTCTCAGTCTCCTCACCTTGAACTCCTTTCCACCGCAGTTCTCTGCGGCCACCGATATATTCTCCAAAAGAACCATCAAGCCAGCTTCTTTCAGACTGTCACGCTCTTGAGCAGGACCCTTGGAAGGAGCCAAAAATGTTTCTCTCAGTTTCGGAATGACTTTCTCGGTGAAGGCGCGCTTCCCGGCTGGCAGCATTTGTATGATCTTGAAACAATTTTGTAGGACCAATGCCAGAAGCTCGCGATCCTTCGTCTCCTCAAGCAGAGCCGGCAACACCTTCTTCTCCATAACTGACTTCGGGAACTCCTTCAATATCCTAGGCAGTCCACGAAGGAACTGTTGCTTCTCATTGGGCGTCTTGGCAGGTAAAGAATCAAGGAAGCGGATAGTAGACACTAGGATATTGTCAAAGTACTGTGCTTGCTGGAATTCTCGAGCGTTGATCCGTTGAGCTGGCCTTCTGGTGATCAGTCGGTCCAGTACTCCAGTGACCACATCTCGCGGCATGGGCTGTGAGGACATGAAGTTGTTCGTCCTGTTGGGCACCGATGACTGTACCGAAAATGCTCGTTTGTATGAGCTTGTACTGCCATGAAACTCCATCGGGCTCTTGTGTGGAGAGTTGTACAAGGCGATGATTAGCATGCCCAGCGAGAACATGTCTGCTGCCGGTGTGACGTTGCCGTCCATGACAAAATCTGGTGAAGTGTAGTCCAGGTTCAACTGAACATATGCAGGCAGTCTTGCGTCGTAGTTCAAGACTTCGGAAAGCGATATGGGCGATACAGACGTGGCTTTCGTGGAGTTATCGGGCGGTGTGGAGAACGACAGACCGGATATCTTCCAGTCGGACTGTCACGCGAATCAGTAACATGATCAAGGAGAGCGACTTGGTATTCCCTACTTTAGCATTTACGAATATAGCTTCAGGCGTCAGGTTGGCGTGCACCAAGCCTGCGCTCTCATGCAAGAACTCCAGCGCCTTCGCAACCTGCAGCAGGCCTTTTTGTATCTCCAGTTCGTCGATTTCGAGCTCACGCCTCCGCTTCTGACCATTTTCCTCTTCGATAACGTATCGACTTCTGCGACCGCCAACGCTGCCTGCCTTCTCCTGCTCGTCTTTCTCTTGAAGCAAACCAGCGAGCGACGCTGTTACAGGCTCTGTTGCAAACATCAAGCCCCCGCCTCGGGTATCTTCGACTGGCTCGACCAGCTCGAGGACACTGGGGTGTCGTAGCCGAGCTAGAGAGCTTGCCTCTTTCTTGAGTCTTTCCACGACCTCCTCATGCGCCCGCTTGAGTCCTGAACCGCCCGACGAACGCCCACCTAAGCTCGCCCCTCCTGGGGGCTCTAGCGACTTCTTTTCGAATATAAAGACCGATACGGCCTTCTTAGTCTTCTTTCCCTTCGCATCGTATATCTTCCATGGCCCTGAGAATGACGTTGGCTCCTGGCTTAGCGAATAATTGTTCGTGATATTCGAATTGAACGACTTCGACAAGTCGGATGCAAATTTGGAGAACATGGCGAAAGGCACGCGCGGGCCGCTACGATTGAGCGCTGGTGGTCATGGACTACAGTGTGGCCAGCTTTGCGGAAGGGAGGGCTGCGCCGGGGCAGGTGCGAGAGACGACGTCGGGGTAAGAGATGCGCAGCCGCAGTGAGCTTAGTCCGTCATCCACTGACTTCAAAATTTGAGACAGCGCGTATGGAGAATCGTCTGCGACAACGGAGCACCGCGCGCATAACAGAATAACAACGTTCCGAGAGACAAAGCAGCTCCCCCACGCGACAACGGTGGCTAGTGAACCCCAATCGCTGTCGCGCGGACCGCGGCGTGGCTAAGCGCATCCACAGCATTGCATCTCGGACATTGGATCAAGGAGTGCTGGTGAGTCAACTATACACATTGAGAGCAACACGGCAATGTCCTCTGATATCCGTCAAGCCAACCTTGATATCGTCTCATAGTCAGACATTATCGCGCCCTTTCGCATAGACATGACTCCCAGAGCACGCCGATTGGCCCTCGGTACCGGGGAGCTAGATGCTGCTCCGAGCGGTAAGCGTCGGTTTGATATACAAAAGATTCCGTCGCAACGCTACCATTGACTCCCCAACGCCTTTGGTCTCGTGCTCCCTTCACAATCGCCCGCCATGCTTCAACAGCGGTCATTGCGACTGCTCTCTTCGCTCTCCCAACGCTCTACTCGCCCTGCTGCTACCTGTGTTGGCGCGTCACTGCGATGTCGGAGCCAGCGACCGTACAGCATCCACGCCGATGCCTCTGTAGGAACGACAATCAAGGACATTGAGCCTTCCAAGCTCTCAATAACGACGACCACAACTCCAAAGGCGCTGTTGCCTCCGGAGGAGCTTATTTTCGGCCGCAACTTCTCAGGTGCGAGCTTTGAAGGCGTGCATACGAAGGTTTCTAATCCGTCTAGACCACATGCTCTCTCTTGAATGGACTGCATCTGAAGGCTGGCTTCCAGCGCGCATCACCCCGTACCAGAACCTCAGTCTCGATCCCGCTACCTGCGTGTTCCACTATGCGTTCGAGTGTTTCGAGGGAATGAAGGCATACAAGGACAAGAATGGGGGGTATTAGACTGTTCCGTCCGGATAGGAACATGGCACGCTTGAACAAGTCGTCTGCACGCATTGCGCTACCCACTTTTGACGGCGATGCGATGATCGAGCTCATCAGCAAGTTCCTCAAAGTTGACGAGCGCTTCATCCCAGAGTATGTTTCAAATCACATGGATTCAATTGATAGGCTAATCTTGGATCAGTGCGCGCGGATATTCTCTGTACCTTCGTCCGACCATGATTGGCACCCAGCGCACCCTCGGCGTTGGTCCTCCTGCCTCTGCCCTACTGTACGTCATTGCCTCGCCTGTAGGCCCATACTATCCGACCGGTTTCAAGGCCGTTTCATTGGAGGCAACGGACTACGCTGTACGTGCTTGGCCCGGCGGTGTGGGTGACAAGAAGCTGGGAGCCAACTATGCTCCTTGCATTGTCCCGCAGATGCAGGCAGCTAGCAGAGGCTTCCACCAGAACCTGTGGCTGTTCGGCGAGGAGGAATATGTCACTGAGGTCGGAACCATGAACCTGTTCGCGGCGATCAAGAACAAGGAGACCGGACAGCCAGAGCTATTGACAGCACCTCTTGATGGAACCATCCTGGAGGGTGTCACGCGTGACTCTGTCCTCGCCCTTGCGCGTGAGCGTCTCGAGCCAAAGGGCTGGAAGGTTCTGGAGCGCAAATTCACGATGAAGGAGCTTGCCGACGCTGCGGACGAGGGACGCATGATGGAGGTGTTCGGTGCTGGCACTGCAGCCATTGTCAGCCCTGTGCGACGTATAAGCTGGAAGGGGACGACTAGTAGAGTGTGGTCTAGCTGAGAACGAGGAATGTGGCCCTATCACTGGACAAGTCAAGGACTGGATGGAGTCCATCCAGTATGGTGACGAAGATCACCCATGGAGGTAAGCGATCCGCTGCTTTGTATATGACTATAAGCTAACTCCACGCAGCTACAAGGTCCCTGAGTGAAGGAAGATTTTGGGTTGATACTAGCGGTACGCGAAGTTAAAAGCGAAAGCAAGTCAATATGGAACATGGTCCGAGCATGTGGGAGGGCAAATGACATTTATGTAGCGAGCCATCTACGTCGAGCACCGGGCGTTTGGAGCAATGCCAGGTATTGCTTAGGTTGTGCATGCCAAAATTCACAGAGCCAAAAATAAGTTCTTAGACAGCTTCAATCACATTGTAGACTTGTAGAATGTATGCAATGCATGCGCCATCAACGAATTGCTACCTCGCGTTGTAAACAGGCTACCCCTCGCGTCAACATGAAGACCAGCGAAATTGCTAGCTAAAAGACATTACAGGTTAATGAGCATCACGGAGTATTCCAGGGCAATTCGCTCTACAATGAATGCAAGTTTAAAGTTGTGACCTGACCCAGTAATGGTCGACGTTAGGGCTGCATGCATCTGACGAAGATCATGCCAGGCACATGTGTGACGTCGCTAGATCCGGCAGGACCCCTGTCGGACAGCTCGCCTGCACCGTGCTCCTTACCTCTAGCTAACCCTATCGCTCCCTTGTCCACTCCCAACCTCCCTCGGCGCCCCATTCTATCCCACTACCACGAATCGCTTGTCGCGTCCTTCGCTGTCTTCTGCGCGTCCCGATCAATTGTCTCGCAACCTCCTCGCAATGCTCGCCCGCGGCGCGCTCTGCCGCTTGGCAGTTGATTTACCCAAAACATCGACACACGACCTCCCGCGCATCTCCCAGCTACTCCGAACCAACCTCTTCGCCCGCCATGGCGCTTCCCAGCCGACGGTCGGCGCAATCGCACGCGCGTTCCGAGCTACAATTCTTGAAAGTCGCCGCGCATATGCCACCAAGAGCGCGACAGAGCCCACCGCGCGAGTCAAGAGGGAGGTGAAGAAGGCAGTCGCGAAGAAGCCCGCGAAGAAGACGACGACTACGACGAAGACGAAGAAGGCGGCACCCAAGAAGCGCAACACTGCAGCAAAGACGAAGGCTGCGCCCAAGAAGTCAGTCAGGAGGCCAAAGAAGGTGCTCACAGCAGAGGAGAAGGAGGCCGCGAAGATCAAGGCCCTGAAGAAGACAGCGCTCCGTTCGCCGCTGAGACCTCGCGAGAACGCATGGACCGTGTTCGTGAGCGAGGCGCTCAAGGGCTCCAAAAACTTAGCAGATTCGCAGGGAATAATGAAGGAAGCAGGCGCAAAGTACAAGAACTTCACACCAGCTGAAAGAGAGGTATGCTGAAGACTGCTTCTGCCCACGGGCTCAGCTAACGAATGCTCCAGCATTACAACCAGATCGCCAAACAGAATGCTGAAGCCAAGATCGCAGAGTACAACAAGTGGATCCACTCGCACACACCAGAAGAGATCCGCGCCGCCAACCGCGCGCGCACTGCTCTGAAGCGCAAGCTCGGCCTCAAGAATGTTTCCGGTGCTCGGTATGGCAAATTGATAGATGACCGCCCCGGAGCCTCTGGCAAGAAGAGCCCGTACATCTTGTTCGCCGCTGAGCGTCTGAACTCTGGCGAATTCTCAGGTATCGCCGGCCCCGAGAGGCTTAAGCTTGTGGGAGCCGAATGGAAAGCGCTCAATGCTAGCGAGAAGAAGGTACGTTCATCATGACATGATCCCATATCTCCCGTGCACTACAGCTAACGTTAATGAAGAAATATGAGGACCAATCCGCTGCTTAAGATACCGAGCTCGCGCTCTCTTGTTTCCTATATCGCAGGCAGTTCCTTTTGATACTCTATCTATGGTCGGGTTTGTATTTCGGCGCCTGTATCCTCGGTCAATCGGTCAATGTGTCACTACGCCTAGCCAGCGGTTTATTCGTCCCCTCCAGGTTTTGGGTTCGAGGCGGCGTCCGGCTTCACAGTTACGGCCCTGCAAGTCGTGTCTGGACATGGGCTTGCGATGCTAGTAGGGGGTCTCTGTAGTCACTGTAGCCTTTTTGTGGATGTGTCAATTGGAATTGTAAGGTAGCTTTGTACGAGAATCGACTTGGTCTTCTCTTTGCGGTATGTGGAGTGAAGTGTCTGTGTTGATATACCGCATCGCAGAGACTTAGCCTCCTGTCTGCTTACTTCGGAACATGACATCTTCTCGAGGACAATGCTCTCATATACCCCAGTCATATCAGTCGAGCGAATTGATTTCAGTCCTTATGAGCGGACATGCGACTGCGTGTTTTGGCGCTGCCCTCAGGCAGGCGGCCATGAGCATCCTCAACCCAACGCTGCATGTAAGGAGCTTGGCTGCGAGTCTATCGCCGTTAGGACGCATGGCATGACGCCCGTAACCAGCACCCACGTTCAAAGGTAGCCCCTTCGCAAGTACGGCCTCGCGTCCCGCCGCCAGCAAGATAACGCCCTCACCCCGGCGCAGGCGCGGATCGCATCGACTCGTCGCACCGCTACCACTTCGTGCGTATTACGATGCGAACGCAGCAAGTCCACCAGAAGGGCTCTGCTGGCGGCGCAGAACCATGCCTGTTCCCTCCTCAGCGGGGGGACCTCGCTCAGCGCTCTCCACGCTCTACACCTGGCCTCACCCAGCACATCATTCATTCAAACCGCAAACCCCCCACTGTCCTTCTGTCTCGGCTCCCCCGCCGCCTCAAACGTCCCATTCCAGCACCACCTTAGACTCTGCGCCGAGCTAAACCCCTGCGGCATCCACGTAACGTTGTGCCCCCTCTCCTTCATGAACGCAATAGTGCCATTGTCGAACGCTCGCGCCGTCCCTGTGCCAATGCCGGACTCAGCCCAAGGATGGAAGTCGGTAGGAGTCTGGAGATCATGCGGCGCCTTGTGATCAGGCGAGCAGTCGCTATTCGTAGAATTGCATTCAAACGCCACGACATTAGGAATGAGTTGGTCGTGGAAGCGCGGCTCGTAGAGGGCGTCTATAGCGCTCATATTGCGATCGAGCACGTGCCAGAGGTTCTGCGCGACGGCAGTGATGATCTTCGCGCCGCCTGCGCTGCCGACGACGTAGTAGAGGGAGTTGTTTGCGCGGTGCTCGACGATGACGGGGGACATGGAGGAGAGGGGCGCTTGCCGGGGCGGATGTAGTTGGAGGGGCTGGGCGGGTAGCCGAATTCGTTGCGGACGCCTGGGAGGGAGAAGTCGTTCATCTGGTCGTTTAGGATGACGCCTGTCTCTGGGACGATGACGCCGCCGCCGAAGATGAGGTTGATGGTCGTGGTGAGGGAGATGGCGATGCCGTCTTTGTCCGCTACGACGATGTGCGAAGTGCCGTGATTTTCGAGGATCTCGTAGCCGTCTGGATTGTAGTCGGAGATGTTGAGGGTGTGGTGGTCGGATATTTTGCTGCGCTTGTGCTGGGCGGTAGCGGAGGAAAGCATAGAGGACTCGTGGGCGAGAATACCGCTCACGAAGTCGGGGTCACCTAGTGATGAGCGCTCGGCGTAGGCAAAGCGGAGGGCTTCGTCCAGGCGATGGGTACTCATATTTGTGTGACCGGCGTCGTTCATGTCGTCGTAGCCCTCGATAGTCTTGAACGTGCTGAGCACTACGGCGCCGGCAGCGGGCGCTCCCACAGAAGTAAGCTTGAAGTCCTTATACTGGGATTGCAGAGGCGTTCGCGACCTGATCTTATAATCGCGGAGATCCTCGAGCGTCAGAGACCCATTTGTAGCACGTGCAGCTCGTACTGTCGCCTCCGCAATCTCCCCCGTATAGAACGCATCTGCTCCTCCTTTTGCCACAGCTCTCAGCGTCTTCGCATATCTCTTCCTCGTCAGCACATCCCCTTCCTTCACCCTCGTCCCATTCGGCGCAAAGTCCTCCGCCCACGCAGGCTCCTCGACCAAGAAATCCCGCCCAAAGATAAAACCCGTCGCAACATCCATATACCTCACCAAATCCGTCCCAACCTCGAACCCTCCTTCCGCGAGCTCAATAGCAGGCCGCATAACCTCATCCCAACCCAGCTTCCCATATCTCTTATGCAGGTACTCCAGCCCTCTCAACTCACCGGGTACACCAACCGCCATGCCCCCAAAAACAGATCCATTGAGGTTACCATGGTACATGTCCTCGGTCGCAGCGGCAGGCGCGGTTTCTCTGAAATCAATGGCTTCGTAGTGGCCAGTGGAGGAGCGCACGAGCATGAAACCGCCCCCACCGATGCCGCTGTGGTACATGCCTACCACGCCGACGCAGAAGACGGTGCCAACAAGGGCGTCGGCGGCATTACCGCCAGCGAGGAGGAGGTCGGTACCGATGCGGCTGCATAATTTGCTTTCGCTGGCTACGGCGCCTAGGCGAGGTTCAGACGAAGAATGCGGTGTGTCATGAGGATTGAAGATTACTTGTTGCGAAGGGCCGAATGCTGATGCAGATGAGACATGTAGTAGTGCAGAAATTCCCAGAAGGGAATGAGCTGTCCTGACCATGGCACTCGTGTCGCGGTGGCCGGCAGAAGTGCTTCGATCGAGGCTGATAACGTGGTCGATAACGTGGTTGAGCTGTGAATCTCGGTGGCGCGTGACTTATCGGGCCGCTGACGAGGTTATCAGATAGCAGCGGATCAACGATCTTCCCCACCGCTACTTAGAACGTTGCCATCTTATATCGGAATTCATGATCTAAATGTGAATTCGAAAGCAGAGTCGGAATATCCGACTATTGTCGGCGTTCGTGAGTAAGATCGGAGCTCGTGCCTTTCATCGGAATTCGTAGTGATGGTTGACTCGGAGCGGAGACCATGAATGAATCACGACTCGCGAATTGATCCAATGATAATCTGCAGCGGCATCACAGTGACAACACATAAACAGGCTTCAGATTGTAGACTCAGTAGATTCATTACTCGGCACCACGCGCTGGCATGATGCTGATGGCAGATTAGATACAGACGACAAGGAAAGCATCTTCCATTTGTAGACGCCATTCCCATCAGATATAAACAAAGATCGCGCAAACAAAAGGTGGGTTATGCAACAACAAAGAGAAACGAACTTGTAAAAGTGGTCAATGAGAGACGAGAAAGTATCTAGGGGGTGAGTTGCCGCATAAAGCGGCAAGTGATTGTATTTACAGGGCGGAGTGTGGGGGTGAGTTTGTTTGACACTGGTTGAGGGTGTCGGGTATTGTAGTAACGACCGGTCGCAAAGCTTAGAGCTTAGGGTATGATGCATGCAGCGGACAAAAGGGACGCGCAAGACAGAGAATGGAGACACATGGAGCTTGTCGCTTGCAGTAAGCAGCGCGGGCTGAAACGCGCGTGTGTATGTACCAAGCAGGTTGAAAGAGCCAGCCAGGGTAGAAAATGTTGCATAAAACGCAGAAAAGAGTTCGGACGCCCGGCGCTCGCTAGCTATGCTCGAAGCAGATGACTGTTAGGAATAACCGTTCTTGAGACTTTTGAAGGCCAAGCGAATGCAGGAGGAACCGCCCGGTATTTGATGAACTCCGAAGGAGACAGGGAAACTGAGGAATGGATGCTTTAGATCGTTCCAGGAGCATGTGGCGTTCACTTGGAAACTCCAAGATTCAGCCAGGACATGTCCTGTCCTCCTTCTTTGCGTGTGTTGCTGCCAGGGCCCCCGGGAAACACAGTGATCTGGCTCTCCCGGCCGTCTGGTGCACCTCCCAGGCGTGGAGGCGCAGGGTAGAAGGAGTCGAAGTCATTATGCTGTTGTTGGCCAGGCTGCATATTTGCCAAGTTGCCAGCCGGGAAGACAGTATTGGTACTTTCCCGAACATCGGGTGCACCAAGCGTTGGTTGGCCAGGGTAGAATGAGCTGATCCCGCTCTTCGGGTAGAACGAGGACGCGGCATCGGGATAATACGAACTAGCACCATCACGATGATCATACACGACGCTACCCGTGTAGTTGCTGCTCGGTGGTCGCTCGTCGTGCCCGACAGGTGTCCAGCTCTCTACGGGATCCCTCAGGTAGTGATCATCGTGGCTGATGCCGGAACGTGTGCTGGCCCCTGAGTTGGCTCGCGCTAGTTCTGCCTGCATAGGCTGACCGGGTAGGTTGTCTGTCGAGTTGCCCAATGTTGGGCTTCCAGAAGTGACTTTGCTTATGCGTTGGTTCTCGAACTTGGGAATATCAAGTGGCGGAGGGGCATGCATTGGCTGGCTGTACATGCGTGAGTCGTTGTAAATGGACTGGCTGCCCGTGCTTGTACGTTCAGAGGCGAAGGTTGAGCGGTTGTCCGCAGGCATAGCAGCGAGATTGGTCGCATCGTTGTTAGCGAAGTAGCGACTCCAACCAGAGCTGCGACTCCTGTTGAGGTTGCCGACAGCCTTGGGCTGGGGCGGTATCCGGCCAGAGTTCTGCCGTATAATCCTCTCCTCGATAGGTTCTGGCTTCAAATCGAACTTCGATAGCTCGACAGGCTCAGTGTATCCAAGAGGGCTAGCCTTCTTGACCAGACCAGACGTGCTTGCATCGCTCAACATGCCGCGTTTGTGGCTGTTGGCGGCTCGGCCTCCAATGATGGCGAGCGAGCTTTGGGAGGCATTCACTTCGGAAAATTTGGGTTGATCAAAACCTGCGCCTCCTGCCTCCTTCATGAACTCAGCGCCGCGGTCAGCGAAGCTCATACGATCCTTCTCCACGTATCCGCCCTGCGCTGTCCTCCTCTTCTTCGACTTTCTCCACCTGAGGCAGAAGAGCAATAGGATGAGCAGAGCAGCGATTCCGAATATGGCGCCCAGAGTCGCACCAAGAACTGTCAGCATCCTGTCCTTGTTGTTCACTGGGGCCCCAGCCGCAGGATCAGCAGCCGCGGAAGAAGAAGCTGCAGCTGTCTCTGTCGCCGTCGATGTTGGTGATGAAGAGGTTACGGAAGATGAAGGAGACAGAACATTTTGCAGTTGGCTGCCGGTGAAGAGTTCCGTTGCGTTGATCCATGAGTTCTCTGAGGCGTCGAAGATGCTCAGGGGCTCTTCAGCATTGCCCCCTGAGAAGATAATCTTGTCAGAGTCGCTCTGAGCGGTCGAGAAGCCGCTTCGGATGAGCTTTGGTGCGAGGGTGTCGTTGTATTTGGGGAAGTCGTCAAGCGTGAATCGTTTCGAATTACCGCCAACAGTCGTGCCTTGGGCAGCAACGGACCCGCCCTTTGTGAGCAGAACGGTCCGCGTGACCTTGTTAGGTGACACACTCATGTCGAACGTCTCCAGTACCTTGCTCCCATCGTCACCTGATATCAGGGTGCATTGGGTCGTCTCCTGGCTCGTGATGGGTTCCGGAATTGCTACGCCCAGATCTTTCCATCCCTCCATAGCACCAGAAGCATCCGACATGGCGCCAAACGTGTAAATGGCCGTGTTTGAGGCTCCACCTCCCACCATGACTGCGTGAGTTGAGTCCCACTGCATTAGCATCGGTTTGACGAGGGGCGGATTGGCTCCAGCCGGCTGGCTGAGAACAGCGTAAGGGGTTTTTGTGTCGATCAAGAAGCTCTCCGACGAGAGACCGTTCGACTGAGGATCTGAGGACCCTGAGTATACGAGAATTTGTTTCGTGTCGGGGATGTAGATGGCGGCGTGGTTGGTTCGTTCCTTCGTTACCCAGGACTCCGACCGCTGCCAATCCCATTTCTTCTCCTTGAACGAGAAGTGCATAAGCCCAGGGTAGTCCCACTGTCTTACGGTCTCGTTCACTCTTCCTCCAACAACGAACATCATGTCGGTGTTTGCATCCCCGGACGATGGTGCCACAATGCATTCGGCGCCCGTCAAGGATATGTCCATGGGCAACTTCTCCCATTCCGACCCCTTCGCAAGATCCAAAGACTGGAAACCCTCGGGCGAATAGACATAGAGCGTGTTCTCGTGAATGACGGAGCAATGGTTCTCCAGCGGGTATATGGGGTCTTTGAAACTCATGGTGAAGTTGGCCGGCGCACGACAGGCGTCGGCGATAAACGAATGTGATGTAACGACGGTTACGGGGAGGGGTCACCAGAGAACAACGGATAGTGAATTATAGGTTCTTCTTCAGTTTCATGACGGAGTGATGGTGTCCAAAGGTTCAATCAATGAGCACTCAATTCCAGGTCCTCGGCGAGGACAGTGTATAATGTTGTTGTGAATAGGACGGCCTGTTCAAATGGTTGGATAGATCGATCTGTGCGCGTTTGTAAGAAAAGACACTCTTTGTTGGAGGCTCAATGGGCGCGTTGGAAAGATTGAAGCTGAGTAGGGTAGTCTAGAGCAGCTACTGGAGCTGGGACAAAGAAGAGATAAGGAAAGCGCGCAACCTACTCGAACCAGAGACAAGATGGGCACCGAGGCCTGAGACAGCGATGGCGAGACAGGGCAGGCGGTGACTGGCAGTATAGAGAGCGACGGGGCACGCTCTGTCGAAGAGGCGTGAAGAGGCACAGAAGGAGGGGAAGCAGCACAGCCCAGCGGTGTGCGGTGGTATGGAGTCGAGACTGAGGCTCTTCAGGCGCTCGTGGGCGAGGGCTGGAGGAGAGGCAGCGCGGGTGCAGTGCAGGAGGCCCGACGGGCTCGCAACACCGCTGGAGGGTCCCTAACCCTGAGCAAGGGCAGGCTGGGCGACGACTGGGGAGGATACAGAGAGGGCTAGCGCGACGGCGCGGCTTGCATGCACCCGTGCGCGGCCAGGGGCGCTGCGTGTTTCGCCCAATGGACAGTCCGGCGGCCGCTTGTGCCCCTGCAGCTCCCTTGGTTAGCCCACGAGCGGCCTGCCCAGCCGAAACACCTTCGGGACCGCAGCCACCGCGCTGTGCGAGGCCAGCTGGCCCTGATCGCGATGCTGTGCGCGCCCTCTCCCTCAGCTCACTGTGTCGTCACGCCAATCGCGGCAGCCAGCAGCCGCCTGCACATCGCACCGTCGCTCGCGCAGATCGCCATCTCGAGCGTTTGTTTAGCACACCAGCCTCGTGAAACTTGACGGCGCAGGGATCAGGCCCTGGGCGGTGACATCACGCGAGTCGAACGGCACGCTGCGCCCACAGCGGCCAAGCGGCGTCTTCGTCAGCCTGAGGTAGAGTGGAAACGGGGTCCCTTCTGGCGTGATGGGGTGCGGGAGAGGCTCTTCGCTGTCGACCGTCAATATCGCATCGTGAGTCGTGACCGCCAATATTGCATCGTGAGTCGTGACGCGCCGTCTCTCCAGCTCTTCATCTCTTCGCTGCCGCCGCTGGCTGCGCTGGTGTCGCCCGTCACACGCCCCCAACATCCACCTCTCCCATTCGCGGCTGTGGAGCCCGCATCATCTCGCTCGTGCGAACACCTGGAACCGCGCGCTCTGCACGGTGGTGGGCCTGCTAACTCCCTCTATCCGTCGTGTGAAACGGCTGGGCCCGCTCCGGACCGCATCATCATTGGAGCACCTCCGACGGAGTGCCTGACTAAGAATACACCAACTCTACATTCGATCGTCGTCTCAATGCACCTCGCGCATGCCAATTTGGGCCCAATATCGTCGCTCGCCATCTTCGCTGTCCTTTCTAGCCCATGCAAGTCTCTTTGTGCCAATCCCCGCCTTTCTCTGCTCTTCTGCAGCCACCGCTTTTGTCGCGAGGCAGCCCATTTCATCTACGCCAGCGGAAAGCGACCGGCACTCCGATGCGGACTTTGCATGCTATCGAGCTCAGCCTGATGACATGCCAAACTTGGTATCGCGGCCTTGAACGTGGCCCTCTAGATAGTACCACAATCTATCCGACTCTACCCCACTGACTTCGAACATCCAGCACTGCGGAGACGTCGTCAACCGCCAACGTCATCCCAGTCGTGGCTCCTTTGAAATGCCTGCTACTCCGGTCGCATGGCTCCCTTATATCCCGTTCGCACGTCGCTACCGAGCGGTAAGAATAGCAGTCGTCTCGCTTCTCGCTTGCATCGTGAACCCTCACCGCGTGGGTCGTTTATAGAGCACAACGATCGTGTTTCCTCGCCCACACGATCTTCATGCGAAACTTCTCTTGGTGTTTCCATGTTCTAGAACAGAACAACTGTGGGAATAAAGTGTTGTTTCAGCCATCATTCATGCCGCGTTTCTTTATGCTACACGGTTTCCCCACCACGACTACGTGTCCAAGGGCATCCTTGATGCACGTTCAATGTAGAAGATATTGAGGATTGGTCTCATGCACCGCTGTCGACGTTGGTTCGCTTACCACTTCTCTTCATTGGGCAGCTCTACACCCTTCATTGAACTTTGCAATTCTTTTCGCAAGACCTCTGCGCCAATCGCTTGAACGCGCTGAATCTCCCCGCGCCTTGTCATCAACGGCCAGTATCAACGATTACACGCAAGCGGGGCGTAGATGAGCATGCAATGCATTCTGTGCTCAAATTATAACCTGCTGCTAAAGATGCGGTCAGCGTGCGGGGAGATTCAACCGCATCAATATCAACGCGGCACTTCATGCATCCTCTTCCATTTAGTCACTACAACTACCGACGACGATAAATATATCAATGTCAGCACCAAAACAATAACAAGAACGCACCATGACATCAGTCACGAGATCTCGTTCCCCAAAAATTAATGTCCAACTATTTCTGTGCCACAATCTGTATTGGTGCGGCACGGTCTGTCCTCGAATACCCATCGCTCAAACTGACAGAAATATCCGCGCTTACTGCTTACGCGGAGTATTTTAGATCTCAAGCGTGGAACAGAAGCTAGAAGGCGGACGGGAATTCCTCTTCCGTACGCCTTACGGAGACCATCATAAGCTTGCTTAGTGCGGTCCGATGGTCGTCAGCCTCGCTGGCCAAGCGCAACGCGCATCTCGCATGTCGGACTACCCGAGACAATGTTGCGATCCTGCACACATAACATTATGAAGTTTACAGCAGCCTACCACCCTCCACATCGGTCTTCATTGTTCTACGCAATTCTCCACCTACACAACGCCTTCAACCATTTTTCGTCTTTTATCAAGCCACAGCTCATCATGGTGCTTACACCCCCCATCCAAACCCCGACCGGTAATGAGACCTTCTCCCTGGCCCTCTCTTACCAAACTCGGAGGAGTTCTTACATAACATCGCATCTCACTCCCTATCGGTCCGCTTGCATCTCACGCCCTACCCGTCCGCGCACCTCCCTTTTCTGAAAGGCCCCCAGTGTAGAAACGCAGCAGCCACTCCGACGGTGATTGGGCTTCAGACCCTTCGGAGTAGTCCTCCGCTGGTACCTCACGCTCATGCTCACGCTCACCCATCCGCCATTGTATTCACTGCCCATTTGTTCCATTTCCTCTCTACCTACCTCATGCCCAAGCGCGCAAATCCGGGGTTCGGGAATCCTTCACGATGTCGAAGAAATCCTCCACCTATTATCTTTGCGTATTGTTTTACATTTCCGAATTGTAGCACAAGGTGAAGATTGGTGGTGTGGGAGGAGCTGCATCCGCTCGTGGTCGCATCTGTGGCTATGATATTCACCACACGTGAAGATCGATACGTTGACGAGGTCATACACATGTTCTATGCGTAGCCGTAGAACACGCTTGTTGTCGGCTGTCAACACCTGTCAACGCTCTGCGGAAGCTGCACCACTGTTCCTAGAAAGGAAGGAAGCTCGTTAAGAACAGTGATAATCATGTCCCGAAGCTAAGCTTGATTGAGAAGGTTCCATACCATAGGTACCAATTTCTGAAGCACACCTCCGCTTCGTTCACACCTTGTCTCTGTTTCCACCTTGTGAATTCGGAAAAGGCCTAGCGAGTCCGGATAGGCGGCCGTGTGTGCTTGGCATCCAGCAATTGTTTTGCGTGATCCGTTGCTGCCAGGATGGTACATCCATGGATGTATTCTCCGAACGCGTGCATATACGAATAGAATTAAGGCAGTCGAGTTTCGAATACTGCCGAGGCTTGTGTAGCGATTACACGGAAGACTTAAGCATTTTGATACTGCGTTTAGTGGTGGGAACGCGGAGTGTCGTGTGCTTGTCTGGTGTGGGAATTTGAGGGTGTGGTGTGGTGCAAGAGTAGGCGTATAGCGGATAGAAGTCGCAACTTGTCAGCCTTCACAAGCCTCCTCCGTCCTATAGTAGGAGCTTGCAATGAAACGTCTGTTCTCTTGGCTTTGTTGCTGCTGCTTTGTTCTACTGGGTCGATTCAGGTAAAATACAGCTTTACATCATTGGCACGCAACGCTCTCGACACCACCCACCCACCATATTCGTCAGATGTTTCAAGAAAGTCTAGCCCCATTGAACTTGAGTGGCTTGAACCTCTCATATAGTATAGTCTTGTGATGTTCTGACCCGTTTACGTTATGACGTGAATTTTCGATGCATCTGATGTGCGGCCTTGCTTCCCACAACTACGCTCGCCTCCACGATGACATGCAGACTATAAGAATACGCCCTGATATCCACAGGGTTGTAGTAGTTCAAACGCCCATCAACTTTCTCATCACGAACTGGCCACCTTCAACGTCTGACTAAAATACTCCGTAATCGCCCCCCTATCATTCGCAATGCTAATAAAATCAAACCCTCTCTGCGCACAATCTTTGGCATCTTCCGGACTCGTACAATAGATCCCAACCTTCTTCCCCGCCGTATGCGCCGCCTCTTTGATATTCTCAATCGCATCTTTCAGCTCCTGATGCATCTCCCCCAGAATCGGCCGCCCGATGTTATTCCCCAGATCAAACGGCCCGATCAACAAACAGTCCACGCCATCCACCGCCGCAATCTCGCTAACCTGCTTCAACGCCTCTTTCGTCTCGATCTGCACGATCGTGATGAGCGCTCCGTTTGCGTTCTGCAAGTAGGTGGGAAGGTCCTCGTTGTTGAAGGTTTGCGTGGAGAAGGGTGAGCCGAAGCCGCGGGTGCCTTGGGGCGGGAATTTTGCGGATGATACGAGTTCTTGGGCGTCGTAGACGGTGTAGATGAGGGGAACGACGATGCCGTGGGCGCCGGCGTCGAGGGCGCGCTTTACGTAGTGGGGCTCGTTGGCGGGGATGCGGACCAGGGGGGAGACTTTGGAAGAGGCGATTGCGTTGATGGCTTCGTGCATTTGGCCATCTTGGTGAGTTTAGTTCAGGTGGTTGGGATGGAGGTGGAGGGGAGAGACTGACCGTCGATATTGCCGTGCTCACAGTCGACGCAGATCCAATCTACGCCTGAACGAGCAATTGCACGAGAGTGATTTGTGCCAGGAAGCATCTGGTCCAAATTTAGGGTTCGTTATATAATACAAGAATCATCTCAATGGAACTCAACAAGACGTTCCTACCTGCCATGCGCCAAACGTTGGTCCTCCCTTCTTGAAGGCCTGGAATATCCTACTCGCTTGCTGCAAAGGATTCGACATGTTTGTTGTTGAGGAGAAAGGTCTGTTGTACAAGCCCAGGGTTTGACACTGGAGTGTTGTTCTGAGGATAGGGAAGCCTCGTCGCATAACATGCGCCATTATCATGTGTTCCTAGGTATGTACCCCTCTCTACCCCAACATCATTGATGAACCAAGGTTGACGCTACCCCACACTTTACTTCGCGCTACACTGTGCCTGAACTGTGCAACAGTTCACGCTGACTCGACTTCGTCCAGCAGCTTCTTCACTTGCGTCTCATCGAAGCGGTGCATAAGTTTGGCGGAGGAGGCAGAGGTTTGGTTGCTTTTGTCGACGTGTATCTTATCACTTAGTTCTTGTTGATTACCAATTGATGTATCATGGGGCATATACCACCGGAGTGTCAAACTCATAAATACCCTTCCACTTTTCCTGCCCTGGGCCCATCACATTGATCTCCTCGTAGTCGAAGCTGCGCTCTTTCCGAACATTTTGTACTACTGTCTTTGCGGTGTCACAGAGTGAGCAAGGGCTTCGCGTGAAAAAGGTGATGCGGCTTTGCAACAACCGGGACGACGCTCGAAACATGTTCAAGAAGATAAAACCGTATGCGATGCTGCACCGAGCAAGACCGATGGTATGCGAATACCAATTTGGAGGATAAGAGCTCCCTCACCGCCTAGCTTCAAGCTCCGTTTCTGCCGACGCTAGGACCCTATGACATCCCGCTACTCCACGACTTCCAGAATATTCCAGACAGACGAAAGCGCAAGAAACACAGCTCAGGTGTTTGCGTTTCTGTGTAGCTTATTTTTCACTCGTTCTCTTTCGCTCGTAAGTCTAGCATTGTCTTCCGAATCGAAGCGCAGTCATGGCGAAAAAGTGCGTTCACAAAGGCTGCGGCAAGACGTACGAGGATGAGAACGAAGAGTGCGTCTACCACCCCGGTCCGCCCGTCTTCCACGAGGGTCAGAAAGGTAAATAACCCCCAATTCTGTCTTCCACAGCTCTAGAAACCCAATTATCCTCCCTTGAAGCACAAAATACTAAAACATAGCTATCTTGCCAGGCTGGAAATGCTGTAAACCCCGCGTCCTCACCTTCGACGAGTTCCTCGCAATCCCACCATGCACAACGGGTACACACTCAGACGTAGACGACACTCCCGCGCCAAAACCTGCACAAGCACCCGACATCCCTTCAGACACGCCCGTCTCGCTCGGCAGCCTCAAAGAATCACTCCCCGCACCCGTACCCCGCGTTCCCACCTCGCAGTCCGCAACACCGCGACCTGCTGCCTCACCCAAACCGCCGGAGGAGTCAGAAGATGACGACCCGAGCTTAGAAGTCAAGCAGGGAATGACATGTAGGAGGCGGGGCTGCGGACAAAAGTACGAGGGCGGCGACCGGGAAGGAGAGAGCTGTGTGCATCATCCCGGCGCGCCGATATTCCACGAGGGAAGCAAAGGGTGGAGTTGCTGCAAGAGGCGGGTGCTAGAGTTCGACCAGTTCATGAACATTGAGGGGTGCAAGACGAAGAACAGGCACCTGTTCGTCGGGAGCGGGAAAAAGGGTGGGGAGGAGAAGGTCGAGACGGTGAGGTATGTGTATCTAGGATATAATAGTACTCCTGCTGAGTACCTTGTTGGTGGGCTCCATCGCTGACAGAACACAGGCATGACTTCTATCAGACTGGCACTTCGGTAATCGCCTCGCTCTACCTCAAAAAGATCGACAAGGAGTCTGCGAAAGTCGTCTTCCACCCCAACCACGTCGACCTCGATCTCCGCACTTCAGACAGCAAGCGCTACGCAACCGAATTCCCTCTCTTCGGCACAATCAAGCCCGAAGAAAGCAAACACAGGATCCTGGGCACGAAGCTGGAGTTGACGCTGGTGAAGGCGGACGGCGCGGCGTGGCCGGTCTTGCGATCAGACGACAAACTTACAGGCGAGATGATACAAGTGGGTAGGGCGGGCCGTGTATAGAACGCGGTTTGTCTTTTGAGTGTTCTTGAAGAGGCTCAGGAACGGCGTGGATGGGTTGAAATGGGCTTACGACGGAGACGAAGACCAAGACGATGATGACGACGACGATGACTGCATTAACAGGGACAGCATGGCTAGTTGCTGTTAGAAGGCGTATTTGGAGCGGAGGTAATACAGCGGAGCATTAGTGTGTACATGTGGGTACATAGGGCCATGCAGGCCATGACCAGTCATGGTATCAAAATTATTCTTCACCCGTATTTGAAGATGGGAGTGGTGTGCTGTATCGATCTGTTTCTATGTAAGATTCAAGTGTCGTTCTCTGTCACACTATTCCAAAATCTTCGAAGCGAAGTGATTCTTATATGTGCGAATAAATACTAAAGAAGAAACAATTGTGTGCATCACTGGTAAACCGGTGCGAAGTGTGATCTGCTACCAGGAATCTAAAGGAGGAAGAAGTATTCTTCTTGTTCTTAGAACATATTTCTACCACCAATTTTGTCAGAAAAGCTCGCACCTTTTATGCATGTTTGAAATATATAGACAATAAATCTCACTGACAGCAAAACCTGCACATTTAACATGTGTGCACATACTGTTAAGCAGATAACAATAAAGTCTATGTTTCATTGCTTCTAAACCAGACCGAGCCATCGAATTGACGCCCGAGATCTGTTTACTATGTCTCGTCTAGCGCATGGCGTCTGTCTACCGCCCTGCCTTATCTGCAGCTTGCAGTTCAGCTTCTACCTCCGCGATGACCACCTTCCTCACACCCTCCCAGCCGTCCGACTTCTTGACGTGGCTCACTCTCCTCGGCTTGTCTTCCAGCCCCTTGAACTCCTCTGGCAAGACCTTCTCCAAGAAATACGCCTTGTCATCTGGCAACGCCTGCTCAACCGCGTTATTGAACTTGGCAGGATGCGCAGTCGAAAGCGAGATGTGGTGCGTCGAAGGCGGGCCCGCAACCTCCGTGTCGCGCAGCGACGCCGCAATGCCGATGGCGGAGTGCGGGTCCAGGACGTAGCCCTTGGACGCAGGCGCGGAGTAGATCTGCTTGATAGTTGCGATGGTCTCCTCGTCGCTCACGCGGTACGAAGAAAAGTCTTCCTGTGCGGCGGCCAGGATCTGCTTGTCGACGCCGAAGCCACCCTTGGACTTCAAGTCGTTGAGCCAGTTCTTCACATGGTCACCGGCCTGCGCGCGGCGCTGGGACACCGCATCTGCGGACGTGCTGTATACCTCGTAGGCTAGGAACCAGAGCAAGCGCTCGAAGTTGGACGATACGAGGATGTCCATGGCGGGACTCAGCGTCTCTTTTACGCCGCTCTCGTGCGCCTTGACGCCGTCTTCTGGCAGGCCGCCTTCCGCTGCCTTGCCGTACACCGGGTGCTTCTCGTACTTGCCGGACGACCAGAAGCGGTGCAGGATGTCGTTCTCGTTGGTGGCAATGACTAGCTTCTCTGCGGGCAGGCCCATGCGCTTTGCGAAGTAGCCCGCGAGGATATCACCGAAGTTGCCCGTCGGGACGACGAAGCGGACCTTGGAGGCGGGGAGGAAGGACTGTTGCCGGATGAGGTTGAAATACGAGTAGAAGTAGTAGGTGATTTGGGCGAGGATGCGCGCCCAGTTGATGGAGTTCACAGCTGCGAGCTTGTGCGTCTTATTGATTTCCGGGTCCGCGAAGAGGGCTTTAACAAAGTCCTGATGGGGTGTTAGCTGCAGCTTAAGTGCTGTGAGGACCATGCACGGCTTACCTGGCAGTCGTCGAACGTGCCGTCTACGGCCAAGTTGTGCACGTTGGCGTCCAAGACGGTCGTCATTTGCGCTTCCTGGATCGCGCTGACCTTGCCGTGCGGATGCATGATGAAGACCGAGACATCCTTCTTTCCCCTCAAGCCATAGATGGCTGCAGATCCAGTGTCTCCGCTGGTTGCGCCGATGACTGTCAAGTGTTCCCTATCGCGCCCGCTCTTGCCCTCATTCTTGCGGATAAGGAAGTATTCGAACAGGTTGCCCAAGAATTGCAGCGCAACATCCTTGAACGCAAACGTAGGCCCGTGGAACAGCTCCAGCAAATGTATGTTCTTCTCTTTATCGAGCGTGACGGTTGGGGCGACGTCCTTCGTGCGGAAAGTAGCATAGCTGCGGTGGATGATGTCTTTCAGGTCGGCGGAGGGGATCTCGGAGGGTGAGATGTAGAGAGAGAAGATCTCGTATGCGAGGTCCTCGAAGGATAGATTATGCCATTTCGTGGCCCAGTCGCTGGGAAGGACCGGGATCTCTTCTGGGATGAATAGGCCTCCGTCAGAGGCGAGGCCCTTGAGCACGACTTCCTCGAAGGAGAACTGGCTGGTCAGTGGGGCCGGACATGAAGGCGTGTATGCGGGTATGGCTCACATCATAGGACCCTCCACGGGTACTCAGGTAGCGCTGGGACGCGGTATGTGTGGGCATTGCGGCGGTCTTTTGAGGTCAGAGAATCAATTGCAATGCGAAAAAGACAGGAAGCCCCACAAACACCAATGATGTGATGCGTGTTGTGGTTTACAAAGTACAGACCCCGCGGGGGTTCAAGGTCGGACCGTTGTCGCATCTGACTCCAAAAATTTATTGGTAGACTCAGCAACAACGCTTTTGTTTCCGAACGCCCTTGTAAGCAAGCTCATTGAAATTCGGCCATCGAGATGAGCAACTAGACTCGAAGCTGGTTTCCAGAGACACGACTTGGTCTTTACTTCGACACATCGCACTCTGCGTGTCGATGCACTTTGTGAACGGTGACTGCCCCGCGGCTGCCCTGCCTGCCCCGCCAGCCGTTCCTGCGTCCCTCGCCGGCGAAATCGGCCACCCTCGGCAGGCGCGCGGACCGCCAAGCGCAAAACTTCTACGCGCTAAATCACATGACATGCTAAGCGAACGGTCCCTGCGCGCTCCCAGCGCTGTATAAAAAGCCCGCTGCCCTCGGGCTCTCTTTCTTTCATTATGTCGACTTTACTTCATAGAATCATTTCTATAGTAAACGTCCTCTTCTGAGCTTCTCACAGAAGCCACAGAATCGCAACCCTGGCTGATGAGTATCAGCCTCGATGTCCCGGAGTGAGGCCTTATTGCGTGTGCTTCGGCGTGCGTGGCGATGATCTTCAGCCAACTGGATGTCGGGCTTCGGCCGGTCTGGAAGGCAGGACGTTGAGTGCAATCTGACAGGTTTTTTCTTTGTTTTTCGTTGACTGCTCTGGCGCTGCCGGGCTTTCGAAGATGAACCACATTTTTTTTAATTTTTTTTTTAATATATATACAAGTGTCTGATTAGTCTAATTTTTCGTATAACCGATTTGCTTGGGATTTTCATGCGAGTTTCTAATCTACGGTATGCGGTGTACAGCTCTGCAAAATGGTTATTCGTCTCCAAACTTACACCAATGATGCGTATATATCCAACAAGCCAATGTTTTTACCTGGGTATGGTATTATCCCAGCCTCTTTTCACTCAACACCATCCGTACTTCTCGTTGCCTATCCAGTCGATGGACTCGGCCACAGGGCCGTCATGCTGGGGATACCACTTCAAGCTTGCTATACTTTCCATGTCCCTGTTGATCAGCTTCGCGCTAGGATCGAGCATCTGAGCTGCGGCCAAGGTCGCAGAAGACGGATTCCACGCCTCAACATGCTCCATCTTCCACTCCTCTGCCTGCTGCTGGGCAGCGTAGAAAAGCGCCGCGATCGCTGCGTCATGGGAGTGGTCGCTCGAGGCATTGTCGGCGTGGCTTGTCCCGCTGCCTTCCCAGCTTGAATGACCCTGATCTTCTACTACTATCCTCAAAATGTGCAGCGTGTTGCCCTTCGCCTGTGTAGCATCTGGGTTGTACCACATGCGCGTCCAGTAGCACCACACACGCTTGCCTTTCTCGGTACCTACGATGGCACCCTTCACCCTCGGCGCCTTTCCGTGCAGCTCGCCCCCAACGAATTCCTCGCGAGCATGGTGCCACTTGATGTTTGCAACATTGGGTACAAGCGCTACAGCGGTGTGGCTGCCTTTGGGTCGGCTCTGCAGGCTTTTGCGAATAAGCTCTTCGTCGATTTTGCACAGCTCCGCCAGGTCTTCTTCGTGGAGCGGCCGCGCCGTGGGCAGGCTTCCGGAATCTTTCACTTTCGACGTGCTGCCCGGTAGAGAGACGTGTGACGACCGGAAGACTTCCCAGCCAAAGCCGGAGTAGAATTTCTGGACTAATTAGTCTACGCCGACGCCAGTGCAGATCCACAGCGCTGAAGCCGGACTCACCTTCCCAATATCGGAGAATAGCACCGAGAACATGCAGTCTGTGTTCTCATCTATTTGGTACGTCCTTAATGCCTCGCCGAGCTCCTGCATCATCCGCTGAGCGTACTTCCTTCCTCGCAAATGCGGCGCGCAAAATACGCTCCCGATGCCATGGCATATCGTCTCTTTTACTTCACCATCCTGCCAAACAAGCGCTTTCTTGCGATAAGTTTCACAACTTGCGAGTGGCAGCCGTGCCGATGACGCAGGGTCCAGGGGATTATTCTTTGCAGATTCATCGACCAAAACCCAATAGGATATTCCTCCATCTTTTGTCTGATCTTGCTGGGATAGAATATCTTCTCGGCGAAGGTAGGCTTCTTGGGAAAGGGCACCTCGCCATTCTGCACCATTAAGGTTGAATTGGATGAGCTTCTCTTCCTGGGTCGGATGGACGAGTGCGAGATCCGGGGAGGAGCCATGAGGCAAATCGGGGAGGGAGCCCATTGTTCTATTCTCTAGGTTCGCGCCGTGATGATGATACGTACTGCTGTAGCTTTTCTAACTCTCGTGGGCCGCATTCGGTTTGAATAATAAAGTGACAATGGCTGCGAAACAATAACGGAGCTTCGTCTACATATACCACTTCCCCAGCTTTGTGGAGTGCGTGGACCCTTACTCAGGTCAGCTCTTAAGTACTAACAAAGGCTGCGTAGGGCGCGAGTCTACGCCGTCTACTCCGACGAAGGCCGCAGAAAACCGCCTCGTCTCACTACGGCCGACTGATCATGCGGAGGCTTTGCGGAAGCTGGTTCGTAGAGACCTCGTAGACTATTACATAAAGAGTGGTTCGTGAAGCCCGTGCTGCCAAGTTGATGCCCGTGAATAGGCTGGTTCTTTCCTCCAGCAGCCGTGGCATGGCGTTCATCATCGTTCATCATCGCTGCTGCGGTCTGTGCGGCGGACCGCCAATGGATTAGCCCACTTTGACTGAGGTGAACGACGAACGGACCATCAACACCTTTCTCTCTGGTTCGGGTCGAGATGGCGACGGCCGCACCGTCGATGATGTCCAGTGTTGTCGTACAGGGACGCAGCCGCCCTACATACCGTGCCTCGTACCTGCCGCCTGCCTGCTTGCACCCCGCCAACCTTGACTGAGACATCTCGCTGCATCCCTCCGCGTCGCCGCCTGCACCCCACGGCGCAGTACAGCAATCGTGCCGTGGACACCTCCCAATTTGTGCTTCTGTCTCTGTTCTTCGTGTGCCTCCGCCAGAGCCGCCCAACGAGGCTGCTGTGATCCCTGCGACTTTACTCACGCTGCAGTTCTCGTCGCTCCTTCACCTGCTATCTCTGTATTTTCTGCCGCTGTCTCTCTCGCTCGAACACATGCCATGCCGCTAATTCACCGTTGAAGCGTGTGTGCGATCTCAGACTTCCTTAGACAAACAACAATCGGCATTCGGTTACCTCAACCTACGCAAAGCACAGCTGCAGGTGACTTTTCGTGCAGTATATAATCTCCGAGCTGCTTAAACAGACTAATCAATGAACGGGGCGTGGGGTGACCCTCAGGTCATAGACCTGCTTTCCGATGATGAGGACGTTTTCTACGATTACGACGATGACAGCGGATATGAACCCGACGCCGTTCCAGACTTTGGACCGGTTGAATTTGAGAACGAAGAGAACTGGGTGCCTAATTATGATGGCTTTGGCCTCGATGTCGCTGCTCAACCCGGCCCACTTGGATTTGAATTGGCCCGGGAACCAGATGTCGACTTCATACGCCCCAGACCCGCTGGCCTCGCTCAACCTGATCCAGTACCAGCACCCAACCCCGCACATAATAACCCCATGGACGTTGAAGTCGACATTGCACCGGGGGAGCTCCTCAATACCGCTGCCTGCCTGCAGATGGTAGTACAGATTCTACCGGACATCTCCATCGACTACGTGCTCGCACTTATTGCAGATCTAACACAAGACAATACGCCCACACCAGAAGCTTGCCAACGCATCGTTACCAAGATTCTTGACGACGAAGGGTATCCGAAGGAAGAAGAAGAAGCCACTCGAAAAAGGAAGCGCGAGCGCAGCGTGAGTGATTTCGAAGAAGTAGACGGGAACAGGCTACCTCCAGAGTACAAGGATGATGCGTAAGTTCTCTCCAGTCTGTGACGTCTGCAGTGCGCGCTTCTGCGAGGCTATGGTGTGTTGTACTCAACGCCAGCAAATTGCTGCTGGCAACAGCCGAGGACAGCGAATTGGCATTCTCGTCGCAAGCTGATGAATATCATTATTCATCTTGACCTTGATTCTCATATCACACGTTGGTTGTCCTACTGGGATACCCAACAGCTTGTCTACGAGAACCAACACTGCACATATTCTTTACTATTATCTTATTTTCTCATAACACCACGAAGCAAGCACCTTGGCTAACCTGCTTAGGGTCGACTTACTCAAAGACGAATTCGTCCACGTTCCAGTCAGACATATCCAGCACGTCATCAAAGAGCACAAAACGTTTTACAGAGCGTACGGAGTCATCGAGGAACAGCTGCGCGACTATTCCCGCAACACACCGTTTACAAAAGTCATCAAAGCGCGCGTCAGACGAGGTACCGAAGTGAAGCTCATCGGACGTGGGAGCCAGATGCCGAAGGAATTACAGGCCGCCAAAAAGAAGTGCGAGGAAGCCGCTACCAAGCGCCGCAAAGCCGAAGACGCCTCACGAGAGGAAGAAGATAACCTTAGAGAAGCCGTTCTGACGGGAGACATGACTGAGTGTCAGTGCTGTTTCGACGAAATTCCTCTGAACCGTACGATAGGCTGTGGTGGTGCGACAATGCACTTCTTCTGCAAGGAGTGCGTGAAGAAATACGTCGAAAGCGAGATAGGCAGCTCACGATGTCGGCCGGTCTGCTTTGCGGATCCGACCTGCGGTGGCGGCTTCACCCGTAAACAGCTACAAAACTGCCTTGCCGACACAACTTTCGATCGACTCGAACGCATGCAACAGATGCAAGAGCTGGAGAAAGCTGGGTTGACTCTCGACGAATGTCCTTTTTGTGACTTTAGACAAGAATGTCCTCCGGTTGAGGAAGACAAGGAGTTTCGTTGTTTGAATCCGAAATGTCAAAAAACAAGCTGCCGCCTTTGCCAGAAAGAAACACATATCCCATTGAGCTGTGAGGAGGCAAAGAAGGATGAGAAACTTACGGTCAGACATATTGTGGAGGAGGCCATGTCCGCAGCTCTAATACGCAACTGCAACAAATGCAAACGCCCTTTCATCAAAGAGCTGGGATGCAACAAGATGTCTTGCTCGCACTGCGGCAATCAACAATGGTAATCAAAATCTTTATGTCTCCGCAGAATCTAGCTAACCATGATTTAGCTACGTTTGTTCTCAAGACATCAGAGACTACAACCATTTCAGCGACTACAGCGCAGGTCGAACAGGATGCCAGCTGCATGATAATGTCGAGAATCGCCACGAGCGGGAAGTCAAGAAGGCTGCCGATGAAGCCATGGCAAAAGCCAAAGTCGAAAACCCGGGATTGTCAGACGTGAGTATTCTTGCGAGACAAGGAAGTTGAACACCTACTCGTGTCCTCGCGAGCGGCTGCCTCGTCGTTTCCGCCTCTCTTGCTGATGGTTCATATGGAACTTCGCTGAACTGTGTCCAGGCCGATATCATAGTAGAAGTCTCAGACCGCGTCAAGCGGGCTGAACAACAACGGCTCGGTCGCGCGCAGTTAGCTCATCAAGGCTTCAATTTCCACATGGCTGGAGGTGCACTCGTACATCGCGCACCTCCAGCCAACCCGCCTGCTGCTCCAGCCCCAGCAGTAGCCCTAGCACAACAACAGTATGTACCAGCACCGCATTTCCAACCCCTTGCAGCGATCGTTCCCCACCAACAGCACATATTCCTTCATCAGCCGCAAATGTTTCCGCAAGCGCAATTCAATGCTGCTCCAGCACTGCAAGCAAATCTTGTACCACCACCCCTTCAGCCGCTTCTAGGGTATCCTGCTCCAGCACAGAGACCGCCAGTGGGTGTGGTACCATTGCAACCTCTGCAAGCACCAAACCCGCTGTTGCAACAGCAGTATGTCGCTCGTCATTTCTTTGCGAATCGAAACATCCGTTTTCACAAGCAGAACCCCCCTGATCAGAATCAATAGACCCCGCGGCTACGATCTCCTCGATCTTGCTCAAGCGCCATTTCGACTTTTTCAAGGACTCGCTGGGAGACAGCAAGCACGGCCAGCAGAGCAAGCGCAAGCGCCAGGCTACGTTCCCCGTGCCCTTGCCTTTCAACAACTGGAAGATGACCCGCATCGTGCCCTGCGGGCGAATATCATTCGTCTACAGGCTGAGAATGTGCGTCGTGTGCGTATGCTCGGCGACCAGTTCCAGTTGGACAACGGTCGGCCACATGCTCCTCAACCGCCGCCTGCAGGGCAAAGGAACTTATTGGACTAGAGAGAGGAGGCGGGATATGATAATTACCTTCATGGGGCCTTCTAGGGTTCTAAGACCCATGGCAAGGCGCATTTGCACCATCTCAGCATTCAATCTTTAGCATCACGAAGGCAAGGCTCTTCTAACACCCGACTGACATGGGGAGTATGTAATTTTTAATTGTGATTATCTCATCGTTCGATTATACGATCGTAATTAGTGCCTTTAATCTAGTTTCTGAAAGCTTAATCCGTTACGGCTCTATGAGACATCCTGGTACCGTATCTGAGGCATGTCTTGCGCTGCATTGATCCAACAGAGACCATCAATGTCAAGAGCCAAGAGCGAGGCTTTGTAGCATCATCCAGCGCGCTATGTTGAGACGATTCAATCCGTCACGAGGCGAAGTGCTCTGTACCCTGTAGACGGGGTTACGCCCTCATCTGTGGTGTAATTCGCTCACTTCCTTCCCACTATTTTCATCCCGCTGAACTGTCAAGGCTGCTCTGCTGTGACGGCCAATGTGTCTCGAACTTCGCCCTCCCCTCCTCAATCCAAGTCTCAAACCGGAACACCCCAGCTTCTACGGTCCTGATCGGCGTGACCTTTGCACCGCCCAGGTCTTCACCTTCTGGACGGCTGTGCATCTCGTCGTCGTTCAACACGGCGCCCTTCCTCCCCGTCTTCTGCAAGCTGGGCTGGCTCGGCACCCACTTCTGCGGATGTCCTATGGGCGGATCCACGTCTGCCTCGTCCTTGAGCTCCATGCTGATGTTGAACGAGCAATCCGGCGGCAGCGGCTCAAGCTGAGATGCACGCGTAGTAAGTGTAATGAACGCAGCGCGGAACTGCTCCGACAGATTGACATCGACATCAGCGTCAAGTCCCTCGGGTTTCTGCTTCGCCTTCCCCTTCCCTTTGTTCCCAACGACTTCCGCAGCTGCCGCAGCAGCTTCCTCCGCAGCCCGCTTCTCCGCCTCCACCTTCTCCTTCTCGCTCTTCTCCCACTCAATATCCATAAACCTTTCCTCTCGCGTCACCACCGGGAACCCGCTCACATCCAGCATGTACCGCTCCAGTATCTTCACGCTGCCGCTGCCTTCATCGTAGCCTGGATGGTATACCACGATGGCGATGCGCGCCACGGTGCCTTTGAGGAGCTCGTCGCGGACGGCGGCGACGGCGTCTTTTATCCATTGGCAGACATCGGGGTGCCGCGATTGGTAGACGGGCGTGTTGTGGAAGCGGGTGCAAAGGAAGGAGGGGAGCGGGTAGAGGTGCCGCAGGTAGAGCAGGTTGTGGATGTAGGCGGTGAGGAAGTGGGTGAAGGCGGAGAGGGTGGTGAGGTAGGTTGTGGGCATTGCTGCGTTGGCCGCGTATAGTGGCGTAGCTTTCTGCTCTTCAAATCAGAAGGAATATAGGCCGGTTTCAGTGGATTGAGCGCGTCGGTGTGGGTCGTCGCTGCCTGACTCCGCAGGGTCAACCGTGGCAGCTGCCCTTTGTGAGGAGGGTGGGACCCTCATGCTGTTGACCGTGGACGGGACGGTTCCAAGGTTGACCAGAGGCGAAGTTCGGAGAGGAGCTCTCAGCCATCAACAACGCGTCCAAATTATCTGATTGGCAGCTCATCCCGTCACATCGCACCCTCCAAAACACACATACTCGCTCACCCGTCACGGCCGTATCTCTTACGCGTCGCCATCGCTCCCATCTGCGTATTGTATAACGTGCATCCAGGGTATCTTCAACACACGATACCGGTCGCGACATTTCTTCTCACCCCACTTCGCGCTCGCCCGTCGGCAGTGCCCCTCACCTCCGCATCTTTCTCCCAACATCTCACAAACGCGTCGAGCTATTTCACGCCGACGCATTCCTTCCTGCCTGGTAACGCCAGCGCTAGACACGCCCCCTAGCTTATCTGCCACGCGCCTCGCATCATGGAGGACCAATTAGTGCAGCTGCTGTCGGCAACACAAACAGCCCAGGAAGGCCCCCGCAAACAGGCCGAGCAGCAGCTGCAGAGCCTCTACACCCACCAGGACTTCCCCATTGCCCTTGTCGAGATCGCCCGCCATGAGAGCGTCCCGCTCAATATACGGCAGGCCGCGCTGCTGTATCTCAAGCAGGTCGTGCTGGCTGGCTGGAGCGACAGCCTAGAGGAATTCAAGGGCACCTTCATCATTACCGACGACGTAAAGCTCAAGGTGCGACAACTTTTGCTAGAACTGGCGACTACAGACCAGCTTGATCGCAAGCTGAAATCGGCGGCCAGCTTAGTCGTGAGCAAAATCGCAAGCTGCGACTTCCCAGAGCAGTGGCCGGACCTCCTCAATACGTTACTTAATCTGATCCCGAATGCCTCCGACGGACAATTACACGGCGCGCTGAAGGTGTTGGACGAATTGGTCGAGGACACCTTCAACGAGACGCAATTCTTCGGCGTAGCCAAACAGCTTATCAAGGTCGTGCACGACATTGCTGTCAACGATGCGCGAAAACCCACACTGCGGGCGTTGGCGTGCAGCGTCTTCCGAGGCACCTTCGACATCCTAGAGATGGTGCTAGAGGACCACAAGGCCGAGATCAAGGGCTTTGCCGACGAAGTGCTACAAGAATGGATACCCTTCTTCACCGAAGTCATGAAGTCACGGCTGCCGAATCCACCTACAGAGCAGGAAGAGAATGAGGACGCGCCGAATGCAGAAGCATATCGCGGCTTGGTCGCCTTGAAGCTACAAGTCGTAAAGGTAGGCTGTGTCCAACACATTTGCGAATCTAGACTGAGATATCCAGGTCCTCATGCGCATACGCTCCGTATTCCCCGCCGTGCTTTCACCGCAAACCCCCGTACTATTCTCTGCCACATGGGACGAACTCGTATCATTACAGGGCGCATATCACCAGATGTACATAATAGAGGAGCGCCAAAGCAGGCTCGAAGACACAGATGGACTACCATACACTTTAGACTTCCTTGTCTTGGAAGAGCTTGACTTCATGCAGGCATGTCTTCGCGCGCCACCGGTGCGCGCCGAGCTGGAGAATCAGCTCAAACAGAGCACGGACCCGACCTCTACCTGGGTATTCGAGGTTATGAAGCTCGCCGTGGCGTATGCACAAATTACCACAGAAGAAGAGGGCCTATGGAACTTCGATGTCAATATCTTTTTGTCTGAAGAGACTAGCGTTACGGCGAATTACACGTCGCGGACGGCATGCGGCGACTTGGTCATCAAACTTGGCGAGTGGCTCACTCAGCCTGCACTCCAAGGCTTGCTCGCATACTCTCGTACATTATACTCATCACAAGAAGGATGGAAGGCAAAGGAAGCTGCGCTATACATCCTCAGTCAGGTTCTCAGCGACTTCCAGGATGTAGAAAAGACGATCAGTCCGGAAATCGCGACCGGCTTCATTGACTTCATCAACTATGCCATACAACAAGAGGACGTCTTCCTTCGGGCACGTGGCTACCTCGTTGCTGGAAGCCTCGTCAGGACATCTGGCGATGCTTTGCTACAATACGCACCCGCATTCCTCGAAGCTTGTCTGAAAGCTATACCGACTGATGACTCTGAAGTCGTTCAGGTTTCATGCATTCGCTCTCTACAATACTACCTTCAAGCTCTTCCACGCGAGATCACGCTGCCACTACAACAGAACATTGTCACCGCGATCTCGAATTATCTCCAGGCCCAAGACCTGCAAGAGCTTGCTGACAGCGACGATTTGATGGTCACTTTGGTTGAGACCCTTCGCGATGCGATACTTCTCGATACCCGGATATGTGTCACTGGTAATGGACTTGACCTGCTCTTCACTGTGGCCACTCATGGAGCTAATAACTTCCAATTGACGATCCTGGTGAACGAGACATTCGAGGATGTGACGCAGGCTATTGCCAGCATGGGTGGAGATGCCTACGTCCAGCTTTGCAAGAAAGTACTGCCCTCCCTGACTGGAGCCTTCGACGTTGCGAACATTACCGAAGAGAACGCTTTGATGAACCTCGCTGCCGACCTTTTGTCTCTTCTTGCTGAATACGGCCCCGAGCCTCTCCCCGCAGGCTTCGTACAGACCACTATGCCCAAACTTGCCCGGTTACTGCTTCACTCAGAAGATGAAGAGCTTCTCAAGTCAGCCACCACGGCTGTGAAGAACATCATCGCACACGACCATCAGCAACTCTTTGAATGGCGGAATGAAGAAGGCAAGGCTGGTCTTGAGGTGGTTCTCCAAATCATCGCAAGATTGCTCTCGCCAAATGTTAATGACAACGCCGCTGGAGAGGTTGGTGCGCTTGCTGCCGAGTTCGTTGAAAAGGCTGGCCATGAGAGACTTGGGCCATACCTACAGGAGCTTCTCCGAACTGTGGCCGCGCGACTAGGCGCAGCGACGCAAGCACAATTCATTCAGAGCCTGACACTCGTGTTTGCGCGACTCAGTTTGAACCATGCTTCTGAGGTCGTGGAGTTTCTAGCGACTCAGGATATCGATGGCCAGAATGGCTTGCAGGTTGTCCTTGCGAAGTGGTTGGAGAACTCGATAAACTTCGCGGGGTATGATGAGATCAGGCAGAAGTAAGTTCCCACTGACAGACACCAAGGAGGAGTTGCTAAGACGCACAGTGTCATCGCCCTTTCTAAACTATACGACCTCAAGGACCCTCGTCTGTCCGCAGTTCAAGTAAAAGGTGAACTCATCCCCAATGCAGACGGCCGCATCATGACTCGTAGTCGCGCCCGCCAAAGTAAGCCCATGTCATTCGTTTACGCTTCTCAAACGAAATTCTTCTCTATTTTTCGTCAAATGCAAAAACAACGCTGCCTTGACTCTCGATGGAGTGATTCTTCAACTGCGCCTTCTTTTGACTTTCTTTTCGATGCTCTTCTTCCTTTTCCAGCTGCATTCGCCCAGTCTATCAAGTCTTCAGATACTACAGAGTTCCTAACGAATTCCTTCACAGATCCCGACCAGTGGACCATCGTCCCTGCCACGCTCAAGATTCTCAAAGTCCTCATTGTAGAACTGCAATCTGCATCAGGCACAGGGTTTGACCCGCAAGCCGCCGCCGACCTCGCGGAGGAAGGCTCCAACGACGATGATTGGGAAGACGAACCAAATCCTTTTGTGGATCTCGGCAGCGGCTTCAGCAAAGAACAGCTAATGGCGTACGCTGCTGAGGATGGGCCTGGCATCGGAAGGCAGAAGGACGACGAGACGCAGGCTTTTCTAGTGGATTTCTTCAAGAGGGCGGCGGGGACGCAGGGGTTTGCGGAGGAGTTCCAGGCGCTTACCGAGGAGGAGCGAAGGAGGTTGCAGGAGAGCGCGGCTTAGGGGGTTGGCGCTGAGATGCCTGCTATGCGCTTTGATACGCCGATGGGGGGGCATCCTTGAGGGAAGGAGAGAGAGAGGTATTGGTAGTGTGTAGGTAGGCCTACCTACAGGTTATTAGACCTTAGTACTTTATGATCATGATGGTGGGTTAAGAGGGGCGGTGAGTAAACGAATATATAACTTTTAGGATTCAGTGCGGTTCAATGTGTCTATGTTCTACGAGTCTACCTGTTCAGAACGGGATTGATGCTCCAGTCGCAAGCTTGGCTTTCGAGAACACATTTGTGCACTACTTTCATGGGATTCATACTTCGTGCGCTCACAAATTGAGCTAGTGTAGGATCTGTAGTAGAGTAGGGGCTATGACTCGTTCTAGTATTACCTAGCTTCGGGCCAAGGCTGGAGGATGAGAAGCTTTCCAACAACGAAGTTAGTATGAGGGTTTGCCACTGCTAACACGGAGATACTTTGTACACAGACCCGGCACTAGGCCTCCGGGCCCGGACCCGGAGGTAGGACTGTAGGTAGTGGATGTTTTACTAGCCTTCATTTGGAGATATACGAGCCATGTTAGGACCCTGCGTTGAGGTTGAGATCCCCATCCCCACGGGGACGGACGCCTGGACGTAGATCTATTTCTTACTTAACAACCTACCCTGGGGACCTGCTTCCTTATGCTGGCACTAAGGTGGTGCTTGATACGTGGAAGTGGAAGTGGACGTGGACTTGGTATTCGAAGGTGGCAGTATAGCTCTTATCTCCACGGAGATCTCATTCGCGGATAGGACCGGAAGTAGATCTGGAGCAAAGTTTCGTGCATCACGTAGGATTTGGAGAAGGAAGAAGGAATGGCTTGGCAGCCTCTTGTTCCATCGTTAAATAGCTTTTCCCCTATTAACATCAGTAGAAAGCTCTTGGCTAAACGGCCAGTTCCGATAGGTAGGACGAAGTCTCGCTGATGGATTCACCGAAGGTGAAACGAAGCTAGCTCTATAGACATAGTAGGCATGCTTGGTATTGCTTAGATGTCTTCTTGCGAATTAGCCGAACTAGCCTCCTTATATGGTCCTTGCATATGTTTAGGGTGTCACACCAGTGTGACTTCATGGCGGCGAAAGTAACATTATATAGACTACTGCATTAGAATCCGTATGCTCAACGGTCTCTTTTGCTTTCTCGGAGTTTAAAATTCACCCCAAAGCCGCTCGATAGTAATCCTACACCGCTCGAAGTTTCTATTGAATCAATCTGACGTATCAAGCGGACAGAGTTTCAACGAAGCTAGCCTAACCTTTGATCCCCAAAGATGTATGCGCGAATAGAACTGAGGGCCAAGAAGTGCGGCTCGTAGTTAGAAAGTCATCCCGACTGTATGAAGCTTTTATGGAAGTACTTGACCGAAACACCATACTTCGCCTCCACTGCTCTCTTGTAGATCACTCTCTGAAAGAGGAGTAAACTACTCTGGGGAAGCTCCCCTCTGCTTTGCGTTTGGTGCCTTCGCAAACTACAACTCTGTCCATGGTGATGGATCTTGTAATGACATGCGCTGTCGACAACGACAACATCACCCTGGCCGAGGAAAGCGTATATATACCCAGTTGTCCTTCATGCTCTCATCCACTACCCTCATCGTCCTCGAAAAGCCGGATATCTCAGCACTTCGAATCAACGCTCATAATGCGCTTCAACATCCCCTCTCCCGCCGTCCTCACGGCCTTGCTAGCCATCACCGGCACCGCAACCGCCAACTCCTGCAGCTTCACCGACCCCGATGGCGATCTCAACGGTTTCAACATCAACGTCGACGTGTGGGCCGAGAACGTCGTCGACAGTGAGTCCCCCATCTTCCAAGTTAAACAAAAAGAATTAACCCTCTCGACAACTAGTCTCCGGCATCTGCGGCGGCCTCTGGGACAACCTTCGCAACCGCGGTTGCGACCCTTCCAACACGTACTGTGGAGGCGTTGAGGAGACGCATATTCTGGAGTGGAGGTTCACGACTGTGATCACTTGTGAGCATGGGAATGTTGAGGGGGCGTGGTATGAAGCTACGAAGAACAACTTTGGAGCGATTTCTTGTGTGGGGTAGAGGGTGTTGGGGTAGAGAGCTGGGAGGGGTGGTGAATGTTGAGGGGGTTGAGGTCGCGATGGTTATACAGAAGGTGCAGATCAAATTGCCTCACGTCGGAACTAGTCGCAAGGATTGTGTTATCGTACAGAAAATATGCAACGGCCGTGTAGTTTCGTAGGTCCCTTAGACTATCGAGCTGTATCAACAAACCTCATCATGAACAAGAACCTGGCGTAAGACTCCGTCTGAACATAGGAGTGTCTCTGCGTTTGATGTGGCGCGTATCTGATTTCAAACGGCTTGATTTCTTCGATTCCATGTCGAGGTCTTGAGACGTCATCGCGCTGACTATGGCACCCCCTCCTTGTGCAGATAGTTGAGGATTTTTTTTCCTACTACGAAGGGTCCATCCGGAGCGCGAAGACGTGGAAGATTGCCTTCAGCATCTCGCACGTAGGAAGTTCCAGTGATACAGTGCGTAATGAACCAGGTATTCTCCTGTTTTATTTTTGGGAGCATGCGGGTCGGCTCCATACTTTTCAATGAGAAGCTTCACGATTTTCGTTCGGTTGGTACGTGTTGCCCAAATTAATGGCGTCATACCTTTGTCGTTCTCGTATAATGGATTTGCGCCGTGCTGGGAAAAAAGCAGGTCTAGTATATCTAGTCGATCCCAGAATACTGCGACCATGAGAGGCGTTCCATACGTCCCATGCGTTCCATCCAAGGCAGTGGCACACTCGGTGAGGGTTCACACCATGCACCGAGATCAAGGTATCAACAAGATCTACAAGACCGCCTCTGACTGCGTAGTGAACAAGCGTTCCACCCCAGTCATCGCGTTCATGAAAGTCGCCATCATATTTCGAAAGTAACATGTTGACGATGTCAATGTTGGGTTCGTACAGTGCTGCCATCAGAGTTGTCATGCCGTCGTTTTTGTACTTGCAATCGACCTCGTATTTCTCCAAGATGGCACGAAGCAGGTTCGAATACTGACGGAGAACCGCTACTCTTATGGCTGGTTGGACCTGTTCTTCGCCAAATGTGTGTTATTCGGATCTTATGAACAGGGTTGCGATGCCTAGATTTCTATGCAAAATTGCTTCTAACAGAGGCCCAACTACCTCCTCAATGTCCCAATCTTTGAGGCCCGGTACAACGTTGATATCTGTCTTTTTGAGCCCTATCAAGACTCGCGATACCTTCAATGAACCGTATTTGGCCGCATGCATTAGAGGTGTTCTGCCATCGCAGGCGCGATGATTGACATCCACAGTATACCTGTAGACCAGACAGGTGGCGGTACTCGCCTGATTCTCCCATGTAGCATAGAAAAGTGGGGTCATACCATAGCTGTCTTCAATATCCGGTGACTGCCCGTCCTCTATGAGCGTGATTAAAGCGTCTTCAAAACCGAACAGCGCCGCTAGGTGTGCCCCACAAAGTGACACTCCGGCTCCCTGTTCATCGTCGTACCTTGGCAGGTTTTGGATGATGTAGTCATGGTCGTACTCCAGCGGGTGACGGATGTAGTCCCAGAAAGCGTTGAGGACATCTGGAGAGCTTCGTAAAAACTCCACTGCAACAGATGAGTCGACCTTGGCGGCATGAATACTCCACGAACGAGCTGCGTATCTGTGAAGGCGATGTTGCTCATCACAAGTATAGGGAAATTTACGCAAGGCTCGTTGCAGGGGCTTGCGAACTATACAATCAAGATCTAGGTACTCGCGAACTATACAGTCAAAAGAAAGATACGTGGCACAAGTACGCGCAATGTTACTGTGCGCCTCAGGGAAAACATTTCGGCGCTCAAAGTATTCCTTGGTGGTATAGTGGACCAATCGAACAATCCTGAGAGTTGGATCAATGGTGACTAATCCCATGCATAGAGAGTCCAGGTCTTCCCGGCAGGGGCGAAAGTCTTCATCTAGCTCTTTTGTTTCAGGTTGAATCGCTACCGCATCGAGGAGTTCCGGAACACTCAACGGCCGAACAGAATGCACCACCCATTGAAGAATGTTGTTCGCAAGTGCTGCTTTGTCCGGGCTTTGTGAGTTTATCCTGACCATGGCAAGGTCGTACGTCTTATGGAGTCGTTCTGAACCTTGAGGAAGCGTTCCCAGAGCTCTTTTGAGGTGGCCTTTCGTCGGCCGCTCTTTGAGACTGTCCATGTGTAATTGTGCTAGGAGAAACCTATTAATAGTCAGTTTTCCGTGGCGAAACGCATCACGTATCAAACATCGACTCACATTCCTTCGGTAGATTCAACCACTCTCTGGCTGACCTGTTCTACGAGCTGTGGATCGGTCATCACGAGTCCATCAAGTAGTTCCGGTATTCTGCTCGTGACGTATTTGTGAACATCATCACTCGTGGCTCGAATCTCTGTCCGAACACACCCATTGAAAAGTGATGTTTTGCGAAATATGTCGCGAGACGTGGCTACAATGTTGATCTGGAGAGAGTTCTACAATAGAAACAAACTCTGCATGAGTATATTGATCTTCGAAAGGTCACATTCGCTGTATTCGTCGAGAGCATCGAGTACGACGTAGGTTCTCATGCTAGCACGTGTGGTCGAGCTGTACATCGTTGAGAGTTCGTCAAGCCTCAACGAGCCTTGTTGGTGACGGTCATTGTACCGGTCTATCAGTGCTGGCGGCATTGTCTTTTGACGCTCAAATAGCTGTCTTGCCAAACTAGCGACCACTGTGTCCAAAGTCTGTTCATTTGAACTGTGGTAACTGAACTAGTAGTAGGCAAGACACACGTCTGGATCAGCTGCAGCAAGTTTATGCAGCGCTTCAATCATGATAGCACACATGATTGTCTTTCCCGCGCCTGGCATTCCGGGGCAGAACAGTGTGGATCCCGGTGTTTCTAGCCAGCTCTTATATTCTTTCGATGTTAACAGCCATTGCCCTGTTCCCTCTTGTCGCTGGCAGATTGCATCTCTTTGCTGAGCATGATAGTCAACTGTTGAGAGCCAATCTAGGACCTTTTCCCGAAGCTGTTGTTGTTCTCGGTCGTCTTGACGTTCGTGTAATCGATCAACTTCGGTCTTGATCTCGTCAACAGTAACACTGGCCCGATGTAAGCTTTTGAAATCCTGAAGAATGTACCTAATAGTAGTTTATACCTGTTCAAAAGTTCCAGGTGATCTTTGAAATCATCGACGCTTCGTTTTATTCGGCTTTGGCATTTGCCAACTTCTTTCTGGTCCCAGCGTAACCGCTTCCAAATGTTCGACACCATGAGCCTGCTTGCGTCCTTCTCTTCTATTCCCGTGTATCTTTCTAACTTTTGATTCAGCTCTTCGAGCAGTCGTTGACAATTGTTTCTGATGCTGTGTAATTTCTCCGCTTGGTCTCCTGATATGTTACGATGAGGCAAGACGTCCTTCATGAACATGAAAAGACAAGAGAGGGTTTGGATTCTTTTATATAGAATTATTGCTGGCTCAGTGAGGGTTTTGGAACGTACTGACTCATCTCGGACGCTCTTGTAGTCTGAGGGAGCATCGACAAATCGCTCGCGGATTTTGTCCGCAAGCTTGACAACAGCGACGAGGTCGCCAATGCCGAAACCAAAGCTCATGATGTAGATGGAAGCTGTTTTCTTCACAATTCATAACCTAGGTAGGATCAATGCTGTGGTATTTTAACGATCTCAGCCTTCCCTACAGCGAACTTGATCATGACACAACCCCGCTCGCAGTATCACTCTGCACTCGTTTCATGATGCCGCACAGTCAGTTGCACGGCAATATAGCTCTAGACCATTGGTAATTAATTCCGGTTGGTGTATGGTAGCTAGCTCTCGATAGCGCTTCCACTTCGTTCCTTCCCTGTTCATCGACGAACACCAAGGGACGGTAGAGAACTCAGCAGGCTTCGGACTTGGTCTCGGAGAGGTACAATGACGAAGGTACGCTGAGTTTGCTTTGAACTGGTTGGTCGTGCACTTGGGCCCATAGATGTCGTGTTCGCTTCCGTCTCACTCGTTCTTGCCTTCCCAAACCTGTCTACTCACTTCCTCACTCTCGAGGGACAGCTCTTTCATCCCCAGTGATACAAGCGCTCCCACAGCAGCGAATCCAGCTAGGATCCACCAAATTGATCTCAACGACCCCGCATACGCATCCGTGATCGCATCCAGCAGGTCATCTGGCAACGAAGCGTGCCTCAGATGCGGTATGAATCCGACCGCCATCGCAGGGTCCCGCAAAACGGCCACAGATTCCGGCAAATATTCTACCCGTGCGATCGCGCGTCCAAATGTGCTAGTAAACGCCGTTGCGCCACAGGCCATGCCAACCAAGCCGCCGAATAGGCGGAAAGATACCAAAGTGCCAGCCGCGAGGCCTTGGTCGTCAACGGTAGGAGCGCTTGCTTGCATGACGATAGTAGGCACTGTGAAGAGTGTGCCTAACCCAATGCCAGCGATGATCTGGAAGCCGACTGATATAGCGAGCGATGTCTTGCGATTCCATAGCGATATGAGGCCCACACCGATTGCAAGCAAGACCCACCCCAACCAAATTGTCCATCGATATGAGCGAGTTTGCTCGACTGCAAGCGCCGCAACGCCACTTAGAACTACCACGAAGACGCAGATGGGTAGGAGCGATACGGCAGCTTGAAGGGGTGTCTCGCGGAAGACAGCTTGGAAAAACAGTGGCAGGTACAACAATACGCCGTAAAGCACCGCTCCGTGGACGAATCCGCCAGCGAGGGTAACCTTTGCTGTAATGTTGCCACATATACGATGCGGTATGCATGGTTGCGCTGGATACTTCTCCCACATAGCAAATCCGAGAAGGAACGCAATACCGGAGACGAGAGGCACCAGTGTCCGCCAGGACGACCAGGGGTAGATGGCTGAAGCCCAGCTCAGTGGGAGCGCAAGCAGCACAGCCCCTGTAGCGAATAGTGCCATGCCCATCCAGTCCAAGTTCTTTAGCTTAGTCCCCAGGGAATCCTCGATAGACTTCAACTTCAAGAAGAAGTATGCACATGGTGCTGCAACTGCGATAATGGGCAAGTTATACCATCCGAGCCAACGCCAGCTGGCATACTCACTAAAAAGTGCTCCGATGGTAGGTCCGAGAATACTTCCGATAGCCATCGGGATTGTGAGCAGTGCTATCCACAGAGGCCGCTCTTTGAGGTTCGTCATATCTGTGACGATGACCTCGCTGAGTACATCTAGACCACCGCCGCCTAAGCCCTGGAGAATTCTCCCTACAATCACTATCTTCATAGTCCGTGCTAAAGCGAAGGCAACGGCTCCAATCGAGAACAGCGTGAGACCTGCAAAAAGTGGAATGCGCCGGCCGAGGACATCTGAAGTGGTGACGTAGATCGGTTGAACAACGGCTACGGCGAGCATGAAGGATATGCTTGCCCAGAAAGCTTCGATTGTTGTGCCCTTCAGTTCGATCGTCATGCTCTACATAATCATTCAGTTCTGAGCTTGGAACGAGTCTTACAATGACAGGTGAGGCCTACCGGGATTGCGACAGCTAAGGCAGTCGCATCGAGCGTCACTAGTAGGACTACTAGCCATAGCGAAAGGGAAGCGAGCCAGAACTGATAAGGCTTCTTCCAACTAGACGTTGGATTGTTTTGGGTCGATAGCGCTGTTGTCCCGGACGTCCTCTCGACGTCCTCATCTGCGTTGATCGCAGTTACAACTACGGCACCACTCTTGACTTCGTTACTTTTGGTTGATTCCATGTTCGAGAGAATGAGTCAAAACGGGTATAAAATTACCTACCGGTGTCAGTGTCATGGCGAGTATTTTCCGCAAGATGTCGAAGTCGAAGCATCTGGCATTGCTCTGTTTAAATTTCCAACCAGACTTTCTCATGTCCGCCCTCAACAATATTGTCGACCAAATTTTCAAACCCGGCTACTTCATTGACCCAATCAGATGGATGAGATTATGACTTACAGAAGGCCAAATTCGCTCCTCATTCTAAATCTTCGCCCGGCAATTGGTAGAGACCACAGGTCCATTGCATGGAGGAAGATCGAGCACCTTTTGACTGACCATCCCGCCCCAGCACTCAGTAACTGCAATCGGAACATCACCTCTGGCTGGCTATCATTAAGCTTAGACAGCGGCCATATCACCAAATCTAGAACTCTTCAAGCATTATTTTCGCCTGACTAGCCGCAGGAGAGAACCTGATTCGCCAGCCCTGCGCACCGGACCCTCAAAAGTACGATGCGCCACGCAGCTTTCAGGCAGCCTCATGCGGATGTTGAGGCTGAGGCTCCCAAATTCAGCAGCTTTTGTGGCAGCGAAGTCAGGGCTAAGCTATTTGTAGGGCGCTGCGAAAAGCTACGCGAGGCAGACGTTGCTCCGGTGTGCTCGTGGCTGCTGCAGTTGCATTGCAGTAGGGACGAGAACACTGGTGGCTTGGGTTCAGCTCGCCATCAACGACTCTACACCATCGAGAATATACAGCCAACTCCCACTACAGTATACACGCAGCTGTAACCTGCATCTACCAAGCTTTTACCAGTCAAGCGGCCAAACTAGCTTCAGTGATCAGCTACGCTTCGCTTCTGATACACATCGATTGATTGATCGACTCGGTAACATCCCCCGATAGCCATCCAATTGAGGGGGCCTTGGAGGCATAGCTACTATTTGATAAGTTACCACGGATTGGAAAAGAATTTAACAGTTCTCCTGCCAGCAATGACTAGGTTGAACGATCTCGACAGACGCTACGTGGTAGGTAACCAAGTAGGGGTAACCCTAAGATTCTCTCTACTTTATAAAAAGGTAAAGACCTAGGTACTAAGTCACACTTTCGAATCTGAAATTGATCCCCTCGAGCTTCAACACAAGAGTCGTCTCTGTTCGACTCAAGATCTCCCTACCACACCCAAGAAGTCTTCCACTTCGACAAGAGTCACCTTCGTTGGCTTCATCACCGTTATGCTCGCGATGTGCTATCTTCGAGTTAGGTACTCAAATATCATAACGTGCTAACTGGCACAGCCAATGTCTTCACGCTGGCCTTCACCTGTACAGCGTCTGAAATCGTCAAGCTAAAAGCGAACAGACATACCCTTTGTACTTATTCAGCTCATAGCCGTCTTTAACGATGATGTATTTGTGTCTTCCGCCCTTTTAAGTGCTCGAGTAATCCTCTTGATGCTCTAAGCCGAGCATCGATTCATCCTCTAATCTAGAGCTCGCACATCCAGCGCGCCAATGCGCCTCCCTCTCTACACATTCATTCCCTTCCCTTTCACGTCTTCTCCAACTACCGAACCCCAGCCACCCATTAATATCGCCCAAACAGAAATAGCCCTCGCACGACACAATTCCCATTGGACGGAATATCCACCTTTACCTAGCCCGCTGCACTTCGACACAAAAACCCCCCGCTCTAAGCGCCCAGCAATATACTCGCTTCCGGTTCGCGGGACAAGCCACAATGCGTCCCGAAGAGCTGCGCTGGACATTCGTACTGCCGGCCAGCCGTTAGAGTACAAGCCCATCTGCTCGAAGGAACAGGTGCAGCTGCTCGTCAGGCGGACTATGACGCGCTCGGTGCGCAGCGCATCGCATCGCATCGCATCGCATCGCACATCCATCAGGATCGCTCAACGCGGGGCAGGGCATAGGATTCTCGCGTGCGGAAAACGGAAAAGAGGCACCCTGCTGTACTGTCCTTGGAAGTGAAGTGCAATCTAGCGGTCGCGGTTCCACCGCGTTGTCAGCGGGGCAGCGGTACAACGCTCCTCTCCTGCTCATCTCCTCAAAGCGAAAGTGGGCACATGTACACTACTGTACTCGCGACTCCTCCTCACTCAGGTGAGAGTACTCCGCGTCGGTGATCCCGTGATCTGCACGTTGGTAGCACCACCTGACATTGGGGAGGACGAAGCGACGTCGCACTCGTTCTCCACTGCCTATCTCCACTCGGGCACGGCACGACGTTGAATATTTCATTTCGGACCGCGTTCGGTGAGCCGATACGTAACAGAACGCACGCTGTTCTAAAAAGTACGCTGAGCTCAGCGGCCTACTGTCGTGCTACCACACGCCTACCATGTGCGGCTAGGAACGTCCTGCTCGGCCTATGTAAGCTGCAGCGAACCTTGTACAACTACTCTGTGCAACAAGCCTTTAAAATAGAAAAGCAGTGTTTCTATGCAGAGTGTATCGACGAGGCGTAGCTTAGGCCATCCCACCTTTACAAGATGTTATCTATCTATGTTTACATCTCCGAGCACTGCATTCGACTAGGATAGTGTTCGTTCCTCGCTGGAGGTAGTTGAAGAGGGGTTGTTCAGCCGCCGGCGCCTATCCTGACAACGGAGATGATGTTCCGGGCACGTGGTGGGGGTTGACAGGCGCCCCGCTCTACGGGGGAAGTTCAATTACCCTTCTGGGTCCAAACGGAGAGGCATTCGCTACGGATGTGTAGCAGAGTATGCGCGGCTTGTATCAGCCAGGACGCCCGTTACGCATACCTGGGAATACCGTCATACGACCTTGTTGGTACACTTGCCCCAAAAGATGGTTGAAGTTGTTATGGATGGCTTGACTGCCGAATCGCGAAGATGCGACGCACGGCGTTTCGATATGGAGGCAGATGACTTCGATGTAGGGGTTCCAACCGCGCAATGCATGAAAGCTCTCCACATCACATCGTCACCGTTCAACGTTCCTCTGTTCGGGTTGTCGAGCCTATGATCTGAGAGCGTGGAGCAAGGCTGGGCGCTTACGGCGTCCTCCGCCATCGTGAAAGGCAAGAAGAGGCGCACTGCCAGTCCCTCACGCCGAGACGATGCCCTGCATGACCTGCTGACCGATTCTGCGACCCATCGAGGCCGGGCCGCATTGCTTCGCATTCCTCCGCTGTCAAGATCTGTCGGTCGGCACCGAGGAATGGAAGCATGTCGCGATACATGCCGTGCGAGGTGGTTGGGAATGCGGAGGGCATGTGACCTTCCAATAGCGGGCCAAACCAAAGTTGGAGCATCACGATTGTGCAAGTGTTGAGTGAACGACCACACAGGCTCTGCGGGGTAAAAGTGGGCATTCGCGATTGGCTTCGTCATGGTTCCGTCTTTGCAGTGCAGAAGCAGGCATGCGAGTGCACGGATGATGCTGGGCAAAAACGTTTCGAAACATTGGCCATCGGCCCGTCTGCATTGGCTTGTCCCGTGCATGAACGCTCCAACTCCAGCTGCGAACCGCCGGCATGTCGCGTGGGTTAGCGCATCCCTGCAAACACACTCATCGACAGGTGTTCGCAGTGTAACATTCTCAAGGATTTGACGGAACTCACCTTTCCCTTCGCTGCGTGATGTTGCTGAGTCTGGGAAGGGAGTGTTGTACGGAATGAACCCAGCATCGCGCATCTTCCGGACGGGAGCGAACGAGGCATGGAGAAGCGCACCGAGAGGTCATCTGTGTCGCGCAAAGGACAGTCGTACAGCAATGCTTGGATAGCATTCCTCGCGCACGAGTCTCAATCGCGGACATGTAGCTTGAAGCGTCAATGCCAATCGCCTGCGCGATAACAATGTTTTTGGAAAGAGGCGTAAACGAGATCAGCTGCTACACCCTCAATCTATCCCCTCACCACCAACGGACTCGTGTGCAACCTTGCCAACGGTTTGGTGTTGACGGCCGCTGTGTGACGGCGTCCCGCTCGTCCGTACCAGCCTTCTTCCTTTTGCGGGTTGGGGGCCGCCTTTGGAAGCAGGAACAGACTTCACATGCAGCATCCCAAACGCTGTTGCCTGGTAATGCGCAAGGGGCTGTCCGCGTCCGACACAATTACTGGGCCGAAGGATCATCTGCCGCAGCATTTCAAAGCGCGCCGTTCGGGAACCAAGGACGATAAGTGTGGGATATCGCCATGGATGTCTTGGACGCCCTAAAGAGCCTCAATGCATCGTGTCGTTTAGTGATAGTGTGTAGGTCCCGTCTTGGGGGTAAAAGCTGCAGATTGGAGTCCTAGACGATATTGGAGGCGAGGCTGAGACCAAGGCAAACGTAAGACGAGCCATACAACACGTTTGTTGATGCCCGTCTCGGGTTACCAATGGCGCGGAAAGATATCTTACCCTACACAGTATACGCCGTCCAATGGTCGCGCGTACCCAGCACACGAAGGGCTGCATCGCAGTAGTCGCGCCTAATTTTATCGCAGTCGCTGATGCGATACCTGGACTGGTCTCCAGCCATCCTGGAGCAATGCTTGCATCGAGATATCGCATCAGCAGACGCAAGATGGCATCGAGCGATGGAGAGAGGCCGTCTGTCCGCCCGCACACCCTCAGGATCCCACGGCCTTTCGGCGCCGGGAGGCTATTGGTTTCCTGCGGCCCGCGTCACACCTCCTTCGGGCGCTCTCATCAGCCGCCCAAGTGAAGAAGCAAGAGGGAGAAGCTAAGAAAGCCAATCTCCAATCTCGAAGGATGCCCACGTTTTCCCGGCGCAGCCTACCATGCAGTGGGTAAGGCTGAAGCGAAGTGCAGTCATATGCGCAGTCTGGCGCTGAAGGCAATGGCAGAAGGCGCAGCAGTCGCCAATAGCGAAGCGCAGGTGCATCTGCAAGCGCCCGTTGGCCAGCAAAGTGATTCTGGTGACTGTGATGACGTTGCGCAGAGGCGTATGAGGTCGCGACATTCACAGCGCGAGGCGTAGCCCAACTGTGAGTCGACGGCATTTCGGGCTTTGTTTGTTCGGGATGGGGGTGAGCTGTAATTGCAAGGTGTGGTGACACAGAAGAAGCAAGGTAGCGAAAAGAGTGGCCTGAGACCAATGCGAGGTACCGTTCCTGCCGATGTTTCACATGCCATGTGGAAGGTGAGCCGTGGAAGTGGGCAGCTGCGGTTGGTGGCTGTCTTCGTGGGCGGGAACGGCAGACACGACTGCGAATGCCACCAAGCCGAACGACGCAGAAGACTTGGAACTGATGTGAATAGCTAATGTAATTGATAAAAATGTGTGGTATCGTTTTTGACCTCGCGGTCACCAACGAGCTTCTAAGCCCATATCTAATGACACCTTACCAGGTGGTACTGTCGACCACTGATGCCAGACAGAAAGGAAACCGGTGAAGACCATAACGATTGGAAAGGGGGAATCGTAAAAGAGAAACTTTTTCCGGTGACCCACCCAATGCGAATTCCTCCTAGTAGTAGTACAGTTGGATCGTCCCAGAAAATGCAGCGCACAATTACAATTAAAATCAGAAAATGACGCACGGGTATCTCGCAGTAAGAGCAAAGACTGAGTGCAGGCAAACCAAAGGCAAGGGAAAGCAGTAACAGTAAGAGGCCATAAGATGGTCTCAACCAAGACAAACGCCAGCGCCAAAGCGTCTAGGCCTCGGGGTGGCGAAGAATCTCTTCGCAGTTCGCATCAAAACGCATGCTCCAAAGGCGAATGCCAACCATAAACTTCTCGGTCGTCTCGAGCTCACGGTCGCGACCAAAGATGGAGTCGACGAACTCGCGGCCGCTGTTCTTGCCCATGGCAAGAGGCTTCTTCTCTCCCGTCTCTTTCTTAGCGGCCTTCCACATGTAGTCTTCACACACTTTGAGGAGCTTGGCGAGGCGAATCCACAGACGCTCGCCGCTCTCCAGGAAGTCCTCGACCATTTCGCGGTTCTCCTTCTGGCGAATCTGGGACAAGGTCTCTTCGGCACGCTTGACTTTACCAGCAAGCTGGATGAGGAGAAGCCAAAGCTCACCCGCCATCTCAGCCAGAGGCGTTGTTGGTCCATGGTGGTAGACAGTCCAATCGTAGATCCACTTGCCGAGGGTGTTGGCGTCGAAGACACTGCCCAACAGCATGATGGGCTCTTCGGCGGGGTCCCAGTTCTTGTACGAGTAGCCAGCGGGGATACGGGCGCGGCGCGCGTCTTCATCGGTTGCTTTTCTTGGGGTCTTGGGAGGCGCGGCTCGCTTGGGGGTGGGCTGCGGCTGCGGCTGGGGACGGGTGGTGTGAGACGCACGTCGCGGACGGCTCGCCTTTGGCTCTGACTCATAGATAGGGACCTGATGGCGGACATGGTAATCAGCATAACCGTACGTGGCGTGGCGAGTGTACGGTGGCGGTGGCTCTCGCTCTCGCTCACGGACATAGTCGAAGTCGCCATAGACGTCCTTGGTGTGCACGTAGCGCGCTGATACCGACGGACGACGAGCCTTCTCACGATTGGAGCGTTTGAGAGGCGTCGCGTCCGTGTCGCGGCGTTGCCGGCTCGTTGGAGCGTAACCAAAATAACCACTTACATATTCGGGCGTACGCTGTGGCGTCGGGTAGTAGCGCGGCGACGTAAACTGCGGCGTTGCGCCTCCGCGCGGCGAAGTGTATGCATTGTACTGCGAGGAGGGGACAGCGTGCGATGCGCGTCGCGAATGGCCGTGGACTTTGGGAGAGGCGTGCGGCGAGGGCGAGACTCCTGCGGCGCCGTAGCGGGGAGAGTAGTAGCCAGGCGAGGGCGACATTGGGGGCGTCTGGCGGTGCTGGTATGCGTCGTAGGGCATGTAGCCCGGGGGAGGCGTGGGGTACTGTGGAGCGAAGTTCATGTTCGCGGTGCTGGTTGCGCCCAGGAAGGAGGAGTGGTAGAGGGGGGGTAGAGGGTGCGGGCGCACGCGACTGATTTATTCACCACCTCACCGGTCGCAGATTCCGTTTGTGAGTCGCTGTCTGGCGGTATCGTGGGTGAACGAGGAGGATGACTCGACGGCAGAGAAGAAAAGGGCGTTCTGTCGACAGCACATTGAGGTCTGCGGTACTATTTTGCTAGAATATGCCAGAAGGATCCTCAGAATTGGGGATCCGGGTCGTTGTGTGGTGAAGTGCTTGGTAATATGGGTGTAGTTGGGACGAGCCTCAAGTGTGCGCGAAGGCGGAGGGCCCGGCTAGTTATGTAGCCAGACACTGCATTTGGGTTTCCGCCCGCGGGCCAAAAGCGACAGCAGCCTGACGGGGGGGGAGCCTGCAGCCCATCGCCCCCTTGTCCGCTAGAGGTCCGCCCCCTGACACGCCCGATCGCCTACCTAATCTATGGGTCTGACTATTACTCCCGCTATATTACTGCCCGGGAGCGAGCGTCTGGTGGGCTGGAAGGGCGCCTCAGCCTCCACGCGTGCGCTGCGTCCTGCGAGGGTGGACGCTGCGCACGAATCGATGCCCGAGGTGACCTGGCACATGCGAACGGGAGGGCAGCCTCGTCCCTCGCTGCGTATCCAAACGGTATTATTGTCATTGGTAATATTGAGTTCGAAAACGCCCACTGCGGTGCTGCTCCCATCCAAATATCCGATCCTGGCTGGACGGGACGAGCAGGTCAGTGTAAGCTCACTCACCCGTGTGGCCCAGAGCAGCGCTCGCTCCTGTGCTGTGCCACGCTTGGGCAACACTCTGTTCTATTACGCCCACCCTGCCCAGGTGCGCAGCATCGTGCTATCGTTTCGTGTACCGTGTGTGCGCTCTCGGATCAGCTCTGCGACGGCACGTCTCCCAAGTAACATTACCTCCCGCTCCACTTCTCGTGGAGATCCAACGTCAGGCAGCGTAAATCGTCGTCCATGCGCACTGATTGCGAGCGGCCGGTCCTCCGCTGGCCCCGGCGCACTGCTTCCTTCGACGCGGGAGCACTTACTCGGCCGCCGAAGGACGATGCCCAAAGGACGCGCCTCTGCATGGGCTGGCCGCTGCGTCGACACATGTCGGCCAACATGCCCAGCAGCGCCTGCTAGCTCGCGACGACTCTAGCTTCGCAATTACACCGCGCCGGCGTCGCGGAAGGGGGAGGGTGGAAACTGGAGTGCTTCCGTCCCAGACGGGACGCAAGCGTACCAGAATTGGCTGCCCAACGGCTCGTCTGGAGGCGCTGGGATGCCCTGCCCAAACGGTGCAATTCGACTTGAGCCGCACTCTTGACCACGCTTGGGGCTCACCGTGAGCCCCCTCGAGTGTTGCGGTAGGACCGCTCAGCAATCTCCGCCCAGGGAAAAATTTTCTTCAATATTGTCTCACAAATTGTTGCTTGGATCATGCTGCTATGCTGGCCCGCATGTTTACTTACCGCTACTTCTGGACATGATGGCTTTCGTCTCTCCCCGTTGGTGTATGGATGACGGCGGCCCCGCTGCTGCACCTTCGCGCAGCCACAGCACCCATGATTCGATGCCAGGCCGCGAACAACACAGCGGACATGCTGCGATCTCCAGTGCGCGCAGCTAGACTTGCCTTGAAGCAGGTTTCCGCGACAGAAGTCGAGTGTGCGCGGCCATTCACTGGTTAAAACGGAACGCCAGGACCCGCTTTCTGCATGAAGGCTTCCTGCTTGACTTTTGTTTCTGCCGCCATTCCTACCCTTGCAATCTCTCCTCGAACTCTTGGCACACAATCATTTCGAATTTTGGAAGCGTTCCCGGTGCCCCTATTGGCCCTCATCGCAGCTTTAATCCCTGTGGCGCTCGACGGCAGCACGCCTACCGAGCCCACAACACACTTTCACCGTCAAAATTCCTACGCTGCCTCGACAACTCACCTTGCGTACGGATGCTCTGACTCTTCGTCGGGTCTCTGCTCCACTACCCGTATCAGCGCGATTGGCTCCGTCTCACCGCGATATCGCGAATCCTCACCTCACGAGCACGCACACTGTCGAATGCGCTCTGGCCGCGTAGCCATTATGTATCATTTGCATCGAGACTCGTCCGGCGGAACGTTGCGCCGTCGACACTGCATCCTGCGCCTCTCGGGAAGTGTACTGTGCTGTCTTCTGGCCACGCCATGACGCAGCCCTACCTGGGTTCACGCAGCATCGCCTTCGCAGCCCTAACGTGGGTTTGCAGCATTCGCAAACTACCCAGGAGGGCCACGTTCGTTGCGCTGGCTGAGCATTACATATGCACGTCTGCTCTAGCGCGCATCCACAAGTGATCCCAAAATATTCCCCCAGCCGAGTCGCTTCCTCCAATCCCGTTTCGCATTGACCCCTGCAATCAGCCGTGCCAGGGTCCTGTGGCGGTGCAGCTAGCACTTGATCACATGATTCCATACAATTACCCACTTCGGCTCTGGACAGTTGTGGCAAACTTTTGAAGCGCGTCTTGTGGCGGCTGCTTCGGAGCACGCGGAGCTGAAACAAGAGCTTGGCCGTGAAAGTGCTCCTCTCCGTGACTTTCCTGACATGTCACTTCGACGACTTCTTCGCGGAAGTCCGGTAGACCCGCTCTTGTCCGAAGCCGATTTCCTGCGTTCGTCCGCATTGTCAGATAATTCATTGGAGTGCGCAAACGAAACATGTGATCAGAGCAACCCCAATGCACTACACATTGGGTGGAGGCGAGACGAGACGACGTCGCCAGCGCAGAGGCCTATTTCCTGGACTTGCCCCTCCAGCCCCAGCTATGACTCCTACACTCGCCGCCTTCAACAACACGCAAGTTATGTCTGATGACCATATCAGTCGCCAGCTATATCGTCCTGCCTGCCATTATCCATGAAAAAGAAGGCAAAACATATCGCTGTGTAGGCGCGGCGAAAGGCGAGTTCAAGAGCAGCCAAAAATTGGTGGTGACTCATTCCTCAGGAGACCCTCATGCCTGTTAGTGAGCAACAACCCAACAGGCTTTTCCCGGCAATCGCGCTGGAGCAGCAAACAAGCAGCATGCAAGCGGGCGGAGCATATGCGTCATACCGTGCGTGTTCCCCCAATGCTGTGGTAGCAAACTATCAATAGCCGCCCGCCAGTGTAGCCTCATCATGGCTCCACGACCACGTCGCGATTCTGGATCGCCTGCTTTTCCAAGGCCTGCAGCAGCCTTCTATTATCTGTGACTAACACTACAGGTATTTTGGATTATTACAACGTTCTATACGTTTTCTTTTCTGGGCCGAGCGCCGTGCGGAAACTAAGTATAATCATCCCGGTGTTACTACCCGTCGATTTCCTCCTGCTCACCGACTGGTTGCTCCTACGTCCACTCTTAAGTCTGAGCTCCATTCCTACGTCCACTCGGAGTGAATCATTCACTCCGCGACCACTGGTTGGAAGATATGATCCTCTTGTCGCCCGGACTGCAAAGCATCCTTCCTGTGTTGGATCACCTATCACCGCACAGGCTTTCTTATCGGAGCATGGACCATATTATGGCCACCATAGCACGCCTTCGCGGCGACGATTCACGTTACTGTTGCCTGGAGGTCCTCCGGACGGATGGCGACATGCCCTTGAATGAACGTGCGAAGGCAAACCCTGCCAGTGGCACTCGTGATCGCGCGTAGAAATTAGGATACGCAGGCAACCGCGTTTACAGTCACTGTTGACGACGCGTCCCACGCTCTCAGATGCACGAATGGGAGTCACGACCACAGGTATTTTAGATTGCTATCATTTCTAAGATTTGCCTCTTGTTTCAGCTGCTGCCTGCGACGTCAATCTACCCACGTTAGGCAACTAAGTAGATGGGAAACAATCCCTAGTAATCCACCACTGGCAAAGGGACTACTATGTTGCACTACATGAGCTTTCTCATGTTTACACTCGGAGCTATTAGACGGCAATGTTACCTAAGAGTCTACATCAACAACCCACATCTGGAGAGCGACGGCCACCACGCAAGCTTCGACACAACATTAACTATCATAGAAGCCATCATTAGATGCACTTACTAATAGCCACTAATCTAGACTAGGCCTTCCCAATAACAAAGTTCCAGCAAGCCTTGCATAATACCATTGAGCACCTTTATGACTGTCAATTACTTAGACGTCAAGAGGGTCAGATATGGGGATCAGGGAGTGTTCCTCCGTTGTTTGCCACTGCAGATACGTTCAACACTCACGGTCATCATGTCGTGGCATCCCTATTAAATGGGAGGATTGGGATTCGATGGCAGAGGCCGGCGCTACTCGGGCTGAACCCGGGAAGTTTTTTTTTGTTTACAAGTTCGTTTGTGTATATGCAGATGTCACTAAAGCGAATGATAAATGTGAGTTGCGAACAACGCTCGTTCTTGAGTATCAGGAGATCAATATATCAATTTGATTAAGACGCTTGGTTTATGTCTATATCTGAATTGATTATAGAGATATCGCTGGGCATGCGTGTTGCAGACTAGTAGCTACACCCTGAATAAGTATCGTCCCTTTTGCCGGCCTTCATACTAAAGGCTTGTTCCTTACAATACTGCGCAAGACCAAACGCGATTGGCCGCACTGAACCGGCATCAAGCTTCAGAAGGTATGACCAAGGAAAGAAAAGGGCAAGGAAGGCAAGTCGGACCTGCACATCGGCTCCCCCTTCCTGCTTTGTGCCAAACATCTCCATGTCGTATAACAAAGCAATGCACTCAATGCAATGCACAACTCAGCATGCCAAGCTCCCTTCGTATGCTTCTAGGCTCTTCATACTTTTCATCTCATAGGTTGGGCATGTCTGTATTGACACGTTGGCGTACAGGTAAGAGAACCCTGATGGCCATGGTAGGGTACTGTGGACGCGCAGTAGGGCTCTGTACAACGTCAATGTACTGCGAGAGAGATATGAGTATCATTGCGAAACGATACAGCAATGCATGCAACGTGGTTAAAGCCTGATGATTCGTTACTGAGAAGGCTACTGGAGTGGTTGATATGCTGGGTTTATACGAGAAGCCACTTTCTCTCATGCCCTCACTCCGAAACCCGCTCATTGCCTCAAACACTGGATCCGTTCACCACGCCAACATCTCGACTTTAGGCTAGCTGATTGCATTGATGTCAATTCAGTCGGCCAGCGGACTGGCAGGCCATGATATCAAGTCCGCAAGAGAGTTACCAAGTTGTTGTGGCTAAAGTTGTAACAACGGAAGGCTGGCGTGAAATCGCGCTTACTCACTTCTTAACCGTCACATTAGATTCAAATGGACTACGACGCAAACGAACTCTCTCCTCCACAACAGAAGAGCCAGAAATACCGAAAAGATCATTAACTCGTGACCCCATTAGTATCTACTCTCGACGACCTCCCCCCTCTAGTACCCCTCCGCCAGCGTATTATTCCACAAACTCCTCACCGTCACCCCATCTTTCCATCCCCCTCCCGTAGTATCACTCTTCACTTTATACCCCACCTCCTTCTCCTCCCCCTTCGCGAGCCAGAACCCGTTGTCCTCGAAGTTGAGAACCGCTCCACCAGGGTAATCTAACCACACGAACGCCGCGACTCCACTGGTTGCTTTGACGGTGAAAGTGTCGTTGCTATGGCTCAGCTCAAGGCCTGGATCCGTGAGGTTCGAGCTCGAGAGCGGCGCGGGATGGAACCAGTTTGTGTGCGTGAACGTTTGCGTGGCATTGGAGTTGGGCAGGGAGCCCTGGGCTGAGACGTCTAGCCGGAGAATTGCGTCCGAGGGATCCCGACCCTGGAGGATAGTATCGAGATTGGACGACACAATCTTCGTGCCGTTTATCGCTCCGACGGACACGTTCGTTGCAGCATCCATACTGATGTTGAGTTTGTTGCCGGACCAGTCGTACCACGCCAGATTGACCTCCGCCGAGACTGCCGACCACAAGTCTGAGATAACCCAGATTTCGAAGTCGTTGGTCGTCACGTTGCGATATGCTGAGATGACGACAGGCTTGTAGATGTCCTTTGCGACGTAGTGCAGCACCTTCCACCTGCCGTCGTATTCGATGCCCGCCCATGTAGGCGCTTGCCACTGGTCCTCGAGCTGCCAGTACAGCGAGCCTAGCTGGCGCTCTGGAAGCGCGCTCCCCCTGCGGTAGAACTCGATCTGGAACTTGTAGAATTCGGCTTGGAAGATCTGCGTGGAGTGGCACCAGGCGGAGAAGTTTGCTAGTGAGTCGGTCTTGTCTGGCACAGGGTACCATTGCTGGACGGCCATGGTCATCTGTCCTTGGCCGATGGAGGCGTTGTAGAAGTTGGATATGTTTACGCCGCCTGCGGGTGGGTGGTGGTCGCGCAGCATGACGACGGAAGAGTTGAAGAAAAGGTCTTCGGGCGCGACGGCTTGTTGCCAGCTCTGCAAGGAAGGCATGCTGTGATAGCCGAATTCGTTCGCGAAGCGGCCGACCGGGTATCTGGAGAAGTTTCCTAGCTGGCTGAAGTTGTAATTGTAGAAATCTGTGTCGCCGTAGATTGATCCTTCCGTGAGGTTCTCATAACGTTGTGTCATCGGCTGGCTTTTGGAGAAGTCAAGACTCTGCCAGCCATTCGTGGTGCTTGATGGAGAATATGAAATGCTCCTTGTGTTCCCAAGGACTATTGGCACGATGGTGTCGAGGAAGAGTGTTTCGTATTCAGCCAGATATCGTGGGTATTCATCGGGTGCCGTCTTGTTGACTGTCGGGAGCTCCAGGTTCTCCAGCTCGTTACCTCCAGCCCAGTAGGCAAGGGAAGGATGGTGGTTCACCCTGCGGACCTGATACTCTACCTCATGTGCCACATTCTCCAAGAACTCTTCGTTAACCGGGTAAAGCGCACAGCCAAACTCGAATTCACTCCACAGCAAGATACCCATTTCGTCCGCGAGATCGTACATAAAGTCAGGAGAATACGCTCCAGATGACCAGACTCGTAACATATTCTGGTTGCCATCAATTACACTGTCAAACAGCTGACGCAACCGAGGTTCCGTCACGGTGGGCCAGAATGGGTCCGGTGGAATAAAGTTCGAGCCTTTCGCGTAGAATTCGTGTCCTGGTGCATCCGTTAGTATATGTTTTCGTGTTGGTTGGATATTCCATAATCATTTACCATTTATCTCAAAGTGCCAGTTGCCACCAGGAGCCACTCCAAGGTCCAGCTGCTCTTGCGAGATCGGTGTTTGATTATTGAAGATTGTACGGAAACCAATCCGCTTCGTCACGGTCACCACCGTCGTGTTACTGCTATCCACAATGTTCAAAGTCAGATTGTATAGCTGCTGTTGGCCCATGCCAACCGGCCACCAAAGTTCCACAGCGCTGTCTGGTACTGATGTGCTCCCTGTGATTCTTCCATCCTCAGAGGTGACATTCGCGAGCGATCCAGTCAGCAAATCATCGCCGTCTCCACTTGATATCGTATATTGAACATTCACTCCTGAAGGTAACGATCCAAGATAGTCGACGCTTGCGTTGAGAACCCAATCCTTTGTTTGATCCGGAGCATAGAAGTTGTGTTGTCCTTCGCGGTAGATATCGACAAGCGTATTGCGAACATAGACATTCTGTGGCGGTAGCTGCACAACGAATGCCGGCTGCCAAATGCCTGCGGGTGCAAAGGCAGGACCCCAGTCCCAGCCAAAGTCGCTCTGCTCTTTTCGAATGTATTCTCTGTTCGGGAATTCATACAACTGCTGCACACCAAATGGCCAGGCTGTGAAGGTTAGTGGAATACGTTCTCAGATTGTGATTTGACCTACTCTCTTGGCCGGGAATTGCTCGTGTAGCGTTCGCAATTATTGGAGCACTTCCGAAGTCGATGCTTAGAACTGGACTATCGCAGGATTCTAACAAGTCTGAGACGTCGAAGTAATACTGCCTGAACTGATTATTGGTCGCTGCCACGTGCTGACCGCAAAATTCTATGCTCGTGAAAGTATCGAGACCGTTGAATACTAGCCATGTAGAACTCGCGTTCTTCTGCCTGCATGCTGTAAGCTGTCATGACCCGCTTCAACTTTGGCGATGAACTCACAAATCTAAAGGTGCTGAAAAGTAAGTCCAGTTCGAATACGTGATCCATCGAAGATTGAACTCATTCAAAGCGTACAATGGGTCCCCAATGACCTGATAGGTTTAGCGTAGCCCGTTCCGCTGAACATAACACTAACCTGCGCCTCCCGTAGATCCAGATGCACTTGTGACGGTACCTTGCCAGGTACGGAAATGTACGAAAAGTTAGGACTGGTCAGTGTCCAGTCGACTGTACCTAGATCCAGCACTTGCTGACTGTATGCTATTGATGCTAAAGAGGCTGATGCCAACACGGTCTGCAAACTTTTGCGAAACATATTCGTGGACCTGTCAAAGGACGAATCCTTGAACACGAAGTAGCAATCAGAAAGCAGGAACGCTATCATCACGGTAGCGCTCACGATATATATCGCCCGATACATCCTTGACCACACCGTCTTTCCGGGTGCTTCCTCGTATGATGTAATTGATCCCAAGTGTGCAATAGCAGCGCTACAGTTACATGGCTAAGGAAGACCGTTGTTGACCTGCGGGCGGCACTTGCAGGAAGAGGGGAAAATCAATTGATCATCGGACAAGGACTAGGAGTACCGGCCTGAACATTTGTGGGTTGGTGTATGTTTGTTCTGCTTCGGCTGTATTTCCGCCGACGGCTAGCACGGAGCCGATCGTAGCAGGTTAGAGTAACGGGTTTTGCTAGGTAATTGCGGGACTAGGTATCCCTTCCCCACAATACATCAACCGGATTCCCAACCTCAGCATAGTGCTTGAAGACAGTACAACCCAAGCCTGTGCGGTGGGAATACTCATATGCCTATCACAAGTAGCGAGAGGATGCGTTGCACAGCAGCTGTCAGACCCCGTCCTGTCGCGTCAAAACGCGCTAGACCCGCGCTGTGCAGACGCGGCGCGACTTCCAACACGAATTGGCACCGACCTTACATTGCGCGCCCGTGTAGCACCACAAGCACTGTCGGACCTTAATGCTCGTATATCTACCATCAACTCGGCCCGGCTCTGATTAACAACTTCTGGAAGCAGTAGGCGCGTGTTGCAGCCTAGTTGCAGCCTTGGCCGGTGAACACTAAAAGGCATTAGCCCTCCACTGCCCAAGGAAATTGGCTACCCTTAGCGTCGATATTAGGAACAACTTTAGTGCTAAGGGTGGTCAAGGTACATCACTGCGATACATATACGATGGCGACCGTACTGCCCAGGTGAACTCTTCGTCCCGTGACAAAAGCTTCTTTCTACAAGTCCTTTACTTAGGTAGCGTTTCATGAACATCAACGTCAACGTCAACGTCAACGTCAACGGTCGCTTTGCAACCTATTGGAGTCACGATCGCTAGCATCAGCCCCGTTAGAAGATGTCCGGACTACACGAGGAAGATGTGGGTGAGCCGGATGGTGAGCCTGAAGAGATTCGCATGGCGAGGCTACACTCGCTGCTTACGAAAACCAAAGTTCCTTCCTCCACTGCATCCACGCCACCAAAGAAGAATGCGCGACGCACCCAGATCGCTCTCAAAGACTCGCAGCACAAAATCGCTGGTCAGCCCCGCGCTCAGATAATAGTCTTTGACCAAAGTCCGCCGCGCACTCCAACGCGCACTCACCGAAAGCCATCGCCTCGCCTCACACGTGCAGCATGGCGCGCGGCCGCCATGTTCCAGTATCGCCAGGAGGCGATGGAGATCAGGAGCCAACAGCCCGACAGACAAGCCGACATATTCCCCTTCTTAGCTCTCCCAGTCGAGCTTCGCATGGCCGTGTACTTCGAGCTGCTAGTCACAGACAACCGCGTCCTGCCAAGCTGGCGCGGGCCCCGCAAAGCAACCAAACAGCAAAAGAGAATGTACATCAACATCCTCCTAACCTGCAAGATGTGCCGGGACGAAGGCGTACAAGTCCTCTACGGTGAAAACATCTTCGACTTCGGCGAGATCTGCAACCGACCCAACAACTTCTCCAAGCGGTTCAGCGAGCATATCGGTCCGCACAACGCCTCCCTGATACGCATCGTCTTCGCGGAATACTCCGCCGCAGCTGAAGAGCTATACCACACGGACATCGCGGTTATTTCCAAATCGAATCGCGGCCTCATACCGAAGACCCTGCTCACAGTCTCCCACCTGCGCAGCTTCCTCTCCACCTTCAACATCGCGCTTTCTAGCTTACGCCTCCTCGCCATCAGTATCATACCCTACGGACACGACCAGGCGACCATAGCTCTGCAAGACGTAGATTTTCGCCTGATGACTTCCCCGCATCTTAGGGTGAAGTGGTGTGACGCGAAGAATGACAAGGATAGGCTGGGTCGCCTCGTCGACGACATATGCGACAGAGAAAAAGGACTTATGAAAGCGGACTACTGGAAAGATATAGATGGGTGGATTGGGATCAACTTTGCGCCGCCGAGTTCGGGGAGGGAGTGGATTGTATATCAGGGTGTTCGCGGGAAGGAAGATGTGTTAGAGGAGGGGAAGGAGGTTGGGACTGAAGACGAGCACGAAGAAAAGGATTCGGATAAGAAAGCGTCTGAATTGGTGTTGCATAGACGATAGTGAGTGTGCGGGTCTATGGGAGGGAAGTAGCCTGTGAGATACTTCAGCTTGCTTTTCTTGAGCTAAGCTGCTTGTGTTGTCGATAGTAGAACGCTATCGGCACGATTTGTTTGTTGGCATGGAACGATGACTGCAGAAAAGCCTCTGTTCATTCATTATGTCCTTAGCTTATGACAGTATAGCTTTATATCATCACTTACCCACCATTCGTACCACCGTCTCACTACTTGTGCAAGCAGACCCCAAAAAGGCAGTCAGTTGGACTTTTAATAGAATAAACCAAAAGTAGTAGATGCTATACCAAGATTAGAAGTTGGAACGCCTCTCATCACTCTTTTCCGGCTCATTCAGATACCACTTCTATTCTCGTACTGCACATTGCCGGGCCTCTGTATTCTACCTTTACTCAATCGAAACAATAGCGAAAGATCTGAAAATAGGACAGCACAGCGAAAATGGCAAGACAATATACCAGAAACCGACCGCTGAGATGAAAAGCGACGATGGTTATAGATCATGTTAGCGCTCTGGGCCGGGACGGCGAACATCCGAAGAGGTGCAGTTCTTGGCGGCGGCTATCTATCCGAATCCCTGGGTTTTGGTGTAGAGGCGGGGTCGACATGTCAGACTGTCAGTGCGGCATGTTGGGAGGACAGGGTAGGACCTGCGTCTGTCAAGTCGGGCAGTTGTTCGTGTTGATTGGTGAGGCTGTGACACAAGCGATACAGTAGACGCGGCGGGTTTCCACACGGTCCAAGATCTGATGTTGAGAGTGAGTAGGAAGAATATCTTCTGTATTCGAGACTATGCTGTACATTGTGTTGTAAGAAGTCTATGCGATCAAAGGCGTCGTCAGCTTAGGACGTACTTCTGCACAGAGACTGACGTAGACCAAAGGTTTCAGTGTGTCTTTTGCTGCTCGGCAAATAGACGTGAGGCGGGGTATGCAGGTGTGCCTGGCAGCCTCATTGGGGGCCGTACCCTTCCTCCGATTGGATTGTCTTTGCTGTTTCACACTGAGTGTCTGGGATCCGGATCTACTTCATTGTACGAATCTAGTGAGCAATGGTGGGGGGAAGCCATGGACCAATAGCATTGGTCTTTGCGTACATCTTCGTTAAGAGATACTTTGCTGCCTTCCAGTTTTGTGAAGAGGCGAACGGTATCTGTAGCGTTGATACCCCGACTTAGAGAAGTGCTTCTGTTCCATTACTTAAAGAAGTTCAGAACGTAAGAACGGTGAAGAAACTGCCTTGAGTTTGGTAGCGGTGACTGCATGCAACCGCGTATGATCGATGCTGCGGGCCGTATCTGCAAGGCCTCGAGGCCGCAGTCTCTAGGGCCGGTCGTTTTCTGAACATGGTATCGTGAACGCGGGCGGACGATGTTCTGATATCGGCTAAATGTATTACTCTTTTGGTGGAAGGTTTGGAAAGATACGTAGTGCTTCCGTTTGACAGAAGGATATTCGTCATTGTGGGACTTGTGGACGTCGAATCGTGCAAAATCGTCGATGGACGCCTCGTAGTCGCTCGAAGGCTCAAACGAAGGATGTCTGAGGTCGCACGGAATGCCCCGCCGAGGCGGCGGTATACCAGAGCGGGGCAGAGGGCCGCTTCGATAGCGGAGAGAATGCTATTGATACACTGGCAAGATCCGAGGTCGTAGCGAGGATCATACTGTGGTAGAGCTTGCGCGTACCAAGGACAGTTGGGATGGTTCGCAATGCGGGTAAATTGAAGTAGGAACAACGCTGCCACTTTAGGAAGTCACGTTAAAGCATGGTGCCTGGGCACTGCGATGGGCGAGGGTGAACACCAGTTCGGCTGAAGTAGGGACTCTCAACTTGATCGTAAATGGACGTCCCATTGATCGCCAGTCCGCCTCTTCGCGTGCTGAGTTGCTCGCTTAGGTGACAGGGGTCTGGCGCTGGAATGCATGAAGAGGAACAGGAACCACAAACGTAATACAGACCGCACACCTCCCAGATCGCAGCCACTGCCGCCTGCACGACGACAAACAGCCTTCCGTGTCAAAACGGGATATCCACAGCCGTCTCTTTCAAATACATCTACCAACCGCGCAGAGCTCGAGTCCAATTTTGGCTCTGGATAAATGGCAACGCGGTTAGCAGCTCGCTGTGAGGACAATGAACGCATCGGAGCATACAAGCATACCCTGGACACGTTGCGCCGACCTCTACAACTGGCGTCGACGCATCGCTCGGTGATACTCTGAAGTGCAATCGAAACCTCACGATGGTCTTCAGCTCCAATCGCCATGCAAGCACGGGGAAAGCCCCGGATCGGCACTGGACGGCTGCGGCTCGTTGCGAGTTAGCGTCTGGCGCTCCGCTAGCGATTTGAGGTTAGGCGGTCCAACTCCGAGGATGTTCGTTATCATGGCTGTCAAGAAGAGGAAACGTTTGTGGGCCAGTCAGATTGGGTGAGATGTGTATGACACGCAAGATGCTCGGTACGGAGAACAATGAGTACAAAGAAACCCCTGGCCCATGTGAGGGAGCTCAATGGCGATTGCGCGTTGCACAATCGTTTATCCCTGCAAGGTCCCGTTGAGCATGCGCAAGGGTTCTTGCTCGCATGAGACTTTGGCTGTGGGGGATTTGTCCAGCCATTGTTGGATGGAGGACATCTGCCGTGATTGACACGAGGCCAGATTTGTCGACGCAAGTCAGATACGGATGTGGAGTCGAGCATGTAGGGCGCGTCGATGCAGTGCTTTCTAAACAAACAAGCTGCAAGCGCTGACCAGGCACAGCTATCTACGACTCGCGCATCCGGCGGAGCAAGCAGCCGCGGCCGCGAGTCTGTGCGAGGGGCCGCTGGTGATTGTCGCTGTGTACCTGAGTGCTTCTCTGAGGGCCACCACGGCTCGATGCGTCCGCGTCCGCGTCCCCGACAGCGATGATCCATCAGAGCCGCAAAAGATGAAGCAGCGAGGGCTCTGAGCCAGGCCTGAAACGTCGTCGTAGCGTCGAGGCGACTATGATCGATAATTTTAGGCCGTCGCTCTCATTTCCCAGAAGCATGAGCAGCCAATGGCGACCCCGGTGGCTGGCGCGGACCCTGGCCTGCGCTATTCCGTCCTTCCTCGCTGAGTGCCTGCCGAGAACAGCCTCTTCTGCGCGAGCGCCCCCATGCTCCTCCCCTCCTCCACGGCCAGCGTTGCAGCTTCTTACCCCGGAGTCGCTCATTCTCTTGCGACCTGCGCCGCCCACTCGTCCGCCTGAAGCCCGCAGCGACAAGCCACCAGGGCCTGCATCTGTCACGCGAATATATACCCGCACTGGACCCCCGAACAGCTTCGCTGCCACGCATGGAATCGTAAAACCGCGCGTCTGTTGCTGGCCGCCAAACCTCCGCCAGACGTGCCCATTGCGCCCTCGTCCACGTACATACCCTCTCGCCCGGAGTGCCTCTCACCATGGACAATCGCGCGCCCTCCTCCGACCGTTGCACCAGGGGGCAACGACCGCTCAATGACCGTCGACCCGAGCGTAAACACCAGAACCAACCGCGCATCTCGAGGACATCGCTCGCCGTCGCCCTTCTCGCTGCCACGCTACCTGCTACCACCGCGCAATCCTGTGTCTCGCTGCAAGGCTCGACCACGTGCCCGGCCTTCAGCAATGCTTCGATCAGTACTAGCATTGGCGATTTGTACGTGTAACCTCACGTCAGATTCGTGTTATCTGCATGCTAACCGATCCTGCTTTCAGCCCCTTCCTCTCATTCGTATCAGATGTAGAGTCTTTTGATAGTCGAATGCAAGACTACATAAGCACCGCTTATGTACAAGACAAGTACGTGGGCTCTGTCGCCGCTGGCCGGTGGATGCTGACTGGTTGCACAGATACGTCGACATCCTGGGCTGCTCCAATGTCAGCCTAACAAACACGACGAACCTCTATGCCCGGTTCACGACCTCATTCCTCTGCAATGCCATTGTTCAGGCTTCGCTTTCGAACTGCAACGAAGACTCCAATTCGGTCGCAACATTATGTGCCGATTCATGTGTAAGCACCTGCCCCGTACGGTTTCATGCTATGCTTATGCTAATCTCCGATAGGCCCAATTCGCCATCAGTGAGCAGGATATAATATCTACCCCAGCTTTCTGCGGCACTCCAGGGAACAACGCAAACGACCAGATCCGAAGCGACTCCGATCGGTGTCAGCATGCAGCCAAATCTTTGAGCGGAAAATGCACCCCGGCTGTTGACAATGAGCCGGACGAATGTGGCTTCGCGTCGAATCTGCCCGGTCTTTGTGCGTTCTGCGCGTCTAGCTCCCAGAATGCGACGGATTCGTGCTGTGTCAATTCCAATGTCGAGTCTCGCTGTGTAGGAGTACAGCTACCTACCACTACGACAATGCCACCTCTGTTTACTACCACAGCCACTGTTGCCCCCACCAGTTCCACATCCGCTGCGGCAGGTGGGGCTTCTGGCCTGTCTGGAGGAGCTATTGCTGGTATCGTTATCGGATCCATTGTCGGAGCGGCTGTTCTCCTTGGATTGATCATCGGTGGTTGCATTTTTGCTCGGAAACGCAAACAGAGCCAGCAAAACAGCATATTGAACACCCCATCTCCCACTCGCCAAGCAGCTATAGGACCACCGATGACCTATGGAGGAGACGGACATTCGCCTCCGCCTACCATTGTACCTGGCGCACGAGTCGCTCGGATGTCAGCCCTAGAAGGTTCAAGCTCTTCGGATCGGTACAGCTCTCCCCGCGCGGGTGTATTTCACGACAGACTTGACCCCTATGACTCCCCAGAATCACACCGCGCCTACCTTGGAGCAGCAAACCTGCCCAAGCGCGACGGGTCTCTGTCTAGCCACTCTGCGTTGGCCATGGCTAGTGGTCACTCGTCACCCCACTCAGCCTCCGACCCCGACCGGAGTTACTCAAGTCCTGAAGGCATCGCTTCAGGTCAATCCGAACAACTTCAATTCTTCAAGGATTACTACTCTCAGGATGACATTCACCCGAACGACACGGTCGCTGTTCTTTGGGCGTATCAGCCTCGTGCCAACGACGAGTTCGAACTAGAGCGCGGAGACATGCTTAAAGTCGTCGGCATCTGGGACGATGGATGGGCGACAGGTGTGAGGCTCACTGAGACAACAGACGAATGGGAGGCGCGGAGAGCACTTCAACGCGACTCTGGCGTTAGCAACGGAAGTCGCAAATCTCGCATAGAGAGCGATAGCGAGATCAAGGCGTTTCCGTTGGTTTGCGTGTGCCTTCCGCAGCATTGGCGCAAAACAATAGAAGGAGACAGCACGGACACGGGTGGAGGCAGTGGAGGTGACCGGCGTCCTCCCAGTCCTTAATGCCTGTTTCGTAGCTTGTTGACATCTATAGTTGTCTCTTCTGCTTCACTGTCATCAGCTCCTCTGATCGAGCTTATCTCGGTGGAACCTCTTTCGTCCTTCCCCTCAAGATACTCGAAATCACGACCTCCGCAATCCTCTTTGCGTCCGAAAATTAATCCGGCGCCTCCCACTTCCTCCGGCTCAAGCACGCTGGTCAACTCACCACCCGAATATAATGCGATACGATGATGGCTACTGATTTGGACCCGATTTCCGATTTGACATCTGAGGCTTCTTGATACCCGTTCACGTCGCGGACCGCATACCCCATTGGCACTTCGCATTGCATCGCTCAACACACTTTCATGGCATCGAATCCGTCGTCTCGACAAACGTTACGTAATCATAATACCTCAAAGCACACTCCTCCGACGTAACGATTTCTTCTTCTTACTCTCCTTAGATAAACGGTAGATTGGCGGGCGGATACTGTTTAATACGCTCTTTCAACCACAACTACACAGCGCGATATCGCGCATCACATTCTCTGATAAACACACACACGACGCTAATCTTGCGCCTTCGCTCCCTCGCCATTACCGCCCACCACTCTCACTCATTACACCATAATCACGCCGACAACACAACAACTTCACGGTCGAGACTATTGTTCCTTCACTATTTCTCACCCAGTGCGGCTTTCGTTCTATACCCGAACCTGGCGTTTTGCCGGGCAGTTCCTTTTGCTTCGTTGCTCTCGCCTCCGGGCTGATCGAGCTCTCATATAATTCAGGATTGAAAGGGGATGAAAAGCAAGGAGTATACATAGCTGGGATGGCTGTTTGTGGCACTTGCGACACATTCTGTAAATACTCTGTGTTGCGTGGAAGTTTGAAGCATCTTACCCATTTTTCATTTCTAAGGTGTTGACTGGTTGGGGAAAAGATGGTAGCGGTTGGGATTTGAGTAGCAGGCAGGTGGCTGGGTGCGGCTTTTGAAGCTGCTGGCTTAGTAGGCGATGAATGAGGTTGTGGAAACGATGATGGGTTGGTAGCATTGGATAAATAATCAACGAATGGGGAATTGTACAGTTTATCTTGAACTCTGCTTGTATGTCTGTGTGACTGCTTATACGTGCAAGATACGCACAACAGTTTACAAACCAGTTCTACACCATCGCGCCATTGCAAGTTTCTTATCTCGATTATCATAACCCATCTCTTAGTATATCAAGTGGATGGTAAGATGCCAAAATAGGAGCGCCGCCAAGACAGGCATGTCCAAATTGCGAGACGCGTTTCTTCATGCGGCGGGTGCGAAACGCGCTGCGCAGAGTACCGGATGCTGGAAAGGAGCACTGGCCGCGGCGATGCACTGGCTCTATGCGAACGGGTTCCACGACATTAATACCACTGCTCGGCTTCTCCGACGAGTCGGAAGATTTGTAAGGGGCGCGTGCTTATGCTTCATCTTAGTCGTTGTAATGGTATGGTTGTCATAAAAGTATGTGTATATACAAGGAGGTAGCGTAGGGCATGAAAGGGGCGTGGCTCGCAACCCTGTCGCCACGTGCGCATAGCAGGCCGTTCGTTAACTTAACGTATACCTTCGTCAATCATCGGGGTATCTCCCACCAATTCATTCCAGCCTACTTCCTTGCCAAAAGAGACATTTCAGGAAACACGCGAAAGGAGACCAAGGCCCTCGACATGCTTCCGAGCTCATCCGCCGCATTTCCATGTCTGTTCAGATGGAAGGGGGTTACGTCCCACGACCTTTCCGCCTTCCCATCTTGACTATCTCGCCCTCGCCGGCACGCTTATTCCACTCCTCCGTCTCACGCTTCACCCCCTCGCGGTACGTCTTCGCCTCGTCGCTGCCTTCGACTAAGAGCTGCGGACAGTGTCCCGAGCGGCGTAGGTGTCGCTTCAGATTCTCCCAGCGGCAGTCGGGCTTGAATGTGCACCCCGGCTGCGGGCAGCGGTAGGGGCGTAAAGTCTACTCATTGCGTCAGCTTGATGATGGAGTGGACACCGTTGAGGGGGCTTACCTGATGCGTGCGCTCATGCTTACTCAAATTCGAGCTGTCCGCGCACGAGAAGTCGCAGAAGCGGCACTTGTGCGGTTTCTTCCCTTCGTGCAGCGCGGAGATGTGCGTCTGCAGCTGCGTGTGCGTCGTCGTGGTGTATCCGCACCTATCGCAGACATATGGGCGCTCGCCCGTGTGGGTGCGCTCGTGGTTGTCCTTCGCTTGGTTGGTAGCGAAGGTCTTGTTGCAGTCTTTGAAGCTGCATGCGTAGGGGCGGTGGCCGGCGTGCGCGAGGAGGTGCCGCGAGAGCTTGGAGCGCTGCTTGAAGTCTTTGGAGGAGGCTTCGCAGTTCTCCCACTGGCAGACGCACTGGGCGCAGTTGTCGACGTGGGTGGCTTTGATGTGGGCGTGGAGGGCGGAGGCGTCGGGGAAGGCGGCGAGACAGAGGAGGCCGGGGGCATGTTGCCATCTGCAGACGCAGGACTGTGCATCCGTAGCGCTTCCGGTCAATTCAGGCTTGGGTTCAAGCCGCGCAGCTGATATGTCGAAGTCAACCTTAGGGTTCTTGGGCCCCACGCTCTGGAATGCATCTGAGTAGTGCGATTGCGGAAGAAGCCAAGTGGTATCATTGAACCCGTATAAAGGGCTGGTCAGATGGTTGTCGAACATGTTCATACCAGGAGCTGAAGGTGCAAGAGAGAACGCGGTGCTCGGTTGACTCGACTGGAGCCCGAAGTTCAAGAAGTTGTTCGCCAGACCGTTACCTTCGGCTATGGAAGCATTCCAAAGGTCGAGATGTTCTTGTGGAGCGGTGGTACAGTCGCCACATGCCCTGGATTCACCGTGGCAGCACGAGTTGTCAATGTGACAATGCTCTCCGGGAATGTTCAGGTAGCACGATGTACCAACGATATGATTTGGCGCCGGAGACGGGTGGCTGCTGAAAGCACTTTCGGTGGAAGTAAGATTGCCGGGCGACAATACGGGTGTAGCCACGGTGGAAGTAGTTGGTACTGCTCCATGGCAATGGTTCAGTGTGTCGTGAGCCTGGGAGTAACATGGGTATGTCTCATATCCAGACAGGTGAGAATCAAATCCATGCTGTCCCTCCTGGAAGTGACATCGTGTGTTGTCGTAACAGTAGATGGTGCCAGCAGTGGTGGGTGCTGTGTGAGCGAAGTGACATTCACTATTTGGATCTCCGAGCGGACAAGGCGGAGCCTCGCACTTCTGACAGAAGCATGGATCGTCGACACCGTCTATCTTTGTGCATTCGGGATCAGCACAGTTGTCGCTGCATACTGATTCCTCACAATGAGGGTCATAGCATGCGTCCTCTTCGGAGCACTGTTCATCACCAGGGCATGGCAAAGCGCAGGGAGAGTTACACGATGCGGTGTCCAGATCGCATCCTTGGCAGAACTGCTCGAAGCACAGGTCCGGGAACTGCTGGTCCGAGTTCGAGATGGCTTGGTTGGCGGCAACATTGTGGTACTCGCCTACTTTGACGGCCGAAGCCTTCCGTTTTGACGGGCGCCCGTCTTCACAGGAAGGACAACCGGGCTTGGGATTGCGAGTTCTTTGGGCACTTGGGTCACCATGCTCAGCCCAAGTACCCGTTTCCGCGGCCAATCCCAGGCCCGCAGATTTGGGATCTGTCAGTATGACATTGTTCACATCGCGCTTTGAACCTGCCAGCGGCGCGGGCAAGGCGAACATAGGATCCGGAAAAAAGAGGTTGTCGTCGTCGCCGTATGCCGAGTCGCGGTCGTTTCCTTGATATGCGTGAGCCATGCCGACGCTGTTGGAGGGGCTTGAGACAGACTGAGGGGAAGGAAAAATGAAGGTCATACAAGCTGCGTTCCGGACATCAAGGTGCTCGGTTGCGCAAAGACGCAATACAGTGCAACGCGGTTTCCCCACCGAACATAAGAGTGCAGTAAGGTCGGTATAAAGGTGAAAGACTGGTGTCCCGCCAGTTCTCCACGAAGTTTTGAGAAAAAAATGTCTTTCAAAGGTGTAATGGTAGTTTGTCGCGTGGTAGTGAATGCGGCGCAAAGAGTTGATTCCGTTGGTCAGGTGCACTGACTAATCGGCTTACTTCCCTTTTCCATTGGACGCTTGCTTCGCTGCCTCGTTGCACGCGACCACTCCATCGTTTGCGGACAAAACATGCACTCTCGTCTTCTTGAAGAAGTCGACGTGGCAGATATCCCTCTGCGCATGCGCGGCAGACGGCAAGAAAGAGACGCGCACACAATGGAGGGTCTTACATTAGCACTCATCCCCAGCGGCTTCCGTGCGCAGTGAAGCTGCAAGACATAAGACCCCGCGCGCCCAGCCCGGCTGTCTGTCACCTCCGCCCGGCGCCCATTCGCCAACTCCACACCCTTCCCTACAACCATGGGCAACCTTTGCGGCAAATCGTCCAAGGAGGACAACTTCCAGGGCGCCGGTCGCACTCTGGCTTCAGCCCCTACACCCGCGACCAAGGCATCCATCCCCGCAAGCGCCGTCAGTGCAGGTGGTCCTAGTGCGAAGCCCAAGGTGACGGGACCAGGACGTACGGTAGGCGGCGCTGGAGGCAGTGATGGCGCAGAGGATCCCAAAGCAGCGGCCGCGGCAGCAGCAGAGGTGCGTAGTGTAAAGCCGAAGAACGTGGTGAAGCCGATGACCGTTACGGCTTGGATGTGAGCGCGAGGAGATGTAGCTGACGGATGCATTGCTATCACCAGGCCCGTGCGAGCAAGCCCGTGACGGGAGACCTGGCAAAGAAGCTCGACGAGCAGAAGAAGCAGACACGCAATCAGACGCTGCAGCAAGCCGCATACGAGAACCGAGCGCAGCGCGACGCTGATGCTGCGACCGAGACGCGGAATTACAATTGAACAGTCACGCCCGGCCTCATTGAGATCGGCGTGTTACTTCGCTCGCTCATTGCGATTCCTTCATTTAAGCGGGTTCACCCGAGGACGCCTTATCTTGGAAGGAAGTCGGCTCAGGCGACGCATCCTGTTCCTTGGCGAACGGCATGCCGAAGCTGCGGACCGACGCACACAGCCATTTAGCATTCACTTTTGCAACATATACCAGAGGTTGACTCCCTACAACTCGGTCTTGTTTAAAGAAGTTACGAAGTCTTGATTTTGCCATACCACCGGAGTCGGGAGTTTCATACCATTCTGCATCAGTTGTTTATTTCGACACTCGATGGTGTTAGATCACTTTTTGGATATTCAGTGCTCAATGGTTCCGAAGACAATGTCAATACAGTGTGCCACCACTTGTGCGGTCAACGTCTCCACATTAACAAGTGACAACCAAACTATGAAAACAGCAACTTCTATTCTGACACTACATGTTGCAGCAAACTCCAGACATGTATGAGTGATTAGGGGATTGAAAATTCAATAACTTAAACTCTACTGGTGCAGGTCTATCATGGTATCAGACAACATACGAAATAATCTTGGTCCACGCGAGATCTACCTCTACGCTTCCCCGCCTCTAATATGCGCCGCCTGTGCAGGCATCACCTCCGCAGCTTCAACATCCTGCACTTTCTCCCGTTCGAGCAGCCCCTCCTGCTGCTCCGCCACAGGATCGACTTCCTTCCGATTCGAGTGCACACTGCCAGTACACACAGCAAGCAAGAACGGACTCGTCATGACCATGCCCTTCTTCTCCTCTTTCTTCACTTTGCCGTCATCCGCTACCTTCTTCGGATTCCCAATCCACACATTACCCAAGAACGCCGATGCCACAATGCTGAGACCTACGAAGGGCAGCACGGAGATGAAACCCCACATGATAGCCCTTGCAGCAGCGTCGCGAACAGCTTCCTGTTCGGCAGGCGGTAGACTGGCCAGCGAGTCGAGGCTCGTAAGGCCCGTCGAGCCGCCGTTGATCGAAGAACTATTCCCGGGAGCGATGGCGCGCAGGTATTGCGCGAACTTGTTGCTGAACACTGCACCCATCATCGAAATGCCCAGCGTCTCGCCCAGCGGCAGTGTAAAGCTCAGCACACTCTGCATAGCTGCTAGGCGATTTGGCCAAATCCCCGCTGCGTGTAGCACAACAGGCATGAATCTGAAGGCCGTGCCAGCTCCCGCGACCGCTAGGAAGACGCTAACAAGAGTAGTGTTTCTTGCAGAAATCGCCCACGTCATTGCGGCCAGACCGACGGCTTCGACAATCGACCCGATGAAGAGCGGATAGAAGGTCTGCTTGGGCCAGACGTTGCACATGAGGAGCGTGGTGTATACGCCCACACCGAGACCAGGGGTGTAGTACAGGAGCTGGGTGCCGGCTTTGGAGGAGGAGTAGCCCTCTGCCAACTGCCAGTAGTAACTCACAAAATAGAAAGCTGAGACAAGCGACACGCCGGCAGAGAAGTTGATGATCATAAGGAGCGTGACGTCTTTCTTGCGGAATAGTGTCGAGGGGATCATGGCGACTTGGCGGGTGAAGATGCGCGCCATGAGGCGGCCGGGCCCGAGGAGGTACTCGTGGGTGAAGAATATGATCACGAGTATGCCGCCGACGATGAGGGGGACGATGGTGGCGGCAGACGACCAGGCATAAGAGGTTCCGCCCCATTGGACGGCAAGTATTATGAGTCCGATGCCGAAGATAAAGGTTATCATGCCAATCCAGTCGATTTGAGCTAGGCCGGAGATGTAGCCTGTGCGTCTGGAGTCGCCGGGTTGGAGGTTGACTCGACCTTTCTTGAGTTCACTTCGCATGAGGAAGAAGATGAGGATGTGGGAGAGGAAGGCGATGGGGATGGGAACGACGAAGCAGTAGCGCCAGCTTGAGTTAGCGAGGTAGCCTCCAAGAATGGGGCCCACGGCATAACTACACTATGGGTCAGCAAAGGTTTCTAATAAAGGCGCCGTTGTCGTACCTGATGCCGTTGATCAGACTGAAGATAGTGTTGTTTTTCGAGTTGTCCGCGAGACTCATCCCATCGGACAGGATGATGCGAGTCAGATTCAGAATACCCGCAGCTCCCATTCCCTGTAACGCTCGTCCAAACAGCAGCATCCCCCACGTGACAGAAGATGCGCAGAATACGCTGCCTATCATGATCCAAAACATCTGCCATTGAAGAGCACCATGTCTTCCGTAGACATCGGCGAGCTGGCCTGATACTGGGACGAATGTTGTGAAGGTGAGCGTATACGCGGCGACAATCCAGTTGAAGCTTCCACTCAAGTGATCTAGAATCATTAGTACATGCTGGTTGGGTCAAGAGAATCAACTCACTGAAATGCGACGAGATCTGGGGTATCGCTGGAGCTACGATAGTCACATCGACTGCGGCGAGGAAGTTTGGAAGCACCAAGCCGAGGATTAACTTCCAACGACGTGCTGCCATCCTCTTAGATTCTTGTCGAAGTCTCTCATGTTCGACTGGGTTCTCTGTGGGGTGCGGCTTGGTGACGTGGGATGTTTGGTTTGTGGGGGCAGCCCCATCACCAGTCAGGGCATCTTGAGCTGTGTCGCCCGCCGTTGATGGGGGCGATGCATATGGAGATAGGTGAATCTCGTCTGTTGTTGGTAAACCTTCTTTTCGTGCCTTGCTCTCCTTGACCCTCCGTTTGATGTACTTGAACAGCAGATATGCCATTGTTGTGGGCTTCGGTCTATTGGAATCGGGCCCGTCGGCAGAAGAATGTAGATTAGAGGACGAATTGAAGGATGGTAGCCTGAGCACTGGACTTTGTCCGTACTGCAAGCAGCATCTTATACACTCATTACTTTGTGTCTCCACACCTATACCTGTTCGGGGCTGCTCAGCGTGAAAGATGCCTCAGCCTCACCCACTTGGGGCGGGGGGACCGATTAAGCATTCTATCTTCCGCAGGCCGTTGTGCAAGCAGGGCATAGGGTGGCGCTGCTGCGACGCCCATGGTGGATCTTTTGTAATGGGCGAAGCGCACGGAAGCCCGCGATGCATGCCCAAATAAGTAATGCGCTAACCCCGAGTACATGCGCAAACCGTGTCGACCGTTGAGTCGCGCTTGATGCAAGACTCAGCTTGGCGAACGATTGTTCTGAACTCGCAAGGTTATCGCGATTAGGTTACAAGCTGTTGGGACCGGTAAAAAAGTTCGTATTGATCGCGTTGTTAACGTCTTCCTATAGAAACGCGCGTTGCTACTGTAGCAAATCGAAGACCCTGGCGTTGAGTCGCGCAACATGGCCCCCAACTCTGAACGGTGAAAATGTGGACCTGGCAAGCTTAAGCGGATGCGAAGCTCGGACATGGACACGTAGAAAGGAGATGAGGTCGGTATGATTATCGTCAAGTTGAATCTCCATTAGCTGAGGTGGAAATACAAGCCCCGCCAAGGACCATAAGGCTGTCTGCGTCATCCCACACATCCTCCGTCGCTTACAGGCAATTCTTGCCGCCAGCTCCCGTCAACGACTGCTGCTACGCAAATATGAAACCTGTTATTGCGGTCCCAGCGATTGCCGCGCTAGTTCTGAGAGCGTGGTCAAGAAAATCGCTCACCCCGGTCGGCATACTTACAGCTTTCATCACAGCCGTGGTGCACGCTATACATCCATGGAGTGTGTGCTTCGCGCTGTTGGCGGTGTTCTTCCTAGCTGGGACTTCCGCCACGAAGGTGAATACTCAGACATATGTGATTCAGTAACAGAAGCTAACATGACCGTAGGTCAAACATGACATCAAAGCGAAGCTCACACAGTCTGCCAACGGTGCCGCCGGCGGGGGAAGGTTCCCGAAACCACATCCAAGTTCTCGCGAACTCACTCACAGCATCCATATTGATTCTGCTGCACGCATGGCAACTATACAAGGAGGGCACATATGCAAAGGATGACCTGTGCTGGCGGCGAGGAAGCGATGTACTTGTCGTAGGCATAGTAGCGTAAGCTCGGTTGCCTGATAATTCTCATCTCATGCACTCACAATTTGCTAGCAATTACGCTGCTACATGTGCCGACACATTGTCCTCCGAACTCGGTATCCTTTCTCGATCGAACCCTCGTCTCGTCACAGCGCCCTGGCGCGTCGTTCCTCCTGGCACAAATGGCGGAGTATCCGTGGCTGGACTGAGCGCTGGACTACTCGGAGGCTTCATCATAGCGATTGCGTCGACGCTTCTCATTCCATTTTGCGACAATTGGACCCTTGGAGACAAAGTCAATTATACACTAGCTATGGCGCTCGCCGGCTTGGGCGGATCAATCTTGGACTCAGTCCTTGGGGCTGTCCTCCAAGCTAGCGTAATCGACGTACACTCTGGGAAGGTCGTGGAAGGTGCAGGCGGAAGGAAGGTTCTCCTCCATGGACACCCAATGCATTTCAAGCCTGCGGCTGAGCTTCGGAGCAAGGTGGGCCCTGGAGAAGGCAAAGATGGGATTGCAAAGACTTCGGCTGTCGACCCAAGCTTAGATGAGTCGGTCAAAGTGACGAGGACCATGCAAAAAGCCGGAGCTAGTGGGACTGCTGTTGGAGATCCACAGCATGAAAGCCGTAAGGTTGCCGTTGGGAATGACATACTGGACAACAACGCGGTGAATTTCCTCATGGCAGCTATGGTGAGCGTGGCATCAATGGTAGGAGCATGTCTGATTTGGGATGTGCCTTTCAGTAGTATTTTACCCATTTAGATATTTCTATCATATGAGTCTCCCAGCTCCTTGTGGAGAATTGGGCCTATTTCCTAGTCCACTCACTTAGGTCTATGATTGTGTCTCTAAGGGCTCCAATAACCACCCAGCCATCAGATCTGCACATAATCTGAAATGTCACTACGGGAACTCCTCATGCAGTGTACAACGCTGCTCACCGCCTACCTCTTTGGGAAGCTATGCTGCCAAGACGCTAGGCGGCGCGTCACATCGTAGCCTTACTGAGCTCCGACAACACCTCCCCACAAAGCCGACGACCACCGTTCCCGCAACCTTTAACGTTCTCATTATACCTTTGATACTCGCTCGTCCCAATTTCCCGGCTACTAGATCAACACTCGGGGACGACTTTGATCAATAGTCTCTTTGCCATCAGCAGGATCGCTACTCACGGGAACCGTCAAGATGGTATGTATCTTCCCCGCAGAGCTTCAGTACCCTAGAACAGCTCAAGAAAATGGCCGATAACTAACCGCCCCAGTCTCTCCGCTTCGTGCCCCATAAGGCGCACCCCACCTCCACCTCCCTCGAGACCTCTGCGCCCTCTGCGCCCGGCGTCCACGATAATCTCCGCTCGCGCCTCGCCCAGACAACACCCGCCGCCACATCCTCATCAACCAAACCCGTCGAGCTCCAGTCTGCACACCCACTCGAAGCCCGCCTTGTGCAATGGCGTGAGACCCAGGACAAGTTGAAGATGGAGATGCTGAGGCGCCAGTTCGGCATCGCAGAGCCGATCCGGAGAGGCATGGAGCTGAAGACTGTCAGGGAGGGCGAGTGGAAGCCGGCTGTGCTGGGTGGAACGGCTGGTGTGCATCGGGATATCTTGGAGGGGAGGGACTGCGAGATTGGGTGGGAGGATGTGTTTGTTGGCAGTGAGCTGAGGGAGACGCCTGACTTCCACACTGAGTTGGAGGCGAAGATGAAGATGAACTGGTAGAGGAGGTGACAAATGGGATGTGCGGAAGAGGGAATGCGGGGACGGACACCATTGAAAGACTGATGTCAGTTTTCGGAGATGCTGGTTTGGCGGGTGATCAAAGGGCGTAGAAGATGATAAACAGCTACGATATACGTCATGAACGAACACAAGGCGCGCTCAAGAGACGCCCGAAGAAATAAAAAGCTTCTACTGGCGCAGTGATGGGAACACAGTTGGTTGATGATCCGACCGTACCTGGCATGCTGACGTGTATGTTGTTAGCCTCGGGTTATGTGTGCTTGATTTGATGGTGTGATAAAGCATATCAGTGTCGGAACCCGACTCATAACAAATGTATGAGTCACTGAATCCAGCATGGCTGATTCGAAGTGTAGCATTTAACCCATATCTATCCTATGCGTCATTTGAGGCGCACACCCACCAAGATATGTTCTCTCTCAGCACCTTTTGGCGTCATAATTTCGTAATACTCGGCGCAAGTGGACACTGTAGGCCTGCAGCATGCCCTGTATACTTCTGTATCGAGTCACTGTGACATTTGGGCCGAGCGTCGTTAATCAAACCATTGGTGCAACATTGGACAAGCGTCATTGTACAGAAAAGATGCCAAGCAATTGCTTTAATTAAATCTACCTTAGAAGTCAACTTCCGTACACCTTTCCCACGCCTAAGTTGAGTAGGCACCTTTCGCTGAAATCAAACTCAGAGTCAAAGAGCTAACACGCTAGCAGAAGCAATCGCAGAAATAGCAACTCCATCCTTATGCCTTCTGTTCGTAAACACACTCGAAATTCATGTGCACACAATATGCACACGGCTGTTTCTTGTTACAGGGCTTGCAAGAAGCCCAACACTCCTTACATTTCTCGAACTGGGCGTCCGAATTGGCTGGCTTGTAGCTGCATCGCTTTGCCACATCCATCCACCCTCTATTTTCGGGGTCGTCACATGCAGTCATACACGCTTTGCATGGCTTGCCCCCGTCACAATTCAAGTTCCCACGCTGGCAAGGCCCGCACTTCTGAATCGATGGTTCTGCGTCTGGCGGTCCTGCCTCTGTTGGTTGTGCGTCTGTCGCTTCGTCCTCTGGTGGTTCTGCGTCTGTCCAATATGCCTCTGACGGTCCTGCCTCTGAAGGTCCTGCCTCTGTCGATTTGTCCTTTCGAGGTTCTGCTTCTGTTGTGAGAGCTGCATCGAGGGCTCGTTGTTTTTTCATTCGTGCTATTGACGGCCCGTTAATATCCTTGGGATGGAGAGCCTCTTCCCTTTCTTTCTCGTTTCCGGCATGCTCTTGAGGCCAATCGTATCTGCTTCGTATATTTGGGGGTGCCATATTGTTCTCAGACTGTGGAATTGAAAGGTATTGAGAAGATGATAGGTGATCTCCGAATTTATGATAAAACCCACTTCAGGCTTTTGCAAGTTGATGGTAGGTCTGTGAAGGAAGGTGTTGCTAGGACAGACCATTTATACTTCCAGGCTGAGAAGTCATACTCATATTGCGGTCGAAGTATCCAATGCAACTCATAATCCTGTGGAGTCATTGACTCGTTGATGAGTCTGAGCAGCAGATGGGTGAGTCGAGGCAAATTTCAAGGCAAGAGCTTGGTCACCAAAGCTGAGCTATATGAGTACAACGACTGGTGGATGCAGTTCGTAGTGTGAGCTGGATCTTACTATCAATCGATTGTGCTCCATGTATACCCGTTTATTCGTCATCAGAGCTGCAATAGCGCAGGGAATAGAAGCGATGCGTAGAGCCTTCGTCATCCGAGCCTGTATCTTCCTCATCCGAGTCGCGAATTCGTAGACGTCCGAGGCGAAGAGATTGAGCATAGCGTTTCACCACCTTGCGTCGCAGCCGTATCTTACGTGCTTCTATTATTCCGAAGTCAAGAGCCGCCTCTTTGTGGTTTTCCCAGAAGTGTGAGTACGGATTTGATTCCGACCATGAAACGCCAACGATGGTCATATCGTCGATGTCGTACCCAGACTTAGTATCTGGATCACCCTCGATCGTACCGTCATAAATTCGGGCACAGAGCTTTGCCATCTGGAGATGTGTTTCTCCAGCATGTATGAAGCCAGGCTCATTGATGAAGTGATCCTTCACTGTCTGGTGACAAAGCTTAACGCGACACGAAGAGTAGCCATCTGTGATGTTGCTCAATGTTTCCGATGCGCCTTCGATGTGAACGAGAGGTCCAAATAGTCTGGCCAAATCACCCTCTAAGTCCATGGGGAGATAGTAGTCCAGACAGCTGGTCTCATCGAGCGGATTATCCTCCTGCCAAGCGCTTGTCCTTCTGTATATGGCTTGTTTGACTTCAGTAATGTCGAATTTCGCCAGACCAAGGCCAAGTTCTTTCACGGTCAAAGGCCTGAAAGAGCAGAGCACCCAGGAGAATATCAGTTTTGCACGGCCCTTGTGTTCTTCTGGGATTTCAGACCACAATTTCATGTAGATCGCCGACAAATTTTCAGGTAACTTCTTGAGTAGGCCTTCAATCGAACCTGGTGATGAATCGTGGTGACGTCGGATCATGTCAAGCAACAATTCGATCAGGAGATACATCTTCTCTGCGCGATCCCGTAGCTTGGAAAGGATTTTCTCCTCATACCTGGCTAATCCTGGGCGTTCTGCGATCAGAAACCCCACACTATCCACTATGTATGCTTCCAGATCATGATCCATGGAATCTTCCGAATTAAGGTCGAGCACAAATGTTCTCGTTACGCCAAAGTCGATATTTGAGTACGGCCGGCTGGTGAAAACGAAATTGACACGGGGTAGGCGATCTTGATGCATGGAGGCTATCTTTCCGAACGTATGCAGCATGCTTCGACGCTCTTCGTTGGCAACACACTCATCCAACGCGTCTACCAAGATGACAAACTTCTTACTGACTGGCAATGCCTGTAGAATGATCTCAAAAAGGAAAAGCGTCTTCTTGAATTCCCTTTCGTTCCAGACCTTGGTGTTGAATTTGCCGTCGGACCCGATGATAGAGTCGAGCACAGCCCCGGGCAACTCTATTCTCGCCAAGGTCTGTGCAACAAGAGAGGCCATTAAGTGAATCGGACTCCGCCTACCACTATCGCGATCGTTAAAAGCGAAGAAGAGTATATAGCAGTCGTTTTGAGCAACTGACAGGATGCGATACATCAACTTTGAAAGGACAGTCTTTCCTGAGCCTGGCTTCCCGGTTATATGAAATATAATAGGCATGGTCGACTTCTCTGTAATCTGAAAAGCGACATTGTCTTTTATCCACTGGAACGTGTTTCCTTGGGCAGTCTGGACTTCGTACAAATGCTGTTCGACCGACATCGAAGATAGCGACTGGAAGTGTTCGATGATTTTTCGAGGTAGATCGGGGTCTATAGTATGGTCTTTCACGGGATCAGAGCTCACTCATGATTTGGCATCGTCAATACATACTCGTCCTATGTCCGGTCGTTGGCTTCGGAAGTGATAATGTCGAAGCGATCCGACTAAGATGGTATATCACCTTCTCGAGTTTGCTGAGATCGTCTTCGTCGCCGGAAAATTTGCATATGTTGTTATGATCCGCATCCATTCCTAGTACAACTTCTCCAGGGCTACCAAGTTTAGCCGAATGTCGATCAACAACGATCTTCAATGGTCAGTGCATGCATCAAGAACAGAAGTTTGGCAGCTCTAGACATACCATACTTATGACTTGAGGTAGTATTGCAAATCTCTTCACTTTCCAGGACGTCTTCTTCTCCTCGAAAAAGCTCACTACCTTGAACGCTCCTAACTGAGGATTGAAGTCATCCGAGGTCGCTTCGTTATATAATGAGCCTTTTTTGAGCGTGGACAATAATGAATTTCGTGGTTCTCCAGTGAATACGCTCATGATGCTGGAGACTTTCTCGGCGGCAGCAGCTCGATTCCCGCCACCCTGAGGTGTGCCAAAGAACATCAAGCCGATCGTATTCCTGACAATAGCTCCATAGAGTTCCGAGCGTAGCGTTGCGTGGATCAGAGCCTGCTTCACTACGATTCCACCAAGCGAGTGACAGACAAAGATGATTGGTCTTTCTTTCTCCGCCTTGTCCTGCCTCAGCCGCGCAACTGTGTCAATCAAATCCATAGCGTGCGTACGAACAGTTCCATTCGAGGCGTTGAACACGACGTTGGAATTGTAACCAAAGACTATAATTCTGGCCCATGGAAGTGACTTCGGAAGAAGATCCTTCGGCCAACATGTACCGTTCTTGTGAGTCCACGTAGAGAAAGCATTGCTATTGCCTCCAATTGGGTTGAGGCCGTGAACGAATATGATGCTGCATCGCATGAGCAAGCGCGCAACAGGTTTGGAAGACGACATACTCAAGCTGGGAATAGAGGCTTGTGCAGACTGGAGGTGGCCACACAACGCTCACCAAGCTGGTGGCCATGTCGCTTAGTCGCACCCCAGAGTCTTTAAGGCCTGGCTTTGATTTGCCGTCCGTAAGAGCCTGGGAAACCGAGAGACTCGATAGAGCAGTAATCCCGTCCAGTGTAGGATATCAGAGACCTCTCAATAGATAATCAACGAGTGTTTATAGTGAGAGCAGGCTGAGCGGTGGAACAGGGCGGAGGCAGGCAGAAGCAACGTGCGCCTAGCCTCTTACGAATACGAGGTAGGGAGCAGCATTACGCGAAGCTCATATCAGTTGCTTCACCCCGCTGCTCCCGACATTATTTGTTTCTTGGGATAATGTCAACAGGCTCTATAGTCTCGAGAGCTTGCAGCATCTTGCAACACTGTTGGTGTTGCCACTCCATGTTGCTGGAATGACCAGGCCCACCACATGTTCTCACGGCCGTGAATAGACACGTGCTCCTGCCCTAATTGGCCGTGCTCCTCAGTCTCGCTGCGACCTTGCTGCTGCATGCGCGATCCAGCCATGCGCGGCTCCTAGATAGTGAGCCAGGATGTCAACTTTTGAAGCTGTCCTTCAACGTTAGCTTACTAAATCGACTGGCAGTGGCTTATTTTTCTTACACCCTCGATTCGCCGTCTTTTCTTATCCTTTTATCGTGAGGCCCCGCATTCTGTTTGAAAAGGATGTCGAAGTATTGAACTAGACCATGGCATACCTTCAGAATCGGGCAATGATCCCGGGCATCGACGCCTGCTTTCAAAGTCGATGTGACAAAAGCATAATGATACACAAGGGCCATAGTCTCCGTGACTCTGTTGTGTCTGTGAAGTGTGGCTGAAGTTGAAAGGATTGGAAAGCTGCACGATCGTGTGCGTTGCATTATACTGACTTTGCTATCAAAAGCGACGGTAAGTCCCTTTCGATAGCGGCTCCTTCGTAGTGACAGCCTTTCGGATAGTTCTAGCTCGTCCAGAAACTCTGCGCTGTTGGTGTTGCGGCAATCGGAACCATGAAACAGGTCTATCCGTCCCAGCAGTCTAGGTTCACCACCCTGTAGAACAAGACAACGTTACCCGACGTACTGTATATCGACTCCGTCCTTGCGGTTTCGAACAGATCCAGTGGCTGTACTGGCCCCCTCAACCTATCATTTTCCGCATCCGTATCGAGCCAGAATTCCAGGCCTCGGAATTCTCAAGAGCGCATCTGAAGGTGCTGTTCGTCTGCTCGACATAGTGTTAGGTATACAGGGCTTTTGGCAATGAGCGTTCTTGCACTGGTCTCTCCGTATGGCGTGGATTCACCTCTCGGAGTTGCGATCTACTTCACCAGCTCAATCAGATTCACACCCTTTTCCCGAGTAGTCACTCTTTTATGTTTATCAGCCCAGCATACGACGTAGAAGCGAACTGGACAATCCCTAGATGCTCATAAGCACGATCAGGCTATGGACGTATTTCTGATGGCAGGTGTTGGGCCCAATGCTTGTCCAAGCCAGTGTTCGACTAAGTCAGCAAGACCAGCTGCCGGCCATTTTCTTGGCCTTCAACAAGTTCGTTGAATCTGGCTCCAATCGCAGACGATCCATGAAGCCCGTCATTTACGTGTGTCAGGGAGCGGCTCATTTATTTTTGAACCATTGTGCTCCAAAATGTGAATTCCTTAGATGGCGAGACCTTAACCTATCCGACGTCTCGGTTGGATGTGTTTAAATCTACTCTTAGTTAGTCGCTGCTGCAAAGGGCATAGGAGGCCCTTTGAGTACAGACCTGCAGGAAATTGAGGTTTGTTTCTTTGGGCCAGTCATTTTAACTATCTTTTTGGAACATCTTTGTCAGACACGTACACTAAAGTGTAAAGTGCCGTAGATAAGAAGTCGAGGGGACAGTAGGAGCCTTTGCAGTGTCCAGGCACGGGAGTTGATGGGGTCTCGATAAACTTTTGGAGAATGTTGTTGTAGGCCAATGGTTCCGACTTCCCCGTCTTTACATCTCATTGGAAGATATAGAATTTGTCATTCTGGTCAGACAGATGCAGCGCTTCTCGCTTGGGAGAATCCCCCACCTGCTCCATTTAGAGAATACATATGGCATCTATCCACAGGTACTGTATGACAATTCCCGTGTGTTATTGAAAGCATCTCAGATAGTTCGTGGCCGGCCCTCCACCGGCGATCGCCCCACGCAGCTCTCGATGGCAGCGGTCACGACGGTATAGTTCGAGCTGCCCCAGACAGAGGCTAAGATTGCACACGGCGTGATCCTTTCTAGAGGCAATCGAGACGGTATCTCCCTTTCCTTCCAAAACAACGTTGATCACACGTGACAGAAGTTTGGGGAAATTGCGGCGCTTACAGCCCTCATAAGTATTCCTGCATTGTACCAGGCCCTAAGCCCAGAGATATGGAGTGAATGCTAGCGTGACCAGCTGCAGGTTCCACCAATGACCTGATTAGCAGGACGCAGGGGCAGCCAAAACCTGAATCAGCGCAACGCTAGGAGGCACTCCAGATAGTGCAGCTGCTTGGGCGAACGATGGTCTGATGATGGAATCAATGGCAATTGCAGGCAAGTGTGACGCAAGCGGACGTCGAACGGGGCGCAGCGGGGCTGGGTGCGGTTCTTGTGGCTCTTGGGAGTGTGGAGAGCTGCATTGCGGAGAAGCAGGCCTGGGTCGGTAGAGACGGCCCTACTAGTCACGCACGCCTCGTTAGGGCTGGGCGTTCGCTGCCAGTGCACGATCCTCCCGGCGCTCTCATTCAACATCGCCCGTCACTCTCGCCGCCACCATACCTTCATACGCTTGCCCACCTGCGAAGCGTCTGCACAAAGTCGCGATTCGTATTCTTCTGCTGAGTCCTGGTAGCACTCAGCGGCCTTTGCAACCGTCGACAACCCTTGCGAACCCAGTCGCCGCTCGATCGCTCGCTCCGGGCCTACGGCCATGGCCTCTCCCTCCGATACCCCTTCAGCCACGCACCCTTCGTCAGGCTCACGGCCGGCGAGTGGACAAGGCGTACCATCCACCGACCCCGTAGAAATGAAGTCACTTCCAGCGTCGGCTTCGGAGCCCACTGCACTACCAAACACGACCGCGCACACGACCGAGACGGCTACTGCCCCTTCAACAGACACTGCAAAACCCCATACACAAGAAACATTGTCGCAAGAGAGTATAGAACCTGTACAAGCTGCGTCCACCTCGAAACCCGCCCCACCCGTCGATTTCAACCGCAGCGAGACCGAAGCAATCGGCCCCTCGACCGACACCCCTGCCGCGAACCCAGACAGCTCCAATGGCCCTGTCGTCGTTATCATGCTGCTGCTCACGACCGGAGCACGGCACCCCTACAAGATTGACGAGAGATATCTTAAGAAACGTAACGTCACCGTCGACGACATGGATCCGTACAACGTCAGCGTCTACACGCTCAAAGAGTTAATATGGCGCGATTGGCGAGAAGGTCAGTTTTATCGACTGCATGCACCGCGGAGCACAGTGCTATGGATACAGCAGCCTGCGCTCCGCGGTAAACGCCGTACGGCACAGATGCGAGTTGGCTAACATGGTCTTGATAGAATGGGAGCCGCGACCGACCTCACCAAGTTCAATACGACTGATACACTTCGGCCGTATGCTAGATGACAAATCGCCATTGAAAGGTAAGCACTAGATCTCGCATTCTTCTCACCACATCCTGGCGTGGCTTGCGTAGCTGCTAGGCGAAATATGCTCAATTGGCACCATCTCCGCCTCGCCTTTGTCACCACGGATCTGGCTGTATTGCGTGAGCTGTGTTTACAGTTGCTAACTTCGAAAAGATTGCCGATTTCAGACCGAAGCTCCCAACGTCGTGCACATGACCGTTAAGCCCCAGGAGATAGTTGATGAGGAGGACGCAAAGACCGGCAAAGGCGGCAAAGCAAGAGATGGAGACGAGGAGACTCACGCGGGCTGCCGTTGCGTTATCCTCTGAGTTCATTTAGGCTACACTTTACTGACGCAGCAATTTCGGCAGGCTGCTTCTCTGCGATAGACCCCTGGACGGCAGATATCACGCCATCCGCGCATTACTGGATCTTACTCTGGCTGGAAACCTCGTCGAAACCTCATACGAACATATCTTGGCTGGTCATGACAGTAGAGGAAGGGAGCTGCATCCAAATTCTCCGCGCTCACCGTATCGATCAGGGCAGGGACAGGACTGACCTATTGTGGTTCTGGCTTTTCAGAACAGCGTGATTCCGATTTTTCCTCATGCCCGACACATGGCGCGGTCTTCATATTGTACACTGAGTTATCTCACGGTCCACAGTCATCAAATACAGCTCGAGCGTAGCGTTTTCTTTGGCATAGGTCTCATTCTTTGCCTCCGTTGCCATTCGTACTGTGCATAGGAATCCTTATGGGGGGCTTTATTTCGTTGGATTGCTATTCTTGTACAAGTAGCGTTACTTTGGGCAATGAACATTGCCCTGCCCCGACGGATCTCCGGGGTAAATAATAAATCGTCTGCTCACTATCGAGTCATGTCATGCTCCCCAAACCTCATGTGTATCGCTTCAAGGAATCTACGGCCATCTAAATTTGCACAGCGTTCCATGTATCAATTTTGGTTTATGCCGCGTACAATCTCGCATGATATCGCTCAGATCAAAGAGCTTCAAGAGTCTGAGTACACCGTATTGACCCAAGATGAGCTATCCATTGCCTGACATCGTAGCATGGTATTATATCATGCAAGCGAAGATCGTACAAAAACATATTGTTCGTTGACGATCTGAACGAGTAATGTACTGATGATGCCAAGATGGCACGATGGGTAGATCTACATCCTTGTCACTCATCTGCGTCATCGCTTAAGCTCGGTTGTCATTCCACCTCACGTTGAGCTTCGAGCTATCTTCAGCACGACAAGCTCCCAGCCCACCCATTGTCACGACAAAGCTGCTCAACTGCAGCTGCACTAGCTCAAGATGGTGTTACAGGATATTGAGACGCCCGCAGATAGCTTCAACGATAATCCGTACCCCTCCGACGACGACGCATACACCTCCACCGCGCCTGCCGGCCAACGGTACGATGCCAGCATCCTGCCACAACCACTACCTATCTTCGGGCCCCTCCTCGGTTTCTCTAGCGGCACTATACGTTTCAAGACCGAATCAACGCTCAAGTTTGCCGAGATGAGGCTCCACCGCCCGTTGACTGCCGAAGAAGCGCAAACTCTGGCGGGCCACCTGTACCAACTCGAACAGACCAAGTCGTACTTCACTACAGCTGGTGCTGGAGCAGGTGTATACAGATGGTACAACACGTGGGAGCAATGTCGATACCCGCTATACAAGCCAAAGCCTGAGGACATCAACCCCAACAAATTTCTCTTCGTTAAGGGCCCGATGGCACAGTACGCGCGACACAGCTGGAGGCTCTTCTGCTATGTGTTTGTTGCTGGAGAGCTCGGCAAGCTTGTCGGTCAGATTCTGTCGCAGCCTGTCGCCGCGCAGGCCACGGCGAATGATCCGAAGCTGGCCCAGTTTGCGGCAGACTTGAAGAACACGATCTCATCGGACACGGCACGTGTGACCAATAGGACGGCACGTACCAGTGCTGATGAGAGAAGAGCTGCATGGGAGGCTGCTGCTAAGGCCAGAGCGACAGGAAATACACATCCACAATCACCGTCGAGCGCTCACAAGTCCACGCCAGCTGACGATGACATGTCTCCCACTGCGGGCAACGAACCGTGGCCTATGTCTTCGGACAGCTCCTGGAGCGACTCGTCGTTTTCCTCAGATTCTGCACCACCTACTCAACCGCGACAGCAACCTACCAATCCTTACAGTCAGACACCGAGAAGGCCAATACGCCGGGAAGACGACGACACCTCGCCCACAGGAGGCATGTTCCAGGATGAAGTGCAGAGCCAGTCGAAGCCCGGAGAGTCAGCCTGGGACCGCTTGCGCCGTGGAGGTGCATCGACACAGCAAGGACCTCCATCGTCGATGAACAGGAGACATCCGCCACATCAGGAGCAGAAAGAGGGGTCTACTATGGGCGACAGCTTCACATTCGTGGACTCGGATGACGAGCGGAGGAGGGAGAGGGAGAGGGCGCAGCGGGAATTCGATGCGAGAATTGAACATGAGAGGAAGGGGAAAGACTTCAACGAAGAGAGGAGATGGTAGACGTGTGCAGTGGCCCGAAGAGGATCAAAGTTAGGCGACAGTCAGCTTGAAGGAGTTGTGGTTGCAGCGTATCCAAGGATGACATTGGGCGCCGATCTATGGATGGAAGCGGCCCGGCCTTTTGAATGCTCTGTAACAGCTAGGTATGTATATTATGAGTTCTATATTACCAGCCTGGTACTTTCCGCCTTTCCATATACTTCCCAAGATCGCAAGGTTGATTAAGCTCCTGTGGTGTACAATAGGTGTGTATAGTGCTTCATTACACTATTAGTTCACCGTACGACAATATCAAAGTAAATTGGTTTACCGGACTCCTCGAACGAAAAGAAATGCTTATTAAAGCTCCATTGCCAGGTCATGCCCTATTGTACACGTGTTGCTGGATCATAAACAACCCTCCACTCCTCTGATAATCCATTCGACGCGCGCGAGCTGACCTTGTCTTTGGCTCCTATAAGCTCAACTGTCCACCCGAAACTCGGAACCATCCCACTATCTGAACCCCGGGTAGGTCCACTTAATAGGAGCAGCTCATCAACACGCGGCCGTCGCGAGAGGTGAACCACGGTTCTCCAAATATATTTTTTGGGCAGCTCTCTTACAAACGTAGTTCGCGCCTCTCCCCGAACCTATCTCTGCATACGGTAGTATACCTTTGAAGCGCAGATATCACCCTTCCTACAGCAGACGCCGTACATAAGGCTTTCAATATTGACGCTAAGGAGAAGCCCTGGGCATAACAAAACTCGAATTCGACTAACATGCTTGGAAAGCGCGAATTCTTTCCCTCGAAAGAACCTGGACGCTTCGTCAAGAAGATGCGTGTCGAGATTGTAATGAGTAGAAAAGACGTTAGCGCGCGAGGTAAGTTTGATTCACTCGGTGTTGCCTTAGTCAGTGTTGCCTTCGTCTTCACCTTCACCCACGATCTACTCGAAGAGAACATACTTAAGCCGTCTTTCCCGCTTGCGCTCTCTCACTGTTACATCCCACTTTCGCTTCAACTACGCCGCGCTCTGATCGCGACGTGGATGCTAACATCAAAATGGCAGGCGCAATAGAGGACAAATCCACGACCAAAGCCGACGACGCGGCCGACAACCCCAAGCAATTTGGTGCTGATGCTCCCTCGAGCGAGACGACTGGTGGGCTTGGCGAGAAGACCCGTGCCGTGAATGACAAGAGTTTCGACTACACCGAGTGGTACAACGTAGGAGAATCAAGCGAGTCTACGAACTACTTTGATCAGCCTAACAAAACAGATGGTCCTTCTAACACCGACGGCAACTCCTCGCTTCCGCAGGACAACTTTGAGCAGCCCCTGGAGCTACGTCGGTACCAAGGTGATTTCGGCGATTCCCAACCGTCATTGGAGCCGGGGAATGGCGCGCTGTCTTCACTCACGCCTCCAAGCTCAATCTCGCCGTTCGAGACGTCAGGTCGTGCCCTGGTCAGCGGGAGTTTCGCGTCGTTCGCCGCGAACCGATTCCCACCCCCTCCGAAATGGTCAGCCCATCTTACGCAGCACCAGCAGTTGTCAGGCTCCCCGTGGGCGGCTATGACGACCTCACCCAAAACGACCCCTATGCAGCAGGTTGAAACAGCAGAATCTCAAGGATACTTCGACCCGACAGCTGACTCGTCAATTGCTAGCTATGGTCACGGAGGCCGACAGATCACGGATACTGCGCGCACGACACGCCCCTTGCAGTATCTTGGTGGTCTCTCACCATACGGCAATATATCACGGCCCTACAACGCTGCTTTGCATGACCCGCTCTCTCGGGACTACCATGAGCGACAACAGCTCTTGCAGTCGTTACAGAAGCCGCCTTCAGCACCTTCTGGTAGCCGCGCACGACAAGATCCCGAAACGCACCTTACCGTGGATACTTGCTCGTTTCCGGCAAATCAGCATCCGAACAGTCCTTGCTGCCCCAATTCTATGCTCTTCGCGCGGGATTCTACAATCACCTGCCTTAATTGTAGAGTGAGTCGCATTCCCGAGGATGAGGACTATCTTGTCTTCGCTGCCGCTCGAGACCGACAACCTCAAGGATCGGTGCAGCCAGGCGCAGCGAACGCGCTCCAGCATCCTGGATCTATCCCGACGCCGGGCACGAGCCCGATCCTGGGAGTCCTTCGTCCGGCTGGACCATGCTGTTCCTCTCCGCTTCTCTCCAGGGCCAAGAGTGGAGGGATAGTTGTCTGCCTCAATTGTCATGTATTCAGAACTGAAGACATAGGTTCCCATGATACGGCTCCCAGCGTACCGTCTACCGAAGCTCTTGTTCAATGCTGCCCAGATCCGAACCCCTTCGACATCGGCGAAGACGTCAGTCCGGAATTCGTTTGCCTCAATTGTAACGAGAGGCACGACACTAGCCAGATTTTCGCGGGGATGCAATCTTGGGATGAATGGATGGCTGCGAATACTCGAGATGATGCAGACTCAGTTTTTGCGCTGGACTTGACGGAAGATGCGGACGACGCACTCGACCTGTATTCATCTCCAACTCCAAACGCTCCCGCAGCTAGTAGGCCCAAGGAATTGGATTTCTCAACTGCTACGGCATCGAACAGTCCAAACGACATCAACAGGGCTATGGTCTTGAGAATGATGGGTTATGAGGAACCAATGACATCGGTATATCGAAACTTAGAGCTATCGCTATACGCACCAGCACAGGGCGAGGATCTGTTCCACCAATGTTACGATGCAGATGGGGATGGCGACGATGATGCCGACAACGGTGATGCCGACAACGATGGTGCCGACAAAGATGATGCCGACAAAGATGATGCCGACAACGATGATGCCGACTTCCCTGCAGAAAAGGGTTGCCGCCGGTCTTTTGATAGGTTCCTGGACCTTCCAAAAGAACTACGGGAGCGAATCTACAAGATCGTGCTGCAGAGCGACAAGCCAATCGCCCCTCATCTTTGCGATGCACACCGACCGGCCCAACAAGGCAAGGCCGACCACGGTAAGGCTATTCGGTTTCACGACGATAACCAAGCTGAACACAACGCCATCTGCAAGACGCTCACAATAACGCGCGTCTCGCGAAAGGTCCGCGCTGAGAGTCTGCCCGTTTTCTATGGCACGAACACCTTCGACACCGTTGCTGATACACCAACCTACTTTTCTCGTCTCGAGCAGCTGGGTCGCTTCCATATGATCCGCAAGGTGAACTTTGTAGTTCAGTTCTGGAAAGGTGAGACGTACTCCCAAAAGCTACTGAGGATGCTTCTGCAGCATTTCGAAGAGCAGAAAGCGTTCGAGATGAAGCACGGTGAAGAAGCGAGGATCAACAGCGCTGGCAAGGGCAAGGGCAAGTCTACCGTTAAGGACGCAGCTGCCACAGCCTTCCCACCGCACGAGCGAGGCGCAACGAAGTTCTTCACCGACGATCTTGAGGTCCTGGAAAGCCACCCACAGCACGTAATGGGCGGCCTGGAGGCCAACTTCCTCGTTCTCCGCAAGTTGAGCGAGACCTTTCAGGATGGCGGTTACAACCGCAAGCTCGTCATCCACGTGCCGACGTCGACACTCTTCACGCAGTATAACTCGCTGCTCTACTTCCCTTCAGTGTGTGAAGGTCTGGGCATCCATTTGCAGCTCGTCTCAGGTCGCGACGTTGAGATGGTCGGCTCAGGCTTTCGGTTGAGCTGGACACAGAAGTTCCAGAAGAAGAGCTTTGCCGAATCGACTACGGCCAAAGATGACAGAGAGCTGGAGACGCTGACGAAGCGCGTGCGAGCCTTGTATCCGAATATCGAAGAGGTTTCCAGGCCTGCGAAGCGCACATACTATCGTCGGAATTGCAAGATTAGGGATATTGAGTGGTTCAGTGTTGATTCCGCTGGTGGCTTTGTAGCGGCACCGAATCAGTGAGGGATAATAGCGAAATGTCGGTGTCGAGACACATGAGTGGATGTTAATTGCTAAGGAGAGGATAGGGACAATGGGAGTAACAGTCACAGCAGGACATACGATAAGGTGTCCGAAGCATAGCACTTGTATAGGTGCTTTACTACTTTGTGTGCTATACAAGCAGGTTTTCATATACTGGAAAAGGTTGCAGCATATGAAGCGCAGCATGGAGGAAACGATTCAGTTTAAGGTTCGGGCTTGTATAGAATGATGGACGTCTTCAATCATGTCATCGACTATTATAGTTCGATGCACATGCACGCGGATATGGTACCGACTGCGGCTCATCGACGCTGTCTCTGGCAATCATACAGTTATCCAAAAAAAAGAGATCTATTGACTTGGTCCAACCTTTCATACCCAACGTGCATGCCCTTGAACCTTAGCCACGTGAAAACAGCCGCTCGGCTTCGGCTTCGCACCAGTTGTGGCCACTTGTGTAACCGCCTGTGTCGTATGACCTCACGCCCTTACATGGCGTGACCTCACCTCTCTTCGTTCACTTACTTCCACACCTCTTCAGCATGGAAACCGTGCTATACAAAATAGCGACCCACGAACTGGAAAACCCCCCCCACCATGCTGTTCCTGGTATACATCTTCTGGATCCTTGCGCCCCTCACCTTCTCCACCCTCGCCAACCCAAGCTTTCCAGCCTGTGGCACCATCACCACTCTCCAGAATCAGACTTACATGCTCCACAACGCTGGTCGTGGAGAGTGCCAGCCGCTCGTCGCGCACGGTCGGCAAATTGACCCCAAGAGCTGGAATATCGTCGAGTTCTGCGCTTGCCGGTTGTATTTGTGAGTGCCTCGGTTTTGCGAAGAGGCCAGGTGGGGAGATGACGAAAGACTGAGCTGATGCTGGACAGTGGTAGCGAAATGGCAAAGCCTTGTAGTGCCGCGTATCTGTGGAAAGAAGTCGAGGGACCGAGTGTTGGCGACTTTCGGGGATTGAGGGTCGCGGAGTATGAGTGTTGGAATAGAGAGAATTGGAAGCGCTGATGATGGTGGTGAGCGCGGGAGTTGTGCGTAAGTACATGAGCAAGCATTTTGAACAGTTGGTTTCGTAATTGTTACTTCCTCTGACGTCACACGATTCTCAGGATTGGAGAACTCGTTATATAAGCAAATGATTTCTGCGTTCCGTGCTTTCCTGCTCTTGCCTGTTGCGCCTGCCCCAAGTGAAAGAAAGCCCCCCTTATCTGGACTAGTGCGACCCCCAGATTTATATAACCCCGGCGACCGCAAGGTCGTTTTTGAGCTCAGCACTTGCGACCGCTCACAGCCTTAGCCTCGACGTTGACTCCATCCCAGAAGAGCGTACGATAACACCGCTCTAATCCAGAACGCGCACTCACGATGCGTCTCTTCGAATTCCTCGCCGGACTTGCCTTGCTGTGCACAATCGCCACTTCCGCCGCGGTCTCCATGATACCAGATGGCGGCGACGGTATTACTACGAAGATCTACCAGAACTGGCTCGAGGGTCGGGCTCCGAAGCTCGAGCACCCTCCTCCTGGCCATATGAAGCAGAAACGCGACGGACAAAAGATGTTCACCTTTGGCGGATACTCGACAAGCATTTCGGGGGACGGCAAATTCGAGAAATTGCAAGAACCCATCGAGGCCAACGGCCACCCACATCCGTGGTGCCAGGGCTTCAATGGATCCAACGGATACACCGAGGGACAAGAACCTACCATTCATTATGCTCACATGGACCACGCAGAACACAAGTCTGATGTTCCCACTGTTCCCCAGTTCATCTGTTTCTTCTACAAGTAAGCGTTTTTGGATCGATTAGGTAGATCCGCGGAACTAACGCTCTCAGTAACTTCGACTGCGATCCGAGCAAGGGTGGGACAGGCAACGCTAAATTCAACATATCGCACACCTTCCTCACGGACTTGGACATGAAGTCGAAGGATGGTGACCAGTATTCTATAGAGAATCGGAACTTCCCGATGCAGAACAAAGATACCTCGAACAACCGTTACTTGTGGATCAAGGCATACGGCTGCATGAAATACATCGACGCTCCTAATGCCGATGGAAACACTGCGCAAGGTGCCACGGCAGAGCTCGAGCTATCTGCTGCCGATCTCAATTCGGGCCTCGTACTGAGTAAGTATGATACACTCAATGAGCAACGACAGAGCTAACACTTGGTGTAGGGAATCTTGCGAAGCGGGCTGCTTCTTGGTTGGGATTGTGAGACAACGCAGTTTACGCGTTATTCGATTACGCAATGGCTCTGGTCTTCCTCAGCGTGACAAGCTTTGTCTGGTGTCGGGATTATGTTCTGTTTCTCAAGTGCCCTTTCGCTTGATGTTACGATAACATGAAGCTCCCATCGTGAGCTGCCGTTCCTCAAATCGTACAACACGAACTGAACCTACTCTTGGCTTCATCACTCATTCTATTCCAATTTGCATGACCAGTCCTGCTTCACCCCACTGAACAATTCCTTCCAAACGTTCAAGCGCCCAACTCCCCCGACAATGCCCTCACACCAATCAAGGCCCCTATCAAGGGCATAAACCCCCTCACTACATGCTGCGCATTCCACCTCTGTAGCAGCACTCTCGCCTCCTCTACCTCTGCATCCATCCACTTATCCTCCCCATCCGATTCGGTCTTTTCCACTTTCCTCTGCACCGCCTCGATCTTCCACACCGTCGGAAACACCACCACAAGCGAGTACGGAATCATGCAGAACGTCGCCGCCCCTGCCCATGCGAAACCTTCCCACGCCCCACCGTCGCTCGCCCATCGGCGGTAGGAACACGTCCAGTGCAGCAGCGAGGTCGTGATAGCAGTAAGAGGGAAGATGGGGTCTGCGTAGGCTTGCATGAGGGAGAAGTGTTGCAGTTTATTTCCTACGTTTAATGGGGAGAGTGTCTTGATGAGGATGGGCAGGGAGAACCAGGAGTTGGAGAGGGAGGCGCCTGTGTGATGGGTTAGTGGGTGGGGATGAGGAGAAAGGAAGAGTTTACCGGAGAGGAATGTGCCTGTTATGATGGCGATGATGGGAAGTGTGTGGGAGGGCATGTTGTAGGGTCGGAGACGTTTCTCGACTAGTTGTCGACGTGCTTTGTGAATAACAGGGAGCTAATTGTCGAAGTATGGTCAAGTACAGTCGCGAAGTGTCGATGTGCAATTATACGACATTGTTGTGCGGCGCATTGGCGACATAAGTCCTTATGGTTTCTTACGTCAGATTTGATCGTTTCGTTCAGCTCGTCAGCCTCGCAAAAACCAGCACCCATCGAGTAACACTAGCGTTTTTTTTTGGCCCCGAAGCTAGACTCTATTGGGCCGCTGGGGACCTTTCTATGAATTACTATATCGATTCTTGCTTGTCTAAAGAGATATGTGGATTTGAAGTGCACCTCTGCTATTGAGGTCTATCTAAATGCTGGACTGATTACTTGGAAACTTCTAGTGTTTTATCCCTGAGTGATAGCAGAATGCGATACCTATGCTGGAAATCAAGGCCTAGTCATGTATCTTCTCAGGCGCTCGTCTTCTCCGCCTCGTCACCCTCCTTGCGATCTTGCTCTTTTGAAGCACCTTCTTGTGGTTTCTTCACACTCTTCCATTCCAGCGAAGCAACGCCGAGCACGGCAAGACACGCAATGATCAATCCGATCTGGAACACCTTCCTGAGTGACTCATTATATCGCACCAATGCCGTCTCGTGATATTCCGCAGGCAGAGCATCAAGAAAGGTTGTCGCGCCACCAGATGTGATAACGGCCCTATCAAACCCTGGGATCCAAGATAGCCTCTGCAACAGTTGATTGGAGAGTACATTTTCACCAACCGACACAAAGATAGAAGCGCCGAGCAACTGACCAAACAAGATCAATGCGAGACCCATAGGCACCTCCTGCTTCGGAAGAACCGTTTGCGCGGCAAGCATAGGCGATTGGAAACAGTAGCCTACGCCGAGACCATATAAGACCTGGTATCCAATCCACTTGCTTGCACCTGTGTCAACTTGTAACGTGGTGAGGAGGCCGGCTCCGATTGACATCAAGCACGCCCCCATGATTGCTAATGGTGTGTAGTATCCGATTTTCTGGTTTATGATGCCTCCGCTTATGGCGCCGACGATCGTAGAGAGCATGAGTGGGAGAAGGCGGATACCTGAGGAGACGGCGGAGACGTGCTTGACGGATTGGAACCAGAGGGGAAGGTAGTAGACTATTGGAGAAGTCAGTGGAATGATGCAAGATAGACAATGCAAAGGCAGAGGTGCGGAGTTGGCACCGGGGAGACGAGTTATCTTACTAAAGATGTATTGCGACGCGCCAATACAGATTGAAGCCCATAGAGCAGACACAAGACTGCGGTACTTGAACAGGCGCGGAGGCACTGTTGCTGTTCTCGGAAGACAGATCTGTACAGCGACGAAGCCGAGTAGCAGTACACCTTGGAGTACAAGGAGAACGACTATGCGACTGTCACTCCACTAGATACTGTTAGGTGGTTCAACGCAAATGGCCCGGCGCGTTACATACAGGATAAGTTTGTCCGCCCCACTGGAGTGCTAAAAGCAAGCACACTATACCCGGGAGAAGGAACACAGAGCCTGGTAAATCGACCTGAGCGAACTTTTGCGTCATTGGGAGCTTGGTTTGCTCATTGTCGGGCAAGTTTAGGAAAAGAAAGATCGCGAGGAGTGCTATCCCTCCTACAGGTAGATTTATATAGAAACACCTGTTGTAGTGAGTCTCCGTATTTTGACAGGGGTATAACGCATCTTTGGACAACATACCACCTCCAGGTGACGTGTGAAGTGAAAGCACCACCGATCAATGGACCAGTGACGGTAGCGACACCCATGATGGCGCTCATCAAGCCCTGCAGCGCAGGTCGTTTGGCTAGTGGGACAGTGTGAACTATACACACAATCTGTACGCAATTGTCAGCGAGAAGTAGCTAAAAAAGCGATACCTGTTTTATGAAGCTTGGAAACATATTATTGATTGATCAATTGAGAGATCACCAATGCGTAGACTCAGATAGGTCGAAGACTTACATTACCAGCCATCACGCCAGCCGCTCCGACACCTGCGATCGCTCGGCCGACGATGAAAGCTATCGAGTTCGGAGCTGCACCACAAATGGTAGAAGCGATCTCAAAGAGGAGAACGCTTGCAAGAAGAACAATCTTCGTAGGGAAGAACGTGTATAACTTGCCGAAGAGGAGTTGGAAACAGCAGTTGGTGAGGGTATAAGCGCTGCCATACCAACCCACATCATGCAGGGCGTTAAAGTCGTTGCTGATGCTAGGAATCGCCTAGGAAATGAGGTAAGTATTTGAAAGGATGGTGAAGGGATTGCTCACTGTTGACACGATTGTTCGGTCTAGGCCGACAAGGAATACGCACAGGAACACTGAAGTCAGAAGTAGAATGATTTTCAGATCGAAGGTGGGCTTGTTGTCTTCTTGCGCCTGTACATCGTTGCTTGTATTATCGATCTTCCGGGTGATAGACTGGTCTGTATCTGATGGAGTTGCCTTGCGCATGCTGTATTGTGTAGGAGTTTTTCGTATGAGCAAATAGAAAGTGAAGACAGGGAGTGTAGAATTTAACTTGAAGTATTGATGCCATCATATCTATGGACGTTGAGACTTTTAATAACACACGCGCGGAATATAGACGTAGGTTACGGAGCATATGGAAAATGTGGAGGTCAGTTTCGGACGAATGAAGCCGCGCTAAGCCCAACGGGTTGTCGGAAGTTACGCAGGTTGTAACCTCCGACACAAGTTCCGCGTTGTGACGCCTCCCTTCATCCCCACCCTCCAATCTTTTCATTGAACATGCTCGATATTGTACTTCATCCCCTATAACGCAAATTGACTCTTGTCGAAGATCAGTTTTCATGGTCAAAACCACATTCGTGTTGGCCTTGTTTCTTTTTAACCACAGCCATGAGTACCGAAGCTCACGCTGATTACGCGTGCGACGCCTGTCGTTCTCGGAAGATGGCTTGCACGCGAGAGCTGGCAGAGTGTTCTCGATGCAAGGTTCAAGCAATTACCTGCATCTACTCACGTTCCGGCGTACTTCGACGGAACAGAAAGCGTAAAGCTAGCCCTTCTGCTACCGAGGCAACTTCCGCTGCAGGATCACGCAGTCCTTACCAAAGACCGATATCCGCATCGGGTCCTGCTCAAGTACGTGCGCTCTCAGTAATGAGGAGCCCCTCCTCTCGAGTCAACCAAGATCATTTGGACGCGCTAATGCTGACGTTTGAGCTTAGGCTACGGTAACCGAGAGGTTACAAAGACTGGTTGGCAGGGAGCATATCTCACTCCAGGATCTTGCAGGGCTGATGAGCGAGTACCACACTATCTGGCAAGGTCAGCGCGCCCATCACAATATGATTCATTAGCCAATTTAGGTTGAGATCCCAGCATTTTCGATGAGCTAGCTAAAAACGCACAAACCCATTATCATTCATTTGACGAGGGCCGACAGCAAATTTGGGTTGACAGTGAGCTCCGCATCCCTTGTTGAGATGCCTCGCTGACATGTGCATAGAAATGTGCACTGCTGTCAGTCAAAGCCCATTCGCCATTAGTCCTGTTCCTCCGGATGTGCTGGGCACTTTGAAGGCATCAAGACCGGACCAGATCGGCGAGCGGGCATGGTTGGTCATATTTTACAGCGTCGCTTTGAGTAGCCTCGATGGAACCACATCTTCAGCTCATACTGCGGAATTAAGGAGCAATCTCTGGCTTGCTTTCAACGACGTCAGGTTACTCCTTGAGCCTAGCTTCCTAAACATCCAAGCCTTAGTCACAATGACCTTGCATGCCGAGAAGTATTTGGCGCCTTATGCTTGTTGGACGTTGGTCAGCAAGGCTTGTACAATGCTCATAGCATTGGGTATAGGTGAGCCGATCATAGTACTATTCACAACGGCGCATGGACTGTTCTAACACTAATGTCGTAGGCACACATGCTCACGTTGACCCTACTACTAAGAATCAGCGCGACGCACTTTTCTGGCGTCTGAACGCCTTGGATAAAACGCTAGCACTTATCCTAAGCCGATCACCGATCTTTCAACGTGATTTGATGAAGGCGGTGCCACTGCCAACATTGGAGCAACTCTTATCCACTCGACCTCGTTACTCAACCGATGGTATGCCAATACTGTTTGAAGCACATTTCGATCAGCAGATGTATCTGCTATCACGCGTTCAGATTGAAGTCTGGCATTGCTTACCCGGCCAAGAAACCCAAAATGTAGTCAAGGTTCGCAAAGATCTGAAGTCGTGGTACGGCGAAGCAGTAAAGGCACGTTACCAATTCTCATAGGCACGCCAGGCCCTCACAGTCTTGACAGGTTCTCGAGGCGTCTGCCTTAGTGGAGAAGCCCCTTCTTAGTGGCGGTGGGCAAATGTCCGTCGATCTTCGATTGCAAAGTTTGCGACTACACTATTATTACTTGGATGTGCTACTCACGGTTGCCTCGAAAGATCTAAGGACACAGTGCATTGTACCCGCGCAGAAGCTGCTGACTCTGCTTCCTCATCTTGGTGCACTAATATCGGACGATGCTAAAACGACGCACAGTTGTATGCTATGGGAGTGGCTGCATTATCCTATGATAGCATTTGGTACACTGTGGGGTCAGCTTCTACACAAGGGTGTAGCTGAAAATGACGAAGGCGAACGGATTCTTGAGGTAAGTGGCCGCCTTGGTACGGTTGGCTCACGGGTATGAGATCTTATAGCGTACTTCTATACCCCCATCGTTCTCGAGACAGTGTCCAGCTCTCTATCGCACGGATTTGAGCGTGGTCACAGGCTAAGCCCACTGCTTACATTTGACAGATCTTGAACAACGTTCCAAGATTCCTCGAAAAACTCCAGTCGCGCAATGTCATTGTCGGCGGAAAACTGAAGAACATCACAGAAAGAATCATCTACCATGTGAGCGCCATATATCATTCGACTTCTCCGGTGCGACAGCAGCGAGTGGCCGCATCCAATCACACAGGTGATGCCACCCAAGCGCAAGTGCATGCCGATACATCGCAAACCATTGAGACTTTTGATATGCCGAGTACATCTACAGATGCGACCTTCAATGCCTCACTAGAAGGCCTGATACCCTTACCCGACGACTTATTTCTGGACCCTACATTCGACTGGTTTTCCTGGGGAGATCAAGCGATTACTTGAGTCTCGTACAGGGAAACGTACTGTTTCCTTCTACCTGGCGGATTCATCAAGCTTTTTCAGAATGGAAGTTTGTTAACCGGTTTTTAGGTCTTCCCTGTTAGTATATCATTTCTAGCTAAAACAACGGCAGGTTTGAGGTGCGCCTGAAGAAGGACATAATAGGGAAGACATAAATTTTGGCTCCAGCTCGTCTACTGTTATAATAAATTTCGGGTCCTTGTGGAAGATGCGGCTCAGGCACTTAAGGACGAAAGTGTTGCAGCCGTCGCAGGTGCTTTAGTTGGACGTGATGTAATCCTTGCAGATGGCCAATGCTGTTTGTGCAGCTGCATGTTAGGAACTCAAGTGGGGCTGATTCCAACAATACGCGGTCGTTACTTCTCTACTTCTCTACTTCTCTCTTCCTTCACTCGTTACTTCCAAAGTTTCCCAGCCTAATTCTACAGACGGCAGGACCAGCGATGCCTTGCTTTGGTAACCCGTTTTATCAGAAGTGATCAGCGCGCATGGTACTACGCGGACTCCTACGCCCCGTTGTACACAGGGCTGACTGGATCAATGAGAACCAGTCGCACACACAGCAAAAAAAAGGGCATGCTGGGCATGCTGGGAGCTGCATGCTCGACGCTCCACTCACTACGCGCGAAGATCTTTTAGCCAAGCTGAACGGTGAGAGGAGTGGTCTCCGTATATTTCTTATCATGCGTCGCAACATGCCCCACCACGGGTTCTTCAACGCTCGAAGCCGCACCGCTGCATCGCTTGCCACATAGACTCTACAAACCTTAGCAAAGCTACCGAAATTATGCTTGACATGAAAGAAAATTCATCAAGTGGCGTACTTGAGCTCCAGACATATGAAAATGTGGAGGCTGCCAATGATACCGCCGTCTGCGAGAAACATGGCACTCAGTACGATAAGAAAGACATGAATCGCATGGGCAAGCTACAGCAGCTAAGTGTTCGTGTCTATCCGTTCAATTCCGTCATCATGCGACGCCTCAGCTCACATGTATCGAACAGAGGAACTTCCAATTCTTTCAGATTTTTAGTATAGCAGCCATTCTAGGCAGCACATGGGAGTTCGCACTAGTGTGCGTTGAACCGTTCTATGAGGAGGCGCGAAACTTGCTGACCCATTCGCAGCATCATTGGTATCTCTCTGAGCAATGGCGGTCCAGCTGGTGGTATATGGATGTTCCTCGTCGTGTGTTTCGGCATGTTGTCTGTTACTCTCTCGATGGCTGAAATGGCATCTATGTAAGCGACGCTACCATCCTGAGGCACCGCCATACAGAGCTGTGTATACTGCGTTACTGAAAGCACACAAATCACGCAAGCCCTGCTGACTCGATTTGTATCGTTTGATTGTCCATGTGTTCCGCTGACATGGGCACTTGCAGGATGCCAATCTCAGGCGGCCAGTATCACTGGGTTTCTGAGTTGGCTCCAAAGAGACATCAGAAGCTCCTCAGCTACCTGGTTGGTAGGAAATACCCTGCTACACAAGTTTCCGAGCTGATATCTCCTTTTAGGCTGGATGTGTGCTATTGGGTGGCAATGTGCGATGGGAACCACCGCACTCGCAGCGACCCAACAGTTGCAAGGCCTGATAGCATTAAACGTGCCAAACTACATCATCAGACCATGGCATAGCACATTGTTTTGTATCGCAGTCATGGTATTTGCGATCATCTGGAATACTCTCGTCACCAAAAAGCTTCCCCTAGTAGAAGGCATTGTGATAGTGTTGTACGTCGTCGGGTTCCTCTCCTTCGTGGTCGTTTTGTGGGTCATGGCTCCCCACACAAATACCAAAGATGTCTGGACGAAGTTCGAGGACAACAGTGGTTGGGGCAACGTTGGATTGAGCACCCTAGTTGGCCTTCTCGGACCAGTCGTCACCTTGATAGGCTCTGATTCTTCCTGTCATCTATCGGAGGAGACCGTGGATGCAGCATGGGTCCTTCCACGAGCTATGGTGGCAACTGCTACCCTCAATTACACCATCGGTTTCATCATGGCAGTCACTGTCATGTCATCACTGGGAGATGATGTCTCCGCAATCCTGGCCACGACCTACGGCCAACCATGGATCCAGATCATGTTCAATGCTACAGGATCTCGAGCCGCAACGTCCGTCATGGTAACAGTAGTGTGTGTTCTGTTATTGTTTTGCTCGAGTTATGGCATCATGACGGTGTCTCGCCAGCTGTTCGCGCTGGCGAGAGACAAAGGACTTCCTTTCTCAGATTGGCTCGCATACGTAAGTCCATCCCCTTAGTGATTGATATAATCCTGACCGTGCTACAGATACATCCAAGTTATTACCTCCCTGTCAATGCTCTTCTGGCGACCTTTTTCATTACTACCCTCCTGTCTCTCATAATTTTGGGATCGTCAATCGCTTTCAACGTCATTACTTCCTTGGGCCAGCTGGGACTCGTCTTCTCTTACCTTATTGCAATATCTTGCGTTATGGCCAAACGTCTACAAGCTCCTCAGGACCTCCTTCAAGCGAGATTTAGCTTAGGCCAAGCTGGGATGTTCATCAACGCGGTCGCGCTGTGCTTCCTAGCCCTGGTATCGGTATTCTTGTTTTTCCCTGCTGCGCCAAATCCGACGGCGGAGAGCATGAACTGGAGCTGTGTGATGTTCAGCGGCCTGTTGACATTCGCTCTGGTATGGTACTGGCTGGCTGCAAGACACAGATATCTCGGGCCTGTAGCGTATGTGAAAGAGGTATGAAACGACGTCGTGAGGGATTGCTTTGTGCCAGGCTGCGGAAGATAGGCTCTGGCCTAGATGGCTGATGATTTGCTGGGTCTATATTCTGAACGTTCTCAAATGCCTACATTATATTATTGGAGTACGAGAGAGATTCATTGGTGTTACTGAGGAAATGATCTGGGCAAGCAATGAGGAATATGTTTCAGAAAAACTTCTTTGGCTCAGCTTCATACGTAGATGCATGCATGCCAAATGCCCAATTCGTCCATAAATTAAAAGCATGTTTATAGACAGCATAATGGCGTCTCGCAAAAAGCTACGAGGATTATCTACATGCCTTGTTGTTCAGATTTGCTCCCTTCTTACCTGAGCCACCGGTCCTGTATATTCATGCCTCGCCCGCACAAAGTAATATGCTGCCGCGACGAGAAGTATACCACAAAACATGACAGAACTCCAGTTCAAATTGACGGGCGTGACTGGCTGCGCTAGCGGCCAAAAGAAAAAGAAGATGATCGGCACTAGAAACACTAAAGCGACAATGTTGATTACGAGCCCATACTTCCCTAGGCTCCATCTTCGCGCTGGTAAAGGCGCTCCACGTACCCTTCGCCAGACTAAACAGGATATAGTGACCCAATACGAAAAGAGGACAGCGACACTGCCAAGGGAATTGATAGCGTTCAATGCTACAGAGGATCCTAGGTTAACCAGCGAAAGTAGGCAGCTGATGGTGAATGTAACGCCAATCGCGCGAACAGGGATGTTGAGCTTGGGTGAAACATAGGATAACCAGCGCCAGCCAGGAAGGCCACCGTCCCTAGCGAAAGCCCTACCAGTAGTTAGTCAACGGCTAGTGAGTGATTTTGGGGAGGGGATTAATGACGAAGAATGGGATGCTATTTCCGCATTACACCTACCAAATTTGGCGAGAAGAGGTAGCCACTTCGTTGACGCCACAGAAAACGATAAGTATTACTGAAACTCCTACCATGACACTTGTTCCGCTATGACTTTGCGTTGCATTATAGTAAATCTGGATGAAGGGCTGGCCAGTGTTCGTGTTGATAACGCTGTCGAGGTCTCCCAGGCAAAAGATCAATGTGATGCCCATTATCAGGAACAGGACTATGTTGAGCGACACACTAAAAATCATGGCTATTGGTAACACTCTTGATGCGTCGTTGATCTCTTCGGCTATTGAAGACATATTAGTGCGTCTCATGCAAATTAGCGTGCTGTACTTACACATATGTGCAATGCAATCATATCCATTGAGCACACCAACGATGGGTGCAAGTCCAATCATTGCCGACAATCCCTTGTTGCCCCATCCGCCATTGTCTTCCACTTGAAAAAGTACTTGAGATGCTTGGCCTTTCGGCCCCTTCACCCAGAGAGGGATGACAGTAGCGAACAAGCCAACGACTTGACAGACGAGGAGCAGTTGACCGAGAATAGGCAGTCGTTTAGCGAGGACTACATTGTAAACTGCTGATAGTGCGACAACAGCGACAGTCAACAGCGTCCCGTGCCATCGATGATAGACATAGTTCGGATTATTTAGCGCAATGAGCCCTTGTACGAGTGAACCAACAATGAAGCAGGCACCTGCCAGGTACACTTGCCATGCGATTGCGGTCAGCCAGCCGACACAGTAGCTGAGGCCTTTCTGAAAGCTGGGTGGGGCGAATTCAGATACCCAATGGTATTGACCTATGTCTGCTTAGCAAAAGCTGCTTCGTGTATAGTGAAGAGATCTTTACCACCAGCAGTCGGGCACATACTCGCCATTTCCGCAAGGCTGGCATATACGAAAGACATTCCAATGGCGCCGATGATCAGTCCCCAAAACACTGTCGGCGTCCCTCCGTCTATGAGATTCCAGACAAGGAAGACAGGTATGATTTCCCAGCTGATGACTGCGGTTGAAGAGAAGCCAAGCATGGAAATCAGATCAAAATTACGCTTAAGCTGCTGAGTCTTGCCCAGTATGAGCATGTCATGACGATCTGCGGCGGTGCCTTGATACTTTGCTGGAAGAGCATTGGGAGCTGTGCGATTGGCGATCTGGTCTTCGGCCAGTGCAACAACAGAACTTTCGTTTTTAACCATGCTACCTTCCAAAAATCCTAATGGAAGCGATGAGGTTGGGGAAGAGGAAAGGCATACGTAAATATTTCTCGCTCGAAGCCAGCCGAATGATGCAAGTTCTAGTCAGTTGCCAATTTCAAGCTGAATGAGGGGTGCAGAAGATATTGATAGGCTCGTCGACGCAGCTCTAGATAGCCTTGTACGGCCGATTGGGTTCTCGAGCGGGGTTCCTGCAGTGGGCTGTCGCACAAGGATAAGCCTTTGGAAGCACGCATGCGATAGGGTGCGGAGGAGTTCGGCTCTGCACAGAGAGAGTATTGCGAGATAAGACCGGACGTGATGGCTACTCAATTACTAAGTGTTAACGGTTACAGCAGCATGTGAAGAGAGCCTCAATCTATCGAAAGCATATCTGCCTACGTTCGCGTTGCAGACATCCGCGTTGCAGTCGTGTCGTTTTGGAAAGAGCCGGCAAGGGAAGACCATGCATGTTCGACTTCCTGCAGCTGCCACAATCTTTAGCGACTTGTATTTTCTAAGAAATAACGCCAATAACGAGCAAAGGGAAAGCCTCAGCGGAAATCAAAGGGCAAATTTGACGAGCTACACGCTCACAATTACTCTATTTAGACACCTTCAGCCTGAGTCTGTTGCATTTCAAACACGTACGCAAGCGTCTTTTCTCGGACCATAAATCTCGCCTCATCCTCTCCCATTATTTTCCCACCTTCTCCTACCATCAACGGAGCCACCCAGTACTTTTCGAAATCTTCTTTGCTAGCGAACTGCAGCTCGGTCACGCAGTCGAACCCAACACCCTGACCGCTAGGGACAACCGGGTTTTTCGGATCGAGGTATCGGCGGACATACACGAGAGGCAGAGGCGCACCCGCAGCCTTGAGATGTTGTCGCACGAGCGGAATATGCTTGTTTTCGTAGTAATCGCGGAACTCGTCGAGAGTGAGAGAAGGAACTTTGTTCAGGAAAGCTATGATGCAGTAGCGGGAACCTGACGGCTGAGTGGGGGCTGATTGTGCCATTGGTGATAAGTGAATACGGCTTTGGTATGATTTTCCTTCCGTGTGGTGAGGCTCAAGGATTAGCCGAGGGACCGACATCTATATATACTACATCTCTGTTGAGCTCGCTAAGAGTGCGGAAAGGTGCAGGGTCATTCATTGGAGAGCTCTTCCTTTACTCATCTTTGATGATCGTTATGCATAACGTTAGCACAGACCTGCTAAGGACGAAACTTTTGTCCGCTAACTCCAGGGTAGATGTGTGGTCAGCAAAGCAGCCTTGAAAGTCTAGTCTAGTGCGCCCTACCCCGCTTCCACACCTTAGTCAAGCTACAACAGGTATGCTAGATATCAAGTTGAATTGTAGTCGTCGATGCAAATTGCGAATATTTGCATCTACCGGTTAAGAGGGCCAAATAGGGATTTGCAACATACGAAAAATGAGATTTAAGGCAAAGCTTTGAAATATCTACAAGCTACTCTATTGGGCTCCAGCAATGCGGAAACTCCGTAAATTTTACAATGAAGCTCTAAGCATCGAACCGGACGGATTTACAACGTTCTGTTCCACCTTGGAAGCGAACATTAGCCCTTGGTAACCCGAATCCCTGCATTCTCGACACCATCTCTTGTACTCTTGAACACTACCAGTATACCTAGCCACACTCCTCACGGTTTTCCCTTTGACATTCTTGTTAACACCAGTCATCCAGCTGTCGACCTCGTTGATCATTGAGCCCTGACTACAGGCAACAACGTGCTCCGTCCACTTTTCCACGGCGTCATCTGTTGTCTCAACACGCGTGATACCTTTGGCCTGGCAGAACTGCAATAAGTCGGCAACAACGCCAACAGTATGCTCAATGCTACGGGTTGCATTTCCAAAGGGTTGATGCGGTCCGAGTACCATGAAGGTGTTCGGTAGTGCGGGAATGTGAATGCCCAGGAATGTGCTAGGTCGATGATCGGGCCAGATTGGTTGCTTAGTGCTTTCTGAGCTGCTTGCGATAAGAGGACGGTCATCTTTGGCATGCCACTCAATGGCGTTGAAAGCCCCAGTGATAGCATCGAAGCCAGTGGCGTAAATAAGGATGTCGAGAACATGATGCTTGCCATCACCTGTTTCGATGCCATTCTCCGTCACTCGAGTTATTGGAGTCTTCTGTAGGTCAACAAGGTTGATGTGTGATTTGTTGAAAGCCTCGTAGTACCCGCTTTCAAGTGGTACTCGTCGGGTTCCATACCCATGCTTCGGAATCAAGCTGTCAGCGGTCTCTGCATCATGCACTCGCGCTCGAAGTTTCGAAGCCATGAATTTGGAATAGAGCTCGTTCGCTTGTCGGTCGGTATATGTATCCTTGAAGACACCTAGCCACTTGCTGAATCCTGGCTCATTGTACAGCTTTTCCCATAATGCTTGTCGCTCTTCGTCTGTTACGTCAGCAGACTTGCGCGGGTCTGCTTGGTGCATGAAGCCTGAAGGCGTATCCGCGCATTTTTGGAAGAGCTCGGCGTATTTTCCTTTGTATCCCTCCATCTCATAGGGTGTTATTTTGGTATTTCGAAGCGGAGCAGACCAGTTTGCCGTGCGTTGGAAAACGCTCAATGAGCCAATGTTGTCAACCTTCGAAAGCGCAGTGATCGTTTGAATCCCTGTGGCTCCTGTCCCGATGACGCCAATACGTTTGTTTGCGAAATCTCGCTGTATATTGATGTCCTTAGGCCATCGCGACGTGTGGAAAGACTGGCCTCGGAAGTTCTCAATTCCTGGTATAGCAGGCAAGGTCGGGTTAGAGAGAAATCCAAGACAGCTCACGAAGAACCTGGTCGAGTATGGCTTGCCGTTCTCATCAACAAAGGTCCAGGTATGGGACTTGTCGTTCCAGTGTGCGGACTTGATTCGAGTGTTGAATTGAATGTCTTTGTACAGGTTATGCTTTTCAGCAACGCGCTGGATGTACTTGTGCGTATCAGGCTGGAAGGCGAAGGCATCTTTCCAGTTCCATTCTTCCAGAAGCTCTTCATCGAAAGAATAGCAGTAAGAAAGAGACTCGGTATCAATCTGGCATCCGGGATAGCTGTTCCAGTACCAGACACCACCAACATCGTTACCCGCTTCGATGACTTTGATGCGCCACGACGGAAAGCGTCTTCGAATTTCGTAGAGACTGTAGACACCAGAAAGACCCGCTCCAATGATCAACACATCGTAAGTTGGACTGGATTGATGAGCGAACGATGCCATCTTGTGTGTAAGGTAGTCGCAACGAAAGGGAAAAGGAAAGCAGACGGCTAGTTGATGGGAAAGCCCAAAGTATTGCTCTTAACAGCGGTACCATATGTTGAACGAGGCTAAATATGAGCCATTGGGATCTTCTTCTTCGTCTTCTTCTGCAAAGTTCCAGAAGCTGTTTTGTGTTGGAAGAAGGTGTCTGCATGACTTTCCCACGTCCATCGCCACTTCTCGCCACTGCCATTCCACTATTCAGGCCGTTATCGTAGTAGGGGATTGTGGACGTCTGACTCGCATCTAGACGCGGGGTCAAAGTGGGTCGTCCAAAATATATGCTCGATTCATGCCTGTAATCAGGCGGTTGTAATCGGCTGCTCGGCTCTAGCGCTGCAGGCGTCGGGGTCACCTTCCGTTTTGACGAAACCCTGAACCCGTGCCAAATTTCCACAAGGCGAGGGTTCTCGTGGTTACCTGTCAATCTCAATCACTCTCCGTATCAAGTGGAGTTTTCCCTCGTCATGAGCGACGCCAATCACGGAACCTGAAAGCGCTTGCAGTCTCTTCTTTTGTTCCGTACGCCACCGACTATTTACCTGACGATAACTAACGATAACTATAGCCTTCGCTAATGCTACGACCCAAACAGTCAACGTAGCTGATTCTTCTGTCATCGCGTCTTCTATCGTTGAATAGAGGGACAGTCTTCATCTGATTATAATTCAATCACGTGCACAATGCCAATTGAACAATGAAACTATCCCATATCTTGCAGTTCAGTCAACTGTACCCATGCATACGCAAACGGAACGAATGTAGGTAAATAGTACATTGACGGATAGTCTAGGCCTGCATCTCTCTGCGACTGAGGTGTAAATTGCGACCGAAAAGTGCAGGACACCAAGGGTTCCCTCCAGCTTCTAACCCCATAAGACGGATAACTTCTTCACCCACTTATTGTTCCCAGCTGCTCCATGTTTCATCTCTTCTAGTCTAGTCCACATAGCTGCATCATTCTCGACCTCTCTCAACCCAGTTGTCAAATCAGTCTCTAGTGGATGCTGCAACCACGGATCTTGTCTACCAGCGAAGACCTTGTGTCCAAGCCAGAGCGCCAGAAAGAGAGGAATTCCCAAATAGGTTGTTAAAAATCCAGAAGCTGTGAATTGGCCCGGATAGAATTGCGTGAAGCCATTCATGAGAAGCAAGAAGGTAAAAGTTACTAAGCCAATGTATGCTCCGTAAGGCTGAATCTTCGACTGATAAGGCACTGAAACACCCTGCGCTGCGCAGGCCTTGCGAAACCGTAGCAGTATGACACAGCAGACGATCCAGCTGGTATAACCTGCTGTGTTCGTGAGGCTGATGAACCAATTGAAAACTTCGCCGGCTGCGGAGGCCACGTTGAGATATGCTAGTGGTGCAAAGCAGGATGCTGCTATCACCGCGTAGATGGGCAAACCGTATCCCGTGCACTTAGCGAATATTTTCGGCGCGTTCCCAGCAACAGCCAGTGAATACAAAGCCCGACTGGACATGTAGAGGTAGGCGTTGCCCGCAGACCAAGCACTCGTCAAGATACCGGCGTTAACGATCGAGGGCAAGGCCTCAATTTTGGCGTTGCGGATGGCAATGACCCATGGCGATGCGTTTGCGTTTCCTGATGATGAAGTGAGACCTTCTGCATTCGAGCTGCAAATAACGCCGATTGCTAGTGATCCCAGCACATAAAAAGCCATCAGGCGGCCGAAGAAGCGTCGACCTGCTTTAGGAAGGTTCTTGCGTGGATTTCGCATTTCGCCGGCTGTGAAGACGATGAGTTCGGGGCCGAAGTAAAAGGAGAATCCGGAGAATACCCAGACGTAGAGAAATGCTGTGAAGCGTCCACCGGGACCGCCAACGATATATTCTTTCGTCGCACCGGGGTTGTTCCAATATCGGAAGCCTGCCATAGATGTCAGTACAGATCCGGTGCAACAGGCGAGGAAAGGGGCATACCTAAGCGATCGTGTGTTGGACCACCTCCCAATGCGAGTATGAAGGCCAAGAGCAATAGCCCAGTGATCATGACCACTTTAATGCCGGCGAACCAGAACTCGGTCTCAGCGTACACTCCAACAGGTGAGAGGTTGAGTCCAATGATGAGCAACATCATGATTGTGATCCACACAGCAATATGAATATTATTAGGCCAGAAACCTATCACTATGCATGCAGCTGTGATCTCGTAGGCCACGAGGATTCCAAAAGAGTAAAAGTATAGCCAGCCAAGCGCGAATCCCACCGATGGGGATACGAATCGATTTGCATAATATGCCATGGAGCAGCCGGAGAGCGGAAGGAAGGTAGCGACTTCCATGATTGCTGAGACGACGCAATAGACGAGAAGTGAGGTCAGGCAGTATGCGATGAAGGTAAATGCTGGGCCGCCGATAACGAGTGCCTGCCCGGCGCCGACGAAAAGACCTGTACCAAGCGTTCCGCCGATGGCTATCATCTGGGCATGTCGAGATTTGATGTTGCGCTTGGTGCCAGCTGATTCAACGAACTGGATGTCGCCGACAGTGTGGCTTTCGACTTTGGATAGATCAGGGGCGGCTGACATCTTGGTTTTGCGATCTGTTTCTTCAGAAGAGAAGTTACTATCCAGATGCTTTTCTGCCATGTCTTGCTCCGAGTAGTTGAGGGGGAAATGTGTATTACAGTGCAACAACATAGGAGGATGATTCTAAGGAAACAGTGAACAACCAGAGGGTCATAATCTCAATGTGAACGGACATGCTTTATATTGAGTCATTCACATACTTAGCTCTATTCATCTCACATGGGCAGTATCTGTGCGTATCAAGCCGAGACCATCTTGGCCTTGAGCATGCCCTCTTGAGATTCGTTATCGCAAGCCACCACGCCAAGTCTGGGGAAAATGGGGTAATGACAAAACGCCAACCGTACCACCGGTCCATCTCCCAGGAGTCCAGATAGCTGCAGACTTCCAATTGCGGTTTCTCAGCCGCGTGCATTGTGGCGTTGATAGTAGTGTCGTGAAGGTGCTCAGGGTAAGTGTCAACGAAGCTACTAGCGGAAACGGCTAGCGCTCGTCGTACCATCGGCCCGATGCACGGCAGAACCATTCTCGATAACTTTCCTCTTCCGTCAGGACCCATCGATGTTCATCTCAAGAGGCCTTCACTATGGCTTCGACCTCTGTAACCTGCTTTGCCAACTCTACGAGTAGGTTAACTCGGCCACTGACATGGAGGGACCTGCAGCTGGGCCTTGCACGGGCCGCAGCCGGTCATTCGGCGGATGCGCTACGGTCTGTCCCCAACATTCACTGCCTTTGGCGCTTTGCTGATACTGGATAGTGCCGAAACCGACATATGAAATGTGATGAAGGCCGCCCATCGTGTTCGACATGCCGAAGTAGTGGGATCGCATGCGGTGGATACGAAAAAGCTATCTTTTTTGACTTTGAGGGCGCCCCAGAGGCTGGGAGCCTTCGCTTTCGACGGCCGCTCCTCACTGAACAAGAACGAATCTCAATGAGTGAATGGCTCACTTCAGCGGTACCTTCAAGGCTGGTCAATCGAAATCTTGCACAGATCGATGAAGAATGCGAAGATTCTTCTGAATCAAGAGATGTACATATCTCACGTGGGCCTTTCGGGGCATTCCGGATCAGGTCTGTACTGCCGATGGTGGGAGCACAAAGCTCGCCCGCCCAAAGTTCGCATACGCAAATGGCCGACGTCATCGATGATGTGCAGGCCATACCTCAGCATTATGATGAGCTTATGTGCGCTACGAGCACAAGTTTCTCGCCGAGAACGCAACAGTGGATTGACACCATGTTTGAATCGTCCATGCAAGAGACACCTTCTGCTTTCTTCGAGATATCTGACATCGCTCTAGATGGCAGTCGCATCGAGGAGATCATTGACGATAGCATGATGAGTGGCTTAGATTCTTCTGCATACCATCCCGATGCAGGAAGTTTCCACTTTCCTTCGTGTTCCCCTAACACTCTAATCAATACTTCAGTAGGCTGTGGCCCTGGCTCGGGTATCACCGCTGCTGATAACACAGTGCCCAGCGATGCTGTCATGTTACTGAAACACTATCAAACGGCAGTACTCCAACTTTTGACACCTTTCAGGCATAGCAAAACTCCGTGGCATGTACTCTTCATCCCCCATGCCAAGAATTGCCTTGCGGCCCTCACTCTTGGAGAGAGCATAGATTGTGCGAGTCTATGTCTGTTCTACGGTATACTTGCTATCAGTGCTTTCAGTATGGCCGGTCTATCACAGTCTTCGATATGGCTTGATCAAGCGAGGAGATACAAACAACAGGCCCGGGAGTTTGGCAAAAGTATGCTCAAGTCGGCATATAATATCCCCAAAAGAGCCAAGTATAAATCCATCCTTATGGCACTCCTCACGCTTGTCCAGGTGTCGATGGTGACGGGCAATCGCGACCAAACGGAATGCTATTTTCTGGAAGCAGAGAAGTTTATACGACTCCGAGGACTCAACCGTAAGAAGTCAAGGAAGGTACGATTGCTCCACCATTGTTATGCTTTCGAGAGGATCCTACACGAGAGCACCTTCGTCGAGAGCATAAACTCCAGTCATCGACTGCATGTTCGTGAGGCAGTCGAGACTAGTGGACTGGCTATTTTCCAAGACAACATGTCCTTCCGCCTTGGGACTTGGAGCGACCTCGATCAAGACATGAAGCGTGTGAAAGGTCAAGAAGAAGGAGAAAACGATCTTCATCTTGAATATCCAGGTGTCTGGTCCGCGACCCTCTATCCTGAAATCTTTGGCGTCCCGGAGACATGGTTATTCTTGATATCGCTCGTAATCCGCCTCGCCCGCGAGAAAGACACAGCGCAACAAGCAGGAGCGTCAGACGATCTCAGCGCAAAAGACTTCCTAGGCCGCGCTAAAGCAATTGAAAGGTGCATCAAACAGATGCGACAGCCACGGAGTATTGATCATTGCGCAGATCCAGCTGTTGAGAACATGCTTGATGCTATGAGGAATGCTCTGTCAATCTACTTCTACCGCAAGATCTACGATTTGGACCCGAGCCTACTTCAACAGAGAGTAGAGCGTGTACGCGACTGTCTCTTGAAATGCAACCCCACGGACTCGAGTGCAGTCTACGGGTCTGCCAGACTATTATGGCCCGTACTCATTGCAGCCTCAGAGGCTACCAATCCGGAAGTCCAAGCTTCATTCGCACTTTGGCTGAAGGGTGCTGCGGAACGAAGCGGCCTGCGCTTATTCGGGGGGTACATTGAACAACCTCGAGCGGATCTGGAGAGAGAGGGACATGTCTTTTGAGGGGGACGAGGCTTCAGCACAAGTGTTGATGAATCCAACCTAGCCCATGTACTGGCTATGAACACATCTCAGCGCTCGATTGTACGAATTTTGTGAAGTTATTACTTCCACCTGGTTTTTGATCCTGGCTCGACCCTGGACCGTACAAAACTCGCCTTTGACAAGGTCAATCTTTACAGCTCACTCCTGCATGGGCCTGCATGCTGGTTCCACTTTCTCCGGACACAGCCAACAGTCCCGTGGACCAGATATGTGCACATGATACTACAGGGTTCGAGCTAGGCTCGATCTGGGGCGGCCTTCGATCACCGGGGTGACTTTCCCCTATCCGAAGAACTTTCACCTATTATACCGGCTACTCAACGTGCACTCACGAGCTATCTCAATAGCATCTCAGCACATTTGTGTATCGAATTAAGAGCGTGTTTACTTAATCTATCAGTACCGATCGTGGATACTCGTGGCAGCTGTCAGAAGGACACAATCGATCTTGAGCCACCTTTCGCCGGACACTCGCAGTACAGAAAACACTCAGAGCGTCATGGCTGGGTTCCAAAATAAAATAGTAAGCTGTCTCAACATTCATCTAGTTCAAGTGCCTTAGCTGACATAGAAGCAAGGTTTGCATTACAGGTGCTGCTTCTGGAATGGGTCTCGCAACTGCGAAACTCCTGTCCTCTCGCGGTGCAACAATATCCCTGGCGGATATCAACCAAGATGCAATGCGTGCTGCCGTGCAAAGTTTATCGGAGTCTTCTAAACACATGTGGACCGTGGTAGATGTTCGAGATCCCAGCTCAGTGGGCTCTTGGGTCACTGCCACCAAGAAGAAGTATGGTCGAGTCGATGGTGCAGTGAATATGGCTGGTATTATCTGCCAGACCAGCCCGGTCGCCGAGCTCTCGGACGATGACTGGGACCGATCTTTCGCAGTGAACACTAAGGGCGTGTTCAACTGCATTCGTGCGCAGCTCAATGCTATGGGCCCTGGTGGCAGCATCGTGAGTTGACTTCCAACGGTGTCCATAAAATGCTGCTGAATTGAATCCTTAGGTTTCTGCAGCCAGCGTGTTCGGACAGTTTGGCGCACCGGGCAATGCGGCATACTGTGCAACGAAGGCTGCTGTGATCTCTTTGACACGCACAGCTGCGAAGGAAAACCAACATATCAGAGTCAACTGTGTTTCTCCTGGTGAGCAAGGCCCGAAGTAGCATAGTCTGATCAATGCTAAGGTATTTACATAGGGTCAGTCAACACGCCAATGTCGCAAGGTGAAGATCCGGAACATGTCAAAAAGGGTTTACAGATCACTGCACAGAAGAGGAGGGCAGAGCCAATTGAGGTGGCGCAAGTTATTGCTTTCCTACTGAGCGATGAAGCGTCTTTTGTAACAGGTGCTGTATACAACGTTGATGGTGGATGGGTATGTTAGGACCATGGATATATTCTCATTGCCAGATTGCGTTCTTCAACTTGAGTCGTGTGATTAAGGCGGGTATACGACAAGCATCACTAATACAGAGTGGGCCAACAATTGGCAAGACTTCCCTTAGAAGCACTTTCACAGCAATCTATCGGTTTAGTTCCTTCTGTCTCGCGCGTTATCTGCATTCTGATGTTAGTCTCAGAGCTTCTTGGGTAGTATCCATGTTGAGCGGGGTGAGCAGCGCTAGTGATAGTGGCGATTTCGAAAAGGAAGGCTTCCCCCAGCTGCAGAGCCGCGACCCACTTTCTCCGGTATCTTCGCTCGAGAGCAACCCCGCTTTAACGACCACAGTATACCGAAATCGCTGAGAGACAGTAATAAAATGAGTAGCGATATGGCCTGCTACGTGCTCAATACCTTTTTCCATCATGTCAAACTCTGTTGCTACTTCAAGAGCTCGCCTTGACCAAGTTGCGAACCAAATCGAGCCCCGGAAAACTGCAGTCTCCAAAAGAAGCACGATGGACGTTCCTGGGTTTGCTCTCATAACTGGAGCAGCATCTGGAATTGGACAGGCGTGCGCAAAGGCTTTCGCACAGGAAGGAGCTGCAGGCATCGCGCTGCTCGATCTCAACCGCGAAGCTCTCGCGCAAGTCAAGGACGCTATACTTGCAGCAACCGAGCAAGATGACAGCATCCGAACAGCGCCACTACGGATTGAGACCTACGCGGTGGATGTTTCGAACGAACAAGATGTCACACGAGCTGTCAACCAAGCCGCGCAAACATTTGGCCGACTAGACTATGTCGTAAACGCAGCGGGGATAGCGATCAAACATCAAGGTGGCGCTGCATTCGCTGAGACGCAAGACTGGCAAAAGGTCCTCGACATCAACCTCAATGGCACATTCTTCGTGCTTCGCGCCGCAGCCCAGATCATGCTGAAGCAGGACCCTATTCTCTCATCAATCGATGGCAGGCCCCTTCAGCGCGGATCTATCGTGAACTTCAGCTCCATCCAAGGTGTTGTTGGTATCACACTGTCTACAGCCTATACCGTGTCAAAGCACGCTGTCATGGGTCTTACACGCACAGCATCAGAGGACTATGCCGCCGAAGGATTGCGAGTCAATGCCATCTGTCCGGGTTATACGGAGACTCCCATGACGACCAAAAATCCAGCTGTGAAAAAGGCGATGGACGAGCGCATACAGACAGCGGTGCCAATGCAGAGGATGGGAATGCCCAGAGAGATTGCGGACGGTGTGTTATACCTGGCTGGTGGAAGGAGCACTTTTGTTACTGGGAGCGCGTTGATGGTTGACGGAGGATATACCTTCACGGTAGATTTTACTCTGAGAATAAGCGCGTCCCAATCTGGGATAGGGAAGGTTGCATCTAAGTAGGCAGTATATTGCGAAACGCGGCCCACTGGCTCGAGCGACATGCTCGCGTATCTACGCCCTTAGCTCGCCCTCGCCGCCCTTCTGAATATACTCCCAAACAATATGAACGATATGTCCAACTTCGGAAGCTTCTGTGGTTTATCTCACTTGAATATTGTTGCAACCTCGTATAACTGGGTTTAAATCAAGACTAGGGCCTAGAAAACGATTGTCAAATTAGGCACCTACAAATTACCAAGTGTACGCCACAAAACACACATCTGCACCGGTCTCATCGAACTCTGAATTTGATCCAACTCAGCATCGTGCCAGCCATGAAGGACTTTCATTTGTCCTGTTTAGACCAAACCATGCTCCGCATATACGTTCGTCATCTACTCTTTTTTTGAGTTTCCGGACCCTGCACACCTCGAAGACGCGGTCGGTGCATTGAAAGCGGGATTTGCGGCAACAATTCGGCAGCTTCCATTTCTTGCCGGTACCATCAGATTGTCAGATGCAGAAACAGGCCGACTTGCTATCCAATATCCTGAATCGCCATTCGATGAGCTTATCGACCAGATTTTCACTATCAGCTATGGCCAGGCTGGAAATCCGGACTTGGAATACACAAAGATGGAGAAAGATGGATTTCCACCGTTGCCCATGTGGCGTGACGTGTTCTGTCCAAGCCTTTTGAGAAATCATCCTGGACTTGACGATGAGTATGCCGCAGGACTGATCAGTTTCAAGAAAGAACTGCCAGTGCCTGTTTTGGCAGCGCAAGCGACTTTCGTCCGCGGTGGGCTAGTCTTGAGTGTGTATTCGCAACACAATGCAATTGATGGAAGCGGAACTGCGAAACTATACAAGATCTGGAGCAATCATACCCGATTACGCGGCTCCATGACTATACCAAATGTCGATGAAGGTCATCGTGCTAGTTTAGACTCTCAAAGACTCTTGTTCGATGGTCTCGCAGAAGGCGCCAAAGTCAGCGACTACCCCGACGTTCGTTTTCCGGGCACGCCACGAAGTAGTCCCCTGCTCCGCAAAGAAACGTACAAGCTCGTCTCGAAGATATTTGTGTTCCCAGCCGCGACTATCTCGGAACTTGCCGCCACGCTATCATCCACGACAGGCAAACGTATATCGAGCTTCGTTGCGTTAATATCTCTAATCTGGACGAACGTCACGATCGCACGATCGGCTGCTCTGGCGGATAAGAATATACACAGCACAATGCTGGATATGGCCTTCGACCACAGAAAGAATCTTGACGAGCATTTGAAAGATTCTTACATGGGTAATTGTGTAACTGGGATCCAGGCTTCGGCCCCAGTGTCTGCTATGCTTTTCCAGACCTCTGACGATTCTGTGTATGGAGAACAACTCGCCCCAATTGCCTCCGCCATCTCGTACAAGCTTTCCTCTATCACACTAGACTTCCTAAAAGCTCGGCTAAATCTGTTCTCGCGGACGCCTAGTCCCTGGCAACTTCACAGCCATGCTGATGTACAGAACGGGCCTGACCTGTTCGTCACAAGCTGGATGCATATCGGTACCGGTTGTGCTTGGAAGATACCGGGAACAACAACTGAAGGTCCGGTCGCGATCAGAAAACCGCAGTCTCATATTGAAGGACTCGTTCACATTCTGCCAAAGGTGAGAATCGAGAATGGGTTTCCCGCCCTGGATGTTCTTGTTTGTCTAGAGGAGTGGGAGATGGAGAGAGTTGTGAGGAGGTTGGAGGGTGAGAGATGGGCTGTAAGGGTCATTGGTGCCTGAGAAGAGGCTCAGGGACTCACTACTCGGATTCATTGATCAAGGCTGATAGTGTATTCTTAACGAGCAACAATGCGCACAGGAAAACCATCCACCGGATGCGCTGAGCCTAGTTGTACCTGATAGGCTCTTTCTCCATCCACTGTCTTGACGCCCTTGGGCTTGTTCGTCCGGTCCCACTCTTCAAAGGCTTCTTTAAGGTCTAAGTCACGGACCGTAAGAGCAAGTACGATCTTCATCTCCGTCATTGCAAGTTCTGTTCCGATGCATGCTCGCGGTCCCAGCTCGAAAGGACGCCATGCGCTTTTCTTTGGTCGAAGCTCTTCGGGGCGCTCTTGATCGGTAAGAAAACGTTCGGGGATGAACTCGTTCACCCGAGGCCACCAAAGTGAATTGTGATGAAGGCCGTGATGGACCGCCCATACGAGACAATGCTCTGTTGGGAAGCGTTGTCCAGTAGAGTCGGTCAAGATGAAGTTCTTCAATCCACCTCGGGCTGCTGAGACGACGGGGAAGAGTCGAAGGGTCTCTTTGATGACGGCAAGAGTGTATGTAAGGCGGTTCAATAGTGATGGATCATTTGACAGTATAGACGCAGCCTGGTCTTTTTTGGGCCCAAGTACGCTTTCGATTTCAGCGCGTATCTTGGCCATGGCTTGAGGATTGCGCGACAACAAGAGCCAGCAGTAGCACATCGTCGTGGATGCAGCATCATGACCTGCGAATATGAAGACTTTCATCTGGCTTCGCGCGTACTTCCGGAACACGGCATCAATCTGGCCTTTGCCCTGATTGGTGTCGCTTCCTTTGGACTTATAGCCAGCTAAAGCGAGATCTACGATAGTCTTGCTTTTGGAGTCCCCTTTTCGCGTCCCATATCTCTCATCAAGGTCGCGGTCAATGTATTTGTCCATTATTCTACGGTTGTTCCACATGTGGAAATAGCGCATGGGATTGATGAGCATCCAGATGCCCATCTCTAGCCCAAATGCTGCCCACTGTCTCTGGTGCAGCAAAGCAGAGATCCACGGGCTAGGCTGGCCTTGAGTATTGAGTTTAGTGTCTCTGTGCTATATCAGCAGATGCTCTATATCTGTGTCTCAAGACTGTTCTCACAATGCAACTCTACCGATCACGTCAATCGAGAGACTAAGGGTGTGCTCTTCGAAAGAGAACATCTTCCCATCACGTGCTCTGTGAAACAAGTCTTGACGAAAGACTGCCACCTCTTCTACAATCGTGGGTACAAGGGTCTGAATGTGTGCAGCCGAAAACCCAGGATTGAAGAGCCGCCTCCAAAACTTCCAGGTCTCTCCATCGAGGCAATTAAGGTCGAAGCCCCCAGTTATGGGGTACAGGAAGGTCTTGATTCCCGGATGCTTGGGGAGTAGATGATCAGCGGTGCTGAATTGCGCAATGACATCCGGATCGGTGACCATAAGCATAGGATCGGAGAACGGCCATAAGTCAACGTAAAAGGTCGATCCAAGGGAAGGGTACCTCTGGCGGATTTGATCGGCCAAATAGTGCCCATGAGCATCTGCTGGAAGACCTTTCTGGATGCCGGCTATAAGACCGAGGTGGCCAAAGATGATGTTGTGAGGCGGCATTCGCTTCTCTCGTTAGTCTTAAGATATTTCATCCTTAGTATGTTGGTTCTCACTAAACCTTGCTTTTGCAGCATTCGCATATACCGCCGAACGCGCCAGGCATTGCGCAGAAAGATTGAGATCAGCACAATGACCACGCTTCCCAAGACAGTGACCGCGGCGGATGGGCTTGCGTAGTGTCCCATGTTGACAGCGGCGCCTGTAGGATTTCGATTTCGCAGCTGCGCACCTCGATTGACAACGCAACTTTTAGATGACCGAAGTGGTAGCGAGGGAATGGAGTTTTCGCGTGGAATCTGACTCTCGCACGAAAGCACGTTGCACGCAAAGCGACTCGCACACATTGTTCATTCTGGATATGATGCATACATGTTGTATTTTTCACAATTAGGACATCCGAGTTGATAGCAGTACACTCGATCTCGTCGTACCCTAAATAGCAGTCCGGCGGTGGAGTCAGAAAGATCACGTGATTGTATATCACATGACCGTGTACTTCCACTGGTCCTACCGCATGTAAGACTTTTCTCATATCTGCGAGCCTATAAATTCAGAGACTATGCCTCAATCCCCCCATTTTTGAAATCAGGCAACGCACGACGTTGAGAAGGCCAAGACGACGATCTCTTGCGTCATATTCTGGGCGCATCGCACCTACTCTCCCCTCTCGGCCCTTGGCTTTATCGGGCACACGACACGGCCTATCACCACCATCGTACCTGAGAACCATCCCCACAATGTAGTCGTTCCGCGATATACGCGAGCAGTGTGGTGACCTCCGAACGCTAGCGTCCTACTTTTGGTCAAGTCCTCTCATTCTCTGGGACTACGAGCGGCTCGAGAGGGGTAACAGCCAGTATTCACAAACCCCCACGTAACAGCGTCCAGAGAAGCAGAGCTGCTATCGCGCATCTCCACCTTCTAACTTGGCATTTTCCCGCGTCATTGAGCGGACAAGCGGGCACAGGGAGACAAGATGCTGATAAAGCAACTGCTTCCCGCGACAATGTGGGGAGCCCGACATTCATTCGACCCTATAAAATAGCCCGACTTCAGGGACTGACATAAAGAAAGCCAGTACATCATGCGTGGTTCAACACTAATAAGTAGTCTCTTGCCCACCATTGGGGTTGTGGCTCAAGGCGGCGGTAGCAGCGGCGGCAACCTGTCATTGCAGCACCCGGAGCTCTTCTCGTTGCATTGGCAGATGCTGGAGCAGAATTCCACCTCGGGTTTCGAAACGCCAATGGTAGACTTCCTATCAGGCTATCTAGAAGACAGAGGTCTCACAGTTGAACTGCAACCGGTGCAAAACCCCATTCTTGCGTACAACGTGCGGAGGCAGAACATTCTTGCGTACATCGGTTCCAACAGAACATGCCGATTGATCCTCAACTCCCATACAGACGTAGTTCCACCGGTCAGTGCATCCGCAAAATCCTCCTCTCCGCGACGGGCATCTGATAGCGCGGCAGTACTTTCCCCCATCCGACAACGACACCGATGTTTTTGGTCGAGGGGCCAACGACGCCAAAGGCTCGATAGCCTGCCAAGTAACAGCATTCCTTGAGCTCCGTGACGCAGGTGCAATCCGCGAAGGCGATGTCTGCTTGATGTACGACGTTGGTGAAGAACAGTATGGCGACGGGATGCGAACATTCGTCCAGTCGCTCACTTACAAACCTGAATGGATTCTTACGGGAGAGCCCACCGAGTCGTACCAGGCGACAGGCCATAAGGGATCTATCAACATTAACGTTACTGCTATCGGCGACACTGCTCATTCGTCGGTGCCACAGTACGGCCGCAATGCGATCCTGGAGATCATGAACTTTCTACCACGCTTGCTGGAATTGACTAGTATCTTTCCTTATGATGACTTTCAGTAAGTATGACACGGAGCTTCACGTTCAGTAGTCGGCCACTGACGCGTTTACACAGCGGGAATACGACCTTATCCCTGTCTTCCATCAAGGGTGGTACCATCTCCAACCAGGTCGCAGATCGTGCCGAGGCCACTGTCAATTCCCGAGTCAGTGTTCCAGCCAAACAAATCTGGGACATCATAACGCAGCAAGTGGGCAATGTATCGAATATTCTTCTTTCCCGGGTTTCTGCGTCTTCGAATCCGTTGGCCATGGATGTCATCCAAGACTGGCTTCCTAAGAAAATCATGCCGTATGGCACAGACCTCGGAGCGTGGACTGTCAACAACACCAAGTTTTTGCTGGGTGTTGGCTCAATCGCCACAGCACATTCAGCGTAAGTCTTTCAGTGTGTTTGGTTTTAGCGAGTACTAAATCACCATCTTGAATAGTCATGAAGTCGTATCGAAGCAGGAGATGATCGAAATGGTAAGAGTTCCAAAGCCGCAGCGTATGCGGTACACTGATAGCTTTTCCTAGGTCGGGCATTACAAGGAGTTCGTCCAAGGCATTCTTAACGGGACATTGGTGCCCATCAACAACGGGACCTTCCCTTCGAATTACCCATTAGAGACGAACACAGGTAATCTGACCAAGCGAGAGATCGCAATGATGGACTATGAGGCCCGGCGGTATGGTGGATGTATGCATTGAAGAGGCAGCAGGGTTCCTGGGGTCGTATGTACACATTGCATGTTATTGCTAGCCAAACAGTCAATGTACTCTGCCATAATGCGTCCCTTGGTTAGGTCTTTTCGGGATAGTTTACCCCCATCACCACGGGTATCGGCTTCTCGTAACCGGTTGCTGTGGGTCAGTCTGGCCAATACCGCGGAGCCCCAATAACGGCTGAAAGTACGGAAGACAGCCCCCTTTTCGGAGCATATCGACGGGTGTCTTCAATTTTTTTTGTATCCGACTAATATTAACCAAGAGATTGCGATTGGCCTGCATTGAAATGGATTAAAGCTACAAGAATATCAAGCAATTTCTTCATGTCAGTCTGCTGTCCAAAATGAGCAGCTTTCGAACCTAATTCGGGATAAAGAAATCGACAAAGGTATGATGGAATGTGCAATTGTTCGTCCTTCAGTTTCCGGTTCTGGCTTTGAGGAAACCTCCACGTGCCTCAGGATCATCACTTGAAGCGCTGCTGAAACGCCATGGCAGACGGAAGCGCATCATAGTCGCGAGACTCGGCTGCTCTCTTCACCGAATAATGTGAATGCAGAGGACCACGTACGTAGTCTTCATGTAGACTACTGACACTGCATTGAGCGAGTGCAAGACGGAAGAAGCGGAGTGATGCACGCTGACTAGGTGGCGTAGAGCCATCACCAAGCCTTGGTAAGCCCCTAGACCATCAACCAATGCCGACGCCCCGTCTTGACTGCCGCCTCGCTCTGGATGGCGAGATTGCGATGGGCGATGTCGCCTTTGGCGGCTATGATTCGCTTCGTGTTTCCGTGGAGAGCTGAAAGCGGAAACTATACGCTCACCACACACGTATTCGCTACCGTAGGACGATGTCTTAAGCAAGTGTCCAGTTCTCGCGCTGCATGTTGCATATTCACCAGGCGTATACGGCTTTTGGACAGCCAGACACAAGGGCAAGGCTGCATCTCCGCGCCCGCACGTTGTTGCTAGGGGCAGCGGCGATCTTCTGCGTGCTTAAAAAGTGGAAATGAGATGTGACATGGGAGGCGGTGATTGGCCTGGCTAAACAAGCTTCTTCCGCACGAGTTTAATGACCGATCCGTCGCGCGACAGTGCCCTGCGCAATGACTCCGGCGATGCAGAGCTTCAAGAGCAACCATGGCATTCACGGTCCGCTTTGTTGCTTTCAGGTGAACGCGTAGCTGGTGGCGTGCAGCGTGCAGCGTACAGGCGCCGAAAACAGCAGCCCTCAGCTCGACCGCATCTGGACAGCGCGCATAAAGAGTGCCGTGCGCTCACCCCCAGACGAGCTCATTTCACCATTCAATTGCAATTTGCCGTGAGAGGAATTCGTCAAGTTAGCCGCCCAGCTACCAAGAGCGCCAGACCCGTGTCGGCCACAAGTGAATTTGCAAAGCCCGATCGCGACATCTGGCCCGGACCGCCTCGCGTTTCAAAAGCCCAAGGATCCCGCACCCGCAATCCCTCCTCTTCATCTCTCGCACACACTCGTTACTCATCGGCGTCGTCACCGCGCAGCCTTCTGCTCCACACTCGTTCACGTCTTCATCTCTTTAGATTTCCCCACGTGTTCATCTGTTAGAATGCAGTTCTACGCTGTCGTGGTGGCCGCTTTGGCCGCGGCTGTGTCCGCCCAATTCCCTACCAACATTGACCCTGCGTACGTCTCCACTGAAATGCGCACGCCACTACCGCGTGCTGTACGCTGTGAGCGCGTGTCTAACAATTCACAGGCAGCAATCTGCTCTGCTCGCGCTTGCGACTGCGCTCCCGCCGTCTATCCTCGCTGCCGCTGCTACCAACCAGGCCGCCTTTGCCTCTGAGGTTGCTTCGTCCATCGCGGCTGGCAACACGCCCGCGTGGTACCAGGCTCTTCCCACCGACGTCAAGTCTGCGCTCGCCTCCATCTACCCTGTCTCGACTCCCGCTGCGTCGACGCCGTCCGAGACTGCCGCCCCATCCTCATCGTATGAGGCGAGCTCTGTTGCTGAGAGCAGCTCCGTTGAGAGCAGCTCCGTTGCTGAGACCACTACCGCCGTCGTCACTTCCGTCATCGTCACTTCCGCCCCTGTCGTCGTCCCCTCTGGCACTGGCGCCTCCTCCATCGGCACCAACTCCACTGGAGTCACCAGCGTGAACACGCCAACCCTCTCCGGCAGCACCGGTAGCCCTCAACCCACCGAGGCCCCAGGCGCTGCCTCGATCCCCTCCGCTGCCATTGGCGCCGGCATTGCTGGCGCCCTTGCTTTCCTCGGCATGCTCGCCTTGTAAAGTGGCTCAATGAGAGGATCGGATAGTGTGGAGTTTCATCGGGCGGCGCATTCGGCTTCGACGTTCCTTACGATGCAACGTTGTCATTCTTTGGGGACAGGGACTGGGCGAGATACCTTTGCTGTTAGTTTTTCTTTGGTTGGTGGGTGCATACATGTGATGGATGAAGGGCAATGCTGGGACGCGGGGGATGAAACGAAAAGTGGGTGTGGCTTGCTGAATAAACCTTTGCTTAATAGCTAATTCTGCCATTGCGCTGGCCATTCTATTCATGCGACCTTGCTTCGATGTTTCTGTGCTATATGAGGTGAATTTTGATGTAGAGGTCATGTCTAATCGTTGCGGCCATTCCACGGTTTTGTCTACGGGGCTACACCTGCCACGCGGCAGTGACCCACAACGGAAGCTGCGACCCACAAGCACATACTGTGTAGCGATTTGAACCCTGCATACGGAGAAGGGCGTCGACTTTATTTAGTCCACGATTGCGTCTCGGCTGCTAAGAAACACCGAAAGAGCGACATTGCTAGGATTCACAGACCCATGCTTGCCTTCTGGAATCTCAGCCGTCGGAGCTTGGAGCATCTATCATGCGTCCCACGTGCGAGTCCACCCTTCGCCTCAATTTCCGAGCTCCATACTCGGACTTGTCGGACGCTTTATAACATTGCCTTTAGGTAGGTCCTCGCATGCCTGTGCGCCTTCGTGCAAACTTCGCGAACCCGCCCAAGTGATGCAAGTCAGCGTCTACGAAGGCTGACCAAGCCCCATGCTTCGTTGGAGACGACTCTGATTGGCGAAAACATCAGGGCGTAACCTCAAGAGGATTACACTAAACCTCTTTTAAGCATGTCATTGATGGAGATGAAAGCGGTGGTGGTTTAAAGATAGCGCGCCGTGTGCCTGGCATTGGGAGCAGACGGCGCGAAGGCAGTCCCGCAAGCGTACCCCTTGGCTCTGTCATCGCATTCTAGGTTATTCGAACTGTGGACCTTCGTCGTTTCGAACTGCAAAATCGTCCGCGGCACAGAATTGTCAAGCCGTAGGGCTGTTCGCTACCGAGGCTTACGGAAGCTTTCCGCGAAAAGCTTAACTCCATCGCCAGCATCTCTACGTCACAACAGCGAATGCTCTATCGCACTCAAGCACACATCACTATCCCTCTCCGAATCTTGTAATCGCCGTCGGCAGGTCAGCATCCTCACAATTGAACGTTGAGCAGCCTCTCGCGACCCCATCACTACGCATTTCGCCCATTTGTAAAGGCCGTAAAAGCCCTGCTCGGCCGACCATCAATAGCGCCCAACGCTCCACCTGCCATCCCTTGCCGAGTCCAAGCGCGACTCCACGCCGCCCAGCGTTCAATCGCCGGCTCCATTTATATTTCTAGGAGCCCCTTCTCTTGGGTCCCGGTCGCTTTCTCGCCCTTTTCCTTGCCCACCAGCGGTCGCATTGATCGTTCACGCAGCCCGCCATGGACGCCGCCGACAAGATCATATCCAGAGCGGAGGAGAATGCCAGCCCGGAGCGCTTTGCCCGCCACAACGAGAAGCAGGACGCACAGGTTGAGAAGACGGAAACACATGAGCCAATCGCACGAACCTACACTTCGTCAACAAATTCGTCCTCGTCATCAGAAGCCTCAGACGTCGAGCGCGATGCCATGTCGCGAGCGCCCACGCAGCGAGAAGACAACGACCTCGAACGCCAAGCGACCGTATTGAGCCGTATCCAGACACAGCGGAGCCAGCACAGCGCTACAGTGGGTGCCAGTCTAAAGAGCAGGCATTCGAAGAAACCGTTGCCCGGCTTTGGAGGCGGGAAACCATACCCCCCGCCGCTGCCAGAAAGAGAGGAATATGTTGTGGAATTTGACGGGCCCGATGATCCTCTACATGCGCAGAACTGGCCTATGAGGAAGAAGCTTTTCACTGGTGCAATGCTTGGGTTTACGACTCTTACGGCTGCATTTGGCAGCTCTATCTTCAGCGCCGCGACTCGCGTTGTAGCGCAACAGTACCATGTAGGAACTACGGTTGGTGTGTTAGGGACGTCCTTCTACGTGTTAGGTTTTGCAACTGGTCCGATCTTGTGGGCACCTTTCTCGGAATTGAAGGGCAGGCGACTGCCGCTCGTTATCGCTAGCTTCGGGTTTTCGATCTTCAACATTGGTGTTGCAACAGGAAAAGACCTCCAGACTATTCTTATATGTCGTTTCTTTTCTGGGTTCTTCGGTGCTTGTCCGCTAACTGTGAGTACAAATTTCATACTAGGTGGCCGTGTACTAACGAATGTAGTGTGTCGCTGCTGTGTTCTCAGATATGTTTGACAACCGGACCAGAGGCATGGCGATCACCATCTTCTCCATGACAGTTTTCACTGGTCCCTTACTGGCACCCTTCATCGGCGGTTTCATAGTCATGTCTCATCTTGGCTGGCGCTGGACAGAGTACATCGTCGCGATCATGGGTTTTACTGCTTTCACTCTGAACATATTGTTCCTCGAGGAGTCTTACCCGCCAGAAATCCTTGTCAAGAAAGCATCCGAGTTGCGTCGTAGAACGAAGAATTGGGGCATCCACGCCAAGCAGGAAGAAATTGAAATCGACGTTCGCGAACTTCTGCAGAAGAACTTCAGTCGTCCGCTCAGGATGCTTGTCAGCGAGCCCATCGTCCTGCTCTTGTCCATTTACATGGCTTTCATTTATGGTCTCCTCTATTTGTTCTTAACAGCGTATCCTTTCGTTTTTCAGGGAGTCCACCACATGAATCTGGGAGTCGGAGGACTGCCTTTCTTTGGCATGATCACGGGACAATTACTCGCTGGTACTCTGATTTTCATCCGACAGCCGGGATACCAGAAGAAGCTCGCCGCGAACAACAACGTCCCAATTCCTGAGTGGCGTCTTCCCGAAGTCATCGCAGGCGGCGTATGCTTTGCCGTCGGGATTTTCTGGTTCGGATGGACTGGGTACAAGGAGTCGATCCACTGGATCGTGCCGACGTTGTCCGGTGTTCTAATTGGTTTCGGTCTTCTCAGTATCTTCCTCCAGGCGTTGAACTACCTCGTTGACGCCTATCTCATGGTAAGCTATCCTCCCGTCAAAGCTCTCTTCATCAGACCACGACGGCTAATTGACTATAGTTCGCCGCTTCTGCCATCGCCGCGAATACCTTCCTTCGTAGTCTTTGCGGTGCCGTGTTCCCGCTCTTCGCGCAGCAAATGTTCAACGGGATGGGCATCCAGTATGCCTCCACGCTTCTCGGATGCATAGCCGCGGTCCTCATTCCTGTGCCTGTATGGTTCTACCTCCGGGGTGCGAAAATCCGAGAGAAGAGTGCATATGCGCCTACGTTCAAGCCTGCACAGGACTAGTCTTCCTACGTGGCGATTGCAAGCCAGAGCGTGGCCGAAGTGGCTAATGAAGACGTCGTCCGAGTCGGAGACGGAAATGCAGGACCTTCCGGGAGAAGGAAGGGAAGTGCGGGTGCTTGATTCTATGAATTCAAGGTGAAAAATTGGGTTTAATCTTGTATATGATACCACTGGTTGCTCGGATCCCGCCGGATAGCGCTTATCGCATCGCACCGCTTATTGTTTAGTGCATTTGTAATTCAGCGTCGCGCACTGTTAATAAATGTAGAGAATATCGCTTTAATGATTGATTCTAGCGACTCGTCGTTTTGCATAAATAGCCTGTGGGTGCGATGTTGAGGGCGTCGTCACTAGAGGCTTATCATCTCCGTTTGCCATTGACAGCATTGTCCATAGTGTAGCAACAACCCCTCACGACCTCGCTATGCACACCCACCGTTCCATTGCGCTTCACGAATATACTTTGATCTGGAGCACTCACTGTGTCGTTCAGACAGTATATATAGCCCTTTCGGGTCGGTTCTACCAATTGCATAACGCAAAGCACCAACGACACTAGACAGCACAGCACACTGAAGTACCACACGATTACTAATAGAACATGAGCCCATCGAACACATCCATATCACAGGACTCCTCTAACCCTGCTCCTATGAATCAGTCAACCAGCCCTGCTCTCGCCTCTGACGTAACACCTCAGGATTACGCGCCTGGAAAGCAGTTTCCAACCCCGGATCACTGCCTGAGTGATTCTGGGAAGAACGTTCCTCCGCTCTCTCGCTCTACTGAGGATAAGAAGGGGAAAGAGACTCCTGAATCGTCGCAAGAGAGCGGCATTAGATTTACGGACAAGGCGTTTTGGCATCCAGGAAGGAGAGGTTTGTGAGTGGGGGGTTAGAGGGTGAGAAGGAGAGGAGCTTGATCAGAAGAACTTCAATAACGTAAATAATAATGTTCATTCAGTATGCTCGCTATGACGCACCATGCAATGCACCCAACTCCAGTATGTATGTCAACGCTCACCCATATACAGTGTAATCTATCCAACAATTACTGACATGCGAAAGTATCACTCACGACGTAACAACATAGCGTCTCCAACCCTCGCCCTCGCGCCAGATCAAACATCTCCCTAACTAAACTCACCACCTCAGCGAGCAATCGCTCCTCTTCCTCGCGCCATCCCTCCTCGTCACAATCTCGGTGACATTCACGCTCAGCCCAACAACCGGAGCCGCACCCCTCCGCTCGCGCACGCTACGTCTCTTCGCGCCACCCACAGGAACAGGATCCGTAGGCGCCATACGATGCGTACACTGTGCGCTCTGGCCCGGCTTAAACAAGTTATTTCCCTGCCCGGCATCGATGGCCTCGCTGATAAGCGTGTAATACTGGTGGGAAATCTTCTCGTAATCGGGCTCTATAGCGGCAAAGCCTCCAGGGAAGTTCTCGTTGAAGACAGCGACGACGGTGTTCTGCGCGACATCTTCGACTGCGTTGGTAGAAGCGTAGGTGTCTGGGACCTTGGCGTCTTGATTGTAGTTGTCCCACCAGCGGTCGGAGGCGGAGAGTGTGTTGTCTGCGTAGGCGCCGGAGAGGTCGAGGGAGTGGCCTGTTTCGTGGACGATGACGGGCATCATGTCGTCTTGGGGGTTGACGAAGGTGACGGTGCCATCGAACTCGAAGGCCCAGCCGGCGTCGGCGGGGACGTCGACGACGTGTCGGATCCATTGGCGCATTTGGACGGGGAGCTTGCCGAATTGGCGGGCCATAGAGTCGATGGTTATGGGGGATTGCTTGTGGTGGCAGAAGACCCAGGGGTCGCCGCACTTTTGCTCTGTCAGTACACTTTTCTTTACAATCTGGAACGGCTACTTACGTCGTCGTAGTGGACATTGAAGATATCAAAGTCAGCAGCGTTGTACTTGACGGTGTCGTAGATTTGGCCGGTGGCAACCTTGTTGCAGTCATCAGGAATCGTACCCGCGGCTTGAAGATCATAGTTGAAATTGGTCTCAGGCAGGTTGTCGATAAGACCCTGTTTGAGATAGTCGAGGTTGTCGTGAAGAGGGGGTTTGTCTAGCTTTGCTCCAGTGTCGTGCTGTGCTGAAACGAAAGTCGCAGCAGCAAGCGTAGTAGCAAATGTCTTCAAGAAAACCATGATGGGATCTAGCAGGCGTCTCAAAGAGATCTCAATCAACACCAACAAAAAGAAATTGGCAATGAAGCTGGGAAGATTAGGACAGAAGCTGAAGAAGTGAATTGCATTTCAAACATCGCCGCATTGTCCGCCTTCTATACTTCCAGGCTCACGGCGTGCAAAGAGTGAGATGCCTAGCCTGCGGCGAAGACGAGGCCCAAGCACTGGCTGGCTGTAATTGTGACTTCCGAATAATAGGTCAAACTAGGCATCTGGGCTATGCTGGGGCGTCGTTGCTCGCATAGCAAAGGTTCGCATCTCGGAACTAGCATCTTGACCTTCGGACTCTGGGGCGTTTGAAACGCCTGGGGCGAAACATCCATGCAAATCGCTTCAAGTACTTTCACGGTCTCAGTTGAAAGCTGCGTTGCAACAAAATGAGCAGTATCTTGTTCGTTTCAGGCTGTGATAGAAATGATAATGTATCTGCATGAAATCAACGAGTGCTACAGAGGTTACTTAGATTGGAGTACTTTTCAGTCTAGTTACCACGCGAAAGAATCAGCGCTAAGCTTCCAAACACCAATACGAGGTCCGAACCTAAGCAATGCGCTTTCAGACGTCATATCGATAGTCGAACTACAGCTCGGCGATTTGAAAGGCCCGACATCTGAAGTAAGCTCGCAAAGATTGACCAGAACAGTGCGGAGAGATCCTGCGGATGTCGCATTACAGTCCTCTCCCGGAATAAGCTTGACGCCTGATTCTTAACTGCGAATCCGCCAATCCTAGGCGACTGATGCATTCTGGGGTTGTTATAACGGTTAGCTCTGAACAGAGAGGGCTACCTGCCGCTAGCCCTGCATTGTGGAGTTTGTGATATTGGCGCAGCCCACTCGCTTAACGTGTCTTTGGCAGGCAATGCATGTCGTCACGCAATACGAAGGCATACGCGGGTTTACTTACACTATTCTCTAGATGGGCGGCGAAGCATACGTAAATGGTTGGGGAAGACGCCAGGTCTCTAGGCACAGCTAGTCTTGTGTTGCAGGATGAAGTGGGGCGGGGCGGATGTTTGCTAAGCCCGCCCGCCTAACCAGGCATCAGATTCCTAGCTGAGGAGCAATCGCGGCTGAAACCACGTGTGACCGTTGAGAAATCAACCAATCAATCAACCTGGATTTCACTGCCCTAAGTATGCCTCAGCTTCGATCTCGATCCTCAAGATCTTGTACAATGCCTTCACTTGTACAATAGTGTTAAGTGGACCGTGGTTTGGGAACCGCCCCTTCAGATTTCGAACAAGTTACTCAACGTAGTTGTCCATATGTTCAGTGATGTACATGCGCAACTCGAGAACCCGATCTACCATAATCCGGTGCCTCCGGCCTGCTTCAAAGCATGCTCAACGTTGTCGAAGGCCTAGTCTATTTCGTCACTAAGATCTTTTGGATATTCTTCAGTGAGCCTATCCCAGCCGCCTGCAATTATTAGTGAGTATGAACCAAAAGAGCTCAGACAGCTTATCTTGGCCAGATATCTTAATTCGATCCCCAATTCGCACAGCTTGACTGTAGTTGAGGTTCTTCTTGTTGCGCTCGCCAAAGCCTTCGTAATCGAAGTATTTCAAGTTGGACATTATGAACGACTGAAGGCTTTGCGCTGAACTCTGGTACCGGTGTGTAAGGCCCTTACCAGGTACATTGAAAGATGCAGCATGACCAAGCTTTGGGCTTTATATAATGTTCAGGACGCCCTACGAATGAAATATTTGGTCGTTCGGATGTAGGCCGTTCGGATGTAGGTACCACCGGCACCTCGTGATACTCGGATGTTCCCGGCAACTCACGTTACGCAACGCCGACGCCGACGCAGGGTGCAGAGGAGACTGCATCTGACTGACTACAGCTACAATTACCGCGTTAACCGGGTACAATGGTTCCTAGTGACAAGCGCACCGGGGATGCAACCGGTCACGGTGGGACATGGTGAAGCATACAGTGACCACGTGGCACAACGAGCACCATGACAGGCACAGTTACGGGCGTAGTGGGCACGATGGTAGGTACGGGAAGGTTTTCAACAACCGATAGTCGACAAGGAACTAGATCACGGCTCAGACCAATTACTGATAAGCACAGTACTCGACGTATCAGTCCCAAACGTGAAGTAAATTCCTAAAAGAACTTCAAGATTTTGATTACACCAAAGCACTGAATGCAGCCCTCCCACCGTTTTAAAGACAAGCGACAAAAACTACGTTAAACCGATACGTAATGAGGCAATCACAGCAATTCAAAGGGTGACAGAGGAGACAGTCTCTTAGAAACGTATCTTGAGCGAAAGTAGAGAAGGACGGAACGAAGAGACTTAAGAGAGTATACAGCCAACTTCATACGGAGGAGGCATGGGAAGTATACTAGACAACAAGGAACCATAAAGCCAGGATAATCAGGAAGGTACTTCAGGATAATTACAGGGAACAAGTAGAGACAGCGGCTGAGTTATCGGAAGGCTATAGAAGATAGCCAAACGGGCAAGGACCAGAGAGAGACAGTCAGCAAGAGCTATACTGGCGATATAACACCCTAAGACTTTACGTGGCATCACGGAACTGAGCAATAAAGCGGACTTGTTCAAGAACACCTTCTTCCCCATCCCACTGGAAGCGAAGTTCGCAGAGGTACAAGATGCGGAGTATAGCAGCCAGATCAAATTACCACTAATAACAAAGAGAAGATAGAGGACGCCTTCCGCGCAGCATCCTCGATTCCGATATGCGATTTATGGGTAGCCTCAAACCATGTTTGCGACGTGAATGTGCGGGGAAATGCCGAAGACGGATGACGTCTTACCCCTCAATTTCCCCAGGATCTTCAGGTTGAGAAACATGGGAGCTCTGGTTTAGCGCAAGTTCTCGCCAATGCCATTGGCCTGGAGCAAGGTACTCCTCACCGACTATGAAGTACCTGCGCCGGGTGCTCCTCATCGGAATATACAGGGGTGGAGAACGTATCCACCTGCGCACATAAAGCCCAAGTTATCATCTTAAACATTTCGCGAGCTTGAGCCACTCTATTCGCAGCTTACCAAGTGAGCTTATTACAAGACATCCACAATGAGGAGTATTCCCACCTTCATCTTTGCATTCTGTTTGCAAGGTATTACCCATGCACAGGATCTGCAACCTTCTGGAGCAACTGCGCCAGTTGCTCAGTTGTGTGGCGGCTCTAGTGATATTGTCTGCGTGCAAAGATATGTATGTAGAACATACTAAAGCTCGCTGAGTGCTCACTGTACAACAGGGCTCAGTTTTGCCTTATCACTTCTTCCGAAATGTCTCATCAAATTCAGGGATTTTAGACTTCAGGAACACATCGGTCCCGTCTGACCCTTCTTTTCAACTCCTCTCTGATGCGAACTTTGTGGTCTTCGATCAACAGCGAGGCTTGCAGTACCTCGGATCGCCGACCTATGATTTCGTTTTCAAGGTATCCGAAGCGGTTCACGAGGCACCGGTCTACGTGCCGACACAAAGAAAGCTGTACATTTCCCAGCTAGCACCTCCAGCCGGATACCTGCCTCAGCTAGTCGTAGATCTGAATCCTAGTGTCCCAACGCTGTCGGAGTATCTTCCAGACCCGCCGATATATGCACCCAACGGAGGCACATCTTACGGCAATGGCACAAAAATCTTGTTCGCAGCCAGCGGCGGCAACAACAGTATCGGAAATCCACCAACAGAGCAACGGGTCTCTCTTCGTGTGCTCGACCCGACCACAAATAAGTCCACAGTCCTCTTAAACAATTACTTCGGGTCATATTTCAACTGTATCGACGATGTTGTTGTCCACCCTACTGCTGGATACATCTATTTTACGGATCCTTATTATAGGTGAGTACAACCTGCCATTTCACTACTGGACTGACTGTGCACGAAGTTTGTATAATGCCCTTACAGACACTGCTCCACAGCTTCCCACAGCATCGTATCGCTTCAACCCCGTCACTGGTGCAACATTCCTGATCGATGACACCCTTATCCAGCCTAACGGAATCGCACTCAATCCAGCTGCCGACACATTGTACATCTCCGATACTGGCGCAGTCCAGGGTCTCGTTGATCCAAATGCTACTGCACAGGAACGCGCAACAACCTACAATGTCACACGTCCAGCAACTATATACGCCTTCGATGTGACACATAACGGCACGAGAGTGTCTAATAAGCGTAGCTTCTACCTAAGTGATAGTTGGGTACCGGACGGACTGAAGGTCAGCAGAGAAGGTCTAGTTCTTACTGGGGCGGGCACTGGTGTGGATGTGATTGATGATGTCGGACAGTTGTTGTTCAGGATCCAAACGAACTACACGGTCCAGAACTTTGCCTTTGTAGGCGACGACCTTAGAGAATTATGGCTTATGGGTAATGGCGGAATTAGTAGAGTCAAAGGATTGAACATCCAAGGACAAAAGCTTACATAGTGTAGTATGAATATACTCTTCATGCGCACTCGAGTGGGATGTCCTGAATATTTGGCGTTCCTTACACCGCAATCCCAAATGGCAACAACACATTTTGTCTATGCCTCCATGAGGCCATAGGCAACAGCGTTGTCAGTGCAACTCCACTATACATCTAAAGAGGTCACATTCTGCAACCAAGTTTATAAAGTATGTATGTGCTCGGGCTAACGCATATGGCGTTGGGTCAAGGGCAAAAGTTTGATCATAAAAGATTTTTGTATTGCTTGTCCTGGATTAGCACACTGTACCCAAATTTCTGATTGAGGGCTGTAGCAATTGGGGGCTTACCCATTTGTTTATCCACGCTTGCAGATCAGGTTCGCGTTCGCGTAAGACACTATGGGTTGACCTCCGCTCATTACGACTGTCGCGCGCCGAACTTTCGCCACAGCAGTAGCGATACACGATAGGAGAGGTTCGAGAGAGCGAACGGCGCGTCGCAGCAGCAAGCGCCTGCGGGCAGCGCGCTGTCACCTGACTAGGGTCTGCCGCAGCCAATCAGGCGAATCCTGCATTTCCTTCTTCACCATCAACCCCCCACCACACACATAAGCAAAACCGATGACGACTGCGGTATCTGTGGGCACTCTTCCCTCGGGATTCGTACTGCAAGTAATTACAGCATGTCCACCAAAGGATCGCGATGCGTTGGCACCTACAGTAGCCAAACTCGAAAAGAAGATCTTCCCATCGAGCGAGGCCTTCGACTACAGTGTTGAGCTGAAGAAGAAGAACATCGGTCTTATCCTGGCCTCAAGAGAAGGGAACCAGGAGCTTGTGGGTTACCTCGTGTTCCAAAGACAAAAAGGTCTGGCCTGGCTACACAAGCTGGCCGTCATTGAGCAAGAGAGGGGCAAAGGTATCGCCAGGTGTCTCGTAAATTCTCTTTGCCAGCAAATGAAGAAGGGGGGCTGTCGAACTATCGTCTTGTGGGTCGAAGAGGCTCGCAACCCGGCCAGAGCTCTGTATGCGTCTTGTGGGTTCGAGCAAATTGAGCGGCTCGCAGACTACTACGGTCCAGGGCGAACAGCGCTCAAAATGGAGTTGGCCATGGTAGAAAACTGAAGCATCCGCCGCACCCGGGCTAACTGGGCCGCCGCCTCGAACAAGTACGGCCGAAAGCAATGAGGGTATCGTAGGGCTGGCACTGACACTGTCGGCTCGAAGCGGTTAACCTAGTGCTTCGCATTCCTTCGCATTCGCTTATGGACCTGTCGCGCGACTAGGTCGGTTAAGGATGCATCTGACCGGCAGAACCATAAACCGTTACTGGACGTCTTGCAGCATTTTTCCTGATGGCTTACAGTAGAAATATGAGGGGTGCTCTTCGTATTCGAAGGCTCATCAGCCTTGGAGCTTCGTCGAAAGAAGCTGACCTACAACATTGCCATATTGCACTACACGATGGATGAAAGAAGCCGCACCGAGAAACAAGCAACACAAGAACTGCCTACTGCAGCTCCCCCGCAACCCGCTGTAACGACGCAAACACGAAGTCCTACGATAAAGCTTCCACCAGACACACCACAAGTTGAAGATGAGCCACCATCCACCTTTAAGCAGCCGGAAGCGCATATCCCCAATTGGAGGCTCATCTCTCTTTATGTCAGGTAGAGACGTACCCAAATTCAGGATGACATCAACTAACCATCCATAGCATATGTTTTGGCCTGTTCCTTGCTTTCCTGGACACATCAATCGTCGCGACTGCCCTATATACAATCGGAGTAGAGTTTCAATCGCTCTCCAAGATCAACTGGGTTGCGTTGGCTTATACGCTGGCCTATTTGGGATGCACTGCCATCTTCGCCTCCTTATCCGATGTGTTCGGTCGCCGCAACACCTACATCGCTGCTTCAACACTATTCATTGCCTTCTCCCTCGGGTGCGGTTGGGCTAAGGATCTCAACCAGCTTATTGCGTTCCGTGCGCTACAAGGCGTAGGCGGAAGCGGCCTGTACAGCATTGGATTCGTCATTCTAGCGGAGATTAGCAGCGTAAAGATGCTACGATTGATCGGCGCCCTTGCAGGGGGGGTTATCGCTATGAGTGGAGTCCTGGGTCCCGTCCTCGGTGGGATTATTACCAACTACACCACATGGCGCTGTAAGCAATGTCGGGGTACAAATTGGGTGTTCATGCGGGGCGATCGTCTAAGACTCCAGGCCTTACACCTCTATAAGTCTGAAATCTTCTGACATCGGTAGCCGGGCAGAACACCTACTTCACCCACTTCTCTGATTTTTGAACATTACACTGACTTTGTACCCCCACCTTTAGGGATATTCTGGATAAACGCACCTATAGGCATATTGCCAATTATCCTATTCGCTCTTGCGTGGCCGAACCAGAAGCAACTGCCTCCAGCAGAGCGCCGCCCGTTTCGCCAGATGGATTTCTTGGGCTTCTTTTTACTGATCGCAGCAAGTGTACCCTTCGTGTTCGCTTTCCAAGAAGCCGGTATCCACGTTGTCTCAAATGCAAATGTATGGAAAACCGCTATTTTTGTAGCGCCACTTATTGTGGGCATCATCTGCTGGATTGCTCTCTTTGGGTGGGAGTACATTATCTCGGTTCGCTGGTCAGCCTCTATCAACGCCTTCCTCCCAATACGACTTGCGAAAAGGAGGGTGTACATGTCCGCTGTCGCTGCAACTATGTTGTCAGGCTTCCCTTACTTTGTGGTCATCTACTCACTACCAACTCACTTTCAGGTCGTCAATGACCATAGTGCACTTGCGTCGGGAATCGCGCTTCTCCCTTTGCTTGGTTCCTCGGCCATTGGCTCGACCATTGCCGGTGCTGTCTCCAGCAAGAAGAACAACACCTTTCCGGTTATGATCACAGGCGCAGTGCTGATGGTCATTGGAACTGCCACTCTGTCCACGCTCGGCATTGAAACACAGGCGAAAGCTTATGGTCTGCAAGTCTTCGTCGGACTCGGGTTTGGCTTGACTATTGCCACATCCAGCATGATAGCTGGTACGGAAAGCGAGATTAGAGATAATGGTATGATCCTTCCTGTGTCTGAGAAAGATAGTACTGACTGGTGTAGCTGTCGCTCAAGGCATCATGGCGCAGGTGCGGGTATTTGGTGGCAGTATTGGTATTGCTGCTTCGACTGCTATACTTGGCGTTAAACAACGCCAAAGACTTCTGGAAACCGGATTACTCGCCCCATCGCAGTTGCAGTCACTGCGGGAGGCTATGCCGAGTCTCACAGCAGACGACGTCCATGCTGTGAAGCAGGCATACACAGATGCTTTCGATGATACTCTCATCGTTTGCTCGATAGTATCAGGGGTCTGTCTACTCGTGACTTTTGGATGTTGGCGGAAAAATCCGCTCAGTTTAGCGGAACGGAGAGAGCAGCAGGTCAGGAACGAGATCATAAGACGAAGGGCATTAGCACAGCTAAAGTCAGCACCGGAGCCTGTGGGAAAAGAGACAACAGACGGAGCGATCGTATAAACCCCTCTGGACCATACTTTGTATCTGTCACGTTAATAACATTGGCATCTTTTGCTATTCATCTTCACGCGTCCGCGTTGATGTGCGAAGTCCATAAACAGCCCTTGCTGTTTTCAGTAGCTTGGTCATTCAAGCATTGCCTCACCACGGCAACCGCGATTTTCTGTCGAAGTTGGAAGCTCTCTTCACCGTCGTCGTTGTAACGCTCGGTCCGTGCTCTTGTCTTTGCAAACGCCCACCATCACATAGAGTCGTTCGTTGTACCTTTCGTCCAAACACACTTTCCTTCCACAGCCCGCTGCCTCAGGTTATCCCATAGCTAGAAGAAGGCCGCAAGCACAAGAGACAGGTTCGGTAAGTTCTTAACGACACATGACTCCAATGCGACCTAGGACTAATCCTGTGTTCCAGAAAATAGCGGACCCAGCCCTCCTGCACACCGTTCTCGGTGAGCGACTGGGTGTCGATGGACGCGACCAAGTCTACCGAATTCATAATTTCGACAGTCGTGTCCACTTGGATTTCCTCCGTCTTCCTCAAGCGGTTCTCCCATTTTATATCCAGCACTTTGACCTCATACCGTTTCCGCCAGACCTTCTCACGATCGACAAGCTTAATCTGGTCTTGAATCAATTCGTTGGTGACGACCCGCTTCTGGCTATGTGCGAGCTGAACCAGGAGAAGATGGGTGGCCTCCCCGTGTTTTGTCGTAAGTAACGTTCCTCGATTTGGGACTTTTTCTGACAAGGTGATGCAGAGCTTTTCTGTGATGTGCGACACCCTCTTCTTCGGCAGAACTTGGTGGCCGGTTTAGGATCCCTCCAGAAGCCGCAAGCTGCAAAAACAGTCGAGTCACCATCAACTCCCTACCGACATAGCCAATTTCCGGCTAGCCTGATATTTCCGTCACGAAAGCAGGACACGAGAAGGATCCGTATCAGAGTACCAACGCCAGAGCATCTTGGACCGCCCACAGGCAGCATGACCCGGGGCGAACTTCTCCGCAACAATCCGCCACCCACCGCCATCGATAGAGGTGGGCGCCGTCGCGGGGTGATGAATCCCTCCTCCTATGGAGCACCCTATTCCAGGAATATGGGACTCTGCTATTACGTCTTCTCCACTTCCAAGGCATGTCCAATGGGCGAAAGATGTCCGAACAGACATCATTGGTTCAGCCTGGCCGAGGTTCGCTGGCTTCGCCCGATTGCAAGAAGGTTTTTGTGGGAGGAGATGAGGCGTTATTGGGCACTGCCGGGGCCTCCGGTACTGAAGACTAGGTTTGTGGAGGAGAACGAAGATTAAGGTGTAGAGGATGCTTTGGCAACGCCGGGTGCTGTACGTTCCACATCAGCATTGCTGGAGTTGCATAACATTCAGATTTGGAATGGATGTATGCATCGATCATGGGGCTCGTCGTAAAGGCATGTATACGGGGCCCTCAAGTGTAAGACTCTACACTAACTCTTGATTCGTAAATCGTCTTGTAGGCTATGATCTAAACATCTAGCTCGCTTGAATGATTTAGATAGGAAAAAAGGGGATCCGTAAATGTTTACTAGCATACTGATAATTTTGCACTGTGACATGCGTCGCCGTTATATAAAGTCTGACCTGTGAGCAGTTCCATAAAGGGTATTTACAATGCATTGAGAAAGAAATGACGAACGCAGAGCCTCCTCCGGTGTCGTGACCTCTATCGAAAGGGTCACTAGGACTAACTGTGTTCCAGTCATGAGTCGTCGCCCAGCCCTCCTACTTTCCACCCTGATTGAAATTCATACTGTAACCGCCAGTCGCCTCATCCTTCGTGAACTGAAAATTATCCGTACTCATTCCAAAAGGCTTCAATATCCCGTTCCCCAACTGCTTCAGCTTCCCCATCATGTCCGCTAGCTCTGTATTCTTCGCCTCGTCCAGCTTCGGCGGTAACTCTCTCAGCGCTGCCTGCATCGCTCTCTGATCCAGGCTTGAAAGCTGATGGGGAGGCTTCGACAACACTTGGTAGTCCTCCAGTGCGCCCTGTAACGATGACCACCCACCTACTTGCTGTCTTGCCTTCGCGCGCCGAAGCAAAGCCTTGGTGCGAAGCTTGTGAACGTCGTTTATGGACCTTCCCGTCCGTGCGAGCGCCGCGATGCGGACTTCTGTCGCGTCGTCGATTTCCTCGACTTTGCCCTCTCCACCATTGACCCCACTATCATCCTTACCCGATGTGCTTACAGGTGGGTCGAGAGTATCCAGCGCGTCGAGCGCGTGCGTCGCGGATTCTACAGCTTGCTTCCACTCTTCGAGCTTGAGGTGGCATGCGGCGATGTTGGAGCGGAGGACGGCGATATCGTATTCGAGGTAGGTGGGGCAGACGGCGAGGGCTTTTTCATAGCCTTGGATCGCCGAGTTGTAGTCGCCGGATGCGAAACCTTTATTTGCATTTGCCTTTTCTGTATTTGATTCTTCGAGAAGCGACTTTTCTTCTTCTGGGGGAAATATCTCGGGGACCGTAGGGTCGAGAGGAGTGGGAGCTGTAGAAGGCACAGGAGGGGAAGGCACCATTGTGTGGGAAGTTGTTTGGTGTAGCAGAGGTCAAGTTATCGATTTTGTGAAGCTTAAAGGATTTGTATGGCGATCTGTTGTCGCGTTTCTGCTTCGCTGTGACGTCGCCCGCCGCTAAACTGCAAGGAAAGCTAGTGCTCGGTGGTGGGGCACAGCGTTCACCGATGGTTACCCCAACTTTTCTTCCCCAGGCAATTGAGACCCTGAATCATACCAGATCAAAGCCTCTTCTTCATACTCGTCCAACGCAGTCCACCAAGATGGCCTCCAATAAGTATGTATATGCTCTCCGAATACAGGACCAAATACTAATGTTGAGATTCAGCAGCCCACCCCCACCAATTCGCGCCGCGCTCTTTGACATGGACGGCCTCCTCATCGATTCCGAGGACCTCTACACCCAAGTCACCAACACCCTCCTAGCACGCTACAACCGGCCCTCCCTCCCATGGTCCGTAAAAGCCCAACTTCAAGGCCGTCCCGGCGCCCAAGCCTACGAGATCTTCCGCGCCTGGGCCCAGCTCCCCATACCAGTTGAGCAATTCCACAAAGAGCAACAAGAACTGCAAAAGGAGCTGTTCCCTAAGACAAATTGGTTGCCGGGTGTGGTGGAGCTGTTGGAGGGGTTGCAGAAGAGGGGGGTTCACATGGCGCTTGCGACGAGCAGTCATAAGTTTACATATGACCTGAAGACAGGGCATTTGAAAAGCGTATTTGATAAGTACTTCAAGGATGAGCACAAGATTTTGGGTGATGATAAGAGGATACCGCCCGGCAGAGGAAAGCCAGCACCGGACATTTATCTGCTTGCACTGTCTGTGTTGAACAAAACACTCGAGGAGCAGGGAGAGAAGGCCTTGCAGCCGGAGGAGTGTTTGGTGTTTGAGGACAGTGTGCCGGGTGTCGAGTCAGGAAGGCGAGCAGGCTGCCAGGTCGTCTGGTGTCCGCATGTGGGACTGCTGAACGAATATAAGGGTAAGGAAAAGGAGGTTCTGGCGGGCCTGACTGGGGAGCACAAGGAGGATGAAGAAGAGCAGTTGCGACATACGGAGGTGGAAGTCAAGGAAGGCAAGCGGAGAGTAGGCCTACCCGGAGAAGTCGACGACGGCTTTGGGAGGTTGCATAATACACTGGAGAATTTCCCGTACGGTTCGTACGGGATCAAGGCGCCAGCTGCATGATAGAAGAGGCTCTCGCTTCAGAATTGCACCTGCACGGGCAACCATAGACTTTAGATCCTAAACTGCCTTAATGAGGTTATGCATCATCAACCGTATGACAACTCTAAGGATTGAATTCAATCGCTCTATCGCCTCAAAACACCATCCATGCCTGACTCCATTGAGATTATGCGATGTAGCACCCGCCCAACAGCCTAGCTCTGCAAAGCTTGTAGACGATTCCTCATTTGTCTCAGCATCTCCTCGTTGTCCTCCTCTTCCTCCTCTGCCGCGACCGGCGCAGCAGGGAGCGCTTGTTCGGTGGCCTTGCTTGGCGGTAGCCTGTCCTTCAATATTTCCGAAAGAATCTTGTCCACCTCACCCTCGGCCTCTTCATCTTCGTCCTCCATCAACGCGGTATCGTCGAGAGTGTCTCCCACCATCTCCTCGACGATGCCAGCCTTCATGAGCTCAGATGAGAGCTCCCGCATGGTCCCCGTCAGTTCCGGTAACCGCACAAGCGTATTCACATCCTTCATTATGCCCGTCGAGGCGCGTATGCTACCCTCAATCTTGCGCACGGAAAAGGCCTCGTTGACCTGCATTTGCACCGAGTTAAGCTGCGCTTTGCTGGTTTGTAGTCGGCTGCTTTGCTTCCGTACGCGCACAAGTTCGCGTGCAAAGGTTCGGACGTCTTGATTCGCCTGCTTAGCCATAGACGGGTTCTTTTGGGCGCGCTTCGAGGACTGGAGGATGAAATTCTTCGTCTTTGCCTCGGTTTGCTTGAGCTGCATGATGTCTCGATCGAGTTTGCGCACATTTTGCCGGACGAGCGCATTGCATTTGCGCCTCTGCGATGCGATTAGGCTGGTGCGAGAGAACGGCCGTATGGGCTGGTACTGACCTGCTCCTCCGGGGTCGGCTTCCAGAGGAGACCGCGGATGGTCTCCATGATGGTCTTCCCAAGCCGTTGCCAGCTAGTTCCTCGAGCTGTCGGTGTCTATTTGGTATGTACCGCAAGGGGGCTTGAAGGTCCAAGCTGATACTGGATACGGTCGTGGTCGTTGGAGTCTAGGTGCTCAGGCAGCGGGGTATTAAGGAGGGCAAAGTTGGTCGATAGATATTCAGAAGACTCGTGAGGGCTGAGACTACGGTTAGAGTGGGTGCGCGATGCTTCACGCGTGAGTGTACAAGTGGTGCCTCGGTGTGCTTGGGTATCGCTCACAGCGGTTCGGCGATGATGTGGTCCAAGCTCAGTGACGTTAGCGGGGCAGGCAGGTTGCAACCCGCCCGCCAGAGGCCACCAGCGACACGTTGAATATTGATCCCCATCACCGCCCATAGTCACGAAAACTCTCCAATTGAGACAAGCTTGCGAGTTTGCTTACCAGCTGCACAAATATACGAGTTTGTAATTGCATAAAGCAATCATTAGCTGCGGGGCTGAGTTTCTACACAGCTTCCATTACTTTCCACCAGCCTCGCCCGCGCTAGTCCACTACCTGCAGCACCTGCGCATTTCTTCTTCCTTCACCCAACGTCGACCGCCTACATCAAACGACTTTCACGACCCGTTGACGACACTACTTCTACGCTTGTAATAACCCAATCGCTAGTCTCTAGTACATACTTCGCGCCTCGATATGTCTACCGTCACCCCCGAAGGTAAGCTGCAGCCTTCCCAAACACCATCTTGTTCCACGCATGCACTTGCTGCCTACGCCTGCATGCGATACGGCGCCTATTGCGACTCGATATCTGCGGACACAAATCCTTCAGGGACATGAGATTTCGAGCTCGCGTGTCGCGCATGCACTCACCGCTGCCGCTGTCGTGGAATTTGATGTTGCGAGTGATCCTATAGCTGAGCTCCCCTAACATGTACCAGTCACCTGGGCGCAGCGCTCATCAAGCTCCGAGCCCGAGAAGAACTACATCTTCCTCACCATTGTTGCCACCGACGTTCCCGAGTCAGACAAGCAACTTGACCTACAACCTACCAAACTCACCTTCAAGGGTACCTCAACGTCCAAGAAGGTCACATACGCTCTTGAACTTGAGTTCTTCGCCGAGATCGATCCCAAGGAGTCCAAGATCCACCACACAGGTCGCGACATCGAGCTTGTGCTGCGCAAGAAGGAGCTCAAGGAGGAGTTCTGGCCCAGGTTGCTCAAGGACAACAAGAAGATGCACTTCTTGAAGACCAACTTCGATAAGGTACGCATGGCAAACCACTCATAGCATGGGCATCGTACAGTGTGACGAGAGCATTTTACTGACTTCGTGCAGTGGGTCGACGAGGACGAGCAGGACGAGGCTCCCGATGATGAGGACTACATGTCGAAGATGAACCCCATGGGCGCCGGCGGTGAGGGTGGATTCGGCGGCATCGACTTCAGCAAGCTCGGCGCTGCTCAGGCCGCAGGAGGTCTTCCCGGCATGGAGGGCCTTGAGGGTGAGGGCGAGAGCAGCGATGACGAGGAGGAGGACGATGACATGCCTGCGCTGGAGAGCGACGACAAGCCCGAGGCCTCCAGCAGCAGCAGCAAGAAGATTGAGGAAGTTTCGTAGACGATACAATTTGGTATGGGAGTTAAGATGACGACTTGGTGGGATAGCGATTGCGAACGGCTTGCGAATTGGTAAGCGGGCTGCGACTAAGACTTCGCAGTACTAGAATTTAGTTCTGCAAGCTTGTCGCATTGGAGGCTGTGCTTGCCTTTTCGCGAATTGGCATGCTATGTTCGTGTATGAGCAAAGTAAATGACCCGAAATGCATCTCCATGTTCAATCTCCTCATCCATAAAGCGAATAGCTAAAGTCGATCCGTATATGCATTCCAATTGCCAACCATCTTTCAACCTCTACCTTTCAGCTGTCTCCAAATTCAACCTATTAGCCATCGTTTAACTTGCCTTTTGACTTCTTTTTTTACTTACCTTTCAATCATCCCCAACCTAACCCTTTAGCTACCTTCCAACTGTTACCTTTCCATCATATTCTAACCTAGTATTTCCACTTCACGTTCCAACTGGACTTCAACTTATGTAAGTTAACCCCTACAAGTTTACCTTTGCATCGTGACCTCTTTCAATCAAACCCTATATCTCAAACTCCGCCTGCCGACCATCTTCACTTGCGCATCAGATATAAGCCCTGTCAGCATGCCAATATACGGCGAATTCGTTCTCCCAACATCAACCCAATTCATGCAGAAATGTGCATCCCAGGGAGAGTAGTGAAATTTAAAATGTTTCGGTTGATCTGGCATTTGAATTAGTATTGACGCGACGATCAATGGGAACAGCCAAATTTTCGCGGCGCATACTCCTCATGCTGTTGTGTATCGTTCAGTTTTGACGCAATGAGCTACCTTTGCAGCGTTAGGATGATATCCATGCCCTAAGATTACAGTACTAGGCCAATTGCTTTGGGGTGCATTGCACATTTTGGGGTAACTCAGGAAGCCGGATATTCTTCTTCGGTGCAGTGTATTCATTTCGGTTGCATTTGATGACCTGTCCCACGAAGTGCTACGGGATGGGATATCAAATGTGATGTGAGATGAATGGTTCAGAGTGTGAGTATATGCTTATGAAGACGGAAGCAGGATATTTTTATTTATGTTGAACAGGTGAGACGGGGTTGCAAAACAGAGCCCATTTGCTAAGGAGTTCCTTGGCTGGTGCGGGCGATGGCTTAGGTGGTAAGAGGATGGTGGTAAGCTGATGATTTTGAAGTGAAAGTAACCGAGAGGTTTTCTGAGACGCGGACGCTTTTGTCTGTGAAAAAACCAACTTGAAAATGATTGCTGGGGTCAAGGGCGTCACGACGAGCTGTGCGGATTCTTGAGACAGATTTAACTAGGTAATATCGACTCATAAATCTGCTGCCCTACCCGATCATCCAGAGCCGGGATCCACATGCACGACTTCAGGACATACTGCAAGTCCTTCCATGATCCTACGTTGCATCTCTCCATGCATCTTCTAAGACTTTCACCCAGCCATGCTTCTTCAGCGACGCTGTATAAGGAAATAGCACCCACCATCAGCAACCACAGCGTGATCTGCGTCGGCGCCCTTTGGCTATCAATGGCTCTGAGATGTATTCGGTACCACTGTGATAAGGGTTGGCTGGGAAGCCTAATCTGCTGTCCCTGCAGGAAGATGTGTTGCGTGAAGACTAAGAGACCCAGTCGTAACGTCTCGTCGCATGACCCGTTCGTGAAGACCATGCGGAGGAGGCGGTACATGATCGAGGTCATGGAATCGTATATCAGGGAGGGGTGGAACTGTCTTCGTGTCTGCGTGGCAAGGTTGACCAAAAGGCAGAACTTCCTTGTGACACGCCATACCTCGGCCAGGTTGGGGTTTAGGGCGTTGAGGAAGTCGGGACACTCGGTGGAGTCGAAGCTCGAGAGCACCTGGTCTGGGAAATCGGGCAGCTTTGAGCCCGCTCGACAACAGAAGACGGGTTCATTTGCTGTGAACAATGCAATGCTCATGTCACATCTGTGGAAGTTAGCATTGGATCTTTGCTCAGTGGATGTTTGCGCACCTCAAGATCTCCATCAGAAGCCCCGGATTAGTATCGAATGCTTTCAGCCCGCCTCTCAAATCCGTCATCTTCCCCAGGCCCCGTATGTGCTGCTTGGCTGTATTGGCGTCCCCATGGAAAAGCGCAGCAGTAGCCAAATCCAAGACGGCGCCGATCGTAGCATCTGAGATCTTTGCCTCGTCGTCAAGTCCACCCATTCTTTCACGGAGAAGAGTGAGACCCTTCTGGAGATGCAGCGTTGCGACTTGATTGACTTCGCTCTCTGGCTGATGGCGCAAAACCCTATCGATGAATGTTTGTGTCGCAAAGGCGTCGATGTAGATGGCTACGGAATCCCGTTCGCCTGGATGTAGCCATGGTTTTTTCTCAGCTTGGAACCCAATCTCAACCAGTAGGGGGAAAAGAATCTGTAAAGCTACGCTTGATACTGTGTGTTGAGTCAGTGTCGCGTGACCACCAGAACCGAGAGCGTTGCAAACCTTGTTCCATCTCAAGAAAGAGCCGAGGTTCCACGTCCTCAGGAAAGCCAATGAAATACAAACGTGCACCGACACGCTCTGGCGGTGGAGATGAATACGACTTCATTATATCTTGTATTTCGGCCTGCGATCTCCGGGCAGGACCTGCAGGACTTGCAACTTCCAAGATCGGAGGCGATTGTCTTTTGGCTCGTTTTGCATTCTTTCCACGCATGACATGGCTTCGGATGAGTTTTCGAGTAGCATGATCCACTTGGCTCGGGTTCGATGATACGATAAATGGCATATTCCTTTGTGGACCAGGGGATGGCTGTGTTGACTTGCTCATATCCAACGCTTGACATAGCAGTGTGGTTCGCTCAAGACAAATGTACAAGTCTGAGGCCGTTTTGGAATAAAGAAGGTGGGTCTAGGGGTAGCGACGCTGTGAAAGACATACGCGTCAATCGCCGGGCGCAGTTGTCACTGCCTCATCGAATATTCGACTCCATGTCTTGGACGGATTGTCAAGCTTCCTTCGAAATGGCTGAGAGGCGGAATCGTGGGGTCTAGGGAAGGAGCGAGGGGGCGGTAAGCTGGCCCTAATAGGCATAGTGCTCAAGCGTGGTCCTTGCTCCCGGGGAATTCCGGTGATATCGGTATTTTGGAAACGATCACCTCGCCCAGTGTAAAGTATGTTGCGAAGGGAAGAGTCTCCGGCCCTCGTTATTCAACGGGCTGCATCGTGCGTGCATGGGAGCGGCAGCGTGCTGACGCGCTAGTCCTTTCTGCGGAGTTACATCACTGGTCGCACGCGAGTTCTCGAGTCTCCCCACCATTCACCGCTTTGGCAGAATTTCTGCGACCCCAAATTCACGACTCCACGCGACGGCAGAAACATGGGGAGGCGGCCGAACCAGCTGATTCTGGAGTTCTTTGAGCGTGGCCCCAAACTCGAAGATGCAAGCAATCGCTACCAGCACACGTGCAAGTCGTGCGGCGAAAAGGTGAGACCAACAATCGGTGTAGCCCACCGCATTTTCATTTTCCCCACGCCGCAGCACCGATTGACTGGCCTACCAGTTCCCAAAAGGCCGTATAGATAGCCTCACGAACCACCTCGTCAAGAAATGTCCCGCCCTTCCTCTCCGCGACCGGCAGCGCGCCCTGCTGCAAATCCACGAGCTGCCCGACCTCCCCGCTCTCACCCAGCCCACGACAAGCCCGATGCACGCCGGCCAAGCGATGAACCTGCCCTTCGCCCCCTCGAAACAGGGACTGTCGGCACTGGAGACGCTTGCTGAGGTCTCGCGACAGCATCTGAACCTGTCTGGCAAACGTGTGGCTCCGAAGCAGCGCCAGGACCCGCCCGCTCAGCAGCAGCAGCCACAGCGGCACCAGGCGCAACAGCATGTGCAGCAGCAGCATCCACACTCGCACGTCGGAAACATACATGACCATCACCAGGGGCTCTTCGAGGAATACTTGGTACACGATGACCGCCCGGAGAGCGATCTGGGCGCGCTGTCTCAAGGCATGGACATGCCGAATGCGCCTGCACTGCCGTCGATATACCAGTTCAACGGACCTTTGCACCACTCGCCGACAAGCTCGCCGCATATGGGTGGTGTTTCCATGTCTTGCTCAGCACCCATGGCCCAGTCTATGGTTCCATCGCTCGTCATGGCTGCGTCGGCCGCAAACGAATTACTTCCGCTGAATTCTGGCCTCACGCTGGAGCCAGAGCTCAACATGAATATGACCAACCATGGCATGTCTGTCTTTCCGCTTCAATCCCGACAATGGCACAACTCAATTGATCCTCTGCTGCCAGAAGAGGCAGATGCCAAGCAGCATGTTATCATGGATGAGAATACTGCAAAAGCCCCTTCTCATCCGCGCCCAATAGCACCGAACAGCACCCAGACGCACTTTGGGACTGATTTTAGCGTGAACCACAAATCTGTGAAGCCGAAGGTGCGAGGTCGTTTCACCGATACAAGGCGAAAAGAGGTTCAAGAGGTGCGGAAACGGGGCGCTTGTATTCGATGCCGCATGCTGAAGAAGCCTTGCTCAGGAGACAATCCGTGCAACACCTGTCAAAACGTTGAGAGCGCACGGCTTTGGAAGCAGCCCTGCATACGGACGCGAATAGCGGATGAGTTCAACGTGTACTCTGCTGGCCTGCATGCGGTGCTGTCCTTCCATGCAGTCAGTCAAGCAAAGGGTCAAATACGGCTTCATCAAATACCTGGTCGGATCGAAGCGACTCACTACCCAGACTCTGGCATCGTCGCGACTTTCACACCGCTGAAGTGTCTTACACCGACGGACATCGATCCTGCCATTCTCGCCGCGGTCACGGCCTCCCAGCTGGAGATCATCGACACAGAAGACGACATCAGCGGGAAGCTTGACCTATACGTAAAGCAGATCGTGCCCTCATTCTTTGAGTCGGAAGACTCTGCTTTCATGAAGTCCACGATAAATACAGCTTGTAGTATCAACTCGACAAACCAAGACGGTCTCCTCACAAAGGTACTGGAACTGTGGAATCTCACGCGGATACTCAATTCTCCGTCTCTGCATTGGCACTTCTTCTCGAACCCCTCACTCGCCCCCACGATGGCTCCACCTACTATTACGTCCTCAGACTTGGAGACTATCAACCGGACACCCATCTCAAAAGTCCACAACCAACTGTCTTATAATCTTATCAAATCACAACTCATGGGCGCTACAGAGAAACGTGCAGCATGTCTAGCCCGAATCGTCATGAACGACCTCGAGCGCCGCCTCCTTCAGCGGCAGCAGGCCAATCCGTTCGAGACCTTCCTAGTCGCCGTGGTGCTGCTAGCATGTGTAGAGCGCATGTGCTGGCTGTTCCGCACTTGGGAAGATCAGCATGAGCTCCTTTCAACAAATCATTTCCACCTGAATGCGCCCTCCACAGACGACACCCTGCAGTCCTCACCTCCAGACGACATCGACACTTCCCACCGTAATCCCAGGTGGCCGCTCGACAAGCCTCCCGCGTATTATTCGCAACAAGGCGAGCGCTTCAGCGACATCTTATTGATGTTACTGAAAATGCGGGGCGTGCCACCGAGGCCTGAAGCTAGGCCTACAGACGGTGTGTTGACTATCTATGGGGTCGGCGGAGACGATAAGGTGCGCGAGTGGTACGAAAGTATCGATATCACGAGCGAGTTACTCGCTGAGAGGCGGGATGCGCGTTTTGAAGGCGTGGATCCGAAGGAGTGGGAGTTGAAGTATGTGGGGAAGATTATCTCAGGGTTGTAAAGGAAGCGAGCTGCTCTTCATGAATGCTAAGAACGAGATGATATTCACTTTATAGATACGGTCACAAAGCGGTGGCTCTTTATCGAGAGGTTTTGCTGAGGTAGGAAGGTCTGCAGACCGACTGAATTGGGCGGTGTCCTGATCTTACGAGCTATGAGCGGATGATACCCACACCGGAATGGACATATGTTTCTATGCCAATATCATTTTCATCCATTGTTGCAAAGCGCCCTCTACACGGTGATCAACATATGTTATAGCGAACATCCTCAGGAAGGAGAAAATGGCCGCTTTTGAGATCGCCGTCACGAATCCATAAATCGACTCAACTTGCAATACCATCACTAGGCTAGTGTTTATCCGTTCTGTCTCACGTTCAATTTCTCTAGCTCCTATTCTTATGTGACGTGCGAACTGCTCGTTCTATCACCGAACAGACCGTCCTGACGTGACTTGCTGCACTGCGTCCGGCTTATACGCCTCTATCATCATGGACCATCACTTCCATTCATGCATACATGCATTCATCTCGTCTAGGCTATCCAAAAATACACTCATTCATTGCATTCTATCACTCATCCAACACCCCAAACTCGCTCCCAACCCTCTCCACCAACTTGCTCAGCTCCCCAAAAACCTCACCATCTCCCCTGCTCACCCCCAGCGCCCGCACAAACAGCGGAAACAGCCTATGCAGATGTTTTCCAAACCTACTCTTCACGCCCTCTGCATCCGGAATGCTTGCCGGCTCGCTCTCCAATCTGCCTAGCTCCCGCAGCACGAAGAGGAGCTCCTGCCGCTGGCTTTCGGGTTGCGGCATGCGGCCTCGCAGAGGGTGGTCCGCGATGTACGCGCGGAGTGGGAGGGCGCTGCGGAGAATGAGGTAGGGCGCTGCGGCTTGCGCGAGCTTGATGCGTGAGGGGCGCTCATCCTTGTCACCATTATACTTTACGAGGGTGAAGAGTGCGTTGAGGGTAGTGTAGGACAGTTTTGGGCGGAATGTTGGGGTGGGGTCATCGGTGCGGCCGAGACGCACTTTGTAGAGGTCTTCGAGCGGGGCGGAGGCGAGGTCGGGAATTTCGCCGGCGAAGGGTGCGTGGAGGAGGGAGGTTTCGAAGAGGTTGCGGGTGTGGGTACGGCGGATGGCATCTGGGAGGGAGGGGGAACCCAAGCTCAATGTGATAAGAGATTTGAGTTTGACGAATGCGTCTATGTCGAAGGATTCGTCCTGTTGGAGCGTAGCCGGGTAGGTAGAGAGTCGAGCGCGGGTAACACCGTTGATGATGGCGAGGATTTGGGTCCAGAGGGACTTGAGAGGCTCGCCCTCCAGGTTGTTGATGTGCGAGAGGGTGGCTTCGAGAATGGCGACAGCGGTCGAAGTCGCCTTCTGCCACAAAGTCGGATGCTTGCCTTCTCGCTTCCACAGATACTTCTCTCGGATTGGTTTCTCCAGACTGCTGAGAACAGAGAGGAGTGCACCGTCGGTGTAAATAACGTTGTCTGAGACGTGCTTGATGACGATGCTCTGTAGTACTGCCATCGATGCTTTAGCGAGTGCCACGAATGTAGGTCCACGTTGTTCTTTGTTTCTCGAGTAAGGGAGGGTCACAAAGCTGCTGAGGGTTTGTAATAGGAATTGAGGAAGGCCCTCAGTTTCAGTACGGACCAATGTGAAGCACTCAATGACCTGGCTCTGAAGTGTCGTCATGTTATCAATATCTGACGAGTAAGGTACTTCATCCGATTGAACTACACAAGCCTCGAGGTTGCGTAGCATTTGAACCATGTCGATGGGATTCAAGGATTTGTCAGTCAATCGATATATAGCCTTGAAGGCCTCTGCGTAAGCGATGAAGGCTTCTTGGTTGTCTTCTGGAGCCTTCTGCCAAAGCTCACTTCTTTCGAAATATACTGTCCAGACAGTAGCTGTCTTCAGCAGAGGTGCAGTACCTATTGCTTGAGCATTGTCCCCTCTCGAAAGCACTTCGGTGATGGTATTGAAGACCGATGCGCCAAGAGCATGCGAGCCGCAATCGAAAAATTTCTGAAGATGGTCCAAAAGGTCGGCCCAGGCTTGTCCCAACATACTCGCGTCCTCTACTTTGTCCATGTACATCGACATGGACTTGCTTATGGACTGGAGCACTGTCTTTGTCGTCTCGTTCCACGCCGTAACGTCGGTGTTCGTCTCTGGATCTCCTGTCCGTATTCGCTTCTGCATGAAGAGGTTGGCGCTGACCATCCCGAAAAGTACGCTACGAAGGCATAACATCCATGCATCAGAAGATAGCTGATCGACATAGTTCTCGAATATGCGCTGAATGGTCTGAATCGCGGAGTTGCGGAGCTCTGCACGCCGGTCTGTTGTAATCGTGGACAAATCTATGAGGACTTGAAGCCAGAGTGCAGGCGCTACTCCTTCCTCTGACCTCGTCTTGATGGCTTGTTGAATGTTTCCTCCATCCATGGAGGCGCTTGCTATAGTTGGCAGTTGCGATAAATCGCTTCTAGCATGTAAGAAATCTGACACATTCCAGAAGAAGGTAACAGCCTTTCATATGTTAGATAGATGATCTATTGTTGACTTTAATATACTCACAGTAAGTGACATGTTCAAGTCTTCCTGCTGACAAGAAAACTTGAGTAAGAGCTCAAGTAGCGTCGAAAGTGAAGTGTCCGGAACAGCAGCAAGAAAGTCAGAGCAGACGAGCTGGACCGTACCAAATGCTGTCCGTGCTAGTGTTTTCGATATGACCTCGACAATGTCTGACAATGATTCAGACTTTACGGAAGCTGTATCATCTTTCTCAGAGCGTGAGGTATCCGAGAACACACTCAATAGACTGTCAAACACTGATACCCATCCAGCAATTAATGATTCGCCGCACTGTTCAATGACGCTTTTGAGCGCGGCGAGTGCTATTTGATGTATCCGAATGTCGGTATCGGCATACGAGCTGTCGTGAGTGTCATGTTGATGCAATGACGATATTTGTGTTTCCAAAGCTGAAAGAATCCTGGCTTGGACCTCTTCGCGGTCCTCATCAGGGATAGATGATTGCGCGATTTCCTTGACTGTGCGACACAAGATATCCGCAGCGAGGAGTCGAGTTGAGGTTGCATTGCAGTCATTGGCAGAATAACGAACGAGCTCGGTGACGAGAATATCCCATCCGCTATCGTTGGGCGGGTAGATAGCAAGTCTTTCCTCGTTCAGCCCAGCAAGCTCCCCGATTTTATTCAGCGCGAAAGCCGAGTCTCTCCAACTACCATCGGTGGTCAGTGACATACCAGAAACGCTTCCTAGTCGTCGCTGGTGAAGGACCTTCGGGCGGCCTGCGTTGGACGGCGTCTGCCCCCCTCTCGGAGTGCTGTCGCTGCCGTTTTGAATCAGCCCGCATAAGGCTTGGAGAACCTCTGCAAAAGAATCGTTGGGAAAGTCTATGGTGCTCTCAAAGAGCCTACGAGCTGCCGCTTGTACAGCTGAGGTCTCGGTTTCTATCTTTTCAGAGAGGTCTGATTCAGTGCGAGCCACACCGACAGGTGTCCGCAGTCCACCCTGATTCGATAACGCCATCACGAGATCTGCGACCTGTAGCGTCTCAAACACTATTGACCAAGCGGAATGGAGTGTAGGTCCAAGGGCAATAGCAAGATTGAGTAATGCTCGAAGGCACAGGAGGTTTCGAGCCCCCAGTATTGGCAATTGAGTCGTTTCGTGCGAAGGGCGTCGGTTCTTGTCTAGTGCTGATGCTGCCTGGCTGACTAGACTGTCGACGTTCAACAATCCCTTTGAGCCTGTCTGTTCAGCAGGCGCTGACTTTGGCGACGCAACATTAGCCATCACCATACTAGATGGAACTGCTGCTTTTGCAAGCGTGGTAAGGAATGCGTCGCGAGGTGTTGGGAGCACGAGCAAACCAGCAACATGTGTAACCTTCTGTATCGCGCGTACTAAAGCTCGGTAGTAGTCAGCGTCCAGGGCTGCGTTAAGGAATGTCGAGCAGGTTGCGAGTATCGCAGGCCAGCACTCCGTGACTAACGTTGCTGACGTCTGTATATATGCATAAGCTGGGTGCTCTTCGAGACTTAATGGGTTGACCGGTATCGTCTTCTTTCGAAAGGATTGAGTTCGTGACATTTTACGCGAAGGAGGGGGCGACGTTGGATCTCCCCCAGGCGACGCATTCTCTTCTGATTTGTTCTTCCTCTTACTTTTTGTTTCATGGTGCACGGTAAGTGGCAGGACGAACTTAGCCAAGCTCTCAGAAACATTCGTGATGCATGTCAAGACCAAGCTGTATATATAGGTTTCCGGCATAGGCGGCGGCTCCGTCTTATCAAGATGTTCGATGCATGGCGTCTTGAGATTACTCCATTGTGTGCTGATCCCGGCAGCATGGTTACCTGCGTTGTTCTCATTCGTAGGAGCACCAATTACACCAGCGAGAGCTCCAGCTTCTGCAACTGCTTGATCAGAGGCACTGTCTTTGCCATCGCTGCGATTCGATGGCAGCGATGACTGTTGGCCGAGCCCAATGACGGCAGGCTTTTCAGTTGCCAGGCGAACAAAGGAAGCTAGGTTATCCCCAAATATGTTCTTCTTTCCCTCTTGTTCATCAAAATGCGAATATATTTGCAGAAGGAGGCGAGAATCCGAATAAATTCCACGGAATACTTCGAGGCACAGTGCTCGTTTCCATGAGCTTGACGCCTCTGGGTCAAGCATATGATTCAACAGCCCAAGCGCAATCTCGCATTCTGAAGGCATGATGGTAAGGTGATTGCGGATGAGCAAGTTCAAAATCCGGATGATTCGTAGTGTGATAGGGAAAGACAATCGATCAGATAGGGAGCGGATGATCGTCGGCATAAGCAAAGAGCGAAGAATATGGGTTTGCTCCGCATGTGTTGTCATGATCTTGGCATGATTGGACAAGATCGCTTCTATAACCTCGAGAGTAGTTGTGGACGGTAAAGGGGAAAAACGTATGAAGGTCGTCTTTTCTCCTGTAAGAAGAAGATTCAGGTCGTTAAAGACCTGCCATTGTGAGAGATGGTTGCAGCATGTCATAAGGGTCATACCTTGAGCGCGTCGTGCGCAGCTGGCCTGATGGACACAGAACCATCGTCTGCAGGCACATCGTTAACCGTGGGTATCTCAAGTGACTTATCTGTGTCATGATAAGTCAAAACCTGTATTTGAGAGCAGAATACTCTACCATCTTCTGTACCAACCCTGTCGAATACAGCAATGACTAGCTGTTGCAGCGTAGCCGCGGCTGTGTTGCTGACAGCGAAATTCTTGGCATTCTGAAGTGCAGAGCATATTTGTAGTACAGTAGCCAGAGCATCGCTGCGAACCTCAGTGGGGTAGTTTTGTACAAGCGAAGGCAATATTTGCAAGACCTTCAACTGTACATCATGGCCTTCACGCTGTTAGATTCGACCTGTGTAGTACTAGTGGAGGTATTACTTAATGTAACGGAGTCTTTCAGTGCATCAAGAACTTCAGTCAACCGTTCCCTGGGTAAAGCCTTGGACACACTGAGTCTTTGCAGACAAGAAATGGCCGTTGAACCAAACTTGGCATTGTGAGTATTGCAAGCAATCAAAAAGGGAGAAATAAAATGAGGCCGCCTAGACAGGTCTATATCACATTAGCGTAGCTAGCACGGAGACTTCGGAAGATCACTTGCCAGCGGAAAGTTGTGCCTCTGATGTTACTGAGAGCGATTTTAGATCCTGGAGTGCCTTCTCGGCCGCGTTCTTTAGGTCGGTGTTCTTGCGCTTGGAGTCTTGAATGAGGTTTCCTAGCTCAGCCGCCAAAATCTGTGCTGTCATTCTCGGGGCCGTAACCAGGGCATGAGGGCGCTCGATATTACTCGATGTTTTCTACAAGAAAGGAGTGTCAAAGGCTTACGTCGTTTCAGTGAGCAGGCAGTGAACAGATGTCACGTTGTCGGAGATACCCCGGCCCTTTGCCGATGTGGCTCGACCCCGGTCGCAGCTGCTTGTTAGTTCCCGCCAAGACACGAGTGACAAGCACCGCGATCGAGAGCCTGAGATGCAGCCGGCCACTTCACTCAATCACTCGCGTGCACCATTCACACTTCGTCGAGAACTGCCTTCGCTTGCATTCCATAAACAACGGCTTAAGCAAACATCAGTCTCACGGCGCCTCTCCCACCCTCTACAAATAGCTCGATAGCGGGGTACAGCCCACCCTCGCCCAGCTGTCAACGCGCGACCGTTTCCCTCCTTACCGCCTTGCACTACCAAATATGGGCGCCAAAGTTCCCCGAAACTTCCGACTGCTAGAAGAGCTCGAGAAAGGCGAGAAAGGCCTTGGTGCTGGTACGATCATATGCTTCAGTCTTCGGATCTAGTACCTAACCGTTTGTAGAGGCATGCTCGTATGGTCTGGACAATGGAGATGATCTGTTGATGTCGGACTGGAACGGGACCATCCTTGGCCCTCCTCACGTACGTTCTCTCCAAGTATAGGTCGAGCATTTGGGTACACGGTCTGCTCGCAAGATTGGTCATACAGAGGCCGAATGTTCTCAGCGTCTTGTCCTGCAGCTATTTGTCCCTCACCATACCATCGCGCAACTGACAATTCTCACAGAGCGTCCACGAGAATCGTATCTACAGTGTCAAGATCCACTGCGGCCCCAACTACCCTGACCTCCCTCCCGAGATTGCCTTTACCTCTAAGATCAACCTGCCTTGCGTGGACCAGCGAAATGGAAAGGTATATACTGAGACTGTGGATGGAGAAGTCTAAGCTGACAAGAAGAAAGGTTGATCCAACCAAGGTACCCTGCTTAGCTCAGTGGAAACGGGACTTCACCATGGAGACCATCTTGATTGAGCTTCGAAGGTAGGCTAGTCAGGCCGTATTAGGTGGAATGGCAATGCTAATTGTTCCAGGTATATGGCTTTGCCACAGCACAAGAAGCTTCCGCAGCCTCCCGAAGGCACCACTTACTAATTTGAGCGTCCGATGCTGAAGCGCGCATGTATGACTCTGCCAAAGAGACAATTTATGTCGCAGCCTTTTGGCAGGAGCCACGCCAATGCAGATATCCTTTCACATCTCCTTTCTATCATAGGCGAGGCTTGAAGGGGGACATGGTTTACGAGCTTTGAGCGTGATTACGAATGCATTGAAATGGAGTTCGGGGCTCTACTATATCGGCTCTGGGACTAGAACGCAGATGAATTGAATTGTCATTCCGGCACGTATTGATTTTAGCATGTCGAGGAATCTGTCAAACACATGATAAGAAAGGACCTCAGTGCTATAGAGGCGTACTCTGGTGCCAATATGAAGGTCGCCGAGAAGGTCCTTTACGTTTCACGCTGCTGAAGTCCGATATTCGATAGTGTAGCCCTCGATGTGTAATGCCTTTCTAAAGTGGTGACCTGATAGTGTATTGCCGACGTTTGTATTGACGCCAAAGACACCACTACTTCAATCGTGGATCCAGCCGCCTTTGCTACCATGTTAACATGGATGGGTGAGACGAGTAACACGTGATCATGCGACAGCTGGAGCCCTGGAATCACAAATCGCGTCGCGCGAGCCGGTGCTCGATCATCAAACCACGATAACGCCCATGCATGCCCGGATATCTCCAGCCTAAGTCGCACATACAGCATCGCGTAGCTGGTAGGTCTAGCCGGCTTTGTGTTCGCACTCAATCTAACACATATAGCGATCGCGCTGTACCGGGCGCTACTTTCTCGATGCTCCTCCGCACCCGCTCTTCAGGATGAAGAGCGCACGTTGTTACACAACGCAATTCGCAACAAATTTCGCCAGAACAGGAAATTACAAAGCCCTCGACAGCTAGGACTAGTATTTCAAGCTGGATACGAGGTCTGCGATCTGGCATGCATCTTCTATCTCATCAACTGACCATTTCAGGTTCTCGATCACCTCGATGCCTGCACCTCGAACCCAAAGCGCATAGATGCTTTGAAAGTCCTTATTCCTTCTCTTCCTCGTGGTATCGCACGCTCGCCGCCTCAACGGCGCCACCAGAAGCAACTACCGGACACATCTACGAAACATCCTCACGCTATACTTCCGCCCGAGCAAGCCTTGTTAAATGTGCGCCCTTACGCAAAGACGACCGGACCTCGCCATGTTCCTATACTTGCCTCCGCTAATGGCATCCCATTTCTACGCATCAAGAAACCACAACCTCCAGCGCTGAGTCGCGTACTCCGGCAGACGCTACAGCGACGGATAGACAATTTCCACGCCAAAACCCTATTCACGAACTACTGGATCCCGATATCGCAACATGAGGATGAATGGGACTTGATGTTGGAGAAGGAATGCGGTTTCGTGGAGGACGATGACAGAAACAAGGGAGGAGTGCGGGATCCATTATGGGTGCGTGAAATGATCGAGGCGGAGAAAAAAAACCGTGCGGCTTATGACAGAGGCATTCGGACAAGCATAGAGATCGCGGCGAGGATGACAGAGCTGGTTGATAAGGAGACGCAACTTGCGATTCGGGAGGGTCAGAAGGTAGTGAGAGGCAGGAAGGCTCGGCCGATGCGCCCTCGATGGCTAAAATGATGCGCAAGCCGATACTCTTGGAAGCTTTGCAATGCATCTATGCATACCTCGCTTCTACCACGTTTTCCTGGCATGAGCCACCACATCGCACGAGGTGTTATCACCCCGTATGATATGCACCCAAAGTAATGGGTATATTGTTCCTGCAGGCTGCACTGCGATCGCATCCAATGGTCTTACATCGACAGGAGTGCTGCCACTATGATGCTGCCTCGATTTTCAAATCCTTTATCCCTTCCAAAGCATCTTCGCCCTCGTCTTCGTCCAGCTTGCCGACAAGGCCTTGCTCCCACAGCTGCCTCCCCGTCAACTTCTTCTCTTCCTTCCTCCCCTTCTTCTTATCCTCCACCTCCTGCTCCTCCTTCCTCCTTTGCTCCTCCTCCGCCAATTCCCTCCGAAACTCGTCCCTCCACTTCAAAAAGCTCTCTCTCGTGACCGCCTCACCCATAAACTTCCTATTCTCTTCCTCCTCGGCCTTCTGCGCTTCTATCGCCTCAAGCGCCGCTTTCGCGCCTTGTCTCTCTGTGATGAGCAGCTCGGCGGAATCTTTGAGCGTGGTGACTAGTGTGAAGATCATTTGCATGCCGAGGTTGTCATTCATGGTGTCGGTGAGGGAGGAGAGGAGGACGGACTTGTCGTCTTGGATATCGAGGTAGGGGTGTTTGGGAGCGTTGGGGGGTTGCGTTATGTCGAGATCGGGGGCTTCGTCGGGGTAGTTTGGGGTGAAGCGGACGTTGAGGATGATTGTTGCTGAACTGACGTTAGACCTGTATTGCTTAACGAAGCATGCCGTAGTAGTAGAATTCAGTCGTGTTGGGATACATACGCGCTTCAGAGTCATCTCCTTCATCATTCGTAACTTCGAGCTGTATTTCTATCCGGAATTCAGTGTCAGAGATATCTGCAGGATTGTCAGCGAGAGGCGTACAAATGGGAGGTCCGAAATAGACGAACTTGTGATTTCGTCCGGGTATATGGATTCGAGGATCTCGAGCTCTTCTTTCTGCTCTTCTACACCCATCTTTGCGTGTAGGTGAGTCGACGTGAAGGCCGGTCAGGAATAGTCCCAGTATTGAAGCCCCTTATAGCCGATAATATATACTGGATCGACTTGGGCTATTATCCCTGCAATTGTGACCTGATATTGTACGGCCGACGCTCACGTTCCTGCGATATTGTGTCTTTCGATTCTCAAGCTTCCGTGTTGGTGGGGCGCGACTTCCCCACGTCAGCGCACGGGCCAACACTTTCCGTAAATTTTTGGGTTGTGCTTTCCACCTTGTTTTCTTCACTTGACGCACTTTTTCTATTCTTTTGAAAACCTTGTGCGGCCGTATTGTCTGCGGAGTCATACCCTGCTGGCCCATCGCGGAGCTGAGCCCAGAATCAGATCAGAGCACTTACACGGTCCATTCACGATGGCGAAGACGAAACCCCAAGATCGAGCGCGGAAAGCAAAAAAGGACGCAAAGAATGTCGCAGCTGATGGAGCGAAGAAGCCGAAGGCGTCACCAGAAGCGCTACTCGTTCAAGCCGCCACACTTTTACAAACATCACAACCAGACGAGGCCCTCGTGGCCGCCAGACGAGCGCTAAACCTCCTCCAACCCACATCTGAGCCAACCGTGGCTGCGTTGCCCGCTCTCAATCTTCTCGGAGAAATAAATGTAGAACTTGGCGATCCAGACTCAGCCAGAGAGGCCTTTTTGGCAGCGATAGCATTGGACACGGAAGGTGCGCACGACGGCGCAGAAAAGTTCCTGTGGCTGGCTCAGCTGAATGAGGAGGGCGGAGCGGAAAGCGTGCGATGGTTCGAAAAAGGTGTCGAGGTGCTAAAGCGGGAGATAAGCGAGCTAGAAGGAACGATCGTGAAGAAGGTGGAAATCGCAGATGCGTTGGACGAGAAGAAGCAGAAGATTGCAAATGCGTTGTGCGGAATTGCTGAAGTCTACATGACCGATCTTTCATGGGAAACCGACGCCGAAGCACGGTGCGAAGCTGCTGTTACTGAAGCTCTGCTCGTTGCACCCGAGAGTCCGGAACCACTTCAAACACTTGCATCAATACGAATATCTCAACTACGCCTCGATGACGCGAAAGCAGCCCTGACGCGGAGTATGGCACTTTGGACAGACTCGGAGCCCGACGACCCTACGATTCCGGACTATTCTACACGGATAAGCTTATCTCGCTTGTTGATGGAGGCTGAAATGGAAGATGAAGCCATTGAAGTGCTCGAAAGGCTTATTGGCGAGAATGACGAAAGTATAGAGGCGTGGTATTTGGGCGGCTGGTGCCTGCACCTGATCGCTGAGAAGCAAAAAGCAAGCAATGACATGGAGCGGATAACGCCGCTTCTCCGGGCAAGTCGTGACTGGCTAGAAAATTGCCTCAAGTTATATGCGGCGTTCGAGTACGAAGATGAGCGACTCAAAGCTCACGCAGATGAGCTATTGAAGGCAATTACTGGCGTTGTGGGCCCATCTACTGGGGATGAAGAGGACGAGGATTGGGAAGACGCAGATGAGGTTGACGATGCAGAGATGGATGGAACGTGATAAGTAAACGGGTGGCGTGTGGTAGAGGAAGCTCTTGCACAAGAGATTCTACTCCACGTTGACAGTTGCACAGCATTCGAGACCTCATTTGCAAGTATTTGACGTGAAGCTCCGGGTCACGAGATATGGCCCGGTCGCACTTTTGAGAGTGGACAGCTAAGATACAAGGCGGATGCAAGTCTATCGCTGCCAGGGCAGATGTTGGCATCAGAGGGAGTACAAGTTCGCCTAGGATGACCATCTCCAGCAGGGTGGCCAAGGGTAAGAATGCAGTCCCTGCATCCCCGCCTGCTGCAAGCGCGGGCCGACCTATACATAGTTCAAATAATCAACGACTGTTTGAGCCACAGCCAGACGTCATCTCGTTCGCAGTCTTCAGTTGCACAGATGGACGCCTCGACACATCATAGACTACGCACGTTGCAATGACGCCAGGCTGCCTTGTTGAGAGACAACTCAATTCCCGTGGATGGAGATACCCCAGCTTCGCGTCTCAAGGCTGCGGCTTCCTGCATTAGCCAAGCCCTTAAGACGAGTCAACTGGTGCCTTACCATGTCTCGTATCGCTTGCAGTTGACGCAGTTAACCTTGGCGGGCTCCAACCCGGGTTCGGAGGACCTGGCACCTGGCACTGAAAGCCACTTTCCACGAAGAAGCCGATGCTGTGACCCCAGTCTGCTAACACCCAGATATATTTCCACTCCCTGCTACTGTGGGCTATTCGCGCTGAAGTCCAGCATCCGCTCATTGCGCGCCCCGCACTCGAACCGCCCGATGAAGGCACCGTCGCAAGTCCGCTCGTCTGCGCGCGCCTCGGATTCTGGCTGCAGCTGAGAGTCTCTCCCCACCCCAGTCTGGACATGCCCTGCATCAGGGCCCGCTGCGCCGAATGATCTGGTACCTTCTATATCCACTGCGTGGGTGAGTGCGCTTCTCATCTGGAGGCTGACCCGCGTGCTAAGTTGCGCAGCACATCCGAGCCCTGGCACCCCTCGCCCGCGCATCCGATCCGCCGCGCCTTCAAGACCTATGGCACTGCAACAGCACAACACTGGCTCCTGTCGATAATCGTCACCGTAATCGTCTCGGTATTGCTCTGCTATCCGGCTATCTTCCAGACCGACAGCCCCGCAGCGACCGGCCTGCGCAACCTCCCGAAACATGTATGGACATCCACCACCGAGGTGGACGGCGAGCGAGCCGCCGACATCGAGGCGCGCCAGGTCTGGATCCATGGCGATTATATGAACGCAATTGACCGGCGCGTCTTGCGGGAAGCCTTGCACGTGCAAGAAGCCCTCATCGGCGACGGTTTTGACGATGTGCTCGGGATAACGCCAGACAGTCAATTGGTGAAGATGCGCAACGAGGAACATTGCGGTGCAACTAAGCCTGGCCAGAAATGGGGGTTCCACTCACCATTGATGTACTGGAATTGCTCAAGTAGACTTCTGGAAGAGGATCGCGATTTCCTTGCCACCATCAACTCCCACGTGGGCCTACAATCAGAGCTCAACATCACATTGCGACCAAGCACCGTCTTCGCAGGCAAGGCTTTTGCTAAGACAAAGCTACGTTCCGCCGATGCCATTGTGATCACACTGTTTGACCAGACGATCCCAGGTCTTGGAGATGCTTGGGACAGAAGGTCGCAGCTGCTCGCGCAAAACCTCGCGCCTGACTGGTCGATATTCCCGCACGATGGCCAAGTCACAAACAGTCGCCTGTACGAGTTCCGTTTCAAACCAATGACATTAAACGACGATCTGTTTTTAGCAGCATCATATATGGTAACGGCTGGCTACGTGATTATGAGAATGATGCAACTGAGGGCTGTGAAGAGTTGGTTTGGCCTACTAATCACCATTGGCGCCAAAGTGAGATTCTCTTCAATCGATACCATACTCTGCTGACTTAAGGATAGATGACAGTTTGTGTTATTGGCAGCTTTACCATCTGTTCATTTCTAGGGATCAATCTTGCTCGCATCCCTAGACCGTGGTTCCCAGGAGTGGTGTTCTGTTTTGGCTTAGGCAACATGTACGTGTTATTTTACTGTGTATTGACCATTAAGTAATTGACCGCGAGTAGCTTCCGGCTGATCAATGTCATCCTTGAAACTCCGGCTGAAATGCCCTCCCCTCAACGTATTGGCCACGCTCTTGGGGAGGTCGGCCATCTTTCTATTGCTGTAGCCGGACAGAACCTCGTCCTCATATATCTTTGTTCTCGGGTCGTAACACCGTGGGTTGCAGATTTCTGCATCTTTGCTGCCGTTACTCTCGTCCTCGACCTGGCATTTCATTTGACGTTTTTCCTTGCCGTCCTAAGCGTCGACGTACAGCGAATGGAGCTTTCCGACTCTCTCGAAAGGATCGACCTGAATCAACGAGCAGTTAAGAAGCGCCGGACTGAACGCCAGACCTGGCTCTCGGCATTACGACAAGGCACATTACCTGTCAGTACACGATTCGCAGGATCCGTTGCGATCTTATCGTTCTTGTTAGCCATCAATTGGCATTTCTTTGACAGCAGTGGCCGAAAGCTTTCCGTGCACACAGTAAAGGAGAGATTGTTCCGGAGACAAGTCAAACTAGAAGTGCCTTCAACATGGAGTCCACCGTCTATCAACCAGGCCCGCACCCCTGCTGATTGGTTGCGGATACAAGATCATAACACAGCAAAAGAGCTCTTTGATTTTATCAAGCCCGGTGCACACAGTTTTGTCGCCAGGATCTATGACCCAATCCTGATTGTGTCAAAGAACGCAACAGGTAGAGACGTCGCGCAGAAAACGTCTTCTTTGGCTGAAAGCTTTCGCCACTTCGCCCGAGGGCATGCATATTCTGCTGCATTGATAGTTGCGTTCTTGATAGCGGGGGTCACCTTGCTCATGAATTATCTTCTCTGGACTGGTCTCCCTGAAGGTGTTGGGGAAGAAGATGAGGATGAGGATGCCCTTTTTAACGTCGAAACGCTGTCGGCTGTCCAAGCGCTGGACATAGTCCGGCTTGCCTCTTCGCCAAAGGGCCACATCGTCAGTGTATCGCTGGATCGAACAACATCAATCTGGTATCATGATCAGAACGGCTTCCGGCAGACAACATTACAAACAGCTGCCATGAAACCAAAACTTTGGCCCATCGTAGCAAGCGCCATCGATGATGCGAGCAACCTGCTCGCATTGTGTAGTACCGATGGGTTGATAGGTCTTTGGAACCTTACCGCTGCACGATTTTCGACGGTGCAAACCGTAGACCTGCGCGGTCAAATACCTATACTGCTCACGTTCACTACGATACCACGAGCCGGCCAGGACGTCTTCACTCTTCTTCTTGTGACTGCGGACGGCTACTTGACGGAATTTGAGACGCGAGGTGGAAATCATCATACTAGAAGAATTTGCACACGGGCTGTGCTCTGCGCTACGATCTATACTTCCCGCAAAGGCGAGCTCAGCGTAGTTTTCGTCACTAGAACCGGAGAAGTACACATCTTGGCTCTCGACAGTGGTCACGATAAGACGTCCGAAGTGGTTGCGGGCCTTGATCCAGGGCCACCGCCCGGGAGCAACCCGTTGAAGATACGCTGCATTGAGGCAGTACCTGCCTTAGGCTTGATTTTCGCGCTACGGGATGAAGAGGCAGAGATATTCGACTTCAACAGCCGTGCGCTTGTCCATGCCTTCCGAATTGGCCACGCAAAGCCTCATTTCTTCCGTGTCATGCACTCAGCACCGCGGCAGTGCGCATGTGGCGCGCCAGCTGTTCATTCTCTTTCCGTGGCTTACGCGGAAGAGGACACTGATCACTTGATCATGCAGACCTTTACGCTTGATGAATGTCCGACATCTTTGATATGTTTAGGCAAACCCTCCGATAATGACACCCACACTTGCCGAGGTCTTGCTTCTGCACAGGATATTGTTCATATCGTCGAGCCAGCTGGAGCTTGGGAAGCTATATCAGCTGTTGGTCTGGTAGGCATCCGAAGGTGCGACTCAGCGCTGACTCCATCGTCAGTTGCTTCTGGTGCAGAGTATGCGCCACCCAGGCCTTCAGCATTAGCATCTGCACTATATGAGCGTGCCGTGAGGCACGATATACCATTCAAGAGCGCAATCACAGCAACATCGACCTCCCCATCTACCCACAACACCGACGGCGATGCATGGCAGGCATGGACACTTTCAATGAGCGGCGAATTCCGCTCACGCCCACTTACTTCTACCTCACACAACGACACAGACGAGCTACTCGGCGACGATCAACTTTTTGTCGCCACTCCTGGGCCCATCACCAAGCTCGGCAAGAGAAGCGTCGCCGTTGGCTTTGGCAACACGATTAAAATTATCACGCTGGGAAAGGAAACATTCGATGGGTCAGGCACCAGTGTGGACCTGGGCATGGCGATCCACAAGTCGAAGATGAGACGAGGACCTGGAAGAAAGCTGCAATGACTAGTTGAACGGCAGCATGCAGATAAAGGTGCAACGTGGGAATGGTATTCGGATCAGTCTGCCATCGGCGCATGAAAGGACTGGACCTGGGAGTAGGACACACATACCCCTGGATGAACGGCGTCTTGGGAACCATATATGGCGGGCGATGGATATTGCGATGCCGACTTATACCTCGTGGGATTGTGTTCACAGCGCGGCGTTGCGGTGAAAGAGGACCGTGGTATGAATGGCTTGACTGTGTATCGGTGATACATGGGTTTGGAGAGTAAATATTATCAAATTCTAACACACTCGTAGTCGATGTTCTTGACACTGGTCGACCTGTATATTCCCATGTCTTACACCAGGATCGATCATACACAACCTGACTTTACGAGTATCAGGTATTGGGGGGGTACAGCGGAGGATGTACATTCTATTAATCTTACGCAATAAGCCCATCAAGTTCCCATGAACTTCACGTGCAGATCATTCCGTGGACACCAAGTTGGCGACCTGGTTGTCTCACTGTAGTGCAAGGCAACTGCCGGAGCTTGCGCTCTCTGTACCCACCCAACGTGACGCGGCTGGTGGCATTAGTGGCGTACGCAAAGACCCCGCAGGCAGGGCCAAGCATGAATGATGTGGCTTGGGCCGACTTAGCCGTGCCGCGGTAAGAGCGGGTGTAATGGTGTCAAAAGCGTCAGAAAGGGTGCGAAAAGCATGGCAGAGGAGAACAGAGGCGTTACGGATGAGGGACCTGTGGCTGTGAGGGTTGACGTCAGTGTCAGCCACAGTAGTGAAGGCCAGGCTTGGGACGAAAAAGCCCCCTGTCCCCGCACCTCGGGACCCCTGTCACTAGCGCCATCGTCTTTGTCGGTCTCAGGGAGTCCCTCACACGACCTCCACAAATTCCACCCAAGTACTTTGCGACAATCGCGCATTCACACCGTGCCAGACTTGAACATCACTCCCGTTGTTATTTTTCCATTCAATATGTAAGTCGCATCTACCCAATATATTCCATGGACTGGGAGGAAGCGCAACTTTCACATGCGACGGAAGTCCGGCTTTCGTCGATGTCAGACGTCACTGCCCCTCGACTATCTCGCGAATACCACGCAAGCTGACCCATGGTTAAAGTGCAGCATGGCGAGCGAAAACGCACTGATCGACCCCTACGAATCGATACGATACATACCAGCGCGCTACGACTACGAAGACTCCGACAACTCGGCCTTGAACCTCATACTCACACTTCGGCCAGAATGGCGCGAATCTAAGGACGCAGTCGAATTCGTGCGTTTTACAGACGGCATCACGAACACAGTATGTCCCGATATGTCGCTGAGGATAGTCTAGGCACAAAAGGGGGGCTTTCGCTAATATTCATGAACAGCTTCTGAAGGCGATCAACAAGCAGCCGGGGCTTTCCCAAGCACAAATCGACGGCGAAGCGATCTTATTGCGGGCGTACGGCAAAGATACCGAAGTCCTAATAGACCGCAAAAGTGGGTGGTCCCTGTCCCAAAGTGATGCTTCACGCTAACACAGCCGCAGAGGAAACACGGTCGCATTGTCTGCTTGCCCGTCACGGCCTTGCACCAGCGTTGCTCGCTCGCTTCGACAACGGTCTCCTATATAAATACCTACAAGGCAGCGTCTGCTCACCCGCAGACTTGCGCAAGCCGGAAGTATGGCGCGGGGTAGCACAAAGGCTCGGGGAATGGCATTCCACATTACCTATAGCGAGTATCAGCACAACATGTCCCACACCCACTCAGATCGCCCCCTCCAGAACCAAACGTGCTTCACTTGTGGCAATGGCAGATTTGACGCCAGGCAAACCGATCCCGAATATCTGGACCACGATGCAGCGATGGATCCTCGAGTTGCCCATAAGCACCACACAACAATTCGAGCGCCGGACCCTCCTGCAGAAAGAATTACAATGGCTTGTTGCCCGTCTGGGTGATACACCTGGTGTTGGTGGCACAAACCCCTTCGTATTCGCCCATTGCGACCTCTTAAGCGGAAATGTCATCATTGAACCCACGCCCTCGTCTGCGTCGGCTTCGCGCCGTTCCAGCGCGTCTGGTGGTTCAGAAGAAAACGAACCGCCGGCCACCGTGTCGTTCATTGACTACGAGTACGCCACGCCGGCACCAGCCTCATTTGACATCGCGAACCACTTTGCCGAATGGGGCGGCTTCGACTGCGACTTCACCGTCTTGCCCACGCGCCATGTCCGCCGAGCTTTCCTGCGCGAGTACCTGTACAGTTTCAGCATGCATATGAACCGTGCATTTAAGGAGTCTGAGCTAGACGAGTTGTTCGAGCAGGTTGATGCATTCCGCGGCGTCCCGGGCTTCTACTGGGCCATATGGGCGCAGATCCAGGCCCAGATTTCCTTGATCGATTTCGACTACGCGAGCTACGCTGAAGTCCGATTAGGCGAGTACTGGGCGTGGAAGCGCGAGATGAATGGCGAGCGGGCTGCTGCTGGGGAGCAAGTGCCTGTGCGGGAGAGACGGTGGGCGCAGGACCAATAGGGTTTCTCCTGGCCTTTCAACACTCAGGCCATGTACAGTTTCTTGTTATGTTGAGTTGAGCGAGCGTCGAATCGGTTATCAGTTGATGGGAGCAGCATCAACGCAGCATGGGACTTCTGGCGTTCTAGCAATTTGGCGGCGCTTTTTGCGACTTTTCTGCTACGTAGGTATATATTAATACGGCCAGCCTTTTTTTTCAACAACTCACTTTCGCACAGTCGGCTCACTCTAGTATCTAGCGAGTCCTGAAAACACGCCGTGGCTGACTCCAAGAACACGAAACGCACGATTGAGCTTCCTGCTCACTGCTCATCATCTCACCGAAGCATGGGGCTTCGGCTTTCGATACTCGAACCAAGTACAAATACGCTGCCACCAATTGAGTATCGCGTCTCAAGCCTTGGCCGCCGTCTCCAAAAACCAGTTGATCGCTTCCCCTTCCTTTGGATTCTCCGGTGCGACCGGAATATGATCAGCATCAATGCTAGTAACATCGACCTTCCTCCCACTGCTCTTCTCGATTCTCGCAACCGCCTCGCGCTGAACATACTCTGGTATGCAGAGATCCTTCTCGCACAGGAGCCACGAGACGTGGACATCGTTGTACCCGGCATATGTTAGTTCTTGTCCGAAACTAATGGCGGCGTGAGCAGGGAACCTGGCCATCCACGCTTGGCCTTGTTCTGGTGGGAGGTCGGAGTAGCAGATGCGTGCGGAGCGGGCGAGGTCCGAGTGGTGCATCCAGCCTTGCTCCTGCGAAGTCGAGTCAATATACGGAGGGCCGGTTAGTGTGAGGGGAGACAACGTACGTCGATCTCGAGCCCATACCCGTCGATACCCATCCTCGTCTCCTCAGGAACTTCACCCAGCGCTGCGGTCGCGCCTACTGCAGGTACGATACACGTCATATACGCGATTCTCACCACGCCGCCTTTCTTGCCTTCCTTTTCTCTGGCTTCCTTGCTCAACCCCTTCAGAGACTGGGTCGCAGGTACACCGCCATAGGAGTGCGCAAAGAGAACGATGTCTTTCCCCTCATCGCTTAGCTTGGAGATGGTTTCCGCGATCTGGGCTGCGTCTTCGTACATGCTGTGGGGACCTTCTGGTCGGCCCTCGTTTGCGGCGAGACCGGTGCTGAGGTTGTGGATCATGTGGATGTCGTAGCCTGCGCTTTTGACTGCGGAGACGACGTTGGCGTAGAATTCGGGGAGGGCAAAAGAGCCTGGGACTAGGACTAGGGTGGGTTTGGGGGAAGGCATCGTGGGCGTATCTGTGGGGGTAGATGGGAGGTGGATGAATGTGTTGAACTACTTCGAGTGAGGAGGACTGCCACGGCACGGGACGAAGTATATGAATATCTGGATTGCATTGCGTTGAGTTTTATAACCCTTTCCTGATGGGGCGTAACAATTCCAGTCAACGCATTCTACATGTGCATCCCACAATGCAGACCCAATCTATACCAATAACAGTAATTACAGCGCCTCGCAAACTAAGCCTCTTGAACCACAGAAATTTATGGCTAGTTTGAACGGGATTCTGCAACTTGCCTGCCAATCGTTGGCATCCTCGCAAAGGCGTTCTGACGCTCTGACACCTCTTCTGACATCGGACGAATACGAACACCGACTAACCTCTCACCGACCCAAAACAAACGCAGTATAGTCTACGAAGCTGATTGAAATTAGTCCCCCACACCAGTCATTACAAGGTGCATCCAACCACCCGGATTGACCTCTTTCCTCATCTGGCTCAACGACTCACACCACCATTCCTACTCACGGAGACACACTAGGTTTCCCATGAGCTACCCACGTCTACATAGCCTGCACGGTTCCGCACTAACAACACAAACCCCACCGCATCCGGTGTTCCTCTTCCAACTTTTCGAGTCAGACAGCTGGATCAGAGGTCGCTTGACTCCCTCGCGGAGAGTCGCTGTTCTCCGGGACTCCCAGACTAGCGTATCGTAGCCCCAAGTGCACCCGGAAAACATCACCCGGCCGCAAGCCTCTAGACTTGACGGGTTGCATAAGCTGTAGATGGCTTACTTGGTACTGTGGGGTAGTGCTCTAGGATCAGGTTCGAGGGCTGGACCCTTGCATGTTTGGTAGCTAGACTACAGCAGGGTGTTCGAAGCTATTGAGTTTTGCAGCTGGTGAGTGGCGTGATGGAGAGGAAGGGGGCTAAAAGTAGGATTCTATGTGAGTTTCTAGACTTGTCTGTGCAAGGAAACAATGGTTCGTGTGTTATCTCGATATGAAAGCATGACTGGGAGAGGTTATGCACGGAAGTAGCTCCATTCACGGGCAGGAGTAGGCAGTCAAATATTTGTAGTCAAGGCGTTGATGAAGCATCTTCTCGTTTCGTGCTATATAGCTCGTACGTGACCCATACATACCCGTTCCGAGTTCCTTCCATGTTAATGCAAGAAACGTAAAAAGCAAAAGCGCAATGTGGTATCATAGCAACCTTTAGGCCGTGATTCATGACCCAAACCCGAATTCCGATCCCAAATCCCCAACTTTTCCATATCCAAGGCAGAAAATTTCAATTGCTTCAAATCACGCCTTGATCGCCTCGTCCATCGGACCTGCGTTCGTCTCCATCCAGTCGACACCCTCAAGCATAGTGTCGTTGAAAGTGAACGCCTCGCCCACAGCATCCAAGTTCAACAAGCTGTCGAACTCCCCATCCTCGAAATCGTGCGAGATCGGAAGACTGCTGTAGAGCATCTCATTATCTTGGTGATGGTTGATGTTGTTGAACGGATTCGACGGTATATCCATTAGACTCCACTTGTTGAAAGGAGTAGCCTCAGCTGGGGCAGCCGTAGGCGCGGCATCTTCCGCGATCGTGATCGCAGGTATCTGGTCGTGGTCGTGGTCGGACTCTGGTGGCGTGGACGCGAGGAACGTCTCGAGGCGGCGGGCGACTTCTTCGTCAGTAACGTTATCATTTGCTGCCGTCTTTTCCAGCATAAGCAAATTCGTCGTACCATTATCCGGAGGCGGTGTTAGCGTCGAGCGCTGCAGTTGCTGCGACGCGGCGATTGCAGGGTTGCCCAAAACCTGCATGTCCAATCGTCTCCCCGCGTTGACCAGATCCTCAACCGACGTCACCGGCGAAGTCTTCTCACCCAATGACGATGCTGTATTGTTTGCTCCTGAAATTTGTGATGTAGCAGGCGCGATATTAATACCCGCTTTGCGGATCGCAGCCTCCAAGAAAGCAGTTGAATAATCAGCTGCAGCGTACAGATCCCTAAGTTTGCCCATGACAGCCATGCATTGGCAGAATCCACGCAAAGACGCGCGGCGAGTGTCATCTTCAGGTGCCTTGATATCCAGTAAATGAATGATAATGGCAGGAAGCAGGACTGTAACGCCTGTGGTAGGTAAATACTTCACGAGGTCGGTTTGGTCAAGTCGCTGCGCAATCGATGTGATGGCTGAAGCGGCGCGGCGAACGTTGCGACGCGAAACATCGAGAAGGTCCGAAGCAACGTTCGTTTTGGCCGGAACACTCGCTGGTCCACCATGTGATGAAGGTAGAACTTGCGGACGGTGCAGAGCGGAAAGCGTAGTAAAGAAAACCATGTGAAGCAGGGCCCGATTCACATCCAGCGAATTATCCCCTGTAAAATCATCTGAATATTTAGCTTCTTTTGCGAGATCCTTGACCCAGTTCTGCAGCTCTTCGTCGCAGGCCTTGACTTCGCTGGTCTCGGGGTCTAGCTTCTTAGGTAACAACATCATAGTTGTGCGATCGTTTTGAAGGCCTTGATTGTTGTTCAGAACACAGTACTGCTTTGAGAGTACGTGAGAGATGCAAAGGCACAACCTAGCCTTCTCAATGCACATGATGGCCAATTGACGTTGCAAGCCAACGTCTCGGGCGGCACGACAATCCGTTGGAACACAGGATACGGAATCAGGAATGGCAGCAATCTCGAAGTCATCCAAAGTAAGCATGGGTACGTCGAAATCTTCCGACTTTATCCTCGTTGGGCGGCGCATGCCAAGTGCGATCAGACGGTCTCGCATGTAGGTCGACCACCATATCCGTTTCCATAATTTCGTGCGCTTGCTGTCCATGTTGGTCTTGTCCGGATTGCGATGTAGGCCGATTGTATGCGCGACCGAAGTCGCGACGCCCATCCAGTGCCATGTGTCTTTCTGGTCGTCGGGAGTTTCGTAATAATAAGTCAATAAAAGTAAAGCTTGTACTAATGAGACGCGATCAGACTCGTAATCGAAATCGTATAGGATCTATGCAGCGTTAATTTCCGTTCTCAAGTTCACAGCTTGAGTATTGTTCTTTCACATGCGACTCGTATTTTGCAAGATCGCCTGCATGTCAATGCAGACACGGAGCGAAGCTCGTGCGTTCGGCCGAGCCAAGTAAAACAAGCGAATGCAAGAACGGCAGAACGGGAACGCAACTCACCCTAGTCTTCTGGAAGAAATCTTTGCGAGCTTCCTTTCTAGTCGCGTAGCCCGCTGCACGCAAATAATGCATATCAATGAACGCAGAACCAGCGAACATGACCGCCTGATAGAGTATCAAGCTGACTTTTCCGAGGCTTCCATCAGCTTGGTCAATCGTCATCAGAAACTCCCGGAGCTCCAGTAGAGGCATATAGGGATGCACAAATTCGATGTAGGCACGAAGCATCTCACTGCGCAAGGTGCCCGTAGGGACGGTCAAAGCCCCCTTCTTTTCGAGGTACGCCACCTCATCAGGACCAATCTTCGCAGGCAGGGGCTTGATGAACAGAGGGAGATCCCCCACGCCAAGCTTCGGTGCTGTATAACCAAATACAGACCGTTGCGAATCGCCAGCGAAGGGCGTGAATGGGAGGACTGGCATTCCATTGGTCTGCGAGTTCACGGACATGCGGCGGTGGAGGTCTGCCAGGCCAAGGCGGTTTCCATGGCTTTGATCTGTCACTCTGTTAGCGCATGTGACTGCGCAAAAGTAGCACTCGGCGTCCAGAACGCACAGATAGAGTGAGGCACGTGCTCATCGTGCCAGGCCTCAGCGTCAAGTGACCGTCGCGATCCAGCTGAGGTAAGGGTTTGGACGCTGTCCAAGGCCTCGCGCGAAGCGAGTTTGCGGCTGGCGGCGGCTGCCGAGGCGTTTGTGGTCTCTGTTTGATGTTCATCGTCTTTGCTCCACTTCCTGGATTATTGTCAGCAACCAGTTTCATCGATCGACAACACACAGCATCAGGAATGATTTGAGTGACAAGGTGATGCGCCGTTGGTGGCTTGCGGAATAGCTCCGTTCGGCCTGGCCACTAGCATGACGACATGCTTGCGAATAACATCGTCGACGTCGGCGAAATGGCAACGGAGAGGGGCCATCGGATGCAGGCATTTTCGGGGTCACTGACTTCTTACGTCTGCTCTCTGACACAATGCATTCGACTTCGTCCAATCTGCAATTTGTGCAGGGTGCACCGTGTTCGGTGACGTTGCAGCGTACTTTTCGAGCTCGACAACACTGACACGCCTTTGAGGCCCTCCTCTTCACTGAACGGCCGGTTGTGTGTCCATCGAGTCCTGCTTGGGTTGCCTTGCGCTTCGGTGCCTGGAACTCGTGCTGGGACGGGGGTGAATTCGAACTTTCAGACATGGCGGCCGTTTGCTGCTGTTTGTTGGCGTGGAGCAGTGGGAAGGATGTGGGGATGAAGGACAAAGGCCAGGACCGGGCAGGCGCGGAGGGACAGCCCGTGTATTATGTATCAAGCCAATTTCGCCATAGTGGAGTTTGCGCAGCAGCCTGTACAAAGCTAGGGCGCATTCACGCGGCTTGCGATGCCATGGAGCTCCGTTTATCCCTCATGAGACCTCCGGTGGGGATGCTAGCGCGTACCCCAGGCCCCCCAGACACCAGTCGGCTCGGACAGTCGGCGCTCTGCCACTTGGCGTTAGGCCCATGGACGCCATTCGGTGATTTTCGGGCCCACGAGACACAGGGAGGCGTCGCTCAGAGCTCGTGCGAGCGGCTGTGCACGAAACATGCCGCGGCTCAGGGGAGCATGCTTCTTGGGCCATCGTGACTTCGTGCTCGTGAAGCTCAAGAATCTGGAGCGCACAGCTTACTCAGGTCGAGTCAGTCACCTTAGGCAATCCCTCGTGCCATGTCGTGCGCAACGTCGGACTCCTCGAGCACGCTTGAGGATATCCGGAACATACCCTGGTCGAGGCATTTGGCGTCAAACTGGCGTCAATAGCCCCAGCATCGTGTCCTTTGCCGAGCTGCTAGCCGGCACATAGGCGAAAATTCATGACCTTTTCCGCAGCAAAGCGCAACGCCCAATCAATGACTTGTTGTCAGTCAGGTTGCGGGGGAATTCCGTCGCCTGCACGAAGCTGCATCGAGAAAGTCGAAGGATAGTCACTTCCAGTGCGAAATCGTCATCTCATGCGCAGGGAGTTCGATGTTGACGGAGCGTCGCACAAAGTCGGCAATTGTTTGATTAATAACAGAGGCCGTGGACCGCGACCAGTTGAACGTGGTGAACGTGTGGGGCATTCGACGATCCCGTGGAGGTTGAGGTTCTGCGGGGAGCACTCGGCGAACGTCCGGGAATATGACCTCAGACAAAACTGTCAATCCTCCTCCGATCCGACGTGCTGCTTTGAGTTTGTCGTCACTCCGCGGCCGTTGCGCCGCACTACTACGACTTCAACGGCCGTGCTATTCGTTGGAGATTGAGATTATTCCCAGAATACTGGAGCGCTTTCTCTCGGCCTTCATCCGCTTTGACACCTCTAGCAACGGTTACACGCGAGGTCAGAGACGCCCACATGCTCAAGCCCAGCGCGGACCACGTGCCCTGAATCAAAATCTCACGTACGAACGTTCCACGTGCATTTTCCAAAAAGCTTCAGAAGTGCTCACGCGAGCATCCAGCGGTGTAGACGACAGCTTGACACACTACGTTTCCATGGTCCTGCCTCATCCAAATCTTGTTCACGATTTCGATCGCAACTTGGGATGCCCTTGTCACATCGCTAACCCACAATTGACTAACGACTCGTGGGGAAAGCGTTGTGAGCCGGAAGAGACTTCTGTGGCGCTAACCCTGAGTTCATTCGGTACTTTCACCCAGCGACTTGCGACATGCCATAGCATCTCCCCAACGGCGATATTTGACAAGTAGAAAAACTCAGGGTGCAGATGCAATGATTTCAACAAAATGCACCTCTCATGCAGTAAACATCGCGGAGGCCCCAAGGATCGTCGTCAATAAAGCATGCACAGCGCAGCTGGAGACTGATTACCCACTTTGTGGGCCTCGGCGTTGTCAGAAGAGTCGGTCTAGACGGCGTAGTCTACCACTGCTTTCACACGTGAAGCAGCACCTAAAGCACTTAGTGCGGTATCCGCTTGGCCAGTAGGGCGGGTAGAGACTTTGATCTGCGTCGGCCGAGCATACAGTGTTCATCTTCAGTCATTCGAAAAGCTCGATGTTGCGCCTTTACGGTGATGTTCATAATCTTGAAGTAGAATGTGGACCCTGCACGGCGAGAAGACCGACACGCCCTAGTGCGGAATCTTTTCCGAGACTTTTCCATCGGAGTAGTCGGACTCACCTTCTCGAGGTCTATTCCGCGCCGTCGACTCTGGGTTTTCCTTTCGTTTTCTTGATGCCAAGATGTGCGGGTGATGCACTCGCTGATCCTCTTGCGGACCCTCCTGTGGATCCTCTCGCGGATAGCAGGCAAAGGCCTGGAGTACCTCGATGGTGTGGTGTGTCATCAATACGTGACAGTGTTGCATTCGAGATATCAGGCGTCAATTCTTTGTGCGGCTGCGCAATTGCTGCAGAAGAGACGTACCGGCCAACAGTATACCTCACCCGTGTTTTGGAGAGGACCTCGAGGATGGAAATGGGGGTGTCATGCTTCTTTTATTTCTGCTCCGTATCGGGTGCGTGTCAGGAATTGCACCGCCTCGTCCGAGGGATTTTGGATAAAATCTGTCTTATACGCCGAGAAAAGAACACCAATAAATTGATATTTCATCTATACTGGTGGGTTATAATTTCGAAGAACCCTTCGGTCTCTCCAACGCCTTTGTCTTGTTCTTGAAGTTCTTCACCAACTGTCGCACTCCTAGATCCATCATTACGTCTTCACTACCACCTGGAATGCGTATCCCAGGTACTTCTCGGTATATCCCTAAAACAATAGTCAGCAAATGATAAATACTTCAAGTGGAGGCTTGCAATGAGTAGCGATGTGCACTTGCGGGAAAACTTACTCTCAACCAGCTCTCCTTGGCCAGACTTTGTGTAGCCATTGCCGCCAAACAAAAGCTGGGCACATTGCGCGCACTCGTTCAGGACAATACCCGCCTGTGCCTTCGCCATAGCCGTCAAGCCACCGAGCTCGATGTCAGCCACCTCTTTAGGCAACTGGGTCATCTGATAGACGAATTGTTCCACCCACGCCCATTGACTCTCGACCATCGCTCCGCATCTCGCCAGGCGCTGTCGAACCACCGGCTGTTCAACGAGTGGTTTGCCAAAGGCCTCTCGCTTGAGTATGTACTCTGTGGCTGCTGCGAGGGCAACACGCGCTTGACGAGTTGCGCCGATAGCGATGGTCAGCCTTTCGTGGTTGAAGTTGGTCTATCAACGTTTAGTGTCTTCGCCCAGGCAGTACGCACAAGTGGACTACGTACCATGATGTATCTCATGCCCATACCTTCTGTGCCGATGAGGTTCTCGACCGGCACCTTCACGTCGTCTAGCTCGATGAAGGTTGTGCCGGCTGAGACCTGCCCGCCTACTTTCAGACGGCGCATATTGACACCGGGACAGTCTTTCAACGGAACGACGAGCATGGAAAGACCGGTGGGACCGGGTCCGCCTGTCCGTACGGCCATCGAAGAGTACTCAGACCATATTCCATTTGTAATCCACTTCTTCGTGCCATTTACAATGTAATGTTTCCCGTCCGGAGTCTTTGTAGCCGTAGTAGTGATATTCGCGACATCCGATCCTGCCTCCGGCTCAGTAATAGCAATGCACGTCCGCTTCTTGCCGGTGAGAAGCTCAGGCAGAAAGCGTTCTTGTAGTTGCTTGTTTCCGAACTTCAATATCGGAGGTACACCGAAAGAGATGCCCGTTGTGAGGGATCCAGATGGTCCAGCCAAGCCAGTGCGAGCCATCTCGTCGCAGTAGATTAACGTGTGGATGTAATCGAACTCCTCCACCTTAACTGCGCCCAGGATTTCATGTATGCCAAGTCTTTTGAGCCATTCCACAGGAAGCGGAGCTGGCAGGGACGGAATCAGCATGCCTGCTCTCGCAAATGTTTCGAAGACATGCTCGGGCACAGTCTCTTCGGTGTCCCACTGCAACGCGTTTTCCAAAAGGTGTTTCGATATGAATTCTCGGATTGCTTTCTGCCACTTGAGATGCGTCGGCTTGTAGTACGGCGAAGGGAGACCGGCGAGGTAGGGTGGTTCCGAGAAAGGAACGACGGGCGTGGACGACATTGTATAGCTTCGGTGCAGCGTCCAAGGCATTGAAGCTTTGTGTCAGTGCAAGAGTGTATTACGTGTAGCGGCGGACTGCGCCTCTCAGGTACAAGTTACATGCTTGCGGCGTAGACGGTTATAAACAGCGGAGTTTACATCCGAGTCGACGAAGGTTGTCTTGGGGTGGGGATCTGGGGTTCAGCCGAGGTCCAGCATTACCCCAGAATACCAGCGCAACGACGCAGAGTAACATCGCGGGTTCTTCAAACACCAATAACACTACCATATGTGCATTACACGACTACTTTGTCGTACAGCAAAGTAGAACTCATATGTGCATCTATATGAACGAAAATATGTAGCCAAGTAGCCTTGTGGCGGGGATTTTTTCCAGCTCATGGCGCGAACATCTGGGCGTTAAATTTGCTATTATGCATCTTTGGGTGAGAGTCTTGTGTGTTAAGCAGATTCATTGCGATCCATTGTGTTCGGTTATACACCCACACTCAATACTTTAGCCATGGAATAGCACCATTTGGGCGTTCCTGCAATGGTGGGAGAATCCCAAGTCGGATCATTGCTGCGACCTCTCTGGAAGATGGTATTGTGTAATGCATTCGGAACGTTAAAGTTTTCGACAGAGTGGCATAGGCATCTGAAAATAAGCCAGGGCAGGTGATGTTGACGGGTTAGACGGACGTTTACTTCGTCATGTAACGTAAAAAGCCTGTTTTAAAATTCGCTATGTTTTTGAGAGAGATTATTCTGGCCATTAATGACACAGTGCAGCCCACAACCAGAAGTCCTGCATGGAAGAGCTGGTCAACGTGTGGGTTGAGTGATGTTGGGAGGTACGTGACATGATTGGCCGCAATGTGGAGGCCGCCGCGCCGACCTCCGACATGGCTGCTGCCCATGCCCAGTGCCTTCACCTCACCTTTGTATCACCTGCCACAGGTCAACTCCACTACAAAGCCAGAATGGCCGACAACGCGCAACCTCCGCCTAACGCGGATGCCGAGACTATGGACGATTTGGACGCCACGGTGGAAGGAGAAATCAACGCCGAGAACACTCAACAACCAGAAGCGATGAACCTTGATGGCGCAAACGACACGGAAGCACCCCAAAGGAACGGCGTCGCTACCGAGCACCCAATAGAAACGCGCATACCCGCGAAGAAGGATGCGACGCTGCGTGAATTCCTCTCTAAGATGGACGACTTCGCGCCCATTGTATGTTTTGCCCCGCCTCGGGGAGAGATTACCGCTAACCCAACATCCAGATCCCAGATGCAGTCACAAACTACTACCTGACCCGCGCCGGTCTGCCACCACCGCCACAAACGTCGCCGCACCTTGCGCGTCTCCTTGCTCTCGCGACCCAGAAGTTCATTGCTGATATCGCCGCCGACGCTTACCAATTCTCGCGCATACGAGCCTCCAACACTACAAGTAACAATCCCATGGGCGGACTGGCCGGCGGAGCAGGTCCCCAGGGCGCAGCAGCACCTGGCGGGGCACAAGGCGGTAAGGAGAAAGCCAAGGATCTCGCTTTGGGCGCGCCGCGTGCAGGATATGGTGGAGGTGGACAGGGTGGTGGTCAAGGCCGGACTGTCCTCACCATGGAGGATCTGGGCATGGCCGTGGGCGAATACGGCGTCAACATCAAGCGTGGGGAGTTCTACCGCTAAGGACTTTCCTCTCCATTCATATCACGCGACACGATCCAGACGGATAAGGCGACAACCGTGCATCTCATCACTGGGCGACTCACTCGCACACCTACGATATAGGGATGCTATAATGGCTGCGGTCGTTCTACGGCTTTTATAGGCAGTCTACTGTGCTGAAGCAAAGAGCCCCATCAGGGGACATGAGCCTGTAGACACTATCGCAGCATAGGAGGCGTTGGCTTTGGCGTTGAGGTAAACTCTTGCATTGGCACCCACAAAGTTTGGGCCTATGCTGTTTTCAAGGTTGTACAGTAGATATACAAAGGGCTTTAGCATATGCCCCAAAATGATACCCAGAACTCCAAGACATGCATGCGCGACTGGTCCTTTATTTGTTCTTCGTCTGTTTGTACATGAACTGTTTCCTCGTCCTGTAACTCAAATCAGTACTTGTCTGGCAGACCTTTGCCTTTGAAGATCCCCAGAGATTGCGAGTATATAGTGGATAGCGACGTACGGTGCAAATTCTCCCAGCTTGTGTCCAACCATGTCTTCAGTTATCGTGATGTCCAAGTAGGACTTTCCATTGTGTATTTGAAACTTCAGGCCGACAAAGTTTGGCAGGATGGTCGCGGAGCGTGCTTGCGTCTTAATCGGAGGTACTTTCTGGCCAGGCTGCGCGCGAACGATGGGCAATCTGCGGGTCTCTGAGCTGAGCGTCGACGACTTTGGCTGATTGACTTACGGTACGATATTTGGACCTGCGATCGAGAATTAGCAGTTATTAATATGCGGAGCTCACTTGGACATTACCTTTCCAGACCGACCGCGCAAAAAGCGCCCGTGTGGGATACATTGCTGTTGCTGAGGAGGTCGCGAGGTCTGCTTGACGTTTTCGTCGCACGAAGACTTGCAGGGGTTCACTGCACGTGACAGCGGGTTTGCTTGGCGAACCAGGCAGAACGCGACGCGACATGGTGAAAGACTTATCGATGTTCTCGTATCATTGCGGCGAAGGTGGTCTGTTCGGGAGGACACCAGAAGCCATAGTCGACATATAAACGCTGTGCAGCTCTCTCCGACCGCTCTCACCACCCCGCGCAGTGCAGGACGACCATGCCTTCTCAGGCGTCGCCACAAGGTAGTCCGCCCTCTGGGCAAGCGGCTATCTCCACTGACAAACCTTCCTCAGGTTCTAATGTCATTCGCATTCTCGTGGCAACCGACAGTCATGTTGGATACAATGAGCGCGATCCGGTTCGAAAAGACGACAGCTGGAAGTCATTCCACGAAGTCATGTGCCTTGCCAAAGAGCACGACGTCGACATGGTACTTCATGGCGGCGATCTGTTCCACGAAAATAAGCCTTCACGCATGTCGATGTACCATGTCACTCAATCACTACGCATGAACTGCTTAGGTGACAAGCCATGCGAACTGGAGATGCTGAGCGATGCCAGCGAGATCTTCGGTTCAGTATTCGATCATGTCAATTACGAGGATCCTAATATCAATGTTGCGATTCCGGTATTTGCGATCCATGGTAACCATGATGACCCATCCGGCGAAGGACAATACTCCGCCTTGGATCTACTACAGGCGTCTGGCCTGGTCAACTACTATGGTCGAACGACAGAGGTTGACCGTATAGAAGTCAAGCCGGTGCTGCTTCAAAAAGGCGAGACAAAGCTAGCATTGTACGGACTCAGCAACGTTAGGGATGAGCGGTTGTTCCACACGTGGCGGAATGGAGACGTTAAATTCTACCAACCAGAAGCTCAGACCGGGGATTGGTTTAACCTGATGACCGTTCACCAGAACCACGTCGCGCATACGGCCACTAGCTATCTTCCCGAGAACTTCCTTCCGGAATTTATCGATCTGGTCATCTGGGGCCACGAGCATGAGTGCCTTATCGAACCCAGGCTCAATCCAGAAATGGGCTTCCAAGTCATCCAGCCAGGATCGTCCGTCGCTACTTCTTTGATGCCCGGAGAGGCTGTGCCGAAGCATGTGACTATTATAAGCGTAGATACTACTCAGGACAACCGCAAGTTCTGGAGTGAGCCTATTAGGCTCAAGTCGGTACGTCCTTTCATCATGAAGGACATTGTCCTGCAGGAGCAGCGGGAGGTCATCGATAGGAAGCTCTGGCGCGTTTCAGAGAACAAGAACAAGATATCCGATATCGTCATGCGTGTCGTCGAGGAAATGATCGAGCAAGCACAGAGGGAGTGGCTTGAGCTACAGGACGATCGAGACGAAGATGAGGACATAGAGATCCCACTTCCGCTTGTTCGCTTACGCGTGGAGTACACTGCTCCCGACCCTGGCGAGTTCAAGATTGAAAACCCTCAGCGGCTCTCGAACAGGTTCCAGGGCAGGGTCGCCAACGTAAACGACGTTGTCATGTTTCATCGAAAGAAAAAGACAGCTGCTCGCGTGGCCAAAGCAACTGCGGATCTTCCCGATGAATCAGCTATGGCGCAATTATCGATAGATACGGTGAAGGTCGAACAGCTTGTCAAGGAGTTTTTGACGGCACAGTCGCTCTCAATCCTACCGCAGAACTCTTTCGGAGACGCCGTGGCTCAATTTGTGGACAAAGACGACAAGAACGCCCTGGAGACATTCGTCAAAGACAGTCTGGCTTCGCAGCAAAAGCACTTGCTAGAAGATCATGATCTTGATGTTGACGACCTGGAAGATCAAATAGGACAATACAAGAGTCATTTGGAAGGTGCGTTTGCTGCTGGCGATATGAGGCACAAGGTAAGCCCACCCCGTCGTGACCGCGCAAATCACCAGACTAAAAACGCTGTAGCGTAGGACTCAAGCCAAGGCTAGGCCGGATAATTATGATAGTGATTTTGACGGACCTTGGAAAGATTCGCCAAGTGCACGTGCTGGTATGGATGACGAAGAGGACGAAGAAGGTGCTGCGGCAGCTCCACCGAAGAAGGCTGCTAGAGGAAGGGGAAAGGCAACTGGTACAACACGCCAGACAACGGCTGCTGCTAAGAAGACCTCAGTTGCGGCAAAGAAAGCCCAAGCTCCGAGGACAACTAGAGGCAAGAAGACGGTGGTGACGGTGGAAGAGAGTAACGACGACGATGACGATGTGGTCATGCTGGATGAGGTCAATCACGAGCAGCCAGAGGAGCCTATATCAGACGCTGAAGACCTCTTTGTGGGGCAAACGAAGCGCGCCGCAACGAAGAAACCTACCACCAGCAGGGCTACCCGCGCTACCTCGCCTGTAAAGAAGACGCCCGCGTCGCGGACTAAGAAGGCACCTGCGAGCAAGCAGTCTACTCTCAACTTCTCTCAAACATCCACTCAGCGGGCGCCGACGCAGCGAGCGGCTGCATCACGAGCGAGCAGGGCAGTAGAGGAAGTAAGCCGCGTACTGCTTCTCATCCATTCAATTGATACTGATCTATTATAGGACGAAGAGGAGATATCTGACGATGATGCTTTCGAGCCGATGCCGAGCTCTAGAGCTACTCGGAAGCGATAGCTTCGACACTTTCGACGGTTTATATTGGTAGGTGCATTGCGCATAGCGAACGGCGTCACGGTCACTTGAGCATGGGGAATCGATAGAGCAGGAACATTGAGGGTACCAGAGGCGGGTGCAATCAAAAGGTCATGAAAAGGTGATGGGTTATCCAGTCTCGAATGCAACATCTTCCTTCAAGCTCGTAGATGGTCATGTTCTCTTTTCACTTCGCTGATTAAGTTGTGTCTTCTCTTCATTCCATTTCCTCGCGTTGTATGCCATCGGCGCAATACAAAGTGCACATGTGATCTTCACGCTCTGGGTCTCTCGCTTTGGGTCTCTCGCTTTGGGTCTCTCGCTTTGGGTCTCTCGCTTTGGGTCTCAACGGTCGTTCCTGCCTCTACCAGTGTTCCTAATCCTATCACATCAGGCAGCCACCACCACCATGTAGTCCGACACCGCTGCCTTGGCTCCACGATGCCTTGTCTATCCTCCTTCCCATCTCCGTTCCACTTTCCAAAAGAAAACCTTCGTGTGTGCACGGCAGTCGCGCCAGCATGTTTGTTATATCCTTCCTGTAGGGAGTATCCTCTCCTCGACACACTCATTCGTCTCTGCGTTCTTGTTCCGCTCTTCTTTTGTCATTGCTGCTTTTCAGCTTTTGGATAGCTGCACGCTCGTTCGCATAGTACCTCACCACCCGCTTTGAGGTGCGTTTTGTTCCCATTCCCCACGTTGAGCGCCCATCTATCTCGTCGGCAGCATTCTCTGACGCTGGCAGGATATTCGCATCACAATCATCACATCTCGCCCGTCCCCGACCGCCTATACCGTGTCTCCCGCCACTTGAACATACTCTACGACATTTCCTTCATCCCGGTTGGATCGGGTGAGGGGTCGTTCAACATGTCATACAAGGTTGAGGAGCTGCTCGCGCTGAGGGACTCAGTTTCCGAGTCCGCCGTTTCAATTGAGAAGTTCGCCGATGAAGACGTGATCAAAGGTCGGTGACTGGGCCCCAGACATTGCACTCCAGTCTGCGTCAGCCTTTACTTCACTTCGCTCTTGCCTCACCTGCAGCCAAAGCGTGTTCCCCAGGAAACAACACGAAATCATTAACAGACTCAACCTGCTCGCAACACATCAACACTGCTATCGTTCACCTTCACTTATCTCGTCATATTGCGACGAGCTACCTGCTGACCAAATTTTGTGCAGAGCACGTCTTGCGGCCCTCCGCGTCAGCTACCTTGGCTGCTGCGTCTTCAACCAAGAGCCTCCGTTCTTCTGCTACGCCTTCCCTTGCACCGGCGGCACCTGTCAAGAAGCCTTCGCCATCCCCTTCAATCAAGCGCGGCAAAGCCGAGAGGCTTCTCAAGGAACACGGCAGCCCTCCGGGTATGCGTGTCACTGCCGGTGGACGCATCGTTCCGAGTGATCAACCGCCTGTATTGAACCCGCGCTTCATCAACAACGCGTTCAAACCCCCCGCACTTCGAGGAATCACTCCCAGCAGCACCATGTCTGCGCAACCGCGCCTTGAAACCAACAACATCCCACGGCTGGAAGTCGTAGGAAGCCAGCCTGTTCTCTATGTCGGCGACCGCGCCTATGCACTTCCTGCCCTTGACGCGACAAATGCAGCTGCTTCATCTTTGGTCCCCACGAATCTGGAGTCGGCCCCAAATCACGCGGAACCCGTTTCAGGACTTTCCGCTCGAAGCAGCTTCACTAGTGCAGCTCTACCCCCACAACGAGGGAATACACCTTCGCCGTGGTCTGGTCTCGACCTGTCAGCTCTCAAGGCCCAGCAGACGATGAGGAAGCAGGAGCTTCGTACCGTAGAACAGACCGAGGTGCTCCAAGCTAGCCACCAAACTGAAGCCTGGCGCGCCGGTGTTATTGAGAAGAAGCGAAACTTGATCATTGAGCTCGATGCACTACGCAAGCAGATTACTGCACTCGAGGCAAATGAAAACAACAACGCTCCACCCGTACCGTCAAATGGTTTTGCCACTACTCTAGGAGCAACTTCTGCTTCAATGCCACCGCCTCCGTTTGTTCCACAGTTCCAGCAGCCCATGCCCTCCCCTCTGTACGGGTTTCAGGGTACGCCTTCATATCCTCCTATGATGATGTTTCCACAATCCTTCGGAGGCTACCCCAGCATGCCGGCCACAGACTCTGCGCCCTTTGTACAGAATCCTGTTCAGGTGCCGCAGTCTCCTGGCTCTGCGAGTCGGCGATCCCACGCGATTCAGATCAAGCCACCGCCCGAGGAAAGCAAGAAGCAACTCAGCTCAGCGCTCGACCCGAAGAGCCCCACCTACGAGCCTATCACGACGACGACTGCCGGTAACGATGCTGTTCCTCCGACGCCATCACCAGCCAAGCGATCTCCATGGCGAACCAATGGTGTTCCTCAGTCAGACCAACCAGGGAATCGAACCCTTTCTCAGAAGCCTAGTTTGTCTAGCATCGACACTACAGACTTCTTCCCTACCAATACACATGAGCACTCTTCCACCCGAGTTGCTCCACAAGTCCATGAGCCAATGTCTACTACCAATGAGACCTCCGGGGTTCCATCAACACCTGAGAGGAACTGGCCAGCCAGTCCTTGGAATGAAGGCAATTCCAGTCGCTCCAGTCATAAAGCAGTTACCAAACTGACTTCATGGCCAGAGGCGTTTGGCAAGAAGCCCTCTAGTGGATCACTGCGACAAGTTGCCGCTGCTCCAACTTCCGCCACGGTGCAAGAGCGCGTCCCGCTGCCTTCAGTCGAACCCAAGAAGTCGGCCTTCTCGAGCAACACGTCGGGACGCAAGACAATTGACCAGCGATTTGGTACGGATGAGACCTGGCCTTTGATCAGTTCCAAGCCAATCAACCACGTGCCCTCGACCTATCAAGAAGGGTTTCAAGCTGGTTATGATCACGTAGGAATTCCGGACAGTCCCGATGTTCTAAAGGGTTACATCCAGGGTCTCGTTCAATTTCTTCATGACGAAGATAAACGGGGTCGAAACAACTCTCTCCGTGGTCTGGTGGCCGGCTCTCAGCCTCAAGACTCTGCCATCAGCATGACTTTCAACCGTTCCGATGCACCCGTCAGTAGCCAGGAGAATATTCGATCTGCTAGAGGCAACCCTGCCGTCGAAATGCACAAGGAATCCGCATACACCACCCCCGAATCTCCATTCGTGTACACGCTGCCTAGCGACGCTCTACAAGACCAACGCATGCGCAACTTGAAGCCCAACATGTACATGAACTCTGCTGGTACCTTGGATCGAGTCTCTCCTGCGTATCAACAAACCACGCTGCCATTCACTGAGAATGGCTTGGGAAGGAAGGACTCAGAGAAAGGTAGTATGTCCCGGACAGAAATCGCGAAGATAGGCTATACATACAGGCAGTTCTCTGGCAATCAACTCACCAATCGAACTTATGGAACACCTGTTTCCCTACAGCGGTACAATCAGACTGCGCAAGATTACGGCATGCCAGCTTCCGGTGGTATCCCGTCCTTCGCTCGGCCAATGGCTAATCAGCGCGTGTCAGGCCTTGATGGTGCGATGGATGACCTGGCAGAAATGGTTGTTGATACCCACATCACCGAGCAATCGCATCAACAGCCGCACCCACAAAATCCGCCTCATGCATCTGCGGGTCAGCGACCTGCTGGCGCTTCGGGTTCTTTGGTATTCGTCGAAGAAGATGCCTCTTGTTTCCGGTCTTCGTCTAGCAAAGGAAAGCAAAAGATGACCTCATCTCCTACCAAACTAGCTTCGAACGAGCGAAGCGACGCGGCTGCACCATCTCCAGCCAATACACCTGGTTCGCCGAAGAAGTCCGGGGAGCACTCGCCTGCCAAGGCCAAGCTTGAGCAAGTCACCAACAAGTTTAGGCGCAGGAAGAAAGACTCACGCAACCTTTCGCCGGAGCAGAAGAAAGAGCGTGCGAAGAAGTGGCGCGAACGTTTCGGACAGCTCAGGGACGAGGAGGCGAAGAACATCCAGGACTACAAACAGAACCACCCCTCGAGTGCGGTGCGACGCTGAGTGGGAGACACGTTCCGTCCAGCCTTCGACTTCTTGACAAGCCCTCTGGGCCTAAATCTTCTTATTGCCTTTCTTGTTCTGACTCTTACATGAGTCTTCGTCCGACATCACTACGACTAGGAGAGAAACGTATGCTCGTTTCAGTACACAGAAACACACCGGTCCTGTATTACCCTTTCTACTTCTTTCTAATACTGCCTCGTCCCTGAGCATCCGCACAGCGTTACCAGTGGTACGGTCAGATCTGGACATCCCTCTACGTGGCTGGCGGCGTGAATGGCGATGGCACTTTTTCATGGTTCACCTTACACTTGGATGCTATTTACATCGACATCATTCGGATACGGCGTCGAACCACTGAGTGGCACACTTGGGCGCTTCGGACGGTGTGAGCTGGGGTCGCGTTCCTGGTCTCTGCTCTTTCGCTTTGCTGCATCGCTTCGACTACACGAACATAGCTAGCAGTTTGATATGTTCAAGCCTTTGTATAGTAGTTCACAAAAATAACATCTCATGTAAATGTCGTGCCTTTCGTTGGGTGACGAAGTGACGAATGTTCTAGCCTAGCAGCCGATGCAAGTGGTGTTCGGATGGCGACTATGACCACTCCAGGAGGACATACATCTTAGATAAGCGTCGTCCAGCTTTCGTCTCACGTATAAGGCGAATGTTCGCCTACCCCTTTTTTCTTTTCCGAACAGAGCGGGAGCAGACAAAGACGATGTATCGTTTGTAAGGCACCTCCACCTGGAATTCAATCAACTTGGAACCAGGGCTACTTGCCGCATTCCGATGGGGTAAGATACTTTCATCTCGAATCTGAGAAGTCAAGCGCAGTGATATGTCAGGAATAGTGATCAATCAAGAGTCCCTGCTCTGTCTCAACTAACATGTACAATTAACACTGATGTATGTCATGGTTTAAATGTCAGGAACAGCACGAAGATCAGCCGTGGGCGAGCGACGCGGTGATACGTTCGGGCGGAGGTCTAGAAGGAGATGGCTCGGCGCATGGCGTGCTAGGCTCAGCGCATCGGTCCGCCACTGGACTGAACTTCACCAAGAGGGCTTGCGTAAAGCGTAGGAGCGGAGTGGAGCCTCAGTGACTTGACCGATGAGAAAAAAGGTCGTCCGAGCGCCGGAGAAGACCAGCGGCACCGCCGGCAGAGCCCGCGATTATATGGTCCGTTGCTGATAAATCCAGGAGAAGCATCGTGGGGGGAGAGCGATGAGGGGCGCAGGCGCAAAGCCACGGACAAACTGTCCTTAAGGGGCCGCAGCATACATCCAAAGACAACTCGGCCAGCGTGCATACCCTGGGCTGACTGTAGCGGTGCTTGCAAATGCAGCAATTCACAGAGCACTTGGACCGGCGGCACGGTCGCTCGGGCATGCATCTGGAGATACGTACATAGTGACCAAGCCGACGGTGCAGGAGGTTTAAAGGAGCGTTCGCGCGCCTCGGCGGCTCCTTCCCCACTTTGGACTTGCCGCGCTGCGACGTCTGGCCTGGGCTGCGCTTGCTTGCTGCCCCAGAACATCAACTCCAGCCGTCCATCGTCCTTCTTCCTACACCGCCGCTCAATGCTGGCCGGCCTCGCATCAACACCAGCCTAAGCCCGCCTCTGCCAGCGCAGTGCTGTGACGCTTCATTCCTTCACAACAGCGTCCGAGCTAGCCAGCACCAGCCACAGCAGCACCCCGACCAAGACCCTGGACAGCGTCGACATCACTGGATAGACATGGCCCACTAGATCCACTCTCGACGACACCGCACGCCATCCGGACTCTCTCCTCTCCACCGCGAGAGCACGTCCTCCACACCCTCATCGCGCCTGCTGCCGCCATGACGCAGCTCTTCCACTCGTCGTCGAACAACACCTCTGCCATGTCGGAAAAGAGAACGTTTTCCGGCATTCCGCTGTCGTCCAACAAACAGGTCAACGGCAGCAATAGCCAGGTTTCGCAAAAGATCAAGGCCTTCTTCCGCATCAACAGCAGCAGTAGCGAAAAGGACCGCAAAGCCTCGGACGAGGGTAGCAGCCTCTCGATCCCCAAGAACGACTCCAAATCTTCCTTTCGTCAATCGCGCTTCATCCCTCACATCACTCGCAACCGCTCCCAGACCGTAGCTAGCGAAGGCAACCCGCTCGACGATGGCGTTTCCCCAACCGCACATGCCAACCCGTACTTCGTCCACCAGGGCCCTCCTGCTCTGCGCCATCACAATGAGGGTAGCGTACCCCCCTCCCCACCCGACACACCACCAATCCCAAAGATAGATACTGGCAATGGAGGAACCGATCAAGCCACCACAGCCGGTAAGGAGGAATTGGCCAGGAAACTGCGAAGGGTAGCATCTGCTCCGAACGCCCAAGGCCTTTTCTCAAAAGGAAATTCATCCGAGCGGCCGCAGACTGCAGAACTTGGCAAGCAGCCTTTGGTGCACCACCCAAACACATCCACGCTTAGTATGGTCGAGACCGCGGTGGAAGACCCGACACATCTCATCCCCGCCGATCCCACCAAGGGCATACCGTCTCCAGGCCAGATCCGTAACTCGGTAGCCTTCAGGAGAACATACAGTTCTAATTCGATCAAGGTCCGAAACGTTGAGGTCGGCCCGGGCAGCTTTGACAAGATTAAGTTGATTGGAAAAGGCGATGTGGGCAAAGTGTACCTGGTTCGGGAAAAGAAGTCGAGTAGGCTGTATGCCATGAAAGGTACGTTCATTCCATGAACAGACTGGATGACCTGTTAACGGAACAGTTCTGAGCAAGAAGGAGATGATCAAGCGCAACAAAATCAAGCGTGCGCTTGCCGAGCAGGAAATCCTAGCCACCAGCAATCATCCCTTCATCGTTACTCTATATCACTCATTCCAATCAGAAGACCATCTCTACCTCTGCATGGAATACTGCAGCGGTGGAGAGTTCTTCAGGGCTCTGCAAACCCGACCAAATAAGTGTGTCGATGAGGACGCGGCTCGGTTCTATGCGGCTGAAGTGACAGCTGCACTCGAGTACCTTCATCTCATGGGCTTCATCTACCGCGATTTGAAGCCAGAAAGTACGTACCTTCTCTATGTTGCGCATGTGTGTGCTAACCAATCCAGATATTCTGCTCCATCAGTCAGGCCACATCATGCTGTCAGACTTCGACTTGTCTAAACAGTCGGATCCCGGAGGTCGGCCGACTATGATTGTAGGCCGTAACGGAACGTCCTCCAGCAACCTTCCCACGATCGATACCAAATCTTGTATAGCGAACTTCAGGACGAATTCGTTTGTCGGAACCGAGGAGTACATCGCCCCGGAAGTTATCAAGGGTTGTGGTCACACGTCCGCAGTTGATTGGTGGACTCTTGGCATCTTGATCTACGAGATGCTCTATGGGACGACTCCGTTCAAGGGCAAGAATCGTAACGCGACTTTTGCGAATATTCTGAGGGATGATGTGCCCTTCGCAGAGGGCAATGGTGCTCCACCGGTTTCTGGGTACGTATTCTTCCACCCCGTGCGACGAACAGTACTGACAGACTCTAGCAACTGCAAATCCTTGATTCGAAAGTTACTCATTAAAGACGAGCTGCGCCGCCTTGGATCCCGAGCCGGCGCCTCCGACGTCAAGACACACCCCTTCTTCCGCGCTACCTCTTGGGCTTTATTGCGACATATGAAACCTCCGATCGTCCCTAATCAAGGCCGTGGCATCGAGACGCCGAACTTCCGGAATGTTAAGGAAAGCCAAAGTGTCGACATCGGTGCCGCGAAAGCCAAGGGTGTTCCTTTAGATTCTGGCCTTGCTACACCTATGGGGGAGGTCGCAGATCCCTTTGAAGAGTTCAACAGCGTCACACTTCACCACGATGGCGACGATGGGCACGACCACCATTTTGATGGGGAGCACCTGGAATTACAACAGACAAGCTCACATCGGTAGTATGGCCTGAAATACGTGCCACGTTTCCTTATTCCGGTGTCATTGTGTCACAAAAGAGCGAATTGTTGCATTTCCACAATTTTAGGACGGGCGTTCTTATGGATTCCTTTCCACACACTCCTTCCAGCGCGGGGTCATTCCAGGTTTCAAATCTCCAACGGCATTGGCGTTTTCGAGCTATCGGAGCATCGACAGTTTCTTGCAACTATCTTTCAGTGTCTTTTCCTGTCTTGCGTAGTGAGCTGTGGTCGCTTAAAGCTGAGGTGCAGGCTTGATGATCGATGGTTTGTGTCAATGAAGCGGCAGCGCGTCGTGGCGAGCAGGTCCAGATTATGTATTCGGTCTGGGAACAAGCAATGTGTGCGACGCAGCACGAATACAATCGGAACGATATTATTTGAGTATGCAACATTTCAAGACATTAGCCTTTGCTTCGTAATGTGATGAGCGTGACAGTGCCAAGAGCATGGGTTAAAGCGCGCCAACCATTTCGCGTCTTCGCCGCGGTGTTGTCCCAACTTTAACATTGAGCGCCCACCTCACCGACAACTGCCACGCAAATAGGACACCCTCCCAAGCAGTGAATCACCTCCACGCTCACAACCCTCTAACTATTCGCCTCCACACGAGCAAACCGAATCTTCCAGCTCCCCTCACATCTCACCCACCGCTGCCGTCTTGGAAACACACGAGTCACCTCTCCGCAACAAGCTTGCACACGAGCTGATCCCACAACACCACACCGCAACAAGAAACGAAAAGCAATCAACATCATGGCGACCGACGGTCCCGACCAACCGCTCTCCACTTCGCAAGCCTCGTCTCCGCTTGACGCCGAGTCGCTCACCCCTCTTGAGCAGGAAGTGCTAGACGAGTACGCGCGCCTGCTCGGAAATATGAATAATGTACGGACCCCCTAGTCTCTCCCTACGCAAGCTTACTTGCTTCAATTGCTGATGTTGGGAAATTGTAGATGTCCACCCTCCTCGCTGAGCTCGCCGCCAATCCGTCTGCGGAGATACTAGATGCGCTACGGGGATTAGAGAGGAAAACGAGTCTGGTGTTTACGCTGTTGAAGGCGAGTGTGTATTCGATAGTGTTGAATACGCAGATTAGGGAGGAGGATGGGGGTGGGGAAGGGGAGGGGCGGACGATGATGTGAGTGAGGGAGAAAGGGATATGTGAGCGGCCGGGAAGGCGATGCTTGAAGCAGCGTTATACGAGGATATGATACCCAGGAACGAAGGATTTGAACTTAGGAAGCTCGATATGGTATTTTGGTATGCGTAGATTTACAAGGGTTTCTACAAAAGCTAGAATGATGCGCCCGCCCAATGCGAATGCATGTTTACACTGTACTGTACGTCTTCCACGTCTACCCACTCTTCGCTTCAAAGTATCATACAACAGGCTTGCATCTTCGACATTTATACACTTCTTAGTGTACACTTCCTCCGTAGTACACCTTCCTTACATCGACAAGCTTCTTCCCTCTGGCCCGTGCAATCTCGTCGGGCAGCTTTTGGTTGCAGAGAGCTTCCCATGTGGCCTTGATGACGTTCATCTTGTTTCGTGAGCGGGGCGTCTTAGCGGCGAGATCTTGGAGGCCGGCGGCGCGGGCGAGTTCGAAAATGAGATGCTGGACGCGGAGACCGAACCCTTTGCATCTGTTAGTGTGATAAATCTTGTGAAAAATTGTGAGTCTTACCAGGCGGTCGTGAGAACAGCTGCACCTTCGTAGCTCCCACCTTCATCTCTAGGTCTCCATAAGTCGTTCTGTTCTCATACCGCGGTATGGGCCTCATGTTCCTGATGGCAGCCATCACACTCTGCTTCCTTCCTTCGTCCGGCTCTGTGGACTTGCCCTCTCCTACGCCTAGCAGGCCATCCTGGTTACCCGCAATGGTCAAGTAGTACAGCGATCGAATCTTGCCCATACGCGTCTGGTTCGTTACGCCGTGCACCACCAGTGTCTTGACTCTGATACTACGCAATTTCTGCTTGTCCCAGTTGAGGTATTGCAGCAAACGTTTCTGACGCGGATCCTCCTCCTCCTCCGAAGATAGGCGGCGAGTCTGGCGCACCATGCGGTTGTCGATTCTCGGAAGATCGGGCATGACGATCGAGTGTCGCGGGTCAGAGAGCGCAGCGGCCGCATGTACGTTCTTTACGCGAAAACTCGCACGGGGATCCAGCACTGCCTGTGTGACGGCCGTTCCCATAGCTTCCTCCAGCTGCCTCTGCGTGTCCTCGCTCAATTCACCCTCTGGAAGGCCATCAGGGAACATCTTGGCGAGATTCTCGTTGGCGAGGAAAGTTATTGCCTCGTCGCGCTCCTCCTCGTTTACGTCTTTGAAATCGTGTGATCCAGGGATATCTGAAGGGTCCAGCTTCTCAGCGTGATCCGTCACGGGGTCGACCTCCGCCAGATCATCTTCGTACGGTAGGAGCCAAGGGTCTGTCCGGCGCCGGCCCTGGGTGACGATATCGCGGCTGTCGATTGCGGTTTCGGCGGCTTTAATGGCAACGATTTGCGCAGGCGTGTATCGCTTTTCCAGCAACGCTGTTTCCGAGGTGTCGTACTTGGGGTAGTTCGTTTCCGCGACCTGATTCAGGAGCTTCAAATCCTCGGCCTTGATGGACGGGTAGTGCGGTCTCCGTTTGCGAGCTGCTCGAGGGGCGGATGCGTGGAAAGAGCGTTTCGGTGCGGAGGCGGGCTTAGGGAGCGAGGCAGATGCGAAGAGACATCTTACGGGGCGGCAGACGCTCATTGCGTCTCTGGACCGCCGGATACAGGCCAATTGGACGCCGAAAGGAAGGTGATAAGATGCGCGTGCTGCGTTGATGCTCGTCGCAGGTGAGCGAGCGAGCTTCGATAATTTTGGCGCTAGCGGCTAGGACGACGCGCTACCCAATCATCGAGCGACCTTTTCCGTGACAGCAGCTTTTTCGTCTACACATATGTTTTCTTTGCTGGGTCGATCAGCGCTCCGGACTCTGTCGTACGGTGGCAGACGATATCTTTCCGTCAGATATAATATGGCTTCTTCAGCGGCAAATGTCGCGCCTATCGAGAGCTTTGGTGAGAAAAGACCTGCGGAGACGCCGTTGAGGAGTGAGGAAGGGTCAAGGGGGAGCTACAGGTTCAAAAATAAGAGAATGAGAAAGGGTCATGCCGAGACCAGTAGCATTCTCAAGACGAATGGAAGCAACGAAGAGGTACTATTGGAAGACGTAAAAGCTCTCTTGAAGGGCCTCAGTTTGGAAAAGGACGTCTCAACACAGCTTCCGGAGCTGAGATCTGAAGTAGAAGTCACCATCAAGGGCCTTTCTTCCACTGGCGATGGTCTGGGTTTCCAAGAAGGCTCGACGTCCGACCAGGTGTATGTGGTGCCGTTCACAGCACCAGGCGATACCGTCACCGCGAAAGTCTTCAAACACGATCAGAAGGATAAGATATCCATGGCCGACTTTGTCAAAGTCGTGAAACCTTCGCCTCATCGTGACGAATCGTTAGTCAACTGTCCGTACTTTGCTAGCTGCTCAGGATGCCAATTTCAAATGCTACCCTACGACTACCAGCTTGCACACAAGAAGACCATCGTGGAGAAGGCGTACAAGAACTTCTCCCAACTGCCACCTGAGCTTATTCCTGCCATTGGCGACACTATTGGATCTCCTTTACAGTATGGCTACCGGACGAAACTTACTCCGCACTTTGATGGTCCGCCGGATGCTCGTCGGAGCGACGGCAGGAATGGCATCCGGCGAAACTTCCAGGAAGTCCCGCCTATTGGGTTTATGAAGAAGGGTACGCGGATCACTATCGATATCGAAGATTGCCCTATTGGCACCGACGCAGTACGTAACGGCAACAAACGCGAGAGGAAACGCGTCGCGGACCAACTTGAGAAATATCACAAGGGTGCTACTTTGCTCCTCCGCGAAAGCACGCAGCGTGTCTCAAAAGAAGAGTACGATGCTTCAAAAGAGCAAGATCCAGATGCCGTTATCGAGGATCGAGGCGAGCACCTGCATCGCAAGACATGCGTTACCGACCCCAACGCCAAAAGCACAGAATACATAGACGACTTCCAGTTTGTCAATCCCGCAGGATCTTTCTTCCAGAACAACAACTCCATTCTCCCAAAGTTCACACAGTACATCCGAGACCATATCCTACCTCCTACCTCTGATCACCAGGTCAAACATCTAATAGATGCATACTCCGGCTCTGGGCTCTTCACCATCACCTTATCCTCCCTTTTCAAATCATCTCTTGGCATCGATATCTCTTCGTCCTCAATCGACTCTGCAACTCACAACGCTGAGATCAACAATCTACCACCCTCCTCCGCGAAGTTCATCGCCGCAGACGCGTCCGCGCTATTCGCTAGCATCGATACCGAGGCCGCCGAAACAGTCGTCATGATCGACCCGCCAAGGAAAGGCTGCGACGAGAGTTTCCTGCGCCAATTAGTCAGATATGGGCCTGCTCGCATTGTTTATGTGAGCTGCAACGTGCATACGCAGGCTCGGGATGTCGGTGTCTTGGTTGGGGGTATGAAAGGTGTCGATGGTGGTTTTGGCAACGGAGAGGGATGCTATGATATCGAGAGTATCTGTGGGTTTGACTTTTTCCCTCAGACTGGACATGTTGAAGGTGTTGCTGTGCTGCGGCGGAAGGCAGCGAAGGAGTAAGAGGAGGAAGAGATCTGGTAGAATACTGTATCTGGAGTTTGGATACCCTGCGTTACCCTAGCATTAGGCTTGTACATTAGCTCGGTTTGTATGCACCCGACCGAGGTGTATACTATCTTCTTGGATTCAACCATTACATGACTTGAGTTGCTTAAATCTTTCACCATGAATATACATCAAAGCGGAGCACGTTCAAAATTTGAGTAGTTACCAACCGTGGTGCGACAACCCAACAGCAAACCCTTCTTGTACAATACTATCCACCTCCCCCTTTGCAAACCTTTCCTCAAGATCTTCCCCCGTAACATCCACCTCCCTCCCCGAAATGCTACGCATAACCATCTTCGGCACGACCCTCACACCCTCCATCCTCCTTCTCCAGATTCTCCTCATCTACACCGCCTACATCCTCGCGACCAACCCGCTCCTCCTCCTCCCTCTCGCGCACAGGCTCGCATACTTCGAGTCCCTCTATCTTCACATACCGCCCCTTCTCTGCTATTTCGACTTTGAATCCCTTGAAAGACTTTGCATGGCTACCTCTCTCCTACTAGTCGTACCACTTCACTCGTTCGTCACAGTCCCTTTAATGCGATGGACATCAGGGGAAAGACAGGAGGAGAGTGTAACGATGTGCAGCACGGGTCTGGCAACTGTGTGGACGATGGTCGTAGGGGTGAGTTTCGTCAAGAGCGGTAGTTCGGGCGAAGGATACTAACTGTCTACAGACACGGTATTTCAGGGGAGGAATAGATGAGCTGTGTGAGTGGGTTGCGCTCTTTGTCGAGCGGTTGTGGTGGGCGATGTGAGTTGAAGGTTTAATGTTTGAAGATGTTAGAGACGGAGACAGGACGAGAAGCTGAGCGTGGGTTGTTACCCAGGACAGCCTGTACGAGTGCTGGGTCGAAGATGAATCACTGATACTTGCTACGCCATTGCATCTGCGAAGAGCCACTTAGAAGAAAAGCAAAGTGGACCATATCTTCCGCGGAATGCGTCGCACTTCGCTTGTTTGCAGGGAGCGCTGCTGCACATCAGGGTGTCAATTATTGATAGAGTCCGATACTCGGTGGATGTCTGAAGACAGAAAACATGCACTCGCTATCCAGAGGTCCATGGAACGTCACAGCGCATATGTGGAAGATGGTATGTTGATTCCGCACGTAAGATGATCTTTTCGACAAGTTTCTCTACATGCCCTTCCACCGGCGCCGTAATTCGTTCGTAGACCCTTTTCAATTGCTTTGAACAGTCCAAATACACAGTTTCTGTCTTTACGTGCTCCCAGGGCCACCCAACAGCGCAAATCTCCGCACAATGCTGGGACCAATCTCATCGTACTCTGCCTTAGTATGGCAGTAACTCTTGAACTCGGGAGTCTGACCAAGCAAACTGCCTCCGAACCACGGGCCATGTCGTTGCCTCTTGTGCGTGATGACTTGTACGTCCAGACCGCCACTCTTTGCACCTCCACTTCTGGCCTCCGAGGCCTTAATCCGAGCGTCGACGAGGTGTCTAATATCGCGCTGCAAGCGCCTTCCAAAATCCTTGTATAATGTTGAACCTCCAGAGAGAACGATGTTCTTGTACAGTCCCCTTCGTACATCAATAGGCGAAGTCTGAATGACTGTATCGACAATGTTCGGCAGCGGCGTCAGGAAATCGGAGGAGTAGATTTCGGGATTGAAGAAGATTTCGGGAGCCAAGAAGCGCTCGTATCCCACATCCACTTGCACCGTCTTGCCGTTAAGGTGATTGACAGTATGCTTCTTGAAATAGTCGGGTTCGCGGTCATAGCGGGAGAATTCCTTAACGATATCTGGAGAAACGTAGCAGAACTCCTCCTTGATGCGCTCTGCAGTCTGAAGAGAGGAGTCGGGCTCGCCGCGGTCTCGCAAGAGTGATTGGACGAAGTTCGTGATGTCACGACCTGCGATCGGAACACTCTTGATCGAGGAGCCAATAACGTAACCTTCGGCGACGGGAATAACATGAGTGACACCGGCACCAGAATCAATGACAGTTCCCGTGAGTGACCGATCATGGACCTTTGAGCTCGTCCATGAAGCAGCCAGGGCAAGAACAGCCTGTACAGCGATGTAAAGACCGGCGCAGTTGAACGATTCGAACATGATCTCGGCAGTGTTCTCACGGTTCTCGGGAGGGTTCATGGGCTACATATTGGTTAGGAAATAACGTGCGAAAGCTGCATAGTTGTTCGCTTACGGGTTCGGTGAGGAGGAAGTGGTGGTCTTCTGGTTCCACGCGCAGGTACTTGAATATCGAATTCGACCAAAAGCGCTCCATGAGGTCCTGCTACATGTCAGCATGGCTGACGGAAACTTGCGCCAGCCTACATACCCAGTTGTCTATCTGACCGTGTCTAATGGGGTAGTGGATGCCATATCCAGGCCCTGCGGCGGCCGAGAGCGCTTCATCTCCAATGAAGAAATCGAGGTCCTCAGTTCCTCGCTTCGCTGAAAGATGGCTACCAGGGCCAGCACCTCCAGTCAGGAAGGAGGGCTTGTTCGCAACGGCAGGCCGACCAGACCCAGAACCGCCAGCACCGCCTGCCGGGCCCTTGGAAGCTATCGCAGTGGGGAACACGAAGGAGGGAGAGTCGTTGCCGGCGAAACCTTGAGTGTGTTAGCTGCATAGGCTTCCGGGTGAGCAATCGTGGCGGCGCATCGTACCAAGCTTCGAGTAACCCGTACCGCTGCATTAGGCGGTCAGTATGCGACTGTGCACGAGGGGCCCGCAGGCTGCAAGGGAGCTTACTTGTCCATGACAACGGCGGGCGTTTGGGACGCCATCTTTGCTGCTGCTCGCCGAGCTGTATAGGAGCGCGAAGCAGCTCAGGAGTGCGCGAGAGGACAGGTGGGCGTGAATTGGCGGATCGAGTACGGTGGTGGATTCGTCAGAGTGGGATGCCGGAGGCTGGTCGACGTGGGCTGTTGTAGCTAGGCGCAGCAATTCCCCGCTCCACCCAAGTCTACTTGGCGGCCACAGCGGAAACGCGGAGGGCGGGGGTCCCTGTAACTACTTTGCTCATCAAGTTTATAGATATGCTTTCACATATTCGAATAAGGTGTCTTCACCTGCCTGCTCTTGCCTCTTGAGCGAAAAGGTCTTCGTGAGCCCCACTTCGTTTGCACGGTCGAGATGCTGTTAGGAAGGAGCAATCGACCGTGACTCTTCCACCTGCTGCTGTCTTTCTTCATCATTAATCACAATCCAACCCTACAACTCACCCGCAGCTCTCCCACTCTCATTGCAAATCAGAGCCCCAGAAACAGGGTTCCTACACCCGCTCGAGGCCAATCCATTCATTCACCATTCTTCACCTATCTCACTTCTTTCCGCCACAGCCCACCTTGAAAACCACACCCGCCACCAGCGGTCCGCTCACCTAATTTATCAATGACCTTTTGACCAAGTACTGACTCAGTTCTGCGGGCATTTCCTCGCTCTCTTCGTGGGCTCCGCTTCGAGACCATCCGCTAACACGATCTCTTTTTTCAGAACCTACCCGTTTCATGAAACTCTAGGTCACTGGCCACGGCGACATATACCAATCTCTATTTCCGAAACTGGAAAGGCTTGGACCTCGATTTCGCAGCCTCCGTCAACGCTTCTCTGGGACGAAAGACAGGGGCATGTCAATACCCGCCGGACAGCCTGGAGCCATTGACGGCGCGTACCAACCCGATACTCTCACGCGTAAAGCCACGCAGAGCCCACATCGGAGCGACATATGTTGTATCTTCGTCCATGCCGGGGCTGGCTACCACAGTTACGCGAATGAGCAGATTCATCTCGAGGCGTGCAATGAGTATGGGTCCCGAGTAACTTTAAGACCATATGCTAACTTAATTTCAGCGCAGCACAAGTCGCAATGCTTATCTTACGGAATGGTGGATCGGCATTAGATGCCGTCGAGATGGCTGTCAAAATTCTCGAGGATCGAGAAATTACTAACGCAGGATATGGGAGCAATCTAGCCATGGACGGTGTAGTTGAGTGTGACGCCTCAATTGTAGATCACCACGGTCGTAGCGGAGCTGTTGGCGCAGTTTTTCGTACGTGTTGTGACGGACACCAACAAAGGCGAAAATTGCTAACAACATACAACAGAGATCAAGAATCCTATATCACTTGCCCGGCTAGTACTGAATCACACGAATCAATCATTGACCCTTCGCCGTGTTCCGCCAAACCTCCTTGTCTCCCAAGGAGCACTTCAATTTGCGCGGGAGATGGGCGTTCCGGAGCTTCCCCACGATGCACTTGTGTCACCAGCTGCAAAAGAGAGATGGATTAAATGGCACCATGATCTCAGAGTAGCAGAGCGCAAAGCCAAGAAGCACGGCCAGCATCCCTCCTGTTGGAGATTAAGGGAAGCATTAACGGTTGAGGACGAGGCAGAACAGGAACGCTTGCGTCGCGAGCACACCAAAAACATGCAAGGATACTCGCAACTATCTGGAGCTGACTCTCCAACTACCTCCGAGCACCCCCTCTGTTATGCTGTAGACGATGATTTCTCTACGAGTCCATCTAATCCGCCTGGTCCGGATTCCGACATCTCAATGGCGAGTACTACAAGCGGCCCGCGCATAGCTACGCCTGTTTCGACCACCCCCGACCCATTGCCAGATCCAGTGCCAGCTCGACCCACTTCCATCGAAGAGTCTTGCAGGAGTGCTTTCATCAATAGCACTCAGACGGTTCCCACTTTAAGCCGGTTCCGAGAGCTGCGTGGTTCAAGACAATCACCGATGGGTCTGATTGCGGAAGATCGACTGACGGCAGACGTTAGCCGTGTTGGATTCCATGCGCGAAGGTCATGGGGGGACGGCTCTGGGGAGCAGTCAGAGTCGACATCTAGCGCTGCAACGATGAAGCTGGCTGACGAGACGGAGGTCGCAGCTCTTACCAACAATATCAAGGGAGCTGAGGCAGCAGGTTCGTCAACGCGCGGTTCGCCCTTAGCAGAGAAAGCTCAGAACAATACGCTGACACCAACTGCGAGCATCCCTCGGAGTAGCCGATCGGGCCAGGAGGAGGATGATCATGTCACTGATACCGTGGGCGCCATCGCAGTTGATGGTTGGGGCAACATTGCTTGCGCTGCCTCTTCCGGTGGCATTGGGATGAAGTATCGGGGGCGCGTTGGTCCATCTGCACTCGTGGGGGTTGGTACAGCCGTTATACCTAGAGACCCCGGTGACCTAGACGAGACAAGTGTGGCGACCGTCACAAGTGGCACAGGGGAGCACATGGCGACAACCATGGCTGCTACAGTCTGCGCCGAGAGACTGTATCAAAGCGTGAAGAAACAGAAAGGCGGAGAATATGTTGAAGTAACTGAAGACGAGGCTCTCAAATCAATGATCGAGAACGAGTTCATGGGTAAGATTAGCTTTGGCATGATCATCTATCGGCCGCTAATATTCGTATAGGCCATCCAAGTGTGAGGAACAGCAACTCGGCAGGTGCTATCGGAATGCTCGTCGTCAAGAAAACCCGGCAAGGAGTCATGCTATATTATGGCCACAATACCGATTCCTTCGCAATGGCATCGATGCACTCAGACGAGGATGCTCCTTGGTGCACAATGTCACGAAATAACGGCAACGGGCAAATCGCTCAAGGCGGTCGGATGATGCGATACCAGCGCAAGAAGAAGACCAAAACCAACATTGCTCGCCAGCCGTTTGTTTGAAGTAACATTGCAGACATGAGGCTCGGCAAGGGGCGCTCGACAAGCTCCCATCTCTACACCTATCCCCTGGAATATCTTTCCTACACCTACGGACGATTCGTCCCACTACCTCTTTATTTCCTTTCCTGTCCTGATCGCAAGCGCCGGCAACTGCAAACTTAGTTGGTCAAGCATTATGTGGATGCGATAGCGTTCTTTCGGTAACATGTCATTCACATGTGGGCGTCTAGTGGCATTTGATACCCGTGGTCTTCAGGCCTAGTGTTCTTTCTCAATAAAGCAATGAAGCAACTGATGCAGCGTGTCGTGCAGCTTTTCATGGCTACAATTTATGTGATGGTGTCAAATGAAGAATTCTTGCGACCAGCGCCTACAACATTGAAGGAGAAGAGCGTAGCAGAGAGTCAGGAGACCTTGCTTTACTGATCTCTACTACATTGGAAGTATACGCAGCTAAAATGGGACATTGTTTAGGGTTTTACCAGCACTCTAGGCAATGTTCTGAACAGGTTATGTAACTTTAATTACTTTACGAATTGAGTTCCGCTCACGTCCGTTCCCGTCGTGCATGCGTGCTCACGTGAGAGCGCAACATCAGCGCACGGGCCAATGCTTGTTCGCGGAGCTTTTGCGGAACGGTGAAGCCTCGCTGCTCGCTTCTTTCACTTGTGTCTTTGTTTCGTGTACAACCTTCCATGGATAACATCAGTTTTTCGGGAAATACATAGCGCGCTGTGTCTCAACCTTAGCATGTTACATCACCTTTTCAGAATCCGAGTCGCGTAGGCTCCAACAAGCATTCCAGCTTTCCAGCATGAATGCCATCGACGCCTCGGAGCACCACCAACGTGTGGACGAGAGTACGATATGAACAACATATTGTGACCATGCTGGCCTCAGCTGATATATCACGCAGGTGTACCGCCCTCTCTCCTTGCAATCGTCCTAGATACCAATCCCCACGCTTGGGCGCATCTCTCCTCCACGCTCCCGCTCGCGACAGCTCTTGCCAATCTCCTTGTCTTCATAAACGCGCATCTTGCCTCTGGGAATGGGAATAGCGTTGCTGTAATAGCTTCCCATTCCAATAAATCATGCTTTCTGTACCCTACGCCCGCGCCTGCCTCCCCGCAACCCCGCCACAACGCTACAAATGGCGATGTCGACATGAACGGTACCGCAGACAGCACCTCGTACTCGGTCCAAGATAATCCGAACAAATACCGCCCTTTCGCGAATGTAGAGACAGGGATCCTGAACAATTTTGCGAAGCTCATGGAGGGCACCAAAGAAAGTCACTTGACAGCAACTCCCACCACCTTAATCGGCGGCGCATTGTCGCTCGCGCTATCATACATTGCGAAAGCCACCTTGTTAAACCTGCCTGCTACTTCGAGTACAGAAGAAGCCATGCTCGCGATCGCCGACCCTGAAGCAACCCACAGCTCGTATGTGTCGCTTGCAAGCCGCATTCTTATCGTGTCTGTGTCGGGCGATCTTGCGAACCAGTACATTCCTGTAATGAATAGTATATTCGCGGCACAGAGGAAAAGGATACCAATCGATATATTGAAGTTGGCAGGAGACACAGTGCTGTTGCAGCAGGCCAGTGATGCGACAGGCGGCGTGTACATGAAGCCTGAGCGACCTGAGGGCCTGCTACAATATCTTATGATGGCATTTCTACCCGATCCCACTGCAAGGAGAAGTCTAGTTATGCCGAGTGCGGGAGGTGTTGATTTCAGGGCAGCGTGCTTCTGTCATCGCAAGGTCGTTGATATTGGCTTCGTCTGCAGTATTTGCTTAAGCAGTAAGTTGACACTATCATGACCACTGTATGAGCAGAATACAACTAACTGTCAAGTCTTTTGCACCTCGGATCTCCCCGACAATCTCTGCCTGACCTGCGGCTCTTACCTGTCGCTCCGGGCCGCGCAGTCAAACCCACCAGCTTTGATACCCAAGAAAAAGAAAAAGAAGAAGAGAGTAGGAGGTACGGACTCAGCGACACCAGGGGGTAGCACACCTGCAGGATCGAATACACCAATGCATTCGTAAGCAACATGTACATGATCCGTGAGCGTGATGGTCTTACATTTGGGCGTCTGGCGTGAATCTTGTAGCATTTCAAAGCGCTGGGTCTGGGAAAATTTCATGTTCTGAGTATCAAGCCGCGACCTATTTCATCAATATCTTTGATAATTAAAGTCATGAGGCTACCGAGGAGGCGGAATAGCATGCGGTACACGTGCCTATGACTACTGCTCAAGAGTCCCCAATAAAATAAAGCACGCAAAATCCTGCGACCCCACTGGATGCACCAGAGAAGGCACCTTGACAGCCAAAAGCGAGTACGTGATGCCATCTTCGCAACTCATACTAGATGCGGCGAAGATCTACGAGTGTAGCATTGGGATAGCTCGTATCCAGCTTAGGGAAATGGCGTGTGGTCACGCAAAGACGCGTCTGTGCCTCGGCACAACGCTGGATCCACATAGTTCGACGTCGTAAAGTCCATCATCGTTCAACAAGCCGGCCGATCTGGGAAGCCAGCCGAGGAACGACCTAATGGAGCAATGCTTGTTTGCTGGCTCGCGGTAGCCGTGGTTTCCGTGAGGATTATGTTTCGTCAGAGCCATTTCCCCTGCTAGGACGTAGTTCCTTCCCCGCATAAAACGATACACTGGGGCAAGTGTCACGCCTCGCAACTGCTCACGAGTCCGCGGCCTCTTTCCGTACATACATTTTGCTGTGCTCTTCCTTTCTCTTCCTACGTCACCTAGACTTTCAGGAACTACCAATTCGTCTTTGTTCGCTTTTTGAGGAAGTTGCTGCGCCTGCATAGCGACCATGGGCGAGACTATCCGACGGGTCAATGGCTACGACCATGATGCGTACACCTACTACCCGGTGGTCATCGTGGGAGCGGGCGCGTCAGGCATCGCGATGGCATGCCAATTGAAGGAGCAGCTTGGTTTTGACCAGTTCAGGATATTTGATCGGCAGGCAGGCATCGGCGGTACATGGTGGATTAACCGATATCCTGGAGTCGCGTGGTAAGTAAATATCGTTCGTGCGCCGAAATGGACATCTTGGCACAAGAGTTGGAATTTAAGAATTGTGAAGATGGAGGGTTCTGTTCACAGGACGTGCGATGTCGTTGCTTTTGTAATGCCGTGGCTTACGCCACGGCCGCAATGCGCCGACGGTGCTGACGCTGACCCTGCACAGCGACGTCCCCGCCATCTTCTACAGTTTCAGCTTCAAGCAAAACCCAAACTGGACCTCATTCTACCCACCGGGGCCCGAGATTGTGCGGTACTACCACGAAGTCTGCGAGTCGTACAAGATCACAGATAAGTTCGAGTTGAACACCGATGTAGAGCAATGCACCTGGCTGGAAGATGAAAAAGTCTGGGAGGTCCGGCTGCGGCGCTTGATGGCCGGCATGGGCGATTTGAGTTCCAAGGACCGCGCGAAGATTGCGAAAGAGAAGGGAGAGGCGGCTGTGTATGCCGAGACGGAGATTGTGAGGGCGAAGATTGTGGTTTCGTGTGTGGGTGGACTTGTCGAGCCGAGGGGCTGGCCGGACGAGATTCCTGGTATCGAGAAGTTCAAGGGCCCGGTGTTCCACTCGGCACGATGGGATGAGAGTGTCGACTTCAAAGATAAGAACGTTGTAGTGGTGGGAACGGGATGCAGCTCAGCGCAATTGGTTCCACGATTACCCAACGCACCATATAACGCGAAATCAGTTACTCAGCTCATGCGAACGCCTCCATGGGTCGTACCTTCGTCGGTTCCTCCAGGTGGCGACGAATGGTGGGAAAAGAACTCCAAGAGGCTGTTCAAGCTGGTTCCCGGGCTCCAGAACTCCCTTCGTCTGTTGGTTGCCGGTGGCGCAGAAATTCAATTCCAACAACTGTTCCGCACCACTGAATACGCGGAGAAGCACAGAAAGATCTACGAAGACCGAATGTTAAGACGCATGAAGAAGATTGTTCCCGAGAAATACCACGAGATCCTAACACCGAACTACGGCGTCGGCTGCAAGCGAAGAATTTTCGACAAGAGATGGTACCAGGGTCTGAACGATCCCAAGATCGAGCTCACAACACAGCCTCTGGCGCGCGTCAACGAGGACAATGTGGTCATTGGGCCTAGCGCCCACTATCCCAAGGATGCAAAGACTGACCTTCCCGAGAAAGAAGTACCTGCCGATGTCATCATCCTGGCGAACGGATTCGACACAACAAAATGGCTCCACCCACTGCGCGTCGCCGGAAAAGGCGGTAAAGATCTCGTCGACACAATGGAGGAGCGAGGAGGACCGCAAGCCTATCTAGGATCCGCCATGGACGGATTCCCAAACTTCTTCATAATCTTCGGACCTAACACAGCAACAGGCCACTCCTCGGTGGTCATGGCGTCAGAAAACATGGTGATGCATTCGCTAAACTTCATCAAGCCCATACTACGAGGAGACGTGGCCGCAGTAGAGGTCAAGCACGAGGCGGAGGTTGCTTACACGCAAGAAATCCAAGCCGCGCTCAAGAACACGGTCTTCATGAGCGGCGGCTGCGTGTCCTGGTACTTCACCGAGAACGGATGGAACTCGACTGTGTATCCGTATGTCTCGTCTTCTTCCAACATGTACAGAACCCTGGCTAACATGATGCAGATACTCCCAGATCGACTTCTGGCGGCGATGCCGCTTTCCGAGGTGGAATGACTGGAGCCTCACGTACACGCAGCAAGGAATCAACCGGAAACGCAGGGACCAGATCGTTCGCATCTTGGCTGTGGCGGCTATTGTCGTGGGCGCGTATCGTGCGCGTCAAAATGGGATAGATTTGACGAATGTGAAGGGATTGCTTCTGCAAGTGCTGCAGGGCTCGTTTGCGAGGTTCTCGTATGTTTTGGAGCTTATGAAAGGGCGGGCGCAAGCTGTTCTGAAGAACTAGCCATGTATCGTCTAGAGGCTGTGTACAATTCAAGATTGGATGGGTGATTAGGGTTCGAGTTACCCCGAGCCCTATCATGCGTGCTTGATCCAGTGGCAGTATTACTGTGTAACTGCTTTCACGCAAACTCAAGGGTGCTCCACCGTACAATGGCGTTGGCGAAAGGGTCATCGCAGCATTTTCGTTTGGAAGAAATGTATCTTTAAATTTACCTCATTTGTACAGCACTTGTATAAAAGTCCGCCTACTTAAGGATCAAAATGATGCTTCGTATTTAAAACGCGCAGAGACGCGAGGAACGCAGCCTCTCCACCTCTAAACCCAAACCACAGAACGCCGATCTAAGCACTTTAGAAACCAGAAGACAAACATCGCTAAACAGCACGCTCACCTTCCACCCTATCCTCTGCCAGCGGTCCTTGCCCATTCGTCGGCGTGGTTTCGCTCTTCCCGTAAATGACTCCAGCCCTCGGTTCCCACATACGAACCCACGCCGACACCAATACCCCAAGACCTCTTGTAGCTCCTCGGCCCCCAGGACCAGCCAGCGCCACGCGTGATGGGAAGGTGGTACCAGCGGAAGCTGAACCAAGCCGTCGTGATACCAATCAGACTCCCGAAGATGAGATCAAATCCAAAATGGCGGTAGTCTGTGAAGCGGGTGCTGCACACATAGATGGCAGTACCGATGGGTACGAGGACAAGGATGAGGGAGTAGACGGGGGGTGCGGCGGCCTGGTAGCGGTCAGGGACTACGCGATCGTCTGCGTAGTTTGAGAGATTTGAGTCTTTCCCGTTGAGTGGGAGGATCGAACGATTCTTAAGGTTCGATCGTGCGGTTGCGGAGACGTGGTCGGGGTTGGTGCTGAATGGTCGGGACGGTAGGAAAGGTATGGCGACGGAGAATTTGGAAGCGAGGAAGAGAGTGAGGTATAGCAGGCCTGCCCAGGAGAAGCTGGCGTGGCCGCTGGGGAACGACTTGAAGCCGTCTGAGAGGATGTCCTGGTCGGTATTCTGGCATATGGCCGATGTTACTAGGACCCAGTAGGGGCTCAGATCTTGCGAGACAGCACTGACGGCTGGATTGACGGTGAATTCGGAGATTCGGGTGAGATCAGGCTGGCATCTGGAGAGCAGGTCTGGCCGCGGCTTCCCGAACAACAACTTCATGCCCTGCGTGACCATGAAAGATGTCGCCAATGACAGCGCCAGGCCCATCCAGGCGGTGTTCCATTCCCAAAACTTCCGCCTCCATACCAGGCTCTGTGGAGTGCCTCTCGCTGCAGTCGGTCCAGGAACAAAGATCAGACAGACCAGGAAGGTCACGATGGCGGGAATAATTAGCCCAATAACCATAAGTAGCCACGTTGGGATGGTCTCATGGTGTTCGAATGGGAAAGATATGTTCAGGTCCACGGGAGAGAATGGCCGATTGAAAGGATGAATGTAGTTCCAGCCTCCGCCTACGGCTGCAATGCCACTGTTAAGAGTCAGTTGACGTCAATTCGCGTGCAACATGACGCGCAACCGTCAATCATAACACAACTCACATTATTATTATCCAGTCAAATATGTACGATAAAATGAGCCGTTTCGATGGCATGTGTAATGATTTTAGATTCATGATGGATTATGAGTGCCTGCGACGAGTCGAGGCAAGTAAGAACGGGAGGTGATTAAGGGCAGCGAACGTATTGCCGCCGGAGGATGCGCAGTCGGTGTTTGAGACGCCCAGAACTCTTGGTAATGTAGTATGCGCCGGTCGCAAAGCCCGCCCTAGTAGATGGTGCGCGATGTCATGGGGAAGGAGGAGGGCGCCGTTGGATTTGTCAAAGACCGGTTGCCATTCTCATACCAAAGAGGCAAGAAGTCAGGAAAACGAACAGAGACGCGCGGGCACCGTGGACAGCGAAGAGGAAGGCCAGCTAAGGAGAGGGACTAATTAGGATATAGGCACGCGACACCAGGCCAAGAAGCTCTGACGTTCAGATGGAGGCTGAGCTAGTGGATCGCTGCTTGGCCGAGATCCTGTTGCGAATCACGTCTGCTTGCGCCGCCCAGTGACGCCTGCAAGCGGAGAGCCTCCTGCTGCACTCGGCAATGACTATTTGCATACTCGCCGAAGCTGCACGCGGCAATGCACTGATTCGCGCGTATTCAACGGTGATGCGCGTGCAGGGATGCAGGATCCGATCGAACGAAGAGCGGCGGAGGCGGAGGCGGAGACGCACTACCGCGGGCGGGCTGACGTAGCCAACACCAAAAATTGAACTTTTGTTGTTTGCCCGTGAATACGCTGCATACGCTCGCCATCAGCACCCAAGCCGCCACCAGACGCGTGTACAGTTAACAAACGAATACTTGTTGTCAGTCATGGCCTCGCCACAGCAGCCGCTCCCCGCGCCTACCATCGACCTGCTTCTGAATCTGATCGATACGCGGCCAAACTCCATCCTTGCCTCGCTCGCGCAGCACCCGCAGCTCGCCTCAGCCTCGGATGCGCACGGCTACTCGCTCGTCCACGCCGCGGCTTCCTACAACCAGCTCGACGTTCTGCGCGAGTTGATACAAAAGTACAATGTCGATGTCAACAAGCTCGACGAGGATGGCGAGTCACCGCTCTTTGCGGCCGAGCAAGGCGAGGTTGCGCGCTTTCTCGTAGAAGAGCTGGGTGCTGACTGGGGCATCCGCAACGTTGAGGGCAAGACGGCCGAGGAAAAGATCGCAGAAGAGGAGGGCGAGGCGCATGAGGTGTATCAGTACTTGCGAAGTGTGCGCAGCGGCGGACAAGTCCAGCCTGTGAGTGCCGGGATAGTAGAGACTGAGGGCGTGCATCCGCCGCCGCCGTTACCCAATGGCGTGCAGATCAACCTTGGCACCATGGCCGAAGATGCAGCGGGTGAGGCGCCAGACCCTGAGATTCGGAGGCGCATAGAGGAACTTGCATCGCGAGACGATTTTCAGACCGACGAGGTCCAGCGGCAGCTGCGCGAGTTGGTTTCGGAGGTGGTGACTGGTATTGGTAACGAGCAATCAGGCCGCGGTGTAAGGAGGAGGGTCGAGTGAGATTGAGCATCTTGGCATGCTGAACAGACGCGTAACCGCTTCCAAGGTTGAGGCTGTTGTTATATGACCTCTTGTATGGACAGATACGCTACGGCTGATAAGGGTGATGTCCCACACGCCGTAGGCTTGGACAACCGTATCCGCAATGTCAGGACACCGCCGTTACTTCCTTAAGCTATATCAGGAAAGTCGATCAAGGCTCCATGGTCTGCTCAGGGTCCGTACGGTCACTGCAACCTCGCTTCCTCCTATAACGGCGGGAGTGTGGTATGAAGCTGGGTTGACTTTCAGTTAGTCAAGCGAACCTCCACCATAAGTCGGAGCTTAGATAGTAGATAATACGATCTATGAAGCATTTCCGACATATGGTGCACTTAAGTGAGGGTAATACACGAGTTGAAGAGCAAGAACGGACGAGCGGGACCGTTTGAATGTGGACAAGTCAGGGCCACATTGGCCGATATTCAATGCTATTCATAAACGCAATATCCCAAGAACATGATGGTATCTACAGCTTCTCCAGCAATATCCTCGCCCCTGCGTTGCCCCTGCTCTGCTGTGCAGCTCCCTTCTTACCCTTCTGCGTCTTCACATCCGCCTTGGCAGGACCTGCAGCCTCCTGCAATTGCTTACGACCCTTCTTCAACGCCTGCAAGACTTCGTCCTTGTGGCTAAAATTTTCAGACTCAACCAAGCCAACGATGACGAAAGAACCCTCGCCAGTTGCCCATGTGATCAAGTCCTTCTTGATGTGGCTCCAGAACAGATCCGCGAAGCCCAATGGCGGATCTACAGGAACGACCTTCTTCGTCTTGGGATCGAATTTGCCGCCCTGGACGAGGGTTTTGAGCATGTTCTTACCGTGACTGGTGATGAAACCACCACCATCGATGATTTGCTGTGACAAATCGGCCACCTTCTGCAAAGCCTCTTGCCGCAGTTTGGGTTCCACTTCGGGTGCCCCGACTAATACCTCGCCGATAAGTTGCAGACCTTGGTAGGATTGCGCGAAGTGCTCGGCATGCTGACTGACAGCTGTCAGCAGCTGAGGCTCGATGTTTTTCGCGAGTTCCTGGTTTCGTATATTTGCATCCTTCTTTGAGGTGATCTCGCGGACCTTGTACACTTCTGCGAGCCGTCCGCGGGTTTCTTCATCTAGAAGCCACTTCGCGTCTGCTGCAAAGGGATAAAGGAGGACACATCGCGCGCGGGCATCGTTGGAAAGGTTTTGGATCTTCTCCGAGAGCTCATCGCTTCCGACTGCGGGCAGCAGCTCGCCGAAGATTGACTTTGAGGTAAGCTTCGTGTCATCTGTGACTGCCAATGCCGCTAGCAGGACATTGTGAGCATTTGCATCATAAGCCATGGTCTCGATAGTATCCTTATATGGTCGCAGCAAAATCTTACGGTCTTTCGCTGCTCCGTAGGCGAATGCTAGTGACACAAGGCGCGAACCGGGCTTTGTAAAGGCAAGATTCTTGAGCAAGTCGATGTTGTCTGCCTCTTCTCCTTCCTTCAGAGTGGGGTCTGGCTTCAAGTGGTCCAAGAAGTCGCTGGCTTCAGTTGTGTTCGGCTTGCAAGTCAGGAAGTACTGTAGCATCGCATCGTGGAGCATGGTAAAGCCGGTTTGCTTTTTCTGAATGAGCTGGTTGATCTGTTGTTCCAGGTAGTCCATGATCGGCTTGCGCTTCTCTGGCGACTTTTCCAAAATCGCAGTCAGATCACTGCTGTCGAGGTTTTTGTCGTCCCCGAGGCCTTTGATCGAGAACTCAGGTCCGTACCACTCCCGCAGCAGCCGGGCCTTTTGCGCTGGCGTAGCTACTTGCCGGTATGTGTCATCGAGTATCCAAGCAGCCTCTGGGTGGTTGATCAAACGGCGAACGTTCCCGTAAAACTCTTGGATAATAATTCCCCGGATCTCAGCGTCGCTGTGTGGGCGTTAGTAAAAGAAACTCAAACGGAGGATCAGTAAACATACCCCTTCTCCAATAGCTTTGCAATCAAGAATTTGGCGTACTTTCCTTCTGCCAGGCCTTTAAATTCGCCCTTGAGCTCTGTAGCGATGATTCGCCTCTGCTCCATAGAATGTGTGTATTTGAGCGCAGACTGGATGACACGAACAGTGTCGTGTTTGAACACAAACTCCTTGATTCGACCAGTTACAAGCTCAAAGGTCCTGTCAATGAGATCTTTTCTTTCTTCAGCTGAGACATTGGTCTTGAGTCTCAACTTCTCCCACAGCTCCTTCAGTTGTTCCATGATCTCGGCATTAGGTCTTGCAGCTTTACGTTCTTTTGCTACCGCCTTCTGCTTGGCGTGAGCCTCACGAGACGATGTAGCTGGGTATTCGGTCAGCGCGGAGAAGGCATTTCGGTGCACGGCATCGCTTACCGTTCAGGCCTGCCAGCGCCGAAGACTTGTCTTCCACAGTCTCGCTATCATTGGAAGCCTTCTTTTCCTTCTTGGGCTGGCTTTTGCCATCCTTGTCCTTCTTTTCTTTCTTCTTCTTGTCAATTGTGGTGTCCTTCTCTAGGGCAGCTTCAAGCGCATCGCCGACGAAACCGTCCTCCTCTTCGTCATCCATGGACACATCTTCGTCTGCGCTTTTGCTTGCAGAGAATCCATAGAAACCATTCTCGGCCTCGCTGGTATCTGACTCCACAAGATCTTCTGAATCGACCTCGCGCTTCGTCTTCTTGGAGCTCTTCGAGAGTTTAACCGCGTCTTTGTCGCTCGATCGTTTCGCAGGCTTGTCGACCTTGACTTTCTTGCTTTTGCTCTTGACTTCGGGCTGCGCCGCAGCTGCAGACTTTCGCTTGATACCTGCCATTGGCTGAATTATTCGTCGATTCTGGCGGAGGTCAACCTTGGAGGATGTTGAATTCTGATCTCGAACTTTTTGCGCGGCCCGTTTATCGCCGCGCAAGCCGATACTACATCCGGACTAGACTCTCCACAGGCGGGGCAAGCTACGACCCACTGCCTTTTTCCTCTCCAAGACTACGGGCATATCAGGAGTATCCCAATCCTACATTTGCAGCGAGCTCGACTTTGTGCGTCAATCTCTACAATCGATCCCATGGATGACCGTGATTGCTTGGGTGCTGTTACAACCGCGTCATCACGCCATTCTGCTTGAAACGAATCGGTGCTATTCCGGATAGCAAACATATTGATCTTACAGTGCACGCAAATTGTTTTCCAAGACGAAGCACTAATTCCCTTGCCGCCCTCCACGAGAACGTACGCTTCCTCTAGAATGCAGCGATCAGTCTTCTCGAGCGTACCTTCATTCATTCAGATTCATTAACAACACGTGCCGGGCAGCGCGATGGCTTTTCGTGCTGTGATACTAGAATGCGCGTTCCACGGATAAAGCATGATCTGAACGCTTGAGCGCCTTGTGATCAACCGTCCATCTTAGAGTAATCTAAGGACGCATTCACGGCGAAGGCTTCGCGTTTTCATTCGGTATCCTCGTAGCGAATCTTCTAGCACTTCTGTTCCGTTCAGCGAGCATCAGACAGCCTGGGCGATTCTTAATCGGCTCCATTACAGGTCAACATATTTAGTATCTCACGAGGTCCCTTGGATCACGGCCTATCAAAGTGTCATTCGCTGAATACGGGTTCACCGTGCCTCAATATCGGGAACATCTCCTGCAGGTACCCCAGCATCCCCAGACACAATTCCTGCCCCCACCGGGGTTATATTACCGAAATAACCGTGAATTCGTCGTCATTGGTTTCCTAGGCAATCGGCTAATAGCTTGAGTAGATGCTTGACTTTATTTGCGCACTTGTCCTGCTTGGCATCATCTTCACGCTCATCACAGTACTTTCCGGGTTTCCGTTGTGGAACGTTGAGTATGCCCGAGCTACCCAACGGTATGCCGCCGTACCGTCGTCAGTTCAGCAATACCTAGGTATCATTGGCCTACGGACCTTCGTGATTCCACGATACTTTCACGCCACACGCATCTAACCCGATGATAAAGTGCCTATTCTACCCCAACCCCACATGCGTCGTCACCCTGACAGAAGAGCGCCCTGCACTGTGCATGCCTAACAGCCTGGTCTGGATGCCAGCTTTCCAGGTTTCTTTTTGGACTGTGCAACACCCACAATGCAGTGCAACTAGGTCTCCCGAATACCCAATTCGTGGACACCCAGGAAACAGCCGAATACCATGGACCGCTTCGATCTTTGTGGATCCATTCAGAGTTACTATGAAGCATACCTTTTGCCTCTTTTCTCTCGACGAGGACACCGCGGTAGCGGCATCGTTTCTCCGGGAGATCTGCTTTCGAGATGGTCTACTACCCGTTGTTCCTGGTGCGGACATCATGGCAGATGTAATTTAGAGCGTAGACGTCGGAGGATCTTTCCCAATTTCGTTGGACCTTTCGTGCCGGTGGATGCTACTACCTGCAAGCACTGGGCCGCTCGTACCAATTTTCATATCTCGAGATTGTCGTCGACTGCGCTAACTTCAGAGAATCGTCAGCTCGCCTCCGATGACAGTCTTTTCTTAGCCCTTGACCCTGGTCTCACGCTTGCTGTTGCCTCCTCCTGCGGCAACGAACAATGCTCGGGTGGGCGGTCGAACGAGCCGTGTTTAATACGTTCTCTTGGCCGCAATGTATTGATATCTTGACTTTGGACGTGTTGAAAAGGCATATAAGGATGAGTTCGTGGTTTGAGTGACACCAGGAAATACACACGATATAGTTGTCCCTAGGATAAGCAACATGAAGCTCTCTACTGCTCTCTATCTTTTGGGGATCACCAGGTGAGCCAACACGATTGACTCTTTCCATACGTACAGCAAACACTGATTCAACTCACAGCATTGCCGCTGGTAACCCTCTACCCCAAGATGAGGAGGACCCGGAGCCTTCGTTCTCTTTCACGCGAGGACCACGCCCTACCGCGAGCATGTCGCGTCCCATGCCAACCGCCAGCTTCTCTCGCCCACCCATGCCGACCATCTCGAAGCCTTCGCTTCCTCCTGTTCCGACCGTGAGCTTCTCGCGCCCACCCGTTCCATCCATGTCCAAGCCTTCTCTTCCTCCGTTCCCAACCGTCTCGCACCCGGCGCCGCCCAGCTCGAAGCCTGCTGGTCCCACAGCACCGAGCTCCAGGCCCCCCAAGCCTAGCCACAGCACTCTCTCTCGTTCAGTGAAGTACGTTGACCATACTGTAATCCCCCCACAACGACAAAATTGACGAATGATAGACCTACCTTCTCCATGCCCACTGGCGTTCCTACCGTCAAGCCAACCAAGACCGCCAAGCCTACTCGTACCTGGAGCATGCCCCCGAAACCCACTCAGACCGATGATGATGGTGACGATGACGGTGACGACGATGGTGATGACGACTTGGCCTCCTAAGCGTGCCAGTTCAAGCTGCCTTGGCCATAGACAGGCACGTAAAACCGGCATCTCCGCGTACAAGCTCCTTTCTTGCAATGGTTCTTTCAATTCTGACATATATGACGGACTGTTTGAAAAGGAGTCTGAACTGAGCAGGTGGATGTTAGTGATAGGGCGCTTTCTTCGTTCATGACGATGTCTCTCTGCTGGCTTGGTGTAACTAGTATTGCTATCAAATTATCTGTCGCTACCGAACTCGTGATCGCCGCCTTGCGTATACGTGAATGTCGGCCGTGTAGTATCACCAGTAAGATAGATGTGGTACGCGGTAGCTTCACGAGTCAGTAACGTTGACAGGTCCAGTAACCATAGCGACCTTTTTTATGTTCTCATTGTCATGCAGTGTTTATATTGGGGCTACGGTAATCAATGCATCAAACACCTGATACCCAGCTCATGCTGTGCCTCCCAGTCGAGTGTCCCGATCTTCTTTTCCTTTTTAGCTCGTTAAACTTAATTCAACTTCAACAGCCCTTGCTTCTCAAGGTAGTCCGTGATCTGCCTCACTGCATCCTCTACACTCGTCTTGTCGCTCTGGATCTTGATCTCCGGGTTCTCGGGTGCTTCATACGGTGCACTGATGCCGGTGAACTCGGGGATCTTGCCCTCCCTCGCCTTCTTGTACAGACCCTTGGGGTCGCGCGCCTCAGCTACCTCAAGCGGGAGGTCGACGAAAACTTCGATGAAAGCAAGCGGCTCATCGTCGGACTGCTGTTTGGCGTGCAGCTCGCGGGCTTGCTGGCGGTCCGCCTTGTAGGGCGAGATGAAGGACGTGATGGCGATGGTGGAGCTGTCAGCGAACAGCTTGGCGACCTATACCCACGCATTAGCTCATTACTCACGTTGCTTCTTTTCCCAGGGCTCTGGGCGCATTGCGCGCTTGCAACTTGTGGTGCGCAATGCGCCAACGGCATGGCATCCTACGCACCTCAGCTATCCGCCTGATGTTCTCGTTCCGGCTCTTCTCGTCGAAGCCCAGGTCCTTGTTGAGTCCGAAGCGCACATTGTCGCCATCGAGACGGTATGCGGCATGACCGAGGTGCAGCAGGTGCTGCTCGAGCGCGGTTGCAATGGTCGACTTGCCGGACGCAGAGAGACCGGTGAACCAAATGGTGAATCCGCGCTGCTTGCGGAGTGTATTGCGCTCACTGCGCGAGAGCGACGGGTGCCAGGTGATGTTGCTGTTGTCTGTAAGTTTGCGTCTCAGAGAAGCATGGAGGGGTATGGTGGGGCTCACGTCGACATTGTGCTTGTTGAATTGGTTGTCTGTAGAAGGAATTGAGAGATGGAATTGGTAGTACGGAAAGAATTAATTGGGGGGATTAAAAAGAATACTTCAAGTATCGTTTAATACAAGGCTGTCATTAGTACTGCGCCATGTGGTTCTTGTCCCTTGTTGAAGGGAAATTTCTTAGCGCGAATGACGTGCTGACCGGTTACAGGGCTGCGTTGGGAAGCGTCGATCACCCGAGATTTATCTGCTATTTACCAGCATGCTATCTAAGGTAGCTCCATGGTCTTAACTTGATACGCCAATGTCACCACCCGGTTGACGTCCACGTTCGGGTCGAGTTGTAAGCAATGGGCGAACATGGATGTGACTATGAAAAGCATACGCGTATCTTAAGTAAATTATCCTACAACTGCCAATACAGCACCCTGGGGTAACACCGGGTGCCAAAGGTTCTGAAGAAAATAACAAAGTCAAGGCAAAGTCAAGGAAATGGCAAGGCCCCATACGTTCTTCCTCTAGTACCAACGAACATCGACTGGTACGATTACCCACATGCCGCAATACTTCGCAAGACTCCTTCCTTGGACTCGCCAGGGTAGACCCTGACACGCCATTGCTTAGATGGCCGCTTTCCACCCTTCCCACACCTCGTACGCTTCGTCAGCCACCTATGCTCCTTTTCCAGGAACATTTCTTCCATGACATCAAAATCGTCTTGGGACTCCTTTACCTCCCTTTCCCTAGCACGATCCTCCTCTTCAAGCGCTTTCACTATCGCTCGTCTCCCCTCTTCCTTGAGCCTTTCCTCGAACTCCTCCGTTTCCACTCTAATCAGCCTTTTATATTCGTCCCATTCAACGGCCAATCGCTCCTCAGCCTGGAGATCCCTTCGCACCCACATTCCCTCTGCGTCCTTCTCGAAAAGTCCAGAGGCCCAGAGTCTGGCCTCGCACTCTGCCTCATTGGCTTGTTCTATCCCCAGCCTTCCTACTTCATCCCACATTCTCATCGCTTTCAAAGCTATTTCGTCTTCCTTGGCCCAATGCTCTAGCACCTGAGCAGGCGTAATGGGCACATTTTTCCTCTTCAATGGTCGAACCTGAAACCTATCATGGTCGATTTCCTCAACAACCGGAAATGGCCCCCTCCAAATCGAAATCGGACGAGAAGTTCTTTCGCCTTCCTCAATGCGCTGTGCATGCAGAGCCTCCCATCCCTTTCCACCAGTGCCAGCCCGGTAATAGTGCGTGACATTGTCTTTGTGGTGGTGAACACGAGCCGGGGCGGGGACCCAATCACGAGGGAGAAGAAACTCATCATCCAAGGGGACATCGACCTCGGGAGGGGAATGGCGGGAGGTTGGGATGGGGATAGGGGCACTCGTGGCATGGCTGCCTGCCCTTTCGGGACGCTCGTAGGTATCCTCCTGTGTGGAGGCCGGCTCAGCAAAATGTACTTGAGAATGGCAAGGCTTCGTTTGGTCTGCAAGGGTGATCGACATGCCTGAGGCGCGGGCATACTGGATAGCTCGGGTGAGGAGCGAGATAGGCATCTTGATGTTTGTCGAAGGGTGCAGCGCAATGTGTGTTGATATCGGATACGAGTAGTGTCACCTGAAACTTGGTGCTCTGCAAACAGCAGAGGAGGCTTCAAGCTGGCTAAGTGTTGTCGGTGTGAAGTACTACTGTGTCTGGTGTACTGTATGAGAGGCCAGTTCGAATGTTGATACTGGTCCTGATTGTTGTACTCTGAAGCTGTCTCGTGTTGTGATGATCGAACGAGCAGTATCTCTGAAGAGTGAGCCCATTTTATGCATGGGCATGAAAAAAGGTATTCCGAAAGCGTAGAAAAGGCAATTTGGTACCATACCCCAGCACTGGGCACTCTTTGAGCGTCAGATCAAAGTGCATGCATTACTCAAGGATCGATCTGGTCATGATAATTGTTGGGTGCCCAACAATGCTTTTCGATCTTTTCCTCTTGGCCGTTACCGTTGCTTGGAGCCAACGGCTATCGTGATGAGGGCCATGGTGTGGACATTGTTGTGCCGTATCGGCGTCAGACATTAGCTTGATCGCCACGATTTAATCCGGGTCAGAGGGGAAAGAGTAGTCTATATGAATCGCACGTCATAAATTTATATGTCTTGAGCATGATGACGACGAACATGTAGGGCTGCAGCGTACGGCGACTAGCATACGAAGAACAACGTTGGGACCATAACGCCGGATCTCGAAGCGGGACGAACCGTGGAAACTCACACGCATGAACCACACATGCGAAAAACGGTTCCGAAACATGCACTGACATGCCAAGAATGTATGCTATGAACACAATACTGCGTTTCGCTTTATTATCGCCATATAGGCATCACATCCATGACTACATCATGTCATCAACTATTTACACGAACACCTCGCATTGACTTCGTCCTGATCCTCACGCCCTCTTCTCGTCCGTAATCTCGACCCTCTCGACCTCGGCGTGGTGCGGGTCTTTCGCACCGACAAGCTCTCCTCCGGCTTCGACGTGGTTGGTTCCGCCGAAGAGGGTATCAATCTCCTCGAGACTGACCTTCTTCGTCTCAGGGATGAAGAAGACAACGAACAGCGCGAGCATCACGTTGATACCGGCGAAAAAGTAGAAGACGTACCAGCTGCAGTTCTTCAAGAAGATAGGGAAGAACTGCTGCACGATCGAGTTGACAACGTTCTGGGTCTGGGAGCACATGCCGACGGCCTGAGCACGCACGTTCATGGAGAAAATCTCGCCCGTGTAAATCCAGACAGTGGCACCCCAAGAAGGCTTGTCTATGGCGTTGTTAGATATAGGACCACACATGTGGGTGTAGTAGTAGAATAGGACTTACAGAAGAGCGCGAAGAGGAACATGAGGAAGACGATTGCGATACCAACGGGCTGCGTCTTAGAGTCACCGGGCGAGGGCGTCTCAGAGCCAACAGCGGCGACAGTGATCATGCAGCAAGCCATACCAATACCACCAACGATGAACAGGAACTTTCGACCGAAACGGTCCACCGTCCAGGTAGCGTTAAGCGTGAATAGGATACCAAAAGTGGCGTTCAGAGCGTTGATGAGAGCAATCTTCGCCGGGTCTTTGAAGACCTTCTTGTAGATGATGGTTGAGTACGAGTTGAGAGTACCCTGACCGGTGATCTGCTGTCCACCGTTGAGGATCATGCACAGCAAGAGACGCTTCCTGATAGATCGATCCTTCCACAGAGCAGAGTAGTTGCTGGAGATAGCCTCGGCTTCGAATTCAATAGCTTCGCGGATGGCGAGGAGCTCATCCTCGACTTCTTGCTCGGTGTCGCGGACCTTGTGGAGCGCGGCACGGGCTTCCTCTAGGCGGTTGCCGTGCTGGATATACCAACGTGGCGTCTCGGGGATGAAAAACACTTGCGCGAGGATGAGGATGGGCATGAGTATCTGGAAGATAACGACCATCTTCCAATCCCAATCGCCGAGTTTGCCAGGATGCTTTGCAGTGGCGTAGCCGACCCAGTAACTGCCATGGTTAGACGAAGAATCAGATCGTGGGAACAAGACGTACGCAATGAATGATCCGACGGAATAGAACATCTGCCAGAAGGACATGATGGTGCCTCGTACTTCAGGTCTTGACAGTTCTCCGATGTAGATAGGGCCGGCAGCTAGACAAGGTAAGTCAAAGCGGTCTTGTTCGGGAAATAGGCTGGCCTACTCAGAGCAAGACCCTGCCCCAAACCGATAACCACGCGACCTGCAATGAAGACCCCTACGTTTCCTCGCGGCGCGAAGCATTGCATGAAAGTTGCGATTATGACAAGGATGGCTCCGGCTGCCATTCCTACTCTTCGGCCAGCCCAATCAGCGAGGGGTCCACCGAAGAAGAAGCCTGCGACGACAGCTCCGACCGTGTAAGAAGTGTTGATAGCGCCGATGATGTTCTCAGTCTGTGATAGGTTAGGAAAATGTGCAGGTAGCGCAGTGAGTGAACGTACGGGGTGGTTGAAGTAGTTCTTCCAGTTGGTAGAGTTCTGCAGAGCATTGAAAGTGGATGCATCGTAGCCGTAGAGCACCATACATGATGCTGCTACAAGCGAGATGTACCAATTGTACACCGTCTTTCCGGTAGGTGCCATTGTGGGCAGGTCAGGCTTGAGATAAGTCTTGACAGACAACGACCTTTCGCAACGGGACAAGGAGGACGCAATGCAGCGCTGTCAGAAGAGAGTCGGAGCATGCAGACCGCCCTCCCATACTTATAAAGGTACCCACACTAAAAGCCCATGCTCAATCCCAAGACGAGGGTACGCAGACCTAACCAGGCTTTGGGATTCTGTTCCCGTGGCGTTTCAATTTTACACGAATCAGCGCATTTGTCGACCTCGAACCGCGAATGCGCCGCCTATACACATGCCTCTAGTGCGATACAGCTGGATCTGGGGCCCCAGAGGACCCCAAAGAGCCCTCCGGGCCTCCACAAGTTGAGTTCGAGGGGCGTTGAGCGAAGGCATCGCACCTGGGGAACGCACGGGATTTGTTTTCCCACGAATGAAACGAGGAACGAGACAATGGAGGAGGATGTTATTTGCGGTTAGTTCCGTCGAGGCGAGCGATAAGTGGTTGGCGTAGCGGCTTGGCGTTCCGGGGTCGTGGAGAAATGCCCCGATGCGGTTAGGACTGAGTCGCCGCGGCAAGATCACCAACATGTGGCAGAGGTCACAAGCTTTGTGATGGAGGCGAGGCGGCACGCCAAAGCTTTTTTGCTCTTCTCCAGCAGCGTTGTGTCCAATGGGTCGCTCGTGTATTCGGATATCACTGCCGTGATCCTCGCCGCATATGTTGTCGTTCAGGTTGATAGCAGAGGTGGAAGGGCTCAAACGAATCTAGATGCTGCAATTTCGCTCTTGGAAACGACCATCCAAGTTCCGTCACGCGAGCGTTTGACAAGTCGCAATAATTCGACGCGACAGCTATCACCCTGGGTGCTCTGTTATGATCTACCTGGCATACGGCATGAAATTTTCCAGAAGATTTCCACGTTCACCCAGTTAAATGTTGGCCAGTGTACGCTGCTGCCGGCTGCAAATAATGATTCAGGGGAAGGGAAATGAGCTCGCCTGGCAGCAAAGGAGATGGAAGACCTTGAAAGAATGCCGAATTGTACGACAGGCGATCGCGACAGACGCGGGACTCTAGAAGCGACAGTTTGAAAGGTTGACGGCATACTGACGCGCTACATGCTGTAGAGCTCTCGGCAGAAAGTTGCATCAGCTCATTGCAGAGAGCAAAACAGCTTCTTCAGGCGGTTCGTGAAAGTGTTCTGCACAAGTACCGGAGCACAAGCAGTGCAGCTACGGGATGCGTTTCGTGTAGCATGGAATACTCAAGGCTGGCATGATAGTAACCCTTGGTACTGGTCGATGTACGGTGGTCGAGAGCAGTCGAGATGCACTCTGCCAATGTCTTGTCGTTGAATGATCACGCTAGGACACACTTGTTATTACTACATAGTATGTACTGCAAGGTGGGTCTCTACGATCAAAATGTGGAGGTGAATGCCCACTCAATCTCTCCATGCCCACGGGCAGTCACCGAGTCATGCGAGACCCTTTTTGCTGTGCGCCACTTTTACCCGCGCCACAGACACCCCACTTGCTCGTTCGAGGCTCTCAAGCGCTTAGCCCTCAGCGTCGCCCAAGCAAAACTCCGTTGGACTTTTCGCCCTCACGACCACCACCCGCCACTTGAACAACCGCCAACATGCCTTCAGGACAAGGAGGTACGCTCGCCCATAGTTTGCGCGTGCACTTTTGCATACCAGTCCTTCGGAAACCACAGTAACTGACACGAGCAACAGCCGGCACGAACCCAATCCACAACAAGAAGCCCAAGGCTGCGAAGAAGGAGCTCGATGACGATGACAAGGCCTTCCAGGCGAAGCAGCAGGCTGGTGCGTAGCAATACCCTTCTCAGACGCTCGCTCGGCGAACGGCAGAGACGCAACCCACTGTACAGCGTAAAGACAGCGGGGCTTACGATCCCACAGACAAGAAGGCACGCGAAGAGTTGGCCAAGAAGGCCGGTGGAAAGGGTCCTCTGAACACGGGCGGCCAGGGTATCAAGAAGTCTGGCAAGAAGAAGTGAGCGCGTCACAGTACAGCCTGTTCACGGACGTATGGACGATTGAACGAACGATTATACGGATACCACGGTGTTTATCATAGCGCAGGCTCATGTCTCCTGCATGGACTCAACGAGATGCTTTGTTCATATGTCTGACTCTACCTTTGTCGCTTTCGCGTGTGTTGATCAGAACCGCTCTATGCCTTTGCGACCAGCTGAATCGCCACCCTGAATACGTTCCGCAGCTTCATGGGAAGAAACTCCCACTTTCAATGCCACAATTTGCTATTCAAGAATGAAGCATGACGATCAATATTCTTTGGGCGAATCTTGACGAACGTTGAAAGTCGCGACAAGCGATGTGTAGATATACGAGTAGTACGTGCAGGGCAGAAGTTTCGTAGAGCTAGGCGCGAGACATACTTGACTCATATTATGGTCCGTCGCCCTTCCAGACCACTAGCTCATGCAAGACCTTATGCAGCGCGGCATATGTTGGCTCAATATCGGTGTTAACAGGACAAAATAGTGTTTCCACATTTCGCATGTAAAGGCACACATTTGCTGACGGTTACCTTACCTGGGAGCGAAGTCGAGCACAAATGAGTTGGTAATATGGCTTGAAAGTCTTTCCAAAGACATGTTGGACACGTTCTGTACTACCAGAGCAAATTTTTGTAAGAGCTCGAAACCCAATCTTCGATCACACATTCCGGGTTGCACCTCATCATGCACTGTGGATAGCTGCTGGCCTATCAAGGTGTTTGCCACATGGCAGCATCAAACAGGCTACCAAGACAACGACAGTCGCAGGTTGTTTTGCAAGTTGTTTCACGAAACATCACTAGGTGACTTCACGCAGTCAGTCAAACAAAGAAGCAGACAGTTTAGACAATTAATGTATTATTGTTTGACACGTAGTGATTGTGTACGGGTCGAATATCCTTCGTATTAATGCATCGATCCGTCGATCCATCGATCGATCGCTGATCACCATCGCTTCAACGCTCTGAACGCTGACGACTCAGCGGTCTCAAGTTCCTTCATGCTTTTCGTTCAGAAATATTGTCGAATAGGGTTAGAGTTGAGCTCGTATTCGAAGTCAAAGGGTCACACGGCACCACCACGCGACTGCCCCATGTTGGTGGCGCGGGAGTGGCCCGGTTAAATGGTAATGATGTTTTTGAATGGCGCATCGCGCCCAACTGCCGTCGACTGAACTGTCGGGTGGCGGACTGCTCGTAAAGTGAAGGTCCTTTTGGATCTCTTCCAACGCTTGGTCGTGATCGTGTGGGTGGGTGTGAAAATGTTCTGGTAGCGTGATGGCCATAGAAGTTGGCCGATCGGACGATTGGATCTCAAGACGCGGACGTTCGACGGCCTTTCTTGCTTCCGAGGGTGAAAGCCCGGTGCCGGAAGCTGCTGCTCTTGCTCTCATCTGTAGGAGACTTCGGGCTGGTGCTGCCTGACGACTGGTGGCTTTGACTTTGCGATGATTCTGATGATTGGGAAGCAGATCGCTCGCGCCCTTCCTTAAGGATGTCGTCCAGAGAGACGTTCAGGTGTGGATGAGTGTAGGTTGGTGCCTGGGTAGGCTCAAGGATCTCAATGAACTTGGTAGAGGTCATGTTGTCTGTCGATCCGTAGATGCAAGATGTTGGTGTTGAGTATCGTAGGTGTGGAGTGTGGCTCAGGAAGTGGGCCAAATAAGTATACAAACTCTGGAGGTTAAGGCCAGGTTTATAATATTGCGTATCCGAAAAGATCGAGCCAGTGGCTGTTGTGAGACTGATCAACCACGCGACCACGGTCCAGACTCGGGCGACGATATATGTTGGAACCTAAATAGTGCGACACGGCAGGGTACAAATAGTATGACTAGCCAATGCTGAGAAGGCCCAGGCGAATGTAAGGCTTTAAGGCTTGCTTTAAGTAAGGGAGCAACGTTACGAGTCCGGGAACTGCAGGGGCAAGAGACAGACTTTTAAGGTGGCATGGAGGAGCACGCGGACACGACCATTCACAAGCGGGCCGCAGGGCAAGGATGCCATATCAGGGTCTCTTTACGCCGATCGCGACCAGTCTCGAATCCCTGAAAGCCCAGGATGACGACGGAGATGCATCTAGGCGGCCGCACAAGCCCGCAACCGAGAGCACGCGGCGTGCAGAACCGGTGGAAACAACGTGCTGTCCCGCCCCGCCGAAAATAGAACCCACTGCGCGGACAACATGACGAAGGCTTTCCATCTGATTATGACCTCGGACGCAAAGAAAGGACGAGCAACGGAGTTGGATACGATGCGCTGTCACCGCTGCCCACCCACGGCGCGCAGCGATCCGCAGCGCACGGCAGTCGTCGCAACGCTTTTTGCCACAATGGCAACCGGACGCGCAAATGGGTGTGTAAACCTGCCACACGATCAGCGCGATCAGCCACCGCTCCGCACCGAAATGCCGTCTATAATATCTGGGCGCTATAAGTCCGCCATCACGACACGTACCACAGTACTCTCACCACAGTTATGCCACTGTCACCTGAACAGCTCGCTGTCATTGTGTGCGTGTGCGACTGCGCCTGGCCTCGCGCGTCTCCACGGCCAATGACGTAGGCCGCTTTCACGATGCCGTTCTTGGCTTAACTTCCCAAAGCATTTCCAATACTTCACAAGTGTTCCTCCGCCCAACGAGGGTCCTCGGCAGTCTGACCAGCAGTACACAGTCCCATTTCTCTGCTCTTCGTGCTCGTCGACATCATCGTGCAGTCCGTTGTTGCCTATCTATCGTGCTACTTTCCTCAATCCCTCGATCCGAACCCTTGAGCCACTATTACCCGCATGCGTCAGGGTCCGCTTAGTACATTAAAGTTTTTTAGCAATCGTCACCGCAAGATTATACTTTTATCAATGTGCATTGAAGTTGCGGTTGCCACAGATGTAGTCAAGTTGTTCCTGGTATAATTCGACATTGTGATCGGTTATGAATTTTTGGATGTCGGACTGGACTGCTATGCCATGGCTGCGTGCCGCGTGCCTCACTGGTTACCGTCCCAGCGCATTTTCTTCGCGAAGATGCATGTCGAGTCATGAAAATATTGCACCTATCGGCACCCGGCGCCCGCTGGCTTCCTCACTACCGAGCGCGGCCGCGTCCTCGACCACGGTTGACGTTGGGACCGCCTCTTCCACGGCCCTGACCTCGTCCTCTCCCGCCTCTGTACCCACCGCGTCGGTCGGGTCGTACGGAGTCCGGCTTAGGACCCTGTTGCATCATTCGCAGTCTCTCTTCGTCCGTCGCATGGAAAGGATTTGGGATCTGAAGAAGATCACAAAACGCTTGGGTATGTGGATTTGAATACTCTTCCGGGCCTCCTGCAACACGAATTCCCGTTGCAGGCTCGTACACCGGCGCGGTCTGCGCGAAGTTCTCTGGCACGACCATCTTTCCAGGCTTGACAATGTGCTCATCCACCCATGCCATTTCCTTCTCAATCAATGGTCTGTAGTAGATGTCTCCCTTGTCCTGAGGAACACGAACGTCAGAATTGCCCAGTTGCAGCTCTGATGCGAAAACGCGTGTAATCGCAAGCCACTCTGGGTCGTATTCTAGCTTGAGAGGTCTTTCGTAGCCAGCCGGTGAGTGAGGTGCTATTTCTAGGAGCTGCAGAAATTGCCTTCCAGGTAAGCACTTATCAAGCGCCAAGAACTTTGTAGTTCTGTTCGTTATCTCCTGCGGAAACGGCAGAGTAGGAGGCGGGGCGAAGTTCGAGGAAGTCGGCGGAGGCGCGAAAGAATCTGGCAAGAGGCTCCGGATGTCGTCGAGCTTACCCTGGGCGGGAGCGTTCGCACTCTGGTCTTGCTTCGGTGCTGATGAACTCGGCTCAGCCTCCTCATCCAGATCAAGGTCAATCTCAGCATCGTTCTTGGGGGCTTCAACTACAGGTGTATCATCGATGTCCAGGTCAACTTCATCCTCATTAGAGGCGGCCGGCACATTAGTTTCCTCGTGTTGGAAGGTTGGAAGATCAGGCCCACCTGCATGCTCCCACACGGCCGTGAACTTAGCATGCATGTGAGCGCTGAACCAAAGCGGGGGGCGTAGTCGCTCGAGCACTGTTGTCGCCGCTATACTTCCAAGTTGCCCATTCTTCGCGTCTTGTTCAAAGTATGGTTTGAAACGAAAGAGTTGTCCATAGTTGCCCTTCCACTCCATACCATTCGGCCAATCGTGACTCAGCCCAACATCTACCTGGCTGCGAAGTTGGAGGAGCTTGCGGACATCCAGTTCTCTGACGTGGTAAATGCTCTTTACATCGTCATTGTTGTACGGCAGGCGTTCGTGATGCGGTTTCCGGTAGTTGTACCCTTTCCAGATCCCTGAAAGTCCGGCGATTCGAAGAGACCCTAGTCGAATGACATTGGCCGCACCCATGTAGTAGATGTTAGGCGCAGCCCATCCACCATAGTACAGCTCCCACATGTAATTGCTGGCTTCATGGTTGCCGCCAATGAAAATAGTGAGATAAGGAGCGCTTCGTGCCCCCGAATAGTACTCATGGAAGTCATGCATAGCATAATATTTCTCCGGCATAGAAACAGCCTTCAAGTCGTGTGCATTTCGGACGGCCTGTATACTTAGTCAAAGTTGACAAGGCAAAGTAGTGTGCCCCTTACCTGAAAATCGCCCCCGATGATTAGCAAGTCGACACCAGGCCATCCCTTCAGCTCGCACGATTTTTTGACGGACGCGTAGATCTCATGCAACGTCCCGTGACCACAGCCTTCGACAGCTACGCGCAAGCCTGCAGTCTGAGTCAGTGATGCCATGCTCTCGGTTGATCGAGGTGATCTAGATGAAGAACATGAGTAGCGGGCGAGGGTAGATGGACAACGAAGCAGGATGCTTTGAAACAACGTGTGCCAAAGCAATCGCGACTCACCTCGCTGCAATGGAAAGTGAAAGTGACAAGGGTCTGCCTGCGCTTTTCGAGAACGCTAGCCGATCATGTGATCTGGTTATCGATAACTAACATTTGAAGGGTCCATCTCGGTTTTCGAACAAGCTCTACTCCAAACGAAACAATGGCCGTCGATACGTCCGAAGCTCGACTCAAGTTCTTGAGACAGGCTGCATATCAGCTTACTATCACTGCACCAAATGTAGCCGCTACTCTTTCGTCAAACTACAACAAGTCTGTCATTGGCGCCGAGGACGACCTACAACACGCGAAGAAAGAATGGGACACACTGCGGCGCGAAGCATGCGGTGCTTGCGGCAATATTTTACTTCCAGGATGGTCAGGCTCCGTATCTATTCCATCTCGTCGGTTGTCGGCGAAGAAACGTCGGTCACAGCCACCCACGCCCTTGGAGAAGAAAATCGTGTCCACATGCTTGAGATGTGACCGGAAGTCAGTGCAGGCTATGCGGTCCAAACCGTCGAAACATATCTCTTCGAAATCAATGCGCAAGACTGTCGAAGCTGTGAAGCCCTTCGACTCAAGCAAGCCGATCGGAGAAGATCAAGACAAGGTTACCAAGTCCGCCAACGCAACAAGCAAGCAACGGAAGAAGTCTCGCCAACGCGGTCTACAGGCCATGCTCGAGAAAAACAAAAGTCAAAGTTCTGGCGGTGGCCTTGGACTTGATCTGATGCAGTTCATGCAATAAGATTTGTGCATACAACAGCTGCATCCACTCGAACACCACGACTTCAGTTTCCATATCACCACATGCAAACGCATTCGAGCAATCTCGAGCTTCAAATGGTCTCTCATACCCATTTGCATGTCGGTCAATCGCTTGTCAAGAGCCCAAGCTCTTTCCACAGTCCAATAACTGATCTTGTATCCTGGGACGACTCGGTCTTCTACGAGTACCCAGACCTTTGGCACAACACTAGATCACCGACACTCAACGGTGTAGGGCTGAAGGCGACAGGGATCCGCCGTCTGCTTCTGCAGGGAATAGACCAGATCGCGCTAGAAGACCCCGCCATCAAGCGCGGGGCTCAAAAACTTTCGCGTTTCGTCACAGCCCAAAACCTAAATTTCCAACACCGCGGCCACAACATCTGATACATTCGATCACAACACGATTACTTATTTAATTTCAGACAATTACATCCACGATGGCGCAAGAACAGAGTCTTGCAAAAGAACTATTTGAGGATATGGGTCGAAAGGTGGCGGAGGCGAGCGCACGAGACGACGATGTCGTGGATGGCACTCAGGTTGTGGACGAGATCAAAGAGACGCTGTGCATGAACTGTCACTCAGAAGACGTACGGTTTTTCCGAGAGTATTTGCAGGACCAAACTGACTTTGTAGGCATCTACGCGACTCCTATTGACCAAGATTCCTTTCTTCCGCGAGATCGTTATCATGTCCTCCGAGTGCCCCGAGTGTGGCTGGAAGAACGCTGAAGTGCAGCCAGCGGGCGAGATCCAGCAGCGAGGGGTGAAGATAACCCTGAGGATTGACAGCGCGGAAGACCTGAGCCGACAGATCGTAAAGAGCGACACTGCAGTATTTCGTGTAGAGGATATTGACCTGGAAATACCGCCTGGGCGAGGTCAGCTTACAAATGTGGAGGGTGTATTGTCCATGGTCGCGCAAGATCTCGAGCAGAAGCAGGACGAGAGGAAAGAGGTTATCCCTGAAGTGTACGAGAAGATTCAGGGCGTCATTGAGACTCTGAAGGAGATGGCCGCCGGCAAGAGGACACCGATCAAGATTACAGTCGACGACCCTGCGGGTAACTCGTCTATCGAACCTTCAATACAGGACACAGCGGCGAAGTACTTCCGCCACGAATACCCCAGAAGCCCCGAACAGAACGCAGCGCTCGGATTGGGCGACTCTTCAGACGCTGCGCCGTCTACTGAGATACGACCAGAGTACCATGCAGATCAGATGTATCCGCAGATGCCGCAGGGACCTATGGTCAACAACGTTGACGAGGACGACATTGTAGAAAACCAGGTATACTCGTTCCCTGCGAGCTGCCCAGGATGCACAAAACCTTGCACAACGAACATGAAAATGGTCAACATCCCCCACTTCAAGCAGGTCGTGCTCATGAGCACCGTTTGCGAACACTGTGGATGTAAGTTGAATATTATGCCATTTTCTGAAAGTTGCTAATCAATTACAGACCGAAGCAACGAGGTCAAAACGGGAGGTGAAGTTCCAGACAAGGGCCGCCGCATCACCGTGTCCGTGGAGAACAAAGAAGACTTGTCGCGAGATATCCTCAAGGCTGAGTCGTGTGCCATGTCTTGTCCAGAGCTCCACCTCAGTGTCGAGCCTGGAACACTAGGTGGCCGTTTCACCACTGTTGAAGGTCTCCTCACCCAGGTCCGCGATGACCTGCGGCGTTCAATCTTCGATATAGGAGACGGTGGTGACTCCATGGACTCAACTACCAAGACCAAGTGGGATGACTTCTTTGGCCAGCTAACGTCCGCCATCAATGGCGAGGTCAAGTTCACCATCATCCTCTCAGACCCGCTCGCAAGCAGTTACGTACAGAGCTTTGCTGCCCCAGAACCCGACGCTCAAATGAAGGTTGAGGAATACGAGCGGACAGCGGAAGAGGAGGAGGATCTCGGCCTCAAAGACATGAAGACGGAGGGGTATGAAGACGAACAGCCGGCTACCAACGGTGCGACGACCAACGGTGCATGAAAGATGCCGGACCCTTGTTCTCCTTCACTCGTATTTCGTTTTTAGTCTGTAGATACCAAGGCGTCGCCCGCCGCAATGAAGCATTTTCATGACCTATGTTATTTTCCACCAGTCGTGCTTATTATTCATATATTTTCCATTGTCTGTTCGTTCCTCTTTCTCATCCAGCCAAGGGGTTCGCATGCATGGTGACGTTCTTGATTTCCACCCGCTCCTTTGGTCTAAACTTCTTGTCCACCTCCAGCGTCTCGAGCTGGTCCAAGACATCTTCGCCTTCGAGCACTTTCCCAAAAACAGTGTTCTTACCATCGAGGTGTGGCGCGGGCGCAAACGTGACGAAGAACTGGCTCCCATTTGAGTTGGGGCCTTTGTTCGCCATGCTCAGAATTCCTTTCGCATTGTGTCGCAGGGCGGGGCGGATCTCGTCCTCAAATAACTGGTCGGCGGTGTCGTAGATGGAAGTAGAGGTCTTGGACTTGGGATCGGAAGCTGGGCTGCCGGTCTGCACCATGAAGTTGGGGATCAAGCGGTGGAAGGGACTGCCATTGTAGAAGCCGGAGGCACACAGGGCGAGGAAGTTTTCGGCGGTCTTGGGCACGGATTCGCAGAAAACCTCGAGCTTGATATCACCGCGCGTGGTGTGGAGCTACGAGAGGAGTCAGCAAGTAGGGCACGGTACATCGCCGAGACCAGCAAGTGCTGCGTGGTGCCGGGCCTTGTTGTGCTATCAGATGAGGGGACCGCGCGGCGCTCAGTTATCAATGACGGCGTGGCCATCGGAGAAGTGCACCCCAATGCGCGCACATGCGACAGAGGGAGGAGATGTGAGGCTCGAAGAGGTGTGGGAGCAGATGCGACGGCACTTACGGTGACAGACATGGTGGTGCAGCTGAAGGCGCATCCTTTGGCCGCAGCCGTGGGAAGGAGATGATTCGCGCGAAGCTCAAGCCCCCAAGAAGGCTGTGGTGAATCCCGCGACGTCGGTCTCTGCTCACTCTTTCCACGCTCTAGGCCGCGTTACGTCGTCACTGCGCCCGTCATTTGCGATTCCATTGTCGCTGTGTTCATCCATCGCCAGCGGAGGACGACAGCGTCGCATAATCGTCGACGGACCAATAGCAACGAACACTCCGCCGCCCGCTTCGTAGCCCAGCCCTACCTCACCTCCAACCCGCCCATACGCACACACGCACGCACGCAAAGCTCGCGCTCCTCTCCACCCGCCTGCCCCGTTCCGCCGCGCGCCGACCGCCGCTGTGCTCCTCGGACCGCCGCTGCCAGCTGCCCCGCCCGTTTGCTGGTGAAGCTCTGCTGGTGCATCTCGTCGACCCCACCGATCCCGCAGCAGGCTACCTCCACGCCGCCTGCACGTCCCCTCGCCCACGCTCCAGCTTGGAGCTCCTCGAGCGCGACCCAGCCGGCGCCTCGCAGCGACAGCCCACACGCGCCTCTCCCATGCGGTGCTCGCTCAAGCTCCAGGCCTGCGCCGACGCCCCGTCACCCTGAGCAGCCATGTCGGCCTTTGTGCGCGTCTCAGGACCGCCAAACAGCAACTTCCTCGTCGGCTACCCGGGCATCTCGGCCACATTGGTACGTCCTCTGTGCTTTCCCCCGCTTGCCGGGCGTTCGCGAGCTCCCCCGGCCGAGCTCTGATAGCTATCTGGTGCTGAAGCTGTGCTAACTGTTGTCCAGCCGCGGATAGAGGGAAAGGTCGAGATACGCCCGCTCATTGGGGTCTCGGCGCCCGTCAATGTCTCGCTTGTCACCATCGCCCTCCACCGGCGTGAGACGATCCACCCGTCTGCCGAGTCGCTCACCAAGAAGCACCTCGCCGCCCCGCGCAAGGAGATAACCGACATTGTGGGCAAGGAGATGCTGCTGTTCCGGTGCCCCGCCGGCAAGGAGTTCGAGAGCGTGCTCTCCATGGACCTGCCCTTTGTAATATTCATACCATATGGCCGCGGCGGCGAAGAAGTAGCAAGGAGGGTGCCGCCCGCGAGTTTGCAATTGCCAGCCCGGACAGCTGAGACGTTTTACGAGTTGGTTGTAACCGTGCAGCAAGGGCAGACAGATCAGAAGAAATACCCGTTTCCGGTGCCAATACAGCGGTACGATACCCTCTCCACATTTGGCATGTACAACCGTCCCGAGAGCGCCGAAAGAGTCACAGACCATCTTGTTACCTTGGGAATTAGTCTGCCCAGGTGGAGTTATGGCCCTCTGGACCCGGTGTCGGTCTACATCAAGCTCAGCCCGAACCCGGATTGGTTAAAGAAGGCGCAGAAGGTTACTATCCAAAAGATCACTGTTGGCATAGACGAGGAAATTATATTCAACCACGAGGGTGATGAACCAACAAGAAAAGTGAAGACGTTGGCCAAGACCACCCAGGCTGTCGGTGTTAAGATGCCCGAGGCTGGTTACTTTACGAATTTAGGACTGGTGTTTCCCGCAAAAGACTTGCGAGACTCGGACGGCATAATACCACGCGGGAAAAAGGAATTTCCAATGTATGCAGTAAACGGCTTTACGACCACCGGTACGCTCTACAAGATTGAGTACTACCTCACAGTCAAAGTAAGCGCACAGAATCTCACTAGACTGAGAATCTCACTAATTGATCTTAGGCCCAATTGGCGTCAGCACGGGATATATTACTCCGCCAGCCCATAGTCGTCTGCCCGTTTGACCACGCCGGTTGCAAAGAAGAGATGGAGGCGATTGAACAAGCAGCCAGAGACGCTGCGCATGTCTCGCCTGATAACCCTATGCTGCCCGCAGCAACCATTGTCCGTTCCAACGATCCAAACGGGCTCGCCGCATTAGGCATGGCGATAGTAGGAGGCCATAGGAAGCCCCTTATCGAGTGAAGCAAACACAATGTGGCTTTGATCGTAAAGACTATGTACTCGCTACGGCATCAAGCACAGCGGACAGCACGCAAGCGACGTGAAGCGACATACGCAGCGCGCGGAGAACAGGTCCATAAAAGCACCCACGACAAGGCTGGGTGTGCGGTACCAGACCGCTTGCGCAGATGGGAGGGTTATTGATCACTTTGGGCGTTACGGTGCTACAGCGGGGCCTGAAAACTATGCGCGTGCTTCTACTTCGCCATATACCTCGCCATTGGCATGCCACAGCGCAGGAGCTGGGGAGCTGGGCGCTCGCTTCTTTCAGGCGCAATTATTCTTCCGGGTGCATGTTGTTGGTTCGCCGTTTCGAGGCGGCCGCGAGCACGCTTGTGCGTGTACCTGCATTTGCTGGAGTTACTGCCGGGACCTGACGAGGCACGGGATATGATACGTTCACTTGGTTCTTAATCTTAGTGGTGATGGGGCGGGCTCCACGATGTTTGGGGAAGAGAAGACGGTCTTGTGCATAATTCGAAGGGAGAGGATAGGATCGAGCTTGCATATAAGTGCCGTGTGTTTGTGAAGCGAAGGAGGGAAGCTGCAAATACCAAACATTACTCGTCAAATTTGCATTTACTGTGCTGCACGCCTGTATATCCGTACGGATATCGGATCGTATTGCACTACACTATGTGTGCAGCCACCCCATAAGAACCAGGTAGAACTCTGTAGATGTGACAGAGGCCAAGTTACCCCACGACTCGCTGTAAGCGTACAGGTGCTACAAAGCTGTCGTTCCCGGTGAACGCTCTCAAACCTGTCCGTGTTCTTGGGGACTTTGTTATCTCCTCGAGCTACAACGTCTCAACCTATCTTTGATTTGCGATCTACGCAAGCATCCTACTCTCGGCCAGAAGATCCCGGACTACAGCACGAATCAATCGTAGAACATCCGCCGGCGATGCGCGCGCCACGCATGACTAACATATAATGTTACTAGGGCTTCAAAAACGTTATGAAATATACGGCGAGGTGGACGTGTGGTCAAGGCGTTGGCTGGTCATTTTTATCTTACACGTTCCCACAGTATACTAATATCTCTGAAGTGTTTAGGCATTCCTGGAAAGCGAGCATTGACTACAGGTCTCATGCATTGTGTGGATGAGTCCGAGTGAGCCCGATGGATGAGGATGAGCAGAGAGGTGTACATTGACTACCTTGATATAGGAGATAGTACAGGTTGAACAGTAGGTGTTGATAAAAAAGATCATACTGCCTCATCTGTTCATCTGACAGTGCCAGGCCGGCACTCAAGTGATGACCTGAGTCGCCCGAAACCGTAGTGTCAAAGACACCCTTGTCCCGCTTAACGCCCCTCTGAGCGTCCTTACTTATCCTCGCCTGCCATCCGATTTTGGCTGAGATGGGTAGCAGCGGGGACGACTCCTGTCCTGATTGCATCCTCATTCTTCCCTCAGTCAAGTACCTCTCGGTCGAAATGCCAAGTTCATAGTGTGGCCGCTCATGTTCTGATCCTTTACCTCCTCCTTCTCTCGTGACTCCAAGCTAAGGCTTTGCAGTGCGGCCTTGGCCATATGCTCGTCAACAACGTACTTGATGCCAGTGTACTGCGGGCTCGCGGGCCCGAAGGTTGCCAGTGCGTTGCGCATGGAAGACTGAAGCTGCGGAATCAGTTCCAGGCCAAAGTCTAGATTCGAGAGCAGCGAACATGCACCGATGAAAGCTGAAGCGATGAGGGGCAATGGGAAGTGTAGATTGCGGGGTTACAACGTGTAGTGCTGCTTACTGAGGCAAGAAGGTCATCCTGTTGCGAAGACATGGTCGATTAATTCTGAGCCTTAGAGTACGTGTGATGCCGTTTGTTGCTAGGTTGTCCCGTTCTGTGGCGTATGGTTGATGTCGGTCTTACATTCAGCGGGGTATCGAGATGCAGCAGCGGACAAGCCGACAGTAATAGACTCCAATGAGAGCGCAATTGCTGTCTTTCTTTGTATCCGCTTGTCTAGTAATTTTCCGAAATAGTCTCGCTTTGTTAGGTACAGCTCTGCATTATCGGCAAAATACAAGTTTGGCGCTGGAACGTACACGCCCTAAGCTTTTAGTCTGCCAGACCACGCTTCGGCAACGCACCCCACACTCGATTGGCTCGAACCTACAAAAAGATGTCGCGAAGCCTCCACACGATATTACAACCACGAGAATTCAAAAAAGAGAACTTGTTCTCTCGCTGATCAGAGTGGGATTCGAACCCACGCTCTTTCGAACTGCGGTCGTTCATGCTCGCTTTGCAGCGAATGCCTAAACACAGCGCCTTAACCGCTCGGCCATCTGACCTTGATGATTATGGACTTTTGCCGCCATGTTAACATTATATAGCAGTTGTGCTATCATCTGGAGAAGTTTAGGAGCGAATGAGAGAAGTATGGTGGGTATTGAGCGATCGAACGGTGGGGCTAAACAGTCAAAAGCACTAGCAAAGCGGGGTAAGGCACTTGCAGAAACTTCAAGCCCTATGGTGAGCTTGTACTCTGGGAAATCATGAGAGCAAGAGACCCACTCATCTCAGTTCACCCAATACAGGTCCGTCTCGTATCTTCAGCGACTCTCTCATAGTATTCGAGGCTAATACCTTAGGTATGAGCTATTGATCAATCCGTCTAGTTCAAGTTTGGTGAACTCTAGCTACGTCAATAGCGAAGCTGTCGTGCCCAGTGAGCAACTCCAACGATCTTAGTGCGCACCACATCACCTGGTGACAGGATTTCAAGGTATCCTGGTCATGAGATCTCGTATGCTAGCTTTTGTACTTATGTTTGATGTTGCAAAGCCAGAAGCATCACTTCACTGTTATCCTCCGTCCCACCTATGGGATCAACGAGACTAAAGTAATGTAACTTGCCTCGACTAGGTCCATTCACAACAGAACAAGATTGATCAATCTCATGAATGATTATTTAAGTACTAAACATGTTCAGAGTTATATTCTGTTAGGTACAGAGTATACATACGGGAAACACCTCAGCATTCGACAGCATACAACGTCAAGTCAAAACCCCAAAGACTCATAATAAGTTGAGTCAAGCCAGGATGCATGTTTCGATTTACGGTAATTAAACTTGCTATAGTCTACTCAACAGCGTCATGATCAGAATGCTTATAGCGGCAGCTGGTATATCAGAAAGCGTAGGTCTTAGTACTTTCGTTACCTTGCCAAAGTATCTGGTGATAAGCGGGATAACTTTGGGACGTTTCTTCAGCATCTTATATCACGGGATTTTGCTATGCGTACAGGCCTCAGAGAGGAGATTAGATAGCACAGAGAAAGGAGAGGGGCAAGATTCGAGTTAGAGTTAAATAACGTGCAAAGCTTATTCTCTACAACTTATTCCGTCTATAGCAACTTCGCATGGCATTTAGAGAAAATCTAACAAAGAAGCGAAAACAAACAGAAGGTATCAGCTGCTTTTTAGCATGTCCTAGGGTAACTCAGGTTATGACGCAGTCCTGCATTCTCCCCTACACAAGTATGCGTGGAAATTGTAGGTGTCATGCGACAGCTACACTGTACACGAGAGCATCAGCGTCTCGCCAAGGCCGTACCTCTATGATAGAGCTGCAAGTATGATGGGAGATAACAGCCACTTATCGCACCGAGCTGCCGCTACAGGACAAGACAGCCTGGGCGCCTACTATGATATAGCTTAAACTATTTTTTTGGGAATGTCGTATAACTATACATGCCAATAATATAGCAGATTCTCGAAGGAGCACCCATACCTGATCTCGGGCCATTGAAAATTGGACGAAGCGGCGATATTCAGAAACGTTATCAACGCACAGCTTGGCCACTCCTGGATGGACTTGAAGGAGTCAACATCTAGGTTTCGTGAAGGCTTTGACGCAGCTTGTCATCTTAGCGCAATGCATCATGAGGGGCAACTCCAAGATGGCATTCACGAGATTGGAAGAAGTTCAGGACACAATCTGTTACGTTCCAGTGCGACCATGTTCATTATAAAGCCTCACAAAGTCGATTTCTCTGGTCTTGTCTACCAGATAGTGTAGGCAGAGAGTCATGGAACAAGTACAAGGCTAATTAATTGACATACTAACGATCTCGTGGATATTTTGTTCCAACTCAAATCACTCGAGTCGCCCCAGGACCAAGGGTTAGAGACCATGAATGTATTAGGAAACTGGTCTCAACAACATCCATCAATCATATGGACTTATATTACCCTCTTCTCCACTAAAATTCTTGTAATGTGCGAGAATACCCGTCTCCATATATCAGCAGTCCAAGGAATAGATTACCCATGGACGCTTTCCCCGATTGCGGTGGTACGCTACTGCTATAGCGTGCTATCAGTATAACCGATGAAGGGTAGTTGTTGGCTGCAGAAATTTCGAGCGGAATTCTCGCCACACCATTACTCGTGTCCACTGGCCTGCAGATGACGAGCTGGCAGCACTCCTCGTGTGCCGCGAGAATGCGAGAATGTGAAGACTGGCGTGTCGCTCTCCGCATCCTTGACACATGTACGGGCTCCTTGAGTCCTTTACATGATATCTGATGTGGTTTGTGAGACTCTTGGAGCTGCTGTAAAAAATCAGGACGACCCAATTATTCACCCCATGGACAAGGGTATGCGGGGCGAGTAGCCGTCGTCTGCTTCGTCTTCTCTTTGCCCTCCTCCTTCTTCTCTTTCCCCTCCTTTCTCTTCTCTTTCTCCTCTTTCTTCTTCTTTCTGTTCCTCGACGCCTCCGTGGCCGCGCTAGGTGATGGAGACCGTTTTCGTGCTGTCTTGGAGCTTTTTGCCATGTTAAATATGCAGGTCTTGATGTGTAGACTAGTCTACGAAGGTGGGGTTTCAGAAGTGTTGTATTTATCCAAAACTGCAGGTACGCTAGCGCGGCTTGGCGCTGGGTAGCCATAATGATAGAATGATTGAACGGTGAAGTATGATAAATCGCGTGATACGAGCCAGAAACTCGCGGCCCCAGTCACGCAAGTGAAACAATAATGTAACTACTCGTGCACATATGGTATGCGTGTCGAATGGTGTCACATCTCTCTCTTGGCACGTTTATGGCGTGCTATTAGGTACCATGACGTTCGTGTGAATAGCTTCGATATAAGTTTTCAGGTAATGTTCTGTTAAGCGGTGATACCTGAGATAGGACTATCGTATGCGACATAGCTTCTTAATAGTACTAAGAGCGCAATTAACCTCTGCGTTACCTGCGTTACTGCCATCCTCCTCCACATCTTCCACACCCTTGTCCACATATTTCACATACTCCATCATTGCTGATCTGGTGTCAGAAAACCCTCAAGTAATGCAATTGTCCGCTATAGGTCATAGCTGAAGAGGGATGGTACACGTAACAAATGATAAAAGGTTATGTTCTTGGTGATAACTTACGTCCAGTCTGAAGTACCACTCTATAATAGGACCATATTCATCATATACATGGTAAGGTCCTCTTCAGGCAACCATGCAAGTTCCGAGCCGACGAATTGAATGACATTTCATTGCCATATACTATAAAGCTATTATCGTTCCGTCTGAAGAGGTTCCATCCGGCTTTCAAAACCATGAAGTGCCTTTGACACTGTGTGATCATGCCAAAGATCACGGTAAGCTGGCATTAATACCATAGTGAGGATTCCCGTGAGTGAACAATGACCGTGGTAGTCAATAACAGGCCAAGGTGACATTGTCTTTTCCGACGCGGGAAAGGAACGGAGATCAAAACAAGTCGTATGCCTGCCTCCATGACGGGTCTTGGGCCATTATTCACGCCTCGTAGTAACTAAGTACAAATTTAGATGGGGCCACTACCAAGTTGCTGTAACAATGTGAGATCCTCAGCGGAGCATGAACGCACGGGCGCGGCTTTGATTGCAAGATGGACGCGATGGTTACCCGACAATCAGCAGAAGTTCACTCAGAAGTATCGATAGAAGGATAATACCAAAATGCACGAAAGTCAGCCGTGGATCGACCACAATGTTTCCATATTGCTTCACGGACCACACGAGTATGGTCGATAAGGAGTATGTGGATTACGCGACTTCATGGAAGTGTTTTGGTGAATGTATTTGCAGATGACTAGTTGTTGACCAAAATGTCGTGTGTTCAGGCTACTCTAAGGGAATTTCAGGAAAGGGAATGGTAATGAGTAAGATCATGCTGAGCTTATTGTATGGCATGTGTGTCTGTCTCCGACCCCTTGCGGACGGTGAGACTTGTAGGCGGTCCACAATGGGCTTTTGGTCTCACCAACCAACTTATGCCTTCCGCTTTAACACCGTGTGCTTTGCCTACTGATCACTTGACAGTGATCATTACCCATAAATTTACCGGCCAGACCAAAACAAAGGACAAAACCAAATTTTCCGTCACGACTGCCCACACACTCCCCCTTCCTCTCACCCAGCTGTCGTTCAGCAGAATTTTCAACTTGCCCGATTCTGGTGCCGACTACTGGACCGGGCAACTGTCTTCCATCTTCTCTATGTCCTCGAGGGACCAAAACGATGCCGGTCGCTGATAGCCCCTGGTCGACACCGCGTCGTTCACAAGTTGGATTATTCGGGGATTTTCAATGATGGGCTTCCCGTTAAACTTGAGTTGTTGGTATACCGTCTTCGCATCTTCCTCCCCTACCCGGACCGGGATACCAGAGACCCTGCTGAGGTGGCGCGATAACAAGGTGGCTGTGTACGCCCAATCGTCGTGTGATTGGTCAAGACGACCAGTGAGTAAAGCATCTATGTGAGCTTCGTCGTCTTCATCCGTACAGAAGCTCTTCGCCTTTCCGTTTGAGCCGTCCTTGTTCGGCGGCTGACCGCTGGTCGTCTTCTTCTGTCTCTTGGCTATGACGGCCTTGGGGGATTCTGTGCCCTTGCGCCTCTTGCCGCGACTTGATTTGTGACTCTTCCAGTCCTTGAGAGACTGTATCCCTTTCTCAGTCAGGAGGCCGTGTCCGTCAACCTCCATCGGTGTTTGGGTGGCCGCCAACCAATCTGTGACGTCGGTGAAGGAGATTTGATGCATGAGATGAACTGGAATTAATGGTGTGAAATGTGCTGCGTATTCCTTGATCGCGCCGTCCATTGCAGTGTCCATTGCCTTTTCGGCGGAGTCGTGGAACAGTTTCAGTGCGGCTACGTGTTGTTGTGACCAACGAGGTCGTTCTTTGGGTTGGCCCTTGGGTGGCTTCACCGCCACCGATTCGTTGTCTTTGCTCACTACGTCGATGTAGCAACGTAACGTGCCTTTCCTTGATCTTGAAGAATGAGGACCCATGCGGGTCCAGGCGTGGTGGCCGCCTTCAACGGTACCCAGGCGCATGCGCCAAGTGCCATCGTCGAATTGTGCTTACTCATTGCGCGTAAGTAGTCCCTTGCTGTAGAAATATGTGGGTCGAAGTAAGTTGGAAAAGGTCGATAGGTCGCTACGGGGCGACCATTTATAAGCTTGGTAACCGGCCCAAAGTGAGAGACCAAAGTGAGAGAATCAAGCGAAGCTCGCATGAAGAGGGGGCGCTCACTGATAGACTACTTCATATCTATATGAAGGTCGCGCGCGGATATCAATTGCGTATGGGCCACTTCCATTCTTGGAATTGACTCAAGAGCTGCGTCGAGGTACGGCATTCGCACCAATGCTCGGAGCTTGTTCAGGTTGATTTCGAAGACACCGCGCTCGACCGCCGTAGTCATGTTCTGGAAAAGTATCTCTCTCCATTGCTCGCATTGTTCGGAGCGCATGGAGCGAATCTCGGCGTAATGATCTTTGTCTCTTACGTAGCTGCCGCGTTTCACTCATCAGATCTCCAGTACAGTTATACACAACAAGAGTGAGTACTGTAATATGCTTTGAGTCAATCCATGATCAGCAACGCAGCAGCCGATTAACTCAAGCGTCTTCTGGGGTGGAGGCGTACCATGCATCTGGAGCACTTTCAGAAGACCGGCATTTGTCGATGGTGTTCGCTGGCCTGCTTCCATCGCCACGCAAAACAGTGCGCAAAAGTTTCGGAACCATTTTCTCCTGTGCATCGCTCTTCGCAGTGCCAGCTGGTACAGGGATGCGTGGCGCTCCCAACACTGAGAGAACTTGTCCTTGGTCTCGAGTGTGGTTCCATTCCTGGCATCACCACCCAGTAATAATCCCACGTCAAATCATAGCTTTTCCCGCAAATTTTACCCAAAAGTAAGTGACTGAATTGCCGAAACAAGTCTGGCCCCAACTATGTTTGCTCGTTGTGTCCCCGTTGAGAAGTACCCGAGGACAGATTATCCTGGGGTGACTCGATTCTTTATGAAGTCTTAGATTATTGAATGGATGCTGTATGCTGTAGGTTGCTGCGGTGTAACTGGAAATATGCCTGGTGAACGACAGGTTGCGATCAAGATGTTGAGCTGGGATTCATTGGTAACGTAAATGTCAGCATATATCTTTGTATAATTAACTTCTTCGGCCTTCTTCGCCACCTCAAGGTGGTGCATATATCCATGCGTGAGACTGAGCCCATGATCTCGTCGTCGTCAAGACCGTCATCGCTGTTAGAAATGTAAGGTTCGCTCTTTGCCTCGGAATTCTTTCGCTTCATCGGTTTCTTGATGAAGATTGTATCGATGTCGTTTCCGGTGAGCTCTTCACTGGGTCTCTTCTTGCACAGCTCCTGGTGGTCGATCACACTGGATCTCGGTGTGTCTTCACTCTCCGAACCCGTCCCACCCCCCACCATGCCGTGGTCATGCGTGGATGTTACAGCGAATGCATGTTCCATATTCGGGGAGTTTTCGGACGGCCCAACGGCAATATCTCCCGCGTTACCACTCCTTCTCCGTTCCTGTTCTACATCCTCCTTCGCAACGTCCTCTGCTGGAGGCGTCGCCTCCTCATGCCTCCGTTCAATCTGCACCTCCTCTAGGACTCTTTCGTATGACAGCCTGGCTATCTGTTGCTGCTTCTCGGTGATGCTCACGAAGGTGTCCCAGTGATATATATCACGATGAAGTTCAATCAGATGATTGGGTCGGGTATGCGCTTCCCAGAGTAGTTGTAAATCCAATGCGACAGTCTCGAGTGACCTCTGCATCGTCAAGCCAGTACGACCATGTCGGGTTTTGGTCTCTATCGGTTACCCCAGTAGGGTTCCACCAAAATATTGGAACGATCTGTGATGGATTTTCGGTTTCACAGACGCTCATCCAAATCTGTCGTCTTCCTTTGTCATCAGGCTTAGCTAGCCCAATGAACATGCGCTGTTCACGCCAGCCAATAACCCTGCTGGATGACGCCGATGGTAGCTTGATAATAGTGCATGGATCGAGAAAGCTCCACTTCCAGAGGTTAATCATGACCTCTAGGCCATTTTTCGGTGGCAGTGGGACTAATTCAGTGTAATGGATTTCATCAGCTTCTCCACTAACGAAGAAAGCCGCACGATCCCATGCCATTTTGGTTTTCGTGTGCCGTAGACTGCAAGACCTATCGTTTATCTTCTCGGGTTTCCAGATTCCTGGACGGTACGAGTACCTCGGTTCGGCGAATTCCCGTAGAACTTTGATCCAAATTTGCTTGCCTTTGCGGTTGCGACCTACGGCGACGCGCTGTTGTTATAAGTCCACGCAACCCCCCCAGGATTCCAGAAAAGACTGGGTATTCCACTGGTGTCCCAAAGTTCCCTCATCGCGAAGCCCACCTGGGCCCCTTTCCCTCCGTTGAGCGGGAATGAAAGCGTCTTCGTCGTCATCGTCGTCGTCTTCTTCGATCTCCCGTGTAACTACTTTCTGATAAGAAATTGACCTGGTGAAACACTTATAGTCCTTTTTCTCATTGGACTCCGAGGTCGGGACGCCCGCGACTGAGTTTGGGGCAGAAATAATATTGACTAAGTTTCTCGAGCGTAAGAAAAGAAGAGTAGGATTGATCGAGGCGCAGAGGGCGGGGCGCAAGTAGCGGGCGAGAGGGTCACGTGCTCAGTGGAATGCGAGTGACTGTCATTTTAGTTGTTAAAAGGAGCGTACAAAGTTGATTGTAGAGCAATTGATTGAGATTGTGGTGTTGAGGCTTAGAAGTTGAGGCCTCAGGAAGCTACTCTAGGCGGGGCAGACGCTAGCGTCACACGTGATTTGCTAGTTCCAGCCAACATTACCTTGGTAGTATCGGTCACCTTCACCTCCTTGCTCCTAAGACCTCAAATGGACAACATCGGATTCGAAGTCCTGTATACTTACAAATCATACGAAAAGCCCTTGTGCGACTTATATTCGCCTGCATTGCACTGGCAGGATCAGCATGATGGAAAGGCCAGTGTGTAATCTGTACCTGGATACCATGTTCGCGATATGCGCAGGCGGACCTTTCTGCGCATGCCATCTACTTCCTAAGCGAGCGCTGCATTCATTTGCAGCAAGCGCGACCTCACCTTTCCTGTTAATTACCTATGTAACGTATCGCTAAGACTCAATGTTCGGTTATCAAACAAAAAGACAATTGGATCTCGCAGGGAAGCGAAGGGATCGAATCGCAACCGCTTTGTCGGCCGTTGAACAAGCACACGAAGGCATGAAGGAATTGTCACGCAACGTCCTTAAGGAGATCAAAGAATCGCCTTTTTATGTACGCCGCTACCCGAAGCACCACCTTGACATGCTAACACGTGACCAGGCCCATGTCGACAGCATGAGCTCGATCCTCCCAATCAACGTAGAAGAGCTCACGACACGTCTTCTCGGTAAAGCGTGCAATGATTATGACAGCCTCGACCCCAGAAGACGCTTGAGTTAATCGGCTGCTGCGTTGCTGATCATGGATTGACTCAAAGCATATTACAGTACTCACTCTTGTTGCGTATAACTGTACTGGAGATCTGATGAGTGAAACGCGGCAGCTACGTCATGAACCGCAGCATCCATCTCCCGCTAAGACTATACGTCTCTTATTTCAAGCTGCAGAAGTTTAGTATGATCGCCAATATCGATTTCAGTCAATCTTGCAGGGGGTGTGTGGATTTGTTCTCAACTTCACAGCCAACAGTGTTGCTGTCGGTTTTGTATTGACAGTGCAATTGTTCGATTCAGTTCCCACACATCAGCCTTTATTATTGCAGCATTCTGCTCTGCTTCACTCGCCAGGGAGCGTAGCGGAGCTCAAAAAGGGTACGTTATGTCGCAGATATTACCAATGACGGACACCGCTGAGTTCAAAACCGGAAGCTCAAGGCAAGCACACATTACTTCTTCTTTTTCAAAAGAGGCGGATCGAATCGCTCCCTACGTCAAAACAACACATTTCATGTGCGGAAATGTTGATCCCACGAGTAGGTCGCCTGTGTTGTCATCTAGGCATCCACCGATACATGGATCTTATGCTGATATCATGTGATCTAAACGAGGATGCCCCGCGTATCAAAAGTACTTCTCGCGCCTTAGACCAATGCATCATAACAACACAACACTCGATTTTACTCTTACTACCGTCTCGACTCTTATGAGAGACTGGTCAACAGGTACATTCCCGGGTTTTCTGCCTTGCGGGAGACTGCTTGGTCACCTTTTTCTCGATTGACCAGGTAGATTCAATCCGCTTCATCTTGAAAGATGTTAGAATCCATATGCGACGCGTGCCGCGCTATAGACTTCGAGAAAGTCTTAAAAGTTCCGGCGAGCGAATTCACGGTGCACCGCGAAGTACGCAATCCGTATGATACGTATCCCGATCTTCTACTCGACAAAGATATCGACAGACTTTCCCAGCTACAAGACACCGACTGCTCACTTTGTAAGATCCTGGCATCGACGCTGTGTTCCACCGAAGACGAGTGGTCGGATCCTGGTATAGTTGAGGATGCCTTGCTGAGCCCTCACAAGTTAAAAGCCTTCTCGTTCCTTCGTAATTGCGCCTGGACATCTGAAGATGTACAAGGCGCGCAGGACTGCTACATGTTGCTCGCTCCTCGTAGTTCTACGTATAGCTCAGGTGGAGGTTACTCTAAATGGGCATGGCGAGGGGAAGCCGGATACGTTGCTTGTCTCCCTAAGAAGCGCGAAGCTGGGCTATTTGTACCGCAGATAATCTCAGAGAGTTTTGACTCAATCAAAGCCAGATCATGGCTGCGACATTGCAAAAGAAGCCACGGGGCGGCATGCAATGAGTATTCTAAGACGATTCCCGGGTTGGAAGTTATAGACTGTGAGACACTGAGGATCGTTCCGGCTGAGGCTGGAATGCAGTGGGTGGCTCTTAGTTACGTATGGGGTCCACACCAATCTCAGGTCAACCATGGTGACACTGAGCCCGGGAGTCTCCCAAGTGATTTACCGAGAACCATACGGGATACCATTGAAGTCACGAAAGCTCTGGGCTACAGGTACTTGTGGATTGATCGATATTGCATCAATCAAGAGGACGCTGCGAAGAAGCATGACCTAATCTCTAAGATGGACATAAAATATCGTGGTGCGGATCTGACGATAGCCGCAGCCGCTGGCCATGATGAGAACTTCGGACTCCCTGGAGTTGGAAACACGACCCGCAAGAAGCAGGCAATCGTCGAGCTGAACTCGTGCACCATCCTCAGTACCGGACCTGACCCGGCCTCCGAGACTGAGAATTCCCGTTGGCGCAGCAGAGGTTGGACGTTCCAGGAAGGCCTCTTATCGAGGCGACGACTGATATTCACGGAACACCAGTCCTGGTTTGAGTGCTGTGAGGGAGGCTGGATGGAAGCTCTGGGGGGACCGGAACTTCTCAACAATCCAGATGAGGCTCGGTGTACCTCCGGGAAGATTGGTCGGAGCTTAGACGGCCGGCTACTGTCCTATCATCTAACGTCTACGCCACTAATGGCAGACCCAAACGACAGGGTGATAGCTTCCCGCCTTGATCAATTTGCGCATATTGTCGGCAAATACTCTCAGAGAGACTTGACATTCGACACAGACTCCCTCAATGCGTTCGCTGGTGTGTCTCGGCATCTCCGGGATTCCCACCCCCAGTTATCACATATATTCGGAATACCATATATGGTGCCATCGAATGCGCCTCTTGCGCTTGGGTCGGCAGAGAAGTACATGTTCTATTTTCTATCCTGGATACACAATAGGGGTGCCCCACCACGTAAAAGACTGGATTTCCCTTCTTGGACCTGGGCAGGCTGGGCTGGCGGTATGGGCTGGATGACAGGTCGGCTCGATGGTGTGACAGCACTAGAGCAGAAAATGAGGAATATTCATTTTGAGGTTGATGACCATTTGGTTTTACCCGAGGCCTACTTCGACACCTTTGACTCGATCAGCTGTCAGATTCCAGAGTCGGACGTGATTCTCTGCTTTGAAGCGCAGGTAGTGCCACCATCATTGTTTTCATGGGATACCTACGAGGAAAGAAGGGAAATCTCACCAAGTTACGATAGCATAGATGGGCAAAGTCAGAAAGACGAAGAGATTCCAGATGGAGAGAATCAGAGTGATAATGACATCCCAGATGAAGAGGATCAGGGAGACAACGACCCTTCAGAAGGGGAATCGGAGATGAGCAGCGAAAGCCCGCCGCCTGATCCAAATGATTGGGACACTTGGGCGGTGGGCAACAACAGATTGTGGGATCGAGCCCAGCCACCGGATTGTGATCCTGCAACTTTCATCGACAATCTCGAAAAGGGTCGTTGGGATTGTCTTCTCCTTGGAGATTACAATGGGAATGCTGGCTACTCGCACCGAAGATTCATGCTCGTCATCGAGTGGTTGGATGATGGACTAGCGCACCGAGTAGGGTCCGTGGTCCTCAACAGGCAACACTATCTCGACCGTGGAAACATATTCTTCGACGACACAGAGCTGGCTTGGAAATCAGTACGTCTGATTTAGTATGATCTAACGTCAAGAAGATGGCCTTCTCTACCTATGGCAACTATAGCGTATCCTGATGCATACATGGCATACAGAATTTATGATTGCACACAAACCTGACCGATCTGTACCTGAAGATCCTCTCTGAAGCTTGAGGAACCTCTTCAACTGGTTTAGGCGTGATACCTCTAGTAAACAAATCCAAGGAGTTCACAACAAACCTCGTACACCCCTTTTCTGTAACTACTTCTTCCGGGTGGGAATCATACAGGCTAAGACGCAGCAATCAAACACTTCACGTCTAGTATACTCGGATTCTGCTGAGTGGCATGCTTCTAACGCAGGACCACGTCATTGAACGCTTGGTCCATGGCATAATACCCTTCTCAAACCCGAAGAACGATTCTCCGAATAGCATGAACACATGCGCGTTCGTATAAACACGTCAGTCAAGCTACGCTGCAAGTCAGCAGGAAACTTAGAACGCCTGCATGCATGCTTATCACGAGCATTTCGCGATGAACGGAAGCGGTGATGCTCGTTCTGCCTCCCGTATGACATCCACACTACCAACGAGATCAATGTACGCATCGCCTTCTCAATCTCGATAGAACAGCGCCTGGACCGTCACACCTCAAAGGCTACCACAACCTCCACGCTTAGTCGCGACATCACTGTCCAATTTCTCACCAACACATCACACAAAAGCCCATTTTGAACAGTAAGAAAAATGGTATTATACTCAACACAATTACAAAACCGCTACATACACAGCGCTACATTCCTCAACATGCTAGACCTCTCCCCACAAATTCAACTCACAGCACACATTCCTCTCGTCCCTCTCCGCCACGTTCCCTTTTCATTCCCTTCCTCTCGAAGCCCTGCTCCGACGCTCGTCAATGAAACGCGTGCGGACAACACAGAAATGGCCCTCTTGGACCAAGTAGATATAGATATAGAAGAGGAATATGCAACATGTCGTCAAGGAAAGTGCGAACATAGGCCAAGATCGAAGACAAGACCGTAAACTCCGATATACAGCGCCAAGGTAACGGATGGGCATCATAGAATGAAATGGGTAATGGTATGGTAAACAAAGGAAGCGGAGGTATCACGTTTTCAGGCGCTTATGCGACCTGTCGAGCGCCTTGGCTCTGGCGCGCGAGCGGCGCCGCGTACTTGGAAATGGGCATCTCGGCGTGAATTTCGGCGTCGAGCTCGTCGTCCTGCTCGACGATACGCGTAGGAACGTCAGGCACGTCGTCATGCAGCCTGTGCTGCAGGCTGTGCCTGTCGGGTGTGGTCGACGCGCTGGCCATGGACATGGATGTGCTTGACCGGTGGGTTAGGTCTGGAGTGGGCGGGATGCTAGAGTGGCGTCCAGGTCGCAGCATGCTATCATCCTCGCCGTAGTCGCTGCCCTGGGTGGAAGGCACTGCCGAAGATCTCCGCTCGCTGCGAGAGTCATCCTCAGTGTCGGCCTGCTGGGCAAGAGCGAGACCCTCGACGGCCGCGGCGCACTGCTCCGAGATGTTTCGGATAATGTACGCAATGGCGTCGGTCTTGTCGCGTAGATGGCGGTCTGCTACGTCGATCATAGAAGAGCTAGAGTACCGCTTGGAATTGCGGTTCACTGGAGAATGGAGTAAGCGCTGCTCCATGTCTGGTGAGACGTCTTCGCCATCGAGATGCTTACTATCCTGAACGGTGCTTGCTCTCGAGACAACATTGCGCTCTGCACGACCAACCTCGGAGTTGTTAGGCTCGGACTCTTCGTCCTCAGCCTCTTCCGGCACGTCCTCGAAGCCCTCTTCGACGAAGGTGGCGAGGCCGGAGTCCGGAGCGCCCAGAGACTTGACGATGTGCTCCATGTGGTGGGTTTGGCCGTCAATAAGGGCGCGGAGGTGCAGGACCACGCGTTGAGCCTCATCACGCTGGCGATGGATGGCCTGGTTGGTGTGCTGCAGCGCAGAAAGCTCCTTCTTGTTTCTCTTGCGCTCGCGCTCGAGCTCCTCGGCAATTTCTTGCTGGAGGACAAGAGCCTCGAGAGCATCGTCACGTTGCTTCTCGGTGCCGGAGAGGCGCACAGTGAGGCGAGCGGCGTCATCCTTTTGTTGGTCAATAAGGCCAGTGAGGCGACGGTTCTCACGCTTGTGGTTCTCAATCTTGATTTTGAGATCCTGGGTCTCCTTTGTGAGCTGCTCAGCAAAAGCCTGGAACTTGAGGAACTGCTGCTTCCAGCTCTCCAGCTCCTCCACGAGGAAGTTGTTCCTCTTGGTGACCTTGCCGAGCTCCGTGTCCATGCGGCCCTTGAGGTTGATGAAATCTTGCCAAGCCTCTTGGGCGTCACGAGAGTACTGGTTGCGCTCGCGCACAATCTCGTTCAGATGGCGCATGGACACCTTGGTCATCAGTGGCTTCTTGACGGAACCGCCAAAGATAGCCTTGACGCCGGTGTTACGTCCCTGTGGAACATCGTTAGCAGCAATACGAACCCAAAGTGGAAAGCTGAGCATACCAATTTCTCACACACGTGGTCCATGACCGTCATGACGGAATCTTGATTCCACCATTCTGGGTCCTGGATACTTTCTACTTCGCCACGCATGACGATGATCTGGCCAGCTGGAATGAGCTTCCCACCACCGTACGCGGATCGCAGATGCTGTGGAACTCCGGTAGGTGCCACCTCACCATTGAGGGCTTGTGTGAGACGAGTGATCATTTTTGACCTCTGGCCAGCGGTGAGAGCAGTCGGCGGGCTGGAAGTCAGGACGAAATTTCGGTCCAAGTCTACCACCAGCGCATCCGTTGGGGCGGTGAACAAGGACCGACACTCTGATGTGACACCGAGAATGTACGGCCCAGGCTCCTGAACGAGGTCCTTGACGTGACGCGCATGAACGACAGGTACGTACAGACCGCTCCATTCGTACACCCTCACACAGAATCGCACAGTCTCAGCGGCAACGGTAAGCATTGCAGGGTAGTGGCTGGTGAAGATGATTCGGCGCGTGGGTGAAACCGCGGCCTCCATTACACCGACGATGTTGGGGATGGAAAGACACGTGAACAGCGGCCACATGGCAAAGTTCTGGAAACCGGTAGGCGACGACGGGAACTGGTAGCACAGGGCGTAGTCCTTCATGTCGATGCGAACCAAATCGTTCAAGCGAGGAGCGGGGAAGCTCAGGATGCGCGACACTTCCTCGGCGTGGAACAGATTAGTGGCCTTGTTCCAGTGGATCCACATACCACGAAGGTAGTCTCCAAGAAGGTTGTACAGAGGGTACCGCGAGAGGAAGCTCAAGCAGTACGGGATCCAGTAGGTCTCATCGGGGTTGTCGAAGAAATCGGGCTCGATCCGCTTGCGAAGGTCGCGGATTGTTTCAGCCCTCTTCTCGTCGGCGCGCGACCAAACGCGCAGAGCGATACCGTAGAGGGTGTGTGACGAGTCCTGCTGTAGGACAAAAGAGTGGTGCACACAATGTGGCTGACTTCGCCCGGTGCAAATCTCCACATCATGAGGGAAGCAAGCCTGTCGATGTCAGTCACTCACGTTCGGCCGTTGCGAAAAAAGCAAACCTACCCGCATCGCAGCATGGAGGGATCTGGCAATGTCGTTGTCCTGCTCGAGCCTCGGACTGCTTCCGAGGATCTCTGGCAGCCAGAAAGTTCCCACTGCGCCCTTCATGTGTCCAATCTTGCCGGAGCTCGGTGCGGGCGCCTTGACCCATTGTGATGGCTCCCTTCCGACACCGCAGACCATGTAGGCGTGGGTCAATGTCTTGGGAGTCTTTGCTCCTGGGCGTACGTTCAATGTCGAAGGAAGAGGCTGGGTGATTCTCGAATGGAGGGACGAGGTCCGGCTGGGGATGATCAGACTGTGGTCCCCATGGTCCCTGGTAGGCGGACGATCCTGGTCGCGCGTCCGTGGACGCAGGCTGAGAGACGGTGCCATTGTGTAGGAATTGGAGTCTATGCTGTCAGACTGGGTGTTCGAGGTGGTGACTGGTGCAGACGCGGTACATCCAGGGGTTGAGGAGAGCTCCTATAGTATAGTCTGGTGAACCGAGGGTACAGCAACGATGTACAAAAGAATGGCAGGCGCACTTGTCAGAGCACTCGAGTACGGGACGTACTGGCGGCGGGGAGCTCTGGGACCTTGCTGCGGGACGCAGTGAGGAGTGCTGCAGCAAGGAAATTGGATTTATCGCAGGCGGGCTGGCGGTTTTGGGGAGCTGCCGCAGAATGCAAGCTTGGGCTAGGGCTATGGAGAAGGTGGCGCTATCGGGCCAGGGTGCCTGTGGGCTTCGCTCGTCTCGGTTGCACGACGAAATGAACGTCGTCGCTGCCAAATCGGCGCGCCAGCAGGGTCCTGCCCCCGGCCAGAGAGCCCGCGCACGGCGCGTTCAGGGGCACACCCGCTAGGAACCTGCGTGTTGAACTTTATCCCCCCCGTATGCCTGATGCACACAACGGCCGTTCTCTGCACGGCAACGCCGCATGCCGCGAGCCCGAGCACGGCAAGACAGCACCGCGCCGCACAGCAGACGTGACGACGGCCATGTGATGCATGCCGCAGCGTCGATGGATTGCATCACGACCATCCTGGTGCTGTAGTGGCCGGCGCTGTGTTCCGCTGCCATTGCAGGAGCGACATCCGCTCTCCCCCAGCAGCCATGAGTCGTGCAGCCGCAGCGCAACCGCATCTCAGCTTTGCTGGCGCGAACCTTCGTCCGAGGAGCACCGCTGCTCTCGATGCTCGAGGCCTGGCGTGGGTTTGGTTCAAAACGCTTCCTTGTGCATGGCCCCGTCCGGTTTATCTGCAGTGTGAATCTCTGCATGCACGCGCGAGCTCCCACGCCCTGGAACTTGCTCCCCGATGGGCTCCGCTTAAGGCCGGCCCTCCTGAACATCACTGGATGCTTTCAGATTGCGCAGCCCGCCCAGCGCTGATCAATTCTTCCGACCTTGACGGCACGTTTGATCCTCAGCACGTTTTGCTCGCCGGACAGGAACCCCATTTGCGGATCGGCCAGGCGGTGGGTCGTGTCGCATCCCTTTCTCTGTATTGCCACTTCAGACCTTGTTCTTCATGCCGCTGTCGATAGCGGCGCACGCAGGTGGGGCCTGCGTCTTCCATCGAACTTCTGCGGAAGCTGCGAGAGGGAGAGAGGTGAAACGCGCCAGCTCTCGATCAGCCAGATGCATGTACGCTACGGTAGCTGGCGATTGGCGATTGGCGTCGATTCTCACGGGCGCCCGTCCAGCGCCGTCCAAGAGGCGTGCAGCTCGGTAGATCCAGTCAATTCAAAGAGCAGTGGTCCCCAATCTTGGTGCGGAGAGACTCTTCGAGGGCGCTCCCTGTTCCTCACAGACGCCTCCAGATTGATCAACGCTTGGGTGTCCCCGGTTCTGACCTGTCTGTTCGAGACTCCCGGCAACATGGCAGGCAGAGAGGGAACATGTTGGCCTGTGTCGAAAGGTATGGCCTCTGGTCGTCGAGTCGCCTGCCTGTTATCGCCTGTGTATGCAGAATGTATGTAGGTGTAGATAATCCCTGCCACTGAAACATAGTCGCTAGTCGCAGGAGCTATGGTTCCCAATGAGCCCTGAAGTCGTGTGAGTGGCTGACGCTTACATCGTCGTAATTCCTCCGCCTGTTTAGCTGCAGTATCAACAACATCTTGACATCTAGATGCTCCGCGTGGTACGATAAGAACAGTAGCATCAACGGTCGCGCGCATACTGGCTTCGATGGTGTATTGCGTGAAAGAAGCAGGATTATCAAGCCCCTGCCAATCACAGCCTAGCATGCTGTTTTCTGCGCCAAGACATAAATTGGACCTTCCCTCAGCAACCACACCTCTACGTCAAGACTATCATCACGCAAGCACTACATCCGGCTATCGTACCCTCCACTACACAGATAGTCTCCATCGTGCATTGCCGCCAATCCGGCCCGCAGTCTTGACATATACCAGATATTTCCCGAAAAATCTCCAAGATCGTCCTGCACACCTCTGCATACTTGCGGGAATCTCCGCCTTCCGCAGAAATGGCCGATGACGCTCTACTGAGTGATCTCTGCAGTATATGGTAGGTTTCATACTGATCAATGTAGGCTGTGGCCTGTAGTCGTGCGGTCTGAAATCATTTCAAAACAAGTTCACCACTGACTAACCATATCAGCAACACTGTCCAGTTCAAGTACCGCTGCCCTGGTTGCTCGGCGCGTACTTGCTCGCTACCATGCTACAAGCGTCATCAGCAGTGGGCACAGTGCGATGGGAAACGTGACCCCACCAAGTTCGTCAAGAAGTCGCAACTTGCGACGCCTGCAGGTATAGATCACGACTATAATTTCTTAACGGGCATCGAGCGCGGGTTAGAAAAGGCAGAAAAGCAGCTAGAGGATCCGGGTCTCGGCAGCAATCCGGATCCCCGCCGTGATGCTAAGGGACGGCAGCCAACCGATCAGCACTTCGCCGGCGCTGGCGTTACCGTTATTCGGGCCCCTAAAGGGCTGAGTAGGCAAAAGGATAACAAAACCCACAAAAACAAGCAGAAGTAAGTCACTTATCGTATTCGAAACTGGTTTTTCCTGAGTTGACCTACTAGGAACATTGTCTGGACAGTCGAGTGGATCTACGAAGAAACGAGCCGCATCTTGACGCAGAGTTCATCTGCGGGCACTATATTGCAAGCTCAACCATTCAAACCAGAGAACAAGAAACGGAAGCGGGGTGTTGAACAATCCGCTTCGGCATCGACAACTCAGCCAATCAAGCAAGATGATCTGTCGCCTATCAAGCTCGAAGAAGCGGCATCTACGGTTGAACAAGGGAACGCACAGCCAGAGCCTTCTGCTACTGGCGGACCTAAACCAGAGCGACTCGACCCTGGTGCAATCACAGGAGATGGAACCGCCAGAGACGCCACCACAACGAAAGAGGACGAGGTCACTGTTGCAAGCGATAATCACAGGAGCCTTCGTTTCGATGGCCCAGAGTCCGAACCCTTACCTCCTAAGTACGCTTTCTACCTATTAAGGCCAAGGACGAGCTCCAATCGCCACGTGCTCATTCGCCTCGAACCTACGGCTACACTTGGCGAGTGTCTCCGTGGACGCACAGTCCTCGAGTTTCCTACCATATACGTCTTCCCGGAATCAACGTATCCACCACAAGACAAGTTCATGCTTGAGGCAGAGTACCTCCAACAGGAGGGCGAAGAGCAGAAAGAGCTCGAAGACCTCCTCAAGCACGTCAGCCCCGAGACCCTACGCGCACTCAAAGAAGAGCATAGCGGCGATAATAACGCCGGCGAGCAGATCGATAGCGACAGAATATTGGATGTGTTAAAGCAAGATATGGGAGCCGGGGCCTGAGCAGGTGGATGACTTGCCCAATCGAGACACCACTGCAGTATCCCCTGCTTCGCTACGCCTACTGGAAGCAACTTTTTCGGGTTCCTGCAGTATCGAAAGTATAAAACACGCCATAACGCCATGCATCTTCCACTTTTTGGCAACGTCGAGTCGTGGTACTCGTAACGCGCATGCGGAACATCCTGCGTCGACGACTCAAAACCCCACGCCGTTCGTCTTGAAACGTTTATGTTGCGCGTGCCTCGGTCCTGATTTTAATAGCGCTGCAGCAACTCTATATCGGATATCTATCACATGCGCCACCGCACATCGTTTCCCTAAAAGCTCATCTCTTCTTCCTCATTCAGTCTTCGTGATCACAAAAAGCAACCCGTTTTACTGTTTCCTGAGGTGGTGGCGGCCGTCGTGCGCGTCACTGTTTCATATTTCTTTTCCCCGTTGTTGCCGTTCCGCAGCCTTGCATCACCCTAGCTCATCTCCACACTCCAACCGTCTCCCCGCCACGACTATCCCAGCTCGCAAACGTCAGCGCTTAGTACACAGTACGCAAGGATATCCCGCATCTATTGGTATGCCTCGGAGATTTATCGTGTCTCTAATGCTACGGTAACTACCAATCTATCATTGCAAGGACACCCTTTCCTTTTTGCAAAACGCAATCGAAGCACTGTCATCAGGATTGGAATTTCTGAGTTTCTCACAAAGGGCCCCGCTCGCTTGTAGTAGGAAGGCCACGTTATGTCCTGAACGCGGTCGGCAGCGCATACCGCGAGGGTGGCTTTGCGTCAAGAGGTAAATTCAAGGAGGGGTATTGCTCTGATCTGGGGCGCGGAGTACGATGATGACGCGTAGAGACGTGCGGCAGACATTGTAGAGTTCGGTAGCGTTGCGGAGAGTCACCACTTGTCTATCGGTATAGACAAGGGTATCACATATACCGGGCACACGAGGAGAGTGAAGCTGATACATACCTAGAGCAACGGCGTCGGCTCTGTCTACGTAATTCGGATACCTCCGCTACCAACGTTCTGGACAGAGTTATTCTTCCATCATTATAGGCATGGAAATGGCATATGGTCACCACGTGAAGCAACGGGTGTAATAGTTATCGTAGTTGCCGGTCGCCGGTGAAGTTCCAGACTCCTGGGTGGAGTTCTCATGGTACATTGGTACTGGCGTACTCCGTAGTTTACACTAGTCAACCCATCCCCAACCTACGCGTCCTACGCTCCAAACTTTGTCCATCCAGCAAAGTCATCATCCATGTATTATCATACGACTTTGACATCTCGACACTCAAGTGCTTATTTCGTCGACTATCGCGTCGTATACCTCATACACATACATCAAACGCCGAAAGTTCCTTCCCTCCTTTCTTTCCCCGCCACAAGCCGCGGCCGAGCTTCGCCGCCTTTCAACCCCACCACCTTGCACAAGCCCATCTAACTATTTTGACTTTCCATCTCCGCAGCACCCACTCTCGAGTCCACACTCGCTCGATACGCGAGTCGTGACTACTCTGCTAGGCGTCGATCAAGCACGTCGCGCGGTCTTGGGGTATGCATGTCACAACTCGGTGCTAGCCGACCGGGAGAGCCTGCGCAACACGAGGCACGCCGACACGGCTGGCTGCCGGCAGCCGAAGGTTGAAGGTGTGCCGAGTGCAAAGGTAGGTTTATTGTGTGGTATCACCGTTTGAGGCGCGCGGGCGGGGATAATGCTCGTGCATGTTGTGCTTCGGATTCTGCTCGCCTCAGCACTGAGCTTAGCAGCTGGATCTACGAAGCGAGTCGACTATCGTTCTAAAGACCCAGGCGTAATCAAACTCGCCGATGCGGTCCGAGGACAAAGCGAGTGAACGGTCCGGTGCGCGTTTAGGCGTCCTGGGGAATGTGGTCGATCGGATGGGTATCTTGATCTGAGGATTAATTCGATCTAAATACCTCATCTAGTTATACAACGGCAATTTATGAACGTTCAAATCTTATGCTTGTCGTCAGTATATTTACTGTAGTTATAATATGGGGTATAGACAGTATTTACCTTACTGTTGCTGAAGGAGCAGAGTAGTGAGCGCCCGTACATGTAGTAGTCATGAGTTTATTTGAACCAGCTTGATGACGAGTTCTCTACTTATTCCCATCTACCCCTGTTTGTGGTACATGGAAGTATGCAGAGCTGTATCGATGGACCAACACGGTGATGCCTCAGCATCGACCGTAGTAACCCGTGAGCTTCTTCCCTGGAAGCATGATTTTTATGCGCGGACCGAACCTAGGCGATGTACCTGCAATACTCCTGGAAAACCTCATGAGCAGAAACGGATCAAGGCAACTAGAGAGTTTTCGTCATGTAGTCAAAGGGTCGTTGTAGGCAAAAGTAGTAGAAAAGTTTCACACCGAGCCCTCGATATCCCAAAACAGGTGACCAAGCGACCGAATACTTATCGCCAAATGCTTTAAGAAACTAAAATATGTATGTTGGACTCAAAGCATGAATTCTGCTCCTTGGATCCGAACTCATGGGCGCCTGAAAACCTCTTGGTAAGCTTTTCCAGCGCCTGGCGTGTCTTGCGCAGCAATTCTCTTCGAGCTTACGATAGTATCAACTAGACGATAAGATAAATTTAACAACACATATGTACGATTCGACCAGTTCCCAGAGTACATTCATTCTCTTCCGAATGCACATGAATAAGATGACCACGTGCAAACTACACATAATTCCACTGCTTCATCTTCGCACGAAACCCATTCAAAGATGATTGCGATGGATTACAAATGTGCTCGCTTTGACTACTAGCGAGTATCGTCGAAGCGTTACTATAGTGAAGGTAATACCTTCGAAGGTCTAATCGATCAACTAAAATTCTCTCGCCTGCAGGGAAGGTTTTTCTCTCTCTTTTCTTTTCTACACATCTTTGCGTTCGTCCCAAGGAATACTCTATAAAGTCACGCCTCTTCCAGTTATCGTAAGCATGTAAATACAAGCATGGAAAGTGACAACTACCGGCTCAAAAGACCAAGACTACACCCCCCTAGGTTCTGGAAAGCTTCGTCAGCCTCGATTAGACTGACCAGTGTGTCGATTTCCGCAATCGAGGTGAATCTTTCTGGCTATTGGGACGGGTTGAGCTTCGCTACGATAAGAAATACGCGACTTCTCTATAGACAGAAGTCACTGTATGGGTTTTGAATCTGGTCATAATGACGTTTGCGAAGAGGTCGGTCTCTTGAATCCGATCCGGCAGACTTGACAGTTGCAGGTAGCTGTCGAGCTTACATGGTGGCAGATACATAGGCAGGAGATGTGATACTCGTAGCTTTACACAAGACTGGAAAGCGCATCCTGCGGGCAGCTGATTGATGTGACATTATAGACTTACTCGTTTCATGCTTAGTCTTTGGGGTCATGGTATTGTTGTAAGATCGGAAGATTATGGGAACTCGAATAAGCCGCCGTTCTACTTAGGCCATGGGCATCGTAGTCTATGAGCTAACAGCCCTTCATCCTATCATGGAGCGCTTCATCTCAGGATCCCCTATCACTGTACGACCTGTGATTTCGGTTTATCTCTTGAGCTGTTGATATGTTGCCAACTTACATTGTTGCGGATAGAGTTTTGGACACACTGAGTACTCAATGGAATATTGCTGAGATCGTGTTATGATATGTCTTCTGGGATAGGTAGTCATTCTGTATCATTGTTCCCTGAATGACCTCGTGAAGTTCTCATTCATGGCGCCGACCGCGGAACACTTGTTCGAGCTGGAAGCACTGATTGCAGCTAGACTATACAGCTATCACACATAAGCTTACCTTTCATGAGCAAACGATAACAAGGCAATGGCCGAGTATGAAGGCGTTGGTTGAGATATAGGGCGCGGCGTCTAGTGTGAAGGTGCCTCGATGGCGCCAAAGGCAAGCTGCTTAGGTGTTAGGCAGGTTTTGGGCAAGCGGGAAGGTGCCAACATGGTCGAGGAAGGCACGATGGAGTAGCTGGGTTACACGCATAGGAGGGGAGGGTACATCGAGTTGTGGGGTAGTTGTGGTTGATGTATGCAGATCAAGGAATTGTCGTTGAGGTTGTATCTCAACGAAGGTCTAAGTCTACAATATTTTGTTGAATGTTCGAGCTTGAATTGACCTCAGCGTCGGAAGGCGTCGTAGACAAGCCATGTTGAGCTTCTGCTCCAACAGTCTCCTGCTTCCCCGGCTGATGATTGTAGCATCGCTCGGGAGCTTTGCCAGTATCCAAGTCCTCGTGATCATCGATCAAGGCTTTTGCAACCGTCTGGTCGAACAGAGACGTACGTTGCTCGGACTTCCTTGAACCGACGAAGTTGTCGATATTTTCGTCTTCTTTGAATCTAGCCCGAAGCCACACCACCTACTGCCTCGTCAGTAAACGCGCGTCGTTTCTGTTTCCGCAGTACGCGATGAACGTCGGAATCATTTGTGTGCCCGCCTGGAATATTTTCATACACACACTTCAGCCTATGCAAGCCATCTCAACCTGCGGTGAACATAAGGTTCGATCCAAGCTCCTTCACCCAGTCACACAACATTTCCCCGCATAAATCGTCTGATATTTTTGCTTGCAGTGCGGATCGGGCTGACGCGGATAAAGGCGATGTGGGGGCCCTTGTAGCCAGGTTTTTGGGAAGTTGGCTATTTATCCGTCTTCGGACTATCCGAATAAAGACGTTTGCGAGAGCATTGAAGAAGAAGTGGTGTAGGCGGAGGTGTAGGCGAAGGTTTGTTTGCTCGCTTAGATGCGGATTTGATTCGATGTTGCTGGAGGGTGAAATTAGTTTGGCTTGATGTGGCGTTGTGGGAAGCCAGTAGACAGTGTACAGGAAGGATGAAGGTAGGCAGAGCCCTTCCGTACCTTTGCCTACTCAATTGTACATGATCAGATGGTAGACTGCATACGGAGCAGATAGACCCGCACTGCAAGCGGCGTTCAAGTGCAGCGTTGAGATGCACATGGCTCGGATCTTGTACATTGCCGGACCAAAAGACTGGTAAACGGTTGATAGCCGACGAATTTTACATAATTGCCGACAGCTTTGTGAGTTGACACTGTTGCTCGTGATACATGTGCCTACCGAAGCCTATCCGACTCTTACAGTGGTATTGCCTCCGTCAGAGACATACAGACTGATGTTATAGCCAGTTGCGACTGGCATCCATTATAGGGCGAATTAAGTCACGGCACCTTTTCGATCATCTGTTCAAGGCAGGTCGGCGGTTCGTCGTTCATATTCTTGTGGCCTTGTTGTTTGCAGGGAAGAGTTGAACATGTACAGTGAAGGTCATCGTGGCGAGGTGAAAGGCGGGGAAAGTGCATATGCAAGCCAAGCTTATAACGAGCCTGTTAATAAAACGGCCACTGGTGTTGCAAGATTCCGGGCAGGAGCGCGATGTTACTTGGACTGATCCCTGGCGCTGATCAGGCTTGAATCTAATGCAGCTATCAGGAGCAGGAGGCGGGGCGTCACCTCTCGCGATGCGTCTGCAGCTTCGCTCAGGGCCATGAGAAGAGATTTCACACTGGCAAAGAAATACTGTTGACCGGATGATACGGTATCCCGTTATGGTTGGTCGCTAACCCCAGCAATCGCGCGCGAGAATTGCTCCCAGCCACCTCTCGCCAAGCACGAAAAAAGTTGATGTGACGAGTATCTGCATAAGTATATACCATCACACCGCGAGGCGCGCCGCAGGATTGTCCAGAGGTATGCCGACGCGAGAAGATAATACCGACGCACGTGAAATCCAATAAGCAGACATATTCGCAGTCGATTCAATACTTGAGTGGAGTTATTAGATTTCACACTGTCGCTCTGGGAAGTTTGTTGATCCTGGTACCATGTTGGGCACTGGCGTTCAAGGTTGGAGTGACTGAGGAAGTTCATACATGTACTATGCTGCAATGAGTGCAGTGCGCCAACGACGCGTTGGACCCGATTGCGTATCTGCAGGCCGCGGGGGGAATTGCAACAACGTGTTCGGCTCCTTGCTGCCGTCTCTTGCTGCTTCGAGCTCGGCAAGATATTCGCGTTACCAGGCCAGCGCACAGTGAAGTCAAAGTCAGTGACGATCTCAATTGAATTCGAGATGAGCAAGCTGAAACACAGCGATACTGCCGGCTCGCGTGGCCACGACTCGATCGTCTAGCCCTACTCGACTAGCCGAAGTCGGCTGTTCTGCTTTTGGCGCTGGCATATGGTTGCAACGCTCGCCTTGTCATGCGGCGTGGGGTGTCCCTCCTGTATGGTTGTCATTCCTCATGCACGAGCTGGTGGCAACGGACATGTGGGAGGTAGGTCGGCACATAGATTGTCTCCTCCAAGCAGCCCAAAACGTGGCCTAGCGGCAGTCCTCAGCAAGAGCGTGCCGCTGCAGCTGAGAGGGGCCGGGAGGGCCTGATGCAGCTAGTGGAGGGAGCATGGCAGCAGCAGTTTGGACGGGAGTTGGCGCCACTCTTCCTGCGATCAGCGCCGACGCTTGCCTGCGAATAGCAGCGAGGCGGACGGCGACGGTAGGTTTAGGACCGTGGCTAGAGGATTGCGGCATGGCGTGACGAGTCGACGACCAGGGGCGCGCGGTGGTTGGGGACTCATTTCCCCTGCGGCAAGAGTCAGGCGTATCGAACAAGCAAAGAAGACGCGTAGAAGGCGCTGAGGAAGGCGGGAGTGCACTTGGAGCGTCGCACGGCAGAGATGGCGACGCATAGTGAGGCCACCAGCGGGCTGCGACAGGAAACGCTCAAGCCGAGCCATACCCAAGCATACTGTGTACAGAGACGCAGGAAAGGACCGCAGAGCCCGAGACCCTGACCCTTTCACGCTGCTCGCGCTCGCTAAGGGGCACGGTTGCTCTACTCGCTCCCAGGCCAGGGGCTCCTATAGCGAGGTGCCCTACATACACACGCGCGCACCCGACGCCCGTCCACCTGTTCTCGCTACGGACGCTGCGTTGCTGCCTCTGCGCAATTCACCCTTCACCTGTGCTGTTGGTACCGCGACACGCGCGCTGCAAAGCGTCTCCCCGTCGGCGCAGACAGCCTAAATCAACACCTCCGCGCCCGCTCCGCATTCGACCTATGAGGCGGCCCCAGAACAATTTGCCTACCACCACTATAACTTCTCCCGGCTCGACTCCTCACTCCGCGACGCCAGGCTCCGGTACTGCGCACGACCCCATAGAGCAATAACGGCATTGCCGCGTGCCGGCAGTAATGGCCTCTCCTCCAGGCTCGCCGCCAGGCGCAATCCAACGACCCATGAGCGCCATGCTCCGCTCGAATCGCTCCAGCAGCAGGATGAGCATGAGCAGCAAGCAGGGCGGCTCGCGGGCATCAGATGATGATTCCAGGACTGCTGTCAAAGTTGGTACGTCGCACACACATTCGCGTTTTCCCCGCAATAAACAGAGACTAACAACATTCCAATGCAGCGGTTCGCGTACGCCCGCCGCTGAAGAATGGCGACCCGGGCTTCGAGCTTGTCCCGCAGCGCTTCCAGGTCTCCCGAGTTGACGTTACCTCCGCCCAGCAAATCGCCGTCGACGCTCCCAACGGCCGCAAGCTGTTCGTCTTCGATCGCGTATTCGGCGAGGACATTGATCAGGAGGGCGTGTTTGACTATGTTCAAGACAGCGTCACTTCCTTCGTCGAGGGCTACAATGTCTCCATACTCGCATACGGCCAATCCGGCGCTGGAAAATCTTTCACCATGGGTACGACTGGCCCTGAGGACCAGGCGAAGCCTGAGATCAAGGGTATAATCCCCCGTGCTGCCGCCGTGCTGTTCGAACAGCTGGAGGGGCCCAATCCTGCTCGCGGCTCCGGCATACGGGCACCGTCGCGCCTGTCTGGACTCGGTACTGCGCAGAGCATGCACAGCAAATCGGCAGCGAACAAGAACTGGCAGTTGAAAGCGACCTATGTAGAGGCATGCACGCTCATCTCCTCTGAAATCCGCATTGCTAACTCGAATAGATCTACAATGAGCAGCTCCGCGATCTCCTCATACCAGAGGCAACCCCCGCAAACGAGCGTCAGCAGGTTGTCATCCGCGAAGACACCAAGGGTCGCATTCTCCTGACCGGCCTTACACAAGTCTCGATCAACACCGTTGAAGATCTTCTCAACGCCCTCAACTTTGGCTCTTCCATCCGTCAGACGGACGCCACCAACGTGAACGCCCAGTCCTCCCGCTCACACGCCGTTTTTAGCTTGAACCTGATCCAAAAGAAGACATCAACAGGAACGACACCTCTCACAAAGCGCGAGAAGCGAATGTCCGTTCCTATCGAGGCCATGTCCGGCAGTAAGAGCGAGAACTGGGTCACAGTCGACAGCAAGCTCCATTTCGTGGATCTGGCGGGAAGCGAAAGGCTAAAGAACACTCAGGCGCAAGGAGAGCGAGCTAGGGAAGGTATTTCGATCAATGCTGGACTTGCAAGTCTGGGAAAGGTCATTTCTCAGCTTTCATCACGATCACACGGCGCCCACGTCTCTTATCGGGACTCCAAATTGACCCGCCTGCTGCAGGACTCTCTCGGTGGAAACGCCATTACCTATATGATTGCCTGTGTCAATCCCGCTCAGTTCCACTTGAGCGAGACCTTGAACACAGTTCAGTACGCGCAACGCGCTCGCGCTATCCAGAGCAAACCCCAGATCCAGCAAGTGAACGACGATAGCGACAAGCAGGCTGCCATCGATCGGTTACGTGCTGAGGTGCAGTTTTTGCGCGATCAAATCAGGCTGTCTGAACGAACAGATAGGAAGAAGACGAACCCCCAGGAGTGGAACGAACGTCAGAACGAACGCGAGATTGAACTGAACAACCACGTGCTTGATCTACAGGAGAACTACAATGCGTTGAGCGCTCGCCATGCGAAATTGATCACGGAGCTGACAAAAGCCCGCGACCATGGAGAGGAGGAGACGCCCTTGCTCAGGGACACGGTTGGGGATGCCGCTCTGGAGCGATTGAAACGATCAAATGAATTTCGTGACACCGTTGAAAGTGTGGTGATGGAATATGAGCAGACTATCCAGAGTCTGGAAGCATCCCTCACCATGACCCGATCGTCGTTGGCCAGCAATGAAAGCGAATTGCTCGAGAAAGAGGCCAGGATTTCGATTCTCGAACAACAGACACAGTCATTGCAGTCGCGCATCCAGAAGGCCGTGGATCGCGAAGCAAGCAATGAAGAGTACGTTAAGACTCTCGAGGCTCAAGTCGACAACAGCACTTCTGGCATTGAGAAGAACGATACCGTAATCACAGAGCTGCGAGAGAAGCTGCAAAAGGCCCGCGAAAACGAGACCAGCTGCGAGGACTATATCTCGACTCTGGAGGAACGCCTCGCCGAGAATGAGCAAGAGGTGGACTTGATGCAGCGCGAGATCGAGCGATTGAAGCATGTGGTCGAACGGCAACGAAGTATCGGCAAGCTCGACAATCTCCTGTATGAGCTAGACAGCATCCGTCAAACAGACGCAAAGGGCGAAGAGCCGCTTGTCAATGGTCACTCAAAGACCCCTAGCGACCCATTCATCGAGAAACGCTCGTCGCAGACTGCCAGCCGCCAGCTCAGCAATACCGACGCCATTGCGGAGGAGGACGAGATCGAGCGGCCCTCCACAGGCGGTGCTGTTCCACCTGCCGTCGATAGGGTCGAAGATCAGGAGGACGGTCAGACGCCCATGATCTCCATCAAGAACCTCAAACCTGATGATGAAGTGGAACCACCGCAGAGCCCTGCACAGTCTCGCTACGTGGAGGATAAACTCGAAACAGTCACGCGGGAATTACTGGACCTTCGCGTTGAGCATGAAGACCACGTCCAAGACTACGAGCGGCTTGACATCAAGTACCAGAAGGCCTTGGCTACGATAGCGTCGCTGCAAGACGTTGTGGAGGAGGCTCGTCACCGACGACCATCACTAGCGAGCTCCTCTCGACCGACATCTTTTTTAGCGGACGTGGGTCTGAAGGCCGAGGATGGACATCAATCATCGTCGCGTACTTTGTCTGCGGAATTATCTTTAGCGGAATCTGGCAATACATCCACTCCCGACGAGAACACGGAAGCAGCGCCGGAGCATTCTGAGATCGAAGCCGCAGTGCCCAAGTCCGATTCAGCAAACGACTTGTCAGCACAGACAGAGTCGGACATCCTGCGAGAATTAGCGAATCTGAGGAGATTGCATGCTGAAAAGGAGGAACGAATGGTGGAGCTAAACCGAGAATTCTCCGATTTACACGAGCAGCACCAGGACACGCTGGACTACGTGGAAGAGCTCAAGTCCGAGGTCACCAAGGCTCAGATGGTACGTCCGAGCTCGCCGAATGCTCAGATCATCCGCCGCAAGTCCAGCCAAAATGTCATCGCGAATGACCGTTCAACCCGTGCGTTCGCCTCGCTTCGAAACATCGCTTTGGAAAATTTCGAGGAGGAGCCAGACACTATACAAAACTTCGAGTTGAACTTGAATGCCATTATGAGTGAGCTGCATACGCGAACTGAGAAGGTTCAAGAGTTGGAAGCCGAGGTAGGCTCTGTGAAGAAGGACATGGAGGACAAGATTAGACTCATCAACGGTCTCGCCAAGGAACGATCCAGTCTGCAGGCTTCGTCCCCTCTCGACATCTCCGTCGTTGCGACAATGCAGGAACAACTCAAACACAGCGAGGAGCAGGTGCAAGAACTGAAGGACTCGCATTCGCAACGAGAGCAGGAGCTGCTGGCACAGATAGCAAGCCTCAAGGCATCTGTGGCGGACGTGGATACTCTTGACGAGCCTCTTTCGCCACGACAAGCTCCTCCACAGCAGGCGTCGATGGCAGAGTCTCTGGCAGCAGAGGATGACGGAGCACACCAAGCGCAGATCGCTAAGCTCCAGGGTGATTTGACCCAGTTGCAGTCCAAGTACGAGCAAAATCAAATGCAAAGCGCACGAGAGGTGCAGGCTGCTCTGAAGAAGCTCGAGGACGACCACGCGACTCGCATCGCCGAGCTTGAGCAGTCTCACGGCGCAAATGCCGAGGCTCAGCTCGAACAAGAGAAGTCTAAGCACGCCGAACTCGTTGCGGCCCTCCAAACCCAGGTAGACGAGCATAAAACCACCGCTTCTAGCCATGCAGCCCGCATTGCTGAACTCGAAGAGCTGCACGCCAAGATCCTCCATCAGGTTGAAGAGGACGCGGAGGCATCCGAGCTCAAGCAGAAGGAGCTAGATACTCACAAATCCCTTGTGTCTAATCTCGAGAAGCAAATCGAGCAACACAAAGCAGCTGTCGAGTTCCACGAACAGAGCCTGGAGACGCTGAAGCAATCGCACACTAATGAGCTAGACAAGCTGGCCGCTGAGCTCACCGCCCAACAGACCTCGTCACAGACGCTTCAGGCGGACCTCACAAAAGCTAAGGCTGACATGGAGAGCCTGCTTGCGGGAGTCTCTTCCGCTTTGGACGGCGAAACAGACATGTCACAAATTCATTCGAAGATCCAAGGCTTGGTCGAGGATCGCAAGTCACTGACTGGCAAGATGGATGAAGCTCTCAGCGAGCTTGAATCACATCGGAAAGAGCTTTCGGAAGCGAACGATACTGTTGAGCGTCTGAAGAACGAGAGCACCCAACTAGCCGAGTCAAATGAGAAGCTCAAGGGCACGGTCAAGGAACTCGAAGCGATCAATGCAGACGTGCTGAAACAATATCAGCAGATCAGCGACAAGGAGAGGAAGAGCTCCCGACTGGTGCAGGAGTTGGAAGAACAGCTTAATGCGAACTTCGACCAACACGCTGCGGCTACCAACCGCTTGTCCGCTCTCCAGACGGAGCGCAGCCGCGAATTGCAAGACGCAATGGACCGTAAGGACCAGCTTGAGCGGGACATGGAGCAATCTCGCATTCAGATTGCGCTGCTCGAGGTATGTGGAACAACTGTGCGCGACTGATTGGCATGCTAACAGGAGTAGTCTCAACTTACCGACGCGAAGCGCGTGTCTCATCATCGCGAGTCCATTGACCCTCGCGAAAACTTGCAACGGTCAAATTCCAACAATTCTAACATTCGCTCGAGCACGAATCACACTTCGTTGCCCTCACCGCCACCGGCAATTCCTCTGCCGCCGCTCCCAGGAAGTCCTCCGCCACAGGCTAATGGTGCTTCGCCGCCTGCGTCCCGCCACCAGAGTAAGGATATTGCCCAGGCACAGCTCGTCGAGGACCAGGAGGCGCGCATCCGTACGATTGAGAAGCACCTGTTCGCCGAGAAGCAGCTCACTGCTACCTTGGAGGACGCTCTGACTGACCTGGAGACGTCAAGCCAAAAGACGAAAGATGAGGTCGGCAATTGGAAGAAGAAGTGTGCTAGCCTCGAGCAAGAGCTTGACGGCTTGAAGAAGGAGCGCAGCATGGCGCGCCACTCTCTCCAGGCCGTTGAGGAAGAGCGCAACGCACGTCTACGCGTGGAAGCTGAGCGTGCTCACCTCGAAGCCCGCATGGCCGCCCTCAACAACAGCCAGAAGAAAAAGAAGAAGGGCGGCCTCAATTGCTTTTAAGCCCTCCCAGGCTCCGAATTGCTTCAGCTCGCACATACAACCGCTGAACGATTGATCGATCAACCGCTTGATACCCACCTGCCCTTCGGTGTACAACTTGCACATATACGATGTATCTGCTTTTACCGGCGCCTTTGGGAAGGAAAGCTACATACCCCGATACACTACTTCCTCTTCATTCGACATTTTCCTTTCTACCATTCTTCTTCTCCTTCACTTTACCACCACATTACCTTCGCTTTCCTTTCTCGACATGTGTTTATGATTTGCGACGCCCTGGGGGGTAAAACGTAACCTACCTCACTTTTTGCACTGCATATAGGACGCAGCCTCACGGCAGTCAGGTGGATTAACTTTTCTTTGCACTTGTTTGTCTTGACTTTGCGCGTACCTGCACCATACCCCCAATACTTCGATTCGATGTCTTTTAGTGTGTGAGATTAGATGATGCATGTCCCATGGGCCGTGGGCGGATGTTTATAGTAATGTATGTGAGTACGCATGGAGGAAAGCACAGGGTTTTGCTGTGGTGCATCTTGTGTATGAATTTGTATTGGTGATGAGGTTGGAAGGGAGGAGATAGCTTGTTAATTACACACGCCCTATTTTCTGTTCTCTGCATTCAAGCTCTGCACCGTTGCCGACACGTCGTTGATACCTTTCAGTGCTGGGAGGGTCATGTTCGAATCGATTTTGCTTAGGTATAAGTCGCCAACCTTACATACATAGTTCGCTAATACTAGGAAACACTTATCGACATGTCAGTGTCCCTCACATGTTGTCTGCATGGAGCATCGGACGGTCGGATCATCGGAATTTCACTCACGGCTTTTCGTTCCCAACATTGTGGTCCTCGATACACAAAACACGACAGTAGTAGCACTTGACGTTACCCCGCTTCGCGCATATACATCTGACTACAGGGCCTACACCGAATCAGAGACGTTCATTCGTTCGTTCGTTCACACATGATATGCATTGCAATTTGTACCTACCAGTTCCAGGTGGGGAAACTCCATGGACATTCCGCATTACGCACTGGTAGGAAAATGCCTCGTCCTCCATTGCTAGCTTTGCATAAGTAAGCGTCGTCAACCCCGTTGAAGTTGCTGAGCAGAAACTGCTCCTGATCTCGAAATGGTGTCATTGGCATTTGTGTCACCATCGGTAGTCGCACTTTCCTGTATTGTCGTGGTCAGTATCTCTTGCCCTTCACTTCACCACGAACACTCACAATGGAACTAGATCATCGTATCCATAGCACACCGCATTATCTACAATGTCTACTTCCATCCACTGCGCTCCTATCCCGGTCCCTTCTGGGCGAAAGCCACAGTCCTTTGGCACCTTTATCACATCTATCATGCCGACAATCACAAGGCCGTCCACCAGCTTCACCTCAAATATGGTCCTGTCGTCCGCGTCGCACCCAACGAGATAGTCTACACCAGTCCCAACATCTGGAAACCCATCTTTGGCCACAAGGTCAATGCTCCAGAGAACGTCAAAGATCCCTCTCAGAGCTTCCGAGTCGTGCAGGGCTCACAGCGTGACTCCATGTTGATGGCGCCGCGCGAGGAACACGGGAAGATGAGGAGGCTTCTTTCGCACTCGTTTTCGGACAAAGCGCTGAAGGAGCAGGAACCTATTTTTACGCACTATGTTGACCTTTTGATGGAGAAGCTGCACGATGCTTGCGTCGAGCCTGTCGATATTGTGAAGTGGTTCAACGTATGTATCGCTAGATATCACCCATTTACGAGACTCCAAACTAACAGCGTCACAGTTCACCACCTTCGACATAATCGGGCACCTCGTCTTTGCCGAACCCTTCGACTGCCTCTCTAGCACAGAGTACCACTTCTGGGTCGCCTTCTTCTTCCACACCGTCAAAGCCATCTCGTGGTCTCGTGCCCTGAATCGTCTCTCCTCGAGCATCGTTCCAGCACTGATGCGCCTACTTCCCAAGCGCATCCTCAATAAAGGTCTACTGCATTTTGAGATGTCGAAGGAGAAGCTCGCGCGACGACGCCAACGCCAACTCGACTATACCGATTTCCTCAGCGGCTGGATCTCGGCAGAGGAGAAAGGTATCCTCGATCCAGAAGATCTCGAGATGAATGTCCCGCTTCTGATCGGGGCGGGCAGCGAGACGACAGCGACGCTGCTGTCGGGCGCTACGTACCTCATCGGTAAAGACCCCCGCGTCTACCGTATCCTCGTCGAGGAGATCCGGTCAGCTTTCCAGACTAAGGAAGACATAAGAATGGACCGCCTCCCAGAGCTCAAGTATCTATCTGCCGTCCTCGACGAAGCGCTACGCCTGTATCCTCCCACGCCAACGAACCGTGTGAGACTCCTCCCACCCCAGGGCATGACCATTGAAGGCCAGTATGTCCCGGGTAATACTTTGGTGGGCATCAACTTCTACGCTGCTTTTCGCTCTGAGTCGAACTTCCATCGAGGCGAAGAGTTTGTGCCGGAACGGGTTTTGCGCGATGAGCGCGCAGACGATGAGTGGAGCCATGATAGAAGGGATGTGTTACAGCCCTTTTCGTACGGGCCGAGGAATTGCATTGGGCGGCAGTAAGTTCCAGTCTGTGGATGTGCTGCGAAAGAACATATGCTGACCTTGGACAGCCTCGCGCTAGTGGAGATGCGTTTGATAATGGCGCGGCTACTGTATGAGTTTGACGTTGAGATTATGCCTGAGAATGAGGACTGGCTTGATCAGAAGTCTTACGCGGTTTGGGAGAAGCCGCCACAAATGGTCAGGCTGCGGCCTGTTGTGAAGGCGTGATCAAAAGGACTGATCGATGTGAATGATGGGATCGGTCGGCCTTGGAGTGGGGAGTTCAATTTGGCGCGTTGCAGGTGCTTCGCGGGAGTGGTATGCGTGAGCTTGAGGCTTAGATAAGATGCATGTAGGTGTTGGTTGACATCCGCGCCTGCTTCGATAGTGCATATGAGCACAAACGACCGTAAGTTGGGCAAAAGATAAGTCAGCTCCGTATTCCGATTCACAGAAGAATTAGGCATCGGCAGTCACGTTATCCTTCAGTCAAACCGATCCTCCCTTCACGACGTATCAGCGTCTCGTCTTGACGCACCCGGCAGTCAGAAGCCCACCAAAATCCGCTTTCACCAGGCATCTACCCTCTCACGTGCCACTCAATCCAATCACATCTTTCCTTACAGCTCTATGTCGTCACTGCCTTCACCGAGTGCCCACTGTACCCAGGCAGCACCACCCACGTGACCGCTCTAGCGCGGGTCAGTGCTCAGCCCCGACCGTCTATATAAAGCCGCCCTCACTCGCCCTCCCTCCTGCTCTCTAGCTCTCTTTGCCGTATGGCTTAGATCAAGTGTAGTATCTGTTCTTTTTAGTTTAATCGCTGAAACGGGTTCATGGACCCATTCAACTATTATCCTTATTTTTCCACCTTGACTTCCTCTTCCTGGGCTTGCCCATAGTTGAGGTCACAGTGACGCCAGTATCTGCACTACCGCTGGCTGTCGCGAACGAACCGCTTCTTCATTGGGTTGCTTGGCTGTGCTGGGCGCTTGAGGAAGATTTCTGGTGGTGCGAATCGTGGAGGTGATGACCGAGGACTATGTTAATGGGGGTACACGAAGTGGGGTGGATGCGAAGAAGCTTGCCCGTACAATTGAGTTGGGCCGTTGTCAATTTAATGCCAGCCATCATGAGTTACATAGACCGCACGTTGGAGCTCTGCCCCACGCTTGCTGCTGTTCCACTGGGGATCTCACCATTCTCTACCTTGTCGCATGGCCCCCCTCATCCGGCCACTGATCCACCAACTCCTTCCCCCTCCAACCCATCACAATCCTCTCCAAATTCATCCTCACACTATACCTCAAATACTTCGTCTCGAACTTCGTCGCATACCCGCCGCCCAAGCCGCCGATATCGCTCTCCCCATCCATGGGATGATGGTGCGCGAAAATGGGCGGCTGACTCGCCAAACACACCCTCTCTCGCGCGTCCTTCTTGATCTCTTTCTTCGAGGAAGGTGACGGCGGCGCATGTGACGCTCCCATGTCTGGATCCTCGCCCGCACACCACCGCCCGAGCTCAGAGTCGAAGATGCCGTTCCAGCCTTTGACGCCGAATTGGTGGAGCAGACGCCGAGCGCCGCGCTGGCTGACGGCGTACGCGACGGTGCAGAGCTCGCCGCCAGTGGAACGGTGGTAGATGCGTGTGTGCGGGGGATAAGCGTCGGCGAGGGGATCGAGGCTGCCCTGGAAAGGGTGGGCTTTTAGGTGGCGCTGTGCTGGTACTGTTTCATCGTTCGAGTTTGTAAGAACGACGTTGGCTGTCGTAACGTCTGTCTTCTTATGGAGCGGGGAGTAGCGGGGAAAGCCTGCGCCGCAGTGGCCGATCCAGAGGACGTCCCATTGCGAGGGGTCGCCATATGGGCTGCTGAGATGAGGTTGGGGGTGATGTGATTTGCGGTATAGCGATGCTAGAGGGATGGATGGTAGGTGGCTCATGGTGTGGTTATCGTCGAGGCTGCGGAAGGTCGTTTCTTCTGTCTCGACGTTCTCTACATGTTCGATCTTGTACTGCGGGGATGATGATAGAATCTCCTTGTTACCGCTGAGGAACCGTGATGCGAGGGCGAAGCGTTGCAGATTCTGCCGGATTCGGACGTCCCAGTCCACGTCGTCTTCCAAAATTAGGGCTGTTGTGAGGTTCTGTTCCACGACCCTTTGCACCAGTCAGTTGCTTAAGCCTGTTGTGCAGGAGACGAAGTACCTTTGAAGCGCGTTCATGTGAGTTCGCCAACTTCCTCGAATACCTGGAAGAAGCTTTATGTTCTCTTGCGGAGGCGGATATGCGCTCTGTTTGATGCTGTCTCCGGTTATACCATCCACAAACTCAAGCTGCAAATTAGAAGTTGCTGCTGATAGCGTAATGGCATCACGGCGATCGGTCCGAAATGGAAGGTTCAGTACGAGTAACTTTTGGAACTTGTTGCTATGTTAGCAAAGTGTAGTTATGCATTCACCGTCTAAGAAATTTCGACAATTGATGTAGGAGTTATGGGTGCTACGAAAGGATTTCAACCTACTCCAAGCGTGGTATTCATGATATCAGTCACCGAATCGTCTCTTACATACTCCCAGGAATCCTTCGGTATTAGGATTTGGTGCCCGCCAAAGTTCAGCCATGTGTAAAAGGCCAAAAAGCACAGTATTGTTGTGAGAAGCCTCGGACGCGACGAGTACCAAGGACTCCTCCTCTTGGTGTAGTACGCTGCGCCGCTCTTCGCGCCCGTCAACCCAAAGCTATCGATGGATATCCGCCGCATGGTACTCTTCCACGACCGAGCAGCCGCATCAGAGGTATGTGGTCGTCTGAATGTTCAGAGGCCATGGTGTTCGCAAACAGGCCAGGTTTCTGGCTAAACGGAGCCGCAACGCTGATCCTCAATGCTGCACGCGATATATTGCAGATTAATTGCTCCGGATGCTGCCTGAGGCCAACGCAGTCGGAGCGAGGTCCGGCGAGCATCGCCCCCCCGGGCATTGCGACAGCACGTGAGATTCAGGTGGCGGCGGCATCGGAAATGCAGCGTCAGCGATTGGTCATTGTCGGGCGCATGGCTTATCGATAGCAGCGCAACGATGGACCGAAGGCCCTGGAAAAGGAAAAAGAAATCGATGCGCTGCTTCTCCGCTGCCTCAAGACTGCTACTGTGACTGTTCGGTTCTATCCTTAATCATATCCTACACCTCTTACAGATCTGCGCGCACATTACGGCATCGTAGCGCCCGTCTCGTTGTCTTTGCGCCGGCCGCAACCTCTTCCTTGACCCACTCGCTCCCCGCCACCACAACGGCCGACAGCAGCTCACCATGAGCGCCATTCTCTCCGCAGACGACCTAAACGACTTCATATCGCCGGGCGTCGCATGCATAAAACCTATAGAAACCCTGCCTGCGGCAAACTCGGAGGATAATTCTGTAGGACAACGCTCGCGTGCACATGCCGTCATCGGCCCATACTGACAAATGCTAGAATGCATACGAAGTAACCACCGAAGACAAAGTCGCAGCCTCACAACCACCGCCGCCCGCTACTATATCGCTTACAGACTGCCTGGCATGCTCAGGATGCGTGACCAGCGCAGAGGCTATGCTGGTCTCGCTCCAGTCGCATACTGAGGTCCTTACTACGCTCGATACCTACCGCTCGTTACGTGCGCCGTGGGAAACAAAAAATGGCAAGAGTAATGGGATATCAAACGGCGTCAATGGACATCACCATGAGGGGAAGCTCTTTGTGGCAAGCGTATCACCGCAGACCCGCGCAAGCTTGGCCGCGGTATTCAGCGTCTCCGAGTCTGAGGTGGGCAACATGATCGCACAACTGCTGAGCGGTCCGTCTGGGTTGCAGTCTGGTGGGCACAATGGTAGCGATTTCATTTGGGTCATCGACACCAATGTCGTCCGGGAGGCGTGTCTTGTTGCAGCGGCTGATGAGGTTGCCATGGCCCTTTCACCCGAGACTTCGAATGCGCCCTCCGAGCCTGGTTCAGAGGGAGCGATCAACAACACGCCGAAGAAGCCCATCCTCACATCGGCTTGTCCTGGGTGGATATGCTACGCCGAAAAAACACATCCTTACGTCCTCCCACACCTGTCGCGCATGAAGTCCCCACAGGCTTTGACCGGAACACTGCTCAAGTCGGTACTGAGCCAGCGTTACAATGTTTCCCCCTCTCAGATATGGCATCTAGCGATAATGCCATGCTTTGACAAGAAACTTGAGGCCAGCAGGAGCGAGCTCACGTCCTCCGTATGGCTTCCTAATCATGACTCCACACATGACCCCGTACGAGACACCGACTGCGTCATCACTGCCCGCGAACTGCTGCACCTTGCTGCTGCGCGCAACATCAACTTCGCAAACCTCCCACGCACACCTCTCCCATCCTCCCAGCGAACACCCTTCCCCGATCCGAAGCTCGACGCTTTCCTCTTCCCACCTTCGCGCCGAAAGAACCAGAATCCAGACGCTGGACCATCGGGCGGTTATCTCCACCACATACTGCACACGTATCAAGCTCAGCATCCCGGCTCAGAAATCGTAGTAAAGCAGGGAAGGAACACAGACGTAATCGACTACTCGCTTGTCCGTGGCTCAGAGACTATCGTCAAGATGGCGCGGTATTACGGTTTCCGTAACATCCAGAACCTCGTGCGACGACTGAAGCCCGCGAAGATCAGCAAGATGCCAGGCGCAAGAGTGGGCGGAAGCCGGAAACCGAACGGTGCGGCAGTGGAAACGGTGAAGGACTACGCGTACGTAGAAGTTATGGCATGTCCTGGCGGTTGCACCAACGGCGGCGGCCAGGTCAAGGTTAGCGAGGTGGAGGAAGTGCGAGCGTACGAGGGTGTTCAAGTTGTCAACGGTGACGTGGTCTCATCTAAACCTGGTCCCAAGGAGCAGAAAGAATGGCAGGGCCGGGTAGATGAAGCCTACTTCTCCGGCTCAGAGGACGAAGTAGATGTCGACGGCGACCAGGAGATGCAGGACGTCGATGTCAACGGGGTGAACGGTACCGGTGACCAAGACGTTGTCAACGGTATCTCGAGGAAGTACATCCAGGGCATTCTGAGCCATTGGTCCGCCATCACCGGAGTAGACACACAGAATCTGGTATACACCTCCTACCGCAAAGTAGAAAGCGACGTGGGCAAGAAGCAGAACGACGTGGAGAGGGTCGCTGGACTCGCAAGCAGCATTGGCGGGGGTTGGTAGTCTATCCACGATGAACATGATTATGAACAGGATATAGAACGGCGTTACATACGAAATTGGGCATTTACAGGCGTCAGAGCCTTCGTACTCGCGCATAGAAGACAACAATGAACAATGTACAACTAATCATCATACATTAGCAAGGTTCGCTCAATCACGGCCGATATCGCTTCGATACATCCCATCTCAACAGCACAACTTGAGCAAAAGCTCTTCCTCAAGAACCTGTCCCAAGTCCAACGTCCTTTTCCAAGCACCCTAGCATCGCCCCGCCAGCCACATGGCTCATCCACGTCACATGCGCACGCGCTTTGGCGCAGTTCTGCGCTAGCCCAGACCCGCCGCGACTTCCCGAACGTGGTACACTAAAACGCGCAGCCGCATTCGCACGCAGCGGGCCGCTCCCTCCCTCGCATCCAAGCCCTGCGAAACGCCGGTACCCTACCTTTAGAGCAACCACACGGGTGTGCGCACGACGACATCCCGTCTGCCGTGCGACTGCGGGAGCATGCGCGCAAGGACGTTGCACCCGTGCGATGCGCAGACGCGTGGTGCGCGTGGTGGCGAGAAAGGGGGATCCAGCGCCAGCCATGGACGAGGTCTTCTATTTCGCTGGGATGATACCTGTAGGTAGGGGAGGCGTGATCGCCGTGTTCAATTCACTCGAACTCAGTGTCTCCAGAATCTGGTATTAGTCTTGCATTACGTTCCGTTCCAATAGGTGGAACCGCCGTCCGGTCCAGCCAGAATGTCTGTCTGCTATATACACGCTTTCCGCCCACCCATTATCGATATATGAATCTTTCCGATCCATGTGGTATCTCAGTATTTTTTTTGCAATCCCCAAACCCAAATATAGATAGACGGCGAGTAGCTTGGACCCTGCCACGGAACGTAAGTGGTGAAGTGTACAAGGTACGACATGCCAATCCTGGGCAGTCAGAGTGCGTATTATAAGATTACAAGGTACAATCTGGGAGCCATTCAGGCAAGGAAAATCTCCCGGAGCCGATCCGATCCGTCTGCTAACGCAAAGCACGAACAAAGGAAAAGAGGAGAGTAGGTATCACAAAGGAGATATGTAGGGAAGTGTGGTAGTCTGGAGGGGACGAAAGCAAGGAGAAATGTTGGCTCTAGCTACAATGGTTTTGGCTTTTTGCCTCCTGTCCCTCGTCGCCAATAATCCAACTTCTGAATCGCTCAAACCGCTCAATCCAAGTCGAGTAATGTGATGTACTGTGGTATGGTGATGATATGCGGAAACGCAATATGCCAAATTTGGGGGTATTCGCCAATCGAGAAAGGAAATGATCCAAGAAACAACGCGCGGTCTAGCAAGGTATTCTTACAAAGCGGTCGCTGTCGAATGAAACTGAAAAGGAAATTGGGTGATTATGCGGCGGGGGTCCGTCCACGCGCGAACAGACGGAAATGACCACAATAATTCCCACTCCTGCAAAGAAAATCCTTGCTGAAAATGCAGCTTAGATGCTGTACCCTTGGAAGATCAGAAAGCGAGCGAAAGCTGAAAATGTTGGCTGAAGTGCGGCAACACCAAATGACGAGTAAAAAGCGAGTGGATGAACATGATGCAGTGCGCCCCAGACACCATAAAAACAAAATTGCGGTTGTTGTTCCGCTTTTCCAGATGCGACGTGCGTGCGTCTAACAACCTCCTTGACTCGTGCACCGTTCCTGACGGGTTGTGGTCGTCAACCGTGAATGTTTAGTGCGGCGCGAGCCCCGAATTGTATCCGACGATAAACGGTAGTATATGAAAGCCGCAGAGAGACCCGAGTTACACTGATTATAGAGCTGAAGAAGGCGTAGAGAATGTAGATCCAGGTATATATGGAGATAAGAAGGAGTCGACGATGATCACCTGTACATGGACTGGGTGGCCATAAGACTAGCTGCCACACTTGATGCCCAATCATTGGGATCGTCGGGCGGTGTGGCATACTTTGCCGAAGCCCCTTGGTCTTTGGCAGAACGCATCTTCGAGATCTCGAGCGGCTTGGTAGGAGTCATATAAGGCGATTGTCCGAATCCCACGCCATTGCGGTTGGCGGATGGTGATGGAGTGAGATAGGAGGCGGCAGCGTTGCCATCAACGTACGCTGGTTGCTGGGCGGCCTGAGAGTTCCTGTCAAGCTTCTTCACTGCCTTGTGCGTAGAGGCAAGCACTTCGCTCAAGAGCTCTTCCTCCTCATTGGGAGTTTCGTAGTTGTTTGAAGGGTTGGACTTGGTTTGGACAGCGCGCCTTGTCCTGCTTGAAATCGGGCCAGGTCCTTGAGTGGAGCCGGGGTGTGATGTACGGTTCTCTGATCCGTGGTTTAGTGAATGGCCTCGCTTGAGCATCGGGTTGGCAGCAACGCGCTGTGTACTCTTTGTCACGTTGCTGGGTTGCGGTGGGCCTTCCATGCTGCATCTCACATTTTGCAAAGCCTTGTCGAGATCAGAGAAATCAGAGTTGGTCGATGGAGTCGGGGCAAGAGGTGGGTCTACCATCATTGACTGTCGGTTGTTGCCAGACGCCCAGGGTGCGCAACCCGCATTTGCTTCGATATCATCCGAGTTGGGTGACATTGGCGTTTGGTACCGTCCAGACAGACGGCGGGCCCGTTTCCGGAGATGCGAAAAGAAGCCCTCTTTCTGTCCACTTGACGGTGACGCAAGGCCTGATTGGCCGTTCAAGGCTCTCTCCGCTTCTTGGCGGTGGATGTCTGCATAATGGTTACCGTGCGAGGCAACGGAGAGTTGGCGGCCAATCTTCTTCGCAGCCTTTTCGTCGCTTTCTGCAGCGCGTACGCTCGCTTGCGCAGTCACTTCTGCCGACAGAGGTGATACTGGCCGAATCGAAGGCAAGATTGGAATGGGCGCTCCGTTAGCAGGGACTCCATTCGTCCACGTAGCTCGCTTCGTCGGATTAGGGCGCTGCTTGGCTGGTGCTTCTGCAGGACTTGCGTGTGCAGGTGATGGCCGCGGCGACCCTGTCTGCGTTGAGGTGTGTTGTGGTACAGCCGGAGCACTCTCTCGTGCCACAAGTGACCGTCGTAGCCATGAAGAGGTCTTGGATGTTAGACTGGGAGACGCGTCGGGTGAGTCCTTTCCGGAAATGTCGGACTGCTTGCGTCCCAGTAAGCGGGAAGAAGACGACTTGAGTCGGAGAGGATCGAAAGCGTCCTGGAAGTATTCGTGGGACAAGGCCTGCGTAGATGTTGGCCTGCCCCGTGGGTCCCACATGAGGCACCACGTGACAAAATTGGCCAAGCTGGCGGGCCATTGCGGCGGTTGCAGGATTGTGTCAAGAGAGTGAGGTGCCATCTTGGGGAATGAGAAGCCGAGCTTTTGAGCGAGGCGCACACCGTCCTTCCATTCACCACCGCCCACTCGATGGCCATATTTGTTGACCCAGCTACCTGGGCTACCCATAATCTCGCAAACCCGCCACACCTGGTCGACCTCATTGCCGCCAGGGAACAAAGGCTTCAAAGTAGCGATCTCAACAGCCATGGCGCCGACTGCCCAGATGTCGACCGGTGCGGAGTAGGATCCTGCGCGTAGCAGGACTTCGGGTGCGCGATACCATCTTGTCGAGACGTATGTAGTGTATGGCAACTTGGAGTGGGTCTCGCGGGCGAGACCGAAATCAGCGATCTTAATTGTGTACACTGGAGGCGTCGATGGAGGCGTCATAAGTGCAGAGTACCTCCGGAAGGGATGCGACGTATCGTTTTGTTGCGAGGTTGATACAAGAATGTTCTCGGGCTTAATGTCGCGATGGAAGAACTCGCGCTGGTGGATGTGTTCCAAGCCCGAGAGGATCTGGAAGAGAACGCTCTTCACACTGTGCGCGTCCATTGGCTTGTGGTCCCGCGCCTTCATCAGTTGGTACAGGTTGCCGTCCATGAACTCCATGGCAATGTGAAGTCGCCTGCTGTAAGGGTCCAGAAAGATGTCCAATGCGGGAACGAGATGGGGGTGCGGAGGTAGTGACCGGAGGAAGATCACCTCTCTCAACTCCAGGCAAGACTGAAATGAGTCGAACGTCTTCTTCATTGTCTTGATGGCGACCTATCCATCATTAGTTACTGGTCCATGCAATCATGATCGTGATACATACGAGTGTGCCACGACGAGCAACGTGTGCGCCCGCCGTCCGTACTCGGGCAAGAGCGACGCTGCCGAAGCTGCCGTCGCCAATCTCCTTCATCACCTCATATCTCTCCTCCAACGACGCCCAACCCTGCGGCTGGCTTTGCGTGTCGGGGTACATATTAGATGATTTGGAGAACTATACGAATCAGTTTTGTTTGTTCGAGCCAGTGAGGGGCGCGTACGCACCGCTGGTAGCGTTCTTTTGCGATCAATGACAGATTCTACAGCTCACTTTGGTTCATCTCAGGTTGGTGTTTGATTAGATTGGATGTCGATGGTGAATGAAGGTTACACGGCGGGGAGTCGAGTCCAGCTGAGGGGTGTGAAGTGCTTATCGACAAGTCAAGGTTCGATAGCAGGAGAAGTAAGGGTCCAGGTTGACGCAGATGCGGGAGAGACGAAGAAATGAGGGACGACGGTTGGAAAAGGGCGTGCGGTGGACGGTCCAGGGACACGGTCGGCGGATAGGTTCCACGGGATAGGATCGTTCTAGCGGCAGCAGAGGAATTACTTGTTGACCATAGCTCGTGTGGCTTGTAAATCAGGATAAGTGACAGAGGACGTGCGTCCGGGGAGAGAGGCAAGTGGAACAGAACTAGAAAGGAGGTCGGAGGGCAGAGTAATGCGCTCCAGTCGATCGTTGAGAGGCCGTGCTGGTGTGGCGGTCAAACAAGGTCGGCGACGTTGTGAATGGCCAAATGGGGCGTCGGCGCACAACAACACGACTGTGTTGACAGAAGGAGGGCCAGGCAGGTGCAATGCTCTGTGATTGATGGAGGGTTTCCTGAGGGAAAGCTACGCGGCGGGCCTGTGGGCTTGAGCATGAATCGGTAATGGCAATTTCGGGTAAGGCCAGGGCCGTTGGGCAGATTAGAGGGGAAAAGGAGCGGCGTGGCCAGTTGGTAAGAATGGAGATGGTGAGGCTGCAAAGGGTAAAGCTGCGACGAGGCCAGGGGATGGCCGTTGCTGAGGAGAGCAGCTGGCGGTCGCGGCGTTGGTGTGCTGGCACGCTCGCAGGCCGGTAGATTTGGTGAGCCGCGGCGAGACGCGCTGCAGGACGCGGCAGGGCAGCGGGACAAGAGAGCAGGTTAAGAGAGCGGTGAATGCTAGCGAGCGTTGGACGGTGAAGGCTAACAGTACAGTACCTTACGAGGGACGTTGGGCGTTGGGCGCGAGGGCCATGGCGACGTCGTGGGTTTTGAGAGGGGGCGTGGACAGTGTGCACGCCGGCGCAGGCTCTCGTTGGGGGCGCGAGATTGCGTCGACGGGGGGCTGAAGCTTCGCGACAGGCGAGGTGTTGACTGAGACTAGACTACTACCGACGGGGATGCGAGGAAGGAAGGCACAATCGGCTGGATCCGCCTGCCACGACCCAGCGCCCTAGCCCACACCATGCTTCATGTGCAGCGGCGTGCAGCCACTGCTGTGCCCACCAACCGCCGACGAAATGTTCGACGAAATGCGGCCAAAAGGCACCCGCGCCGCCCGGCTCATTAGCCGTCGCCGGCCCCCCTTTTTGCATTTATTGACGCTGTTTCCCCTTTGGCGCCCGCTGCGGTTGTGCACCCACGTGACGCTTATGCCAGCCGCACGTACTTGTGCGCTGCGGCGCGTCCAATTTTATCCCCTCGCACATCTCTGCGCTGAGCCCAAGGCTGACCCGACGTGCGTCGAGCGCAACAGCGACGGCGCGCGACGGCCACGGATGGGACGGCGCGTCGTTCGCTCGCGCCCTGGACGGCGTGTGTACCTGTCTGCGACGCGGGCGGCATCGCAAATTCAGCATGACATCGCGGGTGCGCCAGCCTGCTCGACCACGTTTCTGCTGCAAACTGACAGCGTCGGCCCATCTGCCCCTTTTCCCCTCGCACCGTCGCAGCTCGGCGCCCGGGATGGCCTCTGCTCTGCAACCTTGTTCTGGACGCTGTCCCTGAGCGGCCTGCAGCCTTGTTCGCGTGGTGCCTCGGCGGCCACGCCTGATTGGCCGCCGCCGTCCATAGAGTTCCGCGGTGGTGGTTTTGCTCTCGAGGCGTCCTCTAGTGCACCTCCGGGAGCCACGGGAAAGCAGGCGGTCGTGCTTGGTCACAGGAACTGCCGGCGATGCGGTCATCTCACCGACGATCACCTGTGACCGTGACAATTCTCTCTGCTGCAACCATTATTGTTCACGCCATGGACGATGATGGCTGCAATGTAGTCCTCCGTCATCGCATGTCCACAGTGTATTGGATCGACTGAACCAGACCCGGCAACTGGCGCGCCGACTGGTAAGGCCCGAACCGCTGCAGTTTGTAAACCACCACAAACAGGCCTGACAAAACTCAATAGTAGTGTGTCTTAGAATCCCTTTTGCAACATTCACCACTGGACAGCAGCGAACTCTCCGTCTGTCCAGCACGAGAGAGGGGTCTGACGCAACGGCGACATGTTCGTACGTCTCCTGCGTTGTTAGCGTCGTCCCTCCCACTATCTTAGCGACAATGCGCGCGTCTTTGCAACGGCCGCCTCCAGTGATTTCGCCAGCTGCTACGCAAATCTTGCTTTCAGGTTGCGTTTTGATATGCCTCCACCATTACGGCTCTGTGCATTTCGCACCCCCGTCTTCTAGAAACCTTCTCCCGTCTGCGCAATCCCCGACCTCCATCAAAATATAGTACCTACCCACCTTCACCCCCGGCAGGATTGCATCAGCTCTAGCTAGCCAAGTTTCAAAACACCCAAGTACGTGACTGTGCCTTTGGTACATCTGCAAAGCCCTACGTCACGACTGTTTCGCCTGGACTGTGCGAACGTGCCGTTGAAAGGCTTGAAGAACATTGCGCAACGTTCGGTGAGGCCGCTAGATATCCAGGGATTGATTGCGTAACGTCCGGATGCCTCGACTATACGCGCATTCAGGCAGTAGATCCACCGGTAATGACAACCATCGTCGACCAATCAGTCTTGACAAAGATAAAGAACATCAAACCGAACTGTCCAGCTCCCCAGCAACGGACGTTGCATTCACACCCTGGACCCGATTGCATGTGCGCTCACGCTGTAAGCACGAGATTGGCTCGTCACTACCGTTTACACGGTGTAGATCCTGCAGGCCACTCGTAAACAACGCCAGCTCACTCCATTTACAGCTTTCGACGGCTTCCTCTCCCTCTTTCGTCGCTGCTTCGTATGCTCCGTTCCTATTTCGGCCCGCAAGCCACCAGTAACGTCTTCTTAGCATTCACCAGCCCGTGACGCCGGCTATTCCTGCTCCGCCAACGCACACTGCAGGAACGCGTTCGTATGCCATGCCAAACCTGTTTGGCGCTCCTTCTCACAAGTCTACCCCGCTTGCCGAGGTGTTGGGCGCATCACCACCAACATCCTTCGAACGTGTGCCCGGGTTTTCGGCGAGGACGAGGCCGCGAAAACAGGACCTGGAAGGCACGAGCAGCAAGGCCAGCGATACCTGCGTGCGACGTCTCACCGCGACGATAATCGTAGGCGCGTGTCTGCCATCTCCTCTTCCAGCAGTCAGCTCATGCAGTGCTCGAATAAGCAAGAACGATTACGCACGAAAAGCAATCTCGTGGGATGAGCGCTCAGGACCCGAACACTGCACTAATGTCACTCCAGTAAAGTATGTCTAGAGCACTGTATCCGCCGAGCGTGGGATGTAAGACCGTCCTCCATCTATGCTCACTGGACACCAATATTCTTGTTCAACCACTCATCGTAGGACAGCGTGGCTGAGGCCAGTACCCTCGAAGGTACGCGAATGCAGCTGTCATCGACCCTCGCCTTGCGATACTGTCGATCGACAACTAAAACGTGTCCCACTTAGATGACGACTTTCATCTCTGTCATGATGTGCTGACTGTACATCCGCCTTGATATCCTGATCCACGTCGTGGGCAGCCACCAATCCAATCCATCCCACGCGCAACAGTCCGCTAGGAGCCTGCGTACCGGGCCATAAATCGCCTCTAGGAACAGCATCCTTTGACTCAATTCCAAGAAACGCTCCCACACCAATTTGTCTCAGGCCATCGCGCATCTACGGTCTCCGACTCACGGGGCGCCCATCGCGCCTTCCTCCTCTACCTCAGATAATTCCACCTTTGTAGATTACGCCGCACCGCGTAAACTTCCTCCACGCACGGTAAGGAACATTCCTCCGGCCCCATCGCAAAGGACCGTCCCGAACGATGAGATGTGGACTCACTACTAGGGGCTTACGTGGGATGATCCCCGATCTGACGTGGTCGTGAGGCACACCTTCAGGAACACCAGCCTCGCAAGGCGAAGAACCCTGAACATCTGCAGAAGGATATTGCTGATATGTAGGGCCGGTTCATTTGCAGGGCTGAATTGAAGTCGAGAGGAGTGCAGTGGTGAGCGTAAGCCTGTACGATGCCCTCTGACCTGAGGCAGTACAATGACCAGGCCAAGGGAGGCCGGAGTTGCAAACGAGAACCGAATGCGGATCATCTTGGTGAATGTTGTTCGGGTCAATCCAACGCATTGGAGAAGCACGTGGGTCCCTGATCGAAAGGTCCGACGGTGTCGCGTACTCGCGCGAGGCGTCGATTTGTTAGACATCACGCCGTATGGTCTCATTCCAAGACCTGATACTGAACAGTCGACTTTACTCTTGACAGATTTAGATCGCAGCCAATTTTGCCTGGCTTTGTGGACGAAGGTCGCCTAGATGGGTTTAGCACGTGTTCAACGCCTCGTGACATTTCCGTCCATGTAGCGTTAGACATAGTTGACGTGTCGATGGGAACTCTCATCAAATAGCCACCGTCACACCAAGCAAGTATACAGCGAAGAAATCAACGGGCATTCCGATTTTATATCGAAATCTCAAAACTTTGCCTAACAGCTGAACCGGATTATACCTTGAGCACTTGAATCCATCAGAAGCACCCGACGCCCGTGATCTAGACTTACAGATTCGCACTCCAACTCTACAAGGTCCACTCTATGCTTGCAATTCCATTGTACAAGCATATCGAGCAACCTCACGATACTCCTCAGTCTTCAGCCACACTTGGCCACCCAATCGTCAAATTGCTCCCGTCTACTAGTAATGTACCAGGCACTGCCCATCATCGCGCTTCACACAACTCCGCATACATCCCACTCCCTCAAGCTACAAAGTCCAATAAAGAATAGCCCGCCCTCTCCCGCCCCTCCACTCATGATACACCGCTGTCTGTTTCCACAGCTACCGCCTCTACCTCAGACTACTCCACTGTGGATACACTAGCCAAAAGCAAGTATATACCCTTCGCAAGCACGCACGCAACCGCGCATACGCACACTAGCATAGCACACGCATTAGCCTCCGGATCCTCGCTCACAAAACAACTGTACTGTACAGTACCGCTAGCGCGTCGCGTTGCTGTGGCAGAACAGACGTGGCCGTTCAACTGACCGCCTTTTGCTCGCGAAAAAGCAAGCGAGCAAGCGAGCGAGTCTGTTCCAAAGCGGACTTCCCCCACCGAACACCGACAATCGCAGTTCGAGACCAACGTGGAGAAAGAGCGGTGCGGGAAAAGACGGGTAGACGGGGACCAGGGCTGGATATAGGTGTGTTAGGCGTCACGGAATGAGTGGGTACGTAAACAGACGAAGGCTCCACGGGTACCGACATCGAGACGAGACAGTGCCACGCTGGCATGCGCAAGATCTGGAACATATGCACGATTGACTTGATATTGAGATACATGGACTAAACTAGGGATTATAGTGATATTGCAATCGATGGCTCCTGTGGTACTGAAAGACCTGATGTCCGTTAGCGCGAATCCTCACAGTGATGGCGAGGAAAGCGGGGACAGGAGAGGGTATCAGTTCTCCAAGGTGATTGGTTTGTTTCTTCAACGATGAACTCTGTAAGAACACAGCGAAAAAGGTTGTTCATCAGGTGAGGTGGGTGGGAGGTGGAGATGGGTGTACGTACCATTTGAGAGGATTAGTATTCTAGCATCACATACGGTGTGTAGATATCTGCGATCAAATGTGGTCAGCTGGGAACTGAAAAGTTGATCGGTCATTCTCGTTGGGAAGAGAAGGTAGCCTCCATCTGAGATCAGCCTGCTCCCTGTTAGCTGACGCGCATCTCAGATATCGTGCGCAGCTTACCTCATTAAATCAGATTTGTTTGTAAGATCAATACGGCAGAAACCGCTCACACAGTGTGAATATCGAAGTATCATCATAACATAGATGGAGCACCGAGCATAATAGCAAATTGAGCATACCTACAGCTGAAATTAGCCTGGTATCATAAAGGTGCATCAACCGAATCTTGTGGTATGCTGGCGATCAGAAGATGCGTTATCAACAAGCAACTCTCCTCCCAAACACCCACAGGTTTGTACGTCCTGTTGTAAACGAGTGCCGGTCGAAGAGCGCAATCTGTCCGCCCGTTGCATCGGAGATGTTTCATCAAGAAAGAGCGAGGAAAGGTGGCGTAGTAGAGGGATATGTACCTGTGAGACGCGTGGTTAGCTCGCGTCCAATATTTGTGTGCGATAAGTGAGAAAGATTTGAGGGCACAATCAGACAAGGCTGAAACTTAAGTATGACAAGATCGACATCGTATATTCAGGTCGAGGAATGCCTTTCCGGTGTCACAATATCATCACTGTGCCGTGGGATATGCGGAGCGAGGGATGGGGAAGCCGTACCTTTTGAAAATATTCAACGGACGCGGTTTACGCGCGTAGATCGATAATTGTGAACCTATCAGCGCGTTAGCAACGTCTCTCAACTAGAGCTGACGACCATGCGGTGGGGCAATGTGCATCATTGTAATTCTAGAGTATTTATGTCCATCACGGAGCTATAGGAGTTGGATTGTTATGAAGTGTAATCTTCTGCTTCGGGACCGATGGGCAGAGAGGAACTTACTGTGCGCTGTAGCTGAACAGCCAGAAGTAGTCAGTGAGTTATATTCACACAGAGATCAAAACAGCGCGGGTGCGCGCGTTGCGTCCTCGGTGCAAACATCCATGAGGTGTGGAAAGCAGAAGTTCGTGGAGCTCGCAGAAGTTTTAGGGCAAGAGCGGGGCCGGAGCCACTATGAGCCGAGGCTAATTACGTAATCGAAACACTTGCTTTTCACGACCCTTCCCCAACACCAGATATTGATCAAACATCAGAGTTGTTGAATCCTAAAATGCTTAAATATGATTAGTGCTAGTACGGACTGCCGATTTGAGTTCTCCCTCAAACATAGGTAAGATCTTCTCTTGACACCTTACTAACGCTCTAGAGCAGCCTTTATCGCGAGATCTTTCTCTACCTTCCTCATTTCACACGTATATGCTCCGTCCCGCTCTAACTAACAGGAGAATTAATTCTATGCTGCCGACTGGTCTGCATCTTTCATTTGGCACTCAAAGTAGTAGTGCAAAGCTCTCACGAAGCCTACTACCATATGTAGGGACGACTGATAGTGTAGCGCACTATACTGGTACTGGACTTAGGCATTGTACCGCGTGTTTGCCTATGTGATAAGAGAACCGTTCGCCGACTCAGCCTCAAACTTTAGTGGTGTCCACGATACGTCGCAGCTTTTTGCTGGTTATTCGTTGGACGACACACCTACTACGATCACGACTCTCTGTTTCCATAGACAACGATGGCTGTTCGGAAACTTGTTGCGTAGAGAAGGAATGATGACCTTGTACCGCGCAAGAAACGATTTTGTCACAAATCTTGCTGAACACTTTTCCAGGACCGAGAGAAGACAGTGGTTGTGGCATCGATGGGGCCTGACGGTCGGACTTGCTAATGCTGGTATTGACGTTCGACCCCCTGCGGCTCATTATCTTGAGCGTCTGCGAAACGACCGCCTCGGGAAGTCGAGTACGAATAGCCGAGTCACCAATAACATGGAAGCGCTCACGAGTAATTCAACTCTGCTTGGTGTAGAACCCCTTTCACCGCTACTGCCCAAACGGGCAATTCCAAAGATGTATGCCCATCTCTCAGGAAGACTCCTCCTATCATCGGAACCGTATTTATGGCGTGAGGAAGTATAATATCAACCCGCCAACGATGATGCCCGATTTTCTTCAAATTATAGTTGGGATTCCCCCATGAAGAATTGACGTGTGTGGCACGCAATGCTTTCTAGATGTCGGACCGGATGGTGGACGCTGTTAAATAATTAGCAGACACTACGATTGGCTCCGAAATACGGCTTTACAGAAGGAACTAGCGCGTGATATAATTTGGATTTGCTATTTGCATGGACCTAGTCTTTGGTGGTACGCTACTAGATGAGTCACGAGCTCCAATGTAAGTTTGAGTGGTCGCACACTTTGCAGCTCTGCGATGCTGTCCGCTTTTTATAACTATAGAATTGGACTTGCACTATTCTGAGGTGCCCACAAACTGTGCCAGGCGACACATTCTCTACAAACCTACAAAGTCTTCTCACAGTCTCTAATTTTGTAGGAATCCAGCAATGCATCCCGCAATGGCTTCTGGAATGGCTAGACCGCTGTTTCTCTTGATTTTCGCACACAGCGCTGGCATCGGAATAGATAAAGTCGTTCACCTGTCAGCTCCCAAAATTGATCCTCACTAGTAGATTGCGCCGAACATAAAGGACCGACCATTATTCAAACAATCATGTTTGTGCCACACCTGATCATTGTACTTCGGCAGCTATGTCGGCTCAAAATCAAAGAAACCCTGCACATCCAATAATCTCAATAGCCAAAGTATTTCGGAGGTGGATTTATTTAACAGGACTATCACCTTTTCAATCTACTGACTACTAGCATGCCGGTTGCTAGACCCTACACTACGCTAATCCTTAGTCGACTCAGATACAGTAACATTTTCCATATCCTCTTCAGCGTCGTCCGCATCGTCAACGTCGTCGTCTAACTTGTCACGGGACATGAGTTCAGTCGCAACATTAGGCAGTGCTTTTATCATCCCTGCATCCGCTCCTTGTAATGCAATTCCATCGCCATCGCCAACGCCTGCATCATTATTAACGGCAGAGTCGAAAGAAGACGCTTCACCTCCAAAGAAGATCAATGCTGTGGTCATTGCCGCCATCGTCACCCTTCCGACCGTAGTCACCACCATAGCCATCGCCGCCTTTGTAATTCTCAGGAAAAGATATTAGCAGTCATCGGGGAGTGTTACGATGTACAAGATTCATCAACCAGCAAACGAGCTACCAGCCCGTTTCTCGCGGACGTAAGCACATTCGTGTAACTTCTAAAGTGATGGATGGTATAAAGGCATTGATATTAGTCGACGGCTATGATGGAATGATCTTCTGAAGGACCAGGCTATCAACTCAGATGTTTGAGGCTTGATCCCAATACACGATCTAAAATTTCTCGCAAGCAGGCCGCATGTCTGGCTAACGGTCAGCGTTGCATTTCCACAACAATGTGACTTGAGACTTACCTAGCTCGTGTGTCCAAAGACAGGGCTTTTGGTTGTGCAACCACAAATAGGTCTCGCCGACCGCATCTGCGCTCATTTTCTTGCCTGTTTTCTGGTCTTCTCCATCTGCGTCCGCAATACCACCATTGGCGATAGTATGCACAACATGGACCCCCTTCTCGCTCATCTCGCGCGCAAGTGTCTGTGCAAGCTGGCGCACTGACGCACGACCAGCTCCATACGCAGCAAACTGCGCGCTGCAGCGGAGCGCTCCGAGCGTGCCAGTAAAGATGAGTGTCTGTAATATACGTGTCAGGTAAGTGCTGTAGAAGGAGACGATAGCCACTTACGCCCTTCTTTTCGCCACCCTCGGCCAGGCCCTTCTCCCCGTGATCCACAAAAAATCGCTTCAGTGACTCTTGTGAGAATGTGAACGCACCACCGACATATGACTCCAGTGAGTCTTCGAAATCTTCGCGGGTCTCCTCTAAGAATGGTTTCTTCGAAGAGTGTTTAATGCTGTAAACAGACATCTTTAGCTTGAGATCTTTGAAGCTTTGGTGTTTCTGGATCTCTTGAAATGTCTTCTCGAGAGATGCTTTTGACGTATCTGTAGGGAAGGTCTCTAGGACGGCATTGGGGCTTGTCTTGCGCACTGTGCTGACGACCTCGTTGAGTGACTCTGGACGGCGCGCAAGAAGAGCGACAGCTAGATTCCCATGCGACGGATGGGAGAGAATTCGAGCAATTCCAGTCCCCTAAAGAATATATCAGCCATGTAAAAGCGAGGCCGATGTGCGGCTCACAGTATTTGGGCCTGCCCCGATTAGAATCGCAAGACCTGACGGAGGCATTTTGCTTTTTCGTGTCGGTTTATGGATTGTACGTCTTTTTGAATACAGTAGCGGTTTCGGGTTGAGTTCACAATATGTTACTGTTGTTGCTGCTGAATATTCGATTACAGCATGGTGGACCCATTGCATCATCATCGAGGATGTACCCTATGAGCTATGTGCGGGGCTAATCCCGCGGGCCCTGGTGTGGGTATGCAACTTCAAGCGATTCAACACTCGACATCCGAAAGACAACCAGTTTTAAAAGCCCTACACAATGCGGACTTTGTCATGCGATACGTTTACTCTTTTTGAGTTCGTCTCCCCTTAGACATTGAGCATGACCGACGGAAAAAGTTCCTTGAACGCGAGTGATGTATTGCAGGTACTGTTACACAGATCTACGAATAAGGGCCAAAATCGACTGCTACAGAATTTGATCGATGGGGACAAAGCGTGCGCCATGCGTTGCAAACGAGAGAAGTTAGGTCATCGAATAAAAGCTTACGAGACTGTGGCTTCGTTCGCGTAAAGAAAGTCATTCACAACGAAGTCCGATTAGACTAGGCGATTGATGCACACCGTAGATGGTCATTTAGATTGACAATATCAAACGCTGCAAGATAAAAAAGGCGACGGAGACGGTGGATGGGTATATTAAAGCTCTGAGCTGAATGCATGGCGACGCTGCACGCATAGACCGGTGGAACACTGGCTGTTCGGGATCTCGAGCTCCTCAATGGTCCGTCGTAGGAAGATCGGTTGTTCCGGAGCAACTATGCGAACGTGATCGCTAAGAAGATACAGATAGCTAAGCACGCGTACACGTCCATGATGCCACCGAGTCAGTCGGGTAATTTGCTACGTGGCAGCCTGTAGGTCAACCGGGCGGCCAGCGAGTTTTCCTGAAGGACTTGGGTCGAAATAAGGTTCCATGCATCGACAAGGCGATCGGGTAAAACACTTGCATGTATTCCTGCAGGAAATCGCCATCATCTGAGCTGTATTTGGCCCTGCAGTACTCGTTGATCTTGTCAAACGCAACAGACTGGGAGTTGGACGATCGTGATTGGGTAGATTCACTGCTGGGTCGCAGGCGTCGCAAACCTTTTGGGATAGGTCGGAGGCCGCCCTCACGACGCAGTCCCGACCGTCTATTGACGTACGGTCTTCTGGTTTTAGTGTGTCCTCCGCGAACGCCGTATTACAAACGATGAGGCGGACAATGCATACGCACCAACAGAATGTGTGCACCGCACAGGAGGACGAGGCACCTGCAGATTCACGTGCATAGGCGGCGCCAACGTCTAAATATCACTGATCAGATGTGCAGTGGCACACAGAGCGGATACCTGCTCGCGCTCTATGAAACGAGAAAGCGCTTCTGGCGGTACAAGTCTGCGTTAAGGAAGGGGGGACAAGGCGAGCTGAGGAGGGACGGTTCCAAGGACCTGGTTCGAATGTTGGCAGCGCTCGAGCCAGAGCGCGGCAACTCCCGGCCCGTGCTTACGATACACGCACGCTAAGATCTTGTTTAGACGACAGGGCAACGTCTTCACCCCGCCTTTCATCGTGCCCTCATGATTCTTACATCGGAACGGCATCTTTTGCGAGGCCATGTGTTGTACCATTCTCTCTATGCCCCAATAATGAGGCTGTCGGGACGACGGGGCTGCAGGTGAGCCTGACCATCACAGCACGGGATGCAAAGCCTGACCGGAGGCCGCCCGTAAACTGATACGAGAAGGCGAAAGAGGTCGAGGCGACGCTCCTGGGTTCGAATCGTTACGCTAGTCCTCGAGGACATCAATCAGAGTGATCCGATATTGACAAGCCGTGGCTCACGACAGCCTAGCCTCCCCCCTCCCCCCGCTGGTATGTCTTCGGTAGCCGAAGTGCCAAAATGGATTCAGTGTGAAGCTATAGCCGTCTAACTTCTTGTTGCACGCCTGTTACGCATGGTGCATGACTCAGAAAGATAACGCTGGGCGTCGCTAGCTATGACAAAATCTCCCCAGACACAGATCGATCCAGACGTGCCGGCACACTGCCAGTCTACCGCGAGATGAGTGGGTCACGCTCCTTACATGTGATTGGTCAGTTTCTTGGAAACTCTTACTTTTCCGGGAAATGCAGTGAAGGGTCGTTCGCCGAAAACGTGTTCGATCTTCGGCATCTCGTATACAGCCGACGGTCGGGCAGCCACTTAGGACCACCCCTGACATAGCCACACGTGAATACAGGTGAATCTGTTGGAATCTGCCTTGAGAGAGCCTTGTCAGTGACGGTTGGGGGCTGGGCTGTTCTTGAATGAGGCCCGACAACGACTCCGCCTCCTACAACATATGTATAAGTGAAAATGTTCCCAGCACTCCGTGAAAAAGTTCTGCGCGAAATGAAAACCCGACGGTGCCAATATTTTCCAGTCTTGTCGCCGTAATTTCACGTTCAGTGATCGCCAAAAACCGGTCAAGAGATATTCAAGCTGTTCCTCCAACCATTTGGCTTTGTCAGCATCCAAGATACACATTGACAGAACCTCGTTGCCGGCGGCGTCGAGCGAAAGATACCGGTGCCGCCTCATTCTTTCCTCCGACCTCGCTTACGAATTCGGTGTGTCCGATCTGGATACCTGCGAAGCTCCCAATCTTCGATTACCCGATGCAGCGTGGACGTGTACCGCTCAATGTAACAATCAATCAACCATCAACCGCATGTCTGCAATCTCCCAGGTCAGACATGTGATTGCACGTTGCTGAGTCGCGGACAATGACCGCTAGGGTAAGCAAAAACCAAATCATGGCTGCGTGCTCACAATTGTCATGGCTGATAGCCAAATTTAGCGACGCACGCTAAAAGTTCTGCGACTAAATGCCAGGAACACTTCGGATATATTTGTTCCAGCAGGGGTCCGATTGGGAGGACTGTCATGTACATCGATCCAGTTTCCGAAGGTATTGGCGCCCGGTGAGACCATGCTCCATGCTTCGATATCCTCGGCGGTCCATCCTAGTCTGCACATCGAGCAGGGCCACCACTCCGATCACGAATCTAGTCAACTATGCCGAGTGAACCGTACCCGGGGCCCAACAGCACACTGCGGTGTGACCATGTCCTTGCCTTCTTCAAGGCGATTGATGGCGTTGCCCCTTCCTGTCGCACACCAATCTGGTCGCCGTATTCCGTTCGTGGATGCTGCTGTATCCGGAAGGAATACTTTCTCATGGGCGTGCGCGCGACGTACGGTTACGTGTCACTCGAAGGTTCGGATCGTAGTCCTGCTGCATGCGACGATTCCAGCGGGAATGAGGGCACGGCAACCCCCCGCAATGTCATTTTGACCTTCCCATGGGGAGCGGGCGGGATAAAGTCCTCCGCATACGCTCTGATTTATGTTCAGATAACCTAGACTGACGCCCAGATTGTGCAAGATGCGCTTCTTGGTTGAGCTACACTGGTCTTGCGAGTGAGTAACAGTTCGTACGACCCCTCCGACTACTCTCCATGCAAGAGGAGCTAGACTAATTGGTCGCAGACTCAGAACTTCTAGTCACAAGAGTATCGCCCAGCGAATCTCACACACTCCCACATCACCCACCAAGGAGTCTTACGCCCCGCCTCTGGATCCGCCGACTTACGACTTCGCTTCACCCTTAACAGAGCATTGCCTAAATCACGACTTGCATCTAAAACAGGGCTGTATATCTTTACGGACGCATAGTATCCGCAAGTCGCTCAAAAAAATGATGTCTCATTTCTCACGAGAGCGTTCTTCCAAATCCTCAGCAGACGCGTCCGGCATGGGTTCTTCAATATATTCAGCGCAGGATTACGGCCGCATAAGCCCAGTGGAATTACCGGAAGGTCGGGAACCTTGCGAATTACCGACAGATCCTTTTCCGGCTGCTGATCAACAGATGTATCGCCACGGAAATGCGGATTGTTATGCAACGCCGGGAGATGCCGTAGCTTGGCAGAGGCATCAACCTTACCCTTGGGTTCATGATAGCCCTACGAACGCCGATTCCGTATTGTGCACCCCGCCAACATCATCACGCGCTCTGACACCCATTGATACCTCAGTGAAGATGGTGCGAGCGTCGCCTTCGTATGCGAGCGGTCACTATGTTTCCCCAAGTAACAGCAACAGTCACCACCACCGGCCAATGAACCTAGCTGGTGCCTCTTTGCTGAGCCCTCCATCAGCTCTCAGCCCTTCTTCGTTTCATACATCTCCTTCCAAATCTGTCTCACCCAATGGTTCAGTTGTCTCTGATCCCGGGGATTTCAGCGCTGCAAGATACACCACGCATATAATGGCAACTGCGAATAGTCCCATAAAATACGGTTACGGATATGCCAACACTTACTCCGACTTGTATACCCACGGCCAACACCCTTACAATACTATCGCGTCCACTGTGTCACCCACTTCTCGCCATGTCGACAACATCGTGCTTGCAGATCATGTGTCTCATTCCCCACTCGCTACGACGACTATTAACTCACATTATCGTGCCAGCCGATTTACAGGTGCCTATGAACATTCCGTCCGTTCCTTTCATGCAGGTCAAAACCAGTCCGCTCCTCATCGATTACAATGCGCGCACTTCGGCCCCGCCAATGACTCCTTCCAATTTGCTCCGACGAGGCTCTTTGCTTCGGAACGATATATCAACGCCTTATCACCACATACTTCA